TTCCACCAAAGTTGTTCACTTGTAGTCATGTGTTTCAACGAATAGATCACGTAAAAAAGTCTTTGCAACCCAACTATCAGGGGCCATATGAAGTGATATTTCGAAATAAGACTGCTTTCACTATAAAAAAAATAAGGGTATAGAACGAGTTTCTATTAACCAATTAAAACCTGCTGAAATTACTATTTTTGAAACAGATAAGGAAGAACGTCCTGAACAAAAACATGACGTGGAAAACCAAAATTTTCTCACTGAAATTGAAAAACCACCAATAAAAACAGTAATTACTCCCAAGAATAACAATGAACCTTTTATTTCAGAATTCACGAGTCCAACGACAGAGGACATCCTATGGAAGAAGGAGAACCAGCCCAAGACCAGATACGGCCGGACAGTACGTCCGCCAGACCGGTATGGACAGGCAGAGACGGAAGTCTAGAGGAAAAGGAAGAGGAAAATTCGGACAATGACGAAATAACCCGGACCGACAAATCCGATAGAGAAATCATTTATTTGAAACGTGGCAGGATGGTGGGACAAGAATTTTATCAAGAATTCAGGTATTTATCCATTATACTATTACTTCTAGTTTTTATGCAATTACCATGGCTATGTTTTGGAAATCCAGAGGTTCATGGCTATATCTGCCAAAATGACAAAATCAATCAAGAGTACGACATATCGGATGATAAGTCTTGCAAACAACACAAATCCGAACACATAGTGAAATGTCAAGCTAAAGTCTATCACGCACCTAAATTGCATACTAAAATTCCAATTAGAGCTTGCCAAACTAGTATAACTGAATGGAAAAGTCACTTTTATTTCTTTGGAGCTAAGACTCACTTTACCAAATAAAATCAGGAGTACCTTCGTCCGAACAAAATTGCAGAAACTGGTTTAAGACTCACGAATCGAATCAATTCGGTAAGTTTGTTCAGAAAACCAATGATCTATGGGTAACGAGAATAAACCGGTTATCAACTATAAATGGCCCACAACTGATTCCGGAACAACTGAAAATATTGCCCTATTAACATCCTATGTAATGTATGACCATCTAAACTCAAAAATTATTTTTCCTCTAGCTGACAGCGCAAATTGCTCTGTAAATCAATCTTCCTGCCAAATTGGTAGTTATACACTTTTATTTGACGATGCAAAATTCGAAAAATGTCCAAACAAAGCGGAGGAAATAAACTCTTCGCTAACTGCACATGTAAACAATACTAATGACATATATGCTGTAGAACTAAACGATTTACATATGACCTTTCATTCCTTTTCAGAGTGTAACGAATTAACGACTGATTGCTTTGGCAGTATTTTCTGCCTTGAAAACGAACTTTTGGTTCAAGTCAAGAATTGTAGTTTATTAAAGAAAGTCAACGTGTTACGTGAGTTTGCTGATCACGCAGACATTTCGACGGCATTAACGTTGATGATACAAAATGTCGCAGACTCACAAACCGCTCTGTCCGCGAAATTACAGAGCCAAATCTTTAAATTGGAATGTGAGACCGAACGAATATTATCTAAAATTTATAGAGTTTTAGCGAAAACGTACCCGTCGGATGTGTTGAACGAAATTTTGGGAACAAATAATCTCTTTGCGGTTAACAGAGGCGACGTGCTGGGCACCCTTTTGTGTCAACCCATAAAAGCGAGTCTCTTAAATAGTCTAATATTACCTAACGAGTTATATTCTACTCGTCCCTTAGTTAACTATACTGATAACACTAACACTACAGTTATCGCCCAATACTTGTCTTCGGGAAGAATTCTTCCAGGTATAAATTTTTATAGTACCGAACCACAGGAGTTCGTTACCTTTAAAATGAATAACACTTATTATAGCTATCAAAAGGGAATTCTACAAAACAAAACCACAAACCCAAAGAAAATTCACCCTTACCTAACAACTAAGAAAATAAATCCTTACAATACAAATTATCTTACTTCATTGTCAAAATTCTTCAAGAACGACGTACCGCGTTCTAACGACATAGATTCAATGCTAATGTCCATAAGCCAGAATTCCATATTTACTAAAAGTCTAATTGACTATGCCAATTCTTTTAATGACGAACAGGAAACAACTAGTGCTAATCCTGCACTTCCCCTGAAAATACTAGCTAAACATATTAAAAAAATATTGATATCCTTTCTTAGTGGAATAGGCAATAAATTCCTCGCCATTGTAATACTGATCGGGCTAATTCTGTCTATTATTTTTGCTTACGGCAGGACTGTAACTTTGGCTGGAAGTGGAATCCGAAGTTCTGTCGGGAGAGGAATAAGGGATAGAATCTTTGGGGGGCGTCCCTCTCCTCCCGACAGACGTACAAGCACTCCGAGAGAACAGGAAGGCCCCAGATATCGACGTACCCGCTCCCGTGAACCGAACGGAAATCATTCCAGAGGTACGCATGTCCACCACCAACCGAGAGTCACGCGTACCCCAGTAAGGGATAGATGGGACCGTCTCTGGTCGTCCCGTGGCGGAGCCAGAAGCCGAACCCCCATCGGCCAATCATCCACAGCTCGTCCTATGGCACCGGTGCAAAGAGCTCCCCCAACAAACGAGAGGGCCAATGCTATGCAACACCTCAGAAGCAATGGTGGAAATGTCGAGGTCTTAAATCTCGTGTCGGATAGCGGAAGCGAATAAATAAAAATTTATAGCGCTCGCGGCGATAAACAAAACTTATGACCTGATAAAAGACAATGACAGGTTACATAATCAAGAAATTATAATCAAGAAAATAAATACCTTTTTTTAACATTTTTTTTTTTTTTTGGATCCAAAGGCTCACAAGTTTTTAAGCCTTATTTTTTTTCCCTCAATCATTTTTTTTCAACCAATGATTCCCCAAATGGAGTACTCCAATCATTTTTTTTTGTTTGTTTTCTCCACCAAGTTTTATCTCCAAATAAAGTGCACAAAGTTTTCACAAAAGTTATCTTAATTCTTTCTGCAGTTTATTGAATTTATGAGATTAATAGGAAATATCACGGTACCGATTTCTCAAAATTAATTTTATTGTTGCATTCTTTTATTGGTTTTACAACGCTCGTCTATTTGTTGTATTTTTCAAATTTCATGACAAATTATTGTGTTTTACATCTAAATCTTCCCCCCCCCCTTCCCATTTTTATTGCAAATGGTACAGACAATTAAATGTAGAATGAGTAGTAACAATACTAGTTGCAATCACTGAAACGTAAAGACCTACCTAGTTGCAATCACTGAAACGTAACGACCTACCAAAAAGCCTTATGTTTAATAAGGTTTAACACTGATAACGTAAAGACCTACAATACAGTCATATTGTAAGATTTTTTTTGTTTTTGGGAATCAATAAACCATCTTTTCTTCATTTTTTAAAGTCATTATCGCCTAATTTATCTAATAGTAAATCGTACATTAAACAAGTGCTCACAATTTTGAAAGTCGTGTAGGTGAGAAGAAGGTATAATAATACCATTACTGTTTCACTGAATTGCACAATTCAAATGCCTTTCACAATACAAATGTCTCATCCTTATAATTTGAAAAGACCCCAAGTCAGAATCATAATAAATGGGGCTACAATGAGTTCTTAAGTTGTATGTTTTTAATTCTTGCATGTATAATTAGTGCTCAAATTTCATGTTTTTCTTCTTGTATATAAATCATTTCAAATTGCCATCTTCAAAAGTTACGAGATTTGATTACTGTCATGATAATTTCGATTTCATTCTTATATTTCTACAATTATCGGTTAATTTTTAATATGTGCTTTTAAAATATTTCACTTGTGGTGCCAGGAATGTGTAACAAATTAACCAATAATTTGGATAATGGAAGTCAAATTCTATATAATAATTGACGTAATCGAAATATTGAAGAGATCTTTCTAGTCTTTCTCGTGTATGAGAAAATGGATATTTTTCCATGTCGGGTGACCCATAAACAACCGAAATATTGAAGAGATCTTTCTAGATCATTCGAAATATTGAGTCTAGATCTTTCTCGTGTATGAGAAAATGGATATTTCCCATGTCAGGTAACCTATAAACAAGTGTAATTATTGTAAGAAGGGTACCGAACATTCTAGATATGAGCAAAAATTGCTCCGTGGGAAACGAGATTTTGGATAATAAAGAAAGGTACCGTTTTTGGCGAGCGAGATGAAAAAGATGTTACCGTTTAAATAGACATTTTGATCGTGGTCACCGGGCTTTTCTATTTCAATTCGTTCGATACAGCAACCGGCTTTTCTATTCGTTCGATACAGCAACCGGCTTTTCTTTCGTTCGATTACAGCAACCGGCTTTTCTATTTCAATTTCGATGCAACAATGCTAATTCATCACCGGACTTGGTTTTCACGATTGTGAGTGTGTTTTATTGTAAGTCAATTTATTGTGATATATTATCTGTGGAAATAAAAATCTTTACAGGCAAATGGGTCAGATCCTTACTGTTATATAAAATTAACAGATATCTCAAATTGAACACGTAACCTACTATATATTCTGTTTTTGGAGTCAGATACTTATCTAATTCGCTTAATTAGAAAGCGAAGACGCCAGAAGTTACATTGTATTTGCTGTAGTTTTACCAATATTATTTAGGGTTCTAGGAAAATTCGCCGCAGTAAATAACCCTATAAACCTACCGTAACTGTTTTTATCACAAACACTTGTTTTACAGCAAAATGCTCTTGAGGCGATTTTTTCATGCTATCACAAATACTTGTTTTACAGCTAAATGCTCTTGCGCAAGATTTCCTATGGGGAAATTTCCTGCGGTGAATTTTCCGGACACAATTATTTAGTGCTTATTTATTGAACCATACAAACACAGCAGTGGGAGTTACTCATAACAATAGCTCCATTAAAGATTGAATAACACATACTTTTTATTCATAGTGAGGGAGGAGAGAAGAATTTAACAAAAAAGATTGGGTAGCACTGGTTTAGCCTAATCTTCACACAAATGTGATATAGAATTACCTTCGTCAGTCTCCGCAATAGTTTTCGCATCCATAGTTTTACCTATAGAAACTGATTCTATTTCTCCAACACCCAATTTTTCTTCTAATTTATCAACTTGAACTTCATCTATGATCTGTTTGAAAAAATATTTCTTTTCAATTTCAGGGGGTTGATTAAATATTTCCATAACTAGTATGAGGCTGTAATTTGACACGTAATTAAACTTATCTTATCAGATTTCCGCTCTCTTTGTTGGATGTTGAAAATAATAGTTTAAAAAAATCTAAAAAATAAGTAACATAAAAAAGGAATCGGTTTTTGTAAGACTAACTACTTATTCTTCTATGCGATTGTGCCGGTGAATCCGTATGCATATAATGCAAGGATTCTGTACCAAGAGTGAAGATAACTATCCTAAGTGTACATTGTATCTATTTATGTCTGAGGAAGTCTGACCTCGGTCAGACAAAACCTTACAGAAAGATATTTGTGTTCGTATGCAGCAAGACCCTTGAATCACTAAGGATAAAAAAAGAATTGTTACCAATTCGCGAGCTGCTGTAGCATCATCAGTTGAAATCTCTACTGTTTTTATTACTGTTCCATCCTCACTAAAACGACACAAGAATATTTTATTCATTAAAATATAATAAACATGAGTTACTACAAGATAAAAAACAAAAATTTCGGGCTTGGTGTTTAGATGTTTGATTGTAGGTTAGTACTGCTGGGTTCAAATGCATTGCAAACTGTGTTACTCAGAAGTTAACAACTAGAGTGTAATAACCACGCCAAACCAAGGCATTTATTTTATTTAGGTGTCAGTTTGTGTATAGCAGGGATGTGCAAACTGAGGCCCACAAGAAAAAAATAAGTGACCAGTGGATAAGTGCCAATTTTGAATGGTGTGCACGCAAAACAAGTTTTAAGTTCAGTTGATCTGGTATGTGCGACCAGTTTCGATCTCTTTGTCACTGCCACATATATACTGTGTAATTCAGTCAAACAATCAATTGTAAACAAGAAATCAATGCTCAAATACCAGTATATAAACATAAGGATAGCCATACTGTCAAGGGCACAGTCCAGATTTTTTTACCTTGCCCTTAAGGGGGTTACGCTGGAAGGTAAACAATGCACTGGAGGTGCAATTTGAGGTGCCATAAGTCGTCATCCAGTTAGAAAAAAATAACAGTCGTCACGACAACAACAATTTTACAAAATGATCCATATATACACTTTTTGTCTATTCACCAAATTTCATTCACCTTCGTTTTCTGCGAGATGAAGTTTCTCTTACAACATTAACATATCGAATATTAGCTGGTTCTATTCCAAGAAGAGCAGCCAAGTTATTGATGAGATTATCTTCGAAGAATTCATCAAGAGCAACCGCAGGGAATCCAAAGTTAACAATAACGCTATCCTTCGTTTCAACTGTGACAACTGCATCGCCATCGCCTCCGTCACCTCCAAGAGCTATATGGGTTAATTTGGTATCAAAATCATACACGTTGGCACCGCTTGGAGCTGAAACAACAAAAAGATAATAAACCTACAAAACTAATCTCTTAGCGAACAAACTTTTGCGCCCGTAGTATGTGAACCAAGATGGCGGACACCTGAACATAGTATATGTACAAGGTGAGGGTTAGGCCATCATTTTATTCCAATTTTCCTCATTTTAGTTTCACTATGTGTTCGGGGACTAGACAAGTGACTCCCATAGTATTTGTACCTGAAATTATGGCTTAACCCTAACTTGGTACACATACTACATTCCGGTGTCCGACATCATACTTCCCATACTGCAGGAGTACCCAAACTTTTCATACCACAGATTTGTCATGCCATCACATGGCATACAGGAAGATTTCTTGTTTTCATTATATAAATTGTTATATTTTTCAATCCAATTCTATACAATGAGTCAATACTTTTAATCGTTAAGGTCACACATTGCAGTGTATCGGTTACTAGTATATGCCACTATCATGGCGAATATGTCCAAATGACTCAAATCATCTTAGATTGCAGTTTAAGTAGTCTGTGAACCTGATTTCATTACCTAGGAAGACAAGTATGACGCATCCATCTACTAGTATCTGAAAATTTTCGTTGTATAGTGTTATTGACAAAGAGGATATAAAGGGTAAAACAAACCTGAAAGGGTTGGGATATTTTCATCAGTTGGCTTGGCCAGTCTTACTTTGCCATCAGAAAGTGAATATGCATTTGACGGTGTCACCACTACACCATTTGCATTTGAAACTTCTTGCTTTTGTGGAATGGGGTTCCTGAAACGGGAGAACAAATCATAAATACGTTATAAAATGTATTACTGGTATTTAACGTTAAAATAATACAGTTTTATAGAATAATACCAATTCATTGACAGTTGGTGTGCTATGCCAAGTATTAAGAACACGCCTCTCATCAAACTGCGTATTACCCTACATAGGTTGGCTGGATGGAATAGGATTTTCATATTTATCCTGTGGGAGAGGACAGTCAACAAAACAGCTCAATTACATGAAGTGTCACGGCCTCACATTCAGTTACCAGTCCATGTCAGGTATGTGATTAGTTGGCCAGTTGTTATATGTTTCAGATGCATGGACCTAATGGTGGAAAAAGTCATAACCGAACAACCGAGTAGTCCAGCAATCCTCTCGCACGTAAGTATTCTCACAGCATTCGAGCCTGCAAATTCTAATGCTTAGTACAAAGCGCCATACCACAGAAGGATTTTTATGCAAGATTGCTGAACTCCGTCTTCAAAGGATGGTCATGGCAAAAATGACCTAAACCACCAAAATCATTGCACCTGTAACGTATAACTGATTCATTGACATCATTGTGAATAGGTTTGACAATTCAAATAATAATGAATCATTGTATAAACTGACTTACCAAACAGACAAAACAACTTTGTCTTCAGGTTTTGGATCAAGCAAATGAAAACGCGTTTTCTTTGGGTTTGTACCAGAGAAATAAATAGTTACATTACTTTGATTTGGTACAATAATCCAGAATGTAGAAATTCTTTTCTGGCAAGTATATCCTGCACACCAGCCATGATCTTGTGGGCCTGTTTTAATATAGAAACAAATGAGAAACAACGTGTTTACTCTGCTATCTTCTAAATCAGTGATTTTCAACAGTGACGTACATAGCTAGGGGGGTTCTGTAATTTCTAATTGCAAAGTTAGATCGAAACAGGTAGTGGGTCTTGGAAGTTTTAAAGGGTCTTGTTGGTCTAGACTGGAGAGTGTATCAAATGGGGGTTAAGACCCCCAACACCAGGTAATGTATGCCCTTGGTTTTTAACCATGGTTCTGTGGCACCCTGTGGCAATTGCTTTTAACCATCTTAGAGCGGAAACTGATGAATTATTTGGGAAACTCAATGAGCTTCTACGCTAATGTTTGATTGTAATTTATTGGTTGAACTGTACTACCTATAAATTTATAAAAAAATAAAAAAAATCCAATAAAGGCGAAATAAATTGATATTTTTACCATTCGGAAAATTGAATTAATAGTGAAAAACCAGATTTGTGGAATTCACAGAACCCTGGTTGAATAACCACTGCCTTTGGGTTTCGTAAGTTCCCATTCAAATCCGAGAGTCTGTAATGGTACATGTATATTGTTTAAATGCAATCCAATACATATTAGGTTTGCCACTATTATTAAACTTGCTTCTTGCTTCAGAAGATTGTTTGACCAGTGAAGTCAGAAATGCACAAAGAAATGAGTGAAGTGTTATGGCCCAGCAGGTAAAGCATTAGAATTTGACTGCACTGCCATCGCAGACTACATACCTCTGATCAAAATCTCATGGCCCACTTCACTCAGGGTGTAATAAATTGGGTAGGCAATGTTCTCTTCCGAAATAAAAATATCCCCTTACGTATCATCAGATATCAAAATGCACAGAACACAAAAAAGGATTTTCTTCAAATTAAAATTATATACCATTGGCAAGATTCATGTGATCATTGCACAAGATTCCGACAGGAGACAATCGTCTAAGTTCTGTATCTGGGTCCAAACTTTCCATAACCAATACTTTGTAATCATAAGCCCCTACACCAACACATTTATATGCGTTCCATTCAGGTACCCAAGTACATGCATCGTTTCGAGGAATTCCTTTAAATAAATAAAAAAAATCACAAAATCAAAATAAGAGTCATATACATTTATAGACTACGGTAACTTATTACTGCTGCTACTTTATAGAAATTTATAGACTAAAAATTTTACCTCTCTCCTTGGCTATGTCATCAACAGGTATTTTCTGACCATTTTCATCCGATCTCATGACTTTCGGAACTCTGTAATCTCCAGTACCATATCTTGGATCTTCGCCCCATTGAAATTCAGACTTCAGAATAAATAAAACAATAAAGTTGAGCAAATATCATATTTGGAATCAACAAGATGACCTAATAGCACGATGTACCACAGCTTTTTATTCGTAAGTTTTATTCATACAGCTAATGAAAAGTAGCCGCTGACAAGTAGACCGAATGGTCATTTTGCAGTTATACTTTTCATTCTTGACAAAGGTATAAATATATACAAATATTTTGTGATCTCTCATGCTTTCATTTCATTGTGCTTTTCATGAACGACTAATATAAAACGATTTGATTGATTGATTTCACTGGAGGGAAGATGATACTGATCAAACTACCACCCTGGGCCTACAAGGAGTCTGGCTACGCTCTATCACTAGTACCTTAGTATTTGTGTGGTGTGATGGGAGACGAGGAAAAGGATACTTCATGTCAATTATGGGAATAGTTAACCAGGTATTTGTTTCTGATGCACGAACTTGATAGTGCAGGAAGCAGTAACCCACTTACTGTTTCGTAAACTACCCTATCACAGCAAGGAGTCCAGCAATCCTCTTGTACATATTTATTCCCCCATTAGAATCAAATTTATACTTCATTTGATTTCCAAAATATGTATTTTGTTATAAATTTTTATCAGTATTTTTTTTTAATCTAACAATAGAAAAGTGAACTTGAAATGAACAATAAGTGTCAATCTCACACTTGTTTCTGATATTCAAATAAAAATTTGATTTCAATGTTTCCACAGATAAATAAATTTATGTCATACCTTTGGTATTACGGCACCAACTTCACCGAGAAATGACCCATCAGTATCTTTGACCAAAACTTGCTTTTTCGCGTCACATGGCATGTCGACACAATCAGCTGGATTGACTTTCCTGCAAAAATATAGGAGTAGCTACATGCAGTTTTTGGGGCTCGAGTCATTGACTCGACAGGAGTTGAATGCGAATCACCACTCGTCAAAGATTTAAAGTTACTCAAGTTATTTAAACAAGTTACTCAGACGATATATATTGAATAATTTACGGTAGTAAACAAGATGGCAATGATGCCAAAATATATGTATGCAGCAGTATTGCATCGTTCCCAGTATTGTGGGCAAGAGCAATTCTGGTAACGTCTTCCATCTTGAATTTCTGACTGGAAATTTTATATTGATTGCTTAAATCCTCTCGTACATCTATTACCTATTTCTCTGCAGGATTCGTACCTCCGAGCCCAAAAATATGTGAAATAAAGCTTATTCCTAATGCTTGGCACAATGTGCCATACATCAGCATATGGTGAACGATGTCGCACCAAGGCATGAAGTTTAAGAATAGCTAACCAGTTATTCAGTCAAAATGCATGTATGAAAAGGCTTTCAAATACAAAAAATAATACAGAGAAAATTTCAAATTTCTACAAAAACAACAACTACAACAACATCACATACACTTTGTGTCAAATTGAAAAGTTCTTACGAGAGTGATGCGTCGAGAAAATCCACTTTTGCAGCTTCTGAAACAGCAACCAATTGAGTTTCACTTAGATCTGTTGGATGAATAAAATCCTCGTTTGCACCGGCAGTATGTAAGACAACATCAGTAATTCCACTACACTCTTCTGATTGGTAACTGGCAAATGTGACACCTATAAAATTCCGAAAAAAATGAAAACAGAGCTATTATTTCCGATTATATTTCTCTGATATGAATCATAGCGAAGTTGTTTGATTTCGATGAAAAGTTGGGCAAGGTCAGTTAATTGAGTGGTTTTCAACTGGGGTTTCAGCGGCTACATGGGGCCCGCCAGCACAGCATTGGGTAGTTTATCCAAGATATACCGGTATTAATATATCTAATATCTATATTGGATTAATATAATCAAACGCCATTATTGTTAAACTTGCTACATTTTTAAAATGGGTTTACCGTACTTCATAATAATAAGTTTACTTTTATACATATTTATAATTTATACAATTCAGACAAAGTAAGACAATTTCTGGAGCATCTGGAATTTTTCATTGGGCTTCCACCCCACCTAAAAGGTTGTCGACCACTTTTACTTTGAGTGAGTTTTTATCAAAAATTTTTCCTTCATATTTTTATATTTGCTAATCAATTTTATATCGTCTCAATTTTACATCGTCTCAGTTTTACATCGAGCTCATCTAGTTAAGGTATGTTTAACAAAAGAAAATACCTTCCACAGTTAGCTTTCCACGAATGGATGGGTAGTTTTTATTCATCAGTAAACTTTTAAATGTTGCTCCGTTTTGACCACTCGCAAACATTGGCAATAGAACAGCGATTCGTCCACCGTGACTATTTGACGGAGCTTTTTTATTTGCTCTACGTAGCATAAAAAAAATGTATGAAGATTTTAACAAAATTTCATCACAAAAAACTTAATAATAATAGAACTAATCACCATAAATAGTAGATCCTTATATATTGTTTCATATTAATGCCTGTTTGTACAGCAAGGCTGTTTGGAGAAAACTGTGCAAGTAGGCGTTATATATGTCAATATTAATAACTAACCTAAATTCAAATTTTTTTATTTTTCCCATTTTTAATATGGAAAATTGTCAAACATTGGTCAAAGAAACACATATAAAATAATAACAAAGTTGTAATGAGCAACTGAAGATTTAATAAAATAGTACATGATTGACGAATGATCGATTTTTCAGGGAAAAAAGGTATTCAAGATTCGCCTTTTGTTCTTAAAATATGGTTCGTATCGAGTTACATATGAAGTAATTGGGACTGAAGTTTTTGAGTTTTCTGTTGTTAAACCAGAGTGAAATGATGCTTACTAACTATCGGAGGCAAAATATCTCACCCAGCAACTCTGCGGGCTGTTAAGCTATCATCTGTATTTTCATCCAAGTCATCAGCATCACATGAAGTTCGTCCAACAAATACAGAATCTGCAACTTTTGCGTATTTGTCTTCAAATTGATGAGTCAGCGAAGGTGGTCCAAAAACAATAGGCGCATATCCAACCTACATGAATTATAGAAATATAATTTTAAAATCACCAAGTATATATATGAGATGTTAAAAAATTAACGCAAAATTAACATAGGTTAAGATGAAATTCTACTCAAAACATTTACTGACTGACACCTTTTAAGAGTATTACGGTGAAATGCGCCGAACGTATCCAAATGGAATTTTTCGAGATGCAATGCTATGAGGAAATAAATCTATATTCTATTCGAAAGACGTGTATCACTGCTTGATTTTTATTATAAAAAGGATCGTTTGGTTTCCAACTTTTTAAAAATATGTGCCAATGACTTGCAACCCCTAACTTTGGCCCGTGAGTGAAAAAAGGTTGCAGACCCCTGGTGTATGCCATAATATAGGTAATCAAAATCATACTTGAGCATCAAGAACTTTGCAGTTGACGATCTCAGCACTTGAAGAGACTTGATGATAAATTCCATAATCCCAAGCTTTGTAAATAGTGAAATCATTCAAAAGAGTACATGATGAGGATGCCGCAATTTGATATACTCCAATCAAGGTGGCGTGTGCAACATTCCCTGTACAAAAACAACGAATTTGAAGGATGTAAGACATTTTAGGTATAAAGGTGATTTTTTCTTCTACTGGGAAGCTTGCAAAAGTAGAACTATACCAACATGTCAAATATAGAATAATAGACAGCATGTATAAAACTTCATATCTTTTGCGCAGAATATTTTCAAATATCTAGAAATAACTGACTACAATACGAACATTACATACCTGACCATGGCGAGACTGGATTATTCTGGCATGGTTGTCCTGCAACCTGAAACGCAGCTCTCTCAGCTCCAGCAACAGTGTTGTTGTTAAACTGTGCATTTTGAGACTTGTCTAAGGTGAAGGCACCATGATATTCCTACAAAGGAGTCATATATGAATTCAACACAAAATGCGATTAACTGAACATTTGGGTGGTGTATGCTGAATTGGGATCTAAGTGACAGTATTTTGAATCGAAAAACTTATTTGAATTAACAGCAATTCAAATTGATTCGAAGCAATTTCAAAGAAAATGGATTAATTTCATTTAAAAAAATATTGCAGAACACAACGGAGCTGTCGCAACATTGATTAAAACCCTCTCTTTGTTGTTTTTCCCTGTGTTTACAGATTTTCCAATTCATAGCCGGGGTATATTGAAATTTAAAAAAAAAACAGTCACCATATGTCCGGTATTGTTTGAAAAAGCAAATTTTACGTAATAAAAAATAAATATGTAATGTAATGTTGATATGATATACCAAATATAATCAGATTCACAAATATTCGATTGAAATGCGATTTGGAAATTGAATATTGAAAACTTACATCCCTAATGCTGAATATCGCTAATTGTTTGAAAAAAGAATAAGATTTTTAAAAATGTGGCTCAAGTCTTAAGAAAAAACATGACACCTAAACATACCCAGCTTTTCACAAATCTGTCTCGATAGGTAAATGGAAATTCATCCAATATGGCGACATTATCCTTGATATCATTCGATATTCCTTCATCGACAAGAGCTTAAAAAAGAAATTAGCATGACATGAAAATTTATTATTTATTCAATTATATTGCACTTCACTATCATTCAGCAATACGCAAGGTGAATTCAATACTTTCTTCTATAATATAACAACAGTGGTGGCAGACCAGTTCAAAGGATTGATTGCAAAAATAACACAAGATTCAATGATGTGTTAAAAAGTAACTAGAGCAGACTAACGCCATAGTATTAGTTAATGTTAGAAGTAAAAATGATTAAATATGTTCACATTTGCCATGTGGATGGCACATTGAGCTGTCATATTATAGACAGTAGGGTTGATTAATCGAGCATCTACACAAGACAGGTACTGCCAATCAAGTGCGGTGGGTTCTGCAGGGGTGAGTCCCGTTGATGCTGTATAAAGCAATGGTTTTCAAAGTGTTCCAGACGGAGCCCCAGGGCTTCATGAGAAAAAAACAATGAGCTGCGCGAGCTATTAGTTCACCTATTAAATATTCTGACTTGGCTAATTCTGTAACTGTCCATAAAAGCAATAACAGTGTTAATAAAATTTGACAAGCAGCAAATACATCCGAGGCATTGAATAAAGTAATTTTAATTTACTCAGAAACATTAATTGACAATGAAACAATGTGTTTTTATATTTATAAATTTATTGTAATAGTAAACTCCTCACAGGCTCCATAACTCCAAAAGTTTGAGAACCCCTGGTATAATGTGTATGACCTGAATGAAAAATGGTGATGAAAATAATTGAATACACTATTGCCTATGAGAGAGTCAATTGAATCAATAAATAGGTAAATATAAATTATTCGATTCAAGGGTTCTGAGACGTTTCGGAGCAGACGATTCGTCCCATGCAGGAATGACTACAGAATTACGCTTATCAACAATGTGTGGGGACCAATCGCCGCGACTATATATTCCTTGGAAATTACATTATTTACAGCAGCCCAGATAAACGTATCTTCGCACTCGACAAATAAAGTGAAAAAAAAATAAATGTTTACCTCCTCCAACCGTGTGGAAAAACACATTCTCATACACCTTTGTGGCACTTGTAGAGTAGAGTCCTACACCAATCGAGAACCCATCTTGGAAAGAACATTTCTCTACTTTACCACCAGGTCCGGCAGACTTGTAAGCCAACTGAATTCGTGGATCGAAAGAATCAGAATGTCCCAACTGACCAGCATTTTTAAATTGCACAGATGTGAAACTTGATATTGCTACAAAAATTGTGAACCAATTGATTATAAAAAAGCATTGCAATCTAAATTAATAAGCTTACAATAACAAAATTGCAAACTATTTAGTGTTGATATTCTAGCATGTTTACTGAGTGACTCAATCACCTCATGATGGCCTGATTACAGCCTTGTCACATTGCCTTAATACCAATTTTGGAACATGGTTATTATGCGTTTAAACTATTTGAAATTCTCGACAGAATAAAATACTATGGTACTACTACCAGAGATTTTGTCACTTTTCTAATTGTAATTCACAAAATGTATCAGCTAAATGGAATAATAATTGTTCTTCTCTGTCCACTAATAACTGTACATTTTGTAGGTAATAATGTAGACTTGATGTTAAACAGTCAGATAGACATACAAATATAAAATATAAACTCAACACAATATGTACCTTCAAATTCTCCAGCAGTCCCTACAAGAGTTCTTACTCCAAATCCGTCATCAAGTATATCATCATCGATTTCACCTGTATGAGAGAGAATTTGAATCGGAAAACAAAAAAAGAAAATTCTAAAAAGAGAGAATAAAATAAAATGAGTTTAAAAAAGAAAAAGGGTGGAATAAAAAGAGAGTTACATACCTTGTATTGTTATTTTACGTGAAAGAAGCACAATTTCTGCCAACATTTCAACTTCCCATGTCCTTGAAGAATCTGTTTTCGATGCATGGCTGAAGGTGGCGGCTTTATGGTCATGCTCAAGGGGTGCTGCCAAAACTAGAGTCATTCCATCATCAGATACAGATGAAACAACAGCTTTTTCAGAATTCCATGGACTGGAAATATATTTTGAAAAGCTTCAGGAATGAAGTCTCCTAATTAGCTCTAACTTTATTTTTTAGTATCTCACAATTTATCTGCTTTTCTCGATTGGCACAAGATCTTATAGAATTAGAAAACAAAATATAAATATCAATAACTTAAGAAAAGGATTAACTCGTTTTTTTTCAAAACCATTGCTGTGAAATAAAAGTTTCTCCATATCTCAAGTCAAAACATAATAAAAAATAAATGCTTAATTTCAACTCCGAATCTACAACATACCATACATGTCACACAATGCCTAGGAGGCAAAGATTTTGCAATTGTAGGATAGAACCTCAGGGGACAGGAAAGCCGAAAATGTGGCTTGAGTATTTGTCGAACCACAGTCTATCGTCCGGTTACAAGACGGTTACGATTGGGTATAGGAATAGTCAACCAGATATTTGTTTCAGATGCATAGATTTAATGGTGGAGGAAGCTTTATTTTACCAGCGGTTATGTGCACTGCCTCACGATGGGGAGGACATGCAAACCAACACAATGGCATTTGTATTCCTAACGTTTCCGCCAACGTCTAATATTTCAACACAAAATTCAAACAGTATACTCACTTGAATCCTGTAGGAGCAAGAGCGATTACATTTCCAGCGACCCATGGTACAGGTTCTAAGAGCGGTAAGGTTGTTGAACCTTTTAGTACGGTTTCTCGAAGCTTCGTTTTTACAACACCTGGGTCAAGACCATGTATCTCACATCTTCCAAGGCAGGCTAAGACTTTTGCTCCAAGAGCTAAAGAACCTAGAAATGTGTTTTATCATAAGACCATATTGTTTCATCCTGCCTAAAATTATTTTAATTTTTATAAATAAATTAATATCAAAATTTTTAATTTATCATTAGTGCTGGAAATTTTTGATACCTGATGATTTCTGAACCTGATGGACTATTTTTTTTTTCTAATTGGAACTTGAATACTTGGAAGGTATTCAAATTACTGAAAGAATATAATCCATCACTCAGACAGTTCGCTGAGTTGTTACTCACAATAAGAAACACTAGGAAGAAAAGTGAATAGCATTTTGAAAATATGGCTTGACAAAAAAGTTTGAAGGCTCCACTACAAAGCATATGACGCGAATAGAAAATTTTCGTATGAATAAATTCGGATAGATTACTATTCAATTCGAAAAGCACAGCCTTGCTGTTTTAAAATTATCAAGCTTCTGCTAGAACTATTACAAAAACTCACCAGTTGCATCCAACTCTTCACTTGTAGTGTTTCCACGAAGTGTAAAATCCACTACACCAGGATGTGGATCAGTGTCATCCCAACCAACGTACAATGAGCCCTAGAATTTAGAATATTGAAAATAAAACATAACTTGATACAGAATTGGTTGCCTTGAAAAATACACGAATATTTCAACATGATGATAAGATCATTCTACAGCCTGAGTTTCGTAAATTACAAACAGAAAAGATAAGTTTTATTCAACTGACAAACGTTAGCATTTCAGTTTTTAAAACAGCTATTGATTCTTTTCAATTGGGTCGTGTTCAAGTTTGTATTTTCAAGCCACAGACAGGTACCGTGGTAAAAAAGTAGGCCAACATATAAATTTGGATCAATATGCAACATGATGGTGGCAATATGTTCGATCGTGGCAAATTGTGCGAAGTGTTAGGAATACACTTGCCGTCGCATCTCTTGATTACCTTGTAGGCTTGCAATTAAATATGCAAATGCAATTAATAATGTGCGAATAGATTGCTTGACTCTTCACCAATGTGGGGCGATTTACTTAACAGCTTAGTCAGTTGCAGCTTTCTCCTTAAGTCCATACATTTAAAAAAATAACTGGCTATCTAATCCCATACCCGACACGGACTGGTAACCCAACAGGAAGCTATGCTACGCCATATGATCAACCCGCCTGATAGGCTTTCCCTCTGTGGTGTGAATATGAGAACCTGTCCTATACTCTTCACTGCAGAGTTGCATTATTCCTCTTTTTGATATTGAGTTTACATACCTGTACAATGATGTGTGTAGCAGATAGTGCCATTACCGGAACTGCAGGATCTAAACTCACTGTTCCGCGTATAAAAACTTTATTAAGCCTTGCCTGTGGCACAGCCCACACAACCCAACAATCCTCTGGAATTGTGGCATTGGGGCTGTCTTCAGCTGAATCTCCCTGAAATCAGGTGAAAAGTTATTTTCAAAAGATTCCATGGCATATCAGGATTTAGGGCTTACAATGTGGATGCAGGCATGAGGCGAAAAAAATTAATTTCATCAATATACGCCTACCCTAATAAATCCTGATTTTGTTTACCTGTTAAGGCTGAGAGGTAAAATTTATGGCTCAAACGTGGAATCTTGCTATTTGTCATTCTATCCCTACTTTTGTTAATGCTGTATTTTACTGTAGTTAAGTTAAATTGCATTATTTCGAAATATTTTTAAACTTTTGAAATCTACTTTTTGCTTCGAATAAATATGATTAGATATAGCAGAAAAAAATATTGAAAAATAACTCTTGCCTCAAATACAAAACAATCACTGTGTGTGGTAAGATCTGAAACAGTTGTGTAATTGGCTGGAAGTTCTCGAGCTCGAGGCAAACCAGATGTGCTGAGTGGCTGAATGCAGTCTTTGTAAAAACACCTAAATTGTGGATGGTTTTTCTCAACACAAATTCCAATTAAACAGACTAAACTATAGCTGATTATCGTACATTAGTATTTCAACTAAACCCAAAAAAATATATATAATGACATTCCTAATTAATATATATTCATATACATACATATTGACAAATAGTTGTCAAAACACTGAAAATAATATTTGTAAAATAAAATTTGGTAGTTATCGGATCAATAAATATTACTATAAATAAATAAAACATAAAAACAACAGACTCTTGTAAGCCTCTTTATAGGCATACTCATGTCTCTTACTCCAAACAAGGCTCAGGATAAGATACCGCTGATATCTAACAATTCAAGAGTTTGCTGCACACTAACACAAATGTATTTCTGTAACGTTACAGAAATATATTTGTGTTAGTATTGCAGCAAGACTCTTGAATTGAATAGAATAGTCATTTTCACTCTTGCTACAGCATCCTTGCGTTATACTCATACGAATCATAAAGCAAGGAAAGGTAGTTGGTTTCACGTAACACACCCTGTTAGTTACGATATCTAACAATATGTGATGAGATACTTATTATTTGTAAGGACCAGTTTTTCCAGTCCAGCATTTCCTACCCGATTTATTACCCCCTGAGTAAGGTGAGTCGCATGGGTCCAAACCCAAGATGTGTAATCTTTAAAACTTTAATCGCTAGGTCATCTTGCTTTAACATTACCTGTAATATTTGGGTGCGACCGAGTATGTCTCCCAGTCAGATGGAGTTGTAGATTCCTCGTCTTCATTCTTGACCATGTATTCTACCATCTTATCTTCCGCACTGTAATACCATGCCAGATGTGAACTGGCTGCCGTTAATTTTTCCATTTCCTCCATGGTCCTATCGTCATTATCATGCATTGTAATTCTAATTCAAAACAAATAAAAGTATGGTCACATAACAGATAAACAAAGAAAAAAATAGGTATTAGGGTTAAAAAATTTTCTTTTATTCAATTGCTCAATGGTCGGCACATTATACAAAGCACTAACTCGCTAAGAATGAAAAAAGTCATATGTCAGAATTGCATTTTGAAAATATGGTTTCAATAAAAAATTGATGTATTAACTTCGACTACTAGTGAACAAAAAAACAAGATGACTGCGATTCCAAATTTTCTTCTGAAACGATTAGAATAATTGACTGTTTGTTTTCGATTCAAATATTTGATGTGGAATGCCCATCCTTGATTATAATGATTACATCCTTGATTATTGCGGCTTCCTCCACTACCAAGTCCATTCCGAAAACAAATAACAAACTAATCCCATACCCGACATGAAATGGTCACAAGACAAGAGTCCGTGGTTTTCCATATGGTTAAGTCGTATTGGCCTCTCCCATGGGATAAATATGTAAATCCTATCCTATAACATAAATTAATGAATGAACAAAAATAAAACTAACTTGTCAGGCTTTTGATTGACTGGATGTTTCATGATCAGGTAGTCACCATGATTGAAATCATATATTCCTGCATTATAAGTCAAGTTGGAGATGTGCTCGCCATATTCAAACCAGCATTTATAAGTTTCACGGCTACGAAGTAAGAGCATCCATCCTAAAGATACAATGAAGAATTCAAAGCGCTTCAATATCATAAATCAAAAATTTTAAACTGATTTTTTTTTCTCAATTTGAGGTTGTTTTCTATAATATATAGCAATATGACAGTTAAAGATTTAATGAATTTTCAAGTTTTTATCAACCACAATAATATTTCATATAACGTATTTTACAGACCGTAAGACACTCTTTAAATTCTTTTTATTTCAACTATTGATCGTGCACCTTATAAGCCTAGTGCGTCTTATGTATGGATCAAGTAGTGCTTTATGCTTTATTCGCCCACACTCAAAACCAGTACCAGTACAATTTGCGTCTTATAGCCCGGTACATCTCATGGTCCGTGAAATACAGTATTCAGCAGGCCAGCATCATTCAAAAATTTTTTTGCCATTGATTCAAAAAGGATGACAAATCCTTTCAATGAAAGTATACACCCAAGTGACCCAAACATGCCCTCACTAATAAAGTTTTACTTCTCATTATACAATGATTGATTTGGTACATACTATGTGTTTAAGGTTTTTGAAGTAGGTTTCAAATATGAATTAAGTTGAAGAAATTGAATACATTGGGCAGTTACGTACAGAGTCTAATTTTCACATCATAAAGTTTTAAATCACATCAAGTCTTACCAAATTTATGTGTGAGTCTTTTTTTTTGATATGTGGAAAATGTCGTGCCATACTGGTTTTCACAAATAAAATCTTGGTATTCCAGAGAAGATGGGGCAACGTTATTCATTGCAAAACGATGAAAGTCAACGGTCCAATCGCAAAGTCCTGTTGAAATTGCATCAGTTGCACCATACAAAGGGTTTGTAGATTCCTGCAAGAAAAATCCCAAATAAAATGAATTTTTGTAGTTTTGCAAGTCACAAATAAACGATTAATACATTGTGGTAAGATTTTATCTCAAAACAAAATAAAAAAAGTTGATTGTGAAAGTACTGAAAAATTTCACAGACACATGTATTGTAATATATTGTGAGGAAAAGATAGTCCAATGCCAAATACTGTAACTTCCAACTTATATAAGAATGAATATACTAATGAATAAAAATTGTCTTTCGAATTCTAAAATGCTACCTCACATATTCCAGTTGCAGTACTTCCAGCAATATGGGAACCCCATGGTACCAGTTTTTTGGGAACTCCTAATCCTGTGAATGTACCATCAACGTCATTGTAAACAACCTCATGCACCCAACTCCACGTAGTGCGTACTGGTGAATTCGTGAATGTGAGTTCTGTAATTTAGAGAGGTTTTACTAATAAAGAAAAAACATTTAATTTGTTTTACTCAGGGAGGGCTAGGTGCCCCGGACAGCATGTTTGAGTATTTATCCTATCCCAATATCCCGGTTGAAAGTAAATCCATTCAGACAATCCAAAGCCACACATCACAGCCCAGCCAGCCATGTCATTTAGTGTGGACCTAGTCAACACTAAAAGTTTTCTCCATCAATCATGAAATCCTAGTTCGACAGTTTATGTTTAAAAGGGGGCTCAATTGGGTCAAAATACATATTGTTATTTACTCTTGTAGCTGCATTAATTTTTTTGCTCTAAGGCTAAGTGATACCCTCATTCTCCTAGGTTGCATTTCTTGCGGCGATCTGGTCATCGCTAATGTATTCCGTTGCTGCATTATATTGTGACTGATACTCCTGTATTACAGCTGCTTGATTTAATTCATTGTGTACATAAAAAAACTAAATCCAGCTAGATGTCTGAAGTCGGTTATATGGCCCACCGACAAAAATGATCCTTGTTAATTGCTAAAATCAATGACAATAACAAATATGAACTCACTTTCAAGGAAAACATTAAATCCGCCACAGAATTTTGTACAGGTGCCAGAGATGACCGTTATTGCAAAAGTTGGTCCCCTCCAATTGATGAAGTTGACACCATATATGTATATACCTTGGGACATGGGCACTTTCTGTTTAAAATAATACATAAATGTGAATAATTGATGACATTTTCTATAAGCGGGGAGAGCCATAAGGGGTTGAAATATGTCAAGTTTAAGTCAAGCCCAATCATGAGTAATCTGAGTCCAGAGTCGAGTCTGAAGTCTGGCAGTTGGTTAAGTACAATTTTGAGCTATTCAAGTTAGATGACTGGGGTCACTTGGAGTCAAATTTAGTCGAATCAATAACTTGAGCTCCTCCAAGCCTGTTTCTGGGAATGTTGAGCTTTCAAATGCATAACAAATATCTCTACAATCTGTGTTTATCAGCAATGAGACCAATATATATGAAACAACTTGCATGTAAATGGCCTATCATAACATTATTTTATAATTGCCACTACATCAATCCTATAATCCATTAACTGGATAACCAATACCAGTTTTATGAAAACATAACTTTTATATTGTAAATGCAATTCTACGCTTATTATTTTGAATGATTTTTTGAGCTTATTTACAAAAGTTTTTATGAAAAACAATAACTCAAGTATTTGATAAGAAGATATTTTTTATAGTCAATGTCATTCTATCTGTCTATTTTTTTTGACTCATTGACTTAATTTTTGGCTTAATGCAAATAGCATTGGAAACATGTTCGATCTCTTTTGTTTAAGCAATTACTCTGCCGACATTTAGAAGGTTCTGAGCAAATGATTCGGTGTGAAGATGTCTGGATTCCTCAATGCCTATCTATGCTCCAAGCCCTAATATACCGTATAAATGATAAACATAATTTGCTTACTATTTAAGCTGTCTAACCAGCTTTTTCTATCAAGTATACATGGTGTTAAAAAAGTAACACAAAATTAACAGAAGTTAAAATGAAATGCTACTAAAACATTAAACGACTGGCACCTTTTAACAGTATTGAATTACGATGAAATGCCATTCAAACATTTCACAACTGACGTTTTTTAACAGTTACTTTTTTGACGCTGCCATGACGAAAAATGTTACTATAATTTTGCGTAGCTCTTTTAACACCCTGTATATTAAAAAGATCTCTATTGCAACTTACAATTGCAGTTGGTGTAGATGTCATTCCGAGGCTTGCTGCCCAATCAGACTCTCCAACTAGCCAGGAATCACTGACCCTTGCTCCACGAAATGGATCATAATTAACATTTCTGCCAGTAATTTTCTTTATATCCATAGCGGAATCTTCGTTGGTAGACAACATGAAGTTTTGAAATTGTATAGCTCCACCAATAACCCACTCAGCACCCTTTTCACAATGCCAGGCTTTGAGCGAATCAAACTTTGCAGCGATCGGAAGTGAACTGCTGCAACTGTGGTAAAAAAAGAGTAAGAATGAGAATCAAGAGTGAAATTCAAAATACTATGACCAGGATAGGTTTTCATATTTATCCAGAGAACATCATAGGTGTAAAGAATGAGTATGATTGACTACATTAGAAGATGTTGATTCTAAAACATAAAACCACTCTACATGTGGACCATGTTCTACCGCACGCTCGCCACCGCATCTCTGATTACCCACCTTTTGATCACAGGTTCGAATCTCGAGTGGGGATAATTATGTGCGAGAGGATTGCTGAATTCCACCCCGCTATAGAGAGGTTCACAAAGCTGCTGGTCGGATATGGCTCCCTCCACCATCAAGTCCATGCATCTGAAACAAACGGCTAACTAATCCCATACCCGACATGGACCGGTACGATAAACGGACAAGACGCCATGGTTTGTCATATGATTAAGCTGTGTTATCGACTTTCCTCTCCCCCGAGATAAACATGTAGAAATCCTAATATAGTGATTGCTTGCTTAGAGCATTGTTTAGAGAAAAAACACCCGATTGATTCATACCTATCGCCTTCCATAGGTTCATAAATCTTGAAAATCCACAATCCGAACCATCCCATTGAATGAGCGGTGTTGTTTTGGAATACTCCAAGTGGGACATGTTGTTGACAAACAAGTTCAGTGAAGGATGGACCGTCAGGGTGCGCATGCATACGATACCAGAAACCAAAATGAGTTCCACCAGCTGCGTGATTGTGTCTAACAATGTTGTTTGGATTGGTAATCCAAAAAGCCGCTGAAATGAAATAAACATGCAATAATCGTAACAGAATATATTTACTTCAATACTGAAACTGTCGAACAGAGAAAAAAATAATGCAATATTCTTGCATCGACTTATTGTGTGGTAACATGTAAAAACCACCATTTCCAATACTAAAAACTTATCGCCAAGTCGAATCATTAGTATTTATTTGGAAAAAATCCAATCTAACCTGGTGTAACGTCATCATTGAGCAGCGACGAACTTGCTCTGGTAAAAACCGCCAGATTATATTGTATTATATTGTTGGTTTCAATTCCATCTTCAACGAAATAGTTTCCTCCCATTACATTATATGCCACATTTTGTTCAACAAGTAGATTGTGTGTCCCTTGATTAATACAAAACTAATGTATTGTCATGTAGTCAAGTTTGAATCCCATTCTCAACACAAAACACAGCGCATGTAATTGGATTGGTTATTTCAATTCCAACTTATTTAAGATGTCAATGAGAGATGGTCATTCAATAAAAATACTGATAAACCAAAAGTGTGACGGTATTGTGCGTAATAAGTGATGTCATTGTACTGTGTGAGGAGGCATGACCAGTGGTGCGATTCAAGACTTTAATAACAGGTTCTCTTTTGTATAGAACTCACTAACAATGAATTCCCACATTATTTTTTCCCACATAATATTTTCTTCTTGGTAAAAATAACCTACCGTGGATGGTTACTGCGCGATTGAAGGATTGGTGAATTGCACACCCGCGCACATAAGCCTCCGACATGTTCCCCATCAAATGCCAGTGAATTGGATATCTAAACAAATAAATAAAAAGGTGCCAGGTCACTGCCAGCATCATGTTCATCCAGCCAGCCCAAACAGTCATGTCTCAGGAATAAATAATACTGTGAATGGCATAGTGAGAAACAAAAGTTTTAACAAATATCTCTATCTTCAGCTTACCAATTTTTGAATAATAATATTAAGACTTTCAAATGGTCATTTACTGTCTTTTTCCAGGGTCTAAAAATTTGATTGTACCCCTTGTGACATACTTCTCTCACTTTTCACATTGTTTTTGAGTTAAGGGAGATATGTTATCGTGGAACAAATGGTCAAGGTAAACATGTGAAAGTGGAATTCATGCTATGTTTTGGGTTAAAATAGATATACCGTAATACTTTGGCAGAAGGATAGATTATTCATATAATTGGGACAAGTGTGGGGCAAGTGAGACAAATGTGAGACAAGTGGGACACAACATTTTTGAGAAACCCCCTATTCTTGATAATGTTGATATTATATTTTGTCTCAAATTTAAATAACGCGTACTTACAGATGCATTACCTACACTGAATTTCAAATATATTCAAATTGAAAATTGGTATAAAATGGTAAAAAACAAAATTTAATACCTGCCAAGTCTGAACGCCTGTCCAACATAATTCAATTCTACATATTCAAGACGAGCTAGTGCGAGGGGTTGATGGGGATCGGTTGCAGGTTGTTTCGAATGTATCATGATGGATGCACCAAATTCATCCGATCCCATCTCTTCACCAAATCGGCCCTAAACAAACGATTTATCTTTTTTTCAAATTCATTATTCATTCAAAAGATGATGTTCTATTTAGAATTATTTAATTAGTTTGTGAGCATTTGGAATCATAAACACATTGCGTGCCTATTTGACCTCTGAAGAAATTCAGGTTGGAGATCTTCCCACTAATTACATTTGGACCTCCCGAAGTATGGCGCACAGCCTGAACAAAGTATGTGTACCAGGTCAGGGTTCAGGTTATGCGACATCTTGGTGCACATACGTCAGGAGCACCTTACATCTAAAGGTACGGGGAACAGGTACTCACAGGTCTCCTATACTTATATGCCAGCGTTTACCAACCAGGGGGGAACGTTTATTATTATTTTTTTTTAAGGTGGGGGGGGGGGTAAATTTTATTTAGCTCATTAATATTGAAATATGTATTTATGTTTATTTATTATACAGAGTTTTGCATATAACTAGCTAATGATCCAATGAATATTGAACAAATAATGAAATAATGATTTAGGACATAGTGAGAAACGAATGAAAAGTTTTCAATATAAGCAAAGGAGGAAATGTATCAGAAAAGGTTGGAAACCAATGTTCTTTGCAGTTCAACCTACTTGGAAACAGGTTTGAGTTGCAAACATTCCAGTATTGAAACCATCTGGACATGCTTCAATTACATCATGCCAGGACTTGTCACTCGATCCTTGGAATTTAATGTTTCTTGTCAACAAACCGACTTCAGCTATGAAAACAAAATTATTGAGGTTATTATTGAAGCATTGGTATGAGAGAAAGTAGAAGTCATTTCATAACAAGATATATGGACATGAAAGCCAAAACAAAGTAGTATTAAATCTTTTATAGTACCAGTTTGTTAAATACGACCGCGAAATCGCCATACATATAAAATTTTTAATTTTGATGTCATCACACAAATTTCGAAGTGAAAAACGAATCCCATAGAGCCAACACACATTTTTGAAATAAATAAAAAAAAAAACTTCTAGTGACAACAACAATCTTTAATCACTAAAAATTTCAAAACAATTGGTCCAGTAGTTTAATTAGGAAAAAACTAAAAAAAATGACCAATACGTCCATTCCGTGTCCAATAAATGTGAAACCACGGGAATTACCTCTGTATTGGAACGTTACTGGTCCTTTTGGTGTTTCATAAGTTTCTTCAATTCCCAAATGCCGATGAGCAAGTGGTTGTGCCAATGTTAAAGTCATTCCTGAAAAACATACAAGTTGGACGTTGAGAAATAAATAGAAAGAAAACAGATTGCCTGTAAATAAATATGATTATGGCTGCACACTAACACAAGTTTCTTAAACGGCACTTACTCGCACATTTCGCTAAGTACGAGCAGCCACTGACGTGTCAAGTTATGCATAGAGCTACTGTTATTTGAAACATGAATTTTCTGGTCTTTCTCTGCCTACCCAATTTATTACTCCCTGGGTATGATGGGGAACTTGGGGCTCGAACCCAGTAATATGAGATGCCATGGGAATAGCTACCCAGTTATTGGTTCCAGACGCATGGACTTAGAATTATTCACATTGTTGCCGTAATTAACTAATTCAATAAATAGATTTAATAGCCAATAGTTTTTTCCAAAAAAGCAAAATTTTATTTTCCATTCATTATTGTTACCGTCAGTTGACACTGCTGCAATCTCTGCCTCTTCATTTTCACTTTGGCTGTGACGGAATCCGGTCGATGCAACCACGACAGTACTCCCAACTGCCCACGCAACTGGAGTTTGTAATTGAAGCTAAAGAGAATTTTTTTTAATTCGGTAACACGGGCGGGGAGTGTCCTATGAATGACAATCTGGGATGGCCAAAACCGAATATTTGACTATTCCGAATACATTCTGAAAAAATATTTATGACTATGGAATATCGAATACATTCCAAATTTGAGGCAGCAAGTTCATGTGCGAAATTACGTAAATCATAATATTTTCATGTTGATCATTTCTGGAAACGACATATAATATAAAGGCCATTGTTTTCTCAGTGTTGTTGTTACCAGTTAAGATATCGTACGTCCGATCTGCTTGTCTGATGGTTCGAAATCTCTAATTTTCAAGAAAAAATTATTCTAAATTAATCCGAAATTCAAAAATTTTCTATATTTAATATAATAAAACCCAAATGTACTCGAATATTGATTTTTTGAACATCCCTTGACTGATAATAGTAAAACATAATACCTGTGTAGCCCCACTTTCGACTGTTTGAGCGAGTAGAACCCATGTATTGTCTATGCGTTTTCCGTGCATATCCAAAACCCCTTCTCTGACTCCTAATGTCTTAGCACCGTAGATTGGTAACTCTTGAGAGCGTAAATGCCCGTGCATTGTGATTAGTGCGTTTGATTGGTAAGGCTCCTCTTCAGTACCAATCTTTGGTAGAAAATCGAGTGTAAGAGTAAAGAGTTACAAATAAAACAATAGGAAAATGATAAAGGTTGTTTGACATTATATTGCCTACTTCATCTAGCTTGATTTACAATTGACAACAGCGCGAGGTATTTACCAAGCATTATTCTGTATAGTCAGTAGCTGTTATCACTTGCATGATGAACTGTAACTTTATTTATGTGAGTGCGTGAAACCTTGCTTTGAGTGAATTTTCTTGGGAAGAATTGCATGTTATCGCAGAAATTTGAACTGGCGATCAAAAAAAAATTCAAACCTGCTGTCTATTGGGCACTCATATACCCTCTTAAAAGTTTGTCATTCGAATGGCGTTTAGGACAATGTGAATCAGTTCATTTTAGAGGGGGTGTTTCCAAATTTATATGTGGTAGATATTTTGCTATTAGTGATAAAATTATTTGTAATTTATAAAGATTTGTTATCTTTTTGACCGATCATCTGCATCAGCATATAATCCACTTTTTGGATATTTAAAAACAATTTTATTCAAGTTAGGAGTTAAAGTGCTGTGTCACGCCTCCAATTTAGAGGGATGTGCACTCCCCCTACAATTTCAAACACCTCCTAATTTTAGACGTGACACCACATCTTTATATCTATCTTGAATGTAATTGAATTTGAATATCCAGAAAGTGGCGGAAATACCAGTGCCGATGATCAGTCAAATTTATAAAACCATTTTCATAATTTACAAATAGTTTTATCGCTGATAACAAAATATTTACCAGCCTCTAAAATTGGAAACACCGTTGAGGAGAATATTGTATGTTATTCTTCACTATACATAAGTATTCAAATACAATTTATTATACTAAGCCCATAAAAATATATTTAAAATTTTTACCTGTAATTTTCCACCGCCAACGATTAAAATATTTTCAGCTTGTAGATGAGTTTCGTCTGTTCTTCCGTCTTCAAAAATCACAGTACCGCCTTGTATAAGAAGCATTTTCAGTATGTTGGTTGATGTATCAAGAAGAACGGTCTGACCCTATTAAAATGGAAACAATGTTACTAACAAAAAAAAGTTACTGCTTTTTAATCTATAGTAGGTAATCCATTTACATATACTAACATTATAGTATTTCAAGTAATTCTTAAACCAAGCACGATTAGATAAATACGGATAAAAAAGATAACAAACCAGGTTAAAATATATTGAGAACTCACTTTTTAACAAAATTTGATTGTAACGGAACTTTCAAAGGCCCGTGAATAGTTGGTAAATTGGGCTATATATTCGATGTAAATGCAACAAATTAAAATACATGTCTCAAACGCCCAGTCTACTCTTAAATACCTCTTGAACGACGACAAATTCTCCATCTTGTGGTAAAGTTTCTCCACCCCATGTAAAAACGGACGACCATCTGTCGATGTATTCGAAATTATCACCAGCAACGCTTGCCAATCCATGAGATCCAGATCGAGCTAAAACCTTGAAAAAAAAACTAACTTTTATTCGGAGTAATATGAAAATTTAAGTTGCGACATAACGAATTCGTCAATTGCAGTTGCAGTCATTTAGGTATTAGAATAATGAATAGCATACAGCTATGGCCGAGTTAGTTGACCGTTAGAAATAACTCCTACACGTATATCGCACCGTTAAGTTCTTAATAAATAGAATAGCAATAGCCATCAGGATATAGATCTGTTTGTAGACACACATAGTGGTCCTTCAGATCTTGAAACCCTGAAGTGGAGCAATGGGCGATTTTAAGAAAATTACACCATGAAACATTAGAATTATGTAGTAAGCATACTAAACTAACTACATATTTTTAACAGTAAACAACCCTTACTCTGGTTTTGGTAGTTCCTGAATGAGAGTTTGTCGTGCATTGGAAAGAGGTTTCAGTAATAGAATCTGAATCTAAATCACAGACGCTCCCAGCAATGGTTACTTCAGAAATTCCACTGAAATAAAGAAAATTAAACGTAGAATACAAATTAAACAAAGTTACTTTAAATTCAATTGTACACAAAGACCTAGTCGGCAATGCGTTATGCCTAACTATGCCAACATCACAAGTTTAAGATTTCGAGTTCAAGTCCCATCAAACTCCTCAGGGTGTAATAAATTTGTTAATATCAGTGAGTCTGTAAAAATGGTCTCTGCAGTTGGTGGAAAATCCATATTCAACCAGTGTTTGTGTGAAGCCATCATGTACCAAAAACTCATTGGCTCATAGAGTCACGTTGTAAGAAATATTCCCAAACATATTCTCTATAACTACATACCTCAGGCCAGTTCCTTCCACGGTTAAAACTGTTCCTCCGCCGGTTCCGCCAGTCGCTGGGGAAATTGATGTAATTGTCGGAGAAATTGACTCGTCGTATTGATAAGCTGCAGCCAGTGAGACACTGTCCGTATCGGAATTTTTTACTTGTACATCGCATTGTTTGCCTGTAATAAATTTTATATCGAAGTTATGATTTCAAAAAAATTGGTAATAATAGCGCCGGGTGTCCACGAACGTTTATACTTGCCCTATACGTTTGTTCCACACATGTGCTTTGTTTGTCCCACTACTGTTCCCCATCTATTCCACTTGCCCCACACTTGCCCTACTTGTCCCATTCGCCCTACACGTTTCGCATTTGTCACACACTTGTCAAACACTTTTCCCATTTGTCCGACACTTCCTAAATTTGTCCCATTTGCCCTACATGTTCCACATTTGTCACATACTTCTCCCATTCGTCACAAATTCGTCCCATTTGTTCTGCAATTGTCCCACACTTTGCCCACATCTGTTCCGAATGTCCCACCCTTGCCGCACAACTATCCCACTAGTCTCTCACTTGTTCCACTTGTCATACTTGTCCTCTCAACCTCGTCCCAATTTGTCTTTCTCTTCTCCCGTTTGTCTCACACTTGTTCCACTTGTCCCCAAGTGTGCATCTTGTCCTATACTTGAACCGCGCTAGTTCCACACTCATTCCTTGTCCCACTCTTGTCCCACATTTATCCAACTTGCCCCACTTTCTCCGTACTTATCCCACTCGTCGTACACTAGTTCACATATCACCTTGTTCTCATAGGATATAACTAAGGGTCAATATATAGATCCTTGTTTCTAAAGGAACTCATTTTTAAACGGTACGTACCTGCGTCCGTTGCTGGCGTCTCACATGTGATTGACGTTGCCTGGACTTCAGAAATTTCGCACTTTTCTCCACAAATCTCAACAACAGATTCTGCTGCAAATCCGTCTCCCGCAATAGTCACCACCTGACCGCCACCGATAGCCCCTGAAACAGGAAAAAAATCTGATGAAGCAAAATTGAATACTCTAACAGTTCTGTCTACCACCTAATTAAATGAAAGTAAAAATGTAAACGAACAAATCAAGTCAGTCGACAAAAACAATTTGGTGTCAAAAATTGAAACGTATAATACCTGTATCTGGAGTTATGGAAGTAATGTCGAATGTGTACTCGAACGTCGCGGTTTCAGCAATTGTAGCATATCCAAGTTCGGCTATTTTTACTGATACAGCAGCGGCCCCACCGTATCGTGCACCAAGAGTGCATTGCGTGCTGGTATCAGATGGTGAAGTGACTTCGCACGGCACACCACCAATGGTTACCAAGGGTGCGATGCCAATCTGCGTTCCTGTCAATGTGATCGTCTCTCCGGCCTTAGCTGCCAAAATAAAAAAAACATTGCGTAATTAATTTGTAGGGATTTGGGACCCACATTTATGTGGCCTTCGCGGGTATTATTTTTTGTATTATTTGTTGAGCTTTTGAGGCAATGGGGTGAATGTAGAAATTTAGAAAGAATGCAAAAGAGCTGTTTGTTTGAGCTAGTTTTATTATCAAAGCTTGAAGGTATATCCACCAAAGTATTTGGATAAAATGTTAGACATATTTAAAAGTCAAAATTATATATATGTGTATGAGAGAAAGGAGCAGTAGTCATTCTACTCCAACTCCATAAGCTATGTAATAACGAATAATATATTATGAATTTTACCTGTGCTTGGCTCGACAAGGGTTACAGTTGGAGTTGCATCGTTTGAGTAATCAAAAGTTTGCGGGCCGTACTGGACATTGTTTGATGTAACAATGAGTTGAGCTTGTCCAGCAGAATGGGCTGGAGTTGCAATTTTCAGTTCACTTGGTGAGACTGATAGAACAGTACATGCGGCTCCTGTGTCTTCAACAACAACTGATGTACTGCCCTCAACAAAGCCGTTTCCTGGACAGAATAAATATAACAGTTTTCAAATTCAGATGTTCTGCTAATAAATAGTATAGCGTATTCAGGACAATTTAGCATTTTTTTGGTAGAGATTAGTGGTTAAAAAAAATGAACGTGAGTATGTTGGAATCGCAGGGTTTAAATCCCATGCTCACCTCAAGCTGTATTAAATTCGGTAGATAAAACCTAACTGGATGCAAAATTCAATATTTGGAAGCGACGTTGGTTGATAAAATCCCCAAAGCAATCTCACTGATAACAACATTAATACCAAACTAAACTTCCACATATTTCGAATTTTACCTGGATATTAGAATTCGGGTGTCGATAATTGATAACCCGATTTCTTATCCCTAGTAAAAAAGAAGGACCTGATTTCCATTCCTCGGTAAAAATGGAGGATCCTTTCTCCCTCGTAATTTGTCTATGGTCGACTTTCAATGGGTGAAAAAACTATGAAAAACTAACCTTGAATAGTAACTTCTGTTCCGCCGTTTATGCTTCCTGTGGCAGGGTCCACACTGATTATCTCAGCTGTACTTGTAAAAACTGGCGCGCTTGTTCCAGGGTCAGCGTTACCTATAATTATATTCAGAATATATATCCAATGAAAGATGTGCTTGCTTAGAGGACAGGAGGAAAATTGGATGTGATAGTTCAACAATATGACAAAGCACAGTCTTGCGGTCGATAGTTAGCATTCCGAAAATCTTGTCACGCTAAATTACTCTGAAGGTACTCGAAGCATCGATCTCACAAGATCTTCGTTTTGTTCAAAGTAAAACCTTAGTAAAGTGGCAAGCAGGGCTACGAGAGTTGAAGTCAGAGTTTGTCATGTTTTCATCAGAGTCGGAGTCTTTATTTCAAATTTCCCGGGTGGGAGTCAAAATTTCAGACTTTCAAAGGTGATAATTGAACCCAAAATTGCGATTTTTTTTTTCATCGATTACCTGGTTGCAAGACATCAAACTAAATAGAGTAATTGTGCTCAAAATATCATAATAAATGCTAAAGCAACAAAACTAATGTTACCCATTGCAATGAGGATGTATATTACCCTAGTTTTGTCAACTAATATTCAAATTCAGTATTTCTGAATTTTGTTAGCCTGCTCAATCGGGCCATCCCGGAACGTAGTATGTGTACCAGGTAAGGGTTAGGCCATAGTTTCAGGTACAAATACTACATGAGTCACTTGGCTAGTCCCCGAACTCGTCATAGAACTAAAATAAGGAAAATTGGGATAAAATCATGACCTAACCCTAACCTGGTACACATACTACGTTCCGGTGTCCGCCATCTTGGTTCAAATATTTCGGGAGTACCCTTTTTTTTTTTACTAGATAAAAAAATGAACTTGGCTATGACTATACCTTTTCCATCAACTACAACTTTTACTTGGTGATCACCAGCCGGTACATCTGCAACAGTGCAACTTATGCTTTCATCGGTAGCGGCCGTTACTGTCCCAACTGTATTCCCAACTGTCACACTTACATCTGCCGCCACTGTTCCAAACCCTGAAATGAATTGTTTTAAAAAATGAAAATTAGCCGTGAATTATAACAATAAATGTAAATTGCTTTCGATAATCGAATGCATATCTGGATGTAACTAATAAAAATGGCGATGCCAAATCTAGTTTCATTATTTAACTAGTGGAATTACGTTATACATACTAGCCCAGCGCTCAAGCTTCATCAAAAATCTTTGACTTACAAATTTAAATACAGTATTTTGGAGTCTACTCTGTATTCATACCTGCTCCAGTTAGCGTAAGAACAGTCGTTCCTGTACCACTTGCTGGGCTGACATCAGAAAGTGTGGGAGTGGCGTCTGCTGAATATTGGAAACTACAAGTTCCAGTGCAAGCTGCTGTCATTACAGCCCTGAAGAAAAAAATTAGTTTTGCGTGAATTTCTGCTGCTTTATGTAGTGGATAAGTTAAAATTAGAAAATGACAAGAGAGTGTGCTCAAATGTATGGACAATGTATATGCTTTAAAGCACCGAATTTGTTGAAAAGAAGGGCGTACAAGCGGGAGACGTGGTAGGTAAGTGTGTCAGGAAACCTTTCCTCTTTAACCAGGATAAAACTACAAAATTTTGAATTAAATATTGTGTCTTATTGGACATTTAAAACAAAAGATGTAGTAGCCTCCTAGCGACTATCTTTATGTACTGAAAAGCTGGGACTGATTGGTCTCTTTTGTAGTGGATAAAAGGGAGTTTTCTCTTTGACAATACTAACAATGAAAAACTCAAAAACAACAATTTACTGAAGCGATCCACGGATCCATCTCGAGGTAGACCGACATAACGGTAAATCCAGAATCTCGTAATGTTTTACGAAAACTTTGTTTTAGGTGAATGGGACTTAATGGTAGGAAACTGCAACCACGTAGTTTATTATCAGTAACATTTTAACTTACCCATTTTCGGTGACTTCGTGAGTAATATCACCAGACCATGCTGGGGCTGCAGCTGTCACACATTGTGCCGATGTATAAGTTCTGGTGCTTTCATCTATGACACACGCCACGCTTCCAATTATCACGGATGAGGTTCCCGTAAGTCCGCCACCCTAAATATGATAACAAAACTAAAGAAAATATTCAGAAAATGAAAAGGAGAGACATGGAGAAATAAGAGAGAATAAAAAGAAAAAATACGAGAGAATGAATGAATCAGCAGGAAGCTGTAAATAGATAATGAAGAAATATATAAAGTAGATTTCCAATTATTTTTATTTCAATTCAATAACTACTTCTAACCTACTTGTTGGCCCCCCATTTTAAGTCAACCATTAACAACACATTCGAAATGATTTTGTTTTTGCCACCTTTTTGTAATAACCGTTAACAATATTCCATTCAGAACAAACATACCGTGATTGTAAGGCGAGTTCCGCCGGCCAGCGAACCGCTTGCTGGAGAAACACTTGACAAGGATGGTGTAAGAGCAAAATATCGCGCGGATAGAAGACGAATGTCACTTCTAGAGGAGCCTTTATTAGCAACATTGACTGTAACTTCTTGGTTGAGTCCTAAAATAAAAGTTTTTTGCGTCATGTATTATTGATTGTAGCATTAAATAGAAGGTGGGTAGTATTTACTGATGATTATGAATTGATTACTTGATATGATGTTTCATTCCAATCATTGTTTAACGCAAATCAACGCAATTCTGCATTTAGCATATTTATTCAATACCTAGAAAATATTATACTGTATATAAAATTAGAAAAAGAAAAACATAAAACCGTCCGATATGATACTTACCTACTGAAAGGCCAGCATCCACACCAATTTTGCAGGTCACTTCTGTGGCTGTCGTCGTTCCTTCCACTGTACAGGGCGCACTTCCGACTGTTACAGTTGTTTCTCCTGCAACTGCGGAGAATCCGGTACCTAAAAAGACCCATTGACAATTATGAAACCGACTGATAGCACAAATTAAGAATGCTTTGAAGCTTCGATTCGTCGGTAATCTAAGTTTACTCACGGAATTCCAGTCTGGAGAAATATATAAGCACTCACCAGTTATAGTGATCAGATTGTCAGAATTTCCCTGTGACGGTGATATTGAATCGATAGTTGGGGTCAGTGCAACTTCACATGCCACGGATAGTCCGTCAGCAGTCTGAGGAAAACATCATAACGAGAGATTACTTAACATGAGAGAAAAAATATATTCGAGAGAAATGCGATTATTTAACAGAAGAGAAAAAATAGATTTGAGAGAGATGAGATTACTTAACAAGAGAGAAAAATAGATTCGAGATAAATAAGATTACTTAACATGTGAAAAAAATAGACTCGAGAGAAATGAGATTCTCTAACAGCGGTGAAAAAAGATACTCGAGAGAGATGATATTACTTACCCTGACAGAAAAAATAAATTGGAGAGAAATGAAAAAAGAGAGAAACTATAGTCCTTACAGTACTGTGCAGTGTTGTACAGTAAATGTAAATTTATAGATATTTTGTGGCAAATTATCTTAAGGAAACTCATTTTTATCTCGAATCCTCGTAGCATATAAATATTGCATCGGCTTACTGGATATGTTGCTTCAATATCGCCAACTTTCACGGAAACCACAGCAGAAACGTCGGTTGGATCTTCAACAGTTACAACGCCCCGCATCTCCATTGAACACGCTTGGTTTGCACAACCGTAGTAGTAATAGATCCCAGGTTTATTGAATCGATACGAATAACTTCCTGAATTTAAAAATATTGTACAATTATTTGCATGTACTATTATGATTATTATGTACTATTATGAATTTTATTTGCATCGACACGTGAGACTTAATAAAAATATGTCCTACTTCTAAATGAGATTTGATACCTTTACTGTTTATTGGGGTAAATATTGTTTCATTGAACACAAGAAATACTCAACATAAACAGATTAGTTGTCACCACAAGTAACAGAATATAAAGTAAGGCACACGTTGCTGCTGCTACAAAGTACTGAATGACCTCTGGAGATCAGCATGACAGTATTTATACTCAGGAAGCATGCTTCAGTGGTTTCACCCACCCATGCCATACTATCATGATGTGCTGTCATTGGTCAGTTAAAGAGTCGGAAATAGAATTGAAGCACAGTTATCTTGGATCTGGATCACCTGGACAAAATGTAAATGAGAACACACAAGTAAAGATTTACTTACCAGTTGTTGATAGTGGGCCACTGTGAAAACCATTTTCATCGTATTCAGTGCTATCAGCAGACTTAGTTGTGTATACTTGATATGAAGCGCCAGATGCCGTTAGTTGAGGTTTCCATTGCCAAGCTATTGCATCACCGACGGAGGCCTGCAATTTATCGGGGTTCCATGCGTATCCGATTCCGTGCGCTAAAATAAATATAACAGTACATAATGACTTGACTATTCGGTCATTTGAATGATTTTTTTTTGAACTTTTCTCGGACACGAGACAGATATACTTATAAGAGCCATGATATTTATAATACTAACACAGAGGGCTGAGAATTTACAAATGCCTGATGATTTCAGAATTGAATCGAATATATTTTTGAATCAAATCTCGAATACTTGGAAGGATTTTGTATGTGATTTTTTATTGTAATTTGGTTTGTATTTTATTTACCAAATAATGCCTTATATATCTAATTCTATTGAACTCTTTATTGACTCACTCCATGGTCCAGTGTTATCGACCGCATGCGTTGTTCCACAGCTCCCCATGGTACATGTGATAGAAGTTGCTGTAGTTAGCGAACTGTCTATTATGCATGGTGTATCTCTAATTCTGACCTGTCCAGAAATACGTAAATATGATAGATACGGACGAGCCAAAAATGTCATATATTGTAGAATGAGATATTGAGAAAGTGAATAAATTTCTAAATTATTAAACGTCTTTTTTCTAGATTAGTAGTTTTTTATAAGAAAGTTCGTTCAAAGCAAGCTTATCCTCACTCGCTGAGAAAAATAGGAGATTAATCTCTGGGCGGAGCCGAAAGATAATGAGACAAAAAACCATCATAAGGATAATAATGAGATATCATTTATATCCCGAGGAGAGGAAAGCCGATAAGACGACTTGAACATATGGTGTACCACGGTCTCACGTCCGGTTACCAGGCCATGTGCGGTATGGGAATAGTTATGCAGTCATTTGTTTCAGGCCAATGAACTTGATAGTGTGTATAGTGTGGAATTGGGTAACAAATTGACGTGAGACTAATGGAGTCGTCGCGACTACTCATCGTTGTATCCCATATTTTGATGAACAATACCGCTTTGTGATATTTACGGAAGTGTACATACCTCAATGCCTTCAGCATCAAATCCTTTGCCAGTGAGGACCACCTGTCGTCCGCCCGATAACGATGACGTAGTCGGTGAGATATTATCTACTTCAAATGCGTATGTTATTTGGTTTGAAATTCTGTAAAAAGTGTTCCATCTTATATTAACAGCAAGATGTACTAAAAAACGTGTCTATAATGAACTGTGTTATTTGAGAGTGCCGTCAAGCGATGTCCAATTAGAACACAAGTAAAGATATTTGATCAGTGAATTCGATTAAAGCAAGTAAAAGCAAATACGATTGGATGAAAAAATTAACAAATGGTAAAAACTACTGATTACCAGAAGTTTGATTTGAGACAGGATTTTTATATTCATAAGAGGGGAAGAGTTTAATTATATGATTTTCTGCTCCCTTTCATACGGTTACCAGTTCATGATGAACTTGTCGTCTGAAGAGGCCATGACCGACCAGCGTTTACGTGAACTACCCAAGGGATTCAAACCCACGCAGGGTAATCAGGTGTGCGATGGCAAGCGCAATTCAAATGCTTAGCACGATGTGACAATCACCGATTCAATATTTTTCTTCACCATGTGTAACTGACCAACATCAACATCGAGAAATTGTATAGGGATTTTTATGAAATAAATCAAAAATTGATATAGAAAAAAACAACAAAAATATACTCAACGTGAAAACTTACGCAAAAGAAGCATATCCTGCGGGATATATGCGTACTCGCAAGTTGTAAGTACCGGGCGCCATGGATGGCAGTGTTACCACAATTTCGGTGTCTGACCATGATTTTATCATGACCTCAGTGTCTCCAATGAATACTTTATTATTTTCATTGCTGTCTCCAAAGCCGGTTCCAGTAATTGTCGTATCACCACCTATTAGTATGCAATGCAGTCAATTGTACTGAAATTGGTAAACGAGTAATTTTCGGCGAGATGTTATTATAAAACAGAACGTGAACCTATGTATCGTATTTTTTTTTACTGTGTTGATGTTTTTAGTATTCTTCCCCTAGATATCCTTGTTGTTGTTGTGCTTGTTTTTCTCTTTAACGCCCTATTTGTCAGGATTTAGAGATTTATATTCCTTACGTACTCACGAACACTAAACAGTGAAGAGAAGGTGTCGTTTGGGAAATCCAGCACTTGTTTAAAAATTACTCAGAATTGCTCGAACGCAAGATAATCGGAAGAAATTGCACCCTTATCCAGACTTTTGCACGGACTTCGACACCAAATAAACACCAAAAAGCGGGGTTTCACAGAAGCATGCCTCTGATCGCAAAGTTTAAGGGTGATGTAGCATAAACTTTTTGAATCTTTTTTACTCACCCAATGCATTGAATTCCGTTTGTGAAAGGTCGGTAACTTCGGTCGTAGACACACCAAATTCGAACTCAGCGTCAGATGTGGCGGAGAGAGTTCCCATAGTTGCGGTCAATACCCTTGCACCGGTAGCCGCTCCAGTTATGCAAGTCAAAGAAGTGTATTCTACTGGTGTCATAATTATACAAGTCGAATCTCCAAACTGCAATGAAATCCCACTAGAAAATCCTGTTGAACAAAAGTAACTTTGATCATTTTTAATTGATTCATTTTCATTAATTCAGACTTTTTAGACCAGACTCGCTATCTGTTTCAATCTAACTTAGCAAATAAATACCCCCCTCTTGAAAATTTCTGGCGACGCCCCTGTATATCGTGTTTCGTTTTATCGAAAGTAATTTAATAACACAATAAGTGAGAGTTAATCTCCGCATCATTATAGAATCCTAGTGCTTCATACAAACCTGTTCCAGTAACCGTAACATCAGCTCCTCCTTGTTCACTTCCCGTATTGGGGGAAAAGCCGGTGATACTCAGTGGGACATCGATATCTACAGAATTCGCATTGCCTTTTCCATTCACAGTAACAACCACGGGTTGGGTTCCAGCAGGAGATTCTCCCAGGGTGCACGTCAAAGATGTTTCAGTGGAATCTGTTACAACACAACTCACTCCCCCAACTGTTACAGAATTTTCTGTTGAGGTGGCATCAAATCTTTCACCTTAAAATGTATCAGAAAAAAAAGTACAAATAATATTCATTTAACGCTTAGCCGAAAATTTTCAATAAGAAAAAATACCTGTTATTGTCAATGTGCTACCTACAGGTGTTGCACTTACAACAGTAGGTGTGCTGTTATCGGACCATTCAAAATCACAATTCCCAGTACATTTGCTCGGTACATTTTCAACCGTTACTTCGACCTGTTTCAAAGGCATTAAAATAATCTGATCAAACCGCATTAATATTATGGCTGCTTATGTTGATAATTAATTGAGAAGAATATTAGGTGAAACATGGTGAAAAATATCAAACCTTTTGATTTTCAATGTACGGCATCTTAACCATATCATTACGCCAATGTTTACCTTTAGTTACATAAAAAATAACTGTATGCTTCAAATACTTCAATGACATATTTAACGGATGAAGCTCATGGCCATACATTTCCACAATGGTTTATCAAAATTAGTTGCATATGATCTGACTATATGTGTTTAAATCAGAAATATTTTTAATTGATATTTCAAAATATTCATCGACTAAAACGTTTTAAATTTTTTTCTCTTGGGGTAAACTGGGCTGTCCAGTAGAAAAAACGTAGAAATCTTACATTATATTGAATTCAACATCATTGATAGTTATTTTGTGAATCGTTCAATTTATTTTCATCGTTTTTTCGATGTTTCAAAGTGTTACTCGTTATTGCCATTAATGTTTATTACCATATTTAGTTACTTTACTTGTCATAAAATTTCCCTAATTGTGGTTTGTGAAATGCGATGGAGAACATTACTGAATTCACCTGTGGTTTCTGGTGAGCCGTTCGGAGCCAATCTGCTGGAATAGGATTGAGATAGAGTCCTCCCTGAGACTTGACGCTGGCATCGAAAGTCGCATCAGCATTAGTGATCTCGGTCTGGTCAACGGTGAAGCTACCTTGCCGGCCTGCTGGATTCCTAAAAGTCACGTCCCATGTGTATCTAAAACGTAGAATACGTAAAGTATAAAATATGTGAATACGTGTAAAATACATAAAGTCTCTAATAAATAGTAACCATTTGTTTAACCGTTTTAATCCACGAACAAATATATATTATACTATATATTTTTTCATTTATCGTGAGGAAGAGGAAAGCCGACAGGACGTCATATGACGTACCACGGCCTCCAATTCGGTTACCAGTTTGTGCTGGGTATGGTATTAGTTTAGCCGGTTGTTTGTTTCTGATGCGTGAACGTGCATAAGTAAAATAAATCAAATAGTTTCTAAAAAAAAAAATTGCATAGCACAAAAAATCATTTTGAAAATATCGTTATTATATTACCACTTCAAAAAGAGAGGATCCGACAAAAAATTTAATTTTTTCAAAATTGTGCCAGTATCATTGTTTCGATAGTTGTTAAGAGTGATCATTTCTCACCCTCTGCACGTTCCCCCTCTAGTTACTTGAACATCAGTAACTCCGTTCAGCGTTTCAATGGCATTCTCTAAATATGTATCAGTTGCATTCCATGGAATGCTAGCTAGAGTCCCGCCGTAGGTACTTCCGTCTACAGGTAATGTGAGAGCAAAGGTTCCGCCCATCGGTTGCGCAACCTCTTGAGTTCTTACTACCGTGATCTAAATTTTTAAACGAAGAAAATTGAGTGAATAAATGATAAAACTAGAGAGTATCGAGACAAATAAAAGAAGGGAGCAGGAATGAACAAGAGAAAGGGGAAGAACAATGAGAGAATGAATGACAAAACGAGAGAGTATCGAGACAATTAAAATAACAAACGAGAGAATATGGGGAAGATAAGAAAAAAGTTAAGAAAATTGAGAGAATAAAAGATAAAATGAGACAGTCCGAGACAATTAAAATAATAATAAGAGAAAAGTGGAAAAGACTAGGAGGAGGAGAAGGAAATCGAGAGAATAAAGGATAAAACGAGAGAGTTCGAGGCATTAAAAAGGAACATGAGAGACGAGGTGGTGCAACATAGAAATCATACCGATGAAGTTGTTTGAGCTTCGCTGACGAACGTGCCGTCACCGGATGCTGTTGCATATGCAATTTCAATGAGAGGCAGATTATGACCGCAATTTAGAGGCGTAATTGAAACAGCATAGCTCGAGCCATCTTGTTGTACTGTGACTGCGGCAACACGGTTTTCATCCAATGGCAGCCTTCTTTTAGTGCGTATGTCTGCAAAACAAACAAAATATAAAGAATAGATTTGATGAACACAAGTCAAAATGACCTTGAATACAAGTTAACATGGATAACTACAGAAACGATGGATTGGATGGGAATTCAATTTTATTCAGACGGAGAGGAAAAGCCGACAGAACGACTTAATCACGTTGCGAACTACGGACTCTCGTCCGTTTATCGGTCCATGTCGGGCACCAGTTATTTGTTTCAGATGCATGGATTTGATGGTGGAGTAAACTGTAAACGACAAGCGATTACCAGAACCCACGATTGTAGGCGCATATGTAAAAAATATTCTGTAATAATTCAATAAACCAACCCTCGGCATATTCCCAACACGTTTGACTGTTAAAATGTTCCAGACAAAACCTGTTTAAAACTTCGGAACAGTACTAACACATTAACAACTCTTATCAAAATAAAAAAAAAGTGGATGTGATATAATAAGCATTTGATAAGCGTTGATTCAAATTTTCATATATTCATCAAAACGATAGATTACTACTAGCCATTCCCCGAGCATTACCATTAATTATATTTATTTTACTTTCATTTATTTGGGGGTTAGCCAAGTTAAATAAGCTGTAACATTTTCTTCCCTATTGGCGTATATATATGTTGACTTGCAAGTTCAAATTATATTTTATTTAGGTTGTTAGTCATTTTTGTATTTAATTTATAAACACCGCCTCTCTTCCGGGTTGACGAAAGGGCCTTATAATACAAGGAAAATACAGTACAATATAAAGCATTTGAATAAATACAGTAGAGCATAGCGCTAATACCTTCCAATGCAGTGTCTGTATAATAAGGTGTTCCAACAAATACGTTGTCGATGAAAAAACCGTTATCTGATGGGCCGACAGCGACTGCAAGGCCAGTAATCTCATGTCCATAGGCGGCTACTCCAACTAAATGTGCTGAAATGGAGTGAAAATTTAGTGACAATATCTTCAATAAAAAAGGTCAAATACATATAACCTATGTCATGTTATCAGATGGCATAGGATCGGATTTACATATTTATCCTGGGGGAGAGGAAAGGTGGGGAAAAATAGGAAGGAAGACGGCTTTAATCAGATGGTGAACCACGGTCACTCGTCTGGTTACCGGGATCGGTTTGCCAGTTATTTGTTAAAGATAATTAGATAAAGCCATATTCATTAAAAGTGGTTTTAAACTACCCAATTTTATGCTATTGCAGTATTGAAGACTTTCCGATACAAAAGTATAAGTAATTCAACTATTTATTGTGTATATATATATTGAGGATAACGCTATTGGTAGTGGGTCAGCATTTTTTAAAGGGGTTTCACCAATATTTGAAGGTGATTGAATTTCAAGATTTCCTTGTGACCGGCCAATCTGTCAAATTGCTTTATCTGTATTAACTAATCAACGATGTACGGTTACATGAAATATTGGAATATCAAAAAATAACAATCGCAATCCTTAAAATTAATGAAACAACTTATAATCACCAGCTATTATCGGCATTATATCCACACACGTGTGTATCCAGTTATCAGCAGACTCGGCGACAGGCAATTGTATAGAACTACTTTTTCTCTCTTCAGAGACAATGTACGAGTAATCCAATTTCACAGATCCGGATACCGAACCTTTGTACGCAAAGCAAACCTAAAAAAGGAAACTCATTTTAATATATAATGCTATATTAAATGATTTCCAGCAGGTAAAATTTGAAAAAACCTGTTGCCCGACTTGCTTATAGGAATATGTTATGACACCCTTTCCCAAGGGAACTCCAATCCTGGCCAGAATTAGTATAGACCAGGCGCAAGCAACATTTTTTGTCGGTGGGCTATGTAACCAAGTTCAGGCATCCAGCTGAGGCACACATAAAAACTTTAGTAGATGAAGCTACTCAACCGGCGGACTATCCCAGGCGTTTTGACTATTTAATTTTGACGGCATTTGCGTCATGTATTGAAACCAATAACATCGTTTTTTATTGCTGTTGTATGGTAAAGCCATTACCCATACGCGAAACTGAGCACTGCTCTTGTTGGACACGAAATGTACATAGGGATCGTTTTGTCAATAATATGTTGTTGTCGTTTTTGTATTTTGTTGAATGATGAATTTGGAATTTTGTTTGCATAATTACAGATGTTGGTTGAGTAGCCACGCAGAAGAACACACAGTGTTTCCATAAAGTCCCTTTACAATTTCAATTTTGTTATGAAGCCAGTTCTCAATATATCTTAACCAAGTTTGTTGTATTTTAATCTGTAATTGTTCAAGTATTTTCACTTTCTTTAATACATCTGTGAGGGCCAAAACAATATATGATATCCATAAATTTTCTTTGCAATTTTAATTTTGTTTATAACTTCATGGACACAAACCTTCATGGTCGTAGCTATGCTGATTGCTTTTATATCTTCAGTAGTGGTGAATAGTGTTGTAGGATTTTTCAACGCCCTCGATCCACAATAAGAATCTTCCCGTGATAATTCGCCTGTCGGGGCTGTTGTGGTTGATTCGAAATCCCTAAATAGAGATGAGAAAATTATTAGTTGAATAATAACATTTCGTAAGCGAAAATTTCCTGAGGGATTGTAATTCAGTCGGGCATGGAATGTTTTAACGTTTGGTTCCTACAAAGTTGAAAATAAATAAAAGGGCTTACAGACGTTTTGGCTCATACAGGCTAGAGTGCATTTATCAACAATTCGCGGTGCGGGAGTGGACGATGCTCGATCGCCGTGATTAGATATTTTACTAAAGAAAGCGAAGTATTTTGTTATTCCATTATTTTATTATTTCGTTGAGGTATCCGACGGGCTGGATTCAGTCTAAAAAAGTTTGTCCACTCAAAAATCATTTTTTGATCTCATTCTAATATTTATTTCCGCGTTTCATGATTTCTCCAACAATAATATCGAGTTCAACTTACTCAAACATTCCATATCCAATTCCCTTTTCCAAAGCCGCCGGACATTTAGTACCAAATATTGCATGTACAGCTGACGCAAGTTGTGCGGTGTTTCCAACAGCAACGTGTCCAGTAGGAATGCCATTCAGCCCCACGGTAAAGGATTGCATGTCGGGTACTGCTGCAGTTGATACCGACAAAGTCGCACTGATGCTTGTTGCATGTTTTGCTACAACCGAGAGGGGCAGAGAACCTGTTCAAATAAGAAAAACACATTGATAGAATAATGTTGATACAAGTTGAATCCTACGTTGATATATTTTAGCAGAAATTATCATGCCAAGATATTGGCATGATATAGGTTATTGGGTCAAGGGTTTGGGATAGTCTGAATTGTGTATTCGAATCAAATATTATTGCGTGGAACAGATAATATATCGACGCCGAATGATTGCGCTGTTTGAGAGAGAGAAGCCTATAAGATGACCTAATCATATGGTAGACTAGACCTCTCCTTTACTGGTCCATGTCGCATGAAGGAAAATAGTTTATACGAATGGAAACTATTTGAATCAACTATTTATTTTGAAATACGCTATTGGTACCAACAATGTTTCTGGCTGCGCTTTTCATGTTTGGCTGGCTCAGCAACAATTGTGCACAATTTTCTTCATTCATTTAGGCAGTTGTGGGCTGGATGGATATCAGCGAATCTACATACCTCTCTTAGATCCCACCGTAATTTGATGATGGCCAAGATCACATTCGCCGATGACTGTTGTATCTGTTGACTGTATTACGCTCACAGTATCGCCAAGAAGTGTAGGCAGCTTGTTAATAGCAGTTTGGATCATTTCTGCTGTAGAACTGACTAGCAATTCGCCTGTAAACGAATCAAATTTAAACAGGTTAACTAATAATAATTTATAGCCGTGGAAATATTGTGACAAGTAGTTCCGATTTTTGACGCCTCTGAGTATTGGTTATACTGTTATATATGAATAAAATTGCTTTTAACCGTTCAATGTTATGTCATATAAAAATTCAATCTCAATAAAAAATCATCAACTAATTCTTATTGTCTTCAATATAGTTTCACTCGTCTTCAAAAATATCGCAGTTTAGTTCATTAATTCAAAATCCGACTCAGATTAGTTGTATAAAAAGTATACCTGATGTAATGCCGTGTAACGAAAACACGTATTCTTCTTCAGAGGTGCAGTTTACATCAGGATTGCATTTGATGCATAGATCAATCACTTCACTTACTGCAGTGGCGTCGGTTTCCCAATTAGTCAAACCGATAGTCTGAATTTCAGGATGATCGGGCGACGTAGAGGCTACTTGTTGAACTTCGTCGACAGACATAGCTGAAATAACGGTATTTTTATTTCACTATCAGTTAGGGTTACGCAGGACTAACTATTTTTCTTTGCTTTATGCTTTTGTGGAAGTGGATCGTCCGTATGCGCGTAACGAAAGGATGCTGTGGCAAAAAACAAGTATGACTATACTGTTTGATTCAAAAGTCTTGCTGCACACCAACGCAAATGTATTTCTGTAACGTTTCGACTGATCAGGGTCAGACTTGTTCGGACAAGCATTTTTCAACTAGCCGGTCAGACGGAACGTTACAGAAATACATTTGTGATAGTGTGCAGCAAGACTCTTGAATGAAATAGTATTTTTATTTCATGTATAAATCTCTACGTATTTGTTGCATGACTATGCAGGGTGAGACGATAAAACTCCTATATTTCATTTTAATCTAAAGTGTGGGATGTTTTTTGCCCTATCCTGAACAACAATTTTGCATATATAATTTAATATATATAACATAATTGTCTTCACAGAGTTGAATAAATATCAGTAGCCTCTATATAACATCGTCAACAACATTCGTGAAATTTCACCTCAAGAAAAAATAAAAACTCAAATAATTTTATTGTCTCATGATTTTATTGGTTCAATAAAATATCAGTTGTGTTCGAAAATATCGCGAAAGCTTGGCTTTAAAAACTAATGACATCGATGGATATAATTCACACTCATATGTACTCACATGTTTGGGAGCTCATGTAGTCAGTTTCCCTGAGATAACCTTCGATTGTCATGGCGACCGAGGTTGATGATTCCAATCGCACGGCTTCATAATAATACAGATTCCCTTGAGTTAATTGAACACCGTCTTCCAACATCTATGGAAGGATAAGTATATTTTGATTTTATAATCAGCATAGAAGATGATTAAATAATTGATAAAGACAAAGAAAGAAATGCTCAAATAAACGGACACGAACACCAAAACCTCAATTTCCCAATAATCGTATCCTGGACGAAGCAATCAGCAATCTATATAACCACCTATATCAGTATAAAAAGACTATAATTTGTAACGTCTAACATTTTTAGAGCAAAGGCCAGACGCGGGAATCCGGTCTACTTGTCGTTCATTTTCTAAGAACCCATGCCAGGTAAGATCCGACCATCGTTTTGCCCTCAATCAATTATAACCAAGATAGTTGTCTTTTTTTGAGAAGTCGTATATTCACATTACGATTTCTCTTGATTGTTTTGTCCACGAAATACGACATTCAACAGTGGGAATGGATATACGGTCACAATCACCATTTAGATGGACTCCTTCATAGATGGCTATAGTTAGGAAGTAGGCATGGAGATATAGTATGGCCGTGGTTCGATAAGTGATTTTCCGTATTAACTGATTTTCCCGGTAATAAATATAAAAAAAATCTAATACTATCCCATGATTGCCATCAGTACGGTTGTTTCTGTGAAGACTTACAAGTTTTACCTCCTTAAGAAAATTAACGAAAGAAAAAAAATTAAAATAACTTTATAGAAACCTCTAATTACAATATATTTTCTAGAATATTACAAAAGAATAATCTTCTAGATTTGACATACCGCAGCTTTATTTGCTTTTGTGTGATCGGTACTGAGGTACACATCCGCTTCCACACTCGTACTAAGCGTGTATGTACCCGATTTTGCGGGTCGGAAGAATCCTCTAACACGGACAACGGTTGGAGATTCTGATGTTGTGTGTTTGAAGTTGGATTGTTCGTACGGGATTCTTTGTTTTGTACCTTTCGAATCGAGAGTGTAATTTTGAAACAAATGAGTATGCTACAAATGTCGAAAATATAAATATTTTAATATATTATACTCAAAGGAATGTTTGATTGTATAAGCCAGTGTTTCCAAACTGGGATCCGCGGACCCCTGGGATTTTGGATGACTGCACAGTGGGTCCGCAACGATATGAAAAGAGTCTGATTGATCTTTAATCATTGATTGCAATCAAAAAGCCATTGCATACTTTTGGTTGATCCATTGCTGTCGGAAAAGGCAATAAAATGTTATTGCCTTTTGCAACGACCTAGATGTGTGAGACCGCGTTTTCAGCTCTTACCAATACGATGACAAAATACAGGTCGAGACTTGCCGTAGAATCGGACCTACGAGTTTGCTTGTCACAAATTGCTCCAAGGTGCTACCGAAGTATTCGTACCAAGATGGCGCACAACCTGAACATGGTATTGTATCAGGTTAGGGTTGTTCAGGTTGTGTGTCATCTTGGTACGAATACTTCCGAAGCGCCGTTCCGTGTGCGCAGGTCACAAAATGATCCGGTATGTTTTGAGAATACACATTATTGTACTTTTCAAAACAAAAAAAAAACACAGAAATATTTAAAGAGAGTAATCTCTCGGTAACGTTATATTTACAACCCGGATTAGTGAAGGATAAAATTTTGTAAATATATGACTCACATTATTCAAGAAGTGTTTGTATCAATATTTCGCCTACTTTACATCAAGTTGTGTAAAGGGACAGAAACCTATGGACAGGTGGTATATTCACTTGACTAACACAGACAGTCCCCAAACTCGTAATAGAACTATAATAAGGAAAATTGGAATAAAATCATTGCTTAACCCGAACCTGGTATACACACTACGGGAGTACCTAAAAATATATCATGCGGCATATTTTTCTTTATTTTAACAATATTTACTCATTCACTCAGAAATTAAAAATCCTGCCTGAGCGACCATTAAAATTCCCTATTGAAACTATAAAGAATTGAAGTGTGGGATTGTGCGTTTGGAAGTACTGATTGACGAGAGACTTGAAGCAGTTTGCGCAATACGGCCAGGAAAAAAGCTATACGGTAGTGAATTCCATATACCAGAAGTTGTTAAAAAAAAACTTTGGAAATATAATTTTTTTGTCTGGTAAGGAAAATGATTCACCATACCCGGACATTGCATCATCTTGGCATTGTTATAATATACTGGTGATATTAGTTAGGTATGCAAGTTTAGTTTCGTGCTTTAAAATAATTTCCTGCACTATAACATACCCGAATAATCTTCATAATCAACGCCTTCAATTTCACTTGAATCAGTCAGCCCAGGATAAAATTCTGCAATAATTCCTCGGCCTCCAGGGTACACATCATAACCCGAGACAGTACCTGGTGTTTTACACGTCAACCAGGTATCCTCCAGTTCTTGAAGTTCGCAAGGAGAACCGCCAACCTCTACCTGCAAAGGTAATTCAAAAAAAGTTGCTCAGACAAAGGTCACGCGCACTCACTCAGAGGTAAAATAGACTTATCTCTAAGTAAATGCTAAGATAACATTTTGTATATGGATAAATGGTATAAATATGGAATGATAACAGGAACATATTTTTCATTTTTACACCATGGTAAAGGCACAACATTCATGATAAAATATTAATATCAAATATATACTTTAAACCCTATAGTAGCCAAATCACCCATTTTCTGATATCAATTCTGATTCTCGCAGGCAAGTATTCTGTCTCTTGCGCTATTCGCCCATCGCGTAATAGACAGTGGTAGGTGGTATTCAGGAATTCGCGTTAACCAGTTATTTAAATGTCGCGATAATCAACAAACCCATTTATATTGAAAATTCATTACGTAAAACGTGGCATGGTAATAAACTTGTTATGCTTACGTTTTGACGTACATATATTTTCTGAAATGAGGGAACTTGTTGTCAGTGGGTTCGATGCAGAAGAGAACCCGCTCTTGAATCCCGCTACTGGTAAGAGACGCTTAACAAATTCCACATCGACATCGCGAGTTAAAGTTGATTGCGTTGTTGCCCCCATGGTTTATTATTCGAGTTATACTTACAGAAACAGAACCAGGTTCTTTAAAATAATTCCCCTCCACTCTAATTGTTGTTCCTCCATGAGTTGACCCGCTTGTGGGCGACACAGAGTCAATTACTAAAGAAAAAAATACATTGGCATGCAAAGTCATGTTTAGAACAGTGTTGTGAGGGCTCGAGTCATTGACTCAACTCTATTTGGACTTGAATAACCGCATATCAGGAATTCAAATTATCAAGGTCATCGAATGATTCGGACTAGTCATCAACTAACCGCACGAGAGACTTGACTTAGTGACTGACTGGTAACCTAAATGACCCGACTTGACCCTCGAGGTTTAGAGACTTCTACCCGACGCTGGTTTAGAGTTCGGGCACAAACACGAAGCAAAGATGGTGAATTCCCAAATAAGTACTTTGAACGTAGATGGTTTTGAAGCACATTGGTGCGTTCCAGTGGAGTAATTATTGACAAGTTAACTCTCAATAGATTAAGTTTACCTGAATTTATAGTACAGATAACATTACTAACCTGCGTACGTCTGCACAGTACATAGTCTGTAATCTGCATGAACAGTCAAAGCCCCGGGTTGAAATTCCGAACGTCCGTAATTCTCGTTTATAATGAAACTTGCATTTTGGCATCCAACGTAAGTACCTTGATGGAGACATTTTATGTTTCCCCAATTCGAGTATTCATCATCGCTGTTTTGCATTAAAGCCAGTTGTACGCCATATCTGTCAATTTAAAATTTCATCACCAAATTGCCAAATCGCAGAATGCATTAACTTCGACTACGGCGGGGCCTAGCAAAGCGAATTCAGACTCTGTAGATTACAAGTTTCAAGTCGTCATCATTGTTTTGACGAAAAAAAAAAAATGAAAAAAGAGTACTCCCGAAGTATGCATACCAAGATGGCGGACACCGAAACGTAGTTCACATAATTCGGGAGTACCAAAAAAATAATTGCAAAAATTTAATATTCTTACAGAGTATCATTGTCCATGCGAAGTTTACATTCCTGTCCTCCAATATACACCCGAGAAAGAATTGCTTCGCGTCCATTAGAACTTAAAGAGTCTCCGGCGTCTGTTTTGTCTGTAAATAGTCTACCATGCATCTCTACTATACTCCCTGGTGTTGTAGTCGACGGCCAAAAGGTGTGTAATAAAGGAGTACGACCTTCCAAAACCTATAATAATGAAAATCATTTTGCCTTCCTATGCCACTTAAACTGGAGCTCGACCGATAACTTTTTGGTCACTGATACAGTTTTGTTTCGCTTAAAAATATACCTTCAACTAAGCGGTTAGAAACTAAAACATCCTTTGTAAAAAATTTCACAAGCAAGGTATTCAGTACAAAATCCACATGGCCGAAGAGTTCCTAGAATTATTTTCTAGGCCTTGGGTATCTGATTCGATAAGAGCAGCCCATCAAGTCCAAGTTCGATTTTGGAACACAGTTACTTATTCTTTATTTCATTACTATTATATTTTCTCCAGTTTCCTAATCCGAGAGTGTTGCCACTTTCTCCATTTTTTTGTTATTTCGTTTATGTATTATCTCAAGTATTTTGATAAAGCATGATTTATTTTATTCATGAATATTCTTAGAATTAGCACTTTCAATTCAAATTATCATTAATTCACCTGAAATCTGCACCACCATCCGTCAGGGTTACCGTGACACATATTTGCTCCCGGCACTTCATCTCCGTTCGACTTGATTCTCAGTTGGTATGACCCTCTCGGCATTGGACTGTGTTATGGCAATTTAATATAGAAATGGTTTGCTTCAAAAAAGTTGTCGGGGTGCATACTACTGAAAGTGATCAAGGCATGCCGTTGGCACAGCCTTGCATGGTCGCTTATTTATCTACTAAACTGAAGTCACGAATCCACGGGACAGGTCGACAGTGGCATATCTTTACGTTTACGGTATGGCGTATCTATACAATATTTCAAATCGGAAATAATTGAAATTAGTACTTTTATTTGAATAATAACGTATAAGTATATCAATTAAGAACAGTCTTTAAAAATTGTCAGTCAACGATCAAGGATGCCAATTGGCGCCACTTTTACGTAGATGCGCCACTATAGATCGAGTAGCGGTTAAATGCCAATCAAGGTACTTGTGATTTCTTTCTACAATGAAACTAAATGTCACGCAGAAACAAAACGGGAACCATTGCACGGACGCTTCACGTACAGAATTTAAACACAGTATCGGCAGGTAAAAAAGCAACAGTTTGTGTACTTTACCTGAACTCATTTATTTTTAAGCCACAGTCTCAAAATCCTAACTAATACACCAACTAACTTACGTGGTCTCGCAGATAAGGGTATTTTCATCAGAGGCATCTTTTTCTATATTGCATGGGTAATCTCTTTCTGGTGAGCGAAAATTCACTTCCACGCCTAGATCAGTTGACGTACCAGATGTACCGAAACTGTTGTCAACAATACCTTAATCAGAGCAATTACAAATTATTAGGCATGTAGGATTAGTGTTGAGATTAGAACAGTATTGGTTGGTTTGTCTGAGATTGAATTTCGGGAATGAAGCACGCAATTCGTGTGTTAACCATCCTTCATAAATGACATTACTGCAGAATCCCCTTACCTTCGCCTATAATTGTCACTAGCGTTCCACCAGCTGCTGAACCAATGTTTGTATCTGCATGAATCCTGGTCACAGAGAGTCCGTTCACTAAAATACAAATGATTGAATAACGATAAATCCCCACCCTGCTACGTGCAAATAACATAAAAATGTTATAATAAAGTTCTGCCTGTTTTGTTCGGGCATTATGTTTTTTGGCGCGGCGGTGTGGCTTAACGGGCTAAGCGTTAGGAATACGCTCGCCACCGCACCTCTAATTACACTGCGTGAGTTCGCAGGTTCGAATCCTATGCAGGGATGGTTATGTGAAAGAGGATTGCTGGACTCCTCGCCGTCGTTGGGTAGTTCACGTAACCGCTGGTCGGTTACGGCTTCCTCCACCACCAAGTCCATGCTTCCGAAAACAAACAATATAACCAGTATGTTCCCCAGCTCTTCTTTTTAGGGGGATGTTTCGAAATTTAGGGGTGGTAAATAATTTGCTATTAGAGATAAAACTAGGCTATTTGTATTCTTAAAAAATGGTATGTATTTAAGAAACGATGTACATGAGGGGCTCCCCAAGTTGATTGACGGCGAGCTAAAATCCACAGCAGAATAAAATTGTTGGGCCATAAAAGGGGGGCGAGGAAAAGTGCGGGGCGTCACGGCTGAGAAAATGTTAAGAAATAGGCCCCAAAATAGGCATCCAAGCTTGATTTTAGATACACCTAGCATCGCAGTTTGTTATGTAATGAAATCAATAATTATAATATTTAGCTGATAGAATTCCCGGGATATGGAAAACAAGCACGGCTTTCAACCGTAAATATATACTACTACGTTTCAACAAGTAATTTTGCAACTGATAGTGACTAATGAAGTTACTTGCTCATCTGGCATTGTATGAATGGCTACTTATGGCTTGTTTTGTTACACATTTCACATTTTTTTTGAACATGTTTGTTTGACTTTTGCATGAATTAAGCAATAAATTAAATTTTGAAATACGCGCGTCAACTGATCATGATGTTGTATTCCTTCAGAACTGAGATATTTTTTGGTAAGAAGACAAATCGCTGAAGTTTGATTCTTTTCAATAAAGAAATAAAAACGCTGTCATTCATATAAAAACGTCTGTTTTCAGTGCCTAGTTTTCGTTTTGTGACATCTTTAAGCTTTCCTAATATACGGCTGATATCTGAAATAATGCAGTGTGTAATCCTAATACCCAGTGTGTAATCCTAATATGTATGCATAAGATACCGGTGTAATTCAATTGGTACGAAATAAACGTGTTTAAACTGTGATAATAACGGTATCTAAAACTCAAAAGGTCCCACATGAAGTGTTAAACTATTTCACTCAAGTTCGGCGGGCCATTTTAAATCGTCACACGGGCCGTATTTGGCCCGCAGACTGCGGTTTAAAACCCCTCATCTACACTGATAAATATGCCATAGTCGTTATATTTGAATACAATTATACAGTGTGGAATCGCACTTCAAAATTAGGGGGGGGGGCTGTTTGAAATTTTAGGACGGGTGTTCACCCCCTATACGGGGGTTGGTGTAGGGAAATCACTGTACCCGACTTGGAATGGTAACCGGACGAGAGGCCGTGGTTCACCATATGGATACGCCGTCTTATCGGCTTTCCTCTCCCCCGAGATAAATATGTAAATCCTATCCTATCATTTTGTTAATGGAACGTGCAGGCACTATGCATTTCCAGCATACTTATCCACCACTGATATCACTACTTCACGCCATTGGCATCAAAATCTTCAAAAGGTAAACTTTTAAAGAACATTCAAACAATATTTCGTCAATAAACCCAATTTTTGCTGAGAATAGTATTTTCATATTCACCCCGGAGGAAAGGAAGTCGATAACACGGCCAAATCAAAAGGCGTAGGGCGACCTCTCGTCCGATTACCAGTTCATGCGGGGTATGAAATTAATCAGCTAGTTAATTGTTTCAGACGCATAGACTTGGATGATGGAGAAAGACGTAACCGTCATGATATTTTTGTAAACCACTCGGCGGGGACGAGGAGTCTAGAAATCCTCTTGCGCCTAATTATTCCGGAACGGATTTTGAACCCGCGCAGGGTAATCAGAGGTGCGAGGATGTGGACAGTGTTGCATGTGCCAACTCGAAATGCTCACCAAAAAGCATGAACAATTGCGCCATTGCGAAGTTTAGGAAGAATTTTTTTCGGTCGAGGGTCACAGACCAGACAACGCGTCAGTACCGATTTTTTTGACCATTCGCCACGCCTTAATTAAAAAGGTCGCATACAATTACATCGTCTACAGTCTACATGACATACCAACACGTGCGTCCTTACTACTTTACTGATTCATCCGATACAAAATTCACTAGTAACGTCATAATATTTACGGATTGTTCGCGTCATGTGTTGGTTACAATATTGTGTCGTCACAATATCACCAATACATGAATCATAATTTTGCTGTAGCTGGAGATATTTCTTTTGTTCTACGGAAAACGATGTCTGGTGTAAATAAAATTGCATAAGCGGAGACTATTTAAGTCTTGAAACGCGATAACTCAATGTGTGTGGGATCAGGCGTTGTCCATTGTTTAGCGTGATATTCTATACGTTACTGTGTCAGCGTGTTTAACACAAATATCTTCATTTTATCACGCCATTTTGTTGATGGTTTACCATATATGATTAGAGACGAGTGTATCGCAGCATATAGGCTGCGAATTTGCAGCAATGTGTAAAGTTTAGACCTAAGGCGAATCCTACCCGCCCATCTGTGCATTACATACTTCGCAAGGTTTAGGAACCTTCACCAGTTGTTACGTCGAGAGAGACAGATGTTTTTTTCCGGCATTGTTGTAGGCTACGATGTCTGGTATCAATGTCACGTAAAAGAAACAATTTGATTGGGTCCGCGCAAATTTAAAATTAAAATCGTCGATAGCGCAAAACACAACATGACATTTCAAAACCTGTGTACAGCGCTGGAACAATATGGACCTACTCGAATTACTTTACACGTTAACATTTTAGGTGAGAGGTCACGTCGGGTGTAACAAAAATGGCTTATGCCTCCGAGTTTTGTTATTGCGTAATAATATTCCGATTAATGAAATGCTGTTTTTTTTTTGGTAGTTTCCATATAAATTATAATTTTTATCAAAATCGTATTTTAAAATTTATGAAAGATCAAATGTGAACCTTACAAAATTGGTAAACAACATACTTGTACTGTAAAGAGTGCCGCTTAAGACATTGTGTGTGGGAGTGGACAATTTAAATGAGAATTCCCATGCTCGTCAGCGAAATAGAGTTTACTAATTTTCTAATTAGCAATATTTTTCCCAGTTTCATCTCAAACCTCACTTTGGATTTAGATGGTTTTTCTTATTCAATTTGATTAAATTTGAGTGCGCTGAAAACATTGTGAGGGTATTCGATGGAAGTGAACAATTTAGATGAAAATTCAAATACTCGACAGCAAAAGAGAGTTTAATAATTTTATAATTAGTACTGATATATTTTACAATTAAATTTCCAACTGCACTTTAGATTTAACTGGCTTTTCTTATTCAATTTGATCTAAAAAAATGACAAATGCTATTTTGCTGTTAGTATGATACTATTTCGTCATCAGTATGCAATTTTTAAGTGATGCGCAATCGGTACTGTTTGTATATATTATAGGCTGGAAAGTACCGGAATAAATGAACACTATTTTTATTGATGAACTGAAGTTTCCGCTACTAAGTACCGTTTATTTCCAAAACTTCTAGTTTTACCAACAGCTCCAAAAAAGTTTTATAATTTAGTTCAACTTCATACACCGCAATCAATTCATTCGCTAAATTGGGCGATTAGCATAGTAAACATCTGTACAAATAATATATTTATAAGCATATATAAAAGCGGGGTGCTTCTGAAGTATGTGCACCAAGATGTCGCATAACCTGAACCCTGACCTGGTACACATACTATGTTCAGATTGTGCGCCATCTTGGTGCACATACTTCAGGAGACCCAAAAGCGGTGGTCTAGTTCTCGAAATTCGCGAGGATTAGCAAACCAGATTTCTGCTTTAGACGCGAGACGACTGCAGCAAATGTGCTACATGCGTATATGGCATTTCAAAAATTATGAATAAATTATATTTATATATATGTAAAACGTGTCATACGTATATTCAAACATATATTTCTGAAATGAGGGAACCTGTTGTTAGTGAGTTAGATACAAAAGAAAACCCTTTCTTAAAAATTTAAATCCGATCATTGCATTAAAATAAGTTTGGATTGGAATAGTCATTTCCATCGACTCCTCTTTTGTTAAAATATTCTTGAATCGTTGACGAGGGCGTTTCAGATCAAAGCCTCTGTGAGTGCGAAAGCGGTGTAGGATTTCGCACAGTAATTTACAATTTATTTTTTCTGGATAACACAACATTCGCAAAAAATGACACGATCATATTCATGTATAATCAATTATATTTATATATATTAAAATTTTCTTGCATCGAATTCCGTATTCACAGGGTATCAACATTTTACTTTGAGATATGCAAGTTTAATTTGTGCGCACTAATTTCTCAGAGCTGATGATAATACCAAGCTTGTTGGTTCATTTTATAAATGTACCAACGCGTGTTCAAAAAAAAAAATCAAGACAAACGAAAGAGTATGTTGCGCTATATTTTCGATCGATTGCCGATTCAAGCGATAGAAAAAGGTACTTATGATGCAAGTGCATATATGCGCATGGACGTGTGTCATGTCTTCGAAATGCGTTGGAAGTTGCACTAGACGTTTAACTGGAGTTTAGTTTGTCTGTATTTTAGGACTTGCAAATTTTCATAAACATACAGAAATATAATGAGTTTGGAAATTTTTTTGTCCTCGTCAAATTGTGCGGTCTTCACGTTTATTAATTTTTAAATTTTGGAGACAGGTCAAAATCGAGATCCGTTTCTGGCATGCCATCGGTGCTAGCCTCCCGGCTCACCATTACAACACATTATTTTTATTGATTACGAGGTGTAAATATGGATTGTTTTGTTATTATGTTATAGTTGTTCATGTTAATTTCCTTGTAAAGATTTTTCTTGTTATGAAAAAATCGCGGATCTTTTGTACAAAGCCCTCGCAAAAAAAAAAATTCCGCCAGCGGTCAAAATATGAAAATTAGTAATTATCCAGTTAGGGTTAGGAATGCAAATTATTATGCAAATTATTATCTGTATAGTATAATATTCTTACCTGCTGTGCCGACCGCTAACAGAAGAGCGGTCAATGTAGCGATTAACATGCTGTATATTCGGCCTCAAGTTTCCCCAAACTCAAATTCTTTCTTCGCCGTTGCTTCGATTTTGTAGTAATATAATTTGCAAAAAATAACAACTAATAAAAATGGTATTCTATGCTGCAATGTTGCTGCCAGAATGTGACATCCAGTTGAAGATGGCACTTTTATATAGAATGAAACGCTGTTGAGTATGAAAAACTGTATTGATTTGCTGAATTTTAAAGTAATTTTGCTTCGCAGAGACGCCAGTTTACTCAAGAATTCGGGTGAAGTTTCCGTTTCAGCTACATACATTTTCAAAGGTATCAACTTTCTAGGACAGAAGATGAAACAATAGGTTCTCAAACAATGGTGTCGACTAGGTTATATTATTATTATCATTTCCGATATTAAATATGGTTTTTAATTTTCTTTGTTTGTATCGGCGAACAATAAACACCATCGGACAACAATACTGTTCAAGGTTTTTGTTAAAATGTTATTGCATCAGGGCAAATATAGATTATAATAATAAGAAATCTCATATATTTAATTTATTTGTCAGCGATCATAGTTTTGAACGTACCATGCCAACTGGAAAAATAACGTGATTCGTTCCACGAAATCGAGTACAAGCTTTTGTTTAATGAATGATACTGTGGTCTCACACCAACAACACACACGATGCTTTGACGAAGCCAATACAATTATTTTTTGTGGCAGCACCTGATCCAAAGTTACGCATCAAAACCTAGTCCCCGAATTTAATGAAATTGAGACATCCGTATCTTTTTTGAATTTGCAGTGCAGTAGGAATTGAAGAAAAATCAAAGGAAACTTAATTTATTACAAAATATCAAATCTTCCAACCTTATTTAAATAAAACTTTTATGAGAATATGTCAACCTGAATAAAAATCAACTTCCATTCATTTTAAATTGTTCGTTCAAACCAAAAATCTAATAAACTTTTAAATTTTTTAGAGCATGTCCACAAAAAGGTGGTCTTTAAAATGGGCAAGTGTAGACAAAGTTATAATATGTTTGATGTGATTCGTCACTTTGTTTTCAGAACAACGTTAATTTAAAGAGTAAAATCTCGTTTTTTAATCATAATTGAGGGTATGGAGCATTTTCGACAAAACAAAATTTTTGCAAAATTGTTTTTGCATGGTTGCAGTAATTTCTTGGTAGTTATAGGCAACAGTAGCTTAGCTGCGACGAAAATGAAATAAAGGTATCTGGCTTAAATAATGGAAGTGAATTGAATCTTGTAAAACATGTTTTTCTTACTACTTTATAATATAGCAATCTGTAATAATAAAATCATTCAAGTCAGGAGAAGAAAATATTTATCAAATGTAAGCATGTGATATTAGCCGTGGTCCTACTTGGAAAATAAAATTTGTTATCAAATTTTATTCATTCTGATATTAAATTGGCCGTTAAGTTCTGATATTATCAACCAATGCATTTGTGTAGTCACAGTAAAATACCGTAAGCATAATGTCAGTGCCCAGGGTGATTACTCGTTTATTTCACACGATCAATACCTGTGAGATTACAACTATTTTTAACATCGTATTGAATAAACATTCATAGGCACGCAATCTTCTTGTTTTACTTTATAGTGTTTAAGGTCACACAACTAACACAAATAAACAAGGATTATTTTTTTATAATTGTGTGAAGTATTGTATTGTCGGCATTTTCTTTTATTGTTTGTAGCTATTGATAAACTTATGTAAACAATGAACTATTCACTTGAGCAAAGCCTAATTTTTGTTGCGTAATAAAATTTATGTAATGAATGATTAAAATGATATTATATATAACAGATTAATTTTCAATTATTTACTGTATTTACCACTTCCATAGCGTATGCTGGCATCAATTATCAACAGGTATTCACGCTTACAGAATTTTTGTGCATTAGAGTTTTTGAAACCAAAAATTACTTTTGCCAAAACAAAATGACATTCTTAAAATTAATTTTAATGCAAAATAAACAGTATATAATGACAATAACACAAACCTTGAAAAATGTTAATCTCGCCCTAAATTTATTCATTAGCCGAGTATGTGATCGTAGCAAAGCTGTCAATAAAATCCCGTTATTGATTTAAAACATTACCAAGACTCTACCTTTGAACAACCGATTCCTGAAAATAAAATTTCGCTCTTCCTAGTGTGCAAGTTTGGCATAGCGGGGCGAATGTATCAAGGAATGTTGAAAGATTGACTACATTTGAATTTGAAGTAGATGCAGATTCTGACGAATGTACATTTGTGGGAAGCAAGGGAGCACTGCTCTAATACACAACACAAAGGACACGCGTTAGTACGTTTTTGACATCGTTATTATATTCACGTTGATATGTCAATTATACACATTTTGCACTAAACAAAAATGACAATGAAAGCGTCTATCTAGTATTTGCATACGGTCGACGTTGATGATGGCTTTCTCATGCCACGAAAGATTTTGATGAAATATTTGAACTTTGCTTTCTGGAGTTGTCTTACGTTATTGGTCACCATGTAGCTGTTTCACTGTTCAGCTTTGTTCAGGTTACGCTATGAATTTCCGTGAATTGATGAAACATTTTGTTCTGTATTACGTGTCCATATATTTGAGCATAGCACTCTTGTTTCGTAGAAGCATTCAAGATATACTCGAGGTGTCGCAACGGAACAGTTTGGCGGGATATACTCGATACATGCCAGATTTTAATCACGCATTCGCTGATCATTATAGGCCGAGATAAATTGAATTTCACCACATCTGAATAATGTTTTTTTTTAAATTTCTTCAAATCATTATGGTTATTTTTCCCCTTCATATTTTCGTTTTATAAGAAAAGGATCAACTATTTTCAAACATGTATATGCTTTACGACACCTTTGAGAAAAATCTGGTAACTTTATGTTATTGTTTTGAAAAATAGTTTTACCATTGTTTTCGGTTTTAATTAAAAACGAGTTTCGCGATTCACTTGGAAACGTGTAGTTTATTTTGTAGATTGTTCGTTAAAGGATTTTCACAGAAAATTCAATCAAATCAGTAAACTGCGAAACTGACACAATAATACCGATATTTGGTACCGGTAATGATAGCCTAGTCAGGTACCGGTACCGTACGGCTTATTCCTGTATTCCAGTATTCAGTTATTCACATTGCAGTACCGGTACGGTCTAACGGTATTCTGGTACCCGGTATTGCTGTCAGGCTGTAGTTTAGACATACCGTAACTGCATAACACTGTAACATTTACGGATTTATTAGACCAATTACCGTATGTCTTGTGTTCATTTTGAATAAATTGATTACCTACCGTATCCAGTACCGGTATAACTGTATAAAGTTCTTAAACAGAAATGAGTCCAAATGACTGTATGAATGGTGCTTTATCTCTTCAATGCTGCAATCTGAATGACTAGATTTCAAAATTCTTATTTCTAAAATTTACAATGTTTGTCCGCAATCTGAATCTCTAATCACATTTTGAACTTGATTCTACCACTACAGCACTACAGCACTACCAATAGGATACCGTAGCCAATAGGATAGTACCGGTACGGTACTGTAGTCAGGTAGTAGGTACCGTAATTTTTGTATTTCCTATGAAACTGCAGAAGGTCTTCTGATTTGATAAAATCAAAATACATTTTTGATGGTTACCGGTATTATTGATTCATTTCTGCTCCTGTACTGCAGTACTGCAAATTGTAATATTTATCTTATGTTTTAGTTAGCAATATGCATTTTACTTACATTTTTCGCTCTTCAAAAACCTGGTGTTGATAAAGTGTCATAAATTTTGTTCATTTCTGTGATGGCCCCTGGAACCAGGCCCGCTTCACACTCAAATTTTTGTCCTGAATTTCCATCAGAAGGCAACATGTTTGAGGCCAATTTTGATGATGTTGCTGCGGAGAGCGACCCATGGTCAGGTGCCACAGATTCAGACTATGGTGCTCAAGATACAGATCAAGGATTTGAAGATTCGTTTATATCTAATGATCAGAATGATTCAGAATTTCCAACAAATCAGCAATCTGTGTCATATGAGTCAAACAAGGATTATTTAAATTATTTAGAATCGAAACTTCAACGAATGGAAACAAAACGTAAAAATACTGATAAAGTTAACGCACGAGATGTTCTCAAATCACTGAAAGATGTAAAAGAAAAACAAATGCAATGGAGTTTTCAACAACAAGGGGTTTCGTCATCAGAAGGTGATACTTTCGACAGTGACAGTGGCCACAGCAGTGGAAGTGGTAACGCATTGACAAACGAACTTCGAAGAAAAATGTTTCCAGAGCAGCACGCACAAAATGACACCGAACTTTTGCATTTACTAGATCATGATGTTATACAAAAATTATTTCTTAATGTTCAAGATGATTCTGCAAGTTCAAGCAAAACTTGAATATATTTTTATCCATTTGAATCGAAATAATTAAGTTCAAATGAAATTTGTCACAGTAGAAGTCTTTGTTTACTCAAATCATTAAGTTTGGTGCATATAAATCAAGTGTATGTCGAATCAATTTCCATGTACCATATTTGGCGCTCTAGAAGTATGTGTACCAATATGGAGGTACAGTAACTACATATACTACGGGAGTAACTTTTATTTTTTAAATTTTCATTTTCAAAATTATGGGACGTGTATTATGCATTGTTGTAGGAAAATACAAAAAATAAACAGTTCTGTTGTGAATGATATGCCATATTTGAAACTACCGTAAGTAATAATGACCCAGAGGAGAAATTTGAAATGTCTATAATTGTTTTATCGTTATTCCACTTTAATTTGTTTGTTTCCAGCAATATATCGTAGCTGGTTTGTCATCGATAAATGGTGCATTATGTTCTTGTCCATTCTATAAATAGCGATTAGTTCATGATATTATTTTTATTTCTTTCTTGTTATATTTTTTGTGATTGTGATTACAGTCAGGATTCATGAATTTAGAGAAGTCTAAGCTATAAATACTCATTCCTGTCACATGCTGTATTGAAATTTTTGACAATTTTGAAATTAGGCTTTTGTAGCGGCTGATGAAATAACATAATTTTAATATGCATGTCACTTTATTACCCAGCCCTACATGTGCTAATTGACACAAGTCCATGTAGAAGTATTTAAATTTGTATAATTTTGTTCCTCTTTACAAGCGGCAACTTATTTTTGGTTTTGATTATTCAACCAAGATGAACCAGTATAGTTGTGTCTATTACTCGCTTAGCATCTATTAATTCACAGAATATATTAAGCTGTGACTGATGTTCTAAGTAATTGTGTGTTTCAGGTGCTCAGTCAATTGTGATATGTTATATTACTATGCCTATACTACTTTATTATAAATGTATCAGAAATGTATTATATTATAGATTGTAAGCTCTTAATAAGTAATATTTGAAAAATAGAATATAATATTTTGCTCATCAGTATGTCTGATCGTCTCACACAACTTCAAGATGCCGTCAATCAGATGGCGGAATATTTCTGCAACAGCGTTGGAATCCTACAACAGAATGCCCCACCTGGATCATTTGCTGGATTAGAAAAAACTGGAAATAAGGAGCCTGCTATTTCAACTGATGAAAACGTCAAACTTTTTGCTACGTTAATAACGAGAACTGCTAAAGATATAAACGTTTTAGTAGACTCGTTACCAAGCGAAGAAAGTACGCCCGAATTACAGGCTGCTCATTTAACTCGTTTAGAGCAAGAAAACCAGGCTGCTGCTGCAAATCTTGAAAACCTGGTGCAGAGAGGGGAACTTGAACTTAACAGAATTCAAACTGCCTTAGCGGAAATTGCCGAAGCCCAACTAGCTGCACGTAAACTCGAAGCCATCCTTGTATGTGAGAGCGAACCTGCTGTTTCTTTTCCTGTTACTGATAATTCAATCGCAGATTTTTCAGATATTCCGCAAAGATGATATTTTTTTGCAATGGTTAGCGATTTGTTTTTAAAACACAAGCAGGCAGGGTGCAATGGTTTTTGAGCAACTTCGGTGTTCAATGAAACATTTGGGCGATCCAGAAGTGTGTGTACCAATATGGAGTTAACTGCCTACTTTACACCAAGTTGTGTAAAGGGACTGAAACCTATGGGCAGGAGGTATATTCCTTTGGCTAACACAGACAGTCCCCGAACACACAATAGAACTAAAATGAGGGAAATTGGAATAAAATTATGGCCTAACCCTAACCTGGTACATATACTACGGCAGAACCAACTTTTGTGTTCAATTTCAATCATACACGAGCAGAAGTTCAAGTGTTGATATAATTGAATAATTTTAGTTCATTTTCATTTTGAAATCTGAAAAAAGGGTAATCAAATCCTTGTTTTTCTGACCTCTTCAGTACTTCTAAATTCAAGCTCATTGAAAAGTATTTCTTATTTATGACGAGTTGATTTAGTATTTATTCACAATTCACTATTCCATGATAAAAATAAGGTTCCAGAATCTATTTGACTGTCCTTTGCATGTTAAAAAAAAAAACAGGCCAAGATCTAGTTTTGTAAAATGGAATTTAGTGTAATTCAGTTTTATTGCAAAACATTATTGAGCCTGCATACTCTTTGTACTTGTTCATATCTCAGGCAATAAACAGGTGACAATTGTTTTGTACCTATAAATAGAAATATTCTTTTAATCAGTTTTGTATTTATGCACGATGGCCTAGTGGTGAAATCATTAGACTTAATATCTGTGTTGTCATCGCAGGTTACTAACCTCTGTTTCAAATTCCATGCCTATCATCTCACCCAGGGAGAATGGATGCGAATGTCGAACTGGAAAGATTTTAGTTCTTTCAGAAATGTAGCTCCTCGCGTATCGTTAAATTTCAACTGTGCCTTGTTCTGAACGAAAGGGATGAAGAAGCGTATAAACAATTGCATGCATACGTTAGTTTTGAGACCATTGAATATAGTTTTTCACAACTGCCTTAAAAGGCATTAATATATCATCTTGATATTTTTGTTATCTTGTTTTAGTTATGTTATCAAATCATTTATTTAGTTATGGTATTAGACTATTAGTACTATTCCACAATGAGTCGTAAAACAAAATCATCATTTGGTCGTGATTCTCTACAATCTCGCAGTTCAATAACTGGTGCAAGTGCATCAAAACTACCAAGAAGCACACCGTTACCTCATTCCTCAAGGAAGGTTCTTCCACGTAAGATATTTTGACATTATTGGACACAAATTGGACCTTTAGATCGTTTTGCAATGTCGTCTTGGTGTTTTTTTTGTTTGCGGGAAAAGTACTTTATTCCACTTCTATTGGGCCAATCAATTCCGAGTTTTCAGTACTCAAAAGATGATGGGGCTGTTAGAACGCTATTATTTTCATCATTTTGCTAGATATTTGTTGTTTTGTGTTTTTTTTTGTTGTTGAAAAAAATAAGCTTTTCTGGCAACTAATGAACTAATCGATGTTGAATTTTTTTAAATTTTTCTGTCACTTTCTGTTGTGCTTGTCAGCAACTCTTTTGGCATACGCTGTGCTCAGTTACCAGAACCGAATTGCAACTGCCATGCCCAGATATTTGATATTGTTGTCTTGTTATTATACTAAATAACTTTAAAATGCGTTTGCTTTGTTTGATTCAGTATTACTTAATTTTTTCCCAGCCCATTCCAGCATCAAATCATCATCGAAAAGATCTTCCTACTTCGGTGGATCGGATCATCATGTTGTCAAAGATACTCGACCTTTGAATGACAAACCATACATGAGGAGATGTATTAATGAGATTGTTAATGTAAGAATTCAAGTTTTTGTCATTCATAATTCAAGTATAATATTCTGTTGCAATGTCTTGCGGCAATTGATAGTTCATAGGGTGACCCCAAATAAACAGAACCCAGGTCATTTGGAACATATTCTAGAGCAGAAGTTCTCAAACTCCAAAAGCCGCATCCCTCTTTTAGAATTTGTCAAGTCTCGTGCCCCACCTCAAAAATGACTAGCTAACAATAAGCTACGAATAACAGATAGTAAGGCGAAAGTATGTTTTATTCAAAAAACACGTGAACGAAACCTAAATATCCAAAATAACAACATGCAAATTCCCAAAATAAGGCGGGCAAGATCAAGTCTAACAACTAACCTCGAAAAATTGTCGCCCTCCACCATTTGAGTTACACCATTTCTAGAAAGGACATAACTTTTGAGTGTGTACAAATTGCTGTAAGATTGCTAAAACTTTTGGGGACAATCATACATAAAGAGAAGTATGAGTTTTTAAGTGTTGAATAAATTTTCCTCATTTTCTTACAATTAATTAAAAAAATGATGGCTTCTGTTTTTTTGGGGTCAGTGGGTCACCATGCAATTTCATGGTATTTTAGTGGTCGCCATTGCTCAGAGACTTCAGAATCTAGTTTTCTTCACTTCTGAATGAATGTGCTACATGACCTTGCTTAAACAAATTCGCTTGAGTGTTCTCAATTCTTCTGACTGGATTATATTATCCAGATATATGAACCTTTCATTGAATAGGATTAAGATAAATTTCGCAATTTATCAATCACAGTTTTCAAATTAAAATATTTGAATTTTGAAAAATAAACTTTCCTAAAGCCTTTTTAAAAGAAATTCGGGGCTCCCGAAGTATGCGAATCAAGATGGCGGACATCGGAATGTAATATGTGTACTAGGTTAGGGTTAGGCCATAATTTTAGGTATAAATACTACGGGAGGCTCTTGGCTAGTCTTCGAACTGATAATAGGACTAAAATAAGGAAAATTGGAAAAAAATTATCGCCTAACCCTAACCTGTTACCCATGTTACGTTCCGATGTCCGCCATCTTGGTTCGCATACTTCAGGAGCACCAGAAATTCTTCCTAATATTCACAGTTTATTAAAGACCACGGCTACCCGCACCCTATAACAGCAAAACTAATGAGTCCACCCACAAATAAAGAATATTTTCGAATTGTTGAATTTGTTTATGGACTTGCCTCACCGGGATATAAGATGATTGTTCGGCCAGAAGAAGAAATGTTCAAGCTACTCTCCGATCATAAGTATATATTTCCTATAATGCATATCAATGCATTTGATATAAACACGTCTTTGTGTTTAACTATTAATGGCTTGCTGTGTGGCTCATCTTGCTGAGCTTTAGAAATGTGTGAGAGGATTGCTGGACTCCTCGCCCATGAAGGGTGGTTCACGTAACTGCTGGTCGGTTACGACTTACTCCACCAACAAAATCACTGCTTTCGTAAACAAATAACTAGCTAATTCCATACCCGACATGGACTGGTAATCGGACGAGAGGCCCTGGTTCGCCATGTGGTTCAGCCGTCTTATCGGCTTTTCTTTCCCCTGGGATAAATATATAAATCATATCCTAACTCGCTAAGTTTATATTGGTATGGAATTCTTGAATTTAATTTCAACTAATTTTATGATACACACGGTATATAATTTCATACTAATACTAAAGCTATACATTTCTAGGTATCAATTGCTCTTTTTGTCAAAATTTGTTAAAAAAAGAGTCCTATTCATCTGAAAGTTCTTAGGATATATTCAGGTTATGAATGAAATCTGCTGTTGTCAAAATTCAAAGTTTGCTTATGTATCAGTGATAAATTATACATAACTCTGTTCAGAGTAGAGGTGAAACTCCCCACAAAATATCAGCTATTGACACTATTTTTTTATAATGCATGCAAGATGCAACAATGGATTCTACAACACCATTTGGTGCAATCACTCACGCCTGCTTACAAATAAAAACCTCATTACATTTTTTGTTTTTTTCTCATCTAGCTATCCATTCAGTGTGTCAAAAAGTACGTTGAGTAACGTTGGGGCAATGAGTGCGTGGCCAAATGCATTAGGAGCTCTGGATTGGTTAGTTGACCTGGTCAAGGTAAATGATTTATTATTCAAGAATTTTAATGTTGATACTCTAAGTTTTGAAAAAGGTTTTACAGGTGGTGTATCTGGCTAAGTGTTAGGAATACGCTTGTTGTTTCACCTCTGATTACCCCTAGTGGGTTTGCAGGTTCAAATATTCTGGAAGATAGTTATGTTCAAGAGGATTGCTGGACTCCTCGTCGTCGTAGGGCGGTTCATGTATCCGCTGGTTGGTACGGCTTCCTTACATCTGAAACAAATATCCGGCTGACCAATCCTGTATTTTATTGTAACCAATGACACAGTTCATTATACTAATCATGGCAATGCTGGTTTTATTGGTTCACCCTGCCCATATCTAATTTGGCATGGTTGTGCTTAAACTGGCTTATTAGCTTTTCCAGCCCTATGATAAAAATTGAGATGTAGCTGATGATACATGAAATTTAGTATGAATATACAAAGTTTATTGTAAAAAAGTGAAAGTATTGAAATTAAAAGTTACAAAAAGGTTTATTGTATTATTTTAGAAAAACGCAAGTCACACATTTTCTATTTTTTGCTTTCCATTTTTCCATTCAACGAAATAAAATTTGGAATAATTTTGATGAACAATGACTTGATCATATGCTTCAAAATTAAAATATATTAGGTTGGACTATTAAACAACACCCAACACACAGTAACTTGAAAAATTGATTTATTGATTACAGCCTATTTCTATTTTGTTTAGTATATGAAATCCTTGGAGGACGGTGAAATTGAATTGGATGAAATATGCTTCGCTGGTGACAAAAAACAAAAGGTAGGAACGTCAGCCACGTCACATGATATCTTACATACTTTTAGTTAATTTAAGTATCTGCTGAAGGGCTTTCCATTGCGTACATACCATTCCTTTTATTGCTTATAACTATCACTATCTAGTAATGAATCAGTATCTGGTCATAATTGAGGCATCTTCACAGTGTTGTTGCTAGTTTCCTTTTTATGGTTCAACCACCCAATTTATTACACAATTTGGAAAAGCATTGAATTTGATTTTGAGATTCTAACCTGCAGGGATACACCAACATAGCTATCCAGTCAAAGGCTTTAACTATGAGGCTATTAAATCGTACTGTGTGTTTCTAATTTTCATTTTTGAAAACCCATACTGGCAGAATGACAGAAATGCAGAAAAGCAGACCGACTTAATGTTATTGTACTTTACAATGTCACAAAATGGATCTGACCACTCTAATAGCCTCGACTGCCTTACAAATTACCCAATGCTTAGATTTGTGACCTTTTCATCCATTTCAGATGCATCATGAATATCTTCAAGCCACCTATATCGCATTCATGCGGGGAGAGAATGCTCCTTTTACTGAGATTGACAACGCTTTGAAAGACCAAATTGGTAATTCTTATTATGAAATAAAATGTCAAGTCTACCATTCAATTGCTGCCCATCTAAAGCATTGTTCAAATTGAAGCCAAGAATTGAGCAACTGAGTCTACAAAAATCTCTTTTCTAAAGCATTATAACATGCACTCACTTAGAAGTAAAGGAGCAATACTATGGATGACCAATGAAATGACAGAAGCTACTAAAACTATTCAGAATTATATCAACACATTGCAGTTCAGTATTGAGAAACTTAGAAGTCAATATATTCAGAAAAACAGTTGTGATTTTGTGAATTTCACATACTGTAATTGAAGTTTTTGAAAAAATATTTTGGCAGAAAATCCCTTTGTCTGGATTTAGACCAGTGTTTCCCATCCTATGGATTGCCACCCAAAACTGGGTTGGGAAACACTGGTCTGAATCCAGACAAAGGGATTTTAGCTTGTAAATCTTCTGGGGTCGCTTGTTTTTTTAACAAAAGTTTCAAAAATTACTAATTTTAATTTCTATAAGTTTTATTCTTTATTTTATTTTTGGTATTGAATTTGGTGTTGCTCAATAGTGATTGTATTTGTGGGAAGTATCACAGCATGAAAACTTTGCAACAATTATTTTGTTTTGCTTAGGGAAAGCCACGCTCCGATTTCAAAACTTCATTGAGGAAAAACTAGTGTTAGTCATTCAATTTTGTGTCCATTAACGTACTACATCTCTACATGTCATTTAGTATTTGAGTATATCCTTGGGTCGTGAAATTTTACAAAATTTATTTCTTAGTTGGGTCGCTTGAAAAGAGATATTAATATCATTTGCATTGTTCTTCAATGCATTTTTTACAAAATATTTTTTCCTGAAATTTAAAATATTTACCATTTTGTTTTATTCCTAAAGCGGAGAAGAACAAGGGTATGGTTGCTGAAGTTGCAGACTTGAAACTCAAATTAAAACATCAGCATGTGGAAATAGAAGAACAGATGAAGCAGAAGGTAATGTAGTAGTAATGAGCAGCTAAATTAACTGTTTAATCGAAACTTCTCAAACTCATGAAGCAGTTACGAATGCTGCATTCAAAAGAAAATTTGTACTATATTTACATTTTTTGCGTATAGTGTAGTTTCTACCATGAGTACTTCTACTGGGCGTAGCATTACAATTTTTTCATATGTCAATCCTAACCCCCACCTGCCTGCGTCATTCAAAACTTACGTCACTACAATGTCGCAGTGACGCAATAAGGCCCTTCAAACTATACAACCTCTCATCCGAGATGCGCTCGCATACGATCACCTGAAAATGAACAAGCTATTTCTCTCGTTTTCTTGTCGCAACGATCCCCATATGAGAGATTGCTACCACTAGTGAGATCTTTATCGTCGTGATTGTGATGTCGTAGTGACATAATTTTTGGATGGCGTAGTCAGCTGGGGGGTTAGGATTGATATGTGCAGAAATCGTTATGCTACGTCCAATAGAAGTACTTGAGGTACAAAACTACACAAGACCCAAATTTTTATTTAATTATTATTCATATAATTAGGGCTGGGCATTTTCGAATACCTGATGATTTCAGAATCTAATCGGATTTTTTTTTCGAATCGAATTTCGAATACTTTGTGGAGATATAAGATTGTGTACCGTAACTTTCTTATTGTATTAGGTCCTCCAGACACATAAATTACTGAAAACATAGAATACATCACTCACACAGATTGCTGAGCATTCACATACAATAAAAAACACATTTTCATCAATAACTCACTACAAATTCTACCTTATACCTTGTCTATTTGCGTAAATTTGGCTATCTCAGCTAATAAATTCAGTTTCTATTTTTTAGCTTCAAGAAACGAATATGGAAGAAAAATATTTGACAAATCAAAAGCTAAAAAAAGATCTCGAAGTTTATTTTGAACAATTGGATAAATATTGTGAATCTGTTCAAAATAAATGCACAGCAATGCAACAGAAAATAGAAGAAATGGAGAATCAAGCTACTCAAATGGAAATGGCGAATAAAGAAATTCAATCTGTTGTAGTTGGCCAGGTTAGTATTATTAAATTCATGAAGAAGAAATGTGGAATGTAATTAGCAGTACAAGAGGGCTCTTTAGGTCATGTTTGTGAACATGTAAACTCTGACTCTCAACCATGATCGTCAAACACTAAAATTAATGCTGTTTGAGTTTTAGTACAAAGTTTCGACAATTTTTCCTTCATTGCAACTCTGCGTTCCTCATATGGACTCTTGACTCCCAATTCGAAATTTCAACTCCCAATTCAATGGAGTTTAAGAATACTATTCAGACTCAAGTGAAAACATGCTAAAGTCTGACATCAGTTTTTTTTTCCACTGTCTTTGTATGCACCTAATATTGCCCATACATCTCTTGTAGTTTGCATCATTTTTTCCGACCAGGAACTCAGTGTCGAAGATGTCCAACATATGAATATTGAGCTCAATCAATTAGACGGCTCAGTAAAATCAATGGAAACGAGATGTAAACAGTTGCAGGATCAATATTATGAGAAACAAATTGAACAATCAAAGATGATTGATAAAGTGAGTCAAAATAGATTTAGTTTTAATATGTAAGTTCAACACCGTTTGCTCATCTCAGAAAATTCCATTTTTGGTTTTGATTGGAAAGAAGGAAAAGTTACAAATTTTGGCAACAAATACCAATTGAATTTGACATGTTAGACATATGAATGTGGTCGATAGTGAAATCCTTGACTGACCCTTGATGACTATGTGCTTATAAAAACAAATCTCTTGACTCCTTGTGAAAACGTGCCAAACTCAACGCGCGCAACTCCACACCATTGCTAGAAAAACTCATGCCTCATGGCTTCAATATCAATACAATCATGCCGAACTCCTACACCGACTTCATAAACCTAATGAAGAATAATCAGCACTCAGCAGTGTGATATAGATGACCTAACTTTGTGTTCCTTTCTCAAGCTTAAAATCTTAACGATAGATACTCTTTCATTCAGATCAATTCTCAAATCGTGGAATACACAGAAGCATGTAGAGAACTGGAACTCATACCAGAGACTGCTGCTAATGCTAACGGCATTGATTATAGTCTCAGTACAGATCGTTCTAAGATTGATAAAAACGTTGACAATTTGGTTGCTGTTATTAGAGTAAGTTTAATTATCTTGGTTCAATTAGATGGATCTTTGTGTGGCGCTCCAGAAGTATGTGTACCAATATGGAGGTAACTAATTGCGTAAAAGGACTGAAACCAATGGGGTATATTCATTTGGCTAATACAGATAGTCCCTGAACTTGTAATAGAACTGAAATAAGGAAAATTGGAATAAAATGATGGCCTAACCCTAACCTGGTACACACACTACGGGAGTACCCTATTGTGTTCGAAAGTTTTTTATATCTCGAATATTATTTTTACAGTATTTTCATTTGTTTCATTTCAGCCCAAATTGATTGCTATGAAAGGTTCGTTTCTGAAGGATGTTGGCAGATTACAGCAGGAAAGACATCATAATGCTACTATCATAGAACAGGTTTGTTATTTAATCTTCTTTATACCCAAAACAATGTTCTTTTCCTGAATTGTTTCAGGTGCTCAGCCATTTTTTAGGATCGACCTCCCCAACCCCCCCCCTTTTGGAAGACTGAAAAAAGTCGCTAATAACATGTGCGATTGCATTTAGCCAAAATCGCTGATTGTTTTTATCAGCGTGATGTGTTATTCAGGTTGTAAACACATTTACGTCGTCGTTGTTTATTCTTTCTGAATGGCAAATTTCCCTCAACATAAGTATGTCTGGTGCCATGACAACGATGATATTTAGTTTTGAAACTTCTTTTTGAAAATCCTGGCTGCGCCCCCGTCTGGAACGTTTGGAATTTTTCACCAATCAGTAATTACTATTACATAATTCATCGCTTTCCTCCTCATCGGTACCAGTAGTTCTTGGTAATTCATTTCGCTCTCTTGCCTAATTATTTTTGAAGTCTGAATAGGTTTAATAAACTCATTCCTTTCTAATTCCAGTTGAAAGAACAGATTATGGATCAGAAACGATCAAAAGAAAATGTTTCGCAACAACTCGAAAAATTAAAGGATGAAGAAGAACAACAAAAGATTGTAAATAGGATTTTCTTACACTCAGAAATAGGATAGGCACGACTCCAGCACAAAAATTGATCTTATGGCAGTGGTTCTTAAACTGCGCTCCCTGTCTTATTCAAAAAACATGTTGAAAATATGAGGATGGAATGCAAAACTCCTAAAATAAATGAATGTGAATATCCAAAATAGGGCGGGCAAGATTAAATCTAACACATATTTTGAATTAGCTACACGCCCCCTCTGAAAAAATGTCTACGTCTTCCTTGTGGGGCTCGCCCTACCCTTTGATAACCACTGTCCTTTGGTATATCCAGTTAGATGTTTCCCATCATCAAATCATTTCTCTCTGATCTCTAAATCATTGTGGTTGTTGATGGCCAGCGCTGCCACGAATACCCAATTTCTTGTGGAGTCTCTCAGGGACCAGTTTTTGGGCCTCTCCTTTTTCTAATATTCATTAAAACTGGGACACATTCCCGGTCAAGCTAGGGAATAAACCGGTTTGATCTTGATTTGCAGGATTTTGACAAAGCAGAGGAGGAACAAAGAAAAGATCTTGAAAGGTTAAAGGAAGATATTCAGAGTTTGAAAACAATGAACTCACTCTCACTTGAAGATGTTAAAGCTCAAGTTAAGATTGAGAGAGAGAAGTAAGCCAAGGTTTTATTTCTGCTGTAGTCGTTCGTATTTCATATGTATCGAATGTAATTTGAATGAAACTCAAAATGTAATAATATTATGATAATTTAAAGTTTAAGACTTCTATAATTAGTATTTCGGTGATAAACCTACAAAATTCTAAGATTAAAATTCTTTACCTCATCACCCAGGGTGTAAAAAAGTATGCGAGCCTCCTTTAATAGAAAATAGTAAACTTGATGACCAACGTTCCCTCTAAGAGCTTAGTTGCGCGAAACAGAAGGCCATGTGAGCTCCAAAAAAAAGGTCTTAGAAAAAATAGAGAAGAACACAACATTTTATTAATACTTATGCAGTCAGCGGCAGAACGAGAGTACTGCGCGTGGATTCTCGGCAAGCTGTGCAGATTAAAGGAACGTGGCCTATGACTTGAGTTTTTTCAGAAAATTTCAACATCTTCGGAAAATATCATCTTTTAAAGCCGGGGTGTGCAACCTTTAATACAAGAGTGCCAGATACAAATAGCTGGGTGAAACTTTGGATCTCATCTTTCTTTAATATAAGCTTTCTAGTAGTTTCTGGCACAAAAATTGTGGATAATGATCTTATGACATGCGTTGTTGCAACGCAAAGGAATTGGAATTACTCGCACATACTGGATTAAACTAAATTGAAAACTCGTTTCGTGGGACTCACACTATTCGAAATTGGCACTTTTTTGGGGACCACACAATTTTCCTTTGAGCCGCATTTAGCCCGCGGGCCGCAGATTGCACACCCCTGATTTAAAGTATAAAAATCTCAACCCGGATTAATTCAGAATTCAAACTTTGACTCGCATTGAAAACATGCCAAACTGCGGACTTTGATGACACCCTAGCTCTGCTTGTTACACATGTCAGCTTTTCACTGCTTCATTGTATAAATTTTTCTATTCTAGATTAAGAACCACTGAACTGAGAAACGAGAAAGAAGAAGATGAAATGGATGAATCACTGATAAGAATTTCTGAAATGTGTTTGTCGCAAAAATCAAAAATTGATGAAATAGTAAAAACGTTTTACAGTGATATCAGAAAGACCAACGAGGTAAAACAAATTGACATTTTACTTTTTGCTTATCAGTCCGGGTTGCACAAGACAAACTTCTATCCTTCCTTGGTCTTTGCACTACTAGATCCGTATGTATGTTGTGCAAGAATGCTGTAGCAGGAACAGTGATTTAAAACTTTTAAACCACATAGTTTATTTCAGGATTGATATTTCCTAAAACAAGATCTCGGTCTCAAGACGAGCAATTGAATTCGCAAGTAATCATCACTGACTGCATTAAATTATGTGTCCGGTTAGCAACTGCATCTTATCTTGAGACTAGACCAGTGATATTCAGACTGAGATAACTTTGTGAGAGACTAGAACTGTCATGGGCAGACTATGGCCTGTTGAGTAATTCAATCAGGCCTCCTGTGATGTCACAACCAAACTGAGACCAAATTTTGATGTTTTAGCTAAAAAACAACTCAGGAATTTGTGAGATTGCGATTAAATTTAGTTTTGTCTTATTGTTTTTCCGCTTTAGCTTTTGTAACACTGCAAACTTTGTTCATAAAATCGAATTTTTCACGTCACGCTTTCATGGTCCGCTAGTCCAGATGCTCCTGGTCCAAAAACCTTTTCTATAATAATTAGAAATAATATTACCATCAAAATATTTTTCTCAGAAATTTCTCCCATTATTTGACGATTTGAGACAGAAGAATGAAAGTTTAAAAGCAAAAGTGGAATCGTTGGCTGCTCAATTCAAACAAATAATAAATAAATGAATTCTCAAGACATCTTGTATTGTTGAGAAGCTTGAAATTTGACTTGGTTTCACCGACAGATATTATATTGGCTAGCTTCGTGCAGAGAAGTCTGCCTTTCGGGCGATACTGAGTCAAAATTACAGGGTGTTCATAAAAAAAAATTTATAATTACAATCTTGTTATGAAGACAGTTCTCAGTATATCTTAACCAGGTTTGTTGTTTTTTAATCAGTTATTGTATACTTAACTCATTTAATACATCTGTGACGACCAAAACAATATAGGGTATCAATAAAATCCATTTGCAATTTTGAAAGTTTTCGAGACTTTATGGACTCCTATATATTTGATCATATCTGATTACTCCATCCTGCCGTGCTAAAGCACTACCTGATTGGTTGTGGTTGAATAGTTAAAAAAGTAGGTTTTTGAATAAGTGCCTTCTATGGACAATTGTGTATCAGACTATTATTAAAAACTTGATTGCAATATCTTTTGAAAAAAGTCGATTTTGACCTAGTCATAGACCTCTCAGTGCCTTGGTTGGTCATAATTAAGGAGATTCTTTTTTGCGAAATAATGTGGCTCAATCATATTTATGGGAATTCCACTTCTATGTCTCATCTTCATACCTTCCTTCACTGACGATTTTCATGATAATAATAACACACTGCCTTATTACTTACTGTTTAGTAACATTTCTTTTTGAAAATAAAATTTTTCGTTATTTTGTAAATGCCGGTGATTTTGTTTTTCTTTGCATATTGGTATGTAAATAAAACGTCACTGAATTCTTGCATTTCTGTAATGTGAATGGTTAAAAACTTGTCTCGTAGGTCAATTGGATTATTCGCTTGGATTTTGGAAATACATTAGACCAGCGGTTCCCAGTTTGTGCTTCGGAAAATATTTCCTGAAAAATGACTTATCTCTAGTTATTAGATCTACTCGAAGCGGGGCGGACAACTCAGCATAGATAGGTCAGTCTTGTCGCATTTGACTCTAAAAAAATTGCTTATAATACATGTTTAGATTTTTCCATAACGTCACACCTGGGTCGAACGAAGTCAATTCGATATTTTTTACACTTCCCGTAGTGTTTTATTCAGTAAAGCAACGCATAATAGAATGCTCCGGAAGTATTCGTACCAAAATGACCCACAACCTGAACGTAGTATGTGTACCAGGTTAGGGTTGTTCAGGTTGTGCGTCATCTTGGTAAGAATACTTCCGGGGTGCCCATAATAGTACTAAAACGGAGAATTCAAGCCATTATACCATCCTATGTTCATACATATATATTTATTGAGATACTCAAAACTGTGAATTAAATAAACCAAATCTATCTGCAATTGCCGTAAAGTTTTTGAATATAGAATTCTGTATTTTGCTCAGTGTTACTCAAATTTGTAACTACGACAGATTTAAAATGTATATTACAATTACAAGTCAATAAAATCATTAAACGATTACGAAAAGTCGATGACTGATCAGTACATTAAAACATTTATTCTCACTCTAGTGAAGTTGAATCAGGAATTTTGAATTAGTTGAGTAATGGCATTCGGCCACACAATCGGTGAAACTACCCATACTTTATCATGTGCATTCAAATTTGATCTTCCTTCCATATATTCATTTTTCTTCGTGTTTCGGACAAATCAGCATAGGAATATGGCTGTGATGTAAAACATAATCACTGACCGACCCCAGGATTGTTCTTCTTATAGAACCTAATCCTCTAGTACCAACTACGACAAAAGTCATGTTGTTCTTGATCGCGGCTTCTACAATTGTTGCACCGACGCCATGATTATCTTTCATCTTGGTAATGAAATCATGTTTCATGCCGGCATCCTTACATTTCGTACGATACTTTGTTTCAATTTCTTTCAGCTTTTTTCGTTCCTGTTCCAATGCAGATTGAAGCATGCTTTCCGTTGACCCAGTAGGCATAGCGACTCCCATTCCATAATACAGATGTGAATGTGGAATGACTAAATCAGCAACATGCAATAAAACTATCTCGTTGCTTGGTTTGTGAAAGTGATCAGCATAATAGTTGAAAGCCAGCTCGGCATTGTGACTTCCATCGACACAAATTAAAACTCGAGATCCACCGCTTGTTGTTTCTCCAACCGAATCTGCCATATTTATATGATTACATATATATTCTATTCAAAATAAAAGTAGGTAACTAGGATCTCTTGTAGAAAGCCCGCTCCAAAGTTAGCGCGGTGAACGCAATCTGCAGTGATCGAAACGTACCGGGCATGTTTTCTCAAATCTCACATATCTGCAGTAGGGGTGTGGGGGCTTTCTACAAACGATCCGGTTACTATAATTTAGTAATGTCAATAACCTATCCATTGGCTGGCGGTACAAAGGATATATATGATTAAGCAAGTACTAAATGCGTATATCGGTTCTTTTTATGCTTTGTTTGTTCACTGCATATCTGATAATGAAAACGACTAACTATTCATTGAGCAATTTCAGTGAACAACTTCCGCAGTAAAGATATAATCTTCCAAATATTATGCTCTAAAATAGGTAAAAAATAGTGTGGGGTATACCGCCATATGTCGCCTACTCAGTACAAAATAAGCGTTTTGCTTAAATGTATAGAATTAAGTGATATCCATTAAGGGCGAACACTATATTACTAGGTTGCGGAAAGTCTCACGCGACAGTGCGTTAGACATCACTCTGTAGTGCTACTAGATTGAGGTAGATCTCACACCTTAGTGTTGTACGCTAGTTCCATTACATTTGAACCTACGTACATTTAAACCCGTAATTTGAACCCACGACAATTGCATCTGCATACTATTGCACCTATGGAAATTTTTTTTACGAATATTCGAACCCATACTAACTCTAACCCATGGTTTTTAGCACTCCCATATAGATTGAACCCGCGGATATATGAGTGCAAATGTATAGGGCTGGGCATTTCGAATCGAATATTCGAATCGAATAGTAAATTATTCGAATCGGTTCAGAGCTAAATTTCGAATCGCCGCCATCTTGTTTTCATCTTTCCGCTAATGGTCGAGATGAATTTCCCATTTTTTTTTTCATTAGAGTCATATTTATTCAACGAAATTCTAACATATGACTATTTTCTGTAGTGAGTTATTGATAAAACGTGTTTGTTATTCTGTGTGAACGCTCAGTAATCTATCTGGGTGATTTATTCTCTGTCTTTAGTAATTCATTTGTTGAGAGGATCAATTACTATAATAAACTCGCTTAATATTATATATTTTCAAGTATTCGAGATTCGATTCGATTCGAAAAAATTATTCGATTCGATTCTGAAATCACAAGGTATTCGAAAATGCCCAGCCCTACAAATGTATGGGTTCAAATGTACGTGTGTTCAAATGTACGGTCACCCCGCACGCTATAGTATCACCCTAAAATGAGCCAATAAAAACTATATTTTGAAATATATTTTTAAGAATTCTGCCGTCTGCTCGGTCGATATTTTGTCAAAATCCTCCCCAATAAAAAAAGAACAGCAACTTACTAGCACGACAATATAATCAGCCTCTCCCTCAAACTGCCAATTCATTTTCAAGCCGCCCCTGATCTGTGAATCAATTATTATTTTCTAAATATTTTGTTACTATCACCTTCCTACATCACGTTCAAACCTCAACCGGAATATATTATGTTACATAGGTTGATATACCTTGCTTACACCTAGTTAATTTTTGATAACACTGGCAAACAAACCCAGACTAATCTTCTCTAAAGGGAAAAATACTTACTTGAATTTTTCTGTCATTAAATCTGGCATCTACTTTGACAACACATCGGGTATCCGTCATCGACAGCGGTTATGCATTTGCGAAAAGAACGTAATATACTGAAAACTATGCAGCCTGATGAAACAAGTAGTATAATTCATTATTTGATTTACACGAAATAGTAATATTCAAGGATATTTTACATTTTTTCTAAAGCTGACAAATCAAACATCGTCTGACGTGTTCTCAAATCAACAATATTGTATAAGGATGTTGTTGGCGCCGAACTCAATCAAAAAGTTGTGTGTACGTGCATACCGCAGGATAACAATACCTCGTTACGTGCGAAAACTAGGGCAATGTAGCAATGAAATTATTATTACAATCTTTGAATTGTCATATTTGTCACTTGAATTGAAAATATTCCTAATTTAGAATCGAATTTACACCATTTGCGGTATTACAATTTTGGAATTACAGTATATATATTGGCAAATTTCGGTCAAAGACCACAATAGCCTGTCACGGCAAAAATGGAATCGTGACAATAAATTACAAAATATTAATTAATCGTGCAAGCATCTATCATAAAAGAGTCTCGCGCAACGCAACTCATATTCACAAAAAAATTTAAAATAACGGTTTGACGCGGACACACCGATGAAACAAACAACCCGGGCTTCTGCGGAACCCTGATCGAAAACCGTTCCGACAAATATACATGGTGTTCAAAAAGTTTCGCCCAATTATAAAGGCTTTATAATCAAATGTTATTTTTTTTTTTAATTTAAAAAAAGATTTATAGTCAACTTGTTTCTAATTGGATGTTACAGATGTTCAATGTTGTAGTCCCCATTTATCATACAACCAAATTTATTCACATTTGCAATTGGTAATGCTAGGAAATCGGGCGGAACTTTTTGGACACCCTGTATAATAATCCCCAACGGGGCAAAATAAATGTTGAGCAAACTAATTTACCCTGTCAAATCTTTGTCATATGCAATACTCTCATTGGATTTGCAGCAAATATTTTGTAGCTCTATTGGCTGACTAATAAGATAGCGCCAACGGCAATCGTTATTTAAAGACACTGTCTTATTTTCGGCGAAACATGGTCCGTCATTCTTATAATTAACCTATAAATACTGGTTCTATTGTACCATATCATAGATGGAACGATGTGTGTATAGTGTGTGGAGTGGATTGTTTGTATGGGCAGATGTTATTGCTCCCATCTCACGTCAATCCGTTTCTTTGCAGTTCAGTACTTATTAAAGTCAATTTTCTGGCAGGTAGGTAAATGGAAACTACGATACTCCCGTAGTATGTGCACCAGGTTAGAGTTAGGCCATAATTTTATTCCGATTTTCCTTATTTTAGTTCTATTACGAGTTCGGGGACTGTTTGTGTTAGCCAAGTGAATATACCTCCTGCCCATAAGCTTCCGTCCCTTTACACAACTTGATGTGGAGTAGGCGAACAAAATTAGTTAACCTACAAATTGGTACACACACTTCTGGATCGACGAAACGACAGGTAAACGGGTTTAATAAACGTTTGGTTCCACCGAGTATTTTGTTATATGTTATGTCGTAATTCAAGCTAAAACCGACTTTTCCATCATGATTGGAATCTACCTCTTAAAACGTTTGTCGCGCGATATTGGTGTACCAAGACTTATGCTCCAGATTCGACTGATTGGAAAAGTATAATAGCCTCAAATTTAATTCTATATAAATTAGAAGAAAGTCTAAAATTAGCCAAGACTGTAAATATGGTAATCTGAATAATAATTGGTAGACGGATTGCGTTTTCCACATAAACAAATATCTTTTCGGAAACAATGATCACGTGTTAAACCATAATAATTGCGTTATCAACTCTTTTTTCGGACTTATCTCAAAGAACGAATGAATATCAGTGGCTCGCTACGATTTTTTTTACCATTGGGTAAGATAGCGTTTAGTTGTGAAGCGGATCAATCATCAAAATTGATAATTTAAAACCAATGATCATACTGACCTTTGTTCCAAAAAGTAAACTATTTTAATTCAATTAATACATAACTTTTGCTGCTTGATTGGATATTGATCGTTTATTTAAGCAATATCGCATTTTGAATTTGATTAGTAAATGATTATTAAACGTCAAAAAATCAACCAAGCATAAAAAATCTAATTTTATTTTGAAACCTCAACCTCTCTCTCATGTCGAGCGATCAATTATGGCTTCGTGTATCGATTTTACGAGTCAATCTTTATATAGAGAAAAGTATTTATCTTAACCAAAGATCTCAATAAAATTATGTCTGAATGAAGCATGGCCACTTTATGCTTCAAAAATATCAAACTTCGTGGTACCGGGGAACCTCGTATGGTCGATACACGATCCAAATCGAGAGAGTACTATTCGCTTTTACTGCATAGCGAGAAATAAGTGAAGTTGAGATCCAGGCGGCATGGCACATATTAGTCGTGGCATCCTGCATGCTATGCCGTAACGAGATTACGGTAGAGCTGTAATCTATTTAGACGCTGGGCCTTGGACACTTACAAATTGTGGTTTGACGCAGTCCTTACGTTCTTTGCGTAGCTCAAAGACGCAACACAAACAGATAAAGTTGACGATAAAGTGCTAGATTATATCCCAGGATTATTTATTGAAGATTGGTGAGGTTTGGAAAATGCGGATTAGTGTGCAGAACAATTTTAGACGGGTTGGACTAAGTGCAAGTCTTGCGTTAACGATACTTGTTTTCTTCTACGTTATTAAAGGTATGGTGTCTCATTTTTGTTTCAATTTCGGTATAATTCAATTCTAAATTAAAAATATGATCCTATTTATCAAGATAATATCTAATGTATTAATTTTTAAAAATTGCAAATTTTGTGGTGATTTCGTGAGGCGGTGGTATTTGGGACAGAAAAATCTTAAAATGGGTGTGACACAGAAACAACTTTCTGACAAATTTAAATTACGAATATAAAATACGTTATAAAATGTTAGAAATTTAAAACGTTTTTTGGTTGTACACTACTTTGAGGCTGTAAAACGTTCTTTCGAAACCTCAAATATTTATTAGTTTTGAAGTTGTATTGATAGCGGACTGTGCGGGCCCCTTCATTGCCTAGTCTAAATGAAATTTAAACTTTTGAAAAATGGACAAAACCCAAATTTTATTTATAATGTAAAGTAGGCTTGCACGTAATTGACAAAAATCAATTCCGTAATTACGGCAAAATCAATTACGTAATGACCCCGTAATTGCGATATTTTTCCACGCATTTAAACCTATCGTAACAACCAATTGAATCCACTTTTTTTCCGAATGGGACATTGAAGTTGGGTTTTCCTATTCTTGGCAGTACTACACGCCGGCGGCAGATGTTAAAGACAACTATCAAGGAGTGAATTCAAATTAATTTTATTCTGATTTTTATCTTTTGTGTTAGCTTTGGTTTTTCTTTATCACCTTCGCAAATTAACCGTCCCATTTTTATGCGATCAATTTTATTTTATCATTACCGACACTGGTATACGGATATTTATGGAAACGATAGTTTTTTAAAACCACCTAAGTACTGAATAAAAATTACGGGTTTCCAATTTATTAACCAACAACGATTTCCTCGCGACGAAGACTTGTTTTTGCAGCGTTTTCTGCATTATCCGACATTACTGCCTTGTTAGCATTTTTATAATAATAATTATTGATGTCGACTTATTGACGATATTCCTGTTACCATGCTTCATTTTACATTCAATCATTTCGCGGACTGAATGTTTATAACATTATTTGCGATAAATTTAGATCAAATATTATTTATTTGCGTATAATTTAAATACCGAACTTATATGACATGCCTTCTCCGAAAATACAAAGTTATATCGCAAAACAATGCATTTTGTGACATTTATTTTACACTCACAACATTTATTTGCTAACTCAAGTCGGCGATCCTATCGGCCAAGATTGACAAAAGTTTGGTCGAGTGCCGGTGGTATTCAAGTCGACGATAAATCAAAATAAGTTGCCGCATTTGGTAAGACAGTTAATCATATATGGCCGAAATATTGGGAGGAATTGTGAAAAACATCATGAGCAAGGCCAAGTCCGGACTGATATATAACGATAAAACCGTTAACAGAACATCAAGATTTTGTAATAGAAAATGGATCTCGCACAGAATAAACACACAGGCTCATATTTATTTAAATATGATAGCAGTTAAATTTTCAACGGTCCGCGAGGAATCCGTCGTTTTGGTTCATTACGCAATCTCTCTTTTGTCGTCATATTGCTATTTGATAAGCGCGACATTAATTATCATGGCAAGGTATTGGCGCGAGTGATCAATCGCTCTTTTCGCTTATTTGGTTCCAATTCGTCGCGAAAGCTCTTCGTTAAATTTCACAAGATAGTCGTGTTGAAAGGTTATGGATATTTTCCTGTTTATACCCCAAGTCTGAAATGAAACAGCCAAAAATAATATGATATTCCATGTTCATATATCAAGTGTTGATATTAACAATAAAGAATGGTTAAGCATTGCTAATCCACACTTGGTGGGGAATTCCCACTATTCAAACGCGTGACTATAAAATAGAATAAAATAGAAACGGAACATATATACCATAAGTAACGGAAAACTGGAACAAGTAAATAATAAATAAAAGTAAAATGGATACAAATGTTTGATGGACCATGTTTGATAGATTGATCTCCTGCGTTCATTAGTCATTTCACCCGAAGAAGTTGGAACCGGGCGTGTTAGCGTCCATCTGTCTTAACACAATTCTTCCCCCTATCTACGGTTATATGTACATTGGCCATGGCCATGCTAGATAAGATGCGAGAGAAGTTGAAACCAGGTGTGTTGGCGTCAATCGGTCTCAACGCAATTCTATCCCTTATCTACGGTTAAGTTGCGGGAGAAGTTAAAACCAAGTGTGTTGGCGTCAAACGGCCCTACTCAGTTCTTGCCCCATTAACTACGTTAATAATTTACATTGGTCACGCCAGATAAGTTGATAATAGGTTAGTAAATGGCAACGCGTCATGCCTTCCTTCACCTACGTAACAAGAGAGAGAAAAACGGCTGCGAATACCGGAACTCTAACTTCTTCTACTTGTTGAGCTTTCATTTTCGCAATCGACGAAATTGACTGCTTTGAAGAAAGCTCGTTTCAATGCAATAATTACGACTTTACGTAATTCGTAACTTCCCTTCCGTAACTCCAAATAATTACGTAATTCCGTAAATCCGTAAATTACGTGCAAGCCTAATGTAAAGGATATGACAAAATCATGATTTACTATTTCATACAACCGGCTATTTACTATCGATATTTAATATACAGCATATTTCTTCGTTATTTGGCGGTATATTGCAAATATATCGTCATTTCTGTCATAATTTTAAATTTCGTAAAGCTATAAATTAGTGAGAAATTGAACTGTTGCGAACGCCAGTTCCAGAACCCGAGCGCTAGCCATTTGCCGATTCTTACTACGCCTCACGCCCTTGTCACTAGACTAAAATGCGGACAATTTATGCGGTTTTCATTCAGAAACGGAATCTGCGAGAGGAAATTATGTCAAGAAGTTAATCGATGACTTATTCCTGACTTATAACAAAGATATTCGTCCAGTCAACAACACGGAAGAAGCGGTTTCAGTAAATTTCACTGTGTTCTTGTTCCAGATATTAGAACTTGTAAGTAACTTGGTAAACAATATAATATGTTTTTTGTTATCAAATTTTTATTGTTTCTATCAGTAGAGGTTGCGCGAGAATGAATTGCTTTTCATTGTTTCATTTGCAAAATAAATATTTCACTCAATAAATATAATATTCCGACAAGTTGAAAGCGATTTTGACTATTTCACTCGTTAATTTAGCTCTGTCAGTCGATTGTTGTATTTGCACATATATCCAAAGGAAGTAGTCCGTTTAAAGCGATTTAGTGCAGAGCTTTTTTATAATCATACATTTCGTGCCAATAAATATCGCAATTTTCTGCAACTTCTCCTAATTTTATGTGTATAATTAAATACATGTGACGGAAGTTACATCGCTGAACCTTAAAGAGTGTCGAATGATTTTTTGGAATGTGTTGCAACAACATATAGATCAGTATTTCGGCGGTGGATGGGCGGTGGTGGATAGTTCCACGTTGCAAAAGAGAACACTTGCGAATCTGCCAAACTGATTCCCTGTCAAAATAGCCATTTATTTTAGCATTCCACGTTGAAAAACTAAAAACAGTTACTCTAGAGCAGGGGTGGGCAGGATTTTCGAACCGGGGGGGCAGAAATTTGGCCCATCTAGACTGGCGGGCTATGTAAGTATGAAGTAAAAGTTACATTTTATGGACAATATTCACAGTTTTACAGAAGCAAGATTGGAAAACGATAAGCCTCGTGCCAACTCAACTTGATCGCAATCCCAACAAATTAATTGAGCTATTTTTTGCTAAAACAGCAAAATTTGGTTTTAGTTTGGTTGTGACAGCAACATGCGGGCCAGATTGAATTACCCAATGGGCCGGATTTGGCCCGCGGGTTGTAGTTTGCTCTTGTCTGCGCTAGAGTCTAGATCAACTTTGTTACTTTTCTCTTCAGGATGAACGAAATCAGATTCTTACTGCATATCTTTGGTTACGTCAGGTATGTTAAAAACGAAGGAATAATTTACAGATATTCAAGTGTAATTCAGACACTTTGTCAATCGCAAATACAATTTTTGTTATTTTTCATACGACGCTCAAACAAGCCTTCCTCTCCGAATAAGGCCTTATGCAAGAAGCCATTGATATAGTATGTTCCCCAGCTTTTTATTTCAGGGTGTTTACATTTTAGTATGGCATTCATGACTCGTGCCATGGGCGGCGTATGGACACGAGCGCAAAAAGGGCGAAAGTTTTAATCGTAAAATGTTTTAATAAAATAATTTCAAATTGGGATACATGAAACTATGTTTTTTACTGAAATAATAGCGTGCAAGTATCTTACTCCAGCAACAGTAGTTAAAATTTTTCATTTAAGGGGCGCATTTTTCAACTTTGTCATGAGTGGAATTTTACGCCACTGCTCATTTACGTCGTTAAAATGGTACATAAATCAAACTCCCATAATTCAAATGCATTTAATGTCACATAAAATTTTAAATCTGTAAAAGAATAAAAACTAATAAAGATGAACATAAAAAAGCGGAGGGTTTTTCAGGTACTCCCGTTGTGAGTAAACCAAGATGGCGGACACCGGAACATAGCATGTGTACCAGGTTAGGATTAGGCCAGGTACATAAACTACGGGAGTCACTGTATTAGTCCTCGAATTTGTAGTATTCGAACTAAAATGAGTAAAATTGAAATAAAATCATGGCCTAACCCTAACCTGGTACACATACTACGTTCCGGTGTCCGCCATCTTGATTCACTTACTACGGGAGCGCCTTTTTTCAAACGGAAACCAAACCTGGAAAATCATGGAAAAATTCTCTGCCAATATTTTAGGAATGGGTGGACGCAAACCTGTACTGGAATCCAAAGAAATACGATGGATTGGAAGAAATTCGACTTCCATCAAAAAGGATATGGCTTCCGGACATTGTTCTTTATAACAAGTGAGTTTATAACAAGTGAGACTTTTCCAATCTTGTAGAAACTGTCATGAACTGTAGAAAATGAAAATGCCACTGTAACACATTACAAAAGAAAAAAAGTTTTCAGCCTGGTAATCTAAATTTCCGGTGATAATGCAGTATACAGTGCATTTTGGCAGATAACAACTCTTGATTGAGTAAAAAAAAATGTTTTATACTTAAATGCATATTTCCGACGACGTTTAATCATAGGAAATGATCAAAATTCACAACAATAACATAATACCAAAATGAGGTACTCCCGAAGTATGTGAACCAAGATGGCGGACACCGGAACGTATTATGTGTACCAGGTTAGGGTAAGGCCATAATTTTATTCCAATCTTTCCTATATTAGTTCTATTATGAGTTCGGGGACTAGCCAAGTCACTACTGTAGTATTTGTACTTGAAATTATTATGGCCTAACCCTAACCTGGTACACATACTTCGCGAGTACCCACACTGATTCACAGGTCCATTTTATGTCCAATGAATCGACGTGAAAACGTTAATGAGCAGTATCTCTCTACATTCTACAAAACAAAAATTACCAATTATTTTAAATTTTAAAAAATGAAAAATTATTTTAAGCTTTAAATCCGTTTTGCTTATAATTTAAGCTTCATTAGGCTATATTTGTTTAGTCTTAAAATATTTCCGAAGTAAAATAGAGATTCAAAAATACGTTCATGCTATTCTAGAAAGCCACGTAGACATGCGTGGTTGCATCAATATATCGACAACATTTAAGCAATATTTTATATATAGTGCTTTCTCTTATTTTAAATATTTTAATGAAATTTCGGAAATTTTCAAAACAGAAATTGAACAAATACATTCAAGTCGGATTTAATCCGAAAATCAATGGTCCACGTTAAGATTTAAATTTGGTCGAATAAATAATATATTTTAATATTTCATCCGTTCTGGATTTGAAGTAAATATTATCAAAATGTTCTAATTTTGTCTTTCACACATTTGCTGCATATAGTATATATAAACAAGCATGAAATTTACCTCAAAAAGACTCTCTTTAAGCATGGACGTAGATGTTTGAAAAAAAATAGATTTTGAGCCGCAATATTTTGGAAACTACTTTCAATCGCTATATTAATATAATATGAAATATATTTAATACGCTTGTAATTTCTTTCGTTATACCATAAAGTCTAGTTTGGAATAATTACCAATCATACTAGAAATTCAGTTGACTGTTTTGTGTAAAATTTAGATTTCTGGTGTTTTTCAGTTTTGTCACAAGCACCATCTATGACAAATGCGCAACCAGAAAGTGTTTTGAATTCGTCAACAGTCCAAAATTTGTCAATTTGTCGCAGTTTTATTTTGCGCATTTTGGAAATTCCTGTGGCCTTATGAATCTGAATGTAAATTTAAGTATACTATTTTGGCAATTGCTCAAATGAACCTTTTTGAGAGCATCTCACTTTTTGGATTGAACTGATGCATAATGTTCATGGTTCTATCAGAAATACTTCTCATCTGTTTCAAGAATTAGCTTCATTTTGGGGGAAAATTCACAAATTTTTATAAAATTAAAATGTTAAAAAAAATGTGACCGGACAAGTGATCACAGACTAGCGGCAAATAACCAGCATTGGTCAATTTATATACTTTTCTAATAATTATTCGAATAAACCACATTGTAAAACACTTTAAATTCATAATCTGTTCCATTGGGCTTCACTTTCTGGATAGTTCTACAGATTTTTATGATAAAAATGTTGAAAAAAAAAATTTGACCGGAAAAAAGACCACAGACTAGTCGCCATCATCGATATTAAACTTTCGAAATAAATCTGGCATCAAGTTTCTCTACTTTATAATTGCATCATTTTTGAACTTCATGTCCAACAATAGATTATCAATATAACAAGTCTACTTTACCGACAAAGCTTGTTAGAATCGATCGAGAGATGGAATATCGTCGTCTTTACAGTATTTGTTTTTCAGCCTACATTGTATAGTCAATTAGGGCGTCTTGGAAAATCTCGCGATGCAAATAAAATCAAAAACGCATGGAATATTAACTGCAGTTTTCTGATCATTTGCCTCATTAGAAACTTGGGCGCTCCAGAAGTATGTGTACCAATATGGATAAATATGAATAACATTTATCTTTATAATACTATCTCGCATTCTTGTGGCAACGAACATATACGGATCCGCAATAGAAAGTAAACAAGGAGAAAGGACTTGCTGTTCAGTACACAATCCCCTAGTATACCGATATGGAGGTAATTAATTTTATTCGCCTATTTTACATCAGGTTGTGTAAAGGGACGGAAGCATATGGGCAGGGGGTATATTCACTTGGCTAACACTAACAATCCCCGAACTCGTAATAGAATTAAAATAAGGAAAGTCGGAATAAATTATGGTCTAACCCTACTCTGGTACACATACTACGGGAGTACCGAAACTTGTATCTGGATGATAGTTTTCCAAGACACTGTGTCCGAGCCAATATTTCTGAAGCCACTCTCCATCATTATAATAATATATATAAAAAAATTATTAGGAACGCCGGAAATTTTTTGTTATACAGAAAAGTCCAGCTTGGAGTTTTCCCCAAGCTAGGAATATACTTGGCCGCACTGTGAGAGGAATTTACATTTTGGTTACATTTCTGGTTATGCATTGGAAACTTGTGTATGGCTGATATTTTTTCAAGCATGTAGAAACTGCCCTGGACTGTAGAAACTGCAAAGCCACTGTGACACATTTCCAAAACAAACAAGAAGAACTAAATAAGCTAACGAAATTTACGGCGATAATGCAGTATACGGTGCATTTTGGCAGAAAACAACTCTCGATCGAGTAAAAAAAATGTTTTATACGTAAATGCTTATTTCCAACGACATTTAATTATATGAAATTAACAAAATTAAAAAGGGCATTGCTGCATATAACCCTCGTGGGTAGTAGCGTATCTCGCTTATTTAAGCCGGTGTATCAATTTACTCAATCTACGGGGCTAAAGCCATAGTTTCGTAAATTGTTTAGTTTTGCTCATTCGAAAGCCTTCAGGAATGGTTTTATATATTTTGCTATAGATTTTTTGAACACAAGGAAAAAAAAATTGATGTAGATTCACTTCTATTGTGCTCTTTAAACAATATTGTGGCATTTTCAGTATTCAACAAATGGTGTATCGGTTACATATACATATATACACACAAAGAAGTTGGGCAGAAACGTTATATTGCTTATTCAGCAAAATAGAAACAAGCGATAAAGCTTACAAATGACCGGACAACCATATTTAAAAATATCCCAGAATCAGTGACTTGTTTTCAAAACAAAACCGTTATCTTAAACAAAGAGATAGTATCCATGGTTGTGAGCCAAAGCTTGACCGAAATCCGATTACTCTAAATGAGTACTTCATTACATCTAATAGACAGTTCATTTAATCCTGTTAGCAAATCTCCTTTGTATCGGAAATTTGAGTTTTCAAACCAGTACTCTTCAGTGCAACTCCAGTAACAGTTGCACTTCTACACCGATTATCTGTAGGTCATGTGTGGCCAACGCCCAATAAACAGGTGAAAACAAAATGGCAGTAACGACAATCTGTTGTCTATATATACAGAAGAGTAAATTGACACATAGTGGTCCCACGTTTTTTGATATTAAAGCTATCCAAAAAATACAGTGTTCCCTTTTACCACAACGCATCATTTATATCTAGAATTGACGAAATTCAAATGTAAATCATTCTTAGGAGAGGATGATTTAAAACAGAACGATGATTTCAATAACAATATAGGATTGAATTTTTGCAATATATATAATATTTAAAAACATTCCTCACGAGCATTGAATATTTAATTATTTTCGAAATTAAAAAACATTTCACATGATCAAAATTGGTCTGGTGTGAGCTTCATATATCAATAATAGTTATCTCGTGGCCATGGTTATACACGAATCGGTATCTCCCATTTATTAAAAATGAATACCAGTTTTGTTTTGGTCTGAGAAATAATATCCCGAGGGAATTAGTTAATCTGCGGATTCATCAGCTTTATCTCGATGGGCTTTGTTGCCAAATGGTGCAAATTTTCTGCCGGGCCCTTTGTCTTGAATTGATTAACAAAATCTTTAAAATGACATTGGTAGATTTCGTAATACCTCCCAGAACATGCCTTATATTATTCAATTATTTAGGCCGTTATTTTGATATATTATGCCAGCGTTCCCCATCTCAATAATATTGTTGTTTTTAATGAAGAAATATTAATTTTTATTCGTATTTCTAATATTGCTTTGTTATTTCACATTGTTGTAAAACATATTTATGGACAAATAATAAACAAATCAAATTGCGCAAAAGCTCGAATGTGACTTGCGCTTCACACTATATTTAAAGATTCATTATAGACTTAACACATGCCGAGTTTTTGTGCATAGTGGGGAGAGAATAAAGACTTCCAAAATAGGCAGAGAGAGAATTTATCGAAAAATCCGAACCACTGCATACATTATGCTTCCTAAGTTAAATTCGGACTTTGAGGTTACATACAATGATTTTCCCAAAAATACCTATCTTGGTGAAATATTGTTTTTATAAAATAAAATTTCCAAATTTTCAAAATCAACACAGTAAAATTGGTACACACGTAATGTGTGTATCGGGTTAGGGTTAGGCCATAATTTTATTCCGATTTTCCTTTTTTTAGTTCTATTTCGAGTTTGGGGACTGTCTGTGATAGCCAAGTGAATATAACCCCTGCCCAAAGTAACCAGTCTCTTTACACAACTTGATGTAAAGTGGGCGAGCAAAGTTAGTTACCCCCATATTGGTACACACACTTCTGGAGCGCCCGATTTTGAATCCCATCTCTGGTTATAATGAGTGACCTGTTATCATGAATAAACGTATTATAGATCTCAAATCTTTGCCAAACGTTGCTTTGTTGATACTTGCCGCAAAAACCAAGAATGTTGTACTTTTTCTAAAATTATATATATTTCGAACCTCTTGTGTAGGTAATCGTACGGATTTTTCTAAAGTTTCAATCTTGACAAAAATATCGAATTTTCTTTTTAATCTTTTTTAACAGTTAGATAACTCAAAAACACTGAAGGTTTAATCTATTCTTTGGGTAATTAGTATTGGATTTAAAATTTAGGAACATACTCGACACGGTGGTATTTTTATACCACGAGATTAGTGGTTGGGTATAGTGACCCGTTATCAAGATAAAATCGTATTATAGACCTGAAACTTTGCCAAGTGTTGCTTTGTTGATACTGGTCGCAGAAGCCAAAAATGTTGTACTTTTTTAAAATAATATTTCAAAGCTCCCGTAACTAAATTTTTAAATTTAATTCTAGTTTTTTATTCATAATTGTTTCAAATTCTTCCTGACTCATTTTGAACTTTATATGAATATTTTGTCATAAAATGGGGAACATTAAGTGAGTGATTATCATGATAGGAAAACTATGAAAACGGAAATTAGATTTAACTGATGCAATAATCAGGGATTTTATCGGGTTTATTGTATTCAATAATCATTATCTTTCAATAGAATTTGGCGGCGCAAGGACATAGCGATGAAAACGTTGTTAGTTTGTTGTATTGGCAGATCACACATTACGGGTTCAAATTTAAATACAATGTCCCCAATCTCACCCAGGGTAAAATAAATTTGGTGGGCGATACCGAAAATAAAAGATTCCCGTCCCTGCAAATAATAGTGGCGCTTCAGAAGTATGTGTACCAATATGGAGGTAACTAATTTTGTTCGCCTACTTTACATCAAGTTGTGTAAAGGGACTGATTACTATGGGCAGGGGGTATATTCACTTGGCTAACACAGACAGTCCCCGAATTCATAATGAAACAAAAATAAGGAAAATCTGAATAAAATTATGGCCTAACCCTATACTGGTACATACTCTACGGGAGTACCTCAATCGCAGCTTCTTACATATCGTTAGATATCAGTAGCTGCTTATGTAGCGGCTTGTTCGGTGTTCGAAGCGAAAGGTGTGGTGTATAAGCGTAATATAAAAAAAAAAAAGTTTGGAAATGCCATGCCGAAAACGATACGAGCCATAAATAGTTAACCCGACTTAACAAGTCTTGTTATAATGATAATATTTAAAAACTCCGGCACCGAAAATACAAAATCACGACTCCAACATCCATTGTATGTATGTCATTGTAGGTTACGTAATGTGAGATACTATACTTCAACGACAGCTCTGTTAATAGAGATCATTATTGGACACAAGGTGTACATATAGATCGTTTTGTTATTTTTTATTATTTTTTTCTTATTGTTGTGAAAAAGATTGGTTAAAGATTGTATTTTTCGCTTTATTATTAGGCTATTACTTTTACTTTTAGGCTATTATTTTTACTTCTTTTAAAACTTTTTGTGGGCTATATGGGTTTCGATTTTTTTCGTGCGATGACGTCATCAAAAATGCGTAACTTGTGACGGTTCCGATTCGCGTTAGCCGTGATTACTGCGGTTTCGGTAGTCTACTGTGACAGATTGCATACTCGCACTACTTCGTTTTGGCTTTCGTGCCCATATATTTGAACATCGCTCTCTTGTCATTTTATCCCCTATATTTCACTTTCAGTGCCGACGGTACATTTCCAAAAAATCTACAAACCAACGTCGTACTGACATCGAAGGGCGAAATTAGATGGGACCAACCTGCAATCACTAAAACATCATGCAAAATGGATGTTTCGTTTTTCCCGTTTGATTCTCAGTCGTGCATTTTTACTTTTGGATCGTGGACTTTCTACCTGGAACATTTGGACGTAATTCCAACACAAGCGCAGGGAAACAGGTACACTTTTAAAAAATCTTTATTTAGTTTTACATTTTTTAACGATGAATTGGCGTTTTCCAGACCACCGAATTCATCAGTAAAAACGTTACGGTGACGTAACAATTGAAATTTTAAAATTCACAGAGCCAATATTCAGTGTTTATTTAAATTTTCAAAATCGCAGAAGGTGCTTATCGATACCATATATAGTGTTTACTTCTACTGGTATATTTTGAAAGGGAAAAAAATATGATTAAAATAAAACAAACCTAGTTTAAGATATACTGATTACTGATTTGCAGCAGAATTGAAACTAAAAACAGTACTTCATGAAATTTCTGTTCACCTATTAATAGAATGTTTTTCATATACTCTAGAGACGACTTTGTGACCAATGTAGAATGGCAAGTAGTTGATATGCCGGTAAAACGCGTAGTGGAAGAATACTCATGCTGTCCAGATCCTTATCCTATTGTAGAAATCACTCTCGGATTGAAACGAAAATCAACATTTTATATTTTCAACTTGTTGCTTCCGTGCATTTTCATCTCCATTCTTCTGCCTTTAACGTTCTATCTTCCCGCTGAATCTGGGGAAAAAGTTTCGCTCGGAATCACAACTTTATTGGCGATGACTGTATTCCAACTTTTGGTAGCGGAGAGCATGCCTCCATCGGAAGCAGTGCCTTTGATAGGTAAGGTGTTTTGAATGATAGGGGTGACTAAAATAAAGAACCCATGTCATTGGGATCATTTTCTAGAAATAACATAACTTTTGTGCCAAGCGTTCTACATTTATGGCACAATCATACATAAGCAGAAGTTGTGTTCACACAAACGAGTGTTAAATAAATGTTCCTCATTTTAATACAAGAAGTTAAAAAAAGTTATGTTTTTTTTGTGTGTGTGTGTGTTGAGGTCACCCTGTGTAGACCTAAAAAAAACTGAGAAAATACAATTTCACTTTTTATTGGATAAAAACTACTTTGAAAAATATTACTTCAGTGAAAATGAAGAAGAATTCACGGTATTTGATGCTTGGAATTCAACACGCGTACGGTCGTTCTATCGAAAAAAATATACAAGTTCGTGTAGATATAGAAATATTTTGCAATTCCAGGACACTTTGAGTTGAACTTTCATTATTTGAAATTTTTCTGCAAAAAAAACAACACTATACCTAACTTCAGTAGCTAAGTCTACTCGTTTTAACATATAATTCCTAATTTCAATTATTTTTTAGGAAAATATTACATCACGACAATGGCTCTGATGTCCTTCAGTACAGCTACAACCATATTTGTCCAAAATATTCATTTTTGTGGTCCTAACCCTCCACCAGTTCCAGGGTACGTCATTTACTATATCTTAAAAACAATTGTGCTTTGGTAATTGAGCTTGTTGGCCGTTGAAATCGTTTGGTGACGTTATCTCGCCAGTCAAGTCAAACAAAATTTGTGCTTATTTTATTAGTTTATATATTTTTCATATGTACTCTATTGTCACTTTTCTCATCCATTATTTTTACTCATATTGTACGGGAGTGGTTCAATCTTACATCATTCCACTATTACCGGTTTTATACATTTACCATGAATCGGTTACTCTTGACACTTCAGTTTTCGCTTGTGGCTTAATTATAAGATGACTTTCCTTCGCATTTAAGTGATTGTATTTTGCTCTACAATATTCAACTTTTTATAAAATAGGAACAAATGAGGACCCAGTAAACTGCCTTGGATAACTCCTATTTCCGCGAGGGACTTAGTTGATGTGGGTTTATCCAAGATATTGTAAAATAATCCAATTACTGGTTAAATTTAAATGAGTAAAAAAGCATCATTATTTATGACTCAAAGATTGGGTATAATATATCTTGTCCAACGAGGAATTCAGAATTCGTGGATGTTTAAAGAGTTGCCAGATATTGTATTTCCATACGACAAGCAAAGACCAATGCAATATTTCTAGTGCAAGACACGAGAGATATTTTTGCAAGTTCATTTCATCTCGAAGACACGTCTATCACAAAAACTTATTATCCATCTGTCTATAAAATTATTCAACTTATTTCAATATTATCCCATTTCCCAAGTGAGAGAGATTATGTGTAAACGTTAACTCGATACGTTGACCGTATTTAGTTTATTGAAATATCGATTATACTAAACGTAATGGATATTAAATTGTGTGAAGATTAAACTTTCCCATTGCAACGGTTCGAAACAGTCTCCATATTCGGCTCGAAACAGTCTCAATATTCGCCTCCAAACGCTATTCTGTGGTTTTATGAAATGTTGTGCCCCATTCCTACACATAAGCAGACATAATAAAGCCAGGAACTTTGAATGAAATAGTAAATTATTCCAATCGACTCAGAAAAAAAAAATTCGAGTCGCGGCCATCTTGTTTCGAGGTAAATTTTCCTTGTGGAATCACATTTTCGAAATGCAATTCTAAAATATGACTTTTTTTATCTTATTGTGTTATTGGTGAGACGTGTTTCTTATTGTGCGCGACAACTCAGCAAGCTGACTGAGTAATCGATTCTACGATTACACCATTTCAATTTGATTCTGAAGTGTGTGTACCAGGTTAGGGTTAGGCCACAATTTTATTCCGATTTTCTTTATTTTAGTTCTATTACGATTACTATGTTTTATTATTGAGTTCGGAGAGTGTCTGTGTCAGCCAAGTGATTATACCCCCTGCCCATAGTTTTCAATTCCTTTACATAACTTGATGTACACACACTTCTGAAGCGCCGATTATATTATGAGATACTGACACAATTTGAAAAACACATTTATCAATAAGATATGATCCGTTAAGTTTTTATCATTGGTATTTTAGCTGGATGAGAAAATATATTCTACATTATCTTGCTGGACTTCTCAATATCAAAATACATCATAAACCACCAGAGCCACTGAGTGATGCCTGTGAGTCCAATGAGTCTCTTGCTGGTCAAAAATCTAAATTTCATCACAAAAGCAGCACTAAACGTGAAAAAGTTGAACCGAAACCGATCACACACGATGAAGTGACTCCATTTTTGACCAATTCAAGACAGAATCGTCACATTTTGTCACCTGAAAGTGCACAAGAAAAAGATGGTGTTTATAGAAAACCAAATGGTAATTGTTTGAGATATACACAGAGTGTGAGAAGTTTTGCCACTACTCCAATAATAAGTGCGCCGGAACCTATTGCCCATGAATTGACAAAAGAATCCGAGGTCAACATATCTCAGTATCAATTTCAGAAACTAAAAGCAGACGCTCGTAGTAGTTGGCCCACATTGTCACCGGAGTGTATTGCCACACAGCCTCCGATAGACCCGCCTGACTATTTTGGAACTACATTGCCACGCCCACCTTCAATTTCAACGACCTATCAACGACGGCCTTCACTCAAACGAATCACATCTCAACAAGTAATGAGATCCACTATGCGTTCATCTACTTCTACTCCAATACCATCTAACCCTCTAGAAAGTGCGAGTTTACGACGACAGAATTTAGTTCAAATGAATGCGATGACAAAAACAGCCGACTTTTCCGACGATACAGAAGTATCAGTGGTAACACCAGCGTGTAGCGAATCTCCAAAGCGCCATTCTTCCCCGGGACAATATCATCGCAAACACTCTTCGCCTCATGAGATAACAGATTCAGAAAAGACATGGAAAGGACAAAACCCTATACTTGGGCTTGGATTCAGCTCGTACACTATAAATCATCCACCACGAGATCGAGAAAGGCGAAAAAGGTTAGACATTGGACTAGAACCGTGAAATCGAGGAAATTTACAATTGACTCCGACTTTAAGGAGGCTGCATACGCCATAGTTTATATTATTGAAATTTGATTTTTTCGGGAGTTCGGAGCTGAAGTCGGAGTTTCCTACAACCGGGCGTAGGAGTAGATTTTTTTCAATAACTGTTAAAAAGCCAACCTGTGGTTCTCACAGGTTTCTCCTTTTTCAGAATTTGTCAAGTCTCGGGCCCCACCTCAAAAATAACTAGTTAACAATAAGCCACAAATAACGGATGGAATCGCAATCTCTAAATAATAAAGAAATGTAAATATCCAAAATGGGGCGGGCACGATCAAATCGAACAAATATTTTTATTTTTGATCAGCTCCCCACCCCTTCAAAAAATTGTCTATACCCCTATGCCCCACTAACTTCACTTCACTAAGAAAAATTTATTTACAGTTACGAGTTTCCTCCACATTCCGAATATGGTTCGAGCACGAAAATTTGTAGAAATGGATCAAAGAGGAGACCAAGCCGTGAAATTTCATCTCAATTGAGCAGAAGGTGAGTTTATTTATTTAGACGAAAATGAAAAGAAAATTCCACAAACGTTCACACCAAGTACACACAGAGAGCTCGCATTTTTGTAAATTATTGTGTTTTTGAAAACGTATTCTTTTTATGTACTCCAATCGGTACTCCCGTAGTGTGTGTACCAGGTTAGGGAAAGCCATAATTTTATTCCGATTTTCCTTATTTTAGTTCTATTACGAGTTCGGGGACTTTCTGTGTTAGCGAAGTGAATATACCTCCTGCCCATAGGTTTCAGTCCCTTTACACAACTTGATGAAATGTAGGCGAACAAAATTAGTTACTTCCATATTGGTACACACACTTCTGGATCGCCCTATAATCTAATAGTAAATAAATTTTCGATTTTGTGAGGCGTGAATTCCTATGTTAGCATTTTCAATATTTTTGGTAGTCCGCCACCTATTTGTATTCTTCGATATAACTTACATATTGCTTTGAAAAATCAAAAGCAAAGGATTTATTATTTTGATTCTCAAAATAATTCTGAACATTCCCTTGAATTTATAAACAAATCTGTAAGAACAGATAAAGTTTCTGAAATTCTACTTGAAAAATCTTTTTCCAAATATCAGATTGTTTACGAAGTCATGAAATCTGAACCGCCAATTGAAAATAGATTAAAACCTTCAACCGTGAACCATAATTAACATTTAAATGATGTTGATCGAATATTAGCAATTTTATTATTCCATTCGTGGCGCTGTGTTACATCATATGTACAATATATAAAAAACAAAAATATTGACAAACAAAAAGAATGTTAAATGTACTAAATTCAATTGAATATTTGATGAAAAAACAATTTATTTGAGAAAAAAACGGCATTTAAATTTTATTCGATGACGTGACTATGGTTCTCCAATACCCGGGTACCGATTAAATTAATATTGATTACTGACGTCAGTTGTAGTCGTTGGTCTGGGATGATTTTAAAAAAACTTAGAACTGATTTTAAGTGTTTCTGATACGCGATCAAACTTGGAATGGTTTATTGGTTTAGATATTGTACTTATAATATAGTATAGTTGATTGGGTATGTGTAACAAGATGGTGGACACCGGAACATAGTACGTGTATCAGGTTATGGTTAGGACGTAATTTTAGGTATAAATACTAGGGCAGTAACTTGGCTTGTCCCCGAAATCATAATAGAAATAAATAGGGAAAATTTGAATCAAAGTACGGCCTAACCCTGACCTGGTTCACATATTATGTTCAGGTGTCCGCCATCTTGTTGCACATACATTGCCCATTGTTGTGGAAATTTATGTTCAAATAACATTTTAGATTATCGAGGTTCAAGCATCCAAACGCGGCGACCATAAACGACCTTAATGCGACATTTTTACTAAATGCATTTTGTAAAATATATCTTGTCAATAGAAATACGAGAGCAGGGCCCAAATATGTTGACACGGAAGTTGCGCATCGCTAAGAACACCAAGTTTGCTGGAAATATCAGTGGAAAGTGTGACGGAATAAAGTGTTTCTATATTTCATAAAAAGTGTTCCTAATTGAAATAAAACAGCATAATGTGGGTTGAAATACTGGCTCCATGAAATTTTGAAAAAAATAATCAAAGTAATAGCCTTCTAGCGGCTTCAGTTTTTAAATACTGAAAATTTGGAACTGATTAGTCCATTTTGTTGCGAAAGAAAAGTTTTTTTCCTCAGCAAAAACAATCGCATTAACAACAAAACTCATTCAACAAAACAATCCGTACGAACTCTTCATGTTTAATAATTTGTTTTTCAACTTTTTTTTATTCGCAGGAGATCAAGAAGTCATTCACCCGGAAATCCTCTTGAGAGTGAATCAAAGCAAGCCGTTGTGTTCCAAAATCACAGTACACAGACACCATCTAGTGATGAAAGTTCATATTTCCATGACGACGCAAAATTACGCAAATCAATTTCTAAAAACATTTCAACTATTGCGGATCATTTTCGAAGGCAACGAAAAGTTGTGGACAATATGGACGAGTGGAAAAATGTTTCTCGCGTATGTGATCGAGCTCTTATGTGGGTTTTTGTGATGATTCAAGTCCTTTTCAGCACTTTAATTTTGTGCAAAATATTGTGAGAAATATTCTAACATTTATCGAAAGAAATTCATGTTCAAAGAAAAGATAATTGATAACTAATTGAGTAAAAAGGGGACTCTAGTAGTATGTGTACCAGATTAGGGTTAGGTCATAATTTTATTTCGATTTTCCCTATTTTAGTATTATTACGAGTACGGGGACTGTCTGTATTGGCCAATTGAATATACCCCAGTCCATCCAGTCGAGTAGTGGGATTCAGCCGGTTTGCACCGGTTATAGAACCGTCTCACGGAATTTTATAAGATCAGCAAACCGGTTAGCATTACTGGTTACTGTCAATGATTCTTTGTAATAGAACCGGGTGAACAATATGACTTTTGTGATGGAACCGTTTGGCAAAAAAATTGAATCCTACCACTGCCCCTGCCCACAAGTTTCAGTCTCTTTATACAAGTTGGTGTAAAATATGCGAACAAAATTAGTTACCTCCATATTGGTACACACACTTCTAGAACGACATTAATTGAGTAGAAAATTTCAATATTCATTAATATTTGAAAAAGACTACAGACGATTACTAGCAATTTTCGATTTGTTCAAAAATTATTTTTCTGAGACCCTTATAAACTCATTAAAATTAACCAGATTGTTGGTACTCCCGTAGTGTGTGTACCAGGCTAAGGTTAGGCCATAATTTTATTCCTATTTTACTTATTTTAGTATATTATGAGTTCTGGCTGTCTGTGTTATAGTCGAGTGAATATATCCCCTGTCTATAGGTTTTGGTTCCTTTACACAACTTGATATAAAGTAGGCAAACAAAATTAGTTACCTCCATATTGGTACGCACAATTATGGAGAGCCAGTTTGTTAATGGACATCATATTGTCACGGACCAAGATGTTGTTACCGTGGTTATAGAATGAATCAGAAGACTCAAAGGTTCCGGATTGGTTGTTTATTGTACGGCAATTCTAATATCAAACTTAAAACAACATAAACAGACAACACAACAAAATATAACTAAGGAACCGAAAACACGACCGCCCGCCAGCGCGGCAGCCGGAGAAGAGAGATCGAAAGACAGTTTTTGCCTCACATGTAGTGAGTGGTCGGAGTCCAAATCCGACAAAACAGCATTAAATAAATGTCAACATAACAGTCTATAAACATAAAAATATATATATACACAAAACATAAACGCGGACACTTTAGTCCGCGACAATATTTCGATCCAATTGGATACTTGTCACAACAAATTGTGGCTGTTCTATTGACAGTTTTCTGTTTTTAAAAACTTTTTAGATTCATCCAAAATGTTTGAACTTGCTTGTCTTTTATTGACCTACAAATGAAATATTTTTACTGAATTATAAATAAAAACTTACTTCATACTTATGCAGCTTACTTAACTTGCCTGTACCGATTAAGACCGTCCTGAACGCCACTCACCGCTTACCACTTTCCTACAGAATTTTTCCGGATTCGGACTAAACAATTAAAACCAGATTGCTTCCGATCAGGATCCCATTGTCCAATTCTAATAGCTTTACATTAAGATTTTGAACTAATCAATTTCGTTTGATAAAAAGTGGAATTCCATACCAATAACGGAACATCAAATCTGCAACATTAGTAAATTCCTAAATTTACATCTTCAAAAGAGTTGTCGGTATACTACTATAGCCCATTCCTTTTCTGTCTATCTGCTCTGTTTGGGTCAGTCCTGATTATCTTAAGTTAGGTTATTGTTCGACCTATCTCTGTATGTCTTATCAATCTCTCATCTACTCTAATCTGGTGCAACGAAAAATTGTAAACAAAGTCCTCGACGGAGCTGTCACGACGCGTGGTACAAAACGAAAACTATCTGTGCTGTGTACGATTGCTAAAATCATTTACCCATCGGTAATTGAGTATACTAAATCTCAAGTGTGTGTACCAATATGGAGGTAACTAATTTTGTTCGCCTACTTCACATTAAGTTGTCTAAACTCTAAAAGAACTGAAGCCTATGAGCGGGGGTATATTCAGTTGGCTAACACAGACAGTCCCCGAACTCGCAATAGAGCTAAAATAAGGACTATCGGAATCAAATTATTGCCTAACCCAAACCCGGTACACACGCTACGAGAGAACCTTTGTGACTTGGTATCGTTAATAGAAATCACAAATTAGAAGCACACACCCAAAGTACACACAAGAAAGCTATATATGGACACGAAAGTAGCGAATCGGTAAGGTACAGGTAGGATAAGGCGTCGCGGCGGCGCCGACTTTGCCAGAAAGGTCGACGAACAAGCTTGAGGGAATAAAAGAAGTGTTCCCTTTCGATTTAAAATAAACTGCAGAATTTTGGTCGCAATAACGTGTCACATAGCACTCGAAGATAATTAAAAAAATTAAAGCAACTATCCTTGAATTCAATCGTTTCACAGTTTGAGGGAAAAACCCAATAAAATAATTACTAATTTGTTGTTTTAAAACGTGGCGGGGTGTTTTCTCAAATCTTATTTTTTTGCATTAGTGGCGGGGGCTTTGTACAAAAGATCCAATCATTTTTCGGTACTCCTGTAGTATGCGAACCAAGATGGCGGACAACAAAACGTAGTATGTGTACCAGATAATTTTATTCAAATTATCTTTATTTCAGTTCTATTACGAGTTCGAGGACTAGCCAAGTGACTCCCGTAGTAATTGTACCTGACATTATTCGGGGCCTAACCCTAACCTGGTACACACACTACGTTTCGTTGTCCACCATCTTGATTCGCATACTACAGGAGTACCCATTTTTCAACAAAAACAACAACAAAATTCACTCCAACAACAACAACAACAACAATCTAGCACATTGTCCAATACTCTGATGAATTGAACGACATCACTTCAGACCGTATTTGAATTTACAGCGCACAATGCAAATAAGTAATCAGCCAATTTTGTTCGCAAGCTTAAGCTAATACAGAGGCGGGAACTTATAATTTAAAACAACGATGTCCTATTATTTTCGCGTTAAAACGTATCTTATATACATATAAGCAAATGAAAATGAAGCCTACGCAAAAACAATATTACCGTACAGATAAGGCAATTCAAATTAGCAGGTTCGATTTATAAAGCTGAATCTTCCGTGATTTTATACGACTTTTTATCATGTTTGACAGTATTATGTATTTTTATTCCTGCTACAGCATTCTTGTACTACATACATACCTTGTACGCATACGAATTCCCTAGCTCATAGAATTCATTCATAGCCCCAATCTTTGGGTTTTGGTTAATACCAAAGTCACTGATATCACACAGTCGCTGTGATCGCATGCGAAAGTCGCACCATTTATACTCCTGTTGTCGCGAGGAAAAAGTATCAGTATCATCGAATGACGTACAGGATGTTTTAAAGAATAGAGTCATCGGACAAGAGGATGCCGTAATGCTGTGGGCGCAGTTCTACCAAATAAAGTTGGAGGATAATTCGAAAGATAAATTAAATTACTACTGCAAAAAGGAATCAATGCTAGGAATGTTTTGATATTCAGCGTAGAGTGTAGTGAACATAGTGAACAGTATAGCCGGATTGCTAGCGCTGACGAATTGAAAATACAGTTTAATCCTTTCAGTGCACAATTAAAAATTTACGCAAAATTTATATAGTCATGCACATATGATAAACCTGTTACTCAGAGTAAAAATAAAAAATCAAGTGATCAAAATAGTAATATGGTATTCGAAACTGTTATTGCAAAAACATATAGCTAGACCAGTTGTTCTCAAACGGTGGGGCGCGGCCACAAGGCGAGCGTGGACAATTTTTTGAGGGGGCTTGAAGCTAATAAAAAATATTTGTTAGATTTGAACTTGCCTGCATTATTTGTTATATTTACATTTCTTTATTGTTTATATATTGCAGAGAGCTGTTGTGCTTGTATCTTTATTATCCTTAGCGTGGAGCATGTTTAATAGTTCAACTTTGTGATGATAGTTCACAGTTTTGCCTCACTATCTGTTATATGCAGCTTTTTGTTAGCTAGGTATTTTGGAGGTGGGATGCGAGACTTAACAAATTCTAAAAAGGGGCGTGGCTTAAAACGTTGGAGTTATATTTTTCACGAAGTGATACTGCAGTCCTGGCTTACTTAAGAATTGCATTGTGTCCCTTCTATTACTAAATTTTATAATACAATGACCAACCTTTGATAATTTATTTACGCATGCTTTACTAGATAGATACCTGTAAGACAGGAAGTATATGAATCTTGTTACACCTAACACACTTAAAAAAACGTTTTAGTACGATGCATTGTTCTTGTGTGAATAAAAATGAATTTCCCGCACAACGAGAATCGTGCGACACGTGAGTGATCCGGGCAATTGTTTGCGTTCTACTTACGCGGTTCCTACGCTCGTGGTGAGGTTTTGAATGTACTATTAGCGTGATAAATGGCCAAGTTTGCTTGCTGGTAGGTGATTCCTGTGTTTTGAATGCGTCTATGCAATGCCGAATTGTATCTGTATGAACTTTTAATGCTTCTCGGGGATGTCCATATACACAATATATTGTCTTTGTGACAACCAGGCGGTATAGACCGGGAATTCCGCATAGAAAAGAAGTTATATATCAAGCCACAAAGGGATTTGAATGAAATCTAGAATATTTCTCTATACGTGACACTAAAGGAAACGAGTTAGGTGCACATATGAATATTAGCTTTATGTAGATGTTTTGTAATGCTGAGTTTGAAATTGAAGGAAACATTGCTGTCTGATATATCCAATCTCATTAGCAAAAAAATAGATAGTTTATTTATTAACGTTCTATGGCCAGATATGCTAAATGTCTGGCTTCTTCAAAATATTCAAAACTCTCTGTTGCTTACAGCAGGAATGTGCAACTTGCAGCCCGCGGGCCAAATGCGGCCACAAGGAAATTGTGCGGCCCGCGAAGGAGTCCCAATTTTGAATGGAATGCGGCCCGCGAAACAAGTTTTCAATCTAGTTTAATTTAGTACGTGCCAATAATTCCAATCCCTTTGCGTTGCAAAGCCTCAGTCCAATTTAGTATTTATGCCCATGGTATTATTATGCCCTAACAGCTATCTTGTGAGAAGCGAACAACGCATGTCATAAGTATTAAAAGTCATTCCTGTATTAAACGTTGCACACCCCTGTCTCACAGAGTTCCACAGAACAACATACAAAATTTGGTCATTTGAATAAGTCCAATTTCAGTTACCGTGGACCAGCGGTGCTGCACAACTGGCAGCCATAGAAGTTTGCGGCCGTGCTAGTACTTAGCTACAAAATAAACACAAATATCTACCACGCCATTAGTTAAATTTCACCTCAAATTTAAATAATTACTTGTGGACAAAATGCGGTTAACTGTAGAAATAAGCTTGTAAATCCCTGCCGTAGATCCTCATTCCAAGATTTGCGGAGTTGTATGAAAAATTAAGCCACAATTACAGATGTGAAGATCGGAAGATTTTATTTCCTAGTCTAAGGGTGTATATTATTCTCGCATTGAAACCTAATTATAAGAGTTCAGCAAATGAACCATGTGTATAAAACGGGAGTAAGCAACCTTTAATACGAAAGGGGCAGATAAAAACGAAAGATAAAAAAACAGGTAGAAACCGCGGGTCGCAACTTTATTTAACTTAGGCTACTTAGCAGTTGCAGGCACAAACATTTTGGTTGTTGATCTTGGCTTTTCTCCGCGGGCCGCACAATTTTTCTTTGAGGGCAGCAGGTTGCACACATGTATAAAGCATGGGATTTTTTTGGAAACAATTTATTCGGGTAGTTCAGGGTAAAGCATATTATAGGTGTTCATTTCAATCGCTACATGAAAAGATGGATTGAGATGGAAGGGTCAAGCATACTTCGTAACCCTAGTTCGGAACAAAACAAGGTGTTTACCATTTTTTTTATTTGTGCTCGACCGAAAATGAAGGTCCGTCTTAGTCTAAAGTTGCAAGGAGGCAAAATGTGCTATGACGCACCCCCATTGTTTAGATTATTTTTGAAATTTCCGGGAAGTTTTTAATGCTTTATAGCGAAAACGCATTTATGCCTGTTCATTTTATATTTTAGCTGTACCATAGAAATCTGGTATTCATTATTTTAAAAGTGCAGATATTTCCGTATACATTCCATCACACAAAAATTATTATTGTTGAATGACACCTGAAAAAAAAATAACGTTCGGATGTCGCGTTGCTGAAATCAGAATGACTAATAGACTATGGTATTCATGCACATCAAACCCGATCGGTTCACCGATAACCGCATATGATACGTTCATCCATGGCCAAATTTTACAAATACTAGGTTATAAACTTGCAACCAAATAAGCATTTTGAATATTGACATTATAAACGATAGCAAGAGCAATAAGCCAGTACACATTGCATAGTGTTGTGAAAAAATAGAACTTGTGAATTTTCCAATGCTTCTTCCCCGATTATTATTGATAGTATTGTCATTTTTTAATATCACATTTTATATGTAGAGTATTTTTATCATAATATTTATACAACAACACCTACCTCTATATCGAGGTGGAAATACATACAAATCTTAGCCCAAATGGCGATGATGGGGGTGTTTATATTTCTCTCGAGTATTCTGCTTCAAAGTTCTCTCATCTCTTGTGAAAATGTTGAAACTCGGATACACACTTTGATGACGCCCAAAACTCCCAAAGTAGATTTTGGAAGAAGCGTTCACGGGACAGTGTAAGATCCTATATATATATATATATATTTATATACATTTAATATTTTAAACTAGGAACCCTCACCCTCACCTCACAATGTATACAGGGTGCTCCAGAAGTATGTGTACCAATATGGAGGTAACTAATTTTGTTCGCCTACTTTACAGCAAGTTGTGTGAAGGGACTAAAGCCTATGGGCAGGGGGTATGTTCCCTTGGCTAACCCAGACAGTCCCCGAACTCGTAATAGAATTAAAAGGAGGAAAATTGAAATAAAATTATGGCCTAACCCTAACCTGGTACAAATACTTCGGGAGTCGCTTGGCTAGTCCCCGAAATCGTAATAGAATTAAAATGAGGAAAATCGAAATAAAATTATGGCCTAACCCTAACCTGGTACAAATACTGCGGGAGTCGCTTGGCTAGTCCCCGAAATCGTAATAGAATTAAAATGAGGAAAATTGAAATAAAATTATGGCCTAACCCTAACCTTTGTACACATACTACGGGAGTAACTTATTTATACAATATATACCTGATATGTGAAATGCAATAAGTTTCTAATAATTGAAGTTTTTGTTCTTTTCTAAAATTGTGAACGCGATGTTTGAAGTTTCAAAACATTATTAGACTTTTGTGTTGACAAGGCGAATCATTTTTTTAAACGAATAGTCGCATTAGATGAATTTACCTCTAGATGAAATAAAATAGTAGTAGATACATATATCATGCACAGTAGTGGGATTCAAAATTTTGTAACGGGTTCCCTTTCATATGGAACTCATTAACAAAATGTTCTCTAATTTTAAAAGATGTGAAAAACTACGTAAGCTACATCAACAAGACGCACTTTATATAAATCTAATACATAATTTTCATTTTCGGAAGGCCAAGTTTACTACTATTCGTCAGATTCGGTTTGAGTTATTTATTTCAGGGGTGGCCAACCTGCTTTCGACCGCGATCGACTAAAATCCTCGAAATAGCTCGCAAACGACTGATCGGTAATAATGCCATCATACACAAAAATGAGTGAGTACTGCAGATGCAGACAACTGCACGTACAAAAAATTTCACCGCGGCCAATTTGGCCACCGCTGATCTATTTGATGACGTCGTCTGGCGTCTAAAACACGGACGGGTTCGCTGATATCACGGTATTCCATGAACGGGTTCGCGCGGACCCAACCGAATTCCACAACCGATTATGTGAGTTATGTGATTATGATTGTAATAAGACTGTTAATTATGTACATCTCAAAATGTGTGATTTATGTTTTACAGTCGCAGTGTTTATGCAAGTGCTCCGGACCTTGGCCCATCAGGCGGAATGTATAAATGTGAATATGATGTGACAAACCCTACAACCAATGATACATTTGTATGCCCAACTGAAATTTCTTTCGGGACCGGTAATATTTTTGCTACTTGTGACAGATGTCAATTTTTATTTTGTAAAACTCTGATTTATATTTTTATTCTTTGTCAACTCAAATTTGACTCTATACCTTTGACTCGACAATAGCATGGATATATATAACGTTTACCACAAAAATTTTGGGAACATGACTAAAAACTAACAATAACACTCATAACTACATAAACGAGTCAACGTTTACAGACATGGTTTATAACCTGTCAGAGTGAAAGAGATATCTGACCGATTTCTTAAGCTTCAATTGTCACGTCTTTGTGACGTTTTGAAGTTTATGCTGAATAAACAATCTCGCGGAAGTAAGGCAGAAATTCAAAGCTCGGCACCCTCAACAACAAATGAGTTGCATAGCTAGCATCTTTTCTTCTTATTTAAAGAGTCCTAACTGACTGTCTTTACAAACCAAGAAGGTTTCGATCGAAAATCAAGCAAGTTAAAACTGGCCTAAATGATTAATCTTCAATGTTTTGTAATCAATACATCATTGCGTCATATATTAGAAATTTATACGGAATAGGGGCAAATCTTAGGTATACTGGTCTTACTACTTATCAGTAATAACACTCATGGTGCATGTTAAAGCTGTCGTCATTAATAAACCCGAAACGGGGTTCTATTCAACGTAGCATAAGATAGTGGCATCGATGTAAATGTAAAACTTCTCCGTTGATTTATAGTTTGAATCAAAACATCATTGTTACTGACTGAGTCGGAAATTCAATCATTCTATATCTGGCATAACTAAATATATTTGAATGCCGACGGTTCGCGCTTGGAATAAGCGTTGGAAGCAATTTTGACATCGATTTGCTGACTACTACGATTAGATTTGCAGGTTATAGTTTTATAGAAGATACGTTGAAGCTAGAGAAGTTCCAAGCTTCTCGGTGGATCAGGAACTGTCACTTGATCTTTGGTCGATTACGACCTTATGGATTGGTAATTATTCAAGACGCCGTAGTTCGTCATATGATTTATATGTCTTATTGGCTTTAATCTATGCGGCGTGAATATGAAAGGAAATCTTAATCCTGCAAATTAAGAATTATTCGTTACCAATGTTCTCGTCCTTCATCGCGTTTTTAGTCAATGTTTAACTTACTGAATTCAATGGCACATACAGTTAATCAAAGATGTCATTTATTTTTTTCAGAGAACGCTACCACAGGCACATCGTTGGAAAAGGTTACCGTTTCAGGACACGAATATTTTATTGTGAGTTTTTTATAAGCAGTTTAGGGTTTTTTCGATTTTCTATAAAAACGTCAAACTTCGAAAATTTTGTTTTAATAAACTGATTCACCGGTACTAGATAAGCAGTGAAGTCCGCGACACAAAACTCTGAATGTGTATTAACAATGATTAACATTAGAGCATTCTGACTAATTTGTGATATTTGAAAATGAATTCCACTTTCTGAAATCATGCAGATAATATTTTACATATAGGCTATATATTTCATATGCTAATCCGATATCAAATGCCGGCTTAAAATTTTATGCTATAAGAGAGAAGTCATCGTGTCGGAGTATTACCTACTCAGATTGCATAAAAGTTCTCAATCATTTTGTTTATTCAACAAAATTAAAAGCACGAAGTCTTTTGCGAAGCGTTTAAAATCGTATAGATTTCTATTTGCGAGGAAATTTCCTTTGATCAGCAGTTTTGAATTCAGTTGATTCAAGTTCCATGTCAATTGGGTATCTTTGTCTCTAATGAATCAGTGTGAGCTATTTGTACCAGGGTGTGAAAAAAGAGAAAATTTCACCCTACACGACCCATTTGGACACTAGACTTCGGCTCGGACTCCACGAATCAGCATTGCAATTACCGCGACCTCAATGATAGCATGAAATTATTTTTCAAATTAAATTAAAGGGGTAAAGCACCATTGCATTAGACAAATTTAAAAGCTTGGATACTGTATTTTAGACTTGTGGCAACCAATACCATTTTACTTGCCCAAAACTGCAAATTCAAGAACGAATGATTGGAGAGTGTTACACTTATAAAGTTTCCGGAGGGAGTATTTCTACAATTCCGTCACCATGTCCGATAGGTAAGGCTACTTAAAATCTACAAATAGGTCTAATATTATGTAAGTCAAGTCAAGTTTATTTTTTCCAACCAGTAAACAAAAAAAAACAACAGAAAATACAAAAAAATGAAAACTACACAGTTCTTCTGGGGAAGGGAGGTTCAATTATCTAATTTATTTTTATACGTTTCTTATCAGTTTCTTTATAATTTTTTAACAACATGACATCAATTTCAGCTTGTCCTCAAGGTATATCAGCAAATATTGTGTTTGTTATTGATGGTTCCGGCAGTGTAGGTGCAGGTAATTTTGGGGAAGGATTAAAGTGGATTGTTAACGTATTAAAAAAGTTTAGGTAAGAAATATTTTAGTATATTGAAAAATATAACTGTGTAACAGATAACCAACTGTTCAATAGATCTCTATTGAAAACGATAGAAAATATGGCATATTTATTATGGATTTCAGATTACACATTTTTCACTTCACTTTATGTAGCAGGCTCTATTCTTTTATGCGCATGATAAGATAGGATAGGATTTTACATATTTACCACGGCCTCTCGTCCGGTTACCAGTCCATGTCGGGTATGGGATTAGTTAGACAGTTACTTGTTTTCAGATGCAAGAACTTTGTCAACCTACAATCAATGGTCGAATTTTCAATGGGCTGCCACGGGCTCCATTTTACGTAGATAAATAGATGTTTGCACATAGAATCTAATTTACCGAAAATTACAGTGTTTCTTCCAGACTTTTTGTGCACAAATATGCGACATGTGCATTTCAAAGACATGTTATTACAGTGATAAAAAAAATATTAAAACCTGGCATACAGCTCAAACCCACATTCTGAGACCGAGCTGTTGAGTTATGACTTTACAGATACTTTAAATCAGGAGTTGGGTCGATGGAGCCTTTTGGCCTCCAGTTCTAAAAATATATTGATAAAAGGGCGCTCCGGAAGTATCAGTACCAAGATGACGCACAAACTGAACTACCCTAACTTGGTACACATACTATGTTCAGGCTGTGCGTCATCTTGGTGCGAATACTTCGGGAGCACCGTTTGGTTTCCTGATGGTGTTTGGGCTATTTTATCATGAGTCATTTCATAAAGAGTTACCGCTCCTGCTATCTCGGCGGTTACTTTTGATTAATTTTTTTGGCTTTTGTGGCCTTGACTGTCGAAATTGTATGAGACATCAATACTGAGAAACTATTACAAGTACAAGTAAGATTAAAAACGGACTCTAATATTTTCGAGACATTATCAAAACAATAACAAATTCAGATATAATGTGGCAAGCTATCACATATTTCAAAAATGGTACTCCCGAAGTATGTGAACCAAGATGGCGGACACCGGAACGTAGTATGTGTACCAGGTTAGGGTTAGGCCATACTTTCAGGTACAAATACTACAGTCACTTGACTAGTCCCCGGACTCGCGATAGAACTAAAATAAAGAAAATTGGAATAAAAAAATTAGGGCCTAACCCTAACCCTGGTACACATACTACGTTCCGGTGTCCGCCATCTTGGTTCACATACTTCGGGAGTACCTCAAAAATACCTATTTCTGTACCAGCATACGTGCATCAATATTAAACACCAACAGTATTCGGTATTTCCTGGAATATGTATTTTAACAGCTACGACATTAATTTGGGAAATATTCACGTTGGATTTGTCCCCTTTAATGGAGGCGTCTATGAAGCAAGCTCTTCACTGGCAGCAGGAACTTTCTACGATTTCAGAGGTTGGTATAACGAAACTTAGTGCACTACTAAATTTTAACGATTGTATACGGAACTTGCGATATATTGGCGTCAATGATATGCGTAATTTATAATCCTCACATAACGAAGAATCGTATGCAAGTCTACTTATGCATTTCTTAATACTAAATGGAAGAGAGTGGTAACATTTGTAATGGTTTCAACAATAGGTTTTCTCACTATTGAAAAGTAAAAGTAACTTTTTGGTTTCTGTGATATTTGATAAATAGATATAAAATTGATTCTGATTAATTTTTTTTGCGGACCCTTCCGTTTGTCCTGTGCAGTATTAGCTTTTATAGTATAATTAACAATATTTCCTAATTTTGTGATAATACATACAAAAATTCCTCGTCGGATAAATAAAATCACAATTATAAATACGCGTTTGCTTATTGGAAATTATGGTCAAATATATTTAAACACTAGCTCATAAATATTCCCTCCTTTTTTCCATAGATAAGGCATTGGGCATAGGTTACCATAGGGGCGGAACAAACACTCCACAAGCTATCACAACTGCCACCAATCTACTGATGTCATCAACTGCCAGGACAAAAGTTGCAAAATTGATGATAACAATGACTGACGGAGGGAGTACTTCAGGTTCGCCAGACGCATCAGCAGCAGCTGCCGAGTAAGTGCACTCTGACACATCAGTCAGATAAATGTCCGGGTTAATGAAAATCCAACTCTGACCCCCAGTTTCGAACTTTCGAACCCAGAGTAGCATGAAAATATGCAGTTTGCTTAGAAATTCTAGTTAGTGGGAGGAAAGGGGTAGTTGAGGCTCAACATGTAATTCTGCGTCAAATTTGCACACTGACGGTAGCGTAGGTAGAACTATATTAATTTTTGCCTAAAAACAATTGCCATTAAACATTAAACAAGTTATGACGTTCATATTTCTGTGTTAATTATAACTTAATGGCAGGTACGTTCGTAGTAAACGAAATACAACTAACATGTGCTTTCGCTAACGCTAATAACTACAAAACAAACAACGTCAAACGGCCATTGTTAATAAGTAATTTTCGTTTTCATACATTAAAAGTGAGATTATTCGTTTGCCACAAAAATTGTTCAACCTTTTTCTCCACTGTTCGTCAACCTCTGATCCAACATGTCAGAATATACATACCTGATTTTTGCTAATTTACTAATCGCCTTCGTCTCGCATAATCCATAACGAACGTACGCCGACGGCTGTTTATTGGACATTTCTGATGTTACCAAAAATCGATTAAAAGTGCATATTTGTATACTGCATTGGCTTTATATGCAAAGATATGATTCGAAATTTTGAGAACAGATTGTCTTTTGTACCGAATTATCCAACGGAAGGTTTTCTCATTTCAGAAAAGCATACCGATGTTATAAATCCATAACTTTACGTCATAATTACCTATGTATGTCACTACATATGCAACACTAACATGACATGCTTTTCATATAGTTTGGGTGTCCAAAAAAGACAGAATTTTTTTCAAATTGCAAAGGGAATTTATCGATACCATATACTGTTTTGGCCCTCACAGATGCCTTAAAACCCTATAATGCCGGGATGACACTCCATTATAATATAAATATGGCTATAATATGATTGGTCAGTAAGAGTTAACATTCATTATGTATATGTCTTATCGTGGACGTAACTCAAAACAAAAGCAATAAAACATTGCCGCGACGTTTTCAAGCATGATATAGATAGGCTTTTCCGAGTGTTTGTGTACCCCGGTTGCGCGTCACTCCTTTCTGCCATATTTTTAATTCCACGAGTTTTATATCTGTAAGTATTTGAAAGCTAAGAAATATACATAGGAATATGTTATTACTTGAAAGAAAGTCATTTGAGCGAACGAGCAATAGTTTTCGACGCGTAAACAAACGAGTAATCATTACACGCACAACAAGAGAGCTACGCTCAAATATATGGACAGGTAGCGTTACCCAGTGGCAATAATTTGGACGACGTCATAGCAAAATAAAAAAGTAATAGCCGTCTGAAAAATTTTTTTATCTTTAATCACTGAAAATTTCAAAGCAATTGGTCCAGTAACCAAAGAGAAGCGATTTCTTCAGAACGTGTCAAAGAACAACAACAAGTATAAGAACAACATAACAAAACGAGCGCTATGTCCACTACGTGTCCAATAATGAACAACCAATGATTACGCGCCTCGAAACTGTTAGCGAAAACATGCTCTCTTTGTTTCTTGAATGTCGCTGCATTTCGCTCAAGATAGCCACTCTTATCTCTTTTGAAAGATGACACAATTCTCTATGTCTGGAATATCAGATATAGAGTCCTTCTGGCTTGCATATTACACTACAATTTGAAATACAAAATCTTTTTCAATTTATTTTTTTACATCTTTCGTTTCAACGCAAAGGTTCAACGCAAAGGGGTCGAGTCATTCGTGCACGTGTATCGAGCATCGGCTTGTATGAAGCGGCATAAGTAAGCTTTCAAGAGAAATTTAAGTGAAGTCTCTCGCACGTTTAAAAATTTGGAACTGACGTCATAACAAAATTTAAATTGTAAAGGGACTTCATGGAAACCCCGTATAATGCATTTTTAAAGTCATAAGCGGCGGTATACGTTACCAATTCGCCGCGGTCTTCAACGTCTAAAACAAAAATATAAAACTGGAACGGGATCGCTGATTATCATGACATTTCAAGAACGTGTTCGTGTTGTATGTTGGTTTATTCCGTATATCCATATTCCTGTCTTCTTGCGATCTAAGTTGCCAATTTGTTGAAATTAACATTACAGAACAAATGGCATTACGATGATAGCTGTCGGAATTGGAAGCGGAATAAAATATAGCGAATTGCGTGAAATAGCTAGACATAGCTCTCGAATTCTCAGTGTGACGGATTACTCTAAATTGGATGGAATCATTGACACATTAAGTAAAGTTATAGAAGAAACTGCGAAAGGAAGTTTAGAAGGTGGGGATCATATGATAGTTTGAGGCTCCTGAAGTATGTGCACCAAGATGGCGCACAACCTGAACATGGTATATGTACCAGTTTAAGGTTCAGGTTGCGCGCCATCTTGGTGCACGTACTACGGGAGCGCCGATAGTTTTTGTAAAAGTGAAAAAGAAACACAATGTCTTTGCCCTATAGTGATACAGTGCGATAGTTTACTTTTTGATGTGTTCCCACCGCCTCACCGCGCTTCTCCGTCGAACTTTTTATAGAAAATTCTGTATTCTAAGACTTTACCATACGGCTACCAATGCACGATCTTCGTTTCCATATTTTGAGCTGTGATCCTTTTCGTATCATAAGAGTTATATGCAATATATTATCTAATTTTCCCTGGTTTATAGTACAGGTCTATATTGCGATTGTTTTACCCCGGTTGATATGAGCTAGAGCAGTGATCACCAAAGTGTGGGTCTCGACCCCAAGTGGGGCCGCCTTAAATATTTCGGGGGTCGCCTAGTGTCCGGCGTTGTCTTCTTCGGTTATTATTCTACTGTGTGTGATGTCTTGGATATTATCAAATCACAGGTACACAGAAATATTACAGTACATTATACGACAAAGTAAGACGTAAGTATAACAGCACTCTTTAGCTATGACTAACCATGCCACCATTAGTCATACATTTGTACATTGGCTTGCTTTATCATTTTTATACAAATTACAACGCCGAAAATTTGACTGGAATTTTCCACACAAAGACGATATGAGTTTGTTTGATTTTGACTGTGCTAATTTAAATACCGGTAACATTTTCTGTACTACTATTTTTAAAAGGCGGTTCGAGCAACTCAACTACAGAAATGACAAATTGTCAATTTGGATCGTCGATTCATGCATCGAAGGTAATAGTAATGTAAAATAAATTGTAAAAATGCAAAAAATAACTAACTTTTAGAGCAAAGTATTCAATCCAATAGTCACATATTAATTTCAGCAATTTGCCCGAACGCCTAAGATTGGAATTGTCTGTAGCATTAAAAGTATAACTAACTAAGCATTACACAATTTCTATATTTTAGAATGGTCTCTACATCGGAGCCATTGGTTCTTATGACAGAACAGGAACAGTAGCAGAGTATAATAGCCTTACGAATTTCCCCAACCTGAGGTCAAGCGGTCATTTAAACGCAACGGAAATGGCCAATAACTTGAACGGAGTCAATGCAACTGATTTGAAAGAATCATATTTTGGTAAGCACGATTAGGGACACCCAAGCCGTGTACATAATTCCAAACTATGAACTATACTCCATGAATCGGAGAGACAAAAAACATTTACGGTAGTTGACAATTACTAACAACAAACGTCAATTACCGATACTTAATAGTAAATAATAGTTTAACTAGACCAACACTACCTCATTCAGGATTGAAACAACTGACTGAAAGAATTGCATACAATAACGGTGAAATCAGTCTACTTACGAGTTTCTTCTGCCTGAACTACACATCTCTATATCATGAATAAACATGCTGTGTACCATTTTTAACAACCTATAACAGTCCATACTAGGTAAAAGACCCTGAAGCAGGCCTGCACAACTCAAATTACCACGAGGGCCGCAAGCATAAATTTGAAGGCTCAGCGGGCCGCAAACTTTGCCACATACATATTTCACAAAATGAACTACAAATCAAAATAATATTGTAAATAAGTTAAATTTAATGAAAAACTTTCCTTACTGGGGAGTTTAAAAATATGAAAAATCCTATTTTCTTGAGTAAAAAAAAAGGTACAGTATTTTTGCATATGAGATGGCAAATATGTATTGAGTGGTTCAACTACCTTGAAAACGCATCCTTCATTTTCAATATTTCTTTTTTATTAGAATTAGGTATTGCGTGTTGCAGTATAAACTGACTGCAGGAAAATATTTTACTCAGGTTCAGTTTTGTAAAATCGTCCCAAATATATGTATGACAATTTATATACTCATATCTAACATTTTTGGATATTTCCATTGTAGGCTGTACAAACAATCCGTTTAGTATCAATAGATCTTCCTCTGTTGTATTTTTTCGACTTTTAAATTACATTTTTCTACAAAATCTGCTCCAATTTTTTGAAATTTTACAGTAAATAGCAAAATCTTTTGTGCGAGAATTTCTGCACCATTCATAAATGAAGGAATTGTTTCCTAAGTTCTAAATTTGAAAAAGAAACTTCAGTTTCATAAACTGCTAGTAAAAAATAGTGGGGTTATCAATAGGTAGCTAATATGCACTAATGGGTGTGAGATTGAACCGATATTGTTTTAAGCGTGATTCAGTTTGAACACCGAGATGTCTAAATCAGGGTTTCCCAAACTGGGGGTCGAGAGGTCGAGCGACGAATTTTAAGGGTCGCGAAGGGCACACCAATTTCAAACAAAGTTCGATATTTATTGAAACTAGTGCAAAACATAAATCTCACGATTTCGAATATGATCGGAGTAGCGGCTCGCTTGCATAAATAACAATGCCGGCTTTGATTGTTAGACCCGAGAAGTGGCGTGTTTCAAAATCAACCGCGGGCCGCACAGAAGTATCTAGCGGGCCGCATGCGGCCCGCGGGCCGTGTGTTGTGCAGGCCTGCTTTAGGGCCTAAAGCACTCTGAATCTAACGAGACACAACCCGTAATGCTGCGGATTGCTACCCGTAGTCTAAAGTCTAGACTTTGGCCTAGACCAGCTAAATAACAGAAAAGAATGAAAGCGTATGGGTGCCGTCGGTGGTTCTATCAGTAAAATGCAAGTTCGAGCAATAAGAATCATACACAGTAAAAATAATAACAAAATAAGCGGTGTCACAAAATATTCAACACTTTGTAATGACGATTTATAACAATTTCATATAAATAACTCTTCTAACAGGTTATTCGGTTTCCAGTGGAACTTTTACTGTGGATGGCCGAGAATGGGTAGTAATGAGTGCTCCAAGATACCTCTTGAAGGGAATGGTATGATTAATTTTGCTATTCCAAGTCACAAAATATATATATATTGAAAATATTTATATTCTAGCTTAACAACGTTTTACAATACAGCAGATTGACTGATTTGATATCGCATGGATTTGACTCGACGTATACCAACATTGAATTAACTTGACTCAAGTCAAAATGTAGGGAAGTAAATCTGGCAACTAAAAAAAATTTTGATACTGAATAAAAATGATGGACTTCTTTGGTTCCTGCATTATCCCATGAACTTCGTTTCAAATATAAATGATGCGGTGTCTCGAAAATGTCGTGTCCCACTTACACTACGGGTCCTACTTGTTCCAAGGTTGTGGAAATTGGCGTAGCCTATAGGTGAACTACACCGGATTGAATTAAAGTATTGTAATTACTATTTATAAAAAATAGTTTTTAATTCAAAAATTTGAATGGCGATACATGCATCAAGATATCGCTTTTATCGCCGATATCGGTACCGATATCGAAACGCCGATATTTCAAAATGCCGATATTCCGATAATATCATCTGGATTGTAAGGGAATGACAGGATAAAATGGTTGACTGAGTTGTACAAAAAAGGCAAGTAAGAAACGTTGGACAAGTGGGACACAACATTTTTGAGACACCTAAAATAATGTAATTTTTAAATCAGGTCCTAATTTACCGAGAAACGCCTACCAAATCGTTCTATCAACTTCATCCAAATGATAAGTTCTGGCAACTTGGAGCTTATTACGGTCAGAGTGTTTTGGCAATGGATATTGACAATGATAATGAAGATGACCTTCTCGTCTCTTCTCCCCTGTATTCAAAACTAGGCGGATACGACGAAGGAGTGGTGTTTGTGTACATGAGCAAAACTAATTCTATTTCTAAATGGGTAAATCAATTTTAAATTTCGCTTCGTTTGCAAATTGGCTCGAGCGAGTCTGTCACTAAAACTTGAATAAAGTTATATTGTTATATTTACTGAAATTGTACCTTAATTAGCATTTTAGACTTGCTCGGAAAAGGCGAGTTGTTATATTAACTGATAATATCAAAAGTAGGCTTTTAAATAACATAGTTTTTGTAGTTGATAGCCATAGTCAGAAATTTTTCTAATGTGGATTTTTGAGTGGCGCAGAAGTTGTTTCATTATCGTCGGATAGACAAATTATTCGACTTTACATTTTCGATTCTCTATATAATTTTATTTTTACCTAGGCTAGTTCAGATTTTTCTCCATTAGTATTGGAAGGAGACAGTATCCAAGGAGCGAGATTTGGGATGAATTTAGTTGACGGAGGCGACATAGATAAAAATGGAATCAATGACGTCATCATAAGCTCTCCATCCGAGGGAGATGAAGGGTCAAACACACCTAGTGGATCGATTTATATTTACTTCTCGTCGTCAACCGGACTTTCAAATTCCAGAAAGCAGGTAAAGTCTCGATAACTGAATATTAACGGTATGATAAGTCAAGTTTAATTCTTTCAACCAGTAAACAGTTTTACACAAAATAAAATAATCACACATTTTAACTGGGAAAGGATATAGACGCGGGGAACCAAAGCTGGTTATCGAGCAGCGACACCCAATGATAGCATACCTAGTTCAAAGATCAGGAAGTTTAGTGTCGGAATTACTCTTGCCGTCGTATATTGCCAATATTCAAATTCACATGGCTATCTGAAAGTGAACCAAAGGCGTTACACGTTGCCTGCTGAGTTTTTAACGATTGAGCCATGTCGGTCCCTGAAAAAAAAGGAAACGGCCTATACTGATAATAATATCGAGCTTCTTCATTTTGAGGTAAGAATAATAATATTCATTTTTTTCATTTTGTCTCTTTCAGAAAGTATTTGGGCGAACCGTCACCTCGAACACTCAATCTCTGCGTGCATTTGGTTGGAGTACTTATGGTGGTTCTGACTATGACAAGAACGGTTATCCGGATGTCGTGGTGTCAGCTCCTTCAAGCAATAGATTGATTGTGTTGTGGTCTCGTAAAATCATTACTATTACACCAAGTATTTCAATCGGACAAACATCAATCGACGTTAAACATTGCGCAGCGAATCCAACGACGGCATGTTCTAATATTACTGTTTGCTTGAATGCTAAATATGAGGATGGAACCGAAGTTTCAAAAACATTTGGTTTGTTATAATTCAATCTGTACTTTGTACCGTTCTAAAAAAATATTATGAACTTTATGTGTAGGTGCCTACATTCCGATAATAGCTATACTCGCCAAAAGACAAGACACAGACATAAGAAAGCAATATGTTGTTTCAGCGGACCTGATATTTAACATTGGTTTACTCCCACACGGTAAATGCGGAAAGATTGCTGGACTGAAGCACGTTCAGTTGGTTACATTAATAAAGCGATCGACTATTTATTTGCCTATTCCATACATGATTAAACGCTGTTTTCATAATACCTCACTGAATATTGAAATTAAAGCACAAAGGACAACTTTTTATAATATCTGTTACAGAAATAACGTACAACGTCACTCTCGATTCCCTAACGGCGGCGAACAAACGACTTCGTTTCAAGGATCAATCGGCCAGCATCATTTCTGAAACATTGCGAGTAGGAAGAACGGAGATTTGCAATTATTATGACGTGGCATTAAAGGTATGAAGATTGTTAGTTACTCAATTCAGTAACAATTTATTTGGTAGTGAATAGAATGCTTCCAATTTTTGTATATAAAGCAGTAAAGTACCGTTTAAGATTTTGCAGTATGACATCACATTTTCTAAAAATTCTCGTGAACAATACTAATTTTGTTTACCGTACCTTCCAAATTGATTAGGAATTATTAATAACACAGAATAACCACAAAAAACTGCGTTAAGACTGCGGTACCGGTGGTCTACTGCTAAAGATTGCATATACCCGTAATACTTCGTTTTGGCTTTCGTGATCATATATTTGAAAATCGCTCTCTTGTTTAATGATATTATTTTCATCTAGAGGCTACAAATGTATAGGATGACAAACCTTTTATTGTTTATGGAATTAACAGATAGAATCCTTGGGAACGTTGAGTGGAGGAGGCGGTTTTCAAGTAACACCACGGGCTGAGCTCAGTGTGGGATTATCCGATAGCCATAAGATAAAAGTGATGTCCGGAGTGTTGAGCTCTAGCAGTCAAGTCCGAATGACATCTGATTGGTCTTTTAAGAAAGGATGTTCTGGAATAAATGAACGCTGTGAACATGATTTACAACTCAACGTTACCAGGTACCGGTAGTAGGAAACTTAAGGCTCCAATTTCTTAATTAAAACCTAATCCTTAAAATGTTGTTTGAAGTAATAAGAGAGCAATGCTTATGAATGTACACGAAAATCTGATCACTTACTCCAGTACGGTAGGCGGTAGCTATTGTGGTAGCCTATGCAACTTAAACTAAAATTTGTTACCGGATTATGAAAGCAACTCACGTGCGGGTAAAACTGCAGATAAACGGCGAGCACTGGATTTGTCAGAAAGCTGTTGGTCTTTGCCTACGTAACAGTGATCCTTGTGAAGTAACTATGCCCGGTCTAGTCCGACGTAATAACATAATGGCGGAAGAATCGTGGAAACTACATCATACCCGTACTACTTCGTTTTAGCTTTGGTGTCCATATATTTGAGCAACGCTCTCTTGTTCTTGGCGAGATATCGATTCCCTAAGGCTCAGAAAAAAAAAAGTTTTTTTTTAATTTACCACATTTTTTAATTTAGATACTGAATCTTTGAATACGATTGGTCCACTAGTTTTTGAAAAAGGCAATTTTGTTACAACAACAAATATTACATCAACAACAAAATAGAACTAAGCAAAAAGTACACTTAATCTTTAACAATGATTTTGGTTTTAAATTGAAATACAAAACGTTACATTGCAGCGATACATCGTCGAAATCGTTACTACTCCTCACTGACAAAAGTCAGAAATTAAAACTTCATGTTACGATCGAAAACTTGGGACCCGATCATGCTTACTTTACCCGGATCAACGTAACTTCAGGGAATTTGACTTTAAATTTGGTGAGTCGGCTCGTGGTTTACGAAATTCGATTTTGACGTAATATTAGTATAACATAACAATTGTTTGTGATGTAGGTGAATGGGTCCTGTGTGACATCAGACGACGAAGCACGTGATTCTTCAAAAGGATTGGCGGTGATTAAATTCGAATCCCACAGAGCTGGTCTCAAAGACTTGATGGTGTCAGGAGATAAGGTATATATCATACTGGTTATGTATCTTGTAAACGACCGTTCTCATGAAAAATTGTTTTCCTATACTATACCATTGCACAATTTTTGATGCTTATTTTGAGAGTTTTCGAGTGTTGGGCGCTTATTTTATAACCATCATTTGAATTCAAAATGTTAACTAATTTGGTGCTCCCGTAGTATGTTTACCAAGTATGACGCACAACCTGAACATAGTGTGTGTACCAGATTAGGGTTATAAGGTCGTGCGCCATCTGAGCACACATTCTACGGGAGCGTCGCTGATTTTCCCTTATTCTGTTGTAGCTCGAGACGAATTTTTGATTATTGCAACTGAAGTAGAAATTAAAATAAAAAATAACCATTGATTTATACTTAAATTTTCGCAACTCAACTAAAAGTTGACAAATAGCTGATAAAATAGCCTATATATTCACTTGGCTAAAGCAGACAGTTCCGAACTCGTACAAGAACTAAAATAAGGAAAAACGGTGGAAATTTATGACCTATAACCTTAACCTGATACACACACTACGGAAGTACCAACTTATTTGCTAAATACAAACATACATAAAGGCATTCCGGCCACTCATGCTCAAGGCTGTGAAAGTGATGAATTCTACTAAAAAAATATGATATCCAATCTAGTTAGCAATATTTGTTATATATATAATTTTAGCAATATTCATTCTGTAATATTATTTCTATCTTAAATATAAATATATGATTTTGTTTTTAGTGCGAGTTCACCTTAGAATTTGACTTTACCAGGATGAAATCGACAGCTAATGAAGGAAACTACAATATCCAGGGAGTGATATATTCAACGTAGGTTACTGTTTTGGTATTTCATAAAGTTTTATTTCCAAATCGTTAAGTAATTCCACATCTGCTCTGCAGTGTCACTTGTTTTCATATTAAATTAATACAACAGACAATAACATATGAACTATTTTGACTTAAAACGAGACCATCCGTGATGTTGACATTTATTTGCCTCCCCCCTCGAGGCTCTAAGCGTATTATGATGTATTTTTCAATTATGTTGCCACATCCGATTTCTTTGTTTTTTAACCCCTCTCCTAATGGCTATTCTTTGATCAAGATCAAAAATACAACATAATTGTAAGGTAATCGCCCAGTAGATTGAGAGGTGTTGAGCCGTACAGGATTACCCTAACAAAATAATTATCGTTCAGGGCCGGAGACGATAATATTACACTTGATGGAAATTCAGCCAACAATAGGTTCAGCATTCAAGGATCTGTGCAATATCAATCCTCGATATCTATTACTGAGTAAGTTTTAACTATTTACCAATGATGAGACGAATCGATTTGAGTTAATTTTGGTCAAATATGTGTCACTGTTTTTAAAATTTCCGCTCCATGATTTTAGATTCAAACGGCATGCATAGTGTTATGAATTGAGTATAGATCATGCCGGAAGGTCTCGTGGTATTGTCTATCTGCGTATGAGCTGCTTCTTTGTCACCGTTTTGTTGGTTGCAAAGTTGCAGAACTGCGCTGAGCAGCACACTCAATAAATTCGACTATAGGCTTGATGCATCCCTTTTGAGTGAGGCAGGGGTTGAATTAGCCGGTAAATGACTTGTTTCCGCATAGCTTATTTTTATGAATCTCGTATATTTTATATTATTCCAACATTTATTTCATACTTCGTTTATACTGTAAAATATGAACAAATGTAATTACATATCTGTACAAGAAATTGTAGTCGTAAAATAGCAATTACTCAGACAAAGTAATGTTGGCTGGTGTATCGTTGGGAATATGTTTGCCCGTGCACAACTGATTACCTACTATGCGTGGGTTCGCAGGTTCGAATCTTGCGGGGGATATTTATGTGTGGGAAGATTGCTGGACTGTTCACCTCTGTGGGGTAATTCAGGTAACCGCTGGTCGGTTATGGATTCCTCTGTCATCAAGTTCAAGTATCTGCGAATCACATACCTTATTGGTATTCGGACGAAAGGCCATGGTAGGCCATATAATAAAAGTCGTGTATCCCCGTGATGAATATAAAAATCCAATCCTATACATAATTTATGTTTTCCATTCCAGGCTTTCCATTCCTGAGAGCATTTACTTCAATCGAACCTCAACCGACACAACCGTTGTTAAAACACTAGAAGATGAAGCATTGGCCGGGAACAAAACGAAATTAGTTCATCAATATACGGTCTGTTGTTTCATAATGTAGATTTACTTGTACCGGGATTTATTTGCTTTGAATCATATTATAAGGATGAAAAAAAGAAAGGATGTGTTATAGTAGTGTCAGTTAAGTGTGTGACCATTTAAGGCCTGATAATTACATACCGCCCAGTATTTGAGCATATTCCTGGGTCACGGGTTTTTACAAAATTTATTTTTCAAAAAATTTGGGTAGCTTGAGCACCAACCAAAGCTTGAGTTAGATAACTAAATGTAACTGAATGAATATTTTCAGTTATACAATCGTGGACCACTTGGATTTGCAAAAGGTCGTGTCAAACTTACATGGCCTGAGTACACTCAGAATGGATTGTATCTACTTTATTTAGTTGGCATAAAATGCAAGGTACGAATATTCATTTTCGTTTTATTACCTTTTTATTTGACAACATGAAGTATTATTGCTGATGAAGTGGGTCGATCCGTTTTGCATATAAGCATTAAGCAAGTTGTACACTTGAGATCACCTCACTCAAGGTGTGATAAAAGGCGCTCCAGAAGTGTGTGTACCAATATGGAGGTAAATAATTTTGTTCGCTTACTTTACATCAAGTTGTGTAAAGGGGCTGAATCCTATAGGCAGAGGGTATATTCACTTGGCTAACACAGACAGTCTATAACCTCGAAATTATGCCCTAATCCTAACTTGGTACACACACTACGGGAGTACCTAAAAAAGTACAATGGATGCATGTCGAACCTGAAAGTTTCTAGTTCCTAGAATAACATCGTAGCTTCCTACGTATACGTGACCTTATGTCTCAATCCTTCTTCAGAAAAAAAATGAAAACGCTCACAAAAATTTAAATCCTATTTATATTTAGCGTTTATAAATTTGTAAAAGTGAAGTATTTTCAATTTAGCCGGAATCAGCGTGTACGTGCGATGCAACAGGAAAAGCAAATAAATTCAATCTTGCTCCTAAAATGAACTCAAACGAAACTTATGAAAATGTAACCATAACTTATCCCGATGATAGCCAAGCGTTCGGGGCTATAAAGACAGTTGTGAGTCATTTTTTTTTTTAAATATCTTAGTGTTAGAATAATATTTTCAATATCTATTTCAAAATGAGTGGAAGCCTATAAGACGGCCAAATAACCAACACCAAAATGATCTTTACAACAGAAAAAGTTTGATAATAGTGGTCGACCTATGAACGAGATAGCGATCGGAGACCGCCGACTTCTAGCGGCTTGTATCCTTTAATCTGACTCAATAGCGACACCGTGTGTCTCATCACTAATTCATTATTAACTCGCTAATTATACGACATAATTCATTCAAAATAAGTAATATTAATGTAGACTCTCATATTTGAATGTAAACTTGCAGAATCCCTCGACTGTACTGTCGGAACCATAGAGTGCCACAGAGCCCTAGCTGCGGACCACTGCCCTTATGCTTGGCATGGTACTATAACATTCGAGTCTTCTACTTGTGGAGCTATATACTATGAATTAGTATTAACCCTGTGTTTTCCAATTTTATTTTTGATGCGGACCATTTCTGGAACAACATCGATCGCGGTAGACTGAAGACACGAAAATTAGACAATAGTTGATTTTTCCGAGATTTGTTCATGAGGACAACCATAAAAATACCAATTATCGCTCACATATTTGCAACATTTTGATAGTGAGATAATGAGGTAGTTTTTAATATTTTTCTTAGACGTGTGCAAACAGCAAGTGCAGCGAAGTTTATTGTGATCTGGACTACATATCTCGGTTTGGAAACATCATCGTGTTAGCCGAATTCAAACCGTGGATTCCAACATTTGGGAAGGTACATAATTTAATAAATCATACGATCTTCTGCTCCTCTCGCCTCTCGTAACGTCTCTTGCAGATAGTACTAACATTAGCTACTTGAACACCAGGCATATGAATGACCTCCAGACCTCTGAAAAATATCGAACCTCCAGCATGTATCTATCATTGAGAATCAAAAACTTCGAGAGGACAGAGATTGTTTTGTACTATATGCATAATTTAGCTTGGCTGTATATGTACATTGAATTGAATACCTATGCATAATTGATTTAATTAACGCATATTCTATATGTGTATATGTATACTGTAGGATCTACATTGGGTTCTTGGCTTGGGGGAATATGCATATTACATTGGCGTTATACGCACATAACTTAGCCATATAAACAGAACTTGAATATATCTGAATCCTTCGAATTTGTAATAGTATTTGACTGGCTGCATATGTATGCTTGGTTGGGTAGGATGCGTATTGTATTTACAGTAAATGTATATCTATCTCTTAATATTGTTTGACTGTATGTGCAGTATTTTCTTTTGAACATTAAAAATAAACCTAATTGATTTTTTTTAAACTCATACTGTACTAATAATAATGAAATATGCCCATGGAGTGACGAACTTTTCAATTTTGGTAACTGTTTGAGAACATTAGAAAAATGTAAACAACGGGTTAAGATTTTCTCAAACCTCGGTGACGAGCGTGGTATTTTTCACCAGCCAATTTTATTTTTATTTTTCAGGAATTTTCCAACACTCAAATATTCAGCACATTGGATTTGATTGTATCAAATATCTCATCAGATCAGCAATCCACGAACCAGAAGGTACGTATAGACCAGTGGTTTCCAAACCGCGGGCCAATTACGGCCCGCCGAACTTAAGTGAAATAGTTTAACACTGTAATTTGTTTTTGCGTTCTAGATGCGGCCAATTGTTACGTCATTGTCACAGTTTAAACATGTGTATACTCGTAACAATTGAATTATACCGGTATCTTAATTATACGTACCGGTACCGGTTCCTTTCGGTGCTCCTTTCTCTTGTCCCACGAATATCTTTCCGCTTCTAATGTTTACCCCCTGTCTATCAACTCTGGTAACTATAGAATAAGAGTAAATTAACCCCTTACGAGTACATTCGACCTACATTGGAAGTAAAGGGAGTAAAGTAAAAGGGATAAGCTGGATAGAAGTCCACAAAACTCTGAGCAGCGGTTGAGTCAATCATCGGGTTAAGTCTCACTGGCAGTTAGTTGATGGACGAATCCGATTTACTCCATTCAGAAGACTCAAGCCACTTTGAGTCTTTGATAGATGACTCAAGCCGAGTCCATGACTCAAGCTTCTTCAACACTCAAAATAATCGCTCGGGGTCAATTAGACTTGCATTGGCAGTCAATTTTGCAAGTCCGAGTGTACATGTCCAAATGTAGCAGTTGACCGCATAGCAGATTGCAACATTGCTGGGAGTGCAATGTACTGTGTTGCGCAATACATAGTGTTTACTCATTATAAAAAGATTTCTTCACCTAGCGCCACCTATTTCATAAATCACTGCGGCACACTGAAAATGACGTTTACATACACAGTTTAGGGCAGGGGTCGGCAACCTTTTGTCGCTCGCGGGCCAAAATTAAGCTTGCAAGTCATTGGCGGGCCGCACATATTTTTAGAAAGTTGAAAAACCTAACGGATGGTACTTTTTATAATAAAAATCAAGCAGTAATACATCTCTCGAATAGAATATAGATTTATTTCCTCATTGCATCTCATAGAATTCCATTTGAATAATTTCAGCGCCATTGAACCCTTTGCACTTAGCATCAACTTTTCTGCGTTTTGTTGCCCTTTGCTAAATTCTGATTAAATTATATGCTCATTAAATGAGTTATTGTGAAATATATGATCGTTAGGTTATAATATAATTTAGTCTAAAAAATATATTCGTCAAAACGGATGTTTTGTTACTATAATTTAGTGAAGCGTCGCGGGCCGGATTATAGTGTTCCGCGGGCCGGATCCGGCCAGCGCCATTGAACCCTTTGCACTTAGCATCATCTTTTCTGCGTTTTGTTGCTCTTTGCTAAATTCTAATTAAATTATACGCTCATTAAATGAGTTATTGTGAAATATATGATCGTTAGGTTATAATATAATTAAGTCTAAAAAATATATTCGTCAAAACGGATGTTTGGTTACTATAATTTAGTGAAGCGTCGCGGGCCGGATTATAGTGTTCCGCGGGCCGAATCCAGCCCGCGGGCCGTAGGTTGCCGACCCCTGGTTTAGAGGGTAAATATTATTTTTGAAAACGACAAAACACAGTTGTGAATACCTGGTATAGAAAATGTTTACATCTAACAAAGTGTGATTAGATGGAGTAAAGTATGTAACATCGAATAATCTTCTTCATATTTGTTTGTTTTGGTTTTATATATGAATTTTAAATTCAGGTCACGACTGAACTCTCTACTTCTCCATGGTATAAAGAACCCACTAAGAATCCTTTAGAATGGTGGCAGATTCTACTAGCAATACTCGGTGGAATTTTGTTGCTGGTTGTAGCAGTATTAGCTATGTGGAAGGTGAGAATATTTATATGCTTCAAATCAGGGGTGTGCAAATGCGACCCGCAAGGAAAAATTGTGCGGCCACCGTAGAAGTGCCAATTTTGAATAATGTGCGGCCCATAAAACGAGTTTTTAGTTGAGTTTAATCTGGTATGTGACAGTAATTCCAATTCCTTTGCATTGCAAAGCCTTTACCGGAGTCCAATTTATTATCTATGACCTTTCAATGCCCGCGGTTTCACCCAGTTATTTGTTTTCTGGCCCTCTTGTAAAGGTTGCACACCCCTGATCTAAATAGTATTATTAAACCATTTCGCCCACATTGCAGTTTAAATAAGCTATGAAATTCACATGGACACACTAACTGAGGTAAAATTGTGAAAATAGACAGATTGCTGCATATTACTACACATTCAATTGCATCGCTTACGGGAGGGATGTACGATATTCTGCTCTAAGCACAAAGGGTATGTCATTGTAAAAATGACTAAAATGACGTAAAAAAAAAGATTACTGATCGCTAATCTAAATGCTCACTAAAGTTTGCTAAATACTTCGCTGTCACGTATTTGACCATTCTCAAATCCAATACTATTCTATATAATTTCCATAAACTAGCTTGGCTTCTTTGAGAGCAAGTACAAAAAGAGAACCAGAGCAGGCAGACAGAGCATTCGTGAACGCGAAGCAGCTGGGCCTTCAGATTTTGATGAAGGGCCGTCATACGAAAATGTCGGTGAAGGACCGTCATACGAAAATGTTGATGCAGATGCTGGAATGGGGCAAAGTACTGCCGATCTGGTGAACGTGGATATTTAAACTTGCTATATATTATCGTAAATTTTATTTCAAAATGTTGTCTTCTATTATATAAAATTATGTGTTGATGGAACAAACAATATGAACTGAATACCGTAGTGAAAGTTGACATATCAACGTGAATAATTTTTATACTATATATAGATATTTCATGATGTTTGGAAAAACATTTTTCAAAGTTTTTTTTAAATAGGTAATCTTTACATATTTTGATTTTTTCTCCAAAAGTTCTAGAAAAATTTCTATACTGCCATAACTGTTTTACATTTGTTCTCAAAGTTCATATTCTAGGAATTATTATTAGTTCTGTTTTTCCCAACTTTTTTTGCTGCCGACCATTTCCGAAACATCTATCGCGGTAGACTCGAGACATGAGAATTAAATAAAAATTAATTTTTTTGAAAGTTGATCATTAATTAGCACAACTATAAAAATACCATTTATCGATCAAATATTTGCAACATTTAATGAAAATCGTGCCCCCGATCTTGTTTCTCCATTCTGTTAAAATTGGGATCCAAGGTAGTCAAAGCGCATCATGTAAGGTTCACCGCTGAAGGTAATTAATAATGTTATCTGAGGTCAGCTAAAGGCACATGAATGAACCTGTCTTATGGCGCTATAGTAGCGGCTTACTGAAAAAGGCCGAACTGAGCTCAACAATTATTATTGTTCCTCTGTATAAAAAAAAATGCTCGATGTAGCAAATATGTCTGCGGACTCAACAGGACCCGTTTCGAACTTATTTAAGTTCACGGGGTTGGGAAACACTGAATTAGTCTTCTACTCAAACAATCATAATTTAACGAAATCTCATTGTTTTAACAGAAAATGGACTCCAAATTGAAATTTATGATATACTTTAAAGCAGTGATTCTTAAATTTTTTAAGTCACGCCCCCTTTTTAGAATTTGTCAAGCCTCGCGCCCCAACTTAAAAATGACTAGCTAACAATAACAGATAGTAAGGCGAAAGTATATTTTATTGGGGAAAAAAAAACGTTAAAAATACGTGGATGGAATCACATTCTCTAAAAAGTAAAAAAATGTAAATAGCATGTAAAAATAGGGCAGGCAAAATCAAATCTAGCAAACATGTTTGTTCTCAACGAGCTCACCCCCCTCAAAAAATTGTGCACGCCCACCTTGTGGGGCGCGCCCCCAGTCCCCCCATTTGAGAACCACTGTTGTTAAAAATTTGTTCACTTTTCACGCATTACTGTATCAATTGATGATTTACTGTACAATCATTGTGTAGCATTGAAGGAAACATGACAAAAACATTTTATATTCTATTTTTTATATTATCCAGAAAACTATGCATTTAAATAAACTATTTTGCAACTGCAAGACTTGTTCAATTCCAAATATTGCAGAGAAACGAAGGTAGCGGACTAGCGGTAGCGTTTTGAAGTAGGTTAATCGAAGTTTGCCAATGTCGAAGCCGGCATATACACCAGGAGTTGGATTCGATTTTTCGGAAAAAGTTTTTTTTTGTATGGAACTGTAATATTCAAGGTCTTGAATCCAAGTAACACAGGCTTCAATTGCTCACAGAATATATTATATTGCATGAAAGTAAATAGAAATACAACATACGTCCGTCGCTCACCGAGAGTAGTTCTAGAATCCCTGTCATGTGGCCTAAACTAGATCACCAGATGTACTCATATTATTACGTCATAGACCAAATATAAGACATAGAATATAGCAGTATTTCATGGACATTACATCCCTCCCTAACTTAAATCTGAAATTTATCACATTAAATTTCACTTGGGAATATGCATAATCTAGAACATTTCACACATAGCTGTCACAAATGTAAATCAAGTATAAGCAATATGTTATGACACTAGATAGTACTTGGCTAACCTAAAATTTCCATTCATGAAATATTTGTCTGAAATAGTTATCAAGCACACTTATGTATCATGCAATAAACTTAAAAATGAAATATAGTACTGTGATATTGAAAAGTTAACACACTACAATGAAATTCACTTCACAAAGTAATGAAATTATAACAATCAAAATTCAGGCATAATCAACTTTATACATAACAATTTATCATTAATTGACTACACCCCTTTTGTAAGTGTAACACAATCACAGTTCATTTCTTTTACACAGCTTGGTAATGTTTATATACAGTCTATTCATGTTTGATCAAGCTTGATATCATAGTTTCAAAAATAGTGTTAGTATTAGTAAGTCACCAAGCTTGATATTGCTAAACAGTCCATATTATTTATGTTTTCTCAGTACAGTCCTTGAAATAAATGTTCATTTATACAATTTATAATCTCTGAAGCGTTTAGGCAGTTTGATTGAACGCTTTGATTTGCGATGAGCCACTATCTCGTTATGAGGTTGATCATTTGAGAAACTAGATGAAATCTGCTCATCAGCTGGAGAATCAGATTCATTTGATGCCTCAGGAATTATATCAGCAGCCACTTCCATTTCATCTGATATTTCAGGAACATGAGTCTGAAATTGTCGATCATTCACCTTTTTAAACTGAGATATATTTCTGGTTTTGTTACCCAAACCAGGACTTCTTGCAGTAACCATACTTCCCTTCACAGCAACAACAGTCATAGGCTCTGGGTTATATGCTGGAGTTAACTTGTTATATCTTCTTTGTCGAACCAACACCATGTCACCAATATGCAGTTGAGAAGCAGGTCGTGTGCAAAGTCTCTTATCAGCATACCTTTTCTGTATGGTTTTCTGTTTCGAATCACATTCTCGCAATTCTTTATCATCTGCAACTTTTATTACTTCAGGAAATAAAACTTTAATATTTCTTCCATAAAGCAGTTCAGCAGGAGCTTTATGTGTTGTTACATGTGGAGTCGCTCTGTAATTTCTTAGAAATTTATACAATTCTTGTTTCCATGATTTTCCTTCAACTGTAGCAGTTTTGATTGCTTTATTTAGTGGTTTCATGAAATTTTCAGCTTGGGCATTTCCTCTTGGCCATAACGGAGTTATTTTCTGATGATGAATTCCACAGTAGTCCATGAATCTTTTAAATTCGTGACTTTGAAACGGTGTTCCATTATCTGTCTTGAGCACTTCACAAAATCCATGTGTAGCAAATATTTTGTCAAAGATTGGAATCACGCTACGAGCTGATGTCGATTTTACGAGTTCAACTACAGGAAATCTTGAGTAGTTGTCAATGACTACCAAGAGATAATCACCACTAGGATACGGTCCACAGAAATCAGCACTAAGAGATTTCCAAACAGCTCTTGGCAATTCACTCATTCGTAAAGGTTGGAATCTTTCATCTTTTGTAACAGCGGCACAAGCTGGGCAATTTTTTATGTAGTTTTCCACCATTGAGTCAATATTAGGAAACCACAACTTTGCTCTAATCAATGCTTTTGTTTTAGCAACTCCTTGATGTCCCTCATGTGCTATGGAGACCATTTGCTTTCTCATCTTCACAGGAACTACTATACGATGTCCACGAAGAATTATGCCTTGTTCAGTTATGCTCAATTCACTAGATAAACTTTCAAAATTTCGCATTTCTTCACAGTTTCGATAATCTTGCCATTTTCCAGAAACAATGCATTTTTTCACATTTTGCATCATAGGGTCATTGAAAGTCTCTTCTTCTATTTCTTTTAGTGTGATCGCTTTTGGACAAGCACTTTCACACACATAGTTCAGAAATTCTTCTGCAATTTTCAGATCACGGTTATTCTCTGCTTTCGATGGATGACGTGACAAATAATCTGCTGGATTATTCGCTCCAGGTCTGTATATCACAACAAAATCATATTGCTGTAGTCGTAAACACCATCTTTCTATTCTTGGAGAAGGCTTTGCAGTAACATTTGAAAATATACTAACCAATGGTCTGTGGTCAGTAATAACATTGAATTTCATTCCATATAGGTACAAGTGAAAGTGTTCAACTCCCCAACGAACAGCCAGTGCTTCACGTTCGATTTGAGAGTAACGAGTTTCAACATCATCAAGACTTCTTGATGCATAAGCAACAACTTGTACTTTTCCACTTTTTGAGCTTCTTTGTGTCAAAATTGCTCCTATTCCGAATGGCGATCCATCTACAATTAATTCAGTCTTTAGATCAGGATCAAAATATGACATAACCGTGTCACTTGTTAGATTTTCTTTCAACTTCAGCCAGGCACTTTCACATTCATCACTCCAGATGAAATCAGAATTTTTCTTTGTCAATTCCCTCAGCGGCTTCACAAGAATTGCTAAATCTTTAATGAATCTTGAGAGATATTGCGCCATGCCTAACAAAGACTTCACTTGTGATTTATCTGTAGGTCTGAAAGCTTCTTTGAGTGCTTTAATTTTCTTTGGATCAGGAGACACTCCACGTTCACCAAAAATATTACCATAGAACTCCATAGATGATTTGAAAAACTCACATTTTCTTTTATTAAGCGTAAGACCTTTTTCTTTGATTCGTTGTAAACATGCTCTGATATGCTTCTCGTGACCATCATCATTTTTGCTAAAAATATAGATGTCATCCGAAATATTCTTCACGCCTTCTAGTCCTTGAAGAACTTGTTCAATTATAAACTGGAATTTTTCAGTCGCTGCATTCACCCCGAAATTGAGACGTTTATGTCTATGGATCCCAAGGTGTGTACTGAACGTTGTAATATATCTGCTGTCTGGGTGTAACTCTATTTGATGGTATCCTTGATTTAAATCAAGTTTTGAAAATACCTTGCAACCATTCAGGTCATGAATTAGCTCATCCATTGTTGGCATTGGATGTTTCACCCTTTTGATAGCTTTATTCGCAGCTCTCATATCCGTACACAATCGAATATTATCAGGATCACTGGATTTAGGTACCACAACTATAGGAGATACCCACGGAGTTGGTGTATTATCCACATCTTCACAGATATCATTTTCATATAGCTCTTTAATTGCATTTTCCACTTTAGCTCTGGTTTTAAATGGTACTCTTCTGTGTTTTTGATGTACTGGATCCACAGATTCATCGATGTTCAGCTTTAACTGGTATCCTTTGAGTTTTCCGACACCATGAAATATACTATCATACTCTGACAGAATTTCCTTTGTACGCTTTTCTCGTTCATTTTCAACGGAATGTATAATCTTCAGTATTCCAAGTTGTTCTGCTGTGTCATTGGACATTAAACAACCTTTGGCATGTTTCATTACATAGAAATCAGCTGACAGTTGCTGGCCATCATTTGACTTCACATTTGCAGCAAATTTGCCAATTAACTGCAATGGTTTTTCACTACCATAAGCAAATAACTTTGTATCAGCAGGACACAACCTGCAACATTTGGAAGTATTCCTCCGTATTTCTTGATACGCTTTGTTGTCTAGGATGTTAACACTAGAACCACTGTCAACAATAAAACAGCATTTAACACTATTAACATCCACTTCAACTGTTGGAAGCATATTACAAATCTGAGACTGTTCAACCTTCATTGAGTATTCAGAATTTGCACAACTTTGAGATTCAACTTTACTTGAGTTGTTTGAGCTTGCTTTCAAATTATTAACAGAACGTGAAAACTTCTTCTGTTTTGGCTTCCTACAAAACTTTGCAAAATGACCATAATCATTGCAATTAAAACATTTTCGCCCTTTAGCAGGACACTGACCTTTGTGTGGAAACGAGCCGCCACAATAAAAACAAATTTTCACTGAGTAATTGTTTTTCTTGCGTGTTTTGTTTGGTTCACTGATTTGATCCGATACGCATTCTCTTGTGCAGTTTCTTCAGTGTTTCCTTCCATCACAGACAGATGAGATTTTGCCAGTTCCATTGCTTTACCATTGTCGAGTAGGGTTTTTAAATCCATCTTTTTGCTTAAACATTTTTTCCTTAATTCTGACGATTTGCATCCCTGAATTATTTGACTTTTGATTTCCCCTTCTACCTTTTCAGGATCGAACTCACAATTTACAGCCATTTTCTTAAGTCGTGTACAAAATTGATCAAGTGACTCACCCTCATGTTGTTTTGTGTTGCGAAACAAATAAATTTCGTACTCACTATTGGCTTTGGGAACAAAATATTCGGTCAATTTTCTTCTTGTATCAGCAAAAGTATCATTTTCCTCCTTCAAGGTTTCATAAATATCGTAACATTGCTCACCCATGTAGTGCAACATTAGAGATTTCTTCCTTTGCTTATCTTCATCAGAATCTTTGATATTCATTGCAAGTGTCAAGTTATCAAATCGTCCAAGCCATTTCTTCCATCTTGGTCCGGCACTTGACAAATCAGCGCAATCAAAAATTGGATAGTCCGGTAACGCAGACGCCATTTTTCACGTTTGAAATTAGCGGTGACACCAAGTCTGTAAGTAACGTTACGGTAGCACTTAAAGCAAAATTTTCCCGACGAGCTTCTCTATTCCACGTATGTTGGAGACTTAAAATAATCCTCGTCGCCAGATGTAATATTCAAGGTCTTGAATCCAAGTAACACAGGCTTCAATTGCTCACAGAATATATTATATTGCATGAAAGTAAATAGAAATACAACATACGTCCGTCGCTCACCGAGAGTAGTTCTAGAATCCCTGTCATGTGGCCTAAACTAGATCACCAGATGTACTCATATTATTACGTCATAGACCAAATATAAGACATAGAATATAGCAGTATTTCATGGACATTACAGGAACTCACAACAGGTTCTCTCATTTCAGAAAATATTAGGGATGGGCCGATATTCGGACCCGGTCTCGGATTCGTGTCGAATTTACGCATTTTTTGACTCGGTTTCAATTTCTTGTACTTTTATCTTTATGAAGCACAGAAAATACGTCAGGAACGTGTTTTTTTGTTTTCCAGTATGACGTCACGGATTCTCCTCAAGTCCTTGACCTATTACTAAGATTCGTCAAATCTCTTTAATTATTTGACTGTTAACTGTAACCCCCACTTTTGACCCATGTATTTGTTCCCTGGATACCACCAGTACCCGCATCCCGCTGCCCATAAAAATGCGTGTTAATAGCGTTGCTGTTGGGGTAAAGTATATCCTACACAAAAACAACTGAACCCAAACCGCGGGCCAATTACAGTCTGCGTAACGATTTAATATGGTCCGCCGAACTTAAGTGAAGCAGTTTAACACTATTTTTTTGCGTCCTAGCCACAGCCAATTGTTACGTCATTATCACAGTTTGTACAAGTGTATAGTCGTAACAATTCAATTATATCGGTATCTTAATTATATTTAACGGTATCGGCCCCTGGTGGGCGAATGCCTCTCCTGACCCGCGAATATCCTTCCGCTTCTAATTTTGACCCCCTGGTCAATCGACTCTGGGAACCACTGCTTCAACGTGTATCACTCTGGTATGAATTTCCATATATGCATTTATTGCTAAAGTATATATATATACAACGAATTTGATTCAATTTGAAGAATTAAGGTTTAACAAACAGGTAAATAATTGACTGATATAATCCAAACGAAGATTTTTTTTAATACATATATAAAACAGCATAATGTAACGATTGCAACAAGTGAGCAATGCTCAAATATATGCATACGAAAGCCAACCTAAAATAGTATCAAATCTTTTACAGTACCAGTAGTATGTACCTTCAGTTCGCTGAATTCCAATCGTAGAACCGCCGCACGGTGCCAATTTTTAATTTCGCTGACGTCATCACACAAAACTTCGAAGCGAAAAACGAATCCCGTAAAGCACACAGAAGTATTTGAAATATATAAAAGTAATAGCCTCTTAGCGACATCAACAATTTTTAACCACTGAGATTTCAATGCAATTGGTAGTTGAACGTAAAATCGAATTTTTTACAACAAGAAAAAATAGCAAGATGAATACAAACAACAATGCACAAAAAAATATTTGAAATAAATGAAATTAATAGACTTCTAACGACATCAAAAATCCTTAACCTCTGAAAATTTCGAGGCAATTGGCCGAGTACTTGAACAGAAACGCAATTTTGTCACAAAAACAATAAAAAAATAGCAAGAAGAATACTGACAACAACATTATAATAACAAAACTATTCATGGGTCGGTTCCGTGTCCAAAAATACTATAGACGAAAAATGGGGCAGATACTTTAAATCAACAGGGACTCATTCAAAAACTCAATTTCTAATCCGGGTTAAAACGAAGTCAACAAAAGTTTATATAGACTCCGGACTCAGAGTTTGGCTAAAGTAACGCTTATTCTGTTCAGGTTTAAAGTTTCAAGTCCAACCGTATCACCCATGGAATTTGACCCCAACTCACCACTCCGAAAGGTTCTGATAACACCGGAAAACAAAACGTCAACTCCTAACTTCAATCCCCACTGAAAACCGCCAAGTGTGAGTCACGTTATAAATTACTAAATATTGGATGCGATTCATTGTATCAAAATAAAAACATTAGTTTAGGATCAGCATTCAAGAGCAAAAAACTTACTAACTGTTGTTGTTTGTTATATGGTTATCATGGAAAAACAAAATGAGGTTTAATTACGTCTCTTGCATAGAATAATATACGAACATTGGTGCTACAACAGCATATGGTATACCGCCATATGTCGCCTACCCAGCTGCAATTCGGTGATTACTCTATATTGCCAGTGGTGGGAATGAGATTCAGTGGACGAACCCGTTCTTGGAATGCCATGACCATTAGCGAACACGTTCTAGATTTAGTTCAGCTTGGTTTTTTAAATTAGGAAGCCTGTAGATAGCGAGTCAGACCTTAAAAGAATTTGTTTCTAAAATTTCTAATCCTATCACCGTTTTTTAGTTTGAGGTAGATCTCACGCTGTATTGCGGTGTACCCCATGCTAAGTCAGCCCCAAAATGTTATTACAGCAATAATCGGCGCTCCAGAAGTATGTGTACCAATATGGAGGTATCTAATTTTCGCCTACTTTACATAAACTTGTATGCATGGACTGAAACCTATGGGCAGGGGGAATATTCACTTGCCTAACACAGACAGTTTCCAACTCGTAATAGAACTAAAATAAGGAAAATCGAAATAAAGTTATGGCTTAATCCTAATCTGGTACACATAGTACGGGAGTATCTATTAATTCCCATGCATATTTAATACTGATTTACATGCTGGTTCCTACATGATCTTCATCTTTTTTGGGTTGAATAATTCCTGCAAGAAATGCTTTCGAACCTCTTGTCGTTTTGAGAAAAACATCCTTATTCTTCTCATTTGTCGATAAAATTATCTTGTACCATTTCCTCAAGTCACTTCGCAGTTCTTCGGCTCCTTTTTTCAGAATTTCATCTTCTAGGGGTAAATAACATACCTGGAATATATCGTCATCTCGTATCATTCTTTCCGCTAAAACAATCTCAAACTTGTCGTGAATGACTTGGAGGACTTTGGGTTCAACGTAGGCGTCACGCATCCCCTGAAACAATAGATTGACATTTTGAATAAAAATTTGAAAATTCTGTCTGATATTTGTCGCACGAGAAGCGTTCGTTTCATCAACTAATATATTTCACAACTAAAACAAATCGTGGCACTAAACTGAAGTCTGGTGTATCTGGTGCTGGCTTCCATACGACCCCATTGTCCATGGCATGACGCTGTCATCTTTGATAAATCGCTTCTAATAAAAGGGCAGTATCCGAAATTCACAAACTTGTAGTCTGTACCCGTAACTTCAATTTTGTGTTCAGCAACGCTGAAGTCACGTTAATAAGGTCAGTACCGGTATTCTTTTTACAAATAGCCGTGCAACCTAAGTCGCCTGGGTTCTCCAGCGTAACTGCATAATGTGAGTCTCGGGAATATTGAGAATCATTTAAAAATGAATCATTTTGATTCTTCTGCGTTGTGAATCTTAATTCAAACGACATATTTGTAGCTTTTGGTCCAGGTAGGGCTCAGCAAAGGCAGCCAGTGTTAGCTTAGGAGTAGTTTGAAAGAATAGAATAGTTTTAAAGGACAGGAATCTTTCTTAACTTGCGATGATTTACTCCTAACTCACCAATTGCATAAGGAATCTGTATTCCACGGCAAGGCTTCTTTTCTTCTGATGGATAACTTTGAGCATTATTGTCTGAATATAAATTAGGCGGCATAGAGAATTGAAAAGCATTCATTATATAATAAAATCTGTAAGGTTCAAGGAAGTTTTTTTAATATGCTTCGGTTCGGCCCTTGGCACATCGCATATTCGAATCACGTGGGGGATAATTATGTGCGAGTGAATTTTCGGACTCCCCATCGTCGTTGTGTAAGCGCTGGTAAGTTTCGGCTTCCTCCACCAACAAGCCACCCCGTAACCGACATGAACTGGTCGTGGTTCGCCTTACCAATAAATCGCCTTTTCGGATTTTCCTTTGTCCAGAAAAAATATGGAAAATCTTCCTCATTCAATGCATGCATACAGAATATCAGAGTTGAACAACATTTTATGTACAGACTCGCAAAACTAAATTTTATTTGCTGCCTCAGATCACGATTTTTTACATTAAGTGCGGAGGATAATTGGGTCACAATCAACTTTTAACGGCACTTACAAGCTGGGATATGGATTCAACTGTCGATAAAAATGCCGGTAGATTCTGGTTCACAGGAAACTTGAGTATGCCGCAGAAGAACTAGGCCGGTGGGAAATTACAGGGAAAATACTACAAGCAGTGCAAATAACGGTTTGTTGAAAGCTCCTGATCCTCTATCACAGTGGTTCTTAAACTTTTTCGAGCGCGACCCAAATCTGAGTTTTATGAATACTCGCGACCCAATTCTAAAAAACGCAAAATGTGTTTTTAATGTTAGTACAGTTTGACTCAAATACAGACAACTATTTATTGGAAACAGTCCATTGACTCAGTAAGATTGATGAAACTGAAATTTCCTTTTTCATTATATCTTCAATACACAGCTCTATTTTACTTAACGCAATACGCAAGTTGTCACGGGTATCGGAGCGATTGCGAGCTTAGTTTTGATAACCGTCAGTGCCAAATATCCTCGCTCGCACAAGTGCCTTGTCGCGAATTGTAGCAGAAAAGGCGTCCGCTGTCCGTCGCAAACACGACATCCTAGCTGGCCTTCGGTATCTCTCGAAATATACAACTTTTTACTCGTCACATGTGCACGCACTGCTTCGTTCGCGGTAAATGGTGCCTCGAGATGAAGTCACATTTTCTCTAGATATTGAATAACCTAATGTCGAGAAGCGAGCTTTTTCATTGCGTCGTCTATTACAATTTTCATTACCAAAAAGACACCCATTTTTGGTTATTTTAATCCACTAAGACGACATTCCATGCGGTCAACACAACGACAAGCGACGTGCATGGTTACCGATGCCATAAAGATAATACACGTGACTGGCATATCAGAATTGTGATGTAATGAGCTCAAGACAGTTCTTTCCGTGAATGAAATTTTTTATTTCATTATTTTCAAATACCAGAGTTTAGAAGCTAAATTGAAACATTGGGAAAGCTGAAAATTCGTCCTTCTCCTCTTAGATTGCCCTTGCATTGACGACCTTGTCGCGACCCATTTTTAAACCTTCCACGACCCATGTTTGGGTCGTGAGACTCGCGACCCATACTTTAAGAACCACTGCTCTATCAGGACTAAATGAGAACATTACTTGCCAGAAATCTCGAGTATTTTCAATATAGCTATAGCATACCTTGTTCTCTTCATTATTTTTTACAAGTGCATTAAATTCTTCCTTCATTTTCTGGCGCAAAATTTCTTTATAAATATTAGCTTCTGTTTTAGATATTTTCTCAGCTTCAGTCGTAAATTTTTTCAAAACATCTTCTCTAATTTTGACTTCTCGTTCGACAAAATATGGTGGATGAACGAAGCTTTTTGTGAACTAAAAAATTATATAAAAATACCTTGTCGCGTATGTAGAATGTCATTTTCTGGCAACTATGTTTTCATAGACTAATTACTTGAATTTCTTTACCGAGCTGTTGGTGTAGCGAATGTGGATTGTAACTATGGACGTCAATGCTATTTAATCTTTTTATAGTTCATTGACTTTAACATACTATTAATATAAAGGGGTCAAATAACATAATAAAAGTCCATAGTTACAATCCACTTTCGCTACATTGGGATACTGAGACATGTTTGAGGTCAGGATTTTGTGTCAAACAGATCATGTCAGGCGGTACCGTTGCCGAACTTTCAATACACGCTTACGCTTATTACAGTTATATAGTAGACTTTGTATGATATGATAGTAGACTAAATATAATTTTTATAAAGTTGGCGTTTAATATGTACAAAATATAAGGATTTTGTGGCGAACAAGCAAAAATGGTGAAAGATTTTAAAAATCGACGAATCGCTGAAACTAGCAATCAGCACTGGCTTTCCTTATTCAAAAGTGTGAAACAATTATTCTCGATATTGTATATTCGAAAATGTAGAATAAGGTTTTTAGTAGTGGGGGGAATTGAATTGTAAGAAAAGGTTCTCTTTTGTATCGAACTCACTAATGCCAGATTTCGTCATTTCGAATATTCCGACCATTCCGAATTTATAACTCGAATAAAACAAGAACGTTCTGTCACACACACCCTAAATACCACCGTTAATTTTCAGGCTTTACTAACAATTCATTGTGCGCATCATCTATCTTCCCAAGCGGACAAGATTTTAAAATTATATTACCGCCAGTAGCGTATCTTACATAAAATGGCGCCTATGGTAAAGTTTTAAAAATTCGCCACCTTGATCGCTGACTGACAATTTAAACGACTGTTGTTGAATTGAGTCCGTTATTATTTAATTGAAAATATGAGATTTTAATTTTATTGAAACATTTTATATTTAAAATCTTTCACCGTTTTGCGCTCTTGTCGAAACGGCGCCCATGGCACGAGACATTGCTGCCACACCCTAGATTCGCCACTGTATGCAGCCTGAACATCCGTTTTTTAACCTCGTCATTGGTAATTTATTCAAATTTCCACCGTACTGCTTACAGATAGACGCAATTATTTTTCTTCCCTCGAAGACGAAATGTCAAAATAAATGGAGTAAACTAGATTACCTCGTACATTCCTCCATTGTAATTTTCTAAATAATCACTGATGAGAATCATCATTTTGGTTTCATTCTCTTTCTGAAAACAATAGTCAAAATCAGTAAAGTAAACTGCAATATCTGGTATCTCATTCCTACTTTATTTAGGCACAATTTATATAATCGTAATTTGGCGTAATCTGTAGACATTTAGGACAATTATTTTTGGTCAAAATAAATATCAGAATGGAAACTCGAAAATAAATAAGTATACAGAAATAGTGTTTTCATTCGAAATCATCATGATTGTAATAGTGATATTTCAGTGGTTTAATAGGGATGGAGGACTCTCAGTATGATTAGGTCGTCATATCGGCTTTCCCTTTTCCAGGGATAAATATGTAAATCATATCCTGTATAGTCGGGTAGGCTACAGATTCAATTTCTGAACACACAGGGATTTACCATAATATTATACCTTTTGCGTTCGTTCAGTGTTTAACTTTTCAAAGTTAAGTTTTTTCAAGACGGAATAATAGGAACTAATATCAGTTTGGAGTTTTTCCATCGCTTCATAGAATCCACGACTTTTCTGGAACTTAGATTGAAACTTATTGGTCGCCATTTCATGGTTTTGTTTGTGAACCGCGCTCAGTTCGGATTCCTCCATTGCTGTCTTTTTTACTATCTGGAAAAATATGATATATATAATTGCCTACTCAATGTGATAAGAGTAGTAGCCGTGGCTCTAGTTGGAGTCGAGGAAAATTTGCAATCGGGCACAGGTTTGCAATTTTGACTCATAGTCCGGAATCGGCTTTGACTCCAGGTTGATGAGAACCTTCATAATATACTTCTCTAACAGACAAACGATTTTTACCAGTAAAAGTATGAAATTCTGAATCCAGGAAATTCAAAATTTCCATTTATTACACTAACCTCCAGCATTACTGTAGAATATTCTTGCACCAACGCAGTCGCCCCTGCAGAAACTTGGCGAGAGATTACTTCCTGAATTAGAAATATATCTTGAATAATTCGTTGATGACTTTGCTAGTTTAATTTTCGCTGTTTATATTAAATACTTTTATTCTAAATGATAGTAAGTCCTGACTTCCCTGGTTCTGTACAAAAATTCACAACAAAGTATGCCCGTATCTCATAAAATTCATACTATAATAAATATTTGGACCTCCTGAAGTATGTGCACCAAGATGGCGCACAACCTGAACTCAGGTTGTGTACCAGGTTAGGGTTCAGGTTGTGCGACATCTTGGTGCACAAGGTGCCATTTTTCGTTGCTTGACACGCTTTTTAGACCCTCAAAGTCAAGACTCTTGAAAACCCCACGCCCCGCTAGCTATTACGGACTAGACTAACTTGACAATTAGAAATTTCAGACCCCCCTCCCCCCTTTGAAAAGTTCTGGCTAAGGACTCGAACTTCTCCAACATTTATAAATTCTACGGATAACTTCAGATGAAACTCATAAGATTTTGGCGCATTTTTTTTTACTTGTTGATAAAATTTAAATACATTACCCCTTGGTTGAAATTTCTTCGTTTATAAAGTTCGTATTGTTCCATCAACGTGTCCACTAAATTTCGTCTGACATTTTCTGCAGCTTCTTTCGATTGCGGACTGCAGTTCTTGTCAAAAGAGTCCATGCTTTGTTTCACAAGTAATTTATTAAGGTCTTTTACTTCATCTTCTTCCATATATTTGCTTTTTGTTAGAGCCTGATATAAGAGAATTTATGGTGTTATTACCATATATACGGTAAAAGTGCGCGCGTGTGCAGACATAATGTCTTACCAAACATAGAATGTAAATATATCAGTCGTTTGTCGGAACAAAGTCTGAGTCCTTGTCAGTTGTTATTTCGTTTCGTTTCGTGCTCAATCGTGAGTCGCCTCATTAGTGTATTTAACAGCGCTTTGTTAAACACCATGGCCAACAAATTGCGTAACTTACTCACTTTTAAAATTCAATAATCCCATGCCAAGTGGCATTTATAGAGCCTTGTTTAGAAAGAGGAGTTGTCAAAGAACGAGAAACAGTACGTCAGAAACTGAATTTGAAATGAACCCCGCCCTCGCTATGAATATTGTATCTAGACTAGGGCTGAGCATAGCATAGTAAATTATTCGAATCGAATCAGAGCAAAATTTAGAATCGCCGCCATCTTGTTTTTTTTTCTTTCCGCCGCGGTTGAGATGAATTCCCCAATTTATTGGAGCCATATCTTTCAACGCAATTCTGACATCCATCCTATCCTGATTACAGGATCAATTAAAATGAAAAAGGGGGGGAAATTACATAGCTCTCATTGACTCCCAAGTATTCGGGATTCAATTCGATCTGAAAAAAAGATTCGATTCGATTCTGAAAACATCAGGTTTTCGAAAAAGCTCAGCCCTAATCTAGACCAGTGGTTTTCAAGATTTCATAATCCATTGTTTCTTTCCAAAGACTCTCAACATTTGTAACCCCCTGCTTTTCTATTAAAATACCGTAAACGCATTACCATCAGTTATTTTGTGTGCCACGTTTAATAACAATAATAAAACCGCTTTGTGATATCGAGGGCCCAGTTTGAAATACCGATCTGCCTATTATATATATAAACCAGCAGGTATTGATAACTTGCCTTGTCCATTTCATATGCATACATATCCACAGCTGCGTTTAATGCTTGCAGATTCATAACGTCGGCCGAGTTCTAAAAAAGGATATATAATATATTTGTTTTTCACTGTATAGACAAATGATGCGAAAAAATACTTTACTTCAAATCAAATTACATGAACACGGTAAAATTGTTTATAAAAACAATTTTTTTAGTAGGGAGTGATGACTTGCGTTGACTTCTGTAATTGTTGAACCAGCTAAACTCCAACTGCATAGCCTGAGTCGAACTGATTGAATGAGAAGTGACAGGAAGAGCAAGGAATTTTTTACCTTTTATTCTAATAAACTAAACTTTTACACTATTTCCGTTAAATCGTTTTCAGAATATAAGTTTTGCTGACCATTTCATGATGCATCAGAGGCATTCGTTCCTACATGGCCCTGACAAACCTTTGATCAGTCGAATCCTACTATGGGATATCCAATGCTTCAGAAAGGAGTTCCAATACCATGCCCACCCCCTCACTTAGGATGTAATAAATTTCGCAGACGATTCCGGTCTATTCAAACATCATAGTTTCATACATATTGTTAGACAACAATGCATGTTAGTACACGGGTTTATTCGGGGCGATACACTTTTATTCTGCCTTTAATCTAATACAATTTAGATGATTTGGAGACATAGGGTTTGAATCCAAAATATTTGAAGGTCACCCTGGCCTAAACCTCTGAAATAATCTCCCACAAGCGCATCAATTTTGAATTTTATCAGTTTTCTTTGCTTGTACCTGTATCATACTTTCAGGTTCAGGTAAGTTTCCTCTGGAAAAACTTTTGCTGCACGAAATCGCGTAATTTAGCAGTGAGTTTCCTGTTATGACTTCACCGTAGATTTTCTTTGGTACAAGGTGTTTAGGATTAAGAAGCAAATCTGCCAACACTTGAACGTGATAGAGAAATTCTGTTGCTACGTCTGAAATATAATTAATAATTTTATAAAGCCTGCCAAACAGAGAAGAATTCCGACTAGGAAAGCAATATATTTATTTTAATATTTAAGACAAGTTCACCTTTTAATTCTCCTTTGAATTGTCTATCTTTTCTCGTCACTGCGACATTTAACCCCGGATGCGGAAGAAAGAAGCATTGAATGTCATTGAAGCTTTTATGAAGATATTTTCTAACAGCTGTTAATTCACTATTCTTTGACGCACACGATAACAAATCGTTCAAATATCCAGTGCGGCCAGAACTATCTGTCTCAGAATCAAGCCCATAGTCATGGTCCTCCAACTCTTGCCAGTCCCGTATGACAAACATTAGTTTCTAAAATTAAAATTGTTTCAATTAATATAAGGAAAAATGTCAGGCGGCTGAAAAAAAAGAGAACAATGTTCAAATATATGGACACGAAAGTCAAAATAAAATAATATCAAATCTTTCACAGTCCCGATTCTCGCCAAAAATCTCCCGACTTCGCTGGTCACCAGATCGCTAAATTGCGATCGCGGAACCGCTACACGATCCGCAACTTTTCAAGTTTGTTGACGTCGTCGAAAACGAATCTCATAAAGCGCACAGAAATAGATAAAATAAATAGCCTTCTAGCGACAGAAACTATCTCTAACCACTGAAAGTTTTGAAACGATTGGTCTAGTAGTTAATGAGAAAAGAGATTCATGGGATCACCCCGTGTTCAATAATTAGCAGCAGTAGTAACTTTTTCTTTCGTGTTTGAAGGCAATTTTTCCTTCGATAGATTAATGGGTAATTAATCGCTGAAGCGCGAGAGACCAAAATAGTGCTTTTCTTGTTGTGAGAATTTACAGTCGAATCCGGCTCCGGAGCTCAAGATTTCGACTCCGAATCCGGGCACTGTAAAAATACAACTCCTACTTCAGTAAAAATATGCCAAACTTCGAAATCACAGCCGTAGAAACAGCAGTGGATGAAGTATGTGGACACGATAGCCAAAACGAAGTAGTACGAATATGCAATCTGTCTTGACGACTTCGCCTGACCACCAGAGAGCAACTGCGCCAACGAGGAAACGCCACAAAGTGCGCAATTTTGATGACGTCATCGCACACAAAAAACTAAATTTTTAAAATAAATAAAAATGAAATCATATCTTTCACCACAGAAACTTTCGAAGAAATTGGTCCAGTAGTTAATGAGAATAGTGATTTTAAGAACAACAGAAAACTACCAACAACAACAACAGCATAATAACGAGAATATCGCTCGGAGACCGAAGACTTATCGATCGAAAGTTGGGGGATTCCCCATTCATTCACTCTGACCCCATAGTGACGCCGCGTGTCACATCACTAATTAATTGATAACTATTATTTTAATTATCCAAAATCAATAGGCTTCTGATCCGAGCTATGATGAATGCACATGCAAAATTTGGAGCAGATTCAACCTCGCTTTCGTGAGATATCGCGTGCATCTAACAAAGACAGACAAATATCTATCAACATACTTACCGATCTTAAGATCGATAAGTAACAAAACAATCCATAGATCCACTCCGTGTACAATAAAATGATAGACTGATATAATAAAACCAAGGTACCTGGAAGGAAGGCCCGTGCGATGCTTTTGCGGCTTGTGCTGCTCTTGCATACTCAGTGAAGCACTGAAATGATGAAATTATTGTCAAAAAATACCCGAAATGATGCAATATTTAGGATTGAAAGAATCTCGTACTTTATTTGAATTATTGAGTGAAATAACAGTACTTCTCCGTTTTTAGAAATTTCCAATATTAGTTTGATGTAATTATGATTTCACTAATCTTTGATCGCTAAAATGCACAAAAACAATTTTTTTCATTTTAATTTTCCATCAAAATATTTGTTTATTACAAATTGATCATCTAAAGATTTATTATTCAGCCAAGCCATATTGCGCCAACATACTGACAGGTGTCATACTTCACGTAGTTGGCTTTATATAAACAAAAACAACCTGTAAATACTCCAAATCGTTCTCCTGTATTTGCTGTGATAAATTGAAGACTTGAATTGAGCTGAGCAAAGTGCTTAAAGCAAATATTTGAGTGCAAAGTCTCCTATCTGAGTTGCTGTCAAATAAACCTTGAGTGTCCATCAAAAATACAGCAACCTATAAAATAAACAAAAACCTTCCAAATTAGTCTGTTTATTCACGATTTGAGTATGGGCCAAACAAATTAGAACTTGAATATCGCGGAAAATCATTTGCAATTGCACAACAGCTAACAATTGACGTCATACAATTTTAGCTCCGCTTTATTGGTTTCAGGTATGTCGTTCGCAAGCAACCATTTGACAATGTCGAAACAATAGCATAAAGTGAAGTATGATAATATTTAACTATTTGCAGAATAGGATGAATTATTACATTAAACATTTCATACTTAACAAAAGTTTATGAGAAGAGAGATTTTTATAAGAAAACAAATACCAAGTTCATTTAAAATCCAATCCTGGTTTAAACGAAATTTTGTGTTCGCAGAGTACAATTTAGGAACATTATTAAATTCGACTTACCACTCGCGAATATGAATAAAAAATTTCGACCATAAATGAATTATATTTAGCCCAATATATTCCGTTTTGGTAGGAAATTCTGAAACATCAATCGAAATTAGGAAGTCTGTGAATGTGATATCGGTTCCGGTTTTATTACCATAAAATAGTCCGGACTCCGACTCCACAACGGTTACTTATTTCAGAAAGCAGCAACTTGAATTTTCACAGAGAATAACTGTCTGTTTTTTTACCTTTTGGGTTTCCACGTCAACGATAAATGGTTCATTCAGAATAACTATTCCTTGGGTCACCGGAGCCTTTCCTCCTCTCCATTTGAAACCGTCTGCAATGTTGTCTTTCCCAAGCCAGTCGGGATTATTGTACTGAAGTAAATAATTTAAGAATTTACTTATGCGGTTGTGCGGCTTTTAATGAACTCCTAGTTGCGCAAACATTTTTGAACAAAATTGTAGACGGATTTTCACCATTTTTAATGTCATCAAGGAGTTTTAGAAACTATTGTACCAGAATATACAGCAAAGCGCAAGACATTATTACTCCCAAAACGGTCAATTCTGTAGTCGTACAGAGTAATTTTGGTACTGCAACTGATGGGATTTTGCTATTTGCCAAGGTCAGAGGGTTATTTGGAAAATGGTCGCTGGTTTGATTTTCTTCAATAGCATCATTTTTAAAGAAAACAATTTTTTCAATCAAAAAACAGCAAGACACATTTTGAATGGATGGAAATGAATTGAAATTGCACGACCAATGCGCTTTTTACATCGGAAATAATTCGTTATATTTTTTGCAAAACGCAATACTGTTACGGACAACTGGGCAAGTTCCAAAGACAAGCAATACCGCGTACTCACCCCTTTTTGTCTCATGTATCGCAAGAAGAAGTTGAGTAAAAATGATTTTCCTTTTCTGAAAGCTCCAGAAACTGATAACAAGGCTACTGGAAGTTCAGAAACTTCTGGATTGGTCAAAATTGTTGTCAGAGCTTCCTCGTCGATCACAAGTTTATCTTCATCTATCTTGGCGATTGGGACGAGTTTCGCATCTACAAAAAATAGATTTAGAGACTCGAAAAAGTCGCCTTTCAAAATTTAAACTATTCCAGATTACATTGTTTGAGAAGCCATACTAGATAAATACTTTAATAGTGATCTACCTAAAAAAAAGTGTCTTTGAACACAGGTAGTATATTACCTTCTTGGGCCTGATGTAAGCGCTCCGTGTGTAAAGCACAAAACTCCCCAGTACCAACCAAAATTACAAGACTTACGATAAAGATGAAACAGCAGGTTTGATTGACGCAAACTTCTATGAAATATCTATGACCCACAGTCTTATTTTTAACAATGAAAATATATTTACTCATTCACTGAAAAAGGTTTCCCATCTTTGGCCTAGCAGTTACACCGATAGACTTAACTATGTTGGCACCGCAGGCAGCACGTCTCGGGTTCAATCACCACCTCACGCAAGGTGTAATAAATTGATAAGGTAATGCCGAATCGCAAAAATTTCAGTTTTCTGAATAGTAGTTCCTTGCATATCAGTGGATGTTTGTTTGTACACGACCTTGTTTGTAGCGAAATGTGTGAACGAGCATTGTATGAAAATGTGAGTAGCATTTTCCCCCACCTGAAGACGAGACTGTGCGTTCAAATGGAAAAATTCGTTCGTAAGGATGCCTTGAAATAAAAGGATGTTTGACAGTGAGCGACTTCATTTTCACATAATCTCCTTCTGGTTCTTCATCATAAACGCCCGACTTGCGGCGATAAGTGATTAATTTAGCCGTCATTACCAACGAATTGGAAATCTATTACACTTGACAAAAACGAAAATATATTTAAGAATATCATACACCTTACATGCCCTATTTGGTCACGATTGGGTACTCCCGAAGTGTGTGTGTACCAGGATCGGGTTAAGCCATAATTGTATTCCTATTTTCCATATTTTAGTTATATTATGAGTTTGGGGACTGTTTGTGTTAGCCAACTTTATATACCCCCTGACCATAATATCGTCACGCTAATAACCGAATTGCGTCATTTTTAACAATTTTGATTTTTTTTATAAAATAGGTGTTTATGTAATGCTGCGCACTTGTCTGTTAACTCAGATTTTATTTTAAGAATTCTGAAACCCATAAAAATGGAGATTTAGTATGACATGCACATTTGTGCAATTGTTTCGTCATAATGAATTATCATTGTCACCGCAGGACTATTGTGACATCACAAAGGCAAAATAACCTAGGCGAAGTATTTTCGAGTTTTTGCATCTCGGATTCTAGCTTGGCGCGTATTAATTTGAATTAATATTACAGTATAGGAAGGCGTGCACTTGTGATATTCACTGTTCGAGTCCAATTCCCCTTGGTTGGCTTTTATATTGGATGCATTGCTGTTTTATTCTTTATATTTAATCTTATTTCGGTGGTTGTGCAGAACGGGTTATATTGATGAAATATATATTTTTAAACATAAAAAATAATGTAATTGAAACTGATTAGTTATTTTGGGAATTGGACATTGTAGATACTGAGAATTACATTCGTTTTTGTAATGTTTAGTTTTCAAGAGTGGTGCATAACTGCACTTAACTGTGTCATAGAAATTAACTTAAATCCGGCTACAATCAAAAAATTGAACCATGGCAAATTATTGACTCTCAATGGCATAACAATATCATTAGGAAGTTTTTTACGTTTTCCTCAAAACTGCTAAAAAGGACTTACGCAATTCGGACGATATGCTTCCGTCCCCTTTACACAACTTGATGTAAAGTAGGCGAACAAAATAAGTTACCTCTATATTGGTACACACGCTTCTGGAGCGCCCACGATTGTCTACAGCACACTGGTTTTGAAATGGATTTCTCATACTCCAAAGTTCTATACATTTTAGTGGCCGGTTTTTAGATTCTCATTTGAATTGAAATGGTAACTAAATAATTTAAATACTTTCCTAGCCAAAATCTGATTAAGGTATTTCCTCTTTGCTCTGAAATGCATTATTCTTCCCTGGACATTGTTTCTAAAATGTTATCCGACTGAACAATTTTAAGTAGAAATACAGGGTGGTCGCTAGAAAAGTTGAAGGTCAGATGAGATCACGAATAAAATGCGAAAAGGTTGAATTGAAACGATATCCCACAAGTTAACCTTCAAGACGCTACACGAGCTTGGGCTTCTAGGTTAGCTCATTGTTTTGAAGTGCACGGACGACATTTTGAGTATCTCCGAGTATAGTATAACATATGCCTGTAAAAATTTTGTAAATGTTATTCTTTGTAAAAATAAATATCTGTTTGACAAATTTTCTGTTTTTCTAGCGACCACCTTGTATATCTCTCGGGATTTGAGCCAATTTAAGTATTAACTGTAGACTCAGTTCGATAAAGTTGTTGCAAGGGAAACTATTATGATGGAATCTTCTTTGATAAACTGGCACAACTTTAATTCTCTTAGTAGTTCTAAAGCAGAATTTCGAACAAATGATCTTCTAGAGACAATATCCCATCTACCGTAAAGGCTACACGAAATGTTGATTTGCGGTATATAAACTATTGTGTCTGTCCTTTGCTGCTCAAATTAATTATCAACTTTGATAATGACGAGTAAAAATAAATATATCGGTTGCAATACTTGAGTGTAAAATAAATATTAGCTGAACTCATTTGTGAGTGAGCCAGTCAGAGAAGTAAACATCTTTGTACTTACAGAATCAAACTGATCATGCCTCGGACTATTTCAAGATTGAAAAATAACGAGTACACTATAGCAGGGCTACTCAACTATTTTCACCAAAGGTCCGCTTCAAAGTTTCAACAATGCAATTGCGGCGCAAGTGAAATATAAAATGTCATTTACGCAAAGAACCGACGTGAGCACATTGTTACATCGCAAATTATATAGATAATGCGGTCACGTGTCTGGGTTGGTGATTTCGGCTGCCATGCACTTCGTTTGATTTACGTTAAACATTATTCCCGTTGACGCTAAGGTCGTCAGTCAAATTTATAACTTGCAGAGACTTAGCCTATTAGATTGCGTGATGATATTGCAGTACAATATGTGCTTAAATTTTAATGTTTATTCAAGCCCTTAATTAGGGTGATCACATTTCCAAATTATAAAAGGAGGACACATCGTTTGGTAGAACCATGTTTCACCAGTGCATGAGATAGGCTAAACATTATATATCTGCTATTTTTTTTAGTTTTTCTCTAATTTATCAGAAAAACATCTACAGAACAATCAATTTATTTGTCAATAAAATTGTAAACTAAGTGAGTATACTAGCCATAGACCCAAATAGAAATCAGACTCAAAGTATGGATACTTTTGCTTTAGTTCCTAAATTAAGGTTTTTCTTTTCAACATAATCTACTGGGCATACTGACGCAATTTTTTGCCAAAATCGAATCTTTACTAAATTGCGAAATACAATGTGAAATGACGTAAACATATTTGCAGAACAAAACGATTTTACGCCATAAACGAGTAAGCATAACAGATAGGCCTCTGCGTTTAGAGTAACCCCGTGTGCATGCTGTCACTACGCAATGCATTGCTTGTCATATGTATGATGATGTTTACAAGTCTCTACTGGCTTTACAATTTTCTTAACACATAAAAAACTGTTGATTATATCATAAGAGAGTTTTAAATATTTAATCCTGTAAAAGGAGGACATTTTAGAGCGTCCTCGGAGGACGTAAATTTTTCAACAAAAAAAGAGGACAAATCCTCCAAAAAGAGGACGTATGGCCAGCCTACTTAAATAAACATTGGTATTTGTAAGGTATACAAAGTTTTTGAAAAATTGTTAAAGGAATACCACGACAAAAAAAGTTGAAGAACACTGTTGTAATTAATTAAAATTACTTCAAGTTTTTCAAGCATGTACATGGTATACTATACCATCAGTGGTGAGCTGTAGCCGGATCGCACCGGTTGTTGGACATCTTATTGCATTTGCGTTCCTGTAGTAAGTATTTGATATAAAATTATGGTACAAAAAGTCTAGTTTCTCTGGTAAACCTACTTATTAATTTATGTTTTGTTACATCATAATTCGTAATTCTTTTTACATCACATCACGCAAATAATTAGTACGTCAGTAACATGTATTAGATGTTTCCCCGACCTTCGACCCCGTAGAAATTCATCCTATACCTTTCTAATAATAACATTTGTATTGAATTGCTATGAATATATTTGTAATTTTACAGACTTATTTCAGATAATCTTCATAACACATTGCAGTTCTTCGACTCTATCTTAGGAAAGATGAAACTTTTCGTACACGTCCGCGTCGTGTTGTAAATATATTACATTTTTGCGAATTAGGTGCGTTCCGGTTGTTACAATTTTTTCAGCTCATCACTGTATACCATGTATGAAAAACATATTCATTCATGAAAAACATGAACTAAATCGAGTACGTTTTTATTATATCATTGTCTCGAGGACTAATATCACGGCAAACAACGAAGAAATAATCGAAATGTAAAAAATGATAAGCCGATAAAAAAACTTCTGAGCAATTTTTGTCATTTTATTTAAATGCCGGAACAAAGATGCTAATCGGGTTCAACCAGTATATGGAATCCCCCCAGATTCATAATTATATTTCTTGCGTTTTGTTTCGTAGGGTGAACCAACCCCTTAAAATATGCGGCGCAATTTACGTCGTTTAACTGAGCATTCACCCTTTCAAATTTTCAATGACCAGGGGTTACGTACACACACACATAAAGCAACACACATAAAACCGCTTCCACGTCTACCTACTTACGTTTTCCGCGGTAAAGCGTTTCCAAAATATCTTAGTTTGAGTCAGCAGCATAAAAAAAGCAAATAAGAGTAGAAATGTCGGTACTCCCGTAGTATGTGTACCAGGTTAGGGTTAGGCCATAATTTTGTTCCGATTTTCCTTATTTTAGTTCTATTATGGGTTCGCGGACTGCGGACTATCTGCGTTTGCCAAGTGAATATACCCCATGTTCATAGGTTTCAATCCATTTACACAACTTGATGTAAAGTAGGCGAACAAAATTAGTTACCTCCATATTGGTACACACTTCTGAAGCGCCGAAATGTCTCATACAATAAATTGTATTGCATATAGAGTAAAATTTTATTATTCGAAATTTCTATGTAAGTTCAGTTGTAATCAAAGATGTGCGAAAGAACATTTGTTTGACTCAGCCCGACCACGAGTATAAATATATTCGGCAGTTTTGTTACTGATGCCGAAGTACTGTTTAATTAATGAAATAGCGATTATCTTTGCATCCTATGTCCACAAAACTGGAGACTCAGAATTATGTCTCAACCAAATTTTTATTTGATGATTTTCCAATTAGAGACCCAAATCCGGGACTAATGATAGTCGATTGTATGCCACGTGACAGCTTTGTAACTGACTGATTTCCATAACCAAAGATCGATAACTCTCAAAATGGGGCGAATGCTAGTCGATTGTATATGGATTAGGATTTGACATATGACAGGTATGTAAATGCCTGAAACCGTTTAATACAGGATGTCATATATAATCAATTGAATGTTTAATTAAAAACCCTTCTAAATGATATTGTATTTGCAATCTCCTTGCTCCTGTGAAATGCTTGCTAATAAGATGAACACCACTAGGGAACAATTATAATAGGAAACATAGTCCGTGGGACACAGTTATTTTCAAATTTTAACGGCGAACTTGGCTAAGCCTTTTTTAAATATGCGCAAGCTTTTATTGAAACCTACATTTATATCGATCGTTTTGTTCTACGTGCCAATTATTTCAAATATTTTAGAACTAATTAGATTTGATCTCATATGACACTGTATGAAGCACAGTTTTGGGAAATAATTTAAATTTAATAGAAAAAGCCGTATTTTTGCATTTTGGCGAGGCTTTGCTTTCTCAACCGAGATGAACACTGGTATTAATGCGAAGAATGATTTTTCATATATATATGGTCTGCTGATCATGCAATACATAATGTTCAAATAATTATATTTATGGGACGGAAAGTCGTTTATTACTAAATGCTTAGGCGCTCCAGAAGTGTATGTACCAATATGGAGGTAACTAATTTTGTTCGCTAACTTTACATCAAGTTGTGTAAAGGGACGGAAGCCTATGGGCAAGGGAGTATATTCACTTGGCTAACACAGACAGTCCCCGAACTCGTAATAGAACTAAAAAATAAGGAAAATCGGAATAAAATTATGGCCTAACCCGAATCTGGTACTCACACTACGGGAGTACCAATGCTGCGATTTATTTTAAGGTTATATTTTAAGTAACATATTGAATAGTTATTTATTGAATAGTTTAAAAAGTTTAAAACGAGGAGAATAACTGTTACACTTGGCCGTATTAAAGGAAAAGAAATAATGGTAATCGCTGTTGGCATGAGTACACTCGAGCACGACAGAGTGGAAAAATATATTTCTAAAATGTATGTATTAAAAATCTCGTTATTCTATACTTTATCGACAATATGTTTATAGAATATATATAAATATATACATAAAATTATAGGCGCTATAGAAGTGTGTGTACCAATATCGAGATACCTAATTTTGTTCGCCTACTTTACATCAAGTCGTGTAAAGGGACTGAAACCTATGGGCACTTGGCTAATACAGACAGTCCCCGAACTCGTAATAGAACTAAAATAAGAAAACTCGGAATAAAATTATGACGCAACCCTAACCTGGTACACACTACGGTAGTACCAAATTATAATTCCTAGTGTTTTATGCACTTGGTTAAGGCTCTTCAAGTGAAAACACTCCATTATCATTTGTTTCCTAATATAGTTGGAACGTGTAAATCAATAAATTGATTCAATAATGAGGCCTCGAATATGCAACACAGGTGTTTGATTACTTTGCGTATATTCAATCAATCAGTGTGATCTCTCCAAGCAGGTAATTTTGATTGGAAAAACCATAAAATCGCCTAATTAATCATACAAATTGTAAAGAAAAATGTTCACAAATGTTAATATTTCTTAATGAGTTTATCAACTCTGTCATTATCGTAATTTGAGAGACTAATTCCCACAGTGAATTGAACGAAATAAAATGATAAAACTTGAATTTTTATACCAAACTACCAATTCAGCTAAATGTGTTATTGATTGCGCACTGCCCGGGGCGTCGATCCAATCGGTTTCATTTTATAACTTAAAGTATATATATACTGTATAATGTGAGTTTGGCGTGCTCTATATAGATGTCTGTTTATGCTCGCAAACTTGCGTATTTTGTATATTTTCTTTAAATAGTATGAGATTAGTTTTATCCAATTTTAAAAATATCACCAAAATATGATTATTTATTTCCACAGTCTACCGGAATAAATGATTTAATGAAGAAATATATACCAATCATCCAATTATGTTGAATCATCTTGGCTTCTGTGTGAACGATGACGCAAATACGTTGAATAATACTAGACGACGGTTCAATAAGCGGTCATCAAAGAAAATAAACAGTGAACTTAAATAGCGATGTTCAGAATTAAAGTTCATATTAATATTTAAAACGTGACTTCGAAATAATATAGATGATACAATTGGCTTTTTCAGACTTAAAGACGAACAAAGAGTGTCATGGGTTAATACGACCGCGTGGAATACAAACGAGGCATACGTTGTGTCATCAGCGAACAAGAGTTGGGTTATATAATGGGGTTCAGCGTTGAGTTTTGTGTGTTAATATTGCCGTGTGGTAATAAAATGAGGATATAAGTTAGTCATCAGAGTACAGGAAGCGTTGGGTTATATATTATTCATATTTCCTTGTTAATTGGTACAGAATTTAGTAGTTAGATATTCTATAAAAAACTGCTGTGCAGAAAGTATCATTGATTTTGTTGATATTTTCGAACATTGAGCTTGGGATTATTCGAATAAATAAATACAAACGAATATATTAAGTACTTTATCTAAATAGTAAGTAAGCTGTACTGATTGGTTGAGATTGATTTCTGAGATATCAATATTATTATTATTTTTTATCGGGGGGTTGACTTATTTATCATGTAGAAACAACATCGGGGAAGTATTGCTTTTTGTAATGATCTTTTGGCAAATTCTTTTATACCGTTGAACATTTTATTATAAAATTTGTATTAGACAATCGATTAGTTTTTTGCATTTTCATTTTTTCCCTGTCTATTATTGACGTTAGACGTGAATAAATGTATGCTTCAATATCCGGTCGCCCAGGGATTTATAAAATCAGGTGTTTTAACCAATTGAGACTTGAGACACCCAGGCACGCGTTATTACCATGCTCAGAATCTATATTAAGTATGACATGGTTATTCAAGAACGTACATCTTTTTTTTGCACGGGAAGTGGGGATGGGATATTAGGTAAACCTAAGGCTAAATTCAAACCTTGCAGTGAGGCTCGGGATGTTCGCGCTAATACCGTGTTTTCCCGAAAATGAGACCTACCCGGAAAATAAGGCCTAGCCTGAATTTTAAAAATGATTTTAATATAAGACCTCTTCTTAAAATAAGATCTAGTAATTTTTTGCCTAGTCGATAGCAAGAAATTTCTCCTACACGTTTTATATGATTGATAATCTATGTTTTGCAGTTATTTCGAATAAAAACGTGTTATTTATAAGTAAATGGATATCGGTTTTCATATTTTGTATTAATTTGAAAACTCGTAATTCTCTACTTTATAATTTCGTTTTTGAAATGATGAAAATATAAGACATCCCCCTAATATAAGCCCTAGTGTTATTTTTCGGATGAAAATTGAAATAAAACCCAGTCTTATGTTCGGGGAAACACGGTATGCATATAGTATTCAACAAAAATATTTTATAATAACATTTCAACTTTTTTTCCTATAGATTTTTAAGGTAACCCTATTAATAAATTACCATGGCGGAAATACCTACAACATTGTATGCTTTATCAAACGTGACATACGTGATATCAACATTTTCAGTTGAGATACCAACTTGGAATACTCTGCACACCACATGTCAGATTTTAAACGCTTTTATGCTTCTCTGTTCACTTTGGTTATTGCTGTCTATGGCTGTGTACGGTACAAACACGAAAAAGTGGAAGAAAAAAACTAGCTCTTCGAGCTTAAACAGCGGTATTATTTACACATCTTGCGTTGCATCTATAATCCTATCGACGACAAAGTTGATATTTAATTCTGTGTTTTTAAACATACATTTGATTGACGGGGCTATGGATTGGTGCGAACTGGTAACAGATATTTCTATTGGAACCGGCATTATCTGCCTCTACGCTATTTACCTTTTCTTATGGCTACGACAAAGAGTAATATATGGACACCCTTGTGTACGTAATTTAGCTGGTAAAACTATTAATGTACTGAGTTGGATTTCGTTATTCGGGATCAGCTTGATATTTACCGGACTTCTGATTGTGTCTGTTGTGCCATTAGAATATACTTCTACACAAAATGCATGCATACGAAAGGAAACAGAATTGCGTAACATAGCGTACATTGTTCTAGCCGGAGTTCTGCTTCTTGTCCAGGGATTGCTGCTATGCCTGTTTGTTTATCCAATGATTCGAAGCAGCTCAGTTCAAGGGAGAAAACAACAAAGTGTGGCAGAATCAAATCAAGAAAATTACCTTACAAGAGATAGGAAATTGTTTTCAACCTGCCGTAGAAGTAAAAACAAATCAATTATTAGAAAAAACAGGAGCACAGTTTCAAGAATGATTCGTCGATCTGTTATATGTGCCGTTATCACAGTAGTAACTGACATAGCTAGCATGACTTTTCTTGCTCAGCTTCCCTCAAGCGTATCATTCGCTATAACGAGTTCATTATACGACATCAGTATTTTTATAAACATTTGTTGCGCGCTGGCAACTTTCGGGAAAGCTAAACGCATTCTTCTTGCTCCATTTTCTATTTGTACAAAAACTACGCTATCACAAACGTCGTCATCATTTGGAGAAAGCATCGATGACACTTCGAGACGTAATACTACTCAGCCGACTGGAGAATCCTTTGCCAAATATACGATTGGATTCAGACGGAGTGTCGTTAATGATCTAGAGATCGAAGAAAGCTAGTCTATGAACCCAAAATCATATACTTGAGTGTGTATATGTAACTGCGTAAATTGTGCAATACACCTAGCTCAAAGAGTAGCATAAGGAGGATTCTGCGCGTGAACTCGGAAGGAACCAAAATTCATACTCTGGCACTGGGAACCCGAATATTGTTTGTGAATCCCTTTTGTTAATTGATGTCATTTGTTGGTCATTGTTATATAGCACTGAGGAGCGTGGACTGTTTTAATTATATTGGAACCAGAGTCGCACTCAAGTGATACCCGCAGTTAAAAATTTGAAATCTCCGAATTCGTAATTTCAGACTTCCAATAGTGATAATGGAAGCCAAAATTTCCCACATAGACTTAAAAAGCATCATTTTTGCTAGCCATTTTCATTAGACAATTCAGAAAGGCTTGCATAATCCAAAGCATCGTTATCAAAAGTTGATTCTCTTGGGGAAGGAGTGACAAGTGATATTTCCTTCAGCATGGAGTGGAAATCGAAATTGTTGTTAACAAAGCTTGGGGTCGGGAATGAATTCTCCTTGACTTCACAGCCTTGTCAACGGCAAAAAATTGCAAAGTCGTCGCACATTATAATACATTCAAGTATTTCTATTCTAAAGTTTCAATATTTCCTTTTGTCTAATTTTCTAATCCCGCTAGTTGACATAAGCTATTCTTGGATGAATGATTTTTTGCGCCCTAGTTACCGTTTTGTTTCACGAAATTGATATTTCGTCGATGACAAAACTTATATTATTGCATTTTATTTTTAAAAATTGCTTCACTTATATATATACTTTTTCCCTGTTTCAAAAATCACTGTTTGTTGTTGAATTAATTATATCGAATAAAATTATAATATAGTAATTTCAGTAACATACTCACCAATTGAAATGAAGATTCATTAGTAATATTCTTGATTTTATAAAAACTTGTTATAATACCTCAAAAATTTTTGCTCTCTCATTGATAAAATTTCAACCCAAAAACGAAGACGACAAATATACTTCAGTTTAAATTTTAAAACATTTATTTTTATTTTTTCGTTGAAGATGTAAATACACACAAATAAAATCTGATTCATGTTTGATCCCTTTTCTAGAATTATTATGAACTACTGGTTACGGAAAGCTAATTTCAGTATGTCAAGCAGACGCACGTTGTCATATTTCGGAAGTTCTTCACCCTCTTCCATATCGTTAATCATGATCTCAAGTTTTGCAAACTCGTCTGGAAAACCAAAGTAGAATTAATGTTTCCTCAACCACCAGTGGACAGTCCATGAATAGGTGCTTCGTAGCATGTGTACCAGGTTAGGGTTAGGCCATAATTTTATTCAGATTTTCCTTATTTAGTTCTATTACGAGTTCGGGGACTGCCTGTGTTAGTCAAGTGGAAATACCCCTCGCCCAAAGGCTTCAGTCCCTTCACACAATTGATGTAAAGTAGGCGAACAAAATTAGTGACCTCCATATTGGTACACACACTGGAGCGTCCATAAATGAAGGAAATTTAATCCTGATTTTGAGAATGTGTTAGCCAGTGTTAGGTACAAGTTCATAAAGATTGAGTCGCGAATTATGGACCACTCGGATTTCCAATCAAGTCCCAGCATTATTGGTGTTCGAAGTCGAGTCAGTGCATTCCCGGGTCCCAAGTCAATGCTCGTTTGAGTCACATGTCGCGACCGAGTCATAGTACATTTCATAAACAATGGCGGGGTGGATAAATATGTGGAGATAGCACTACGCCTTTCATCTGGCGTAAACTAACGGTATTCTGGAAGACAATGTAAGATTGACTTTGTGTCAATACGTAAGGACTTACTTATGCTCATTTATTAACAACATTTAACTCGGCATCAACACTGCCAATTATGAGTTATTGCTGTAAAAATTAGTAAATATACGATTTTTTCAATGCAGCTTCAATACACGTAGAAAATCGAACTCAAATCACAATCATTTTTAGGTCTTCACTCGAGTCAATTTTCGTCGGGTCTCGAGTCAAAGTATCTGGCATTTAAGGCGAGGCGAGTTCGAGCCTATTATTTTCGCGGAAATAACTCAATTCTTTATTTGCAAAGGTGACTTGAATCGAGTCACTGACTCGACACTGAAGTGGCGTGAGCAATATATATACACATCCTAAATAAGAGAACCTGTTGTTACTGATGTGATACAAAAAAGAAACCTTTCTAGAAATTTTGAAAACTATCATTTATTAGAACCAATGCATTACCTTCGCTCAGGTTTCTCATTTCAGTCAGACCATCAACAACGTCGTCAACTTGTTTTTCGCTCAAGTCTTTGCTGAGTTCTAGAGCAAGTTTGTCCATGTTGTCACGAAATTCCTCGTCAGGCTGAAAAAAGATAAATACCGTAATTTAGCTGATATTTTCATGAATTTTTCGTTTTAATATTGCCCAGATATAATCGAACAAAATTAATTGTAAATCGTCCCGGAGAAGTCAGATCGGGGCTGACGTAATTTAGATTTACTCAAGTTGGAAGCTATAAAAGGTAGAGTTACGGTACTGGCAAACGATGGCAGTAGTTTTGTTCTCTTTTCTGACCCGAAGTCGGAGTCAAAGTTTCTCCAAACCGGGAGTCGATTGTATATTTTTTTCGACCCCGCGAGTCGACTGTTCTTTTTTGACAATTCGCGAATTAACTCGACAATACCTGGACAGGTGGCTTAGATATTGAAGTCGTGGTTGGACTTATTATTGAGTCTAGGCCTTTTCTCTCAGTCGCTAGAATTATTTAAAAAACGAAACGGCGAATATTAATAACATATATATCGATGTCTCGCAATTCTTTCTAGGTAATTGACTAGTTACCTCTGCCAGCTGGCAGATTGGTTACCGGATGAGGAGTCGAAAATAAGAAACGAGACGGGAAATATCAACAATAATGGTACCATTTCCCGCAGTTCTTTGACATCTCCCACCGCTGCTAACCCGTATCTCACAGCATGCGTCAATCCAACGTGCACAATTTTACGGACCCATCTATAACAAAAGGTCGCAAAAAGTGATTTAATTCATTTAACGTATCATTGAATGGGGTTGATGAAAATCGAAAACCTGATGTGAATTCGGAGAAGAATTTGTCGTGTGTTACAGAGTAGAAATACACAAACTACGACATGTTGGAAATTCGAAAAAATAGTCACTTTTTCAAAAAAAATATCGACTTTATTTTCCTACAAATTTAAATTGTCATATTAAAATGATATACAGTGAGGGAAGATTTCGACTTAGAATATGATTTATCTTATCTCGGCCTGTTTTGGATGAAACATAAAATTTGATATTATTTGTTAAAAATTATATATATGACGCTCCCGTAGTATTCGTACCAAGATGGCGCACAACCTGGTAACTCTAACCTGGTACACATACTATGTTCAGGCTATGCAGGCTGTGCGCCATCTTGGTACAAATACTACGGGAACACCATATATATTATCACTTATCAGTAGTATAAATATGAAAATACTAATATATGGGTAATTTGAAATAAGATAAATCGTAACTGGAACGTAGAATCCAATCCTTTTCAATTCATAAATTCAACTTACGCATGCCTTTTCCATATGCGTTTTGCTCCATACCACGCTCGCTTTACACCGTGCCATACCTTCCTTGCCCACCCCCACCCATCAGCGTTGCCGAAAAGTAGTGCCACCGACAGAAGAGCGAAAACAATCGCTTTCGCGTGCATGATTGCTCAGAATTAATTCAAGAAGAGTCTAAAACACGATTCGGATTTTAATCGATAAGATTTAAACTAAAATTTTCTCTTTCAATAAGTTCTAGAACAGTGGTTACCAACCTTTTTTTGCGCCGCGACCCCCTTTGGATAGTTTCTAACATGCCGGGACCCTTTTCGCGATATATATGCTGAATTTGAATGAATTAAAACTAATAGGTCATGCAAAAATGAATATTAGGCTTTATTGCGTTTTCTGCAAAATAGTTCAATCAATTCAAGTACTATCAAAAAATTTTATTCCGTTATCCCAAAAATAATTTTTTATAACTGTCTTTGAGTGCACTATCAATACTATTCAATGAACACCGTATTATCTGGGTATTAGGCCGATTATCAAGACCTAAATTCCGGGAGACAAAAACGGTCTGGACGGTACCGCAAAATACGTTAATGAAAATGCATAACTCGTATACTCCCATGCACTTCGCATTCAGTACCGTACATATTGTGCAGCACAAATATTGATTTAGTTTTTTTACAGTAAATAACTTGAACTGAACAAAAACGGGAATGCGACTTGCGCATCACATTAGAAAGCGGTCTATTGAAGATTGAATGAATAAAGTAGTTTTATTTATAGAGGGAGGGTTCAAAAATAGATAAAAGGGGAAATTCAATAGAAAAAAAGGTTGGGAACCACTGACTTCAAGTCGAATTAAAATGCGTGCTGCCAACAGATAAGAATTCATGGTGATAAGAGTTATATGAAGTGGGAGACCATAGTTTGATTCTGGAATTGGTCAACCCAAAGCCTTAAAAATTAGTTTTCACTCTTTTTCTTGTTTTTAAATTTTCCGCCTATAAAACAAATTTGTTTTTCCATCACTTATTAGAATAGATTTTATGGAAAAAGTCGTACGTATATTTATTTTGTTCTACGATCCCCTGAAAAGTGACCCCCGGGTTGGGGACCACTGTTCTAAAATAACTGGTTTATGTTATGAATACGACGAAGGCGCGGTTCACGAACCACAAAGTCAGAAAATATTTGAAACAAAATATATATTTTCTCATTAATGAAATGATTACTGAGTGAATTAAAGCCGCGGCTTGTCAAATGAGTTTTATTTGGAACAAATAAAATTTCATGTTGCATTATACAGGGTATTAAAAAAGTAACGCAAAGTTAACAGAAGTTTTCCCAGAGTACGGAATTTTTCAACAATTCATTTTATATGGTTGGTTAGCTACCTAGAATAATTTATATATAAATCGGAAAATACCACTGGAATATTGTAGTACCGATAGCAGAACATTACCTAAATATATCAAACTGCAGGCGCTCTCCGCAATTGTTTTAAGTCAGAAATGTGGTCGACTCTTACACTTATGCTTTTTCTAATACACGCCGTTTTGAGCAAAAAAGGGCGCTCAACAATAGGCGTGCACATATCATTGTATTATTATGATTAACATGGATCCAAAAAGCTCTTAGATAATCTTTCCCGCAATGACGAGTGATAGAAAATATCCCCTTTTATTCAATATACGAATATGCAACATCGAAATATCGTTTCATGACGTGTAGGCCGGAACATTGTCATAGGTTCATCATCGGATTTGCATACAAGTCCAATTTAGTCATGCATTGTACAAATCACAAATGCTCAATCAGCACGAGTATTCTGGCCGAAATCTTGCATTGAAATTTGATGTCGATTACGAGTCAAGTAATAGGGTTTTCATTACTATCCCGGGAATGGCGAAGTAGATAACACAACGTAAACATATAGCTGGTCGATACATCACGCCCGCTTACAGTCCAGGTTGGCCACGGGATCCAGTGATTCACGCGACTTGGTGGTTCATGTGAAGGTCTCGTAACCGACTGGCGGCGACGTTCTTCTCTTTGTTCTATTACGAGTTCGGAGACAGTCTGTGTCAGTCAAGTGAATATTCCCCCTGCCCATAGGTTTCAGTCCCTTTACACAACTTGATGTAAAGTAGGCGAACAAATTTAGTTACCTTCATATTGGTACACACACTTCTGGAACGCCAAAAATTGTATGTATTCTCATGGGCCAAAACGGATTTGCAGGCTGTTCGTTTAGGTATGATTAATAACTCATTACGTCATTGTTACACGTAAAAGCGGATGTCGAGACTTAAGTTCTACTTCTGACATTTGCTGCCAGGCCACTTGCAAACTCTGCGCTAAAAAGTCAACAAATGAGAAAGTACTTTGCACATAATGAAATACCACCATTTGAACTTAAAAAAGTGTACAGGTCGAAGAAAAGAATACAAGCAGCAAAACAGTAAAAAATATTTATAAGATATTGTAACGAATATTATATGTGGTGCTGGGGTAATCTATTTTTTTCTACCGTTTACCCACTCATAAAAGCAAAATTAACCCCTCAAGTGTGGAGTTCGAAAAAATACAATTGAAGCACGAGAAATTGCTAATATTTTTCTCAGTATAAAGAACAAACAGACAGTCTTGCTGTCGTGATCATATGATAGCTATCGCGCAACAGAAAACATTGCAAACCCTGGAATGTAGAAATCAACAGACGCCGTTAGTACCACTAAAAGGAAATTGGTAGCTGTAAGAGTGTGACTGTGGCAAGTGTGAATTTCTCGTTCTTAATTTCATTTTTAAATATTTCGCATTAAAATCCTAAATTTAGCCAAGTTTGTAATTGCACATGAAAATTCAACAATAGAAATTTGATTATCTGAATTTGGTTTTTCAAATCGTTTCAATTAAAATTTCATTTCAAACAAAAGGTCGTGAATATTCTTTCATAATAGGTGTAAAAGAAGAGAATTTAATAATTTATTCGACAAAAATGTACAGTTTCAGACTTTCAGTCCTATCTTTCTCAACAAAATCTCCATTGTAAGCAAGAGTGTTGGGTAGAAGTACCTAAACCTGAGGTAGGCAAGGTGTTCAGACTGGGGGCCAAAAACTTTGCTCAACTAGACTGCCGGGCCAATCAAATGTGACGTAAAGTGTTATATGTTATGAACAAAATTTACAGTGTTATAAAAGCAAAAAGGGAAAACAATAGGCCTCGTGCCAAAACTAAATTTAATCGCAATTTTAACAAATTCCTTGAGCTATTTTCTAGCTAAAACATCAAAATTTGGTTGTGGCAGCATCAGGCGAGCCAGATTGAAATATCCAACGGGATGTATTTGGCCTGTGGGCTGTAGTTTGCCCTTGTCAGTCCTAAACACCTAGTCAAAAGTTATACAAGTCTCGAGTTGAGTCAAGTCTAACTGGCGGTTAGGAGATAACATGTCTAAGTAATTCCATTTAGATGACCTGTGTTAAGTCGTTTATTCAAGCCTTCCCAGCTCTGCTAAGCAGTAACAAATCAAATGAATAAGAGTAAAAAAAAAAGAATTAGAAATATGGCACACCAATTCATGTGTAATGACTCAAGATTAACGGGAATACACATACTTTGTTAGATGTTTGTGAAAATAGTTAAAGGACAGCAGCAATTTAAAAAAAAAATGCAAAGCAATCTTAATATTTAAATTTTTATATCATCCTCGAAAACATATTTTCACGGGTATTACTTTATGACTACTACAGCTTGAATGTGTATAAGACAGTGGGATCTTGCATAATTGAAGAAATTCTTTTTAATATTTTCAAAATTACCAGGACGATCTTGAATGAAATCGCAACTGCTCATATGCGCATGTTCAAACCCGGTGCAGGTATAATAAAGTGTGAGAGAATTGCTAGACTCGCCACTGACGCGAGGTGGTCGATAACAGCTTTTTCCACCAAGTCAATGTATCCGAATCAAACATCAGTTTTTATCTCCTCCGGGATGAATATTAAAACCCTGTTCCATAATGCAAGCTTCCAGACCTTGTTGACAATCACAAGACCGATTCACCTGCTTCAAGATCAGATAAAACCATTTTGCTGGATTTATCTGTGGTAGTCCGGTTACCTTTCTTGTTAAAATGCCGTTGTACATGTGAGTGGACATCCTGGAATAAAATTAAAAGTTTTTTTATTTTGTTTTATATGCTTTACAGTCTGCACATGGCCCCGCACAACCCTCCAATACCAGGTAAGGTGCTATGGTTTGCAAGAACTAATTTTTGGGGTATTGCATAACCAATTTAGCATTGAAATGAATACAACTACTAATTGTGGGTAATTCAGAATTTTGAATTTGATTCGCACCTCCGGAGAGTTTAAAAATGCGAACCTGACTAAGTTGAAAAACGTACACTCCAGTACAGGGTTTACCAAACTCGGTCGTCCTCTGGGTCCCCAACGATATTAAAAGAGTCTGATCGATCTTTAATGATCGATTTCAATCAAAAAGTCATTGTATCTTTTTGGTTGAGTGATGAGGACGAATATCCATTGGTATGAGTAAAAGCAATTGTGTCGTTGTGTTGTAGTGTTCCTCGATGATTAGGCACACAGATTGATACGGCATAGTACGAGGGTCCGCCAAAACTAAGATTCACAAATGGGGTCCGCGGCCTAAAAAGTTAGGGAAACCCTGCTGCAGTAGATAGTTAAAAGTCACACAACCTTAACACTTACAGTCATAGTATCCAGTTCTGGAGCAAAATAATGAGTACAACTCTCCCATTGACAACATGTTCCAAATGATAGAGTAGCTGTTGATCTATCTAATGCATATTCTGTTAGATCGTGTGGATTGACATGTACGCTGAACACATGCTTCTGAAGAGAACCAATGTCTGAAAATGTACCAGCACCTACGCACCCAGCCCACTAAATTATAATAAAAATAATAAATGATATTAAAATTTAAAAATTTAAAATTTTTGCTTTAATATTGTAGAGAGTAATAGTATAAGTTGACTCGAACCTCAAAATAGTAAATCAAAAAAAATCACTAATAAAATTTTAAACCAGATAGCTGTTGTTTTTCAAAGAAGAAGAGGTATATCAAGGAAAAAAAATCTTTTTCTATGATTTTCACTCTGAACAATGCTTCTAACCTACATATTTGAAAATCTTAAAAAATAATAACAAAATTCTTACCCGACAGTCATAATCACCAGTTAAATTAACTGTATTTTTAACAGGAGATTTCCTGATAGGACTTTCGGCAGAAAGATCTATTGAAGGCATCCCATTGGTCGGAAAAGGTAGGCGGATCACTGTACTATCCTCACAACCGATAATAACTGAGCATTTATCAGAAGATGTCAAATCTTTATTGATTTGTAGACATGAAAAAAGTGGGAGTGAAGGAATACTTGTTGGTGTCTGTAGCAAGCGACTGGTCTAAAAATGAGAGAGAGAGAGATGTTCAAACTATGAACACAAACGCCAAAACGAAGTAGTACGAGTATGCAATCTTTCACAGTAGACTACCAGTACCGCAGTAATCACAGGTTCACCTGCGCACAAGATAGCAGGGAATTTCATAATCTTTCCCCACTGAAAATTTCAAGCAAGCGGCCCAGTAATTAAAGAGAAAAGTGATTTTTTCATAACAAGAGTAAGAAGGAAAGAAATAATAACAAAATGAATAACAACATGAAGTCCCAATAAAGTGTGCCAGAATAAATTTATGTTCTGTGGGCTTTCAACCGTGACCGGACAGAATTTAAAAACACTTCGAATTTGAGTTTAGGCAGAATCATCTTATATAAATTCATTACCTTAATATCAAAAAATCTTATATTCCGATCCGAACACAGTGTCACTAATTTTCCAGAAAATACTGACAGTGAACGTACAACACCAACATGTCCTGAGAACCTGAAAATGCAGAACAGTAATAAAATCAGGAAAACAATGTCCAAAACAAATTAAAGAATCCAGAAGAGACGTCAGAAACTGGGAAATATCGTAGAAAAAAATAATGATTTTTCAAATATTATCAAAAAAAAACAAAGCGAGTTGGTCCGTGGGGTCAGAAAACATGAGAATCTCTACTAAAAGTCATTGTTACATTATTTTGTTGCCCAATGATTCAATTATGATAAGATTTTGAAATTTATACTATGAGAGAGAAAAGTCGATAAGATGACTTAATCATTTGGTGAACCACAGTCTCTTTACTAGCTCATAGGAATACTTGATACGTTATTTGTTTCAGAGGCATGGGCTTAATGGTGACACTAACCTAAGCAATCAACGATTACTCGAACCACCCTAAGGCGACGATGAATCCAACAATCCTCTAGCACATAAATGAATGAAGAATATTGAAACAAAGTTACAAACCTATGAAGCAAATTTCCAGTTATCAAATCGTGGCCGAGAACCTTCCTGTCGACACTTGCACTGAATAACTCATTGTGGACCAACTGTCAAGAACAAATTGTAACATATTTTTGGTTTGAGAAATTGGTCTAAAACAGGGTTTCTCAAGGGCGAAGGGCGTACGTTGCCAGCATGTTTCAATGTTTTAACCTCTAGTCCATAACCTAAAATCCATTTCAAGACAATAGTACAATACAACAATGACAAGAAAATTGAATCTACCTGTAAACAAGTCACAGTTTTCATATGTCCTTGGATAGTTCGGAGTAAGAGTCCGTCAGTTGCATCACGAACAGACACAGTGCAGTCCGTTGATCCAGAACATAAAATACGACGAGGACCTTCTCTACCAGTTGTTAGACAAGTAATAGCACTACATGAGTGACACTCAAGCACATTGACATCGTCATCTGGCTGTCAAAATGATCCAAAGCTTAAACTCAGGATTTCAGTAGTTTTTTACCAAGAGACTCAGGAGGGAAATTTTTTACTTTTCACGTTCATTCACTTTGCTCCGAAGAAGGCCATGTAAATGCTATCACTGATATATAACAATATGTAAAGAGCTACTGTTCTTAGTGAACTTTTCTGTTCAGCTTTGTCAGTTCAGATTATTACACTCGGATTGGTGGGAATGGGATTTGAACCCAAAAGGCGTAATCTGAAATACCAACATAGTTGAGTATATTGAAAGTCAATACACCCTTCCCCATCCACTCGAAGAAATCGAAGGATAAAGTACTGATAAAATTATTTAAAAAAAAAGGAAATAAACAAGTCAAGCATTTCATGACAGCACCTTATAATTCATATTTAATGACACAATTGCTGTCATTCCATCTCTCATTCCACAAAATAAATAATTTTTATCATAATGCAAACATAAAACTCTTGTCTTGATTGGTATTCGATGCATTAAAATGTACAATGATTCCTTGTTGAAGGAATGTTTCTGAAATAAAAAATATTGAAATTCAAAATTATGATTGAAATCAGATCAAAATATTAAATAAACGTGACTGATCTTGGAATTTAATCAGGTTATTCATTTCAGATATATAGACATGACGATGGAAGATGCAAAAACCACCCTACGCTGGCGAAGGTGAGATAGTCCACCATTTATTTTACAACTAATTATCCCCACAGGATTTGAACCTTCCATTCCAACGCCTAACGTTTAGCACGATGAGCCAATCACTGATCCAATTCGTTCCACTGACATACCTGAGGGACAGTTGTTGTATAAATACTGAGATGATGTTCCATTTTGTTTATAACTTGGGAATCATCATTATTATTCTTTGTAGAAATCATTTTTTGAGTAGCGACAAAAATTACAACGCTTCTATCATCTGAATTGGCTGTCATGGCTGTAGGAGTAGCACCAAGTTTTTCAGAAATTTTTCTTCCTGAAAATATAAAAACAATCCACATAAAATGGGTTTAAAAATGCAGAAATTTTGAAATGCTTTAAAACTTGGTGTTCAATATGACAAGGCTTTATAGATCAATTGGCCGCAGGCTATAATCCTGGACTGGGTTTAAAATCCTATGGTCGCTATATCGACCCGGCGGTATAAACTGGGTCTAATTATATAATATTTGGTGTTTAACGTTTTATGAAAAAAGCAACTAGTGATAATTGCGTCAGATGTTATAATCAGAAGTTCAAACCCATGAGAAGTAATAGTTCACCATAGGATTAAGTCATCTTATTAATTTTCCTCACTCCTTCATAAGTATGAAAAACCTACTCCCTGCACACTATTACTCAAGAACGATTCTATAACTGCAAACTTTATGGGGGTAATCAGCAGTGCAATGACAACGCGTTCTTGCAAGATCTCTAATCATAACCAGACCATCTTCTCATCATTATACCCAAAAATCTAACAGAGCAATGCTCAAATAGTTGGGCATGATTAATACCTAATTAATAAAATCCCTTTACCTCCAGTACGATGCAAAGTCACTGTTTCATCTAATGAACAGGTAACTAAGCCTTCATCTACAAGATGCATTCCAACCAATGGTAAATTATGAGCCTTCATTGTTTTGGGAATAACATCATTCGTAATCGTGATAATATCTGGAAAATAAATTTGGCATAGTAGTGATGTCAAACGTAATTAATTTTAAACTGCGGCTGTTGAGTCAGAGAAAATATGAAAACAGACTTATTAAACCCCAAGATCTGATCCATTCAAAATACTTTAGCTCAGACACAGATTGACAACAATTTTGACTTCCGAAAAATGGTTTTGACCTCTGACTCCAGCTCTCAAGCAGAAAACTAAATTTTGATTACGAAAACTTTAGAAATTGAAATCCTTTTCTTATAATTGTTTGTTGAATGCTTAGACAACTCGATACGTTCTTAGTGACTATGAATAACCGGTATAAATCTTGAATTTCAACTCCAGCGAATTCAAAATTTCACCAACTTGGAAAAGTTTTAAAATAGATTTAAAAAAAAGATCCTTGTACAGTTACTACTTGATAGCCCTAATTTTAACTGAATTTAATTTTTTTTTTATAAAAATCTTACCTTCAGAAATTTTTTGTGGTTGTTCATTTCCATTCATCTGTTACACAAAGTTGAGGAATAAGAAAAAATTATTGTGAGAAATCCCTATCTATTCTATCATTTTCATTAGTAATTTTCTAAAAGAAAACAACAAATTTCATCTTTTTTTGTAAATATTTGTCTTTTTTGTCTTCAATAAGAGACATGAAATGTGATATTCCAAATGTGTCAGTTAACGCCAGAAGCTACCTAACAGGGCGTATATTCACTTGGTTAACACAAACAGTCCCAAACCCGTAATAGAACTAAAATAAAGAAAATGGGAATAAATTTATGACCTGACCCTAACCCGGTACACACACTACAGGACAGGAGTACCCAACTTATTACACACTGAGTGAGGTAGTTGGCATGAGATTTGTACTCAAGATAATTGACACACAATTCCCACATAGTTAGTCCACTGGTCCAACCACTTCATAATCATGACCAGTGGTGGGATTCAGCCGGTTCGCACCGGTTCTATAGAACCGTCTCACAGAATTTTATGAGACCAGCAAACCGGTTAGCATTACTGGTTACTGTCATTGTTCCGTTTGTAACAGAACCGGCTGAAAAATATGACTTTTGTAAAGGAACCGGCTGACAAAAAATTGGAATCCCACTCCTGATCATGACTAATTAAATTCAACTGTACACCCTCAACGCATTCGCTATACTTACTTCATTAGATGAAGTCTGTTGTTGTGGAGAAGATTTTGATAAATTACGCGGACTTCGTCGCATACCAATTCTCGGTTGTAATTTTTTCCTCTTATTCTTCATTCGTGAATTTTGTTTTTGTGGAGAATTTAAATTTTGGTCAGAACTGTTAGAATCAGTTTTTTGTCTCGTATATTTCGACAAAATTCTATCAACTTCTGCGCTCGTAGCAGAGAGAGTCGTATTGTTGAGTGTATCATTACAAATGGAGTAAAATTGAGTAGAGTCTGCTTCTCGTGAGAGCTCTCGATTACCATCGCAGCGCAACGAGGACTCTAACGATAAACTTTTAGATTGATTGAAACTATTCGATGATTGTTGATTATCTGTTTCTTGCTTTATATTTATTTCTGTGTGTTCATTTCCTTGTTCATTTCCTTGACCTTTTGATCTCGGGAAGGGCACTTGAACGAATGGTAAATCTTTTTGTGTTGGCTCGCTTTTAACATTTCTTATATCAAAAGCGGTGTGTTTAGGAGGTGATGTGATTGTTGGTCGAATTTGATCCTGATGTATTGGTAAAAACGGACCAGAATCTGGTGGTTGAAACGCTGGAAAAATAAATAGAAATATGACATTTTTATCTGATAAACGAAAAGTTAATGTTACAAATAAAGTTAATTGACACTTTAGAACAGGGTTCTAGGGGGGCAAAGATTGTTTCTATGGCCAACACAAGCAAAGGGCTTATCATATACACTATACAGAAATAAAATATATATAAATATATAGAACTGCACTGAATATTAATAGAGTAGTACACAGTTAAACGGCTGACTGACAAAAAGTCCATTCCTGCATTATACAATAAGTACCGGTAATTTTAAGATTATGGCAACAAGCTAAATTTGGAGTTCTGTCAAAGATAAGAAATCGTATACAATAATCAGGGCTGCTCAAATTGGCCCCTCTGCCCCCATAGGTATCCACGGGAAGTTTTCTATGGGTCATGAGAAAGGGCGTCCACATTTGCGATGGCTACGTTGATTGAAAGTAGATTAACCGTGACTTCTTTAACTCTCTAATTGTAATAATTCCTTCAATGGCTTTTTATTATTAAACATGGTGAATATAATAACTAATGGAAAACAGTCCACAAAAAAGAGCAGAAAGTCTTTGGAAAGCGGCCACGAATCATCAGGAGTTCATATTGCAAATCAAATTATAAGGATTCCGCAGGAGAAAAACGTAGAATTCTGAGACTACAATGCTACTCACCGGCTCTACCAGAGATCAATTGTGCAGTTGCATTATTCACATGTCCAGAATTCACATTTGTGGCAAATGATGAAATTTCAGCAGAAGAGTTTTGCATGTCAGGGATCGGGGTACTGTGGGTAAAACTCGACCCATTGAACGAAGATCGTCGACAATTGGGAATAACTTCTTGAAATATGGAACCTTCAGTTGTAGAATTTTCTTGGGAAGCATTACCATTCACAGTGCCTCTGTAAAATAAAATTAAATAAAAATCTGAACGAATGAATTCAAAATAACAGAAATAAATTACTATAACAGAGTGTACAGGAAATATTAAATATAATTTATTTTTAAACAATGAGTAAAAATAATTATAATACTATCATTCATTCAGAGAATAAAAGTAAATGAAACGAGATTTTCATGGCAAACATTTTACAGTATTCTTCCACCTCAGAACTTCCGAAACTGAGGGCCACGGCCCCAAAGGGAGGCGTGCAACGAATCCTGGGAATCGCAAAGTATACACCAATTTCACACAAAGTACTATATCTATAGTACTTTATTATTGACTCTTGATTCGAAACACAATTATTGAAACCAGTGCAAAACATGAATCTCACGATTTCTACAAATACATAGGATCAGAGAAGTGGTTCGCTTACATAACAATGCTGACTTTGTTCGCAAGACCCGACAAGCGGTAGCTAGGAAATTTTAATATATTAGAAGAGAGTAGCGAGCTTAAAAGTTTGGAAAGCCCTGCTCTACTTCATAGCTGCCTTCCTGATCGTATTGATTATTTTTACTAACAATTCAAAAGGGTTTTGCGGTTCATCAGTTATAGCAAGGGATGTCAACAAGGTATATTTTGAGATGAATATTTCAGAATCTAAGAGGATCATAGTTATAGAAAAATAAGTTCAAACATAGAGAAATAAATTAAAATTTGTAACTTTAGTGTCATCTCACAAATCAAATTCAAAAAATTGAATAGCAATACATTCATACCTTAATAACATAAGTCTTTCTTGCCTTAACGATTCTAACTCTTGTTCGTTCTTCCGTTTCAAAGCATCAATGCACATTTTGCGTTCCTTGAGCTTCTCGACTTCAGCATAAAAAAGCCTCAAGGCCTGGAATGTAAGAATTTTTCCAGAAAATGGTGTTTTATATATCTAGTTGACAAAATGTACATACAAGTACAACACATCCAAGTGAACGTAATGGCCAAGCGAAGGGGTGGGCAAGTCTTCAGACCAGAATCCAAAAATGTTGCGCACCTAATCTAGCGGGCCATGTAATTGTGACATGAAAAGTTACATTTCATAAACAATATTTATAGTGTTACAAGAGCAAGAGGAGAAAAAAATGAGCCTCGTACCAAAACTGAATTTAATCAAAATCTCAATAAATTCATCGATCTATTTTTCGGCTAAAAACATCGAAATTTGGTTTTAGTTTGGTTGTAGCAGCATATTGAAGTTGTGAAAATGGTTCATAAAAAAACTATATATTCAAAAACACAGAAAGACAGAAAGTTTATACCTCTACTTTTCTTTCAATTTCTGACTGTACATTTGCCTCTTGTACCGCAAGTGATCTGACAGAAGCATGTAATGTCTCTTCCCGCTCTGACATTGATAAAAGTTTCGAATTGAAAGACTGTGACATTGGATCAGGAAATACTGAAGTTGAAGCACCTATAATATCAATAAATTTTTTTGGTGAAATATGGATTTTGGAAACTAAATTGACAGTTATTTTTTCTAATTCAAAGGAAAACTAGGTATTTTCATAGTAAATCAGGGGACCACATTTTGAGAGTCTTCAGAAAAAAGCCATGAATCATGATGGTTTGGGGACTAATGAATTAGATTGACATCAGATATATATAAGTTCTAAAATGCATCTGACCTTTGACCCTTGCATAGTTTTTAATTTTATTCAGCAATTTGAATATTAATAATACTACTTATACCAGTTTGGCAAATTGAAGCATTATTAGGCTGTTGTTGTTGTTGTTGTATGGTTTGAGAACTTTTTCCATTAGGTGTTAAATTTTGTCTCTGGACATTTTTGTCAGAAATAATATTAGTTGCGGAATTTGTGCCAGCAGTTGCAAATGATAATGTGCTGTCGTTTTCTGATAGAGATCGAGTTCGTTTCTCTGGAAATAATTCCACCAATTCTATTGCCTGAAAATGAAATAATATTTCACATTAGGGATAGTTATTTGGCATTTATCCCAAGAAATGGGAAAGGTATGTAACGGTCTAACTATATCACGGATCACGAGAACCCGTCTAGCTCCCCATGTCATATATGGGATTATCAGTCGACCAGTTATTTCTTTCAATGCATGAGCCAGCTGTTGAGACGATCATTTAATTAAGATTATAATTAGTGTTTTCGTCACACAAGAGGGATTAATCATTTTTAGCCTTGCGATTCAATCTACACACCTTTGCTATGGATTCCATCTCTGAATTTTCTGTGCTTTCGCTTCGCAAATGTAAATTGATACCAAACCTGGATAAAATCAAAAAAATCTTTTTTACTGAGTGGTAAATTGCTAAACAAGAAAGGTAGATTAAGGTGCTTTAATAAAGTAGCTAAAGAGTTCTTATGTACATACATGTCAATGCCTGCTCAAATACAGTCCTCTTTGGGTACTCTCGTATAGAGTATGTAACAGGGTAATTTAATTCTGATTTTCCTTATTTTAGTTCTATTACAAGTTCGGGGACTGTTTGTGTTAGCCAAGTGAATATACTCCTGTCCATAGGTTTCAGTCCCTTTACACAACTTGATGTAAAGTAGACAAACAAAATTAGTTACCTCCATATTGGTACACATACTTCGGAAGCGCCCTTTTTCGTGATTGAAAACGCCTCATAGAAACAGATTTCTTAATTAACATTCAATGCTTGTGATGCCACTTTCTGTATGAATTTCATGCATATGCTATGTGTCACTAAAATTTTTCCTCTCCATACATAGTAACAATTATAACACAAAGGTATGTTTTACGAACCTGGGACCAGCAATCTTTTTCCCAGCACTGTTGCCAACGTCTGGCGAATTCTTTTTCGTTCGATCATACTTTTGTAAAAGTTTTTTTAATTTTGCTTGTCGTCCTTCAGGCGGAATATCGGGACTTTCTTTCTGTTTTGAACATAATCTGAAAATGAATTTTAAAAATGATCAGCCGATAACAGTATTTAAAAACCAGCAATTCCAAATAATATTGACATGAGGGTTGAACAACTATGTCAAAGAGCCTAACATGAGATGAAATTACCCTGTATTCAATGCTGTACACATAATAGACAAGACAACACAAAAAAAAATTATAAAAATTTGAAGGTTAGGGTTATATTTTGAAACTATTTTTTAATTGATGGTAGTTTTAGGAAATTTAAGATACAAACAACATTCATAACAAAAAAAAAGAATTAAATATATAAAAGTCATTGACCCACCTGCTCCTAGCTTTATTAATATTCGGCTGGGGATGGATCCTATTCTTTGTGTTAGGAGTATCAACATCACTTGCAACTTGAATGACATCCCGTACAGGAGTGTCAGAATTTGGTGTCAGATTTGAGGACTTTTCTGATGTCAAATCTGCACTCACTCTTACAAAGTTTAGATCAGAATTATCTTTAGGTTCAGGTAGTGAGGTATATTGAGTGGTATCTGGAGTAAATCTCTCGGTACCTTGGGTATATACACTCGAATAGAGAGTGTCATTTTGAGTAGTTTGTAGCTCGGGAAGATCGATGCTTGAGGGTGTTGGTGTGTCTGAAAACTTAAAAATAAATTACATAAATTGGAACGAACTTTTTGAGACTCTAGAACTAACTCACTTGAAATGCATAAAAAATTGCTCATAAATTTATTAATATCAGCTTGTTGTATGGCGTTTGTTTTGTAGTAATTAACGAGAGTTAATATGTGGACAGAAATAAGAGTTGCGAGTGCGTCATAACATAATTTGAAGTTCAATATGGCGACTTATAGGCAGAAATCAATGTGGTATGTGCATTACCGTCAATGTGCGTATTTGGCCTAGTAGTATATAAACTTCGCCAACCACAGCTTTAAAGTAATTACTCTTATGTCAGTAATCTAACTTTTGATTGAGAGTAGTGTTCCATCAATCTGATCTAGAAAAAAAAACATCAAAGACTTACGTAATAGCAATCATCAACTTTCCTATTTCCATTGTCCAATTTTTCAGCATTCTGTATAATTTCCGATGCTGAAGCAACTGGCTGATCAATTTCATCAAGAATTTTCCTAAATTCAGCTCGGATATTCTCCGAGGTTCCAGGTTGATTCGTTACATTTTTGTCATTCTTATTTGAGCTGTCGTTTTTAGAAACAATGTTATTTTTTGATCCTTTTTCATTATTTGCCTTTTCGTTTGTTTTAATTCCATTTTTTCCAACGTTTAAAGCTTGCGTATCAATTTGGTCTCGGAATTTATTGATCATTTCAGAATTGACAATTTTATCAAGAGAAACAGCTCGTTTTCGACATTGCCATTTTTTAAGTTTTTGTAAATTTACAGACAATTTTTTATCGTTCACTTTCGATAAATCCGGATCGAGACTCCCAACTCGTTTCATTTTCTTCACTTTATTTTTCTTTTCAGTTGAGGTTGAAGAGGTTTTACTTTTGCATGAACTTGTAGAAGAATTACTCCTGTTTAAAGTTTGATTGTTGGTTTGCGTTTTATTTTGTTGTTTTTCTGATTGCTTCTTGTTTGAAGATGAAATATTTAATTTTTTCGGTGCCGGTTGTGACGAAGATTTTCCATTTTGAATGACTTGATGAGCCCGAGCGACCAGTTGTTTTGTTCTCGCTTGATCACTCGTTAATGATGGTGAATGATGATCGTTGTTATTTCTCGGACTCCTGTAATGTGCACTGCTCTGTAAAATCGAAGGAAAGGGGATGAGATTAAAATATCGGCGAATATTCACAAGTACAAAAAAATCAAAATAAATTAGATATTCAAATACTTCGATTCGAAATCGATTTATATTCAATACAGTGTAAATTCTTCATTTTTTTGTGAAGTAATAGTCTCCTACTGACCTTTTAAACTTTCAATTAAGTAGTGAAAATTTGAAATTGATTAGTTCATTATTTTCAGAGCAAGTCAATTTTTCGCAACAACAACAATAATTCAGCAAAACAAGTCATAAACCCACTTCGTTTTCAGTTACAGTCAAAACAAAAATTTCCAAAAAATTATTTGCAAACCTTAGGAAGAGACTCGATACTTTTATTCAGCCGTTGAATATTTCTCGTATTTTTATCAAATTCTTGTCTTTGCCATGAATTCATGTTCCTTGGTAATCTATCTATCCATCCATGATTGTAAGGATTTGAATCGTCGTAATTACGATGATCATAATCCGGAACATTGGGGTAAGGTCGACGGTCACACCCCCCATAACGACCCATGGAATGCCACTGTGGGAAATTGTTAGGATGGTATTGGCGCCCGTAGCGATAATCATTGTCTTGCCAATGATATGGGGGCCTGGGCCTCTGATCTCTCCCGAAATTGTGATGCTCGTTATTTGGTCTTTGATTAAAATGAAATTCTTCTCTTTCATAATTCTTGAACTGAGGTCTGGGATCTCTTGGAGATACTGAAATTTAGAATAATGATTTGAAACATTAGTCGGTTACTTCTTTTGCTAGTGTTCATATATTCACCCCTTTTGCTCAGAACAAGCCTTGTGCAAGCATTTATATTTACGCCATCCAATCAGGTATGACAAAAAACAAATGATTACTTATTCCAAATACATTCTAAGATTAAAAAGATGAAAAAAATTTCGAATATGGGATAATAAATATATTTTTAAATGTGTTATTTAGAACAGAGAAATTGCCACATCCTTGCATATTCATTGGTGACATGATAAATTGAATATTTGGGAAAAACAGCGTTTCCCACCATTTTTTTACAATTAGACCAAAAAATTTTCAGATAACTGTATAAAAACAATCCACGAGAGAAGAAAATTACAATTTTTCACATTAATTAATAATTAATATTTTTTCTATTACTTGTTTGCCATTTTATAAACATACAGTCTTGATTGTGTTAATTGAACGGAATATTTAATATACCTGTTGGTTTTGGATTTTTCTTCATTTCTTCTGATAATTGCATTTGTTTCGCTTTCCTAGGTAAACACATGAACGTTGAGGTATATCTAAAAACCAAATTTAATAAACTTTGTTTAAGTCAGGGACAGAACGTGTAATATGACGACTGCAACGTCAAGTAAGTCAATGCTAACGTACAGTACAGTGTATTTATACATACCATACAAAACTATTTGATATTTGATAATAAATAGTTGTAAATTATGAGACTGGAAAGACTTATCTTATCCTAAGCCCAAGTTGAAACTTTATTATCATGCCCTTAAAGTTTACCCAAATGTTTATTCAACTTGAAATAATAATCAGCGATATTGAAATAATGACATGAAACTAACTATTCTACAAAAATAACTTGTTATGAATAAATGTTCACTTGAAGGGTAAAGAGGGGACTCAAGAAGGCGTTCCAGAAGTATGTGTGCCAATATGGAGGTAACTAATTTTGTTCGCCTACTTTACATCAAGTTGTGTAAAGGGACAGAAGCCTATGGGCACGTGTTTATTTACTTAGCTAACACAGTCCCAGAACTCGCAATAGTATTAAAATAGGGAAATCGGAATAAAATTATGGCCTAACCCTAACCTGGTACACATACTACAGGAGTGCTACTAAGAAGGTAATACAATTCTGCAGTTTTTTTTAACGTTGTCTTATTTTTCTTAGTTATGCCTTCCGAATGAACATCTCAATTCTCAACCATCAAAAGCCTTGACTTCATTTTGTTCACAAAAAATGTTTGATACGAATACTGATCACATTCCCCAACAATATAACCAAAAACTTTTAATAAAAGTATCTCACTTTCGCAAATTATTCTTCGGATGTGAATAATGTCCACTATCGATTGCGTCTTTTCTTTCATTTGTTTTTTCTTTATGAGAATCACTAGTCAGATGAGCGACATAATCAGTAAGATTTTTGCAAGTGACTCCACACAGATTACATTCATGCTTGCACCTATTATTGTCAAGATTAAATTATTTTATTGATTATTCAATTAACAAAAAAAGATCATCAATAATTTGAGATTGCTGTTAGTGTGTTAGACAAGCTACAATGCAATTCGTAGAATTTAGCTGCATAGTGTAACAAAATTGGGTGCTCCTGCAGTATGTGCACCAAGATGTCGCATAACCTGAACCCTAACCTGGTACACAACCTGAGTTCAGGTTGTGCGCCATCTTGGTGCGCATACTTCAGGAGGTCCCAAAATTGATTACCTCCAAATCTCCATTTTGCCTATCATTATTTATATAATAAAAAATAGTAACAAAAGTAAGTTCTGATATAGGAATCTGGAAACTAGTATTTGCCATGAATACAAAAACTCCTCCAATGTGATTTATTCCATTTTTTTTTTATTATCGGTAATTTATTTCAACCTATTTAATCGTACAAAAAAATAATTATAATCCAATTACAATTACAATTCACTCACTCTCCCTTCTCTGTATTCAAAGCTCTATGATGGAGAATCGAAAATAAATGTTCTTCTAGTTCCTGAAAGAGAGAGAGAGATGATGAATCAACGATATCAAATAAAATGGAGTATCGAAAACTGCATCTTATAATGATAATTGTTGACATTATGAATTTGAACAAATTTTGAAGAGAGTTCGGTTCGGGTCTATATTACAGGTACAAATTATGTTAAATTTCAACAAAAGAACAAATGATAGTTAACTCAATAGATATAAAAAGTAGAACCAAATGACCCAAAATATATAATATATTGAAAATAAAATGAAATCTTATTGAGCCTTGAATTAGGAACAGATGATGAAAATGACATACACCTATATCCTGAGATTTGAAATTCATTTCAAAATTGGACATATTTGATATAGCACATGACCTAATTAAAAATTTTATTCAAACATCTGTAATCCAAAATATAATTTTAGGATATATTTAGTTAAATTCCTTTTGGCCCTCCCTGTCTATACCTTCTATATTCAATTAAAATTATAGGCAAATGTATACAATACAGTATTAATAAAAAAATGCACTCACCAATTCTGATTTAAACTTGAGTTCACACAATTTACATTCGGTGAACTGCAACATAATCTTCGGTCTTTTGGTGTCCCACTAAACACAACAAAATATAAAATCCTCTTGACATGCCGATCATATGTTTGAATTCAAATATTAAATCGGCTTTAAAAAATTTAACTGTGTCTTGCCACAGCGTCTTTCACTAACGGCCGGAACTAAGTAAATAAGCTGTCTATGAAACAGACAATTTTAGACTTAAACTAACATGCTTTGTGAAGTTTGGCCAGGCATGAATTGAGTTAAAATAATATGTTTTAACCATGGGTCATGCTTGTTAAGAACGCAAATAATTTTGACAAAGTGAATTCTAAATGTGGTTAAATAATGAGTTTCCACATAAAAGGAGAGAAAATTCACATTAAATGTTCTGCGTATATTTAGTTATTTAAATAAAAAAGCTCTTGTAAAATTGTTACTGAATGTAAACAGTGGGGCTAGGGTATTCAACAAAATAGTGAATAAAATATATCTTATTAAATGAGTGATGTGAAAAATAACTTTATACTCAATATATCACTGATTGAAGTAAGTAGTGTAAAATGATCATTGTTAAGAATAGAAATAGAATCATATCTATAATATTGATAATAGAATTGAAAATAAAATAGTTTGGGACCAAAATTTAAATTGCTATGAAAGCATGTCTAAGTTCTGCAAGTACTATCGGTATTTAATTCCTGTGAGATTGTATTATCAGTTGAAGAAATTAACTAGGACTAATTTTATTATTAGCAATCGTTGTATCTGACCTCTTATAACAACTATATGAACGAGAGAGCAATGCAACAATATATGGTCGAGTGGGAAGAAGCAACCATGATAGAATAAAGTGTTACCAGAAAAAAAAATATTCAAGTGAAAAAAGATAAAATCTCAAAGAACTCGGAGACATTTTGGAAAAAAAAACCAACAACCATCTTAAAGTACTGAAAGTTTCAAATCGATTGGACCATTAGTTGCAGAGAAAAGTGATTTTTCCTGACAACAACAATTTAGAAAGTCCATATGTATACTATGTTTCCAATAGGATATAACAAATTTGCATATTTATTATTCATACTTGCATATAGTGAGATGGAGAACCATTTCTTCTCTTCTGTGATTGTTTCTGATTAACAGATTCCCGTTTTCTTGATTGAAATTCTTCATCTCCCTTGTTTACACTAGAAAAACAAAATCAACGAGTCAATATAAAAATCAATATCTTACCATAAAAATGGTAATAGCAACGAAAGAATTTTTTGTAGTCAAATATTCAAATTCCATTAATATGAGGCGACATTCTCTGATGAAAGGAAATTTTCTCAAAGCAAGGCCATGCGTTCACTCAGAAATAAATGAGATTAATCTTTGAGCCAGAATAAAAGCAACTAAACTAAAGAATAATAGTGTAGAATTGTGGGTTCTCCCATAGTGTGTGTACCAGGTTAAGGTTAGGTCATAATTTTGTTCCAATTTTCCTTATTTTAGTTCTATTACAAGTTTAGGGGCTGTCTGTGTTAACAAGTGAAAATACCCTCTGCCTATAGTCTTCTGCCGCTTTACACAACCTGATGTAAAGTAGGCGAACAAAATTAGTTATCTCCATATTGGTACGTACACTTCTGGAGCACCGAATTATGCATTAGTAATGCACACCAATGACTCTTTATCATGTTTTATATATTATGTACATAAGCCAAGTATATTACATAAATATTGAGTAGACAAATCCTTCCATAGTCAGTGGAATGTGTCACTTTAACATGATGTATATCCAAGTAATGAAACTAACATTACTGGCAATTCATGTGAAAACTTTATCGTCCAAGACCAATATAATCACAAAGGTGACAAAAGAAATAAATAGACTTCTGGCAATAATGTGCGAAAATATAGGTTGCTCATGGATGACATAAAAAACATAGCACGAAAGTAAGAGCCATAGTAAATGTTTGAATATAAAATATTATTAGGTTATTAATTATGATGGCGATTGCCTTTCCAAATCGAGCCCTCAAAGGGAAAAATTATTGATAGAAAAGCTACAAAGACCAACTAACAAAAAAGCGGCAATATGCAACTCCATGAATTTATTTATAAGGGAGAGAAATTTCAACAACATGAACACTTCAATGTGTTGAATTCGTCAGGTTATACTAGTCCATACTAAAAATAAGTTTGTCAGATAGATGCTCCACAATGCATAAATAAAATTGGTTGAAAACACCGTAACCTGTTACCAATTACACAAGCATGATAATTCAGAAAAGGCAGCAATACGATAGTCCAGTGGTTGAAGCGTCGAAATAACTATGATGGATGGCATCTTAAGTTAAAATCTCATTCCCACCCTCTCGCCCAGAGAGTAATAAATTGGGTAAGCAATCCCAAACTTGAAAGATTCCGTCCTTCCAAACTATAGTAGCTCTCTGCCTAACAGTGGCTGCTTCTGCAGAGCCTTGTTCAGAGGAAAAGATGTATAAATACATTGTATAGAATAAAAGGAACCCTCTAACACAGGCACATATTTGAAACAAACATGAAATTCCTGCCATGTTTATTACCTGCAAGATGGATGCAAGATTTCACAATTCACAAAAGAAACAAAGATGTAAAAAAACGTACGAAACCAACTTACTTTTCCCATAGTGGTGCACTTTGTGCTTCGAATGCCACAACATCAGAAGAAAACATTTTTAATTTTTCTTTTCCTAATAATATTGAACATACTGCTCATCACAATGTCACATAACCAAGGCTGTATATGAATGATGATGCCTACATATTGCTATATAAACAATCTAAATAAAAAAAAAATGAATTATTTAAATGCTCAGAAACAAATGAGAAACCCAATGTGGTTATTCAAACAGTGTTGGGATTGAAATTTGAAGTACAATATTAAAACATGTACAATATATTTTGAGTGGTTCAAGAGTCTCGCTGCACACTAATACAAGAATTTAGTCTGATCGAGGTCAACCTTCGTCAGACAAAGTTGTGATCACATGAAACATTACAGAAATACATTTGTGTTAGTGTGCAGCAAGAGTTTATCTTGCGTAACCCAAACTGATTGATTTGTAGTTATATATAAATAACACGATTGTAAAAATGTATCATAGCTATGTATTCTTTGAAGTTCTATCCAGAAAACAAATATGAAACAGAAAACACATTAGAATATTTATTATTGAAGTATTTTTAAGTATGAAAGCAATGAAGAGAGCAAGATTTAATAATCAACATCAGCATTTCTTAAATGCATTCCACAGATCAGCACTTCTTCCTGTCAGCGTGTTTAATATTTTACCATAGGCTAAATTGTTTTGAAACCATCCGCAAATTTTATTTTGTAATATCTTGGTGAGGCGAGATAAAACTTGTAAGTGTTCCAGCGCAAAAAAAGTTTGAGAAACGCTGATCTACATGCAATCTGAACACAAGCTAGATATTGACAATTTTTCACTGAACAAAATACTTTTATCAACCAAAGATCCAGTAACACCAGCAACTATTATATGCTAAATTCATCCACACTTGACTATTCACTTGGTTCTTTTGCACTACCGAAAAATATTTTTATTCTTTTTATTTTTTGAGAAGCCCCAGTTTGGATTGAAATGACATTCCATCACCCATTGTTGCTTTTCGATTTATTTCTTGATGTCGACTTTTCGATACAATTTCTTCGAGAACTTCACCATCTCCTTTTATTAATCGAGATCGTCCAGTCTCTTCGTCGTAAACTCTGCGGACAACACTTTGTTGTTTTTCCCATTCTTCTTTCGTCATAGGGCACATTCTACCTCTGTCTTAAATAAAAACATTGAGACAGTGTAAAGAATTTTCCTATATTCTGATATTAGTGAGATAGAAATGAAAAACATCACAAAATTGCATTTTTGGGGTCTTGTTAACTTTAGAGCAATTTTGACATCGCCGCTAGAATGAATAATTAAAGTACAGTATGGCATGTCGAAATAATCCCAACGCAGTTTCATTGGTGCTACAATTGTACATTTAGATGTATAATTGTATAAGCATGCTAATTCTGTTGAAGTACCATAATCCCGTATCAGATACTAAAATACTGAAATATGTAGCCGTTTTGTGATCTATTAGATTTGATTTTCTAATAAGACAATCATAGTCATCTTTTCTTTGAAATTGCTACCGATACTCTATATATTTTTATACTCTGACGTGTTACGTATGCTCTCCAAAAAATATGAAAATCCTATCACTGTATCATAAATATAACATTTCAAACTACAGACTAGCAGATCTAGGTACTGATCTAATATATTGGGACACAGACCCACCTTTGCCTTGTTGAGAAACAGCCTCTTTTAAACCAGAAGAGCTCACATCAGAATCTGCAGAGGTTTTTGATTTTTTATTTTCCTTTCTCATTTTCTTGCGTTTCTCCTTTTTCAAACGTTTTTTCTCCTTCTTTCTTCGTTTTTTCTCTTTCCTTTTCTCATCTTCACTGCTGCTGTCAGTGCTCGATGTAGAATGGTCTTTTTCTTTGTGTTTTCGTTTCCTTGAAGACATGTCATTCAACACAGATAAAGGAAGGTGAAACACATAACAATTTTACTTCTCAATAACAAAACATAACACTAGAAAGTTATTTTTCCGCAGTCAGATTGCAGACGAACAGGAACAATCCTATCCAGCCTATCTGTGCTTTGCAAAGCACGCCGCATGCACTTGTCGAGTTGTTTTCGAAGAACTCCCATAATCACACCGGATAAACCGACGGAGACTCCGGTAGGTAAAAAGGTAGATTTCAATGCGAATATTGAAAAAGGCGATAAAAAACGGTAAAGATAAGATAGAATCACAAAATTAGGTATTTCAAGAGAATAGAATCCCGGTAAGAAGCCGGTCATTCAGTTACCGTACTAGTACCGGCCATGGAATTAGTTGGCCAGTTATTTATTTCAGATACGTAGACTTGACGGCGGTGGAAGAGTAGGGATTAAGTGATCCACGCATTGAGGTGTATATAACACCTCAATGGATCCACCTCCTACGCGCCAAGGAGTCTATCAATCTTCTCGCACGTAGTTATCGCCATGGCATTCGAACCCACGCATATTAGGGGTGAGATGGCGAGCGTACCGGTATTCCAAATGCTTGGCACTGTGCGTCGGAGCCTAGCTGTTAGCCGATATTTACCGTCCATCCACCGCGGAGTTCTAATGCATAGGCAAGCGCGGAGTTCTAATGCGGCGCGGCGGTGTGGCTCAACGGGCTAAGCGTTAGGAATACGCTCGCCACCGCACCTCTAACTACTCTGCGTGGGTTCGCAGGTTCGAATCCCATGCAGGTATGGTTATGTGCGAGAGGATTGCTGGACTCCTCGCCGTCGTTGGGTGGTTCACGTAACCGCTGGTCGGTTACGGCTTCCTCCACCACCAAGTCCATGCTTCCGAGAAAAAAAAAAAAAACAATAAAGTAAAAAACTAATCCCATACCCGACTTGGAATGGTAACCGGACGAGAGGCCGTGGTTCGCCATATGGTTAAGCCGTCTTATTGGCTTTCCTCTCCCCCGGGATAAATATGTAAATCCTATCCTATCCAATAATAGACTTCGTCTATTGCGAACATGGCAAGCACACAAGAAAACAGTGTCCCGCCATATAAGCCTTCTCCTGGTTTAAACAATGCATTACGTGTATACACACCCTTTTCCTAGAGACACAAGCTGTGGAGATAAAGGTACTGAATAGTGTTTGTTTAAAATCGAAACCGTGACTACAGCGTATAGCGAGCATGTTCCCATCACTTCACGAACAAAGCAAACTGATGAATTCCACATGGTTCTGTGTACAAAACTTAGCACCCAACCCCAAAGCTTTTGCTCCCATAGAATACCTTGTAAACGAAAAAACACACACTCAGGAGCACAAATAATTTCAATGTGACATCACCGATCTGAAGTTCTGAAAATTCATTATTGAATACATGTATAGTTTGCAATTCTTCATCCAAAAGTACATTTTTTTCCACAATTAGCCAAAAATCACAAAACCAATTTGGGCAAACAAATCAAATGCAGTGAAGAAGCCACAACATTAGACTAACTGTGAAGCTGTTTTAGGAAGTGGCGGAACAAAGGGCATAACATTGAAAATAGCAATTGTAATAAAGTCAATCAATAAGCATCCATGCAATTGAACAAACCCACTACTTACTACTAATCTTATCATGATTCACATTCTACAACGGTTCTAATTGTAGCAATGAAATAATATACCATAGCATATATGCAGTGTTCGGAGAAAGAATTATACCAGAAATTACATTTCAGTATTTCAGAAATATGGCTTGTAATTAATTTTGAAAATTTAATGATCCTAATACATAGAACTCACAAAATATGCCAAATGCATCAAATTTAACTTTTAGCAAATTCTACAAAAACGACAATGAAAATTCGTTCAATGACACCAGTGCACAATAGAACTGAAAGCAGTACAATATTCTGTTACCAACTTTTTAGATTTGTCCAGTAAAAAAAAATCTGAACTAAGCTGAGTAATACAATCAAGTCTGGCTTTCTGTACACCCTTGTCTAATCTAATATTGATTGATACAATTCTTGGCAGTGAAAAGCATAACAAAGTTGTTGTGAAGCAAGCATTAGAAGCAGTGCATATTCATTCAGAGAACATCATGGCTGTTGGCTTGTAGATGGTGATGCCCCTCCACCCCTGCCTCTTGATCTAGCACCTGATTGAGCAAAAGATTGACGAAGTTACAGTTTAATAAAAAAAAAACTAACAATTACTACTGCTAGGGTCCTATTAATTAATATACTGTTATATTGAAATATTGAATGGTGCTTCAATATTGGAACAAAGTTCGTGTTCATGTTCAACGAAGAGCTAGGATAGGATTATTATATTTATCCACGGAAGAAGAAAGGCGATAAGACGACTTAACCATATGGGGTACAATGGCCTCTCATCCCTTTTACCAGACCATGTCAGGTGTGAGATTAGTTAGCCAGTTATTTGCTTTCGGAATCATGGACTAACAGATTTTAACGATCAAATATTTCTATAACAGAAAAGATAATGTCTTCAACTAAAGACTCAATTCCAAAAACTCAAAGATCCATAAAATTCAATGAATCATATATCTCACCAATCAGTCTTATTCTTCTTCCTCGTATATTCTGCAAGTTAGATGAAGCAAGTTCTCGACTTTCCGACACAGAGGAGTTATCGACATTACCAGTTTCCTCAGGCACAGAAGAACTTATTGGAACCATGAGATCTCCTTCATCATCCTTATCCACATCTACAATTTCTTCCTGGTCTTCCATGATGCTGCTACTGACAGCAGACTGAAATAGAGAATTGAATGTGAAAATTCCGTAAATTTTTTATTGTGGCTTTGAGGATAATTTGGCCAGAGCAAGATCACATGCACTCACTCAGAAACAAAAGATATTGATCTCTGAGTTAAGCTATGGGTGTGCGGTAAAATGCCCAAAACTACCGAGATTATAAAGAATCATACTATAGAATTGCTCGTAATCAGGGGTGTGCAACTTATTTTGCCGGTGGGCCAAATACCCAACTTTAGACATCTAGCTGGACCACACAAAAAATATAGTTTTACCATGTATACAACAAATTGAAAAATTCTCACAATGCAAAATTTTATTTAACATTTTTGTGAGATGCTTAAAATTTTGGGTTTTTGCATTGTTTATTGCCCTCAACTGACAAAATACAATAGCGACAACCGTGTGCCACAGGGAAGGCAAGAGAAGAGAATATAATCAAACAAGATTCAGTGAATAAAGCAACTCCTTACCACCTCAGATTGAGGAACTTGAGAAGACTCAATGAAAGTGTGAGTAACTGTTGTTATTGTAGCAATAGGTGTTGTTGGAACGCTTCTCGCCTCGTCACCAGCACCACTGAAATCCATTATAGTGTTATCGACAGTTCCGATTCCTGTTTGAGGTTGTACAGATTGAGAAGGCACAGATACATCCTCAAATCGGAACCGAATAGGTGGTCCACCGGGTGGCACATGAGGTGAATTGATTGTTTGGTAATTATCGTCATGACGACGAGTAGGTAATGTAGGAGTACACGGGACAATACCGTCACCATCGTCTGCAGATGGAGCAGTGAGACCCGGGGTTAGGGGTGCAGGTCGCATAGGGGTGCGGTTTCGTAGAAGATCAGGTGGGGTCGGTTGCAGTACGAGAATTGGTCTGGCTGAATTTGTTGGTACTTGGTTGTTTGCTTCCTGCTGACCACCATCTCCTGTTAATGATAACACATATTATATAATTCATCAAGTCGCCATGGTCTTAAAATTACAAACACACAAGGTTAAACAATCACCAAACTCATGAGAAAATTACTTGTACAAAATATTAAATAGTCTTAAGGTAATTTGCAGAGAATAAACAGCTTCTTGAATTGAATCACTACAAATAAATTTAGAATATACCTGTACCCCTTTGTCTTAGATACATAAAATTGATGCTATACCGGTATTATTAGATTAGAAGCCAGAGTAAATATCCAAATGTATAATATTCCACAAATTAAATTTCACATAATGGCACCTGTGGCATTCTAGAACTCTATGCATGTCATATTTGGATCGCAGGTCACGTATTGTTCACCTCTTGGTCATAATATTTCGTAGTGCAGTTCCATAACTAGTTGTCTATTACTATTCCCAAACCGGACTGGTAACCAAACAGAGGACTTGGTTTGCTATATATATGATTAGGTACCTCTCTCATAAATCGTAGTTATTATAATGTTGGCAATTGCGTAAAATATTACCTTCTGCATCCGCAATTATTTCCCCGTCTTCAACAACATACATTTCTACTTGGTCTTGTTCCACATTCAAGTCGTCGCCACTTTCGTCGCTTGTCAGGTCTATAACCTCCGCACTGGAAGAAGACGGCATTGGTTGGACTTCTGTAGACTGTATATCATCGGCTACCGCTATTGGTGTAAAAGAGGAAGTATCCACTCCGTCTTCCTCATTTCTGACCTCCGCGTCTTCTAAATGAGATGACACTTGGGCTTCAACCTCAGTAGATGATTTAACCTCAACTTGAGCAACACTACTCTCAGCTTGTTGAATTCTTGTAGAACTCTCACCAAATGATCGCGATGCAGTTTGGGATGTAATAGGATGAACAGCGGAGCTTGATTGATCGGGACTGCTGCGTTGGCGCTTTGAAACCGGTGCCATGCTCACTTGTGCATCACTTGAACTACCGGGACTATCATCCATAGCTGAAGTCGATTCGTCTGCGTCTTCGTATGAACGCTTGTGTGATGGATGTAGAGCCTGTCGGCCGATTAAAACTGGAATGCTTGATACTGCTACGCTTGAATTTACGCTGCTGCTTGCATTTGATGATTGTGAAGGTGCGGAATCCGATTCTGAAACGGTTGTTGTCGATGAAGTTTGACTTTGACAGCTGGATGAGGGCACAGACGGCTGTGCACCGTCCTCAGACTGAGCTGGTTGGTCATCAGACGAAGAAACAATCGCTTGGTCACTTTCAGAAATATCGACATTTGTGGAAGACATAGCTACGACAGAAGAAACAGAAACTTCTTTTGATTGACCATCAGTTGTACTGCTCGTATTGCCACGAACAACAGCCTGTTCTAGGGGTGTCGCGTCAGATCTTGTTGGTATTTGATGAGTAGCTGAGGAAGTCGGCATTGAGCTAACAACGTGTTGATGACGACCAGCAGATGGATTGATCGGATGTACGAAAGCACGGGTCGGCATCGATGTTGACGTACCAGAACTCATGCTTGATGCAGGAAGATGACTAGATGAGGGAGCAACTTGAGCGTGAGGTGAACTTCTTGTTGGAACAGAATCAGTGGACGAGCCTGTAATAATATGTGAGTGAGAATGTATAATTAAATAAAATTTGTCACAATTAGAATCAGTGCTGGGCCGAAGTCACCGAACCTCAAGTTGTGAGTTGAGTCGCTGGCCAGTGAGTTATGTCAGTGGCGATAAGTTTAGTATGAGTCTGGGTCATTTTATTCATGTTATTCGAGTCACTTTGAGTATTTGATAAACGACGACTCAAAATTAACTATTGAATTTCTAAATCTATTAAAATGAAAAGGTCAAACTGAATTTCTACTAATATTAGCAGAAAGAATCAACTAATGAAAAAATTTTGAATTTCATATTACCTTGTCTAACACATATGTGCCTACAGTACTTAATTGACTCAATTCAGATATAGAGTAATATCAGGCATATATTAACACTCAATTTTTTAGAATTTCCATAAAAATTACCTTCTTGTGCCTCTTGTTGTGGTTCTGGCATCACACGCGCTGTACGAGTCACTCTCATGGGAGACACTTGGCTCACACGTTGAGTAGATATCGGTCTTATATTTGCAGCTTTCCTAGGTTCTACCATACCACTTGTACCAGGATAATGATGAATTTGGTGTCCCACGACACTCGTAACCTTGTTTTGCTGTTGTTGTTGAGAAGTAGCATTCGTTAGTTGCTTCTGTAAATCGTCCACTTTATTTTGTAGTTCAGTTTTTAAATCTGTTTCAGTTTTCACTTCTTGTTTCAATTTTTCTAGTTCTTCTTTCATTTTGGTTTCTTCTGATTGTAAGCGGTCTCGTACAGCGGCAATTTCATCTTTATCTTTTATTATTTGTTCGATTCTTGTTTTTGCTTTCGATAAAAGTCTTTTAGATTTGTCATCTTTCTCTTGAAGTTGTTTTTTCATTTCATCTCTTTCGCTCATTAATTTCTGATTTTCAACAGCAAGTTCACTATTGTTCCCAGATTTGGATTCTTCTGCAATTTTTTGATTTGCGTGTTGAAGTTGACTTTTCAGTGCTTCAACTTCAGCTGTTTTCATGTCCAGTTGTTTCTGTGTATCCTCTTTTTCTTTGGTTATTTTCAAAAGACTCGCTTCCAACGCTGAAAGTTTTGCATTGATCTCTGCTAAAGTCGCTTCTGAGGTACTAGTGTCTTGTACACGATTTTCTTCAGTGGATTTTTGTTTTTCTTCCATTTCTTTCTGTTTTTTCTGTAATTCCTCATACTGAGTTTTATATCTTCTACCAACTCTTCGAATTTGCATGATTGTTTTGTTCTTTTCTTCAGATTCAGATTGTTTGGCTTTGATTTCAGTCTCCGAAGTTTCCAGTTTTTTTGTAAGATTCACATTCTGGTTTTTCAAACTTTCTGTTTGTTGATTGAGTTCTCGTATCTTTCCTTGCAATGTTGAAACTTCAAGTTTTTTATCAGTGACTTCTTTGTTCAGATTTTCCACATTTTTTTGTAATTTCTGTTGTTCAGCAATAAGTTTTCTGTATTCCTCAGGATCCTGTCGCCGTGGTGACTGAATAAGTTGTTGTGATCTCTGCTGCCACCTTTGGACATCCTGCTCGAGTATAACCTTTTCAGATTTTAATGTCGTGATCTGAGTAGAAAACAAGTTGTTTTCTTGCTGTATAGGACGGAATTTTTGTTTCAGCTCAATTAGAGCAGCTTTTGTAGTTTTCAATTCTTCTTGAATGCGATCTTTTTCTTCGCGCAGCATACGATTGCTATCCGTCAAGACATTTAGTGTTTCAACTTTTTTCATGAGTGCTTCATGTTCTGATAGTTCCGCTAATGTCGATTGCGATTTTTGTCGTTCAGTATGTAACGATTTCTTAAATTCATCAGCTTGTTTTTGTAAATGCGAGAGTTGCTGTTTCATTCTGGTATTTTCAGATTGAGCAAGTGAGCATTTTACTTCCGATAAATTTTTCTCTTTTCTCAGAAACTTGATAATATCCATGAGTTGTTCATTAGATTTATCAGTAGGATCTTCAGCGACAGACTTCGCTTGTTGTTGAGTAGAAAGCCTGCTATATTTTGCTGCTGGCGAAGAGGTTGCGCTCTTATGTTGCAAGGCTACCATTTGGTTACTCATAGTTTCAAGTTGGGTATGTAGTGCGGACAACTGGTCAGTCAAATCTTTATTTCTTTCTTTCATTTCATCAATTTCATCCGTAAGTTTTTTTTTCTGTTTTTCCCACATTCCTTTATTTGAATCAAGAAGGTGTTGAGCTTGTTTTGCACTGATTTTAGCTTTCTCTATATCCGAACTGTTGGTTTCCGATTTTTCTTTTAGTTGCATGAGTTCTTTCACACTTTCCGCATGTAATAACATCTCTCTTTGATATTTATCTTGAGCGTCGTGAATTAAATTCATTTGTTCTGTGAACTGATTTCTAGCTTCCTGTTCACTTTTTTGCAAATCCTTCTCTCGCTTTAATGCATGATCCAAGTCGCTTTGTAGCGTAGCCATTTGTCGGTTTAAATCTGCTGTACGTAAGTCGACCTCACTAATTAAGCTTGTCTTTTTGCTATTCAGTTGTCTATTCTCGTCTTCGAGTGTGGTGATTTTTTGCTCTAATGTGGTCTGATGTTCACTAGCATTTTTGAGCCTTGTTTCCAGTGCCTCGGATAATTCACGATTTGCAGCATTTGCTTGTTTGAGCGATTCCTCAGTCGCAGCCGCAAATTCTTTGTGTTGTTGGACAGCACGTTGCGCTTTTTCTAACTTCAAATTTAAAGAAGAGATTTCGTTTTCAAGTGAAGCACATTTGGCTTTCATATCTTTCAAATTTTCGATAGCGTCATCATCGCTAGTACCCAGTAAAGTAACGTTACCCCCCTTCTCACCCGCAAGCCGTGCTAATTTCTGTTCCAGATTCGCTACTTTCGCGATATTACTATCATTCTCAAGTTTACTTGATTCCAATTCAGATTTCACATTTCTTAAAGTTGCAGAAATTGTGTCATTGATGTGTTGTTGTTTCTCTAAGTTTCGTTGAGTCGTTAAGAGTTGTTTTTCTGTCATCTGGATAATAGTTTGTTTTTGTTGTATGGTATCATTTGAAGTTCGTCGTAAATTCTTCAACTCGCGTTCCTGTGACTCAAGACGGCTTCTGAGCTCTGAGCGAACTTCAAATTCCTGTTTTTCCATGCTTTGTTGAATCTTTTGTATATTAGCTAAAAGAACGCCTTGTCCTTGCTGTTCTCTCTGTAAAGAATTATTTTCAGACCTCAAGCGTTCTTCCGCACGACGTAAAATTTCCATCTCAGAAAGCAAGTTTTCTACTTTGGATTTCAAGTTTTCTTTTTCTTCTTGAGAACAATTTAAATCGTTTGTAATTTTGTTGATATTCAGTTCTTGCTTTTGAATTAGCATTGAAAGTTTTGAATTTTTTTCTCTGTACATTTCCGATTCTTTCCTCAAATTATCAAAGGTCTTTTTCAGCAATTCATACTTTTCAGCAGAAAAGTTGACATTTGCCTGCAGTTTTGTATTATCCGTACGTAATTCAGAAATCTGTGATCGCAGCCTATCAGCTTGCTCATTTATCACTTTGTTATTATCCTGTACATCTTTTTTATATTCATCGAACTCACTTTTGAGAACCTGTAATGCCTTCGATGACGAGTCAGTTTTATCTTGCGAATCGGGTGTACGATCAACACTATCTCTTATTGATATCTGCTTAGTTGAGGTAGCTTGAGATGGACTTGCTAAAATCGAAAGTGGAACGCCAGTTTTGGGTTCTTGTGCCAGAAGAACTCTGTACATATCACGTTGTCTTACAATCGCCTCGACAAATTCTATTTGTTTTTGTCTTTCCTCTCGAAGATTTTCAAGTTCTTCATTAGCTTGTTGTAAAGAATCTTTCAGTTCTTTCAATTCCTTGTTTTCAGTTTCTTTTTCACTCGCTTCACTCTCTGCACTCAGTTCTCGAACAACTTTCAATAATCTTTGGTTTTGTTCCTGTAATTCTTTGATGCTACGGAAAGTAAGAAGATGTTCTGAGATAACATCAGAAGCGCTTGTTACATCCGTCTCATCCATACTTTGATCCATACTGATGTTATGTCCTCTGCTTTCTTCAAGTTCTTTGAGTAGGAATCGAATCTGCGTTGAGAGGTCGCCCGTTTCAACTTGAAGCCTTTTCTTTTCACGTTCCATACACGCAAGTTTTCTGGCAGAATCGTCTGCCTCTGCGCGAAGATGTTGACACTCAATGACTGCAGCGTCAGTTTGCGAAGTGAGTTGAGTAATCGTGGAAAGCGCTCTCTCATAATCTTCCCTTTGCTGTTTCAAAATCGGAGCTTTTTCGTTTAATTCTTCCAAAATGGCATCCATTGTTTCATTCGATTTTTTACATTCTTGTTTTGCAATCTCAAGTTCATCTACTGTGTCGATGTATTTTGAATAAATTTCTGTTAACGTCATGCCAGATTTAATAAATTTGCTTGCCATTGCAGCTGTAGGGCAAAGTGCAGCTAACTCTTCATCACTGAGTTTCTCTGGATCTTGCCCCCTTTTTACTGCAAGTAGATCATTTGCTTTCTCTAATTCACCTTTTAAGAGCTCGATTTGATAGGAAAGATCGTTCGATTTTTTTTTCAGATTCTTCAAGTTTTAGTACATTTGCCACTTTTTCATCCGCTGATTTGGTAACTATTTTTTGAAGTTCATGCACCGCTGAAGCCAGTTCATTCGCTTTTTCTTCTTCATCTTTTGCCGAAGCTTTATATAACTCAGCCAAATTGGTTTGTGATTGCAATTCATTCCGATAAGCCTCTTCCATTGATCGATGCTCCTCTTCCGCGGTGTTGGCCTTCGTTAACAAATCATCAATTTTCTTTCCCAATTCTTCATTTGTTGTCCGAAGATTTTCAGACACAGTTGCAAGTTGTTTGCATTCATCCATTTTCACCTCAAGACGACTTCGTAATGACACTAATTCATTTTCTTTCTGAAGTTTTACAGAATTTAATTCAGTTGATTTTGCCTTCAATTCTTCTGTCAGTTGATTATTTTGTATCGCCAAAAGTTCTTTTTCTTTCTCCAAACGTTTGGTATTATACTGAATTGTTACACCAGAATTTTGTAGTTCATCTAATTTTAACTCTATTTTGTTCTTGCTAAGAGTAGTGACAGCTAGTTTATCAGAAACCGCTTTCCATTCTCCTCTTATTTCAGTAATTTCCAAATCTCTTTTTTCTATAGAATGTTGCAAAGTCATTTTTTCTGCTTTCCATAGATCGTGGGTGTGCTTGAGCGCTGCGATTTCACCCTGCGCTTCAGCGAAAGAAGTTTCCAACGATTCATTCAATGATTTGAAGGATTTCAGCTCTTCATCGAGTTCTTTATTTCTTCCTGTAGCCTGCGAACAATTTGAAGAAGCACTGTTAAGACGCGTCGACATTTCAATCATATTTTTTTCAATTTCATAATATTTCTGTTCATGTTCAGCTTTCATTTGATCTACTTCAGCTTTTAGCGAATCGATAGAGTTTTCTTTAAATTGCAATTCATTTTCCAACTTTTTTCGAACTGTTTCTGGCAATTGCAAGACTTCATCTGGATTGAATATTCTCACCAATATATCAGCCATGATGAATTTCTACTGTAAATAATTATTTCACTAACAAAAATCTATCAACATAAGTTTTGTCACATTATCTGTATGAAACGAAAAACATAATTTTGAATGAAAGGAACCTAGAGTATTGCTATAAATATACAGAGTAAATTTGTAAAATCCTTTACTTGATATCTTAAATATTTGTGGATTCCAGAATACATTTTAAAGTAATATAAGTTATTCATATTGGTGCTATATCTAATTGAAAATGATTAAAATTTGTTACAGTGTCACAAAATATCTCAAAATTCAGCAAATGATTCAAAATTCACAGAATGTTCCAGATATGTTTGAAATTAAAGAATTTAATTGTCTCTAGAGATCTATTTCTATTTAATAAATTATATTAAATTAAGCCAACCATGTCAATACATCTGGAAAGTAAAAAATGGGATAACCATTCCCATATCAAACCCAAACTTGCAAGTAACATAAAAGAGACAAACCACGGTTTACTATGAAATATGATTGATTACCGTAAATATAAAAATTCTATTCCATCTTTATTTTGAATTTTTATCGAGAGAGGGAAGAGAAAGCCACACTTTACGAAGGACGAAAACAAAACAAATAGCAACAAATTCAAACAACTACGAAAGAAAAATTCGAAACAAGAAAATCAAAACTCATAATGCACATTGGCAAAGCCTATATTTGAAAATAAAACACAATGATAGTCCTTTGTTATTATGGCGGCAGCAGGCAGCCTAATAAATGCAATATTTTGAATCCAATTCATATTATGATCAGTATTGTTTTAAAATTAATAATAAACAGAAGTAGTTTAATAATTTTGATACAGAAATAGCAAATTTTGATATATTATTCAAGTGTTGTAAATTCCAAAAAATAAACTTCTAAACATGAATTTGCATATTCCAATTAAAGATATGATTGATATAACAGGGATGGGGGGTTCGGGCTAGAGTTTGGCGTGTTTTCATTGTAGTCTTAAGTCAATAACTTCCAAACTCTTTGAAGTCAAAATTTCTGATTTTAACCAGTGACAATTAAATTTGTTTCCATTAACCTGGAATCAGGGGTTAATTGTAAATTCTCCACAGCCCAGGTTGATACTTCATACAGTAATTTGTAATATTGTACTGCATAATATATCTTGCATTCAGCTTAGCCTTGGAACGTCGAAACCTCTGGATTTTAAATATGCCTCTAACATTTTCATATTAACAGGTGGTAAATATGAGCCGATCTTTTTTCTTCTCCACCATTTTCCATCTCTTGCAGCATTGCTGCCTATTTTAGTGAACTGATATTTATAATGCTCTGCTCTGATAAATTTTGGTGGCTTTCCATTTGCAAATGGATTATTTTCTATGAGTTTTGTAACATTTGGGTCATTTTCTAATAGCTTGGCAATCAGACGTATAAACCATGGGTTGCTTTCTGCGTTTTGAAATGCAGCAAACCACATCAGCCAATCAAGTCTGTAGTGGTATGGTGATATTATACAAGGACGACGAGTAATGTTTCCTGGTTTGCATTTGAATTCATACTCAAGCCATACAGCGTCGTCAGAATTTGGGTTATTATCGTAAGTTCCTTGTAAAATAACTTCAGTGCGGGTTTTTGTTACGCTGCCGAATGCACCGTATGTATTAACAATGCGCAATGAGTCGAAAGAACGATTCATTGCCTGTCGGGATGACAATATGTTCATAACAACAGGTACACTTAAATAGGTAATTAAACAAAATAACAGAAAGTTAACAAAAGATCGAAATTTGCTACTAAAACTTCGTTTTTTTCTATGACTTTCTATATCATTCATACAAATAATACGAGAAACTTCAACTTTCGATTTCGTTGAAAACATCCATGAAAGTGAGGCATCATCAAAACAACAAATCGAAGGCAATATAGTCAACCAGTTTAAAAAACTTAAATTACCACTTATTACTAAGATAACTTGAAATAGTATTTGTGAGGCACCAGCTAACATGCGTAGTTTTCTAGGTAATATTAGGAAAAATGGCACAATGAGTTCAATAATATGATTGCCAGCAGTTTCAAGTTTGTGTATAACATTAGGAGATTGGTGTAAAAAATAACTAATAGGGTTTGGAACAGGTTGGGTTTGATAATGATAATTCATACATGTTAGATCTCGCCAGCATTTATCCCCTCGAATCTTTATCAGTCCAGCACCAATCATAATACGAAATATAAGCCAAAGATAACCATAGATAACGACTTTTGACGTTGGCGTGTTTTTAGGATATGGTTTAAGATTTAATAACGGACAGAAAAATATAGCTAGAAACCCGGTTTCTAGTAATTGAGACTCCCAACCAAAACCATACCAAGTCTGCCCAACATTTACGATCGAGTGATATAGAACCCATAATGTAAACATCATAAATATATTAGAAGCACCAAACGCAATCAAAAAAGCAGATATTACTAGACCAGCATATGCCATGGCACTAAGCCACCAATCAATATCATTTCTGTCAACAAACCAAAGCAATGTAGGACAAGCTTGCAGTCTTTGCCAGACTCCATTTTTAAAATAATTTTCATACATGAGCATATGTTTTGATGCAGGTAAAATTCCATCCTTTCCAATTAAAGGAATGTTTTGTTGTAGAGCCACAAAGAATGCCGTAAAATAAATAAATCCAAGAAATCTTAAAAATAATATTCGAGTGAACCAGAATGTTCCTGGCGCCCATGATGATTTTGATGAATCAAATGCGTCATCTTCTACGTCACGGTCGTTCTGCTCTTTTTCTTCATTTTTTTCCTTCAAAGGTTTTCGTCTTCTCAATCCATCTGCCTCTTGCATTATTAAATATCTATTCCAATATTAATTGAACCTTCGCCCAAATGCGCAATCTGTTGCAGATCTTGAAAGCAAAATTCAACGCAAACCCAGCCCGATTGCCAGCAAGTCTGACCAATTTAAGATTATCAGCTCGTTAGCGCACTCGGTTTCAGTGATTTTGTGGTGAAAGGCATCGTTCGAATTTTGCGGGTTAAATTACATTTTCAGAAGTGGGCATATCGTAGTAGTATATATTTACGAGCATATGGATGTTTTTCTAAAGTTTTGTTGTTTTTCTTGTAAAATTCTCACTTTTCTGTGTAACTAAAGAAGTAATTTATTTCAAACTATCTGTCTCACAGAACTTGCTAGAAAGCTCTTACTTTTGCCAGGCTATCTCCGAGTAGGCTACTACAAAGCCAGACCTTAAAATTTCTGTATTTAGAATTTGCGGACATACCATCAATTGGTACAGGTACAAATTTTTTCACCATTTGAATTTTGCTGACATTGGTGGCCATATTAGTCAGTTATGCATCATGTTCGACCATTGCTATATTATATTGAAACATCGCATGCATTATTTGTCTGAATTCAATAATTTTCATGATACGATGAGAAGGCTGTTTGTGTGAAGAATTTGAGTGGATGATTAATACTCATACTAGCGTCATATATGCTAAGAGAACCATCTATAAGCACCTGTATCAAAAATGGAGACAAATACAAGCTACTAAATATCAGATCCGATGTCGTGGAGAGCGATTTTAGGATAGTATTTTCATGCTCATCCATTTCATTTCGTCGTTCTGACAATAAACAATTCACAGATTTTTTAAATAGTATTTATTTCATATATATATATATATTTCATGAATAAGTTTTTTTCAGCTACATGAATGTTACTGGTCTGCTATATATCAATCCCGGTTTTCAAAAATTGTAAAGGAGATCAATCTACATCGCATTTTCTTTTGCTCTGGGTTGTGTTGTGAGTCGGAATCTTCGAAGTCCACGTAATATGTATCTCCAATTTTCTGCATCAAGCGGAATTTCCCGTGTATTCTGTAAAATAGTTAATGATAGCTAGATAATAGTATTCACATTAAGTTATGTTGTTAGAACTGCGCCACAGTAATAGGAAGCTTTGTCAAAGTAGCAAGCAGGGTTGTGGAGTCGGAGTTGTGCATGCAATCACTGGAGTCTTAAATCTCAGTCAGTCCAGAGTCGAAATCAGAATTTCTCAACCCGTAGTTATTTTGTTCAAGCCGGAGTCAGGACTTGATCTTAAATTTTCTCCGACTTCACAACGATGACTAATAGACGACCGGATTGAGTACTGGTTTAAGACTTGTGAAAACCTCGAATAAAAACGCAACATGGAATTCGCAAAGTTAATAAACCTTGTTCCTTTCATCAAGCTTAAAATAGCTTTCTGTCCTTGGCATAATACTTTTAGCGTGCTCAAATGACGACAGAGGTGCAGATTCTGTAAATAAGAGCGGTTAATAAAAAGAAATCTGGCATTCTATATATCTGAACAATGGTCATATTAGGGGGGAAATGGCCAAGAAGTGTTACTTTCGACGGATTTAGATAATCATGACTAACCTTGTTATCCTTATCGATTAAATATGCATCAATCCCTTATCTGTTCTACTATATGTAGTTTACAAGGCCAGTAACTCGAATTACAAAAATAAAGACACAAAATCTCTGAACCGTACAATTGATAAAAAAAAAACAATTTTGCATCGACCGCAGGTATAGCAAACAAAAAATCGGTGCTGGATTATCTGAAAAATTAACGTCCTCTTCGACTTTGTTAACCTTAATATTATTGTGAAATCTGTCTCAATGCTAACCTCGACCTCCTCTCGCACTTGCACTGTGTCTATCCTTCTTATGTCTTCTATGTGAACACCTCAAGACACACAATGACTCGTCTCTATATTGCAAAGGTCTGAAATTTGCGTATATAATTACGACACTAGCGGGCTATAATATTCTGCTTTCTTTAACTGATAGCTCATTCGATTTCAAATTTTCGGTACTTGGAAATGGAAGAAGTCGCTAGAAGGCTGTTGTTACTTTAATTTTTCTATATAGAGTGATATGTAATTGTTGTGCAAGCACTATATATACTTAAAAAGAAATATAGGGCAAATTTAAATTCTGAAATTATTATTTCAAAATGAAGTTCCGGCGCCTGAGAGTTTGGAAAAACGGCGACGGCGTCAGAGAATTATTAAAAATAAGGATTATTGTCTAAATGTATTTTAGTCAATCCCGAAATCTTTTCTAATGGAAAAACAAAACATGGTTATGCCTAGTTGATGAAACAATTTTCAAGTAACCCTTTCTGAAATCCCAGCTATTTCTTTATGTCGTGACAATGCCTGTTTTTTTAAATTCTTAATACATGAAAAATCAGTTGATACCTCTTCGTTGCCCATCTTAGACTTTCCGTTGTAGACGAATACTTTTTATTAACAGATTGCACGGCTCCCAACTCTCCTTTCTCATTTTCCCTCGTATTTTCCCAGAATGTCACTGCGCAAAACAAAGAGTTTTTTTTGTTTTACAGAGAAATCGTTTCGGTTTCGTACGCTTTCTATAAGTTATATTACCTCGATCACAGCTTGATTCTTTGCGAAAAATATCTTCAGACGATCTGTGAGAAAAAAATTAAAATTTGTAAAGGGATCCTATTCCACTTTGGACTCAAAATTGGCAGTCAACGGTCATAAATTTTATTATCCCTTTTATTAAAGAGTATTTCACTTATGTTCTGACCAGCGGTACGCGGATAAAAACAAATAATCAAGCATATTGAGCAGCAGGGTTAAGCTCAGGGCGATCGAATCGAAGTTTGGGCTATTAACGGGAGTAATTTCAAAATCATCGGAGTCAAAATTCTAAATTACTTGGAGGGAAAATGGTGATTAAAATGGGTCCAAATTTCTCATGAAAAGTCAGAAACCAATAAGAGTACGCATACGTCAAACTTTTCGTTATCAGTATTTGATTAACCCGCAGTTTGAAGTTGAATTCGGAGTTCAAATTTTTACATCTCAGAGTCGGGACTTGAAGTCAAGACTTTCTCAATTCGAAGTCGGAGCCAAAAAAAATTTCAGTTTGCAATTGAGAGTTGATTGTGAATTTTGTCCGACTCAACAACCCACAGGCGATTTACTTTGTGTGGACCTTCTTGTATTGGCCTAGCCCGAACTCGTAATAGAACTAAAATAAGAAAAATCGGGTATAAAATCCTGCCCTAACTCTAACCTGGTACACGCACTACGGGAGTACGTATTTTCTGTATTCTAATTGTACCTTATATCTAAAGTCATTCTGGTCGCTGTTGTCAGTGAAGACTTTCCTCTGCTTGTGAAATTAGTAGCGCCCGTGATGTCATCTTCAGTTGAATTGAAAGCGGTTGTCAGTTCAAGAGTCGATAACCCAGTGGAAGACTTGACGTTTTCTTTTGACTGTGCTATTGAGGAAAAAGTATAAGTTTCGTTTGAATGAAAATATTGGTAATAATAAAAATAGACATCATAAAAGAGGACGATGCAATATGATTTTTTGATAATTTTCCGAAGTGTCCCATAACTTCCCGGCCGATAGATGCTTATAAGCAGGGGCATGCTATTATCAGAATGACCACTGAGTAATCTATTAAATAACTTTATGACGTAATTAAATGATGTCACAATGACGAACTAACATTCTTACAATAAAGAACTATTTTTGTGGGTATCGGCTACAACACTCTTACGGTAGGAACCAGAAATGTTCAAACGTTAAACGATTTTCGTGTGATGGATGCCAGTATTACAACGGTACGGTAAATACGATGAACTGTAGTATGATGCCTAAACTTCTGAAATTTGTGAGTTACAGAGAAAATCGGAATTTTGTTGGGAATGAAATTCGTTTCAATTTGCCTGGTTTAATTATGTTCAATTAACGGGAAAAGGTCAATCCGATCCCAGTGTCGCACAGACCGAAATACTATGCACAAGATTCGGAAATACTCGAGCCGTTAACTTCACTCGTGTCACTTTTATCCAGGGCTGGGGAGTCGGAGCTGGAGCTTGGAGCCATGGAGCCGTGACATTTTGATGGAGCCGGAGTCGGAGTTGGAGCTGAGCTGGCCATGATAGATAGAGCTGGAGTCAGAGCCGGAGCTGCCAGAAATTTCAGCGGCTCCAGCTCCTGACAATAGAATTATTTTTTTTTTTTACTTTTCTGGTTTTTTAATAATTTCTGGGGGTTGAGAAATAATAATTACGCCGATTTTAATTCTATAATTTCTGGCGTCTCCAAATACTTAACAGAACTAAATAGTTGTATAATTACCGGTAATCAAGTTACTATTGTTCTAAAGTAAATAGTGTTGGATTATATCACGGATCTTGGTATTTTTGAACGGCGATAACGATTTTGCAAGATCGCAAAAATATGAATCAAAATTAATTATAATCGGGCAGTTTTCCACACATTTTACGTCCGTAGCTTGTCATTTATGTCAGAGATGCTTTTATTATTTCGTAAGTCGACGCAACATTGAGTTACTTTGAACAGAATAAAAACAATAAGGCAAGTGCTGGTATCGGTAATGGGTTACATTTTTAGCACAATAGAAAATTATTTTCTGACAAGTCGTTTTTTTTTAAATATTATAAACAAAATTATTCGCCAAAGCGCAGGAAAAAGTATAAATTATATTATCCTAATCTTCCCAATAAAGCAACTTATTTTTCCGACTTGCGAAAGTTTATTGGGGTATCGTAACAAAACGTATGAAAACAACTTATTTAATATATGACCTTGGTTGGATCTAAGCGAGACGTGTGAACATAATAATATTCAAATTTTGATTTCACTTCCATTCGCTCGCGGGATTGGCAAGAATAAACGCTTTGCGGGAAGGTTTTCTAAAAGTGAGTGCGTTTAGTTATTAATAATAACTTTACATAATTAATAATTTCCCGACGTAACTGGAAATAAATGCGAAAATGGCGACAATATCCACCATGCAACCGTGAAAGAATGCTGTAACGCGCACTGAAAAATGAATATATATACCAAACAATCTAACAATTCTATTTTGTCGTCTTAAAAACACATGACAAAGTGCATAAAATCGTTTGAAGATTTTGCACGGAAACGAAACAAACAAACAGCTTGCGAAAAGTGACTATTACTTTAAAATTTGAAAAAGTATCGGAATACTTTGATATAGCAATATGGACAGATAAAGTTATTTTGTCGTGAAAAATAGCGGTAATGCATTCTGATATACTGTTTTCTGTGAAACTTAAGTTTCATGCTTGAGAACTAATCCCTAAATATTATGTAATATTTCCGAATTTAGATCTGAAGTGTCGTATATAAGGTTAGGTCATGGGCTTTCTCAGCTTGGTTGTATATAACGTAAAATGGATTCCGAAAAAAATGCGAATTGTTTTCTTGTCTTCGTCTCATAAATTGCACCGCGATATAATGATGCGACGCGGTAGGTCACATGGAGTGTGTTCAGTGGATTTAGTCGAAATCGGGATTGCGCAATAATTGATTGTAGTACAGGTGTGGCTTGCGCAATACATCGGCAATTGTGGACAAGAAAAAAGCGATCGGCCGATCGCTAATTTACCTTTGTGACGTAACTAACAGTAACGACCACGTAGACATGTCTGGGCATGTTCAAGCAATGCTGAAACTTGACATGCTGGCTTGCATGCCTAGGTGTCGGAATGGCCAGTTGATGTATATTGTATACGATACAATTTCTCGCTTGTAGAAAATGCTTACCTAATCTTAATGCCATTCATGACAATATAATATTTCATTTTAAACAGTATTTAATATTAAATTAGAGAAAATTAATTTGTAAGAAAAAACTAAGAATGCAACCCTTGTACCATGGCTTGCAAAAGTAAAAAGTCCGCAGTGTTCAAATATTTCAAAGAGAGTGGAGATAAAAATGCACTAATCTGCCAAGTATTAAAGAAAGATGGGCGTTTGCAATCTCAGGTTCATCAATAAAACTTCAAATTTGAAGCGGCATTTGGAAAGACATCATTTTGATGCCTTCGAGTCTGTCAAAAAAGAAGACAGTGAAGACACAAAGAGAGACAGCGATATAAGTAGACAAACCTCTGTCTCAAGCTACTTCACAAGTCAAAAAGTGACCATTTCCATGACTAAAGAAAAATTCCAGAGACATATCATACAGCTGGTGGTGAATAATGCAGCTGCAATTCAACTGTTCTCTTCGAAAGCATTCCTCGGATTAAATGGAGAAATGGCCAACAAATTGGGAGTATCACTGGAGAGACATGATATAAGAGATATGGTGGTGAAGGAAGCCGAGTGTCAGAAAAGAGTGTTAAAGGATATATTACATGGGAAATTTTGTTTTTTGAAAATGGACGCTTGTACTAGACAGAGAACTAATTATTTCGCTATAAATGTTCAATTTGTGGATTATAAAAATGAAATAGCCATCCGTACATTATCAGTACGGGATACACAAGCTCAACACACAAGTGAATTTATTCAAAAATTTGTTGAGGAAGTTCTGAGAGAGTTTGAAATTAGAAAAGAACATATATTAGCGATTGTGACAGATAATGCCTCTAACATGACAAAAACAATAGAGAAACTTAATGCAGATATGATTGGGGACGAGGTTGAACGTGATGATGAGTTGAATGAGGGTGAATCAGATGAAGCTTTAGTTAGTGCTGTAAACAGCATAACAGCTGTTCATACAATTGAGCACATGCGGTGTGCAGTACATACCCTTCAGCTTGCGATTCGTGATGGTTTGAAAGAAAAGCATGTACACACTTTACTAAGTAAGCTACGTCAAACCTCAGTCATGGCCAGGACGCCTAAAATAGATGCTATATTGAAGCGTAGAACAGGAAAAGGTGCAATAATAGATCAAGCCACTAGGTGGGGTAGCACCTACTTAATGATTCAGCGGCTCTTAGAACTAAAAAACAGTTTAATTGACATGGCCAATCCAGACATATCCTTGACTGATTTGCAATGGCGACAGACACATCAATTAGAAGAATTACTTCGGGAGCCCTATTTAGTCACCAAAAGATTACAGGCACAAGATTTGACACCAGGGTCTTTTTATAAAGAGTGGAAAAACCTCATTTATAAACTTTCACAATCAAGTAGCATCATTGCAGATGCTATAAAAGCATCTATGCTGCGCAGAGAAAAATGTCTCCTCGATAACTCTGTATTATTAGCGGCTATTTATGTTGACCCTATGTACAGGGTTACCCTAAGTGAAGAACAGCTCAATAGAGGAAAGGCAGCGCTATGTGATATAGCTGTTCGAATGCACCGTGGATCACGCGCTACACAATTTGAAGACCAATCACTCTGTGCTAGTGGGCCTTTAAGGAACTCCTCTGATTCTGGTTCCGAATGCGAAATAGATTTTGAAAAACACCTTGACATTGAAGCCAAACGTCGTCGAACAGAAAAGGAAAGTAGAAACTCAAATTCAGATCTATCACCGCTTTCCAAATTCAAAAGAGACTTCTTTTATGCTTTAAATGATGTAGAAAAAATAGATCGCTCATATAAGTTGGATATTCTAAAAGCCATCCCAGAATATCCAGAAATAGTTCAAAATGCGGCATATATGGTGACAGCATTGCCTCCAACCCAAGTTAGTGTGGAAAGATTGTTTTCGGCCCTGCGCATAATTCGTTCGGACCTGCGAGCCTCAATGAAAGAAGATTTAGTAGAAGCGATACTGTTCTTAAGAACAAATTCATTTTAAATGCTCGTATAAATTATGTGATGGCCATTCAATGTTCAATTAGTTTTTATTCACTTTAATTTCAATAACATTTAGTAATATACTGTATTTCCCGGCAAAAAAGACGATGTCTATTTTTATAGCTATCCAACAAGACGACGACTTTTCTGTTGGTCAGTTATGCACTAATATGCGCCATGCGGTAATAATTTTATATGGTTAGAAACAGATCATGTTTGTTTGGTATAATCATACTCACAAAATTAACTATTCATAACAACAACATGGTAATTTTAAGTTAAAAAGGTAGTGAAAACCATTTTGAATGTTTGTAGGGAATATGACAAATAACAGCTGGCAATACAAAGTCAATTGAATATCATGATTAGCAGACCCTTTGGCGTCTTCGAATACATACGGTAATTAAAACTACTTTTAATAGGCAAGTTGTTATTTTTGAGTGTTCCAAAATTCCATGTACAAAGATTATTGCATTTCACGTTTTCTGTCCTGCATCGACTGTAGTTTATAGAATAGTGCTCAGAGTGCAATTCTATTGTTCAAAAGCAATTTACCAAGTGAAATTTGTGTTACATACTTATTCACAAATGTAATTTAATTTAAGTATGGCCGTGGTTCGCCATATGTTTAAGCTCTTTTATCGGTTCCTATATGTAAATCTTTTCTTCACAATATAAAATATACCAACCCAAATGTACGGTTAACACAAATCATGTTTGAGAAAACATCTGCGAAAAATACGCTGATCAGTTGGCCACAGAAATCAAGCAAGCCTAGCTGCCCAATAAGATGCCTCAGGCCAAAAAATGGGGTCTATAACAGCCGGGAAATATAAGATATCCATTGAAACTCACAATATTAAGTGTTAACTTGATTTTTCATGATTCCCTTACCAAGTGTGTGATAAAATCATGAAATAAATAACAGTGAGGCATTGACTTTTTGTGAATGATAAGCTTAGCGGTACTATCGAATACATTATAGTGTGCGGAGCCGGAGCTGGAGCCAGCTCCGGGCTAAAAAAATGAAGCTCCGGAGTTGGGAGTCGGAGCCATAGCTCGAATATACTCTGGCTCTGGAGTTGGAGCTGGAGCCACACTGATTTTAAGCCAGCTCCCCAGCCCTGCTTTTATCAATAACTCAAAGTTACTTACTTAAATCATTTAAATGGAATGCCATCGACTAACAGTCAAACAAATTTAACTCGTAGATTGACTCAACTCGAGACCAGGATAGCCTGTGACTCGTATTGACTCGCGGGTCGAGGTTTATGCAGTTAGTCATAAGGTAGAAAATGTAAATATAATTCTATCTCACGGAATCCGTATACATACTTTGGTTTTGAGATGATTTTTCTAGACTGCTGAAACTCTTTGGTTTAGCAGAAGGCAATAGGTTATCTTCGTCTTCTTTTGCTTCCTGTTGAGTTCTAAATTTTTTTACCCTTTTAAAATCGATATTTGACATATTGCACATCAAAAACACTATAAAAATGAGAAGAAAAAAAATTGAAAAGAATGGTAAAATAAATATTTTCCCAAAAATATACTTGGACGACTTGGATTTGATCTTATGTTCCTCGAGCTTAATCTTGTCATAATCAATTGGTTTTTGAAAGACATGAGTGGCCCACGTCTAAAATGATAAATGTAAGGTATATTACAAAATAAAAAAGACGAATATTAAAGATATACAAGGTATCAATAAATAATGTTCTATCGACTTTTCTCGTTTATTTCCATAAAAATGACTAATTAGGAATAAGTTGATGGTGTCTGTGTATCCGACCGGCACTTTCTATTCACGCAGTTGCTTTTTTTAAATATAATTGTAAACATTACGTTGCATTGAGGTTTTGCGTGCTGTTTGTCAATTGTTAGTTTCTACTCGGTTCTTCGTGACTTGAGACTTAGAAACTCGTATCCAACAGTGGAAATAATTTTTTCTTTTTAAGTTTTTAGGCTGCGTTGTATAAACGTATCACTCCAAATAGTCTCTTTACACGTATCCAAAGATTCTGAAAGAACTAGAAACTTTGGCTTACCCCGTAATTCTGTTATACAAGCATTTTGATTCGATGTATCAAACGGTGCCAATCATTTGTAAATTAAAATTGATAACACACTATTATTTCCGATTGGTATGGCCAAACCACCAAGGTTAAAATATAAACTTACCTCAGCGTCCTTCTTTTGAACGCCGTCACTCATCATCGAATCCAAAAATATTTTGTCAAATTTTTGTATTTTATTCAAAACACTTTCATTCATTGAATTATCGTTTGTTTTTTCAAAAGCTTTTCTCAATGAACGAGAATCAGAAAACTTTGATATTGTTGCTAGTGACGTCATACATGACGTATATTCATTGTTTTCCGATAGATTTTTTCCAGCAGATGAATTTGCTTTAAAAATGTATCTCAGCTTCCGTTCTAAGCGTCTTATTATTCCCTTAATACAAAATAATTAATGAAAATTCTAACGAGTGACGATGCTAATACAGGTATCGTACGTTTATGCAGATAGTATTATAGGGGTGTATGCTATTGAATACGAAAGGGACCCATGGATCGTTGTGTTAAATTGTTATGAAAAAAGAAACCTCATTTGCAATTAATACGATAACTTTAAAAATTTAGTACACGGCTTCAAAGCTATTATTATTTCTGTAGGACCCGTTAATCTACCCGAAATTTTTTTGTTTTATTTTTCAAGGGGATCTATGGACGACCTACGTGTCCATATATTTCAAAATTGATCTCTTGTATTTTTATTTTTTTTAAAACAGGATCTCGAGCCATAAACTAAAAGTTGGAGTCGTACTTCCCAAAAGCCGGAGTTGGAGTCAAAATATTTGATTTTGAATTCTACGGAGTTGGAGAGGGAATTACAGACTTTTAAGAGTTGAATGTAGAGGTTCAATTTGTTATTTGAAAAAAGCTGGCAAACCTCTAATTAAATTTCTGGGATCGAAATTTTATTATAAATATGTAAGTATATCTTAAAAAAGTGCAAGGATCGTCAAACAATAATTTCAGTTTTTCGGCAAATCAAAAAAATAATCTCTTTACCTCAAGAATTGAATCATCGAATTTTGAAATGAGACAAGTTGTCATTCGACGAATTTCTTGACAATCATGGTTCAGCAAATCTTGTAAGTTCTCGGATATTGCTCGCTGACATTGCATCGAAATTTCACTAGAATATGAAATAAATAATAATTTATTCAACGAACTGGCGCTCTTATTTTTTGGTTCTGGGCTAATTCTTAACGTAACAAAAATGGATTTGACTATTCAGGAAGTGGCTCATATGCCGGTGAAGATGTCAAACACATAACGCATTTTTAAAGGTTACAAATAGTTTTATCACTAATAACAAAATATCTACCACCCCTAAATTTGGAGACATCCCCCCTAAAGGAAAAAGCTCGGAAACATACTGGCCTTACCTATATTGGAAAACAAAAACCGTGGGGAATCTAGCTGGTTACTGACCAGAAACAACCAGGATTGATGTCTAATTAAAAATATTAGGGATTTTAGTCGAGCTACTGTTATTGTCGATAAATACGGCTCTGACGAATCAACCAACCAGCAACGCTATCACAATGTTATTCATATTTTTGATTACAAGTCGCAAATCTTCAATTGAGAGAATCACCATTTCAATACAATGAAAAATTATTAAAAAATTTCCATTTTTAATAATCTAATATTGATATATTTCAAGTAAAAACAAAAAAAAACCGATTACCAACCCTTTTCCAGTCCCAGCAGTCAGATTTTTATGCTCTTCTAAAATTTTTAGCAAAGATGCCAGAATTTTAATGACAACGACTTGGTCTGTGACTGATTCCAAGAGATTCGAAAGATCTACTAGGCTATCTTCAATGTTTGAAGCATGGAGTTCAATAGGACACCATTTTTCTTTGTTTACGCTGTTCACAACATCTTCCAATCGTCGTGTTCTTTGGAATTTTGCTATGTTCTTTGGCTTTTCTGTGACGGTTGATTTTACTGTTGCCAAATTACCATCGTCCTCTTCCTGCTGTAGAAACAAATTGTACACTTGCTAATTATATTGTAAGTAGATTGAGATTGTTACAATCTAGCGAACGGGCCGGGATGTGCGACGGAAAACGGTCAGCAAAAACCACGGGCCACAACGGAGCGGGATGCGCGACGGAAAACGGTCAGTAAATGCCACCGACCACAACGGACCGGGATGTGCGACGGAAAACGGCCAGCAAAACATCCGACCACAACGATGGACGTAAATCAAGAAGGAAGCTTTATCTATGGGCTCGCAAATTTACCCGCAGCGTTGGGACCATGCTTGATAACCTTCCGCACTAATTACACGTCACAGCAGGTATAGGTCGAGAGCGGTAAAAATAGGTTGCATTACGGTGATTTAAATTTGTCAAAACTGGATTTTTCTTTTCATTTCGTCATAAACTGAATTATTGCATCATTCGTAATTTATTTGGCTTCTTCTTAGTAAGAACTAAAATATTGCTTCATAAGTGCACTTATGGTTTTCCAAGAGTTTTAATAGTCACTGACACCAAATGGCTCTTTCAATGCTAAAAAGGTTGATATACAAAACTATTGATCGGAGTGAACTGCATAATCATGCAATATAAAACCAGCTCAAAACATAATCTAGTTACCTGTAGAATTATATTCTGGAATTCTTTACTACTTTCTGTCGATGGATTGAAAGACAAAACCAACGGTTCATCTGAAGCTGCAACAACGATAGCTAGTGAGTGAAAATTATTTGAATTGTTCAAGATTGATACGATTTGAAACTTACGAGTTTCCTTCTAACTGAGCTGGAAATACGCTGCAAGTGGCCCAGCGAACCGGCGTTTACGGTTTCATTACATTTAAACCCACGTACATTTGAACCCATGACAATTGCACCTATATGCTATTGCACCTATGGAATTTTTTTTGTTTCACGGATAGTTACACCCATACTAACCCTAACCCATGGGCTTTAGCACCCGCATATAAGTTGAACCCGTGGATATACGCATGGGTTCAAATGTACATGGGTTCAAATGTACGGTCACCGGCGTTTACAATTTCGAAACATGCTAAATGTATGGGAGTAGTATCGATTTTTATGAAAATAATATATCATAGTTTTAAAGCAAAGGAGCAGGCATATATTGAAAAAATTGTCTGAACTGAATACAAGCCCAAAATCTGCTGAATTCACGTGATCAATTATTCAAATCATTTTATGTCGGGTGTCAAAGAAACGAACCAGACATATATTGAAAGAACGGTCTAACAGAAATTTAAAAAATATTAGTTTTTTTTGCGTACAGTGAACTTAACTGGCTGTCCGAATCCGGTATTTTTGAATAGTGCAATGAGGACACGTGCCTGGAGTCCTGCTCAGAGTGGAATGTAGGAAAGAAACATGAAATAAATAGAAATATATGATCACTCGCAATTCAATACTTTTGCTTATATACAATGCACATCGATTCCAAAATTGGCGAAATAACGAAAAATACGCTAAAAAAACAATAGTACCGCATTCAGAGTTTTCACCCTCGTCTTCTAAAACTTCCTTGTCCGTGAGCATAAAATCTGGTCTGGCCCAAAGATCGTCCACATATCCGGTATATATGGAGTCAACTCTCTTCCGGATAACAGAGTTCGGAATATATCCGTCCGGAGCAACAGGACAAAGCTTGATTCTTTCAACCATGGAATCTTGAAAAATTATATCTTCAAGATTTCGAGGTTGAAAATGAAAAATGTCAAATTTGTGATAATTTCCGGTTTTTCAATAATTTTAAATTGATAAAATCACTCAAATCTAAACAAAGAAAATTTGCGATTTTATTTAAGTATACATTATTCTTCTCAAAATAAGCAGTTTTTTAAAGGCAGTGTCTGCTTGTAATAGAGTCTTGTGTATAGCGAAGTAAATTAATTCTCATATTGCACGATAAAAATGAGATGTAGAATTCTACCAGAGTGATACGGTCTGTACTGTTAAAAACTGACACTTCCTCAACTGTGATTTCACTGTAATCAATTATTACGCACAAGGAAAAAAATATTATATTTTCCAAATAAGTGACAACAATATAAACCTGTAATCACAGCAGGATCCAGAGTACGGTCAGGAATTTCCAGTAACAGTTTCATTCTTTCATTGTCAATATCCATATCTTGTTCGTCCTAAAAAATAAATATACATTGAAATACATCGAGAGAAAACTCAATTTCCACAACGTAGCGTTGACCATAATTTGCCAGTCTTGAAGCGCTCGAATCATTGACTTGACTCGATTTGGTCCCGAGTGACTATTTATCACATACTCGAATTGACGACTAGGACTCGTCATCATCTAGCCGTGATGTTGTGTGACCTAACTCAGTGATTGACTCAAATCCGACTCAAGATTTGAATGGCCCATCACTCAATTTGACTTGTTTTTAAGGACTACTCTACCCAACGCTATAATTTACATTTAGTCATTTTCTTGGTTGTTATTTGCATTAAGAATAACCCATGAACAAGGGATTTTGAGAGTTGGTTGCAAACGCGTTGGGCTTACCATATTGGCATTGCAAGATTAAAGATCTAATGTTCAAGTTATGATAAGCTCAGCGCCACCACAATCAGAATGTCACAATGTGGGCCGGTTGTATAGACCAAACCAGATAGATTCCGATTATTTCTCGTTTCTAATAGAGCTAAGTTGAAATAGCTGCGCGTAAAACGCCTAGTTTCTATACTTCGCCATTGGTGGATTTTGAATGCTTATTTTGAGAGTAATTCGGGTACAATTTGGAATAATATCACTTAAATAAATTCTTTTCACCAGTACTATGTAACATACTTCATACCATGTCAGAGTCATCGGCCAGAGCGAGGGTAGAAACAGAAGCTCCTGTTTTTCGTCTGAGTAAAACTTTTCGAAGTAATCGCGTCCGACGTCGCTTCGTTAGTTTTTGCTTTTGCGCCAGAGTCAAATTGTTCGAGCTGTCGAATTTATTCTCGTCTGTAGAAAAAGTTGAGAAAACGTTCCATATAAAGAGTGTTAACAAAGTTCTGTTATTTTGGTATTAAAATTTTGAAATTGTACATGACTTCATAAGCACCCTGTATTTTTGTATATATTTATGCAGCAATTTTGCAATGCATAGTTCATCCAGTTATCTGGAGGTTCAAACTCTGAATTCTAATGAAATGAATTGAATTTGTATTAGAATTTTCTAATACAACTTAACACAGGGGATAACAAATACAATACCAGTGTGAACAAGAGTGTGGTTCACGTGAATTAAGAGCGACAAGGGTTGTATGAGCGGGTTAAATGGAGTAAATGGGGACTAATTTGGTGCAAGCGGCACAAGTGTGGTGCAAATAGGACAAGTGAGGTGCAAGTGGGACTAGTGTGGGGCGAGTGTGATTGAAGTGAGACTAGTGTGGTGCAAGTGGGACAAGTGTGGTACAAGTCGTACAAGTGTGGTACAATTTGTGCATATATGCTACAATTTTATAAGTACGGAATAGTTAACAAAATAATAAATAATAATTACCAAAAGGACTATGTCCTGGTTTCATAGCAAATGCGCCAATGTCAGTCCCGCCCTTCATAGGTATCGGTGATTCAGGTGGCACGTTCTAAAATAGGGTTCGTATATTATGAGTGATCTAGTTTGTTGTTGTCGACACAAATCGACTTTTCTGCTCTACTGCTACTACTCTACTGAGAAATCAATCGATATCAATTTTCAATTCAAATCAAATTTCAAACCTAATTAAGGTCTCATGGTACCGGTATCGACACGCTAACTTCGTGTCCAAATATCTGAGCACTAATCTATTATTGAACACGAAGTGAACCTATGGATCGTTTAGTTACAATGATTTTGTTCTTGTTGGTATTTTTTTTCTTGTTGTTACCACATATATTTGAGCATCGCTCTCTTGTACTTTATTTGGCATACTTATATACACTAAATGTCTTACCGTCTTATCGCTGTGGGTCCTTAATGTATTTCGGTAACAGAGTAAAATGATATTTATGATGCAATAAAATACTATCATTTTGCAGTTGTGAGCGTGTTTGTTTTTGTGGAAAATTTTGATTAAACGAAAAACATATCTACCTGTATTGTAAATGTGTCGTCAAAATCCAGCAGTTCGTCTAATAATTCTAACGGTAAGTAGTCATGAGCTTCGATCAACACAATATGGTTCCGATAGGATGCCAATATATCACGGCCATTTGAGAAGCAAGCAGACCAAGTATCTCCCAAATCCAGTTCACGAACCAGTTGTCCGTCCTCGTCCCATATTTTGATTAGCTCGAACATCCCGCAAGTTAAGAATAGATTTAATATATCCGAATGTGCAACATTGGTTATCCGTGCACGGTGACGAATTTCTTGATCGATGGGAACTCTCTCAACGGATGTAATATCGCTGTCACCTAAGTGATTTAAGATACAAGGAGGTAATGTATAGAGTAGGTATAGGACGACGGCCAGAATGGCTTAGTTTTGACTGAAGTTGAAAAGTTTGTAAAATTGGCTCGCGTTTTTTAGTTGTAGTTCCATATCTTATATTTTGTGAATATATTCAAATTGAATTTTAAATAATATAATAAATAACATCTTCATTTTATTTTCCGAGAAATTTTCGTTTAATTGCAGTAATCAAAAATTAGTTAAGAAAAATTGTGACAGACCAGCCTTAAATAAGCTAACGTCATCATTACTTTTGATCTGTAGGTGATCAAATATTTTGAATCATAATGATGGTGACGAACATCTGAACCAGTTTGTAAGAGCCAACTTGCGTTAACGCTCTTTCAAACAACATGAATATTATACAATGGTAAAGTATAGAAGAATTTCTGGGAGTCAAAGGTTGAGGAAACACCCAATTAGCTGGTATATATACATATCACCATTTAATTCGTGGAGGGAATATTGTCTTGCCATATTTAGCCGCAGGTTTGAACATTTACACTTACTTTCAGTTGTTTCAGATACATAATTTATTCTGTACATTTTGATGTAAATTTCGTCATATGCCAGCATGACTACATGTGATGATCCAGTTATCAGTTTGGGTTGATAATCTAATTGTAGTTGAAATAGCTTCTGGAAAGTGAGCTGAAAAAAAATTAGAAGCGTATTGATGAAGCGATAAGCGTATGAATTCATCGCAGAAGAAAATGTATTCAACGTAGTTTAGTATCGCATTATTCAGTGCCTACATCTTACCGCGTAACAATCGGAGATTCCTTCTTTCGTGAATACAATTTTCCATAACATCAACATTCTATCAGTTCCAGTACTTAATAAAATATCATCCCGAAGAAATAAATTAGAGACAGTATCAGAATTTCCTGTGTAAGCTGATATGGACTTTTTCTCGTGCGATGTGTAAAGATTGGATACCCCACCTGCGTGGATCTGGAAAGCAGGGAATTTATTATCTCATTGAGGGGTGACCGTAAATTAGAATTATAAAAATGCACATATGCACACTTCGTATCCATAAAAAATGTAACAATAAAAATGTGACGCAACAATACATACCAAATTACGTCATACTGCGAAAAATAGGGGGCGGAAACATGGGCCCAAAAAATAGTTCAATACTATCGTATGACTCAGATATTGAGAAATCCAGAACTTGGAGACGAACTATGAAGATTTTTTTATACTTGTATAGATTCATATGTATTGGTGGATGATCGTACAGAAGCTCATTTTGGTGCTCCCGAAGTATTTCGTACCAAGATGACGCACAACCTGAACATAATATGTGTACCAGGTTAGGGTTGTTCAGATTGTGCGTCTTCTTGGTACGAATACTTCCGGGGCGCCCTCAATTTTGTCTATATAGATCACGGTGTACTTCACGGGAACGGGACGAAAATGCACAAAAAGAGAAAAAAACGAACAAAACATAATTGTATAAAATCAAACAAAACCTTCTGTGGCTCCATGTTCAGAGATACTTTTTCAGAAGCATTTGGATGAATGACATACGACGCATCCTGATGCAATTTTACGTACCCAGTATTGCAGCCAAACAAAATAGCACATGCTGACAAATGAAAATGCAATAAAATAAAATCATAATAAAAATCAGATTGATCCAAATCACATTACTAGACTCGCTCATTGGAACCTATTCGCTGGAAATACTGAATCAGGATTCTAAGCGCTGCTATGATATGGGTTAAACTTAATGTAGGATAGGATTTACACATTCATCCCGGGGGAGAGAAAAGCCCATATGACGATTCAATCATATGATACAGCGGGGATTTTTGTCCGGTTACCATTTCATTTTGGGTATGGGATCAGTTATCTATTTATTTGTTTCAGATGCATGAAATGGATGAAAGCGGATGTGGTAACCGTAACCGATTACGTGAACCACACTACGGCGGCGAGGAGCCCAGCAATCATCTCGCACATAAATATTTCCTACGGCCTACGGGATTTGACCTGCGAACCCACATTGGGTAAGCAGAGGTGCGGTGGCAAGGGTATTCATAACGAAGTGAAAGTCGATAACGGGGAGTCGCCCCAACAGTCAGGTCAAAGATTCGAAACTATGTATCGGTGCCAACCTTGTACCGTATTATAATAGTCTTTCGTGAAGTAGGCTACACATTAGACACAACCATAATTCAAATTCATTCCTTACGGAATTTCGATACATATTCGTATTCTTTCCACGTATTTTGTCAATTCGCACCAAATCAATAATTAAAAAACGGATGTAAAAATGACTACCTTGTAAATTACTATTCGAAGATAACTTGGTCCCATTCGAAAATTTCGTGTCAATGACTACAACGCTCGTGACCTGAATATATAAGTATTCCGTAAGAAATAGCTGATATTTATAATTTTATGATATTGCTAGTCAATGCAGACTTTCTTCCAAACGAGACTAAATTAGATTTAAAAATATTTCACAATTTTGCGCGTGACAGGGAACTTGGAAAACAGTAGAATCTTTCCTATACGGCAGGGGTCGGCAACCTACGGCCCGCGGAGTAATGTAATCCGGCCCGCGATGCTTCACTGAATTATAGTAACAAAACAGCTGTTTTGACGATTATATTCTTTACGTGTAGACACGTGTAGACTAAATTATATTATAATCTAACAAGTATATAATTCACAATTACTCGTTCAATGAGCCTATAATTTAATTATAATTAGACAAATGGCAACAAAACGCAGAAAAGTTGATGCTAAGTGCAAAGGGTTCAACGGCACCGAAAATATTCAAATGAAATTTTTGAGGTGCAATGCAATGAGGAAAAAATTTATAAAAAGTATCATCCGTTCGGTTTTTTCTAAAACTTTCTAAAAATATGTACGGCCCGCCAATGACTTGTAACCCTTAATTTTGACGGCATATGTTGGTTAGTTTCACCGACGTCGAAGTTGATTGTAAATTTCTCTGGATCGCACTGTTCTCTGGGTTCATACCTAACGTGCGACACCAACATAGAAGAAACAGTTTAACTTACTTCTGTATAATTATGAGATTCATCTTTGCATCCTGGGTTTACGCGACAATCATATTCCATAATTTCACCGCTTTGTGGAAGAACGAAACTTTTAGATCCGTCGACATTTATCGCGACATCCAGCGGCCTCTTGTCTGTTCCTCGCTCTGTTGTCGGATAAATCATGTGAATCACTGAACCTGGTGTGAAACAAAAAAAATTCATAAGCTGAGCTTAAGGGTTTTATCTTGCTGGTTCTCCATATGCAAATGGCGTCGGAGTTTGGCTTGCTGTGAGTCAAAGTCGTTATTTAAGCCTCAACGGAGTTGCATACGATATCCAAATTCTCTGGAGGTGGCGATCGGAATCTCAGACTTTGATGGCGAAAATCGAAGCAAAAGTTTAGGCGCTCCGGAGTATTCGTACGAAGATGACGCACAACCTGAACAAATGGTGTTTGGTGCAAGAGCACCAAAATTTGTACAGAATCTAAAAACTGAGCCTCCTTTACAGGTCATTCAAATATGGAGTACGCGATAACGTTTTTGCTATCAAAGTTTAATTTTTGGGGAGTTGAAATCGAAATTTTTATCACTAGGAGTCGAAGTCAAAAAAAAATTTACAACCCGCAGTCGGGAGTCGATTGTGAACTTTTTCGACACGCAATCGTCGGTTCACCAGAGAAAGGCAAGACGTAGAAAAAAATACAAAATATTTTTTTGTCTGGTAAATTTGTTTACTCATATTCTTTTCGCACTGCTCAAGAAATCACTGCTTGGTAAGAATATACTATAGTTTGAAAAGCCAGAATCTTTCTGGTTCGTTATTTCCTATCCAATTTAGGTACTCCCGTAGTATGTGAAGCAAGATGGCGGACACCGGAACGTAGTATGTGTACCAAGTTAGGGTTGGGCCATAATTTTATTCCAATTTTAGTTCGATCACGAGTTCGGGGACTACCCAAGCGACTCTCGTAGTATTTGTACCTGAAAATATGGCATAAGTCTAACCTGGTCCACACACTGCGTTCTGGTGTCCGCAATCTTGGTTCACATACTACGGGAGCACCCCAATTTATTACACCCTGGATGATGTGATGAGAGTGAGATTTGAACCCATGCAACAGTTAGTTACACATCACAGTTACCTGATACCGGAGACACCGTGATAATACTTCCATCGTCTAATATGCAAATTAAACGACTTCTAGGCTCCTTGGAATTTTCATTGTACTTGTCTAGCAAAGTAGAAGATTTCTTTTCTATCATTTTATCAATCCATCGGAGACGTAAATTTTGAGCTGGCGCAGACAACGTTGCGAATATGGTGAATAATATATTAATTTCAAAAACACGGATTTCGCTTTCTGTGGAATAATACAATCGATCGGGTCGGACAAGAATTAGGTTTCCGATCGTTTCTGACAAAGTGCTTTCGTCCATCATTTCGAGAGTATCAAGTCTCCATAACCGTACACAACCACTGAAACATGACCATGATATGAGAATAGGTTGAGACATCATGCATTCTACTCCAGTCAAGCCATCTCTGTGAGCAGGAAATCTGTGAATCACGGCATTTGCAACTAAAAAAGAATTGTAATGAATAATTATCGTATAATTATTGTTGGGTCGGAAGAAGCTTTCCTTGTATTTTTTTGTTCATTGAGTCTTATTAATTTTTTTTACAATGCGTCAAGGGTTATATATAGCCTAATACAAAAAAGTACATTCGTTGAAAGTTTAACCTCAAGTTAAATGTAATGAACAGTTATATTCTCCGGTTATGAGCATACTTAGTGCAAAAGGTTAATGTTATTGACGGACGAGAGGGCGCGGTATGTCATGCCATCTTATCGGCTTTCCTGAGTTCCTAATTTTGAACTTCCCGGATTCGTGTGACAAAATTCCAGACTTTCTCACGTCGGTAGTCGGAATAGAATTCTTTTAATCAAACAGAATGACGCTAGACCAAGAAGTTATCGTATGTTAAAATTTTCAATATTGAATTTTTTTTTTTATTACGAAGTCGGTAGTCTGAACGGAATGTTTTTTTTTTTAATTCTCTGCTCTAATTTGGAAAATTCTTAGCAAAAACGTGAATTATATCCATCATTTAAGCTAAAGCGTTTTAAACGTTCACAAATCCAACGTTACCTGTATGGTGCACGTGAATGGATCCGTTTCTGGCAGCTGTGATGACGTATGAAAAACGAGGATACCAAGCACAACCGGTTAGAGAAGCATTATGTGAATTTTCAACCATATCAAACTGTTTTCTGGTTTTCATATCAATGAAATATACCGCTTCCTCAGATAGAGCTATCAGAACTCGGTTGCGTTTTGCATAAGATAATCGTGTTATCCAAACATCAGATTTCTCTGCCAAAGAAATATAATATTTTATTCAAGAGAGGCTGCACAATCATTATTCACATATACGGAGCTACTTTCTTACTTAAAAGCATTGCTGGATGAAAATCTCTAAATCCGAGTCGCAAGTCAAGTCGAGTCATGGGTCATTCGAATCGAATCAATACCTGAGTCAATTCTCACCTACGGTTAGTTAGGTACGCGTCCGAGTCATTCAATTTATACAACTCGGGTCGAGTCAGTGACTCGATAACCCACAACAATGATTAAAAGCATCACGATCCTCTTAGTTTGGCATAGTTTTACCGTATCCCTGCCAACCACTAAGGTCAGACCCTCTCTGAAAAAGAGTAGATAAAAAAACTGGAAAGACCATAAAGAACAGAATAAGTTAGATGGTAATAGTAATATACCAATCGTAGAACAGATGCAGTGCCAATAGAAGAATAAGACGAGAAAGTTTTATGCTGCCGATTTACCATTCACGTCACAATCAAATGGAGGATCTTTCCACTCAAAAGGTCGTCCGAATTCAATAGGATGCAGACGCCAGGAAATAATATGGCCTTGTCCCGCTGTAATGAGTTCGTCATAATCATCCAGATATATCGTACATAACACGGTGTTAGATACAGACACTCTCACTTTTTCTTCCATATTGGAACCTCTATATCCGCGAAGCGTCATATCATCACAGTACCCTGTATAGAAACTTTGTAGTTAGTTCTGACATGGACAAACTACGGCCCGCGGGCCAAATCCTGCCCGTTGGGTAATTCAATCTGACCCGCCTGATGCTGTCACAACCAAACTAAAACCAAATTTTTATGTTTCAGCTAAAAAATAACTTAGGGATTTGTCGAGAATTTGATTAAATTTAGTTTTGACTGGAGGATTATTGTTTTCCACTTTTGCTTTTGTAACGCTGTGAATGTTGTTCCTAAAAGTTAACTTTTTATGTCACACTAACATGGCCCGGCAGTCTAGACGGGCAAAAATTTTGGCTCCTGGTCCAAATAACTTGAGTTAGACGCACAATTTTTTACGACACGTATGCCATATCAAGCCGTTGATTACATGTACACTGGTTAATAAATCACAAGAATTCGTTTCAGCATTTTATTACTTTTTGCCTAAGTACAAAGTTAAAGTAATTTTACTTTACGACCGGGCCTTGTGCGTACAAAAAAAAAAAAGTTGACCTTGTGGTCGACGCTGTTCATAGCCCCCAATCATATATATTCATAATACCCCAGAGCAGAGATTTAAACCGGATATTTCAAAGAGTCATAGAGAATTGTTGTCCTCCAACCAGTTTATGTAACCGTATTCACATTGAGATGAAACAAATACAACATGATTTATTTGAATTCACAACACACGTTATAGCAACTCTGTCACCCGAAAATGCTGAGAGGCAAAATATCTGCCATCCTCTAAATTTGAACACTTAACCCTTTAAAATTAAAAGCTGGGGAATATACTGACCCAAGTTGCACTAATGACTAAATAGATTGAAGTTCGTCCATTATCTGGCAGACATTTATCATCGAGCGTAGTTCCGTTTAATATAGTTTCAAACAATAAACTATTGACTCACCAATGAACGCTTTTTGATTTGCAATCCAAATTAAATGCTTCAAGCAATTACGAATTGAGAATTTCCTTTGCACAAATATAGATTGCGTTGCAATATCATATCTCCATTCCACGATAACGCTTCCACCGCCATCCGACGACATATAATTGATAACGTAATACTCATTCCCGTTTGCAGGGTCGTCATGATAACAGTACGAAAATATCGGACTGGGGTAATGCGAAATTGTCTTTCGTAACTGAAAACCAGATTTTATTCCGACATCTCCTTCGTAGCCAATCAAACATTTTTCAGCAATCGTACGTTCAATCTGAGTCCTAGAAGTTGCCCAAGTTTTGTAACCAGAGTTTGACATGTTGTTCTATCTAAAAAAGGTTATTGATTTAGAAAATGAGCTGGAGCTTTTCCTATTTTATTTCATTCCGTTTTACGTAAATGTGTTGTCTTAATATTAGGGTTGAGTGCTTGTCCTGCTACTCTTATGATAGAAATCAGTACAACATCATTTAATCCCACCAAACCCAAAGCGCTAGCCTGAAGTTTTCTGGGTCACCGGTTCGGCAGATAAGCCTGTAGGTTGGGTAGTGGTCCCCATGGAAAGTATGCTAAAAAGCATGTCCACGGTGTCAAATGAGTCTGGTAACCACATTATAATTAAGAAGGGGGTAGAGTATCCCCACTCACTGTATCCCGTTCGCTAATATTTTTCATTATCATTTCAATATTAGCCGGATGTGTTTGGGAAGATAATAGTGTCGCAGCGATCAATCCAGCCTTTGGCACAAACACACATTTACGGAAAGGAAAACAATTAAAACTATAATAGTTCAGGCCGCATTCTAAATGCGTGTTTATCATCGGTTATTACTGTGAATTGTAAACACAATTATGAACCTTCGCTTAGATTTGAATACAAGAGCATGAACGCCTTTCGCAGATGGACTTTGCACTCGGTTTACCCTAATTTCTTTTTGCTGACCACGAACACATGAGATAACCTGCCTGACTGATCTAACTCGAACTATACCTCGTTTACAAATCAGGAAAAAAGTAGAAGCTAAACACGCTGTTTAGATGGCATAATATTCTAATCATGATCTACGTACCTGGACAGCCACCAAACAACAGACCGACGGGGAGGAAAGTGATTGTGACGGCATATTTGGCTTTGAAAGTTAATTTGTAAATTTGTGCCGGTCACCAGGGACACCGCCCACAACACACCCCTGCCATCAGACCGTTTTCGATGTAACCGAGCGCTCGAAGCCTCAATTCTTTATGTGCGCACATGTCTAGTATCATATGTAGTGCGTGCACGTGTCGAAATCTGTGGTCAATACTGGAATAACAGATGGAAGGGCGGCTTTCAGACAGTAGCGGTACCGGTAATCATCTTTGTAAGAAGATAAAGTTGTTCGGGAAACATTTAATTTCAAGGTATACCACTACAGCACTATGGTTTATATCAGTTCGCTGTTTAGAGCTTTCCTTGTCGATTGTCTGGTATGCTGGTATGACTGGATAGTAAGCATTTTGATGTCGGCCCTGTTGCCTTGTTTATGAGTTTACCTTACTTTTAGACTTTGGTATTAAAATAGGATTTTCATAATTATCCTGGGGAAAAGAAAATCCTGGATGAGACGGCTGCCTTTTATCTGATTGCCAGATGTCGTAGTTATTAGAGGTGTGATGACTGGCGTATTCCAAGCCCTTAGCGCGATGCTGTATCTTCCAAGCTGAGCAATTTATGAGAGATTTTACCATTGTTATAAGTCGGTGGTTCCCAACCTTTTTCGTTAAACTCTTCCCGTCTTTTTCCTTCCCAAATATGCATAGAAACTATGGTATTTTATTTATTCATTATTACAGTATTGATTGACAGTTAAAGAGTTTATAACATGTGAACACTGGAATAAATATATAATAATAGGGAAGAATAAAGAACTAAAGATTATTAATAATGCTACAAATACAAAATAAAATCTCCCTCTAACAACTGAACAATAACAAAATTCCTCTCATGTTAGAAACTGAATTTTACTGATAAATAAATAGCATAAAAAAATTCAAATATATATGTTGTTAATTTTTACAGGGAAGTTCTGGTTCCACTTCTATATGGCCAAGGATTGTCACTACTGATATGTGGTACGGCTGTAACGAGTACATATCTCGTGGAAGATTACAATGCAGATATTCCATGCACACAAAGCTTTTGCAATTATTTTTTACTCTGCATTGTTTATGGATTGTTGCTTCTTCGACAAAAGGATGAAAATGGAAATAGAGTTTTATTTAAGGTTGTTAGAAACTCATCAATATTCATTTGTGATTTGTTAGAAATTTTTTCTGTTGTATGAAATTGGATGTCCTGAGTTTCTGCATTTCAGTGATTTAGTTGTATTTTGTATTGAAAGTTGAATTGAAAATTTCCAAAATAAATAGGTTTTACTAGTACCATGATTTGTAACTTAGTTTGAATCATACCGTCGATAGTTATTCATGCATTGATTTACTAAAGTAAGTAAAGTAAATTTTTTGCATGACTTTGAATAGAAATGAAACTAGTAATGACAGGATATTTAAAATCTATCCCAATTAGGAGAAAGCTGATGGAGACATCTTAATCATATGGCAAACCATGGCTTCTTGTCGGGTTACCAGCCCATTAGAATGGTTAACAAATTATTTGTTTCAGATGCATGGATATTACAAGCGGCAGTTGACTTGGCTCAACAGCTAAAAAGTATATTGGGTTGAACTTATGGTAAAAAATTTGACTAAAAATTAATAATTGAAAATAAACAGCTGAGATATGCCCCATAACAAGGGTTTGATTTATAAACCTCAGTTCTTTTTTCATAAGAATTCATTTTGTAATAATAACCACCATTTTTCATTTTTAGACTTTGAAAGAATTTGGATGGAAATATTTTTTAATATCAGTTGCTGACGTCGCAGCTAACTTTCTTATGGTGACTGCTTATCAATATACCTCTTTGACAAGTGTCCAGGTACAAATTTATAGACTGAAAAACTTGTGCCATAGATTATTTAAACTTCGCTTATTAGTATATATATCTGGTTTTCAATGTTTGTGTCTTACTTTGGATGAAGCTTACGACAAACAAATACTTATAACCAATATATTTTTGAAGCGACAAAAATATTTTTATATCAGTATTTTTATGGCAAATTAGTTAAAATCATACTCTAAATACTAAACTGTGTGTGAAAATAATCCATTTTATCAAGTGGAAACTAATGGTATCGATGAAAGTTTTTAAGCATTGTCCTCTGATTCATTATTGTTTACCCTCAGGTGCTCGACTGTTTCGTTATATTCATTGTCATGGTGCTATCCTGGTTCATTTTAAAGACTCGATATAAAGCCGTACATTATGTTGGTGTCATGATTGCATTGTTGGGTGTTGCAGTCATGATTACTGCTGATGTGTTACTCGACAGAGGAGGAGAAGGATCAGGTGAATGTATTTTGTATAGGACTGTCTGACATAGTTCTAATCTAGTTCTCATAGCTTCATTCGGTACTCCCGTAGTATGTGTACCAGGTTACAATTAGGCCATCATTTTATTTTGATTTTCCTTATTTTAGTTCTATTACGAGTTCGGGTGCTGTCTGTGTTAGCCAAGTAAATATACCATAGGTTTCAGTCTTTTTACACAACTTGATGTAAAGTAGGCGAACGAAATTAGTTTCCTCCATATTGGCACACACACTTCTGGAGCGCCGTTCATTCATAGGTTGACAATAGGTTATAGCAGACAGGATTGTGGAGCCTGAGTTTGAAATAATTTATTATATGTGGATTTGAGGTCCTTGTGGTATTTTTAAACTCTCCAGATTCAGGAGTCGGGGTTAAAGTTGTACACTTTTAATAGTGATGAAGGAAGTGAAATTGTCTCCAAAAACATAAAATGAATTAACACTACTAAGCTTTCATAATAGTCTGTTATAGGAATTCTTGCATACGTCATAGTTTTTTGTTATCAAAATTCAATTTTCTCAGAGTAGGAGTAAATATTTTTTTACAATCTGGTTTCGGAGGCTAATTTTTTTAACCTTTCGGTGCTTTTTACATGTCATTGAATAGGCGCTCACATAGTATGTAAACCAAAATGGCGACCACTGGAACATAGAATGTGGGCCAGGTTAGGGTTGGGCCATAATTTGATTCCAATTTTCCTAATTTTAGTTCTATTACGAGTTCGGGGACTAGCCAAATGATTCCTGTAGTATTTGTACTATGGGAGTACCAATAAATATCAGCGACTACATGTACAGAGCCTTGTTCAAAGCAAAAGGTGTGAATAAGCATCATGTTAATAATATTCTTTGTGCAATTTCTAATGGCATAACTTTTATTTATGTGCAGTTGCGGACAATTTTAACTTGTTATCCCAGGTTCCAATCCCCTTCTTGGTGATATGATGGTTTTACTTGGTGCAACATGTTATGGTATATCGAATGTCGGTATGGAATTTGTTATGAAAACTCGGCCAGTTGGAAGAACAGAAATATTAGCCATGTTTGGTATATTTGGCTCAATCACTACTGGTATATTAATGTAAGTTAAAGAAGATTCAGTTTATTAATGAAATTCATTGATTATTCATTTAACAACCTAACAGTCTATTATATAATCATTCAGACTTTCCCTACTTAATAAATTATTGGGCCATGATGTGCAGTATCAATATGTCGATATTGTAGAACTGTTTGTTTACCAGAACATACACTGGCTTGACCTTGATTATCAAATAATGCTGAGGCTGTGATTTTGCAATATTTAAAGAAGAGCCTATCACGCAGAGTGTATGTATACACTTGCAATTGTTGACAATGAAATTTGGATAGTTATTGTGTTTAAATTAAATTCTTTGGACATCTGATATCATATAATCCACATCATAATGAACCTTTCTCTTTTATAAACATGATTAATATGTTTTACAGAGCTGCTTTGGAAAGAGACGCTTTAAAAGCAGTTATATGGTCGGCTGGTTCTATAATGTCTCTGGTAGGATTTGCAGCATGTATGTTTGCGTTATACTCATTAATGCCCATTGTTATGAAGATGAGTAGTGCTGCCACAGTGAATCTATCAGTTTTGACGGCCGATCTTTATGCATTATTTGCTGGAATATTTCTATTTGGATATAAGGTTAGTAGAGTCGTTTTTGTCTACGAAACTGATCGTTTTGTCACTGTAAAAAAAATTCAGTAATCACCAATAACTTAGCTCAAAGCTCGGTCTCCTTACTGGGTGGGACTTCGCTTGGGCAAATTTTCTCCGCAAAATGAATATGATCTATTATAAGATTGTTTTAAACATATATCCTAAAAAATTTTATTTAGTTCGGATTGTGACAGTTGCATCGAATTTTAGCCCAACCCACGTACTTGAAACTTTGGAGAGAAATATCACAATGATAAGCTGCCTTATTAGCTTTCCTATCCTTATTAGTATCACATGTAATATTCTATCCATGTCTCATCTCTATATATCTTTATAACACCAAGGCCTATTTCACTGTCATCAGGGATGAGAAATAAAAATTTACAACAGTATTTCCTCTAATTCATACATCCTTTTTTTCTCAGTTTACACCGTTGTACATCATTTCGTTTTTTGTCATATTCTTATCACTGTTGATATATAATTCCAAACCTCCTGGAAGCCTCGTGGTACAAAACTCCAGTGCAATCGAAACATCGGATAACACTGAGGGTGGCGTTTTACCAACGAGTTGCAATAATATAAGCACAACATCTTTCAGCAGTACTAACAGCTCAACAAAACCGCTGTGCTCTGCTATTTCAGATGCTACTGACGATTTTTGATCTGCTCTTTTTATAAAGATAATTCGTAAATAAAATTTTTATTTGATACTTAAAACCTCAGTGCAATGAATAAAAAATGTTCAATCACTAGACAAAAGGTGTTACACATCATATTTTCGTAAACTTCCCCAGCATTATTTGAAACGAATTTGTGATTGATGTATATTGCATAGATATATTCCAAAATTATTTTTGGTGTCGTTTATCACACTATGCCAACAAAGCCTAAGCTATAGTACTCTGAGGAAATGCAATTGGTAAATCAATTATCCCTTAATCTGATCAAGCGGGCACGATTTTTAATATTAATAAGCCCTGGGCGAATCAATTGCTCGGGGCCTGTTATTTATAGAGATGGAAATTATGAGATTCATATTAGATAAATTCAATGAGCTACCCCTAAAATAAGCGTTGGGAGCCAAGGGAGGCCCGTCTGTAAATTGCATTCATGTAAACCAAATTAATTTATTTCTCTTCACAGTGGCTTTATTTAAATCCTATAAAATCAAGCACACGGACATCTGATTAATTTGTTTTGGTAAATTATTTTGCGTTCCACAGTCTTTTATTATTATCACTGGTGCATTTTACGACTTGTTTTTTATGCAACATTATTTGTGCCAATTTTAAACTCGTAAAAATAGATTTGCTTTACTGTTTTATTTAAATTGTGATGGGTGGGTCATTCTGAACAGATGCCTATTCTTATGGTGTTTTCTAAAGCAAAATTGGATCACTACGGTCGCACATCGCAAATATGCTGATGGAATAATAAAAAAAAAAAATTTGCGTATTGTCGGGCGCTCCGGTTAATCTGTAAGGACGTATCGGAATATACTCGAATGTAATATATTTTGGCAGTGGTTTGTAGATATGCACCATCGGAAATTTTTATTGTTTCAATTCCTCCTTTGATATTTTAGCCGTTGTGCGCAACTTCACTCAGAGGGGTTTCTTTGATTATGAGTGGAAACGGGGGAGTAGATCTCACACAAATCTATGGTAATTTTATTTTTCAAGTTGATATTTTTGCCATGTTTCGGTTCACGTCGCTATAGTTACAGCACTGTATTGACGGCTGTCATCGGTGAATAAATGCACTTTGGCCTTTTGGGGCACTCCAGAAGTATGTGTACCAATAGGGAGGTAACTAATTTTGTTCGCCTACTTTGCATCAAGTTGTGCAAAGGGAGTGATTACCACTAAAATTATGGCCTAACCCTAGCCTGGTTCACATACTATGAGTGTACCCACATTGGTCCTGAGAATATGTGCGTCTTTTCTATTCCCTCTTACCCTAACACGCATAAGTGTCGCCCGATTGAACTTCATTTGAAATTTTGGCGACTTTTCTGAGTTGACGTATTTTGTGTCATCACCATCATTTTTTCACCTTGGCTGAGTTCAAAAAAATTATCTAAGTGACTGAAGATTTTGCATTACTTGAATAACGCATGGACATAATTCAGACTGGACAAAACACCATTCACTGGTTCAGACCAAGCCGCAAATTCATCGATTGATCATTACAATTTCTTCGCTTTCACTATTTCGGTTTTGGCTTTCTTGGTCCAACATGAAAACTTTTTTTCTTATTGTTCACTGGTTGATTCATCGCTTTCATATCTTTGTCGTATAAGATTAAATACATTGTCGCCTGTAAGAAGAGAAAGATTGAAGAGGAACCATTTAGATTTTAGAAATTTGAACAGCAGCGCAAAGATATACTACTATGATGGGATCTACATATTAGGAGCATTGTATAGTGACTCGCTGAAGGAGATAGCTTCGAGACGTGTGTTCACTAGGGCTGGGCATTCCGAATCGAATATGAAATTATTCGAATCGGTTCAGAGCGAAATTTCGAATCGCCGCCATCTTGTTTTTTTCCTTTCGCCAATGGTCGAGGTAAATTTCTCAATTTTTTCTATTGAAGCCATATTTTTTCAACGATATTCTGACATATGACTTTTTTCTGTAGTGAGTTATTGATGAAAACGTGTTTTTTATTGTGTGTGAACGCTCAGCAATCTGCCTCTGTTTTCAGTAATTTATGTGTCTGAGGAACCTAATACAATAAGAAGGTTACATACAATTTTATATCTCCCAAGTATTCGAGATTCGATTCGATTCGAAAAAATTATTCGATTCTGAAATCATCAGGTATTCGAAAATGCCCAGCCCTACTGTTCACGCAATTAAAACTTACGTCGACTGATACAAGAGAAAGTCGGTCTGGGACGAAGAATTGATGAGAATTTAGGTAGCATATTTGATACTGCGGAAGTATGTGAACCAAGATGACGGACACCGTAACGCAGTAATGTGTAGCAGCTTAGGGTTAGGCCATAATTTTATTCCAATTTTCTTTTTATTAGTTTTATTACGAGTTCGGGGACAAGCCAAGTTTCTCCCGTAGTATTTGTACCTGAAATTATGGCCTAACCTGGTACTGATACTATGTTCCGGTGTCTGACATCTTGGTTCACATACTTCGGGAGTACCAGTAGTGCTATGGAAAGATACCGTTTTTATACGTATATGCATTCTTAGGCTTGGATGATTATTTTAAATTTTTGCTCAATAATATTGTTTGTTTCACCCGAAGGGAAGAAGACTGTTGCGTCAGAATGCGATGTGTTTTCACGCGGGCTAGATTAGTCACCATGATGTCATAATTGTTTTCTCAAAATTGCTCCTTGCGTTTGTTTGCGCATTTATTGGTATTTTTACTTCGGGATATCTCAAATTAAGCTGTGGTTCACTGACGTTTATGATATCTTAGTTTGATTGTTTAATATTGCCTAGTCCTTAGAATATGTGTCACCTACCCTGCTGCAAGCTTCCATCGCAGTACGACGAAGAAAAGGCCAACTATTCATACTTGACATCATTATTTGTGTCATCCTAGATCTGTCTTGTATTCGATGAAAATATTCATACAAAGGTTGAAGAATCCATCTTGTTATTCCACACATATGAAGAGTAGCGTTATACCCCGAACAACTGAGAACAAACGATTCGTATTTATTCCGATGGAAAGGAGATAGGACGGCTTAATCGTATGGCGAACCAAAGCCTTTCGTCCGGTTGCCAGTCCATGTCGGGTATGGGATTAGTATCCGATTTTTTGTTTCAGATGCAAGGACTTGATGGTGAAAGAAGCTTTAACCGAACAGCGGTTACGTGAACCACCTCACTAGTCACGACGACAAGGAGCATTCGGCGTAATCAGAATTGAGATGGCGAGGTTATTCCAAACTCTAAGCAACTCAAAACATGAGCAACACGCCGAACAACTGTTAGCAAACACAAAAGAAAACGAGTTAAAATAACAATTATAAAATGCCAAATTCTCGTCTTACCTTCTATCTGTACATAGCGGTAGTGGATCATTACATTTTTCATACACCACTCTATTTGCCGACCCATTCACCCACAAAAGACTTGTAGGTGCCGGACAATTATCGTCGTATTTGCATGTGCTTCCAGAAAGGATGTTACGAGACCCATGATGAGACAAAATATCAATGTTATTGATATGAACCTACAAGATAGAAAAAGCAGATATTTTCGTAAAAAATATAATTGGAAACCTCATTCTTGTATTTTAACGTAGCATATATCATAAGTTTAGACATTGAAATATACAAAAACACGGTAAGCTGGGTTCATTTGAATGAAGAGGCGTATTTCTGTATTATGAATTACGGCTTGGACAGAAACATCGGCAACGATTACAATTTAACAATAGAGAACACTTCCATTCATTATTTCATATTAAATAGAATATAATACTTTATTTTCCTCCATATGATGTATAATGATGTGCGCAAACTATAGCTGAAATAGAATTTAATTGATAAGCCGCTCTTTTGACTTTCACTTTAATGAGATGACTGAGCTCAAAGCATATTTGAATTGAATACATTGAGTACGTTAGCTATCGATGTATGATATTTTAACTTCGAAATCGCGTTGACTGATATATGAACGAAGGGTAGTGTGTACCAGGCAGTGGCGTAGCAAGACTCTCGTGCCCCCCCCGCAAAAATATTTCGTGAAAATGACCCTAAAATCTTTCGGACATAAGCTAAAACAACGTTTTTTTTGTTGTCAAAAAGCCTAACATGTCGCTATTAAATAGCAATGGTAACCTAAAATTTGCCGTTTATCTTGGTTACTTTAATTTCTTTCATACGTGCTTCCGCTTCTGCGTTTCTGTGCGCCACTGAGAGGTTTTGCTTTCGACATCATTCTGACAGCCTTCCTAATTTTGCCCGTGCGATCAAACCATATTTACGATCAAACCCCAAGACGCCGAAAATCGACGACTCCCTGGCATTGTTACGTGACAAAACGATTTGAGCAAAACTAACATCAACATTATAAGATGTGCATTACTGGTTTTGCAATACAACTTTTGGTTTTGCGGCTTAAATTTCTAAATTCTAATCGCTTGAGCCTCTTTGAGCTGTGGGCCCTCCCGCGGCCGCGGAGATTGCGGGGTTGGATGCTACGCCACTGGTACCAGGTTAGGGTTGAGCCATAATTTTATTCTGATTTGCTTTTATTTTAGTTCTATTACGAGTTCGGGGACTGTCTGTGTTAGCCAAGTGAATATACCCCCTGCCCATAAGTTTCAGTCCCTTTACACAACTTGCTGTAAAGTAGGCGAACAATATTAGTTACCTCCATATTGGTACACATACTTCTGGAGCGCCTGACTAAGAATAAAAAAAATTGATCTTACAGAAAAATTGGAAGAAAATGAAATATGTTTTCCATTTATATCTTGCATAAAAAATTTCTTCCTTTCTATTTCTGCGAACACGCATAATATTTCCTTTATAAATCCGAATGCAGATCTTGTTTTGTCTTCACTTGCTTCAATGCGAGCTCTGTAATAACGGGAAAATATACTAAGTTATTGGACATGAAGTGTACCTATAGATCGTTTTGCTATAGATTCTCGTTATTAGCCTTGTTGTTGTTGCTAAAATCGCTTTTCTGTGCAACTAATGGACCACGACTCAATTTTCGACACTTGAAGATGGTTGAAGCCGCTAGAACTAACATGGCAAACTACGCCCCGCGGGCCAAATACGACCCATTGGGTAATTCAATCTGGCTCGCCTGATGTTGCCATAACCAAACTGAAAACAAATTTTGATGTTTGAGCTATAAAATGGCTCGAGGTATTTGTTGAGATATAGACTGAATGTAGTTTTGGCACAAAGCTTGTTTTCCATTTTTGCTTGTGTAACACTGTAAATATTGTTCATAAATTGTAACCTTTTACGTCACACTCACATGGCCCGCCAGTCTAGTGAAGCTAAATTTTCGGGCCCTGGTCAAAAAATCTTTCCACCCCTGCGCTGGAAGAATATTTTTTTTAATTTCTCCCAATCTAATGGGCCCCGATTTTACCCAAAATTGTGCTATTGAATTTTTATCAAAGGGGGACATTTTTTTAATTTTGTCACGTGGGTCGTTTCAGTGAGGTCAGTGCTCAGTTAAACCGATAAGTCCGCACCAGTATTATTGCGTATCTTTTGTGTCCGTATTTATGAGCATTGCCATCTTGTAAAACTTAATGATCGATTGGCAGAATACGCTTGGAGTAAATTGGGGCTGAATCATAACATAGCAAATTTGACTCCTTATAAATGGATGGTAAAATGACAATATTCTGTTTCTCACCTTAACTTTTCGTTTCTTATACATTTTGAGTTTGCATAAGTTCCTACCTGCTCATCATCACATAATGTAGTGGATTCCTGCAAATTTAAAAATTGAAGAAAAACTTCTTTTGGTCAAATTTCAAATGATAGGTTCTTGCTCTAAGTCAACAGAAAGCTGGAACGAAACGCAAGATCGTCACCTAGCTTCATTAAAGAAACATCGGGTTCTTATGGAAAGTTCAAGATAGTATTTGAAGTGATTCGACAAAGCGTTGAATTATATTAGTATGCTTTAACATTATTGATGTTTCAATGTTTAACGGTCATTATATTGACTTCCCTTCACCGCGCGGGTCATGGGTATCGTCAACAACAAGTAAGTGATTAGCTATTTCAAAGTTCCGCCTTGACTAGTGACAAAATTAAGAACAACGATTGGCTAAATGAAATGATGTACGTTGTACATATGTATGTATATATGTATGAATGCTGGATATTAGTATATATGCAACGCCGGGTTGGTGGGCCTACTATAAAAATTATTATGCTTTCTTCTGTTATTGTTGGGCGCACGTTCTTGATTACGCGATTTGTAGTTGTGTGATTTTGTTTACGACAATACGTTCGAGTCTCGGTTTTTGTTAGAGTAACGTGTGTTTTCTGTCCTTGCTTGCACATCACTAGACAGGAGAGTTTGGTTATCTAATAACTAGATTGATTTTTATGTTATGACATTAAATACAAACCAGATCTCTTTCCACTAAAATACTCAACGACTCTTCGTTATCACATTCTCCCAACAATCTCTTTGTAACTTTGGTATTTCCTCCTAAAATTTTTCTTTTTTCAAATTCATTAGTTAGAGTGCGGTGTGGTATCCCGTCATTTACTTCCTTATTAACCTTGAAGACAAGATAGACGATACAGTAAATAGAACGTCAAATGGAAAGAAGTAGAAAGGAACTAGGTGGCATTGGGGTCCTGAACGAATTAAAGGGGAAAAAAACGAAACACATAAGTTTAACCGTTTTAACCTTCTTTAAAATACAAGGTGTGCGTCCTAGAACTGGATGTTCTATATAGCCAGTGTATGATACAATTGAAGTTTCGATTCCATCTTGGCTATGAAACTCATCGGGAGAATCAGGACTGAAGAGTCGCTCAATTTCCTCACAATTCAGCATGTGTAGAACCGAGCCTTGTTGGTCTTCCATCAAAGTCAGAGTCTTTAATTTTGGTCTGAACATATTAGTGCAAAATATTTATAGTGTGACAAAATTTAACTTTTGGATATTAGCAAAAAATATTTTACCCTAAATTGCCGACAGCTTTTTCTTGCTCTGGTGCTTCTTCATCTAACGTTGGGATGAACTTTTCTGTAAAAAGTAGAACAAAAGTTCGAGTTTTCAAAATACAGATATTTAAGGTTTGAACTATTTGGTGGACGAATGGAGACATTAAATTCCTCTCATGGTGTGAATCAATCAGTCTTACAAGTTTCAAGCCTTGTTCTGGGTATATTGATATCAAACTTCTAAATTAAATGTTTTTGTCTATGTGACGGGACTTGAATTTGCCATTTTATTTTTGTTTTATTTGTTTATATTATCTCAGAGTCGTGTACACTGTACAGGTTTATGGTGTCACGGTCATGGTTTCGACTTATGTGCTTTCCACCGGAGCATATCCAAATGACTCCGAGCACCTCTGTCCACGTGACCCAGTTTAGAATCGCACCATCTTGTGTTCTCGTTGCTCTCTACTTTACCTGTTTATTCCGTGCATTTCTGCTGTATATTAAAGTTCCGTACACACCTCATCAGGCTAGCGAACCTGCTGCGTGGCTTTGCAGCACACGGGCTTTTTGACTATATAACTGACACAACGAGGACCCTTACAGAAAACCGTTACAATGCACCTATATATCTTAATATTATCGTTTACTTCAAGGGTGTCAAACTCGCGGCCCGCGGGGCGCATGCGGCCCAGAGAACTTCCAATGTGGTCCTTGAACGATTCACAATAATTGTAATTATTTTTTTTTTAGTGAAATTGATTATTCACACAGAAAACGACAATTTACTCAAAGTAGTTTTGGAGAATTATTTTTTTTTGTTTTCAATTTGACCCAATTACGATTACACCTCAAGATAGCAAAAGAATACTTGAAAAAACACTTCAGGGATTAAATGAAACGCAAAGTGTACATGAAAAAGGTGGCATTTTTGAACAAAAATGGGAATTACAATAGTTCAGCATTTTTCAAAATTCTGAAGCACATTATTTAATTTGTCACCTTTCCATCGGTACTTAGGGTTGGTTCGGATACCTATAATTTTTACTATCCGGATAACGGATATATCCGGGTATTCCATATTTTAACTACCCGGTTAACCGGATAGTTACTGCTAATTTTAGAGAACCGATTTCACAATATTTTTGCGGTGAATTGACCAAAAACCACCTCACAGTTCTATTGTGAATAGCTCAAATTTGATAAGATCGAATTTTGGAATGCTACACAGATTACATGGAATCCGAAGTATTGTAAAATGAGTTTTCAAAATTCCAACTGGTTTATTCTGATTTTTTGTAATAAATACAGTAAATTGCAATAATAGTAAAATGCAAAAAATTAATATGTAAATGGCATTTCAATTTAGGAAAATAACAAAACTTCATTCGTTTGTTTAATTGCATCACAATGTATGTCACAAACTACACCTATCTAAAAATATTCTTTAATTATACATTATCAAAGCATATCAAAAAGTATTTGCGGCCCTTTGCACAATTCCCAAAATGCAATGCGGCCCTCGAAACCCCACGAGTTTGACACCCCTGGTTTACTTGACAGTTCTATTACGAAATGGGTTCATTACTGAAGACAATATTTCTATTCTGACCTTTGTCGGTTTCCAGGCTGAAGACTTTCCCGTTCACAATAGCTCTGGTACTATTTTTCGGAGTTGCATTTTTACATTCTTCAGTTTGTGACTTATTTCCCGCACAATCAAATCCAAACTTTTCAAATTCCAGTGTAACGTCATTTTCAAAATACAAATCAAGAGATGACCGTTGACATGGTGATCCATTCAATGACAACTGCGATTCAACCATACAGTATGCCACGAAAGCACAGGCTATGAGAATAGCTTCTCGTGCTCGTAGTGATCTCATTTCCTTATTTGCTTCAACTTATTTTGTTCTTAAGTGACTTTACTACTCAAAACGCGCTTTAATGTAAAATATAGAAATATACTGGCATTCAACTAGAAAAATGACCCGGTATAGCCTAGGCTTAACTATCGTTAGAATAGGCTACTTAAGAATATTCACCAATCTTTTTCCTTTCTGGTTAGTCGAATCTCAGTGTTTCCACTGATTTTACTGGAAACTAAATTTACTGGAATATAAAGATGATGCGACTGAAACCTCTATGGAGCTGACATAAAACATAACAGGCTAGCTTGGATCAAGGGCTTCACATTTTAGTATGTATTGTATACTCGACATTGCTTTATATTTACATTTTAAAGTTTAGAAACTGAAATTATTCGTAGACAACAACGGTGTCCGCCTCTGCCTTTGTGAAAAACTAAATAATAATGCCTACGTCAAGATTATTTTCAATTACAAACCTCAAAACTAGCCATTTATGCCAATACTTTGAATTCAGTACGTGTAGCGAAGCCTACTGATGCATGAGCTGTCAGGCAACACTACTCTAATTCTTACTAACACGGAGACTTCAGTTGCCCTCAGGGTACAAAAACCCTTTGGCCTATTCTTCGTCAAAGGGTTCAATTTCAATAAATATTTGGCGATCAAGTTTGGTTCAGGTGTATTCTTAATAACAGAACTTATTTATTTTACAGTAACTTCTAATTTAAACGAAACAGAAGCAGAAATTACAAAGTTTATATTTCAAAGTGTTACAAGCCATATGTACGCGTAAACATGGTATGTTATGTCAGAAAGTATCCCGCCACCAATATTTCAAAACATGTCTAAATATGTTTTTCTGGTTTTAGACACTAAGTGTACATATGGATTGATTTGCTGAACGGTTTATCACTGTTTCATCATACCGGTACCATACCGTCTTGTCTGTATATTTGAGCATGCGCTTAAATTTGACTTAATTAAATATCTGGCTTCTTTCAGTAATCCCGTTAATCCTTGTTATATCGCAGGTACACAATTGAATCTGATGGATTACACCTTTTAATTAGAAATACGACTTATAAACAAAGCATTTTTTATCTATTTATATTGAAACCATATATTATACAGGGGTGGGCAAGGCTTTCAGACCGAGGGTCAAAAATTTTATCCAATCAGACTGGCGAGCCATGTAGCCAAGTCTGACGTAAAAAGTTACATTTATTAACAGAATTTTATTTACAGTCTTACAAAAAGAAATCTGGAAAATACCAAGCCTGGTACTAAAACCAAATTTAAGCGCAATCTCAATAAATTCTTTGTGCTATTTTTACCTTAAACATCGTAATTTGGTTTTAGTTTGGTTGTGGCAATTGTCAACCTAAAATGCAACTTACACAGACTAGGATCATGATCTAATAATGCACAGATTCCAATAACAACAACTATGTAGTGCATGAAAAATTAATTAGAGGCAGAAATTTATGCCAGCATCAGGTGGACCAGATTGAAACACCCAGCGGGCCGGATTTTGCCCGTGTCAGTATCATAACGTCCAGGATGAAAAGTACCAAATTTTTATAACTTTGTTTATTGCAGAAAAATTCAGATGCACTGGATATTACTGTACGCAGTATTTCGTTATTCTGAAGTAATTTGGTTGAAGTAAAATATTTTGTCAAAACGACATTTAAAATTAGATATACCACTCGTTCATCGATATTGATAACTCAATGAAGGTCCGTGTTCATTCATTTTCAAGTTCTGGATAGTTTCGTTTGTAATAATATTAAAAATAACACTGTAAGTTATTACAAAATTTCAAAACAAATCATGCGAAATTTATATAGCTTGATTTAATTTCAGATGATTAATAAAAAACAAAAATGTATTGTTTTTTGTATGCATGAATCATTTCAGTCTGCTATGAAATCTCTATCTTATTTAGTCAGATATATGGTAAAAACTGAGACAGTTAGTTTCAAGCTTAGAGATTTATCTTCAGCGTTAGGTGCGCCAATGAGTGCTTTGAATTCTTTTTTCAGCCTTACGAATGGTTGTTCATGAGATTCATAATTTGAAAAGTGTTGTCGAAAGATAGGAGTACGGTTCATATATTCCTCAAAGTCGTCGAAATTGAAATATACATCAAAAAATACATCCTGAGGTTTTTCCTTATTTATGCCGGTAATTTTTTGACAGATTCGTTCATATCTTAAATCCCACGCTTCATATGATGGGTGACCGGTGTTTTTTAAATGATTCACAAGCGGGTTTAAAATTATTTCTTTCAAAAGAGGGAATCCAGAAGTACTTGACACAATTTTGTTGTCTACTACTTGTTCTATCACCATTTCTGAGTAATATGCAGCAAAAAGTGCGGCAAGGCCGTGATTTTTAAGAACACGTTTACATTCTCGTACAAACTTATCCACATTCATATAATGGATTGCACTTTTACAAATGATCAGATCCACAGAATTATCTTTTGCCGGCATCTCCGATTCAGTCGCTACATAATAGGACATAGTTTCTTTCATATCTGGGGGCCGAGCACTTTGAGCCATCTTTATTTGTTCCTCACTAATATCAAATCCAATCATCGCTTTGAAATACGGTAAAAAATGCGTTGCTGCACTTCCCGCTCCGCACCCAGCATCAACAAACAATTCAAATTTTCCATTTTCTTCCATTTCTGGATTCAACTCTTCTAGCTTTTTAATTACACCTTTAGCAAAATGTGGGGGGTACTTGGTACCATTTTTCGCATATATTTCGGCTGAATTTTTTCCCATGAAATCCATATTGTAAAAAATGAACTCATCTAGCTAGAGAAATAAATAAAAAGGATATTGTAAATGTAATTTTTAATATTTAAAAATATTTCATTACCGGTGGTCAGAAAATACCCTTTACTGCGAATGGAATGGGTGTTTAGGTTGCACGGTCTGACAATAAGTCGGAATCGAATCTAAGTGATGTAGTCTCTGCATAATTTAGTAAGGAATACGACGCAATTTTCTAACTAATTTACGAGAAGTCATTGAAATCGTGTTTGTTCTTCTAGAACAGCGTCGTCCAACCCGTGGGCCACAGGTGGCCCCCTGAAGGTATCCGAGTGGCCCACGCGGTTTTATTCGAATCACAATGCTATTCACAAATCTGGACCATTATTGAAACCACTAATAAAAAAATTATTCTTGGTCATTCAATCGCTCGAGAAGTACCACCAAGCTATCGAAAGCTTATTTCTTATTTATGTTCCTTTGTGAGCGTTATTGCTGGAGAAAGATGCCCTGTATTTCAAGCTTACCTTTTTTTTCTGTGAAGCTAGAAGAGGCAGTTTTCATGATCCTAATATTTGACAGCGGTTCTTTGTACGAGCAAGTTTTTTTGCGGATGAACCATGTCAAATCTCCCGCGAGATCACTAATTTCTGATAGTCATATGAAAAATTCGGTATGCATGACTGCATCGTCCATCGCACCAAATATTGACAAATTTACTGGATTAAAGCGGTGTCACACTTGACATTAAAATATATATGTGTGGTAAAAACTTTTGACTTGACTGTATCTTCGTATTTTAATTGTTTTTATAATTTTGGTGTGATGGTTTTGTTTGTTTTTTCATTAATCAGTAGTCGGTGTAGTGAAAGCTAGAATATAAAAACCATGTCAAGTGGCCCGCTCAATCATTCGTAAACTAAATGTGGCCCTTTGGCCAAAAAGGTTGGACAACCCTGTTCTAGAAAAACTGCACTCGTAGGATAAGATCTTTATATTTTTCCCGGTGGAGGGAAAAGCCGATTTATTCATATCCAAAATCCTTGAATACACAGGGTCAAAATTTCAGACAATAATTTTGCTTGCTGCCTCTTTGCTTGTTCTGTACGTGTTACAGCTGGAACTATTTATCCGACTATTTCCAATTCAAAAACATCAATATACCTTCGCGCTCATATCCTACAAAATGGTACATAATAAAAAATTATTTTTTGAATATTTCCCAGTGGCTTCATAGTTTTGTGTATTTTAACATTACAAACGATCTTCATAACAGCGGACACGCCAGCGTTCATTTGTAGCTTTATTGACTTGGCCTGTTTCGTGCAAATATCTTATATATATAATGAGAAATGATTAAAAAGTCATCAAAGTCGCTGTTGCAATATTCAAACAGCATGAAACGATTGATATATTTCGATTCCAAAATCAAACTTGCTCTTATTCAGTCACAATGTCACTGAATTCTGACCAAGTTCTCGCTGAAATTTTCACAAATTTATAAACTTTAATTACGCGTTAGCAATTAGCAAAGGCACGTAGTGTTGGGGAATTTTAGTAGTATTCTATCAATTCAAAATTTTAACCTTATGTTAACCGACTTCACTTCAAAAAACTGGATGCGTTCTATAGCGCGACTATAAATCTAACCTGAAAGTACGCCTTGAACGCTCTATAAAAGTTATTTTCGCTTCAACATATCTTAAACTTTAACCATTTATGTTAATGGCAAAGGCAAGCACGTACTGGTACTGCTTTCCATTTACTATAAATCGGTCCACATTAGTTACCCTGGGGCTTCTGGTTGCGCACATCCAAGTTTTGCGAGATGACAGTTGCCGGCAACTGAAGCAATTGGCGATTGGACGGTTCGTTTTGTACAGTCAACGTCACGCGGTTTCAGTTAGTAGCGTAAAGGCACGTCCAGTTATACAGCGGGAGCCATTCGTAAAACTGTATTGACCAGTGTGGTCCAAACCCAGGCCGCAGCTTGATTATCTGTGGCCTGCGTCGCATTTGCTGGAGGGTAATCAAAAATTCGCATTTGGTGTTGTTGCGTCATAAAAGCGAAATTGACTAGTGTTATGGTTAGATGAGGCAACTAGAGAAGTTAAATAATGTGCTTGTCAGTCTAAATTGTTAACTGGCTTTCTATCTTTTTGGTCGGAAATATATGCTAACAATATAGGCATCATAAAGAACTAAAAATCGAATGCGAATCTATTAGCCTAGGTTGGCTAACTGAATATTAATGCTATGGCCTACCAATATAATTTATGGCGGGTATTTATTTGCAACCAGCCTAGACAGTATTACAAAAAATGCTGCCTATATATCACCCTCCTGTACCTCGCATTTGGTAATCAATCAATCTGCAGTTATTTTGTAAACATGAGTTTGAAAAAAAATTTTGGTGGTTTTTGCATGTTTTAGTTTGATGAATTAAAAATACTTATCAATGCGTTTGCACTGTCTACAGGGTGGACAAAAATTTAGCCTCCGCTATAGTATAGAGCAGAGCTACTCAACTGGCAGACCTCGATCCGAATCCAGACCTTTCGAGTATTTATTCGGACCGCACCTAATTCTTTATTTTGGATCATTAGACCCACTTTTGAAGTTTCCTTCTATGAAATGACTTTTATAGATTGAATATATAAAAAAGAACTATAACGTCATAATAAACAATCTTGATTAACTAATTATCATTAACCTTCCAAGGAAGTGCGCGTTTAAAGGGTTCCAAAATATGATTTCTGGAAAGACCGGACCCAAATAATTTTGAAGTTTTGTATGCAGATCTTCGGTAAAAATAGTTGAGTAGCCCTGGACTATAGAGTAAATTGGCTAGGTTTCTGAGATTATTTTTTTTTTACTACAGCTATATATCAGAGTGTTGAAAAAGTTACGCAAAATTAAGGTGAAATCCGTCAAATTCGTTCGTTTCGTCATGGCAACGTTAAAAAAGTAACTGTTAAAAATGGCAGTCCTGAAATGTTTAAATGGCAGTTTTCCGTAATTTAATACTGTTGAAAGGTGTTAGTCGTTAAATGTTTTAAGTAGCATTTCTTCTTAATTTCTGTTGATTTGGCGTTATTTTTTAACACCCTGTATTTGTGATTTTTCACGGCCTGCAAGTGATTTCTTGACAGCCCACTTACAACTAATCAGAAAATATTAAAAGGTTATTCATGACCATGATTTTAAAACACGAATAAATTCTTGAATGTTAAAAAAAATTCATGAATAGTAAGTAATAAAAAACGTGGAGCCTCAATTCATAAATAGCATGATGTAGTCACATTTTTGTCTAGCACGTCACGATTTGTAAATAATGCTTCAAACGTTAGCATGCGCTATTTATTCGGTACTCCCGAAGTATGTGAACCAAGATGGCGGACACCGGGACGTAGTATGTGTACCAGGTTAGGGTCAGGCCATAAGTCCAGGTACAAATGCTATGAGATTCACTTGGCTAGTCCCCGAACTCGTAATAGAACTGAAATAAGAAAATTAGAATAAAATAATGGCATAAACTACGTTACGGTGTCCGCCGTCTTGATTGACATACTCCGGGACTACCATTTATTCTTATACGTGTTCAATAAATCTATTCTATTTCATCTTGAAATTATCAATACAGTCACGAAACAATAAAAATGTCACATTATATATATCGATTACGAGTCTGGTAAGCGCTTTTGATAAATGATATTGATAAATAGGATCAAAGAGTTTTCGACTTATAACCATCCTTTGTCAAGTTCTACATAGTTATCGTATATGGAAACTTCTCTTTGTACTTTTTAACGTTGCATCCAATAGAAATTAACCAAGCTTTCAGTTCTTCACACTTGCTTTTTGCGTGCGACTTGCCACCCTCATATAATCTCAAAGTGACGATTCGAAATATCCCACCATTTTGTGCCTTTTCGCGCAGCGCAGATTTTGACATTCTTGTGTTTTTCTTCCACTGAGTATCTTCTAAAATTTTGTAGTGTAAATTGTCGCCTCTCTTTGTTTGTCAAATGGAGCTTATAATGAAATTCCCAATACTCTCCTTTTGATTTTGAAGGAATAAAATTTTCTGGAGCGTACGATAATGGTTGCTCGATTTTTTCTCGTATTGGTACAAAATTCATTTTTCTTGCTGCCTTTGAAAAATTGCTGGCGGCCTGCAAAAGTAATATTAGATACAAAATTGGTACGGTTTCACACTCCTTTGATTAAAGATATTGTTATATTATCAATGTTTATTTTTCCTTTCTGCTTAATATCCACGCTACAGAAATTTAGATATATATCTGCCGAATACATATACATTCGCCAAGTTTGCAAAATTATCAAAAACTGGTTTGGTATATTTAAAAAATAGAATCATCTTATCTAAAACATATTCCAAATAAAATTTATAGTAATCGTTTTTTCTTTGAATGAATCATTACTTCCTCAACAACCAACAGGAGGCTTGATATTAGTTACGTACTTGAGAGCATCGTTGAAGTCTCCCGTCACCCATTTACTGCACATCAATTGTTGATAGTTCTCAGCGGTTTTCGGCAGTTCGATTAAGATGGGATGCGCCTTTTCGTCCTCACAAAGTTTTGCAAATTTTTCTTCGTTCGCTTTCTTTACGGTAACATGTATTTCATACATGATGACTGTTGATCGAACAACTGAAAAATGATAACCCAACACACGAAAATGAACCTTTTATATTGAATTTAGGGTGAAAGAAACAATATCTGATGCAACAATAACTATGATGCAACAATATCTGTTTACCGGTAATGAAATTGGTAATAAACTAGACGAGTGCGAAACGAAACAGTCTGACAGAACTTCAAAGGCTGTGCAATATTGGTGCAATCTGGTTCGAGAGAATCGATATGAAAACGAGAGAATTTACGTCTCAATTGTTGTAAACGTCATTTCATTCAGTACTTAAATGACGCACCGTGCTAAGCGCGAGGAATTCATATTCCGAATTCTGATTCCATGATCATAGCCGCTACGTCGTGTGTTAATAATAGACCTTGGTCATATGAAAACCATTCTATACGCGGAAATGAATTATAAGAAATGAACACAACTATTTAGCATTACGCCTTATCGCTAATCTGGTCACTGGAATAAATTTTCATTTTTTGTAGTTTCAGATAGAGTCAGTGCCATGTATTTTCTGCTGGCAAATCAGTTTCTCTATTTCTTCTTACCTTCGATAATGTGAATGGAAGTTAATTTTCAGAGAAACCGTATTTGGAGAGCGGAAGCTGAAATTGAATTGTTAGTATTGTAAAAACTGACGAGGGGCTATTTTCGCTGAATAAATTGTTGTCTACAGAAACAAAAGCAAACGCTAGTCAGTTATGACTTCGTGCTTCCATCCACTAATGAAATCCATATTTAGCTGAAATAAATAATTATAACCCTACCTAAGGATCTGAAATCCTTTCAGAGTATGGATAAATAGATTTCCACAAAATTGTGAATATATTTGGTGAAGATTCAATAACGAGGTTTATATATAGTCTACGCATACGTCAATAGCATAAATAATATGAGCGATGCCAAGTGACATAAAATCTAAAGCAGGGGTGTGTAGCATTCAATACATGAGGACCACATAGAAATAATTGGGAGAAATCGCGGGTCGCAACTTTAGGCTTTATAGTAGTTGCAGGCCCAAGAATTTTGGTTATTGATCTTGTGACATGCGCTGTTCGTATGGCACAAGCTCGCTGTTAGGGCATCGTAACGTCATAGGCATGGCAAATATATTGGACCCAGGTAGATGCTTTTCAACGCGAAGGATTGGAATTACTCGCACATACCAGATTGAGCTAAATTAAAAACTTGTTTCGCGAGCCGCACAACATTCAAAATTGGTACTTCTCCGCGGGTTAGCTCAATTTTTCCCTGTGGGTCGTAGGTTTCTCTGATCTAAAGTGTGATTAGCGTTCTTCGTAAAACGTGCGTACACTTCTCAATCTGAAATTGATTTCGCACCTTTACCAGAGTCCCGCTTTAGTTTTGTATCATATGTTGTGTTCACGGTTCGATGGTCATTAATGACATGACTGACTTAAGCCTACGCGATATAAATGCGCAAGTTTTCATGGCAAGCTGAGCAGAAGGACTATTACGGAGTGGCTGGTGCTTGTTTTAATCTATTATTATTCGCTGTTTAATTAAGTTGTATTAGTTACCTCCGTGCATACTGAATTGTAGCAGTAACAGCCTCTTATTTTTGCGCGCAAATATCGTGTGTTGCTTTGGGGAAAGCTTAGCAAGTTAAGGAACTTGCAGATAAAGGCGAGACACTATACCAGGGGTCGGGAACGTTTTTGGTCAAGAGAGCCCTAAAATATACATATTTTCAATTGCATTTGCGTGCGAGCCATATAACATTTCTTCACTTAATCAGGCCTGAAACGTTTACTCAAAAGTCAACACATTCCATGTCAATATACGTTTAATGTGACTTCTGATGCTGCATGTTGTCGCTGCGGGCCTTGAACGGTTGCTCACTTGCAGCCCAAGTTGAAATCTACGATACTCATCACCCTTTTTCGTTTAGGCATCTCCGTAGTATTTTAAAACTCTATCGCTTTGTGATGTCACAATATATGTTCCAGAATCCTCATGTTTTGTCACAATACCTGTCTGGTAATTCTCTTACATAACATAGACATGCGCTGGGCCCGCGTTGTCAAACGTATTGGGAATTTGTTGCCAAATTTGGCCATGAAATATGTTGAAGTCTAGTAACAATAGTAAGCTTAATCTTAGAATAATAGATTTTTCTGGGAGCCATATGCCGTCACCAAAAGAGCCATATATGGCTCGCGAGCCATGGGTTCCCGACCCCTGCACTATACCATGCAAAGTAAGCAGACATCGGGAATGTCACAACTTCGACAGCATATATGATACCAAAGAAGGCAAAGATTAAATTACAATTTTGATTCACGCATTATATTTATTATTTGCTCTATGAATTACAATCAAACTAAAGCAGTCAGAGCAACGTATGAGTAACAGACAGGGCTCACTTGCCGTTTATACCCTTCAGCGCCTTGTTTCGTGAAGGTTTGAGGATCTTTTGAAAACTTTAAAAATTGCCAAGAATATATATATCGGAACGGTGAATCAACCATTTGTTTAAAATTGTGTCCGCTACTCATTTCATTTTTCGACAAAATAACACTAATAGCATTCGTCGGTCTATTTAGGAATGAATACACATCGTCGCATGTTGGTTACAGTAATATCAGATTAGTAGGTATTCGTCGTCAACAGCCAGGTAATGGACAAGCTCGTTCTCTATAATTCTGGAAATCCGAATTGCAAAAGTGTGGCGCGACATCCTACAATGTAAAAAATAGTTGTATCTTTACTATATAGATTTCAATAAACAATTTTTAAATATAAAACTACTTACTCGTCCACGACTGTTGCAATATCGCAAACGAGATTGGAAACCTTTACACCGGTCTAAACTGGATAGAGCAAGACGACATAACGACCACGGTTGCCAGTTTCCCCAGGAAAATGTTTCTTCATCAGCTGGATGAGTATATATAATTTATAGAAATTTTAAAATTCCGGTTGCAATTTTACACGCTCCGTTTATTTATACTACATTCGCCGTAGGAAATCTCGCCGCAGGGAATTTCGCTGAAATGGAAAAATCGCAAGAGCATATGGCTGTAAAACAAGTATTTGTGAATAAAATAGTTAGGTTTATATAGGATTAGGGTATGCTGTTAAATAACGAATCTTTTTTTGAATACGGCGAAATTTCCTGCGGCGAATTTTCCGGACACGGTTCAGCGCAGTTCATTTGGACCATATTCAAAGATTAGTTTAGTGAAATTTTTGTGAACAATTGTATAAAAACAGAAATTCGAAGGTTAAATATTTTTTTGGACACGTCCGTGTACATAACGATCGTTTCAATATTATGTTGTTGTTCTTGTTAGTATTGTTATTCTCTTTCGTCATGATGAAATCGCTTTTCTCTTCGAATACTGGACCAATTGCTTTGAAATTTTCAGTGGTTGAAGATTGATTTTTTTGCCAGAAGGCTATTATTATTATTTTACTTATTTCAAAAGTTTTTGTGGACTTCAAAAAATTCGTACTCGAACTCGTAACAGTACTCGAACTCGTAATAGAACTTAAATAACGAAATTTGGAATAAAATTACGGCCTAACCCTCAACCTGGTTCACAAACTACGGGAGTACCTTGCTCTCTTGTTGCTACTTGTCCACTATCAATGCACTTCATTTTATTGCATTCTTCCAGTCAGAGGTTTATATATAGTCTACGCATACGTCAATAGCATAAATAATATGAGCGATGCCAAGTGACATAAAATCTAAAGCAGGGGTGTGCAGCATTCAATACAGGAGGACCACATAGAAATAATTGGGAGAAATCGCGGGTCGCAACTTTAGGCTTTATAGTAGTTGCAGGCCCAAGAATTTTGGTTATTGATCTTGTGACATGCGCTGTTCATATGGCACAAGCTATCTGTTAGGGCATCGTAACGTCATAGGCATGGCAAATATATTGGACCCAGGTAGATGCTTTTCAACGCGAAGGGATTGGAATTACTCGCACATACCAGATTGAGCTAAATTAAAAACTTGTTTCGCGAGCCGCACAACATTCAAAATTGGTACTTCTCCGCGGGTTAGCTCAATTTTTCCCTGTGGGTCGTAGGTTTCTCTGATCTAAAGTGTGATTAGCGTTCTTCGTAAAACGTGCGTACACTTCTCAATCTGAAATTGATTTCGCACCTTTACCAGAGTCCCGCTTTAGTTTTGTATCATATGTTGTGTTCACGGTTCAATGGTCATTAATGACATGACTGACTTAAGCCTACGCGATATAAATGCGCAAGTTTTCATGGCAAGCTGAGCAGAAGGACTATTACGGAGTGGCTGGTGCTTGTTTTAATCTATTATTATTCGCTGTTTAATTAAGTTGTATTAGTTACCTCCGTGCATACTGAATTGTAGCAGTAACAGCCTCTTATTTTTGCGCAAAAATATCGTGTGTTGCTTTGGGGAAAGCTTAGCAAGTTAAGGAACTTGCAGATAAAGGCGAGACACTATACCAGGGGTCGGGAACGTTTTTGGTCAAGAGAGCCCTAAAATATACATATTTTCAATTGCATTTGCGTGCGAGCCATATAACATTTCTTCACTTAATCAGGCCTGAAACGTTTACTCAAAAGTCAACACATTCCATGTCAATATACGTTTAATGTGACTTCTGATGCTGCATGTTGTCGCTGCGGGCCTTGAACGGTTGCTCACTTGCAGCCCAAGTTGAAATCTACGATACTCATCACCCTTTTTCGTTTAGGCATCTCCGTAGTATTTTAAAACTCTATCGCTTTGTGATGTCACAATATATGTTCCAGAATCCTCATGTTTTGTCACAATACCTGTCTGGTAATTCTCTTACATAACATAGACATGCGCTGGGCCCGCGTTGTCAAACGTATTGGGAATTTGTTGCCAAATTTGGCCATAAAATGTTGAAGTCTAGCAACAATAGTAAGCTTAATCTTAGAATAAGATTTTTCTGGGAGCCATATGCCGTCACCAAAAGAGCCATATATGGCTCGCGAGCCATGGGTTCCCGACCCCTGCACTATACCATGCAAAGTAAGCAGACATCGGGAATGTCACAACTTCGACAGCATATATGATACCAAAGAAGGCAAAGATTAAATTACAATTTTGATTCACGCATTATATTTATTATTTGCTCTATGAATTACAATCAAACTAAAGCAGTCAGAGCAACGTATGAGTAACAGACAGGGCTCACTTGCCGTTTATACCCTTCAGCGCCTTGTTTCGTGAAGGTTTGAGGATCTTTTGAAAACTTTAAAAATTGCCAAGAATATATATATATCGGAACGGTGAATCAACCATTTGTTTAAAATTGTGTCCGCTACTCATTTCATTTTTCGACAAAATAACACTAATAGCATTCGTCGGTCTATTTAGGAATGAATACACATCGTCGCATGTTGGTTACAGTAATATCAGATTAGTAGGTATTCGTCGTCAACAGCCAGGTAATGGACAAGCTCGTTCTCTATAATTCTGGAAATCCGAATTGCAAAAGTGTGGCGCGACATCCTACAATGTAAAAAATAGTTGTATCTTTACTATATAGATTTCAATAAACAATTTTTAAATATAAAACTACTTACTCGTCCACGACTGTTGCAATATCGCAAACGAGATTGGAAACCTTTACACCGGTCTAAACTGGATAGAGCAAGACGACATAACGACCACGGTTGCCAGTTTCCCCAGGAAAATGTTTCTTCATCAGCTGGATGAGTATATATAATTTATAGAAATTTTAAAATTCCGGTTGCAATTTTACACGCTCCGTTTATTTATACTACATTCGCCGTAGGAAATCTCGCCGCAGGGAATTTCGCTGAAACGGAAAAATCGCAAGAGCATATGGCTGTAAAACAAGTATTTGTGAATAAAATAGTTAGGTTTATATAGGATTAGGGTATGCTGTTAAATAACGAATCTTTTTTGAATACGGCGAAATTTCCTGCGGCGAATTTTCCGGACACGGTTCAGCGCAGTTCATTTGGACCATATTCAAAGATTAGTTTAGTGAAATTTTTGTGAACAATTGTATAAAAACAGAAATTCGAAGGTTAAATATTTTTTTGGACACGTCCGTGTACATAACGATCGTTTCAATATTATGTTGTTGTTCTTGTTAGTATTGTTATTCTCTTTCGTCATGATGAAATCGCTTTTCTCTTCGAATACTGGACCAATTGCTTTGAAATTTTCAGTGGTTGAAGATTGATTTTTTTGCCAGAAGGCTATTATTATTATTTTACTTATTTCAAAAGTTTTTGTGGACTTCAAAAAATTCGTACTCGAACTCGTAACAGTACTCGAACTCGTAATAGAACTTAAATAACGAAATTTGGAATAAAATTACGGCCTAACCCTCAACCTGGTTCACAAACTACGGGAGTACCTTGCTCTCTTGTTGCTACTTGTCCACTATCAATGCACTTCATTTTATTGCATTCTTCCAGTCTGAAGCTGTCACCAGACCCACAGTTGGCATCGGATACGAATCGCTTTTCTCTGTTTTGGCAATTTCGAGACTTAATCTCTGTACCACCATCGCACGAAGCTGTACATTCTGAAATTACTTCCCACTCACCCCAGGAATATTCTGAAATATAAGTGCATTGTTGCCGTATAGCAATCAGAGAAATAACAATATGACTGAATTTACAGCACAAAAATGTTCTCAAAATTTCCCTTTTAACTATATATTCAAGAATGGACTGAAGTCGCATAAAATTCATCGGCAGTTTCGCACTCGGAAATTTTAGAGTTTGAAAAGTCAAATTGTTTTGAAAGTTGAAACTGATGTCTAGAGCTAGGATTTGAGTCCAAATTGAAGTCGCTCCGGAGTCAGCGCCTATTTTCGAATTTTTGGGAGTTACATTCAACTGTTTTCAGATAAACATGCTACTGCATCTTGCAATTTCGCTTCAATTTACCTGGTGATATTCGTACACAGGATTGTAGACGACAAATTCCTCTTCTAGTTGCAGGTTCTTGGCCACAAAGTGTATTATCTACAATTCTGTCATTGTCATCCAAGCAGTCTCTTTCTGATCTTCGTATTCCAATTCCACATGTTACACTACATTGATCTCTCCAAGAACCCCAACGGTAGGAAATTGCTGGATGGAAACATAATTAAGTGAACGCAGGATTCAAGCTAGTTAAAATCATATACAGTATAGCTGTCGTGGTTATTATTGGTCGCGATGCCTCCATATGGATCGTTTTGGTAAATTGTTATGCTTGTTGGGCGACTATTTGGTGCAGAAAAAACACCTTCTCCGTAACTAATGATCTAAAGGAATTTCCGTCCTCAAGGTTGTCTGAAGTCTGTTACTTTTATTTTTTCCTCGAATTTCCTCTGGGTCTTTCGGACCCTATATTTTCCCAAAAAGTTTGCGGGCTGTTATTCAATTCATGGTAACACTTTCGTATGAAATATATATGACAATTTATTCCATCTAGCTTGTCTGCCTCAGTCACGCTCGCCCGCCGATATTTTCAACAAATTAGGTTCTGTACGGCCGATTATATCGAGTAATTCTCTTTGGTTACTAAAGATTGGATCATAAGATTCTAAATTAGCTTTGTTTAACTAATCAAGTTTTATATAACCAAAAAATCTGTGAAATTACTTTCCATACTTACTTTTACAAGGAGGTAGAGTACAGGTCTGTGTGCGAGTTGAGTTTCCTTCGCAGTTCTCACTTTCAACAGTTACATTTTTATCCAAGCACATTCTTTTTTGTAATACTAATCCGTTTCCACAAGTTACATCACAATTTCCTTGCCATTCACCCCATTTATATTCTGTCCAATATCAAGATAGAATGCATCGTTAGCGTTTGAGTGCAGCAATCATGCCAGGAGTCATTTGCAAACGAGTGTGACCTTGTAGTGCGTAGCGATTATTGTGCAACACTGGATAGCGCACATAACGTGAACGATTGAAACTGGCCCGCGTCGTTGCCTCATTTTGATTACATCGATTATCGCAGTGCAGTTGACAGCAATGAACCTGTGCACTTTCAGTTCCAAAAATGTGTTTAGTTTTTTTTTTAATTTCTTATGAAATTTTCACTGGATGAAAAAATAAAATTGACCATAACTATGATACAAAAACCCTGAATTTCATCTTTGGTCGTAAGTGTAATGGTATGACCCGGGTGGGCAAGGTTTTCGGACCATAGGACAAATCCGGCCCGTTGGGTGATTCAATCTAGCCCTAAAATAGGCTTGTTAGATTATGATCGTAGTCTGTGTAAGTTTTATTTTAGGTTGCCACAGACTTTAATGATATGGAACGTTAACAAATCTTTACGTTTTCTCTCTCACTCGATACCGCGGCGTGCTTTTCACACCTCTTCCTTTCGCCTCGGTCACGTGTAACTATTTAATAAGTCACACTTACATGACCCGTCGATCTGGTTGACCACCCCTAATAAGCCGCAGTGTATCGTATTAGGTAACTATCAATACTTAGGTTTGAGCATTTAATAACATTTGATCGTTCAACTTATACCTTTGCATAGAGATTGACTGCAATTGTGAAGACGAAATGAGCTTCCTTCGCAATTTTTGATGTCAACAGTTACATTTTTATCCAAACACCACCTTCGTTGTAATGCTAATCCTTTTCCACACGTAACGGCACAATTTCCTTTCCATTCACCCCATTTATATTCTTCCAACATAAAAATAGAATTCTTATTTGCTTATTCTCTTAGCGCGTACTTTTTCCGTTAACGGTAGGGCCATAATTTAGACATTGAGTAAGCGTAAGCACTAGTTCGTTTCGAATATGAAAAGGAATTTGCTAATGTCAAACAAAGCCGAAAGGGTAAGGGCTATGCTCACTGCTGCCATTGTGACAGTGATATCAATCTAGAGGCCCTGTGAAACACGAGAGCTATGCTCAAAATTATGAACACGTGGCGACACATAGTGGCAAATTTTAATGGCGTCATAGCACACAAAAACGATAGATAAAAGTAATAGCCTTCTAGCAAAAATTATAATCTTCACTCACTGAAAATTTCAAAGCAATTGGCCCAGTAATCAAGGAGAAAAGCATTTTTTTCAAAACGATACAAAGAAGAAGACCAACAAGATTACCAAATATATGAAAACGATTCATAAGTCCACTCATGTGTCCAAAAACAGCAATTAGTGCCCACAGTACTACCACAAAACACAATAATTTCGTGTATGATTTCTTTCCCTTTTTTATTCTGTTGACACCCGTGCTTATTTTTGGCTCTAGGCAGATGGTAACCTTGCTTATAGGTCATATGTGTATGGTTATCATTTGTGCATGACTAGTTAAGTTGACTATGGGCAGAGATTTTTGAACATTCGCCATATCTTGGCGGTGTGGCGTATTTTGCTAACGCGCCTCTGATTATTCTGCGTGATTTCGCATGTTCGATTCCCATGCGAGGTCAGTGCGAGAGGATTACTGGACTCCTCGCCGCCGTAGAGTGGTTCACGTAACCGCTGGTCGGTTACGGATTCCTTTACCTTCAAGTCTATACATCTGAAAACATATACCTAATCTCATATCCGACACGAACTGATAACCGGGCGAGAGGCCGTGTTTTGCTTTATGATTAAGCCGTATTATCGGCTTTCTTCTCAACCGGGATAAATATGAAAATCCTATCCTACCTCACCTTTGCATGGAGATTGATTACAAGGCTGAATACGAGTTGAGCTCCCTTCACAATTTTTGATGTCAACCGTTACATTTTTATCCAAGCATATTCTTCTTTGTAATACTAATCCGTTCCCACAAGTTATAGCACAATCTCCTTGCCATTCGCCCCATTTATATTCTGTCCGACGGAACAATAGAATATATATATTATTTGCCGTGGAGTGCGTCATCATTTCAACGCTTTCGAATCAGCGTTCGGCATGTTTTTACCGCAACTGGTGTCGTATTTCTGACTCCCTGGAGTGGACATTCTAATTTCAACGGTTCCAGATTTTCAGTGAGGATAGAAGAAGTCGAAAAAAAACTCAAAAATATTGAGTTTACCAGGAGATTTCAATAGTTTAGTGACGAAGACATATATGTCAAAGTTCTAGTTATCGAAATTTGATTTTTTTGGGAGTTTGGAGCTGGATTCAAATCTCTTACAATCCGGCGTCGGAGTCTATTTTTTCAACCAGGAGTTTCAATCGAATATAAACTTTTCCCTGTGATTATGGCACAAGGCTAGAAAATCCACTTTTGCAAGCCTCGCGCCATCAAGTGCTTGAGACCCATTCTAGTCACTACTTTATTGTGCTGATTTTGTCTGCTCTATAAGTGCTTTAATTAGTTAGTAACTCGGTGACTCTCTCTATCAGTGGTTCCCAAGCGGGAGCCACTTGCTTGATAAGGTTCTTTCACAGAGTGTTTTCACTTTGTTGAGCATGAATTGTCTGAACATACTAGAAACTGGTAAATGACGATTAAAATAACATTGGAATGATAAACAGGGGTGCATGGCTTCTGAAAGCCTAGAAAAAAGGGCCATGAGCCATAAAGATTGGGAACCCCGGCGCTCCAGAAGTGCGTGTAACAATATGGAGGTAATTAATTGAAACTGCCTCTTCCGCTTCATTATGTTTTAATTGCTTACCACTGGAGGCGTTGGTGGTACATACGTTCACAGATTTCACTGATTGTGACTTCATAATACCCCCGCGCGCCGTTTCGAGGATCTTGATTCGACCTCCTCGGGATACTGGGATCACCGATTTGTAGAGCGTGGTTTTAATTTTCTGATTGTAGTTTTGTGGTTCAAAGTTTCAATTGTCTTTTTGATATATTCAGATGTAATAACAATAATCTAATTTTACTAAACTCTTTCCAATCAACTGTCGATTGTTTTGTAAGCTGGAAGCTACACTGTCAAGTACGTATTCCAGTTTATTTGAATGACCGCTTTTGTAATAGACCGTTTTCATACTGGATTAGTCCTGTGTGTGTTTATATGAGTTCAGTTTTGATTTGCATAATTTTGTTGAATTATTAATTTCAATTGTCGACATATTTCTTGCCGGCACATTATCTGTTGTAAATATTGTTCGTTTGTTTTCTTTAGAAAACCGTATTGACGTACTGTCGTGTTTTCGTACACCTGTCGACGTTTACTTTTCGACGGACACTCGTACTTTCCTGACGATAATAAAACGACATAAACAACTTGTACGCGTCTTTTGCATTGGAGTGACGAAATCAGCATACATTAACAGATTGATCATTTAAGAATTATACCTTGGTGTGGGTGTTAAAAGCCACTCCACTCCAAATTTGGCGTCTACACTAATTGTTTTCGCCTACTTTACATAAAGCTGTATAAAGAGACTGAACCCTATGGGCAGGGGGTATATTCACTTGGCCAAAACAGACAGTCCCCAAACCCGTAATAGAACTAAATAAGGAAAATCGTACACATACTACGGGAGTACCGAAACCACTACTCTGTATTTTCACCCAGTTTTAGTTTTATTTTACCTTTACATGGAGGATTCAAGCATAGCGTTCTTTCTTCGGAGTCTCCAATACAACTGTCACCCGACATACAACCCCTTAGTCGCGTAATCTCTCCCACTCCACAGGTAACGCTACATGGAGACGATAACCACGGTCCCCACGTAGATTCTGTAGATAATTTGTAGAGTTATGTAATTTCAGGACTTCACTTCCTTGGGTAAATCGGGATCGGTTACATGACTTGCCAATGGTGTTGGAATAAGGGCATGAACTGAATAAACCGTGGTACAATATAACGCTGCAGATTGAATTCAACCAGTATGCCCATTCAGACTTTCAGGAAGTCCAAATTTAAGAGGTGGTAAATGTTAGGCAATTAACGATAAATTATAAAAATGTGTTATGCATATGACTGACGATCTAAACTGATATATAGACAACTTTTTGGATATTCAAATATAATTATTATATTCAAGTTAGGGTTAAAGTCGCACCTCAAAACTAGAGAAGTATTGGACATTTTAACGGAGTGAAAGGATATCACTGTATTGAAGTTAATCATACACCGCCTTTGCAAGGAGTTTTCACTCCTTTAATCCTTGGTTACTGGACAGTGTGAGTGACAAACTGTTCTATGATAATCTTTTATCTATGATTATGTTTCATTAACATGTTTTTTAACCGACATTATTTGTGAGTAATAACTTTGTAAGTTTCATTTAGTGCTAGGTAATTTACCTTTGCAAGCAGGTTTTTCACATGGTATTGTGTCTTGTGAGATACTGGTACTACATGGGGGAGCATTCATGATATGCGACATACAATGCCTTACTCGAGAAATCTCTCCAGTTCCACACGTTACACTACAGTCACTCTCTATCCAGGGTCCCCAAAAAGGCATTTTCATTTCTGAAATAATAGGCATAAAAATAAATTATACGGTACTCTCGCAGTATGTGTACCAGGTTAGGGCATAATTACATTCCGATTTTTCTCATTTTAGTTCTGTTACGAGTTCGGGACTGTCTGTGTTAGCCAAGTGTGGATATACGGGTGGCCCAAAAGTAGGTGGTGCCCCAAAAGTAGGTATACAGTTATTAAACTATTTTATATGCTTTGAAGCTACTTGCAGTTCACCTCATGTTACTTGTTGAGTACCACAAAATTGCTTATTTTTTTAGATAATAAATCTAGTGTGAATTTTACATTAGTTTTCTAGCTGCTAGGAGGACAATAAAAAAAAAATAAATAAAATAACTGTATACCTACTTTTGGGCCACCCTGTATAGGTTTCAGTCCCTTTACACAACTTGATGTAAAGTAGGCGAACAAAATTAGTTACCTCCATATTGGTACACGGACTTCTGGAGCGCCAGATATGCACCAAAACAAGAGAGAGCAATGTTCAAATATATAGACATGAAAGCCAAAACGAATTACGGTATCATCAAATCTTTTACAGTACAGGAAGTCTTTTTTACTCCTGACTTCGATGAACACCAGAGTGCTGAAATGCGATCGCGATACGCCAGACGGTGCGCAACTTTTGATTCCGAACACGTCATCACACAAAACATCAAGGGGAAAAATGAATTCCATAGAGCCCACAGAAACTTTTAAAATAGCAACAATAACAACGAGCATATCGGTCAGAGACCGAAGACTTATCGATCGAAAGTTAGGGGAACCCAAAACAGAAACTGCGGTTTCCTTTCGAAAAATTCTGCAAACCCGAACCGGATTGTTTCGATTAGTTTCAAGCCAATAGCCTATTTACCAATCCTATATTTTGTGTCAAATACAACGGCGCTAACCCGGGTTGCGACAGCTATCCAAACACAGCGATATTTTGGTGAAGAATTCTGCAACCCCGAACCGGATAGAGGGATATGGACATTGCTTAAAGAGTAATTATAAGTATTGAGATACGATCTCGCGGCGTGTATCCTTCGCTCTGACTCAATAGCGTGGAAAATTTCTCGAATGAAACTTGCGCATCGCGACAACGTCAAAGTTACAAGAGAGATATGGACAATTTAAAGATTAATCACGAGATACGATCTTGCGGTGTGTATCCTTCGCTCTGATTCACTAGCGTGAAAACTTGCGCATCGTACACACACACATTCAGCGCGTCTCAAAAATCTCTCGCTTTGTAAAAATCGTTCTCTCGATTTGCAAAAATCCAGATTTCTTCATCACTAATTAGGTAATAACTCGCTAATTATACGACATAATTCATCCAAAATCACTGTCAATGAAAGGATATCACTGTATTGAACTTAATCATACACCGCCTTTGCAAGGAGTTTTCACTCCTTTAATCCTTGGTTACTGGACAGTGTGAGTGACAAACTGTTCTATGATAATCTTTTATCTATGATTATGTTTCATTAACATGGTTTTCAACCGACATTATTTGTGAGTAATAACTTTGTAAGTTTCATTTAGTGCAAGTTAGTTTACCTTTGCAAGCAGGTTTTTCACATGGTATTGTGTCTTGTGAGATACTGGTACTACATGGGGGAGCATTCATGATATGCGACATACAATGCCTTACTCGAGAAATCTCTCCAGTTCCACACGTTACACTACAGTCACTCTCTATCCAGGGTCCCCAAAAAGACATTTGCATTTCTGAAATAATAGGCATACAAATAAATTATACGGTACTCTTGCAGTATGTGTACCAGGTTAGGGCATAATTTTATTCCGATTTTCCTCATTTTAGTTTTATTACGAGTTCGGGACTGTCTGTTAGCCAAGTGGATATATAGGTTTCAGTCCCTTTACACAACTTGATGTAAAGTAGGCGAACAAAATTAGTTACCTCCATATTGGTACACGGACTTCTGTAGCGCCAAATATGCACCAAAACAAGAGAGCAATGCTCGAATATATAGACACGAAAGCCAAAACGAATTACGGTATTATCAAATCTTTTACAGTACAGGAAGTCTTCTTTACTCCTGATTTCGATGAACACCAGATTGCTGAAATGCGATCGCGATACGCCACACGGTGCGCGATTTTTGATTCCGAACACGTCATCACACAAAACTTCAAAGTGAAAAATGAATCCCATAGAGCCCACAGAAACTTTTAAAATAGTAACAAGAAGAAAAAAAAGAATAGTAAGAAAAATACTATCAACAACAATTTCGCGAGGCGATCCATAGGTTCATTTCATGTCCAATAAATTGGAAGAAAAGACATCATTTTATATCTCACCTTCGCAAACCGGTTCCTCACATTCCTCCATCATCTCCGCATCGCCTTCGCATTTCCAATTGCTTGCATTTTTATTTCCCGTGTAGCAAATTCTGCGCTTTGTTATAAACCCTAACCCACAAGTGACGCTACATAGTGAGGATGCCCAAGGGCCCCATGTGTAAACTGCATCCGGATCTATAGAAGTAATTTACAGGATTTACCCTTTCTGATATGATTTGTTAGTGATACGGAAAAATTGCCATTAAGTTAGTTTACATTATGGATATACAGGGTGGTCGCTAGAAAAACAGAAAATTTGTCAAACTGCTATTTATTTTTACAAAGAATAACTTTTACAAAGTTGTTTCCTGCCTTCTTAAGGCGTCAAAATAGAAATCAAATAGAACCTAAGATGTATCAACCTAAATCAACCGAGAAGAAATAAAATCGTATCCAAAAAGAAATGAATAAGCATGCGTTTTATTCGTGATCTCATGTGACCGTTACATAATCTGCTTTTTTAGTGACCACCCTATATGTTGTTTTATCTATCGCAGATATTACTGTAATTATAACTCACAGACGAGAATGGATGAAATTTAGTCGGAGATGTCAAGCACGGCAGAATGTGTGCTACTGTGTTTTCCTTAAAATACGACCCAGCCTGAATTTCCAAAATGATTTTAATATAAGCCCTCCCCTCAAAATAAGACCTAGTCAATAACGGGATTTTTTTTGCCGAGTCGATAGCAAGAAATCTCTCCCACACGTTTTAAAATGATTGGTTATATATGTTTTGCAGTTATTTTGAATAAAAACGTGTCATTTATAAGTAAATAAATATCGGTATTCATATTTTGTATATTTGAAAATTTCGTAATTCTCTACTTTATAATTTTGTTTTTAGGGAAACACGGTAGGTATGTCACCAGAATTGAATGTTGGATAATAAATGCTTAAAATAGATGTATGAACCGCCGCATAGTGATGGAAAACTTTGTGTATGGATAGACAGGATATATATGCAACAAACCAATCTCAAGTTTTTTATGATATCTTCTATTGCTCACCGTCAAACACAATTGAAGCTTCCCATGATCCGTAGTTTATTGAAGTAATTCCGTGCCTTGTGGAACCTCTATGTCTACGTTGACCATCAATTTTCCAAACTGTGAATTCACCACCTTTTTTCGCTGCAAAAACACGTTAATGTTACCAACACTTTACTTAAGACAACAAAAAATCGACTGGAGAGTTGGTTAGAGTCTGGACTTTTTATCTAATTCTGGGATTGGATAAGTTAAGGTGCTTGATTTCAATTTATTTCAACTCATCGGAGTATAATTTTTTCAGCTAACTTGACTAAAAAGACAATGAAGGTCGTTTTGGGGGGATGAAGTGCTCATTTACAAGAATAGGAGAAATGTTTCATCAGCCCAATCGATAGTCGATAGGAGTTGAAGTCAATTTTGGGAATGGTTTGAATGCCAAAATATCATAAAGTCGGAATCGAGGTTAGGTTTTTCCAAAAGATCACAATCAAGGAAGTCGTGTACAAATTATTTTGTCGTACAATGCCGCTTTACTTGGAAATCAGCACGCTTTGTAATAGCCTCCTAAGAACTCAACTGGTCGATATAATTGGAATTATCTCATTTTTTTTCAAAGCGGAAGCACAAATAAAAAATGAAGCAAATTCAACAAAAAATGTCCCACAACAACAATGTTAAAATTGAGTTAAACTCTTTTAACTCAATTTTAACATTGTTGTTGTGGGACATTTTTTGTTGAATTTGCTTCATTTTTTATTCCATTCCGTACCTTCAATCACTCCACTGTGAATAGCAGCAGCACATAAGTAAGAGTCGTCTGTATAAATGTCTGTTCCCCACACCGCAGGTTTTCCTATGCTTGGCAGTGGACATCCAGGTGGACAAATGGCAACAAATTTTTTTTGAAAGAAATCACTGGATGAAGTATTGCACAAGACGTTATCTTCAAAACAATAAATAAGCAAATAATTTAGAAAATTAATATTTAGAATATTATTATAAACACTGAAATCAGTAGAAATCCAACTCGAACAAGATGAAATTAGCTGAAAATAACTCGTATTGTGGTGAAAAATGATACTGTAACTTTTCGAGACTCGCACCAAAGAAGTTATTTGTAAGTAAGTAGGGGTACTTCGTAAATGCAGAGCAGCCAACTGATATAAATGAAGCATAATATCATTAAAATACATACGAAGGGATACAAATTTTATATTCTGATACAATTTTTGTTCGTCGATCATTACCTTTGGTCCAAGAAATGGCGCTTCTGAAGTATACCTACCAAAATGGCAGACACCGGAACCAGGCTAGAGTTAGGCCATAACTTTCAGGTAAAAATACTACGGGAGTCACTTGGCTAGTCTGCGAAATTGTAATAGAACTGAAATAAGGGGGGTTGGAATAAAGTTATGGCCTAACCCTAACCTGTTACACATACTGTGTTCCGTTGTCCGCCATCTAGGTACACATACTTCAGGAGTACCCAAAAAATAATATTTTAGGCAACTACTTAATCAAGTAGGCCTATTGTAGACACTTAAATGTACATTGCTGAAAGATAATATCATAAAAAGTCATACCAACTCTTACCGAAATCCCCAGGTGTTTGCTGGTGAAAGTGCGACTGTTTTAGGAAATTGCCCTTTTCGAAAGAACCAATGTTATATCTTTATAACAAGTAACTCATTGCAAAATTGCACGCGATTCATTCGGATTTCCGTTTATCATATAAAATTTGACGTACTAATACAACCCGTAGTAAAAAGGTTCATACATTATATAAAACGGCGCTCCAGAAGTGTATGTACCAATATGGAGGTAACTAATTTTGTTCGCCTACTTTACATCAAGTTGTGTAAAGGGACTGAAACCTATGGACAGGGGTATATTCACTTGGCTAACACGCACAGTCCCCGAACTCGTAATAGAACTGAAATATAGAAAATCGGGTAAATTATGGTCTAACCCTAACCTGGTACACACACTACGGGAGTACCTAAAATCCGTGCGAACCTGAGCATCTTTTTGTGTTATAACATGTTGCACGTGCTTTTGCAGGTTCTTCGCCACATAGCTTTGGATCCACAGTTTTATTGTCTTCGTCCAAACAATGGCGAGTTACATTCATAAAACCTATTCCACAGTTGACGTCACATTCGCCTTTCCACGGCGTCCATGTATAGTCTAAAATTCAGCAAATATATAAATTGAAAATAAAAACATCACAGTAAAATCTGCATGTAGAAAATAGAAACAGTATATATATGTACTGTAGCATAAGGATATAATTTCTAAATATATGGTGTCCCAAAAGTATGTTCAGTTATCAATTATTTATTATTATCGGTACCGTCCGTCTGAAAACAAATATCTGGTTTAACGAATCCCAAACTCGACATGTACTGGTAACCGGACGAGAGGCCGTGGTTCTGTCTTATAGGCTTTCCTCTCCCCCGGGATAAATATGTAAATCCGATTCTATCAGAAATGTTGTCTCCCCCTTGCCCCATTTTGCCATGTTTAGCGCACTTGTCCTACTATCACAGGTCGGGTTCATTGTTCAGGTTTGGGTTATATTCGGACAGAATGCTGAACTATTCATATGATATGAGCAACATCATAATATGTTCAAAATACTACTCCTTACATTTTTATACGACGCCTATTCACCTCGTCTGATCCAAACTATGCCCTGTTCAATCACCCACTGATATTCAGTCCTAAGTAAGAATGGAATATATATATATATATATATATATATATAACGTTCGGTATTGGAATTTAGAATGACCTGGTTGAGGCGGTGGGCATTGATGTTAATCAGATATGTGCTGTAATGTGTAATGCACAAGCCTACCAGAAAGTCTTTAACCCAGAGGTAGGCTAGGTTTTTGGACCAGGGGCCAAAAATTTTGCTCACCTAGACTGGCAGGCCATGCAAGTGTGGTGTAAAAAGTTACATTTCATAAATAATATTTACTGTGTTACAAAAGCAACCGTGGAGAACAATAGACCTCGTGCCAAAACTAAATTTAATCGCAATCTCAACAAATTCCATGAGCTATTTTCAGCCAAAACATCCAAATTTGGTTTCAGATTGGTTGTGGCAGCATTGCGCGGGCCAGATTTAATCATCCAACGGAACGGATTTGGCCCGCAGGATGTACTTTGCCCATGTCTGCTTCAACCGTTCGTCGTAAATCATAACATAATAAAATTCTACTCACCAATACATATCGGAAGAGCGCAAATGTCAATGTCGAAATCAGGACCAATACATTTATCCGGACTGACGGTATCGTTATTTTTGTTGAGACAAGAACGATAAAGCATCAGGTTGCCTTCACCACAAGTAACACTGCATCTTTCAGTCCAGGGACTCCAATGATATCCTTTAAGGAAATTATAGATTGAAAATATTTTAGTTCCACGCTCTATAGCGAGGGTGTGCAACTGGTGGAAACCCCGGACCGCATCTTCATTTAACTTAGACTTTCTAGTAGTTACAGCTGCAAAACTTTTGATTACTGATCTTATGGCATTCTTTGTTTGCTTCGCATAAGATAGTGTTATGGCATCGTGACGTAGACAACAAATGGTTCTAAGACATGGACTTTGAAACGCAAAGGGATTGGAATTACTCACACCTACCAGATTAAACTAAATAAAAAATTCGTTTCGCGGGTAGCACACAATTGAAAATTGGTATTTCTCCGCGGACCGCCCTAGTTTTTCTTGTTGGTCGCATTTGACCCGCGGGCCGCAGGTTGCAAATCCAAGCTCTATAGTATTACTACAGAGCAATGCTCAAATATACAGATACGAAGGTTATTAATTGGCCACCGCAATGTCAGAAAAATTCCAATTAAATGAACGAATTGTACCTGAAGTGTTAGTGTTAATTTAATAAAACAGCAAATTTATTGGTTCAATATCCGCCCAGGGGACCCAGAAAATATTTAAAAAAAAAATTAAATGAAGTCAAAAATAAAAGTCATTCCTTGATCGACGCTAATTTCAGTTAGTGCATGTAAAATTGATTGTTGCATTACTTGCATATGAAAACGATTTTTCTACAATACCGCCAACAAACAGCAAAACCGTCTATATGTCTAGCTCTGACATGGGCAAACTACGGCCCGCGGGCAAAAACCGGCTCGCTGAGTAATTCAATCTGGACCACTTGATGCCGCCACAGATTTGATTTGAATTATTTTGAATTCCGTTTCTATCGGTTTCAACAGTCATTTATGCTTCCACACTAAAGTATACGCGGTCATTTTTAGCTCGCAAGCGGTAGTCTGCTGCTTTTGATGTTTTTCTATTTATTTTTTTAGTTGCGAAATATCAACCTTGAGATGTGCAAAAAAAGAAAAACGATATTAAAATATTGAACAATACCTTGGTCTGCGTCGTCAATTGTTTTTTTAATCCAAGGCAAAAAGTTTCCGACTTTCGTATAAATGCCAGGTGATTGTTTTGATCCACACTGTACAGGACCGAAGCTAGTTATACCGTACAAGAAGCGTGTTGAATTATCGCTCATGCAGACAAACGGACCGCCACTATCCCCACCACATGTATCTGCACCGCCCCCTATGTGCCTGTTCAAAAATATCAACACAATGTAAAAAGTATTACAGAGTGTCTAAAAAATTTCGCCCGATTTTATAGTAATAACAATTATAAATTTCTTTGTTTTTTGATAGTTCGTATTGTGCTTGTAGTTTTCATTCATCATACAAGAAAATTTATTTAAACTTACAATTGTTATTACTACAAAATCGGGCAAAAGTTTTCGGACTTCCTGTATAGTTAGATTTAGCATGTAATAGACTTTTCATCTCTAGTACAAAGCCAAATATTAAATGACCAACCGGTCAAAATTTGAGATTACAGTAGTATTTTTTACAGCACTGGATACAAATAGTCACTGCCAAGTCTATTTATTAAACGCGACCCAGTTATTCAAGAAGCAGTTAAAGCGAAATAAATCAAATTTATCAACTTTGACTATTTTTGTAATAAATCAAGTTTATAAAACTTTTAGTTTAGTGCCATTGAGTTTTAATGTCGGTAATATTTCATTATACTGCGTTTCACACATCTTTCAGGCCAAACAATACTATATTTTAAAAGGCCGGATTCTTTACTGGCTCGGCAAATTCAATTTATTACTCTGCGCGAAATTGGGGCAATGGTATCCGAACCCCATATTTCAAACTTCCCATGCCAACATAATAAGGTCAAACGTCAACCAACAAGCCATTGTACCCGAGGTAACTACTCGCAGAAATTTTGATAATTATTTTGATTTCTATTATTTGAACACATGTCACATACACATGCCTAAATTTACTATTTTCACAATTTATCGATCAAAATAGCGTTTTGGTAACGTTTTATGACCATCTTGGTAATCGGGTATACTTCTTTCCCTTTCAATTGGCACTGAAGATATAATTATAGTTAAGTTACAATTTTGTAAGTGCTGATCACTGATGGGCTTTTTAATAAAAACAGATTCGAATCTTCTAGACTTTAGAGTTAGTATTAATACAACGAATAGCAATAAAATAACTAACCCAGCGCAAATAGTATTTGCCGGAATTTTTGTCCCACTTTTTTTGTACCATTCGACACATTGTTTTCTGTCGATAATTTTCACTCCAGCTTGACGTAAGAGTTCTGGCAGATTACCATCTAAATACATAAATACATTATTTTGATCTGGTGAGAGTATCCATAACAATTATGGGATGTTTAAACATGGGAGGAGGAGACAAGTTGTTAAGGGGTGTGAACTGATTAAAAATAAAGTTATTTGTTAGATTTGATGTTGCCCGCCTTATTTTGAATTTTCACTTTTCTTATTGTTTATAAATTGCAATTCCATTCACGTATTTTCAACGTTTAATTTCGCCTTACTATCTGTTATTTGTAGCTTATTGTTAGCTAGTTATTTTTGAGGTGTGGCGCGAGACTTGACAAATTCTAAAAAGGGGGGGCGGCCAAAACAATTTGAGAGCCATTTCTTTAGTCTAACTTACGTTCATCATAACCCCATCCTGCGACACCACACTCAGTTCCGTTTGATATGCTTGCATTTGTTTCCATCGCGTAAGGTATAGGCTTCGCATATCCCATATTTTCTTGCCATGGTATCTTTATCAAACAAATGTCATTTGACAAGTCTCGAGAATTAAAATCTGTAAAAGAGAAAATCAAAATGGCGATCAGTGAGTCATGTAAATCGTCAAATTTTAATTATATGATGCAAATTCTTTCCAAAACTCTTTCAACCTTCAGTGGATGCTTATGCAGTACCTTCTTGTCAGCGAAATCTGCCAATGAGCGTCGTGTCATATGAGGTTGGTACTCCCGAAGTATGTGAACCAAGATGGCGGACACCGGAACGTAGTATGTGTACCAGGTTAGAGTTAGGTCATAATTTTATTCCAATTTTCCTTATTTAGGTTCTATTACGAGCTCTATGACTAGCCAAGTGACTTCCGTAGTATTTGTACCTGAAATTATGGCCTAACCCTAACCTGGTATACATACTACGTTCCGGTGTCCGCCATCTTGGTTCACATACTTCGGGAGTACCACGGGGTCTGATAGTTATAGTCAAGTTCACAGTAAAGATGCCAAGATATTTGTGCACTTCACCATATCTCGCGTTATTACTCACTTTTTTTTTTAAATTTGCTCTGTTCTTATACGTATATATACCACTTACCTTCGTGACAAATCACTTTTTCAGGTTTTGTATTGACTGCAAAAGGCTCTGGTGCAGTTTTATTCCTGCTGCTATATGCTATTCTCGTTGCCTTTTTCCGCCCTCTTTAAAAAGAAAACATCAAACAATATCAATGAGTTATTATATGTCGGCAAACATTAAACAGAAAATCTTGACACAATTGTGTATCTTTGATATTTACAGGTAATGGAAAATTATCTTCTGATTGTCGGAAGAGAAATCTTTCCGGTTATTTAATTCCCGGGTCGGAACTTTTCTTGAGACCCCAAAATTGAGATGTACTACTATACTTTTGAAGTCTGTTTGTAATGTTCGAAAATAATTTACATCTTTTATTTATGCGACATTTTCCTGTATTTTGGCTTATAGCTCATGTTAGAGTGTTACGAAATGAGATCGATTAGATCGAGCGACCCAATTTTTGGTACTCCCGTAGTATGTGTACTAGGTTAGGGTTAGGCCATTATTTTATTCCGATTTTCTATATTTTAGTTCTATTACAAGTTCGAGGACTGTCTGTGTTAGCCAAGTGGGCGCTCCGGAAGTATTCGTACCAAGATGATCTACAATCTGAAAACCCTCAACCTGGTATACATACTATGTTCAAGTTGTGCGCCATCTTGGTACGACTACTTCGGGAGCACTGTCAAGTGAATATCCCCCAGCCCATAGGTTTCAGTCCCTTTTACACAACTTGATGTAAAATAGGCGAACAAAATTAGTTACCTCCATAGTGGTACACATACGTCTGGAGAGCCCATTTTTTAGCAATATGTCGCAACTGTACATGAAATTTCATTCCATCGTCATCAAATTTGTACTTTTTATATATAAATCTGTGGTTTAAAATAAAAATATCGTAACCTGTTAAAGCAATGGGCAGCAGTCAGTATCCACGTATCAGAAATTAAACTCCCTCCACATTGATCTGCACCATCGTCAAGTTCGATAAAAACCTGCCAAGGCCATGACTTCTCAGCAGCCAAGAATCCGCGTACGACTCCCGATAAATTTTCTTCGCATTTTACAGCGAGTTTAAAAACTCCATCACAAAAAAGTTCTTTGCCGTCATTGATATCGGTACTGTTACAAAACCGTCGTGTAATCTTCGCTGTATCTGTCTCAGTTCTGTGTACTGGATTACAATCTGACGGCTTTTGCCATGGCCCCCATGTACCTCAAAATAAAAATATAATATATTAGTATATAGGCCTAGTTGGGGGATGTTTGGACATTTAGAGAGTGGTAAATATTTTGCTATTAGCAATAAAACCATTTGTAACTTATAAAAATGAATTTGGTATTTAGCAACCGATCTACACTTACAAATTTTATATTTAAATAGAATTAAACTCGAGTCAGGAATTAAAGTGTGATATCACACCTAAAATTAGGTGAGGTGTTTGAAATCTTAAGAGGGGTGTCCACCCCCTATAGAGGGGTGTAGGGAAATCACCGGTTTTACGTGACCTATATATATCTCCGTTATCCAAGACCATAAATCTAAAACAATTATTAACAACCTTCCACGCCCGCTCGGAATTGTAACCTGGTCGTAGTCCAAATCCTTCACCATCACAATTAATATGTAAACCCTATGCTCTACCTAACTCTTGTCAGAGTCCTAACACAAAAACTTGCATTTTGAATACCTAATCTAAAATACTGATAGATCCCATAATAATCCTTGGCGTATATTATTATAATAAAATTTATATACAGGGTGTCCATAAAATCCCTTTACAATTTCAATTTTGTTATGAAGTAAGTTCTCATTAACCAGACTTGTTGTTTTTTAATCTGTAATTAATCAAGTATTTTTACTTCATTTAATACATCTGTAAAGGCCAATACAATATTATGGTATCAAATTTTCCTTCGTAATTTTGAAATGTTTTAGGTTTATTGATACCCTGTATATAACGAGGAAATTAACGCACATCCCTTTTCACTAGCCTACTGTTCAAAATGTTGAACTTCAAAAAGTAGAAGTCGAGAAAGACAAAAACTCACCTTCGGCTAAATCTCCGTCAGTGTCGGAACTTGAAGAAAACGGTAAATTTGAAACGAAAGTTAATGACACATATAAAACGATGGGTAAAGTATTCTGCATTATATATGTGCTATTTCATAAATAAAAACAATCAGTATGAAAGATAATAGTGAAACGTGGATTATAAATGACAATCAAAAACTTTCACGCCATGGCATATCGATGTCAAATTATATAAATGCGTTTTGGAATTCTCATTGTGGAATGGTGACCGGGAGAAAGGCCGTGGTTCGCCATATGGTTAAGCCGTCTTATCAGATTTCCTCTCCTCCGGGATAAATATATAAATCCTGTCTCATTTATTCAAACTTTGGTAATTTTAATGTATATCACCAAGACTTCACTCACCCCAATAAATAGAGTCGCCTCTCAAATGTGACTCTTAAACTAACTAAAACTTTTTTGTCCTAGGGGATTATAAGATATAGATTGATGCAATACACGGCAACGACATCAGGTAGGCAGTCGCTGACAGTCTCTGACAAATCAGGATGACAGACTAATATAACAACTATTGTCATTTTGACGTACAATTACACGAGTAGTTGATTAAAATGAGTGTAACAACTTAAAGTGTATACGGCCTATCATTACCACAGCTATAACAAATATGTAAACTACTCCACTGAATATTCAAGACTTTAGCTATAACGCTCCAACTATAACGCCTGTCCCACTACACGTCGGTGAACGACCAAATAAAAAATATTGGTTTTAAATTGCTGTACATAAATTACTACGCAGCGTAATTTTGCCAGAAGCTATTTATATTGTAAGCCTATTAAATATCGCACGATGAAAAATTTTTGAACTATTTTGAAACAAATGACCAATTATAAACCACCGTAGTCTATTTTCGTGTCATGTTTTATAGTTTTTTTTCCACTTGACTGGATTGAAATTTTTGTAATCTTGTGAGCATAAACAAAAACAAGTGGAACATAACGAAACGAAGGCAAATCGAATAAAAACTCAAATTTACCAAGGACATTCTATAAAAATAGAATTTAAGGAACTAAGGAAGCATTGTATGACATCAACATCATACGATATGAATATATGAAATAAAAATAGGTCAGGGTATATATGCCCATTTACTCGATCTCAGACATATCTATTAGAAACGCAACGTTCTAGTCGTACTATTTCACATTATTATTTCACATTTTATATCCCAAAATCTGTCCTAAACCTAATATCGGGCAGAATAATAATAAATGGATAGATATATTCGATATAACAACACAATGTGATAATTCTTAGGATGATGGATCGTAGGTCTGCCCGATCCTGAGCAGCCGCAAAAGAAGATATTGCTTCGTGTATTGTTATCAGCGGTGTACTTCCCACGGGTCGCCCAGTCGATAATAAAATGTTGGGAAAAGACATTTAAAAACAGGTTTCGCACTAGTCGAAGATATAAACTTCTATGCTGTCTATATCCTAGTATTGCTTCAAATCATCATTCATTCTACACATTCTTCATATTTCACAAAAATGAAACTGTTCGACCCGCTGCAAAACTGAAAAATAATTCGCGATTCCCAAAGACATTTGGGTGGAACATGGATGGTGTAGGATTTAGATAACAGCCATTTCTGTTGAGTTTCACCAGGGTCAGCGCTTCAACGTCAGACAATGTGGGACATCCGTGGTACGGTTAATCAAAACTACACTTTGGTATATTTAATTTACCATATGTGATGACTGAATGCAGTTAACGCTGGAAAAGAACTATTGAAATGATGCATGAATCGTTTAGATTTAAAATATCTTTTTTGTATTTTGACGAGTAGGCTGATTTTTACCTCGCAATTTTTCGAGTTTACAAGAATCGCATGGGCTCATGATCAGGGTAAACGTCAACACTGCCAATACTAGCTGGGGTGTGTCTAGAGAGGGGCCAATGGGGCAGCTTCCCCGGGCATCACGTTATAGGGGCGAGTTCGTTCCTCTGTGTGATGATTTAAATAAAAAATAATACAGTTAGTTCCCAAATTCTGTTTGTAGTTAGGTATGGGGGGCATCATTATTAGAAACTCGCCCCTGACAGCAGAAAGTTTGACACGCCCAAGCATGCCAATGTTGTGTTCATCTCCCAGTTTAGCAATGTGATCATATAATTACACAACACCTCTGGTCGAATGCGACTTCCTCCGCCGTCTGAAACCGTCCATGTATCTGGAACAAATAACTGATAAACTACCTCCATACCCGACGTGGACTGGCAATTAGTAGAGAGTTACTGGTTTACCGTATGATTAAGCCGTCTTATCGGCTTTCAGCTCCCCCTTGGATGAATAAAATGATCGCAACCTAATCCGATTTTATACCTCTGATACCAGATGGTTTGCGTATTTGCGCCCTCTAGTGTGTTTACCGTCGTTAAACTTTGTTGAGAATATTTGTAAGGTTTGTCTCTTTAGCTCACTGCTTTACCTGTCTTCGCCGTGTTCTCTAATTCTGTAATTTTATATAAACTCGGCAGATAGAGTCAGAGAGTGTATAATATGAACATATTCTGAATTATACTATGTATCAGACACTACAAGACTGACAGTTGTTCAAGTCTATTCATTCTTATTAGGCTAGTTGCGAGACTGAAAGAGCGTAAAACCTGCTGAAGACAGTGTTTCTACCGCCTGGAATAAAATAAATGGATTAACTTCAGCAAAGAAGAGAAATGTTGTTCAGCGACCAGGTAAGCAGTATTTCGTATTTCTCACTGTTCTGTTATGAATATGTTCACCTAGGCCTATATAATTTTAAAATTAAAAATAATTGTGTTGCTAGAAATGACAATTAACAGACAGACAGATGGAACAGAATAAACTAATTTCTGATTTCAGGAATTGAAAAAAAATGATGAACATGAACCAGTAAACATTGCCCTGTGCTTTATGCCATTATGCCATTTTTTAATATCAGTTTTTTAATTGGATTCATCGATATTGTAGGATAAGGATAGGATAGGATAATACATATTTATCCCGGGGGAGAGGAAAGCCGATAAGACGGCTTATCCATATGGCGAACCACGGCCTCTCGTCCGGTTACCATTCCAAGTCGGGTATGGGATTAGATTTACTGTATTGTTTGTTTTCGGAAGCATGGACTTGGTGGTGGAGGAAGCCGTAACCGACCAGCGGTTACGTGAACCACCCAACGACGGCGAGGAGTCCAGCAATCCTCTCGCACATAACCATCCCTGCATGGGATATTTTGAAGCATCAAGGTGCACATCAACCAACTCATTAACGTTGGGGCTTTGGGATCTGGTCAAGAAAGAGTGTTTAGTCTGTTACACTACAAAAATATTAAAAATATTAAATATTAATCAGTAAATGATTGAGTAGTAACAATACAATTGAGTGGTAACAATACAATCGTTTATGGCCGCCTAAGTTTTACCGTTCGATACAATTACTTACAGCCAGGGATGGCCAATACCGAATAGTTCACTTTTTCGAATACATTCGAAATTATTATTTTCGAATATGAAATTTCGAATACATTCAAAAATAAATTCAAATAAAAAGCATAATCAATTGCATACAATAAACAATGGAATACGTTAACTTTTATCTACAACCTGCCAATTTACCTGACATTTTATGTCTGCAGATTGCCTGATATTGTAGTATTGCTTTTCATATTTCAGGTACAAAACTTCAAATCAAAAATTAATTATGATGGGTAGTTTCCACTCATTTTATGTCCACAGATTGCCGTGATATTTTAATATACGATAGCAATGCTTTTATTTTTTCGTAAGTTGACGCAATCACGGGTTATGTTAAACAGAATTAAATTATGGCAAGGCATTTTAATTGCCCTTTATCTAAATATTTTACGCAACAGAAAATCATCCTAGTAAAAAGTCGATACTTCTAACTATCATTATCAAAATCGGTTGCCAAAAAGCGAAATAAAGTATAAACTATATTTCCTAATAATTCTGACTAATTTATTGGGTGTTGTAACAATTGCGGTTTTAAATGATTTTAAATTTTACGACGTGAAGGAAATCAATGTCAACTGGCAACAGTATGAGGCGCACGCTCGCACAGAATATCACAAACAATTAAAGTGCCGATTCTATCTCATCCTAATTACGATACGTTACAAAGCGCCAAAAACCGTTCGAAGATCTCACTTAGAGGTGAAACACCTTGGAAACCAACACTTGATTTGTCTCTGAGAGGAGGGAGTCTCGCATGATGGCAGATTGCACCATACTTGTTTCGATAATAATTTAAATTAATCGTGACATGCATCGGCCGTCACATGTCCAAAATTGCGTTATTTTCTAAAAAAAAAGAAGTCAATTAGTAATATTTTTCTGAGGTATCCAATGGGAACAATTCTAGATTGCGCTTCCTTTTGGTTTATTACGCAGTGCTGATTTGATTCGATATGAAGGCCCAGGCTGTCTGTTATTATTCTACCTGGTATAATTGATGTCTTTTAATGTGGGGACTATTCTTGAAATCGGAGATCTGTGTCGTACTGAATGTAGATTGAATCATTTCAGTATTTAGGTGTCAATCTGAATATTTTCATTTCAGCATTTCCTGCCCATTACATATACCACCTAGGGTGAGATGGTTGCCTATGGGTTTTGTTCCCAAGATTTTGATTTGATCAACTATCACTATAATGGTTCAATGTTGATATTTTCTTTTGTTAGGTGAGCATTCTTTCAACCTGGTTCAAAAATTGGAATGAATGCGAGCAGACTGTTGCTCTGTTTTCATTATTGAAACGAGTACAGAAGAGACAAGCTAAATTTCTTGCGAGATGTCTTGAACATGGACTAAAAGATTGTTTGGAACTGATTCCTGTGGAAAAAGAGGCAAATGATGCTGGTAAGGCAAATATTGATAATTTTTATTTTGTGGCGAATTTGACAATTCATAAAAAGCCATCTGATATCGTTGTCACATTATTTTCGACCAACCTTCAATGAATCTATTGATGTTATTATGTTATTTTACTCTCTTTAGAATATATTTTCTTCTACAATGATTTGCTCTATGCAAGGTATTGCACACTTCACTCAGAAATATAGTAGACTTCACTCAGAAATACAGGAGACTGACTTCTGAGTAACCACTAAAGACTGTTTTATTTATTTCTGATTTCTGAATAATTTTGAAGACTTTAGAACTTTGATATGCTTTTTGGGCAGTAAGCCTCACTTAATTGTTTGTCAAGAATGCTCAATACATTTTGGGTTTCTGTCACAAAAAAATTTGACTTGATTATCACCATTAAAAGTAATATTTCAAATTCCCGACTCCTGAGAATATGAAAATACAATCCCAGCTATTACTCTTGTATCAATAATACATGCTAAACTTCACAGTCCGAGAAATTAATGTAGGACATGAAGTAGGCCCATCTTCTCCCTACCTACAGCTGCTCAGTGCTAGGGCAATTATATTTAAATATCCCATTCGTTTTGAACATTCCTGTTCTGGGTAAGGTGGCCTAATTGTTTTTCCACCGGTTTCTTATTCATTTTCATTATAGGTTTCATCGGACGTCTTATTAATGAACCACAGCAAGAAAAAGTTATTAAAATATTACTGAGTCATTTACCACTATTACGACCAGGAAACAATGATGCTAAAACCAGATACCTTGATTTATTACCCAGAGTTCTTGCATTTGCCGTTGAAAGTTCAAAATATCTTCAAGAGGTAACAAACAGCTAGTAATTTTTATATCAGCCTTATTGTCAAGTCTATACCACTTTTGGGAGTCCAACCCTCATTTTCACCATCTCTACCAAAGTGTATGTTTCACCTAAGATCTACCTCAACTATTATATTCTAATTAAACTTCAATATTGGAAAATTTTATGCTTATTTCAAGAACATTTCAATTAGTTGAAGTCTGTACTTCTGCAAAAGAACAAGCACTTTCTCAGTGACACAACTTCAACGAATTGAATAAGAATTTCTATGGGAACTGGAAATGTGTTACAGAAATATTTTCATATTAGTGGGCAATAAGATTCTTGAATCACTTGGAAAAGTTATCTTCATTCATGATATAGCATTCCTGCGTTATATGATTATGGTTCTGCATGCACAAAAGTATAGAAGAAGGATGAGTATTTGGTCCCGAGAAACACATGTGATGACATCTTATATTTTTGCTTCCAATGTATTTATTCTTAAAAAAAGAAGTTTTTGATTGTGGTTTATATCTTTTTGTATATTTTTAGTCACGACAACTTCTATCATATTCACTGATTCATCCTGCATTTGATAATGATGAGAGATCGTCGTTAACGTCATGGATGGAACATTTAGACGACAGAATACCAAACGTTGTACCGGAAAACAATTATCCTCCTAATGCCCAACTTGGTAAGAATTTTTCAGAAAATAGCGTACCTCTGTCAGGGATGGCCAATACCGAATAGTTCACTATTTCGAATACATTCGAAATTATTTTTTTCGAATATGGAATTTCGAATACTTGGAAAATAAAATCCACTAATTGAAGCTTATCTAAATGTATCTAGGAATTTCCATACAATAAGCAATGGAATAACTGCTATCTACAAGTTACAACCTAGCTATATTACCAGGCATTTCATATTTGCAGATTATTGCAGCATATATTTTATATACCATGAGTCATGTTAACAGAATTGAATTAATACGGCAATAGTGGTATCGATGATAGATTTGAATATTTGCGCAACACAAAATCATCCTAGTAAAACGCCCATACTTTTAAATACCAACCATTATCCAAATTAGCCAAAAAGCGGGTTAGAGGTATTTTTCCGACTCGTGACAATATTTTCGTGAGTACAAAAATACGAATCAAAAATTAATTTACCACACATTTTAAGTCCGCAGATCGCCATTGTATGTTTGAGTAATAATACTTTTATCATTTTATAAATATGAAAATAGGAATCAAAAGCTATTTATAATCGGGAGTTTACCACACATTCTAAGTCCACAGATCACCGTTGTATTTTGTAAATACGAAAATAGGAATCAAAAATTAATATTAATCGTGAGTTTGCCACACAATTTATGTCCACAGATTGCGGTGATATTGTGCCGAATATAATTAGTTTTTGATTCTTATTTTCGTACTCACGAAAAAATTGTCACAAGTCGGAAAAAGAATTTATACTTTATCCCGCTTTTTGGGAACTAATTTGGATAATGATTGCCATTGGTTTGTATTCAACTTTTTACTAGGATGATTTAGTGCTGCGCAAAATATTCGAATCCATGACCGATACCATTTAAAATGCCTTACCGTGTTAATTTGATTCTATTATCATAACTCAAATGTTGGTAAAACGGGCAGTTTACCACACATTTTAAAGCCACAGATCGCCGTTGCATTTTAGAATTATAATAGTTTTATTATATTGTAAATATGAATCCGAAATTGATTATAATTGGGCAGTTTACCACGTATAAATACCCGTGGTATTTGGTATTAATACTTTCATTATTTTATCAATATGAAAATAGGAATCAATATTTAATAATATCGGTCAGTTTACCCCACATTTCATGTCCACAGATTGTCGATACAACCATGAGTTACGTTGAACAGAATTAAATTGATGCGGCATGACATTTTAAATGCTGGTACCAGTCATGGATTGGATTATTTTGCGCAACAAAAAATCATCCTGGTAAAGGATCGATACTTTTAACTATCGCTATCAAAATTATTTGCCAGAAATTATTTTCTAATAAATAAACTTGTTTTTCCAACTTTGACAATTTATTGGATATCGTAACAATGACGGCTATAAATACCGTATTTCCCGGCTAATAAGTCCACATGGCAAATAGGACGATGTCTATTTTTAGCACTCAAAAAAGGGGTTTTTCCATATAGGCCTCCAATAAGACGGGTAGAAAAATAGTGTCCCTGTTGTTCAGTAATGCTGATGTGCGCTAATAACTTTATATGTTTAGATCATGTTAGATTGGTAGAATCATTCTCACAGAATTACTATGATTAACAATTGAGCGGTAAATTTAAGTTGTAAAGCGGCAATCATTTTGGACAAACTATTAACCCTAATGTTGAAATAATTTTGGAATGTGATAAGTACCGTACTACACTGTACGTGCACGGGTTATTTCGCAGCTGTGTTTTCCTGTCCCTGTCGTGTTCTGCTGAATCGGCAAAACGAAAGGGTCACAAATCACTTTATCTCAGTGGCCGTGTTTCTCTTTAAAGTAACGATAACCGGCCTGCGATTAAATATCATGATTGGCAGACCCTAAGACCCAGCAACTTATTTGCCGGGAAATACTGTAATTGTCAATTTTTCGACGTAATGGAAATGAATTTGTAAATTAAAAGCCTCGTAGACGAATGTCGGCAATGTCCACCACGCAAAGGTGTCGCAACACTATGCAACGTACCGTCGCACGGAATATAAACAATCAAAGTGCCGATTCTATTTCATCGTCATTACAATACCCGAGACAGCGTAAAAAGTCATTTGAAGATTCCCGTAAAACGAAACACCACGTTTACGGCGAAAAGTGGCGGAATTATTCGAAAATCAGCCGAAAAGGTATTCGAATACTTTGATATTCGAATACATTCGAATATTCGATTCGTTTTGGACAATCCTGACCTCTGTAATCTTTGACTTATTGGTTCTCACTGAAACCATAGGCAAATTTACAATGTGAGGGTGTGACAATAATGAGTGAACAGTGGGTCCCAATTGAAAGTTGGTTGTCCCTTATTCTTGTTAATTTACCAGAATTCTTACTATATTCTGGTTATTACATTTCAGAAGATTCTCAGAATGCAAATGACGTCAATCACAACCGATTATGGAAAGATGATCCTGCTTTGTTGGGACCTTCAGATACCACGCGTAAGTATTTACATATTTATAGGATAAGATTTTCATAATTATCCTATGCAAATGGAGAGCCAAACACACAACGGTTAGCATTCCATGTTGGGTATGGGGACTGGGTATATGTTTCAGATGCATGGGTTCTGTACCATGGTTATGTGAACCGCCCTGCAGTGGCGAGATGTCCAGCTGCCCTCTCGCATATAGTTATAAATATCAAACTGCCCTAATGATGTCAATAGATAGGATTTACACATATTGAATCAGTCCGCCCATCCCACAAATAGTGAAGTCTTCTCTTCACTGAGAAGATTCAACTACACTGGCAGGCACTCCAGAAGTGTGTGTGTACCCAGACGCGCAGCCAGGATTTTCAAAAGGGGGGGGTTTCATAATCATAAATTCCCATTGCGGCCTGTAACAGTCTTCGCATTACGCGCTCGTTAAAGGGATGTCTTTTCAGCGTATAATGATTATTCTTGTCGCGTGAAATTTCAATCTCTGACAACTACAAAATTCTAAAATGTCTTTTATATATTAGTTTAATTGTGTCCAACGTAACTCGCGGTTGCTTCTTCTTACGTCAAAATTAAAACATTAGTTCTCTGAAATGCCACGGCGATCGGTGGACATAAAAATATGAGATAAACGGTGTATTAATTTAATTTTAATACGTATTTTTGGAATCTTGCCAACTCGTTATCGCCGTTAGAAAAATCTCAATAACCGATATAAATCCCGAAAAGTACAATTTTATTTCATACAATGAAAGTGCATATGAAGTATATCGTTAAATCAAAAATACATATTAATCGCCGCAATTACGCCACTTGTTAAAAGAGCCGACGTTTCCAACGAAAAATGATTTTTCTGTTGTGCAAAGTAATCAATTCGTGACCGATAAGGGCATATTTAAAATGTCTTGCTTTATTAATATAATTGTCTTCAATTTAACCAGCGTTTGCGCCGACAAAACAAAACAATTTTTTACAATTCACAATTTTAAAATACCTCGGCCATTTGCCGACATAAAAATAAAAATTTGTGGTAACTACCCCTCGCCTATCATATATTGTTTTGATCCGTATTTTTTCTCTTTTGCAAATTCGACAAATTTGAGATGTGCTCGTAACATTGACTCCGTTCAATCGCAATGCTGACACTCCGATTATTTTTAAAGATAAAACCTCCTGAAAAATCCGTAAATCTGCTGTAAATTCTCATGGAGTAAAATTTATTTCAGTAAAATAAAAATTGATGGATATACTTCGGATTAATTATCTTTTATATCATCACAAACCGGGAAAAAATCGCGTTTTCATCCTTGGTTAATGATAACACGAAAGTTTTCTACGACAATTTTAAAGTAATGGATGAAAGGCAAATCCCACCCACAATTAACCGTGTTTCGATTTTAGTGACGTATGTTCCTAAACGGCGACCAATCATAATGTGCGCCGTAGGCACACGAAATTTTGCGATTTTGCGACTAGAAAAGCATTTTTAGAATGTCGCGGGACTCAACAAAACTTATATTGTTTACGGTTTTATTTTCAGTATTCTATAATGCCGCTTTTCAATCAAATTTAGATAGCGGTTTTACTCCTTCTTTTGTCTTTAGAACCTCGCCACCGATGAACGTATAATAACTCACGAATTCACAATTCTGTGCAAAGTACAAAAATAAAATAATTATCATGTTTATCGTGGCACAAATTTATGATTTAGAAAGAATAAAAACCGACTTAAGGGCGTTTATGGCCTAAATAACACGCTGATGAAAACATGGGCGATTTTAGCAGAAGGCAATTGCACGCTTTTTCAGTTTTCACATTTCCGTGCGGGTACAAAAATAAAAAAATTATCATTGTTCCCGCGGCACAAATTTGTGATTCAAAGAGAATAAACACCAATGTAAAGGGCGTTCACGGCATAAATAACATGCGGCGTTGATGAAAACGAACGGCGATTTTAGCAGAAGGCAATTGCACGTGTTATCGGCAACTTTTTCACTTTTCAGAAAATTTAAAAGGGGGGGGTTTCGGGGTCGGGGTCGTCCCCCCCCCCCCTGGCTGCGCCACTGTGTGTACCAATATGGAGGTAACTAATTTTGTTGTGTAAAGGGACTGAAACCTATGGGCAGGGGGTATATTCACTTGGCTAACACAGACAGTCCCCAAACTAAATAAGGAAAATCGGAATAAAATTATGGCCTAACCCTAACCTGGTACACACACTATAGGAGTACCGGCAGGCACGGTGGTTACAAAACTTGTTTCGAATCCAATGCTCATTGCCGCAACAGGACCACTAGTTAGCCAATTGCAAATCCGAAGGATTCCAGACCTCCATGAAATAGTAGTGCTTTACTCATGTGTCACGTTTTCTACAGAGCCTTGTTCAGAGTCAAAAAAAATTAAAAATTTGCTGTATCAAATATTTTTCATCTCACTTTTTGTACAGCCGCTCCTTTATTAACCAGTCCTACATCATGGCAAGCTTCAGACAACAATGGTTTTAAGTCTGAAACAAACCAGACAAATTCATTGTCACCTGGACACAGACGAACTGAAGACATTGAGACACACCAACACACAGACACAAACAAATCAACTTCGGAAGACACAAATGCTGCTGAATATGGTAGGTTGAGGTTTTTGTTTGTCAAAGTTTTAATTCGGTTCCAGTAATTTAAAAAACATCCAAAAACGAGATAGACTATGTTTTTAATATCAGCTGTCAGTAGTTTTTATCAACAGCTGCTTTAATATTTTGGGCAAAATGATGATTTCAAAGATGTAAATTCGTTGCACTTACCCAATTGCAAAAACACTCTCAGAATAAGCATTAACAATTTTGTAATAGGGAGGTATAGGGATGATTTTCGAGGGTCAAGGGTCAAGGGTTGGAGAAACATCGATTTTGCCTGGCTAACCTTGGTGCAATCTTCTAGCGATATCCTACATCCCATTGTAAAAACATATTCATTGTTCATATTTACCAAATGCATCGCATTTGCATATATAACAGGAGGCAATTTAGGTATGTGCAACTTTTAAATTTTATCAATCATTTCAAGGAAAATCATTTTATGTTTTCTTGCTCAGACTTCATATCATGGCTAAAATCACTTCGACTTCACAAATATAACGACCTATTTGCCAGCATGAAATACGACGAAATGATGCAATTGAATGAACATACTCTTTCTAAAAAGGTTGGTTACTGTTCTCTTATTTTAAAGTTTTCAAGCTGTTAAATATTGATAGTATTGATAGCTTCAGAAGTATGTGTACCAATATGTAGGTAACTAATTTTGTTCGCTTACTTTACATCAAGTTGTGTACAGGTACTGAAACCTCAGGGCAGGTGGTATATTCATTTGGCTAACAACCTGGAACTTGTAATAAAACTAAAATAAGGAAAATTGGAATAAAATTATGGCCTAACCCTAACCTGGTACACATACTATGGGAGTACCATTGAAAGTATTTATCTGTGTGTTCCAAAAACTAAACTTCAAGATGGTTGAAACAAATTTGCATTACTGCAGTATAAAAGTTCCCTGAAGTCTGGAAAATTTACATCATAAACTTTAAACTGCGGCCCTCCAAAAAGGGGCCATAGACAATTTTTTGAGCCGGGGTGTGAAGCTAATTAAAAATAAAAATATTTGTTAGATGAAATCTTGTCTGCCTCATTTTGGATTTTGACTAGTTTGTTTAGAGATTGCAGAGAGCTGTTTGTTTGTTTGTTTTTATTATCTGTTATATTACTTTCGCCTTAGTATCTGGTATTTGGGATTTTAAAATACGACTCAGACCACGATATCAGTAAAAAAATGTCAAAATTTAAATTCTACTTCATGTTTTGATAAAAATTTCTCCTGTTCAGAATGTAACAAAAGGTGCGCGGGATAAAATTCTATTGAATGTCAAAAGACTTCATGAGAGATTTGAAAAATTACAAGGACTGGAAAAAGTAAGTTGAAGTATCACTGATAGTCATCGCAGTTGGTTTACATCAGTGGTTCCCAGACCACGGCCCGCCTAAGTGAAATAGTTTAACACTTTGATTTTATTATTTTACGTTCTACATGACGGCAATTGTTATGTCATTATCACACAGTTATGTGTATGTGTATATTCGTAACAATTCAATTGTATTGGTATCCTAATGATACGTAACAGTGCCGGTATTGCCCCTGTGGGCGCTCTCCTCTCCCAGCCCACGAATATCCTCCCACCACTAATTTTGGCCCTCGGCCGATCAATTTTGGGCACCACCAGTTTACATGTTCACCAACGTGTGATTTAAAAGGACTGTTACCTAATCTCTGTCTAGTCTATCACAGCTTTTTCGCTAAAAAACTAAGACTCTTTGAAAAACGAAACAACCATCAAGTTATCTGATTTTACCTAATTTTATGAAATACAACTGAAAACTTACAAATAACATGCAAAATCGCGAAAATGAACAGATTTTCACAACTATGTTCAAAAATCCGTTGAAATTTTAATTGTTACATCATCGTTAACTTATCACTGATTAGCCAATGTTACAGAAATAAACGAGGAAGTTGATGCTCAGTAAATGGTCCCTTCAATATTTATTCCTTTATTTAGGAGATTCCGAGAGGTGGTTCATTGCGAAGTGCATTAAACGAACTCAAATCAATGATCTACACTCCAATTATTCGCTTTGAATCTCCGCCCACTGAAGACCCTACTCCTGCTCAAGCACAAAACTTACCGACGCCATCGCCTGGACAATCTGAAATATTGCCTGGCGATATTCCCGGACAATTTACAAAAGTTCTTGGAAAAGGTGATTTGTGTTACTTTGTATCTGTGTTCTATTTTCATATGTTGTGTTTTTCAAATATACGGTACTGAGCGGTCTGGTGTAGTTCAAAAGCAATATGTTGAGTATTAAGTGTTATTTCTTGACTGAATATTGTAATTCTTTTTTCAGCCTGCACCCAACTTCTGATCTCAAAACCTGACAAGGACAATATAACCCTTTACCTACAACTGCTAGAGAAATGTATGCATCACACGGTAAGTTTATCAAACATTCTTTTATTATATTTATTATATCATTATCTATTCATCCAGCGTGATTTATTACACAAATAAATCATGATTTCAATACTGGAAAAACAAATTTTGTCCAAAAATGGTGAATTTACAATCAGGATGCCTTACTGCAAAATTTTAAGTTCCGTCAAAAGCAGTGGCTTCTTGTACAAGGCCTTGTTTGGAGTGGAAAATGTGTATAAAATGAAAAATCAATTCAAAACATTCTTTTCCATTAACGTCGATTTCAGATTTTTCTTCAACTTAATTCGTTGTACATCCCAATGTTACACTTCACATTTTGTTGAAGTGTAGCCTATTATTCCATTACAAAAAAAATAATGTTATTGAATGATTCTGCAGGCTTTCACATCGCAACAGAAAAAGAGACTACAGAGTTGGAAATGGCAAATCAATAAAATTTATCGTTCGTTACCTAGAAATCAACAGATGTCCTCACAAAGGTTTGTCAAATTCTTTCCTGTACTCAAAAATTTACTAATTTATACATCGTTGTTTTAAAATACTGTTAGTGCATATTGCCATGGAGAGAAATTGCCAAAAAGAAATGCTCAAATATATGTGGACATGGAAAGCCCAATAAAACTAATGCAGTACAGCAGTAACCTATGAGACGTACACCAAAATCTGTTATCTGATTTTTCAGATGCTTCAAATCAAATTGACAAGTTGAGTCCCATAACCACAGCAATTCTAGGCCGGAGCTTAACGAAAAAAAAAATACCTCATAAATAGAATGCTCAAATGTTTAGTAATCAGTATCATTCTCCAATATTGTTCAAATTTCTAACTGTTTGCCTCCATATTTTCTTAGAAGTGCTGTTGGTGCAAACTATCCCAACAAGAGAGTGAGTGGGCGGAGTCTGCCGTCATTTGGAGCTGGAGTGATAAGTCCAGCTGCATCACCAGCAATGCGATCTTCAAATCAACTTTCTATGTTTCCTGCTCAAGTATTAAAGGTAGGCTTAGGCTTGTGTTTTACCCTGAGATGGGGAGTACGGGAAAAAGGTAGTAGTACGTGTAGCAGGTTAGGGTTAGGCCATATTTTTACTCCAATTTTCCTTATTTTAGTTCTAATACGAGTTCAGGGACTGTCTGTGATAGCCATGTGAATATACCTCCTTCCCATAGGTTCCAGTCTTTTTACACAATTTGATGAAAAGTAGGCAAACAAAATTAGGTACCTCCATATTGATACACACACTTTTGGAGCGCCGGGAAAAATTTACATACGACTCACTCAAAACCATAAGCCATTCAAAAAACGACCCCAGCTTTGAATTCAATTATCACCATTAAAAATCTGAATTCTAAGTTTCGACCCTGGCTCTCATTAGAATTGTTTTGTGCCAATAATTTTGATTCAAAATTGTCCGAATCGATCCGGTATCGGTGAAATTGTAGTTATTGCTAGATTTTACTTTGGTAAATCATAAAAAGTGGTTTAAAGTTCAAAGAAAAGTTATATGAATTTTTTGATAGGTACATCGTTTTCTAAATAGCATCGTTTTTTTTTATTCTTGAAATACCTTTAATAATTAGAGATAAGTTCTTGGATCTGACTAAGTTGCAAACCCAAGTTGAACCGCCATACCCACCAGCCACCACCATACCCAGTGTGTGATAAATTGGGTAAATAAAGCCAAACTGGTGCCTTTTTGACTGTAAGGCTAAGCTATATAACGCTTTATCTACAACATTATATTGTGACGTAATGATCCCTTATTGTGGGAATTTTTTAATTTGTTGTATACATGGAAAAATCAATATTTTTGTGGGGCTCAGCTATGTGTCTGAAGTTGGCATTGCTGAAGCGAAAACAGGAACTCCATACGCAGTCAGTAGGTTAACTGCTTTTATAGAGCCTCGTTCAGAGTGAGAACGCTTTATAGGTTGTGATGTTGCATGGACCTTACTTCATTATAATCTTCCATACATTAAATGATTGTTTTATTTTTCAGCCTACATGGTACGGTTATGGATCAAACACTCACCCCACCCCTCACACCGTCCAACCTCCAATCGAAGCTGCTAGAAAAACTGCATCTCTGGACCCAAGTCTTGTTCAGCGACCTGCAGCGTACCCAGTTTCTCATTCATCAGATATTGGAAATCTGCAAGGTCTTACGGGGGGCCCAGGTGACACAGACATCAGCAAAAGACTTGATTCGTTAAGCCTTAGTGTGGCGGAACATGCATTGTCAGGTAATAACCAATAATTATGAGTTTTTTGAAGAAAAAAGTATACAATTTTAAAATTTTTCTAATCAGATCCTGTTAGACCAGACATTGGCAAAGTACGGCCCGCGGGCCAAATTCAGCCAGTTGGGTAATTCAATCTGGCCCACCTGATGCTGCCACAGCCAAACTGAAACCAAATTTTGATGTTTCAGTTAAATAGCTCAAGGAATTTGTTTTAATTGCGGTTAAATTTAGTTTTAGCGTGAGGATTATCGTTTTTCACTGTTGCTTTTGTAACACTGTGAATATTGTTCAGAAATTTTTCACGTCAAACTTACATGGCCCGCCAGTCTAGGTGGGAGAAACCGTGCCCACCCCGGTGTTCGACTCTTAAATCTCGAATGGATGGACTGATTTTGACACGATTTAATTGGTTATTTAAACATAACTTAAACATTGATATCGATCTTTGAATGTTGCGCTATTCTTTTTCTACCATCTTTCATATCTGTTATCTTATTATGAAAAAAATAGCTTTTTTTGCAAGTTATGGATCGTTCGATTTCAATTTTTAGTACTCAAAGAATGAAGCCTATTAGTTTTGAATTTTTTCAGTCCTTTAGGGCTAATAATTCACTCAAAATTTGGCTCTCTCATTTTAATTGATGAAAACACTTTTTATGACCTATGGGAACACTTGTTCTGTCACAATTCTACGTCAATCTTTTCACCAAACTCTGCGGCCAGTTGAGACCTGCCCGGCTTTTCTGTTCATATTTTCAATAAGCATTGCTTTCTTGTTTCAGATGCTGATCGTATATCAACCCTATGAAGAACGGAATGCGATTGGTTTGAAATTATTGTATACCTTTTTTTGCCTTATTTTTGCCAAAAATAAGTACTGTATTTTTATAACAGTATTTTCAACTTCATATCATGTTTCTTATTATTGTATTTTTTTTATATTCATTCACTTTTTTATCATCTTGAACTGAAAATAAGCTGGTATTTGAGTACGCCATAACAGAATTTTAACCTTCTTAAACTTGTCTTGTTGAATAGAGTGTCCATAAAGTCTTAAAATTATTTAAAATTACGAAGGGAATTTATTGATACCGTATTATGTTTTGGCCTTCACAGATTTATTAAATGAAGTAAAAATACTTAAACAATTCCTGATTAAAAAACAACAAAACCTGGTTAAGATATATTGAGAACTGACTTCATAACAAAATTGAAATTGTAAAGGGACTTAATGGACACCCTGTATAATAAATGTAGAATAAATCAGCCAAATCAGTTACAAAAGCTAGATGAAAGAGATCTGTTTTTAGGCATACAATTCTAATTTGTCATCAGTAGGAAATTTTCGGCTCTTTGACCACTAGGGCTGTAGAATCCGGGTAGAAAAATTTGAACCCGGCTGCGCCTGCTCAGGTTGGAAAAAATTCAACCCATCTCAGATAAAACAAAACTTTGGCATATGAAACCTTTTTTGAATCTCTGTTGAGTATACTCAGCCACCTTAATGCTTTTAGGTTTTTTTTTTCTCCATAAATTCTGATTTGGAGGTATAGCTCTAAATTCTGACACTGACAAATTCAAAATTTTGACTCTTACAAGTATGGAAATTCAACTCTAGCATTTTCAGGAATGTTCCCAACTCTGACTCTACAGCCCTAGAATACTAACTAGGTCTCTGATAATAATCTAATTTTGTTCAATTTCCAGCATAAAATATAGTCTTTGTAGAAGTCACTTAAAGATCATTCGATCATTTTACAAATCGTGTATCATTGTTAAATAATTCTTTTCCAGTAAAGCATTTTTGAGACATTTCTACTTCACTTGTAAATCTAATCACACCATATAAGCTTTGTAAACCATACTTATTTCGGTACTCCCGTAGTACGTGAACCAAGATGGCGGACACCAGAACAAGCCATAATTTCAGATACAAATACTACGGGAGTCACTTGGCTAGTCCCGAACTCGTAATAGAACTAATATAATGAAAATTGGAATCAAATTATAGCCTTAACCCTAACCTGGTACACATACTGCGTTCCAGTGTCCGCCATCCGTGTCGCACACTACGGGAGTACCCTGATTTCTATCACAGTATATAGACCTGGGATTTGATTCATTATACAGCGACTTGGATAAAAATTGAGTGGACATAGCAATATTTAGCGATGCCAGCTTGGGGATGTCCAGATTGAATCAAACATTTGAAACAGTTTGAACATTGATGTATTCTATACAGATTATTCGGTTTTGGACATCCCTGCCTATGTCTTGGACTAAAAATGACTTAAAAGATGGCAGAAATTACATTATCTTTTGTATTTTAAGAACACTTATTGAATAATATACTTTATTCCTAGCCTTGTATTGTTTGTTATCAAGTACACTATTCTATTGAATTGCGGCCATGTTACAGGCTCAAACGAAAATATGACAAATTTTGGGTTTTTTCTGTTACATTTTTTTTACAAAAATTCAAATTCTACCTACCCCTAGAGGTCGGTGCTGAATTGCTAATTTACCTATTACATTGCGCATATTAGAGTTTACATTGCAAATGCCGCTATCCCTATGTTGGTTGAAATTAATACAAAGAGCAAGCTTTGCCCAGACATGGCCAGGTGATATAAATTGCATTTTGTCATCTGGCCCATGCTTGAATCAGATGTATCTACTTTTTATAATATTATTAGTTATTCATATTATTGTTTTATTTTCCTAACCTACTAATCTTACTATTATTGTATTTTTTCACTTTCAAACATTATCGTCATAAAGATCCCATGCATTTGATAAAAAAGTATTTAATATTTGTTCCTCTGAGAGGAACAACACAGCATCACTGCTGCATTTTTATAGTTTAATCGTTTTTAGCATTATTATGAATTAGCTGAAGAAATATTGTATGGTATCCACTAGTCAATAATATTTTGTTCCGAAGGGACAGTTTACTTTAAATTTAAACTCGGGACTCCAGTATCAATAAAAGCACTCTAATTCTGACAGTACAGCCTGAGTATATAATAACAAATACCAGGCAGAATTATTGACTTTTTTTTCTCATTTAATAACACATTAGCCAATAACATAATAAAATGATCGATTCACTCTACTCTCAGTTGAGTTTTTAAGAAAATGACTCCAGCTCTGTAGTTTTAGGTGGGGAAATTTTTAAACAATCTAATTTCACTTTTAATTAATATAATGAGTAGATTTTATCAGCGTAATGGAGAGACTTTTGCCGCTCCAGAAGTGTGTGTACCAATATGGAGGTAACTAATTTTGTTCGCCTACTTTTTTACATCAAGTTGTGTGAAGGGACTGAAATTCACTTGGCTAAAACAGACAGCCACGAACTCGTAATAAGACTAAAACAAGGGAAATCGGAATAAAATTTTGGCCTAACCCTAACCTGGTACACACACTACAGGAGTACCAAACTTTCAACTGAAATGAATGAGGTCGAAATTTTTGTCAGAACGTAAGTTATGTAACTACCCTTGCCAGTTTTTATCAAATTTTGGTTTCCTTGTATTTGAGAGCTGGAGTGAAAATTTCCTGTAGTCGTAATTTTTAAACCAGACTTCAGTTCCAATACCAGCAAGAATTCGCTAATACTTATATGCCTTGAATCTCGAAATCAAGTCTTTGGTTTCAAAGTGTACTTCATTACTGATGCGTTTGTTTCATATCCTTTTTGTTTGACTGAGTGTAACTCGCGTGATGCTACTTTCAACTATTTTATATGTATTTTGTCATTAACATAGTACTATCTGTATACTACATTATTTTCATTGTAGATATATTAAAAAGATATTATTGATTGTATATGACTGCTACAGACATACTTCAAAATATTGATCAAGTGTGGATTGCCTTATTTTCCTCTATTTTCAAAACGGACTTCAACTGTGTACCTAATAACGCAAATTTATTAGGGACGTCTCAAACCAAACAGGAATTTTTAATAATTTTATGGGCCAAATTTAGGCTCAAATTCAAAGTTTTAGGCATTAATAGACATCAATCATTTAGGCATTTTGTAGTCACAAACACAACAAATCTAAAAAACTCCTGTAACCATTTACTCTGGATTACCTAATATATCTTCCTGTGGAGTTTATGATTCATAGAACAAGGGTATGGTTTCAAAAAAAGTTTGGCAGTCTGTAAGCTGTTAGAATTTTTGGTGTAATGTTAGATTCGGGTGTTAGTTTACTTTATCAAAATGTTCTTTTGCTTGCTACTATTTACAGGGTAAAGCAAAAAACAAACAAACATTTTTTTTAAATTCTCTGAGAGATTTTTGTCCCACTCTGTATAGCAAATAGCAATGGCCTATGTTTTTAGAGCACATCCCACATATTTCAATATTGGGCTCTCCAGAAGTGTGTGTACCAATATGGAGGTAACTTCTTTACATCAAGTTGTATAAAGGGACTGAAACCTATGGGCAAAAGGGTTATTCACTTGGCTAACACTGACAGTCCCGAACTCGTAATAGAACTAATAAAAGGCGAATTGGAATAAAAGTATAGCCCAACCATAACCCGGTACAGTGGTACACACACTACGGGAGTACCCAATATTGAACCTAGACACTCGAGTAGCGTATCCGTTAGTTGAACTAACACCTCTCACATTCTATATATGATATAACCTAATATTATTTGCTTGATGCAAATATTACATGTGATTTGCTTGTTTTGGATGGAAAAATGCTTCGCTGCCTTATGGAAAGCTGGTTTCTTTCTTCTCTGCTTGCATGTAGCTTCTTAATGTTTATAAAGTATTGGAGTTAGCAATACTATTAATACAATGCATTTAACACAAACTTGGTCTTTCGGTGTAGATAGGTGGGTTCTGGAATGGTATAGCAAAAAAAGACTGTTGATTATCAATTGTGAACCTTCGTGATGCAACTTTTTCACTCACTCCGTTTTTTGCCTTGAAGTTTTGATGATTATAATCACTAAGCAACTGAGTTCCAACAATCTATGATAAGGTAATTCATTTCGAACTTTGTCATGACACAAACAGAATGACATCACTCGAAACAATTTATTTTTGGTGTGGGTGCAGATAGTGAACTATACATCATCATCACCGAACTTAAGGTTATTCAGTTATTTATATTGCTCTGCGCTTTTGTTTGATACGTAAGCCCACCACCTTATTTTCTTATTCTATCACACACTTTTATGGTTTAAATGGGGCTTCTTTCTGCGGGTGGGCTTGTTTTATGATAAAACATGAGCTACTATTAATTGCTATCTAGTTTGTACGGGACTGACACACCTAACCTATTATTCTCAAATTTTCACAATCCATGGCCCACTTCCAAAAGCCCTCAGCTTTTCATGGCCATATGCTCCTAAAACAAAAACATGTTTCATTTTTACCGGTTTCCATCAGGTAGTTTATTCACCTCGTTTAATAAATAATGAAACAAATCACATATAATTTACCTAAATGAGAATTAATGTGGTCATTGCAAATGGTGCCTGCCGGTGACAGTCTTTGCTCGTGGCCCTCTTTAGGGCTTGAGTGGCCAGTTGGAGAAACCCTGATCCAGACAAATTTCGGACTGAAATGAGGTCATTCTCACGACTGTGGCAACGCATATCTTTGAAAATCTGTCACTGGCACAACATATCTCCTCTCCTTTGAAATTGATTCTCCTCCATCTCTGCCAGGGTTTTCTTTCCCGGACTAAGAGAATCTCTCATTTTTCATCTTCTTGTTGTTTCTTCATCTCTCAGACAATTTCCACAATCCTAATTTGCAGTCATAAAAAGTGCATCCTGCAATGTAGTCAGTATTTTCCTCCATATCTCCTTGTGACCAATCTACCCCATATGCTAGAGAGCCATCATTAGTATTGAACGAAGTTATTATATTGGGAGAACCATTTTCATAAGAAATAACTTTGAAGCCATTAAACATACATGCAGCTAGCAATCGATCACAATCATACGGATGCCATTTCAGTCTCCATACACCACCACCTACAAAAATCTCAGACATAGGTTGGCGTCGAATACATCTCGTATCCCAAAACCTGACATATTCGTCGTAACTACCTGTAGCGAGGGTGTGATCTGATTTGGAGTTGCATTGTATACTACAAACTCCAGCTGAATGCGCTGAATTTTTGAAAATATATTTTGATGGATCTCTCACATCCCAACCACAAAATTTACAGTCGTCTCCGCCGGAATATACTACATTACCGTCCCATGTATTATAAGCGCATATCCAAGCTTCAAAATCGTGAGCTTTCCATTGCGACTCCTTCACTACTTCTCTATTGCGTGAATCTATGATGGACAAACATCCATTTGAATCACTAGTGCATATTTTAGCTTCCAGTCCCCAGTCTAGTGATAAAAGAAGGCCTTCATTTGTAACTTTAGAAGCAACAACCTCCGTCAGTTTTACATCATTACAAGACTCTATAATTTTATCTAATGAATACAACTTTACAAAGCCTTTGGCATCCGCTGCACATAGCATTGTCTCGTCAACACAATTACCATTCCATTTCAAGTCTAAGATTGCATCTGTTTCAACTTTGAAGCACTTTTTCATTCCCAAATCATTTTGAGTGAACAATGCAATACTGCCTTTACGGTTCATAAGATGACCTGGTAATCCTTCTTTCTCTTGCTTCAAAAGTTGATAAGTTCCGCAAGCTACTATATTTTTGTATCCATCGGAGGGACACCATTCCACAGAGTCTGGGCATTCAGTCAATGTTTCACAATAAACCTCCTTGGCATAAATTTTATTCGAATCTTTTTCAGCCATTTAACTTAAAGATACACACACCTGGCAAAACAAATCGAGCATTTTATTAATATGTACATTCGAAACGATTTAAAAAACGGTTATTCAGTGAATAGATGTTAAAATGAATCAAATACATTCATATTTTAAATCTATCAATTTAATGTTCTTCTAAACCAGTGGTTCTCAAACTTATTAAGCCATGTGCCCCCTTTTTAGAATTCGTCAAGTCTTGCGTCCCACCTCAAAAATACCTAGCTAACGATAAGCTACAAATAACAGATAGTAAGGCGAAAGTATGTTTTCTTTATAAAAAACAAGTTTCAAATACATGGATGGAATCGCAATTCTCTAAACAATAAAAAATGTTAATATCCAAAATAGGGCCGGCAAGACCCAGTCTAACAAATATTTTTAATTAGTTTTACGCCCTCTCAAAAAATTGTCTACGCCCTTTTGTGGGGCGCGCCCTGCTGTTTGAGAAGCACTGTTCTAAATATCTTGTATATAAAATTCAGTCTCTATTAATATGTAGCACAGTACACAAACACAATCAGTGGATAAAAATGGTTTTTCAAAATAAAGCTATAACTTCACTCACCAAAAACCCATAAGAAAAACATGTATATTGTAAATTTTTTAACAGAACTTGCACAGTTGATACAAATAATTTGCTTACAATTGGAAGCTGAAACTTTTTTTTGTCACTCAAGTATTATAATAAAGCAAACAGTGTTTTCACTAAAGTTACGTTTTACAGAACGATATGTAAAAAAAAAACATATGATGATCATTCAACATTTCTGTTTATTGCTTAATTTATGCATAATAGCATATAATAGCTTTCATTCTCTAGTAAAGTAAAATTCACCAAATTTTTTACTTTTACAAAATACCCATAATGATTTGACAGAGCTTTGGAAGCTTATAATTGATTGTGTTGAGTTAATTACAATTAAATTGATTATAATTAAAGCATACAACAATGCTGATTTTTTATTAAATAGTAACAAACAGACCTCATACTAGTATATATTACTCAACAGAGGAGTAGCGACCCCAAAAATATTGCACTCTGCTATGCAATCATGTACAGATACGAAACCAGTTTCCAATTCTTGTAACAAATAAAAAAGTGAATATCTTTCTTGCAAAATTTACCCACGGGGCAACGGTGGGGCTCTGAAAGGGTTAGTGCGAGCCCTTTCCTAAAATTTCGAACCTCATCACTGCCCATGGGCCATTGCAATTCAAACTAATCCCCAGGGGGTGAATTTACCATTGATAAATTCAACTCAAAAATTGAAGTTAAAAAAGTTGAACACAGTAATCAGTAAATAACGATATTATTATATTACATATGAACATCCAAGTTAGGATTGAAGACAATATAAAACACAATGTACAACAATTCATCATAAAATTGTGCATATTTATTAATTAATAAAAAAATTACAGTGCAAATTAAAGTATGTATGATTGTAATATTAAGTGCTATAATTTGTACATAATTATTATGAAATATATTTAAAGAAATTGAATATAATAATATAAGAATGAAACATATTTTTATAACAAGGCGACAATTACATAGCACAGCGCAAATTAGGGTATGATTGTTTTATCAATTTCTACAGTTTTCTGTATAGTGGATGTTTCCTTGATCATAGACTTCCTTGTTTATTTCAGTAACATTGGCCAATCATCAAGAGCAATGGTGAAGTATAGGAAGAATTTCTCTGGGGTAAAAGGTCGGGGAAACATCCCTTCTGATAAAAAAAATATAGAATGGAGAAATTAGAAAAAGGTGGAATGAACTGAAATATACAAATTACAATATCAGGAACTAATATAACATATTGTATTCAAGCATTGCCCTTACAATCACTCTACAATTGATCAAAATTTTTGAGATAACAGTTTATGGCTTGGGCTATTCGACTCTTCTGCTAGACCAGTCAATTCTTCACTTATTCTCCAGAGACGTTTTGCATATTCATCATTTTGTGCATCCCATGACTCAGCAGTTTGTTTGCAGGAACTGAAAGAGGAAATTTATATAACTTACTTCTGTGAATTGCCAAAAAATCAAAAATTACATCAGCTTAATGAAATATAGCATTGTAGCAATTTCATGCTGTGAATTGGTATAAACAAATATAAACTGTATATTTTAGTATGAATATAGGAAAGGATAGGATATACACATTTATCCCGGTGGAAAGGAAAGTCGATAACATGGCTTAACCATAATATATAGCGAACCGGGATTAGTTAACAAAATTATACGAATAATGAATTCACACTCACGCATAATATTTCCCAGAAACTTCGTTCAACTCATGTGCGACAGCACAATATATTTGTGTCTGAGCACCCTGCTCTGGAGTTCTAAATAGAAACTTTAGTGGCAGATAATTTAGTGAGTTGAAAAGTTTGTCCCATAAAGAAGGATTCTCATTCTTTCCATAGTGGCGAACAAGTTCAGTGTCAACTACTCCAGGTTCTAGTGCATACGTCGTTACTGCCGTACCTGAATTAGTAGAAATAATATAAGGATAAGTATAGAACAGCTGTGATGACTGGAGACAGAGTTTGAGATGTTTTTATTGACAGCTCGAGTCGTATTTACTAATTCACTGGAGTCAGTAGTGAAAAATGTTTTTCAGAGCTGGGATATTATATTTTTGCTTGTGATAATCGAAGCCTAAACTTAAAAGTTGACTGAACATTCTCAACAGACAATTTGGGGTCAAAAGCCTTCTTCAATTGTATCTTAGAAATGCCTAGTTCATGGGTGTGCAACATTTAATACAGGAGGGCCAGATACAAATAACTGGGCAAAACCACGGGCCGCACCTTTATTTAACGCAGACTTTCTAGTACTTGCAGGTACAAAAATTTTGGCTCTTCATCTTGTGACATGCGTTTTAATTGCACAAGTCATAGGCATAGATCAGGGCTACTCAACTGGCGGACCGCGGTCCGAATCCGGACCTTTCGAATATTGGATTTGGACCGCACCTAATTATTTATTTTGGATCATTAGCCCCACTATTTGAATTTCTATTATAAAATGACTTTCATAGTTTTGAATATATATACCAAAAGAACTATAACACCATAATAAACAATTTTAATTTGCTACTAATCATTAGTCGGTCGAGGAAGTGCTCGTTTAAGGACGCCGAAATATCATTTCTGAAAAGACCGGACCCAAATAATTTTGAAGTTTTGTTTGCGGACCTTCGATAAAAATAGTTTAGTAGCCCTGGCATAGATAATGGATTGTACTCAGGTATAGGCCTCGAAACGCAAAGGAAATGGAATTACCAAATTAAATTAAAAACTCGTTTTGCGGGCCACACATCATCCAAAGTTGGCACTTCTTCGCAGGATGCACAATTTTTCCACGAGGCCGCATTTGGCCTGTAGGTTGCACACCCCTGGCCTAGTTCAACTTTATTTGTTCAGTCAAAAATTTATCTTCCATAGCCACCATTACTAGCCTGAAATTCAGACTCATGGAAACTTAAAAATTGGTAAAAACATGGCAAACTCTCAGACTCAAGATTTGAATTCTCACCCACCCTTGCTGCTAAAGTAACGGTTCCTAATATATGTCAATCATACATAAGATTTTAAATAGCATCAAATCTAAGATCTGTTATATAGTTGTGTGATCTTAATTATATTTTTTCTAGTATCCTCAATATATGTGACACTTTTTTCGGTCAAAATTGGGTTCCTAGGAGTTGGGGTCTGGAGCTACAATTTTCTTGAATATGGAGTCGATTTCAGATAGTTCGGAAAAAGAGTAAATTATTATAGTCAAGTGATAAAATGGCTCCGTTGGAAATCCATTATTCCACTTTATTGTATCGCTAAATTCATATGCAACAATTTTTTACATTGTTCACTAACCGTGAAGACGTTTAGAAAGTTCCCTTGAAAACAGAACATTCATCAATTTACTCTGTCCATAGGCTTTTTGTGCGTCATATTTCTTTTCAAAATTAAGATCGTCCCAATGTATTTTTCCCCATCCGTACATTTTGTAATGAGCAGTTGATGACACTGTGACAACACGACTTGGGGCACTTTTCTGTAATAAACAAAACTGGCTCAAAATGGATATGCATATTAATAGCTACTTAGTAATTCATTGCACAAAAAGTAACGAAGCAGACCGAAATCTCAAATATTTTTGCAAAGCAAAATTAAAATCCAAAACATAAAATTTAACTAGTATGTGGAATCGAATTCATTGAATATTAAACACAAAACATAAATAAAATCATAACTAAATCGAAGTACAGTTTTATATTTCCTCTAGCATCATGTCCATGCATCTGAAAGGAATGACTAATCAAATATTTTAACGACCGACACATGTCTAGTAACAGCATGTAGAGGCCTTGGTTTTCCATATAATTAAACTGTCTTATTGGCTTTCTTCATCAAGGTTTAAATAGCCTACTGGGTATTCTTGAAGGAACTCAAACTGAATGTACTGGTTAGTTTCAATATGCAAGAGGTTAGCCTATATAACTGTTTATTGATGAGATAATTAATAGTAAAATCACCTTTAATAACTCGACTAATAAATTAGTCAGCAAAAAGTGCCCAAGATGATTCACACCAAACTGCATCTCAAAACCATCTTTTGTTTTCATCGGAGGGCACATCATCACCCCTGTGTTAGAAAATTAGAATGGTAAGAATTCCTGAAAAGCTATAAAATTAAACATACAAGTACCCAAGGCTGTAGAGCCAGGGGAAATTTAAAATGAACTGTAACTCCGGACTACAGGTCATTTGAAAGTCAAGGCTCGGCAGTGTGGCGCAGGAATACGCTCACCACCTCACTCCTATTACCCTGCGTGAGTTCGCAGGTTCGAATCCTATAAAGTAAAAATTATGTGCGAGAGGATTGCTGGACTCCTTGTCACTGTGGGTGGTTCACACAACCACTAGTCGGTTACGGCTTCCTCCACCATCAAGTCCATGCTTCCAAAAATAAATAACTGGCTAACTAATCCCATACCCGACATGAACTGTTACCTGGACGAGAGACCGTGGTTCCACATAAGGTTAAGCCGTCTTATCCACTTTTCTCTCCCCCGGGATAAATATGAAAATCCTATCCTAATAAACTGAAGTCATAGTCAAAATTTTTCTGAATCTGTTAGCAGGAAATAGAAACAAACAAGAGTCAGAGTGGTTAACAAAACGGTGCGAATCATTTAGTCCTTATTTTCCCATACCCCACAGTGCTGCATTTAACATGCAGTTTTTACCAACCTGCATTGTTTATGAGAACATGCAGTTTCGGCTCATTTTCATTGATATCAGCGGCAAATTCTCTGATGGATTCAAATGAAGCAAGATCAAGTTCTTTCAAAATAACATCATTTGAACCAGTTTCTTGAATAACCTGAAATAAATGAAACAGGGAATAAGAAACACACTGAATCCTGGCCTTGAAGAATAGAGTCGTTAAGAGCGTTTCTGCAAGCGATGACTTTGAAGTCCAAATGCAGAAACACATTTACTTATTTTACAGTGTTAATTAAGGAAATCAAAATGAGAATAAATTTTAATTTAAATGTGATTGTTGTATTGAGCTGAAATTTAATCTTTGATGCCTATAATTTTAAAAGAACATCCTTTTAAGGGTTAATTTTTACAATTCAAGATGGTTCAAATTTTTCTTCAGCCATTTCTGCATTTGAAAAAAAAAAAGACATAAATGTAATGACTATTGAATTCTTTATGATACGGAAATTGTTGATCATATGCTGATATTATTTCATAAAGGCTTCTGAAATTTATTGAAACATTTATTACTTTTTCTTTTGCTGCATTTCCCTTTTCCATATCTCGACAAGCCATAATAACTCTGGCGTTACGATTGGCCATATCAATAGCAGTTGCCAAACCAATTCCAGTGTTTGCTCCAGTAATTAAAACTGTTTTACCATCCATGTGAATATTTTTATTCACCATTCCGCGGTGTACTGTAGCAGGCATATTGAGATAAATGAGTCTATTACTGTAATACAGTAATACAGAAATTACTCTACTAACTGCAGGACGGAAGAATATATAAGCTAATAACTAATACGGAAATATAAATGAAATACTATCGCTTTCCTAGTTCTGTAGTTTGTCTATTTCTAACTAAGTTTAACGCCACCGGTACCAAACCAGAGTATGGCATACTACAGTACTATCAGTTCCGTGATGGTAAAAACACAGCCAGCGCGTCACAGGCAACGCATTTTAATGTTGCGCAACATGTTGTCGGACAAATTATATTTGGGTCGTAAATCTTGTTGTTAAAATATTTGGGGCTCAGCTCAAGCTCACATGTTTTCTGGTCGTTAATCTTATTATGTGAGTAGATTTTACAACTCAATGCTTATGTTCTATTTGAACTAGCGTGACACAACCCAAGTCCACATGCAAGAAATCAGAAATCAGTAAGAAACATGGCTTCTATTCAGTGTTTGTTGCCTTTGCCTAGCAAAGCGAAGCTGGCATATATCTAATACGTTAAAATATAATATATATTTTACGAAAAATATACTAACGGAAGAATAGCCTGTAAGGTAACGCCTATAAATAAGTTGTGCACACGGCGACGTCAAACAGAACCGTTCATTTGTAAATTAAATATTGTTGGGTGTATACGATCGGCAGTGAATATACACTCTGTCAACAATACGTTTTTATTTGACAAACTTTGCTTAACCGATCAGGTAAAATTGAAATGACAGAGTAGTACTAGTTCCCGTTTGACAGTAGCTCAACTAGATAAACGTTGCCTGGTTTAGAAATTTGTGCAATGTGCTATAGTAATTAGTGTTATCGTGTATACACCGTTCATGTAACATTGGTTTAGAACTGCTGGGTCACGAGGCGCTTTCACGAAGCTCACGAATGTCTTTGCAGAAAAATGGGGAAATAAAAAGATTGTAAAGTTTTTTTACTAAATTTGAAAGGGTAATATCGATTCAAAAATGGAGACAATATAGGCATTGAGATGTAATCATGATTTAATCCACTTTACTCTTTAACAATACCGTAGGTAAAATTCATGGGCAACACCAGTCACCAGCTTTAAATCCCAACCAATACCATACAAGTGACTGATATTTTGAAGAGTCATTCACGTTCGGATTGGAGATGTGACATGGTGGGTGTCCGACAAAGTATCAGATTTTATAACACCTCAAAGAAGCAAAAATATGTTCATCTTAGTTTCCCCGCAATCTCGCTTTAAAATGATTCTTCGTCAATGATTTCCTCAAAATTCCATTGTAGGCTATGCTGTAGGAATGTGTCACATTACCCGAGTTCCGGATTGACTTTTTATGTTTTTTATTTACTGATAAGATATATAATCTATGATGGTAAATAATTAATTTTACGCATTTATTTTAGGGTTAGGCTACACTTAATCTATCTATAGTTTAGATACTATTAAAGTATCTTTAGTTAAGATATTTTTAATCTGAACTTTGATATACAAAAAGCCAATCGCGATAAAATCGGATAAAAATAAGAAAGAATATGTATAAGAGAAAGAAGCACAAAAGTAATAACTCAGACGATACCACCAGGCCGGCTGAATCAAGGGTCCGACCACATTCTTCGGCAGATACATATTCTACATCAGGAGGTATGGTTTTCATCATAATTTTTCAAGTGAAATCTGTGATCGTTAATTTACGTAATTCTCTAACGTGTTTCTGAACCTATGGGTCGCGACCCAAAATTGGATTGCCTAAAAAAATTTTGGGTTGCTTGTTTTTTCAATAAAAATCTAAAACCTACTAATTCTCTATTGAATTTATTGCTTATTTTCTATTTAGAAAGATTTATTTTGCTCAATTGAAACCACGCCACGGGCTGATGGCAAACTAGCGAAGTTTCCTCACTTTGGGGTAATTTCTCGGGAAATAAATGTTATGTAAGAACGATTGCTTCATATTATTCATTTTATTTTGCGACAATTTACAAAATTTTGGTCGCCTAAAGAATAAGATGTGGACCACTGGATTCTATTCTAGAAAGAGAGGGCTCAGTAGTTTTCATTTCGTCCCAAATAAACTAGTCATAACTATTTGCAGAAGAACTGTACGTTGCAATCCGTGATTTTCCTGGCAAAACTGATGATGATTTACCGTTTGCAGAGGGTGAAGTGTTTACAATTATTAACAAAAAGTACGCCTTCGATTTCTTATTTAAATCGAAAATTGAAATTATTTGGTGCGAGTTTAATATATGAATACGATTCTCCGCATGTTCAACTTGAAAATCATACTCCTATTCTGTGGAGTTTGGAACTATCACTGTACGATCGCTCTGTCTTCAAAGCGAATCGGGCGATAGACTACACTACAATATCAAATCCCTAGCCACCATTAAAAGAGATGTTGGCTACAGTAGTTGACTCCAAATTAAGCAACGTTATCATTAGGAATTACAACTTAAAGAGTTGCTTATGTGATTTCATATGAAATTTATGCTAATGTGTGATATTTCTATAACAGTTGTCAACATTGGTGGAAAGCTAAATCTCTTAAAACTTCGAAAGTAGGATACATCCCAAACAACTTTATCGAACCTGAATCACCGGTGGAAAAGGAAGAGTAAGGGTTTATCTGTTACATTTGCCCCCAAATCCCGTTTCCTCTTCTAATGCCAAGTCTTAGTTTCACACATACATACAGTGGCGTATCTACGTAAAACTGCGCCCAAGGTAAGATTTGAAAATGTGCTCTTGATCGTTGAATGACAATTATTAACGACTGTTGTTAAAGTGAGATGCATACGTTATTATTTTGGTAAAAATTCAAATTCTAGCTATTACCTATTTGAAATTATTTTATTAAAGCATTTCACGGTTAAAACTTCTCGCTCTTTTTGCGCCCCATGTCCAAATGGCGCCCATGACACGAGCCATGGCTGCCACACCGTAGAGACGCCACTGCATTCATATAGTATATAAACAAAACAACAATTAGCAATAGTGATGATTAATTACAATCTCAACCGCAATTTGAATGACCTCCTCCATTACAAGTAGGCTACGAGAGAGCGTATGTATGAAAAGCATGAATTCTGGTTGTTATCGCTGAACATTTGGACTGAAGCTAGTGAATTCGTATTGACAAAATTTTCTCGTATCATATTAAAAGTGAGGTTTACCGCGTTATTAGGGTTTTCTCGAGTTATTTTGCATCTTTCCTTCTGTGAGTATTTCTAGAGTCATATTTTTAATTTTTTTTATCTATTCATCTAACTCCTCATATAAATATCACAGATGGTTTTTCGACAAAGTTAGTCGGGATGAAGCAATAGAACTTTTACTGAACGGAAGAGACAATATTACAGGAAGTTTTCTTGTGCGACATGGCAATTCTGGCCAAGGTAATTCTCTCCTTCAAATATTGCTAGTTGATAGTTCATCAAGCGCCTGATTGGTAATGTAATGATCATTATGCTTCCTTCTGTTAATACTGTAATTGCGTGCTTGATTACGTGATCTGTAGTTGTGTGAATTTGTTTACGATAATACATTCGAGTCTCGGCTTCTGTTGGTGCAGCATGTGTTTTCTGCTGTCCTCGCTTATATCAAAGGTTCCAAAATGCTCCATACGGAGTCCCCAGCTCCGTAACAAAACATGGTCTCCGCGACCTATTTGTTTAGTTAAAATATCGAGTTTGTCAATTTTTCAACTGTCTACTAATGAAGCATTATCGGGATAAATAGGACTGGCAATGGTAGCGTCGAAATGTGGTAACAAGACGGTAATTCAGAAGTGACATTATCTATAAGTTCCAATAGATAATTTTATCAATTTATTTTGAGGCTCCGTTATAATAGTCAATCTTTTCACGGGCTCCATAACACCAGAAGTTGTAGAACCCCCGGCTTGCAAGAGTTTAATAAGTTATTTAATAGCAAAGAATATAGATTTCGTACCTTCAAAGCTATATTTTAAACTCAGCAGCGTCAATGCTAACAAACTTTCTAAATGTTACAAAGCTAGAACTAAACTTGTGACAGGCTTTAGTGACAGGTGTACTATTTTACTAGGGCTGGGCATTCGAATCGAATAGTAAATTATTCGAATCGGTTCAAAGCTAAATTTCGTATCGCCGCCATCTTGTTTTTTTCTTTCCGCCAATGATCTAGGACTAGGTGAATTCCTCATTTTTTGTTCATTGAAGTCAGAATTTTTCAACGCTATTCTAACATATGACTATTCTCTATAGTGAGTTATTGATAAAACGTGTTTGTTATTGCGTGTGAACGCTCAGTAATCTATCTGAGTGATGTATTCTGTCTTCAGTAATTCATTTGTTAAAAAGACCAATTACTATAAAAAAGTCGCTTACAAATATATATTTTCAAGTATTCGAGATTCGATTCGAAAAAATTATTCGATTCAATTTTGAAATCACAAGGTATTCGAAAATGCCCATCCCCATATTTTACTAATTACCAAATGAATGTTTGAATGTTACATAAAGTTCCATGCCCACTTTCACTAGCGATTCTCCATAAATAGGTTCGAATAATATTTTACCCAGTGAAATGCATGTATAGTCAGAGCTCAATAATACAGTATATATAAATATATATATCAATATGATATCGACGACATTATGGCTTACTTTATCTTATGTTTGTCGTAACACTTGGTTAATTATTACTTTCAATATTATTCATGGTTCCGGTAGGTAATTTTCCGACTTACATGTTCACGATATCACTGTTTGCGTCTTTATTATGTTCAGTGTGAGACATTCACCCGAATGGCTAAAACTAATATACTTACCCTTTGCGAGATTTTTCATTTTAACTATAAAATGGATAGCTACCTGGAGCCCGAGCCCGTAAAACATATTCCCTTACATTTCCATTCAAAAATTTCGATGCTTTGAAAGTGTTTTCGTGAGTTTGTGTTTGCAGACTTGTTTCACAACCATTATTTTCATTCGAGATATTTAACCACCTATACCTAACATTCAAAACAGCCGAGTTCAGCTTGTAATCTGTCACAGCATTATCAGTGGTCATTTTTGATTACTGCAACTACCGTGTTTCCCCGAAAATAAGACATGGTCTTATTTCAACTTTCTTCCGAAAAATAACACTAGGGCTTATTTTCGGGGGATGTATTATATTTTCATTTATCAACAACAAAATTACAAAGTAGACAATTACCAGATTTTCAAATATACGAAATATGAAAACCAATATTCGTTTACTTGTAAATAACAGTTTTTTATTTAAAATAACTGCAAAACCTAGAATATTAATCATTTAAAACGTGTAAGTGAGATTTCTTGCTATCGACTATGTCACAAATAAAATTCGCGTTATAAACTAAGTCTTATTTTAAGGATAGGGCTTATACTAAAATCTTTTTTAAAATTCAGGCTAGGTCTTATTTTTCGGGAAACATGGTAGGAGTGCGGACGGTGTCATTTAAACGCAAATTAAAATGCTTTAATTTTTCAAACCAATATTTTACAGCACTTTACTCTCTTTCCGTTCTGGATCTACATTCGACGGCGGAGAGTAACGTTAGGCATTATCGAATTCACAAACGCGACAACGGAAAAGTATGCATAAGCAAGAGTTTGGAATTTGATACACTGAAGCAATTAGTCCACTACTATACAGGTAAACACTGCTCAAAGTTTCGATTTCACTATAGCAAAGGGATGAAGTGAAATTCACAATGCTTCACGAAGAGGGGCCTAGGCCACAGTTACCGGTATCTCATTTCCTTCTATCTTAAAATAAGATAGGACTTACATATTTATCCCGGTGGAGAGGAAAGGTGACGACTTAATCATATGGCGTATCACGGCCTCTCGTCCAATTACCAGTCCATATCGAATATGGGAGTAGTTAAGCCAGTTTCAGATGCATGGGCTTGATGATAAAGGAAGCCGTAACCGACCAGCGCTTACCTCAACCACCCTGCGGCGGCAAAGAGTACAGTAATCGCCTCGTACATCTCGTTTGGTGACCCGACGAAAAGCCCAACTTTGTTCTTCAATTTAGCCGCCTGACCTACTTTCCTGTAAGTCTGTACAAATATGAAATAGCGTTAGATTTGGTATTAATCCCCGCGCGTCGAATGATACCGAATCGGCGGAATCGCCATAAAATGTTCGTATTCCGGCCTTTCCGAATTGATATACAATCCAGTATCCTCGTGAAATATTTTCCTGGCCACATTCTCATGTTCAGGGTAATACTACTTTTATTTTTATGATGTTAATAAAACGCAATGTGAACTTGCACTACAATTATTTTCATGTAGAAAACAAAGGAGCGCTTTGCTGCAAACTCTCCCGCATTTGCCAGCTATCATCCACCGATACTTGGACTATTAAACACAACGAAATAAAGCGTATTCGTAAGATTGGAAATGGAAGCTTTGGTGAAGTGTGGGAAAGTGAGAAAAATATAAATGATTTAATTGTACTCCCGTATTATGTGTACCAGGTTAGGGCTAGGCCATGATTTTATTTAGATTTTCCTTATTTTTTTCTATTAAGAGTTCGGGACCGTCTGGGTTAGCCAAGTGAATATATATACCCATTGCTCGCAGGTTTCATTCCCTTTACGCAACTTGATGTAAAGTAGGCGAATAAAAATTAGTTACCTACATATTGGATACACATACTTCTGGGCGCCAATTTAATTGAAGTTCAACCCACCACAGATTTGGTCTATTTGTGCTGATGTTTCAGGCAACTTCCAAGGCAGTATTGTCGCTGTGAAAATGTTAAAAAAGGGATCAATGGAGCCTGAAAAGTTCAGACAAGAAGCCGAGGTTATGAAGGAATTACGACATTGGAACCTACTCAATTTATACGCTGTGGTAGGAAATGGCTTGCCACATTGAAACCTTTATTGGCTTTATTGTAGCTCAGTGGTGCCCGACGTGATCTCAAAAATGTCATTTCCCACTCGACCCATTTAATGCGGGACTTGTCCCATGGGACATGTGGGGCAAGTAGAGCGAGTAGGGCAAATGAAACACAACATTTTTGAGACATTGGTTGGTCGACCTTTCTCCAAACGACCCAAACTCTGGAAATAATTAATTTCGCAATCCAAAGATATGCGCAAATACTGAACGGCATGATTGTACTGCTTCTATGGCCGCTAAATTAAATTACCAATACAAAACAAAACGATCATTTTTACATAAAATTTATTTTCTTTCATATATTCTTCATTCCAATATGATTATTTGTTTTTCATCAGTGGCGTGCCGCGTGACTTCACCTAAGCTAAGCCAAGAACACTGCTCTGTTTGATATTTTCCAATGTCCTGCTTTATTAAATAGCTTAAAAACATGTTTATTATTGCTTGACTTTGGTGCGCTTTTGACCACATAATGGCAAAAATGCGATTAGAATATATCTTAAATCGGGGGTGTGCAATCTGCAGCCCGCGGGCCAAATGCGGCCCACAAGGAAAACTTGTGCGACCCGCGGACAAGCGCCGCTTTTGAATGGTATGCGGTCTGCCAAACGAGTTTTTATTTAATGTAAACCATAATGTGCGAATAATTCCAATTCCTTTGCGTTGCAATGCCTATATCTGATCTTGTGCATAGCGAACGACGCATGTCACAAGATTAATAACCAAAACTTTTATGTCTGCAACTACTAGAAAGCCTATGTTAAACGAAGGTGCTGCCCGCGGTTTTATACAGTTGTTTGTAACAGGCCCTCCTGTATTAAAGGTTGCACGCCTGTATAAAATAGCCAAATATTAGGGTTTCTCATTACATTCAAGTACAATTAAATAGTTTTATAGCCTTCTAACGACTTACATCGTTAGATATATGGAAGATTTGAAATCGAGTAATTCATTAATTGCTGAGAAAGGATTTTTCCCAACAACAACATGTCCAATAATAAACGTCACATATTTCATATTATGCAATGTTTTTCAGAAGATTAATTGATACTCCCGTAGTGTGTGTACCAGGTTAGGGTTAGGCCATAATTTTATTTACTCAATCTAATTTTATTACGAGGACTGTCTGTCTGTGTTAGCCAAGTAAAATATACCCCCTGCCCATAGGTATCAGTCTCTTTACATAACTTGATGTAAAGTAGGTGAACAAAATTACTTACCTTCATATTGGTACACACACTTTTGGAGCGCCAATTTATTTCTATTATTTTAAGGTTTATGAGGAACCCATGTATATCGTAACAGAATTTATGTCATTGGGGAGTCTTCTGGATTGTTTGCGTGAAAGTAAATTAGATATTCGCGACCTGAAAGATTACATCGACATTGCAACACAAGTAAGATATCTCGAAGCTAAATGTTAGGTACTCCTGTAGTGTCTGTACCAGGTTGGAGTTAGACCATAATTTTATTTAAATTTTCCTTAATTTAGTTAGACTATTTGTGTTATCCAAGTAAATATCCCCCCCTTGAGCCTGGCCCATAGGTTTCAGTCCCTCTGCACAGCTTGATGTGATGTTAGCAAACAAAATTAGTTACCTCCATATTGGTACACGCACTTCTGGAGCGCCCGCATCTAAATATATATTATGTATTGAGCTAGTCTTGGAATTATTAAAGCTTCAAATAAAGAAAATTTTGAATTGCCGCTATTCACTATTTTGGTGAATGAGGAAATACTTTCTTACATCACTGATGACGAGAAATCTTGTTTAAATCGTGATGCTTATCGAAGATCGAAAATAAAAACCAAGTTCCTATGAATTAAATTGAACCAGCAAAATTATGGGCAAAATATCAGTCCCATAGAGTTAAAAAAAATTAAAAATAAAAGTAATAGTTCCACTGGAATTTCAAAATTCATTGGTCTAGTAGTGAAAAAAGCGGAAAACAACAATCTCAAATATTCGCAAATGTAATTTAGCAGAACATTTTATATGATTTACATTTGTGTACAATTATGCATTAAGGTATCGTGTGGCATGGAATTTATAGAATTCAAGAAGTATGTTCACCGTGATCTCAGAGCAGCAAATGTTCTTGTTGATAGCAATTTAGTTTGTAAAATCGGAGATTTTGGACTGGCTCGTCTCATTGAAGATAAGGAATACAATGCAAGTCAAGGTTCTAAATTTCCCTTCAAGTGGACCGCTCCGGAAGGCCTTACCCATAGAAGGTTCACGATTAAATCTGACGTATGGAGTTTTGGAATACTTACTATGGAAATTATAACCGACGGAGGAATTCCTTATCCCGGTTAGTTATGATTGGTCGAATAATACTTCCTAATGTAAGCAAATATATTGTTTGCCATTTCTCGCTCTGCAATTGATACCAAGGTAATATGTCCGGTATTCCCGAAGTATGTGGACCAAAATGGCGGACATCGGAACGTAGTATGTGTACCAGATTAGGCAATAATTTCGTTCAATTTTCCTAATTTTAGTTCTATTACGAGTTCGAGGACTAGCCAAGTGACCACTCCTAGTATTTGTACTTGAAATTATGGCCTGACCCTAACCCGGTACACATACTACGTTCCTGTGTCCTCCATCTTGGTTCACATACTTCCGGACTACCATATGTCCAGGCTAATAATATCAATGTTTAGGTACCCGCCCACCAGCTATTTCTGTCGAAACTATTTGACTTATCTTTGATACAACAGGAATGTCTAATCAAATTGTGTTTGAGCAAGTATCGAGCAGTTACAGAATGCCTCAACACAAAAATTGTCCAGATAAACTGTATCAACTCATGCTCAAATGTTGGAATGAAAAACCTGATGAAAGGCCAACTTTTCAATATATAAAGGTACGATACTGAATAAACCAATTTGGCATTTCATATGCTATGTGTTGTTGTGTAGTCTTCTATCCGATATCAATACGATCGCCAACGATTATCTACCCAGTCAGATATATTTTTTTGGCCACAAATTGGGTACTCCCGTAATATGTGTACTAACTACCAAGTTAGGGTTAGGCCATAATTTTATTCTGATTTTCCTTATTTCAGTTCTATTACGAGCTCGGGACTGTCTGTGTTAGCGAGGTAAATATACCCCCTGCTCATAGGTTTCCGTCCCTTTACACAACTTGATTTTTTTAAAGTAGGCGAACAAAATTAATTACCTGCATATTTGGTACACACACTTCTGGAGCATCACGAATTGGCCTTATAGATCGTTGTGCTAAATTGTTGTTGTAGTTGAGCGATTGTGCTAATGCGGAAATGTCGACTTTTTTCGAAACTGATGGACCAATCGTTTCAAATTTTTGACATTAAAGTTGGAAGTTGTCCCACAAGGTTACTACTATAATTTTATTTTTTCTAGTCTTATTTGATCAGATATTCACTCAATTTCTCGCTGTTCATTTTAATTTATCGGGAAATTTTTGTGTACACATATTTAAGCTTTCCTCTCTTGTTAGACAATGGACACGGAGTGGACCCAGTTATTTTAATATGTTTTGTTATTCTAGCTCTTTATTTATTATTATTCTTCCTACCGTTTTGAAAAAAATCACTTTGTCTACTGGACCAATTGTTTTGAAATTTCTAGTGGGGAAAAATTTAATTTTTTGCTAGAAGGCTATTACTTACGGCTACTGATAAGCTACAGCATATGATTTTCGCGGAATTGATGAAACATTTTGTTTTGCTCTCCGTGTCCACATATTTGAGCATATGTTTGTGTACCCTTAGTGATGGATATGGGCAATATTTATAATCGGCCAATTTTGCATTCCAGTTATTTTTGGAAGACTTTTTCATTGCAACGGAGCATCACTATGTCAACCATAATGTACGTCCTTGAGCTGAACAAAGCGTATATAAAACTGGAACGTCCTAACCGTGGAACTAATGAATTTTTGATACTCCTGAAGTATGCGCACCAAGATGTCGCACAACCTGGACCCTAACCTGGTACACAACCTGAGTTCAGGTTGTGCGCCATCTTGGTGCGCATACTTCAGAATGTCCGATTTTTTTTTATTTGAAAATTATTTGTATATTAACTACAGTGCAATATTGGAAGAACCATCTACAGTGATTTTAAATGATCCTTTCGCAACCGACTGATGTGACATTACAAAAATTGAAACTTTACAAAACGATCTACTAACATATATTGCATTCCATTGTATCGTAGTAGGCTCCTTGTTCTTGCGATGCGCAATGTATGAGAGCATATTGCTCCAATGAGACGAAGCTTTATATTGCTACCCCACTTTTTACTTATTCGTGCAATATGTGACGACGTTTTTTCCTGGTCAACGTGATAGCACCTCACATGCAGGTAATCCAAATGTCAACTGGCAATTTTTTGAGTGGGCGTGGAACTAATTGAAATAAAATAATTTGTTAGATTTGAACCTGTCAGTCCTACTTTGGATATGTACATATCTTTATTGTTTGAGAGAGCTGTTGTGCTTGTTGTTATTTTTATTATCCGTTATCGCTTTATCATCTGTTATTTGTAGCTTATTGTTAGCTAGTTATTTTTGAGGTGGGGCGAGAGACTTGACAAATTCTAAAAAGGGAGCGCGACTTGAAAAGTTTGAAAACAACTGATTTGTAGCGTTGAAAATGGCTATCTTGACATTTATATGGATGCGAAATTAAATTTATGTGTGGAATACTTTGTGACTAGTATGGGAATAAGTTATTTCCTGTGATTTATAAACAGAACCTGGTGGGAGTGGAAAAAGGTGGAACGCGAATTACTTTACTTTACATCAAGTTGTGTAAATGAACCGAAGCCTATAGGCAGGGGGTATAATTCACTTGGCTAACACAGACAGTCCACGAACTTGTAATAGAACTAACGTGAGGAGAACTGAAGTAAATCTGAATGAAATTATGGCCTAACCCTGACCTGGTGCACCTCCCCTGTTGGGAAACGTTGCACTAAATCATGGCGGTTTACAACATATCGGTATTCACTATAGGTTGAAGTGATTGGTCGGTCAATGGCCAAGTCAGGATACTGATCTGTTTTCAATTTCGTTATGACTTCAGTTCTCAATATATCCTAATCAAGTAAGTTGTTTTTTAATCAGGAATTTTTTAGGTATTTTAACTTCATTTAATACATCTGCGAGGGCCAAAACAATATATTTGATAAACAACCCATAAACAATTGTATTTGATATATACTATATATTTATTGCTTCCGAATATATTGCTGACACATTGTTATTGTTTTAAAATGCAAATTTGGAGAATACTGTTCAATCCAAGCGTATTAGAAAGCTTATATCACAAGATAGTTTAAAAGTGCCGACCTCGTCATGCTTTTACGTAAAATAAAAAATAGATTGCAGTTCAGTTACTCACACTTTATGACAATCGAATTTCACAATAGAACATTAAGATTGCGAAATTTGGGTCAAATATTTCAAGTTTTAAACGGCAGAGTAGTAGAAATTTGAGACGGCGTGAATATTTGGTATAATTAAAATTGAAAATTATTGATATTAGAAAAGGGAAAAAGATTTGTATTAAACCTAATTATTATTCAATGTATTAAACCTAAATTTTGATGTTCAAAATTCCTTTTTTTTTCCTGTATTTTTTTTTTAGTAAAAACGTGATGCAAGTCAAATTTAAAACGCGAAATTTGGTACTTTACATGAATTTGGTATAAAACAGTTTCATTTAGACTTTAGAGTATTCAAAATCAATAACATTTCCAATAACAGTATGGATACTATATAGCGTTTATTAAAGGTGGAACAAAGCAAAACACACAACTATTCTCACTAAATAAAAGCAATATTAGCAGTGATAAACTCTAATCATCTCTGATCAAGCACAAGAGCATTCTTTTATAATCTCCACTGGTGTCATCTTTTATCCAGGAAAACAGAGATTTTCCGTACGTCTTCTCAAATTCTTTTTTGATTTCACCCATGTCGACCTAGAAATGTGTAACGGTAGTTCATTAAAGATTCAGGGTGATGGCAGTCAAATGCGTAATGAATGATTACTCCGTAACAAGAACGAAAATCTTGCAAGGAAATTAAGGTATTTTTTGGACGCAAAGTCTACATCACCTTGCTAACTTGCTGTTGTTAGTATTGTTATGATAATTGGATTATTATTGGTGTCGCTTTTCTCCGTAACAACTTGTCAAATTGGTTTGAATTATTTAGTAGAAAGACGTATTTCTATAAACGTGCCTTAGAATTCCAATATGAAACGTATTTTGAACAAAAGCGTAAATATCTTCTTTGTATATCTACTATTAGATTGTCGGCGAAGGAGGGGAAAATACAATGTTTAACTAAACAGCTGTACTGCAATATCCAGTAAATACGAATCTCGTACAAAAAATGTAGCAAATATAACCAGACCATGTATAAAAACAACAAGATATGCATATACAGGGTGTTGATAAAGTATCGCAAAATTAACAGAATTTAAGATCAAATGCCATTTGAACATTTCACGACTGACGCTTTTTAACAGTTACTTTTCAAGGTTGCCATGACGAAAACTTTCAACACCCTGTATATTATATGTGTAGATAGGATTGATTTGGGAACTATTTGGATGGATAGATGAATAAGCCATATAGCAACAAGACATGTTTATTGCATATGCAAATAGTTATGCAAACTTATTTTTCAGCAATTTGATGCAGACGGTAGCAACAAGAAGGAAGTCTGGAAGCAACGATGAATCACAGTTTCAACAATGTGGTCTTAAATCACGTACGAGGCCTCACTTTGTTTATTATGACGAAGACGAATCACTTCCCGTTTCCACAGAAGACTCATTTAATGAGTTATTGAAAACTAACGTGTTATGATGCTACGTCTGCCTTTGTCATTTTCACGATGTATAACAGTAATGTATATTAGTACTGGAAAGCGTTCTACTATTTCCGTTTCGCTTCCATTTTTAACGAGAAATTTTTCTTTTGCATTTTATTGTGTACTTTCAAAGTAGTAATACTAAATATTAAATGAAATTCGCGTATCGATACCGGTATCACAAGGCCGTGGAGCGAATTTTCCGAAAAGATCGTCATGAAGGCGTCACGATAGACGAAATCAAATTGGGTTCTCTTTATTTAGGATGAACAAAAAAATTAAATATCCCATAGGACTCGGAAGAAATTTGAAAAAAGTGCAAGCCACTCAGCGATTGCCTACATCTTACGTACTGAAATTTGATTGGTCCAAAATAAACTATTTCCCTAACAACAACCAACCCAACAACAAGTGAGCAAAACGATACATAGGTGCATTTCGTGTTCAAAAATCGGTACTCCCGTAGTATGTGTGCCAGGTTAGGGGTAATTTTTTTTCGATTTCCCCTAATTTAGTCTTATTACGAGTTCGGGGACTGTCTGTGTTAGCCAAGTGAATATACTCCTGTCCATAGGTTTCAGTCACTTTAAACAACTTGATGTAAAGTAGGCGAACAAAATTAGTTACCTCCATATTAGTACACATACTTCTGAGGCGCTGAATTTCTGTATTGACCTACCTCACATCGCGTGGTAACGATTCGGATGAGAGTACTATCATCTGTGCCAACTCCGCACATTGCTTTGTGAAGTCTATTGGCAAAATATATCGGAGCATAGTCGGATATTTGAATGATCGCAGTTAAGGCTTTTTTCATGTCACCAGAAAACTCTTTGTCCACTGCCTTCAGCATGGTGTGGCCGGCAAGCTGAAATATCGAACCTCAAATTAAAATGTAACTCGAATCAATAAATATGCAAATCTTGTTATTGCAAGCGCCCGCGGAAGTCCCAAAGACTCTTCTTTTATATATTCGTCTTTGAACATAGCTCCGGACAAGTAGCCATTATTAATATTATATTTTACAATTTACTGATTTACAGAGTACGAACTGTATCAGATCAGTGCTACATTAACACGTCATATCCGAGTAGTAACTCGTAACGATATTACGCTTCATAACCATGTTGCTGCATATGCAACAGTCATACATAGGTCTAGAGTATAGAGTCTAGTTTAGAGGACTAAGTAACCATTATTAGATAATGATCTACTACTGATTTAGAAGGGCCGTAATCCTAACAGTTCGGCATTGCTTTCCCAATTCATACTCTGGTTGAGGTATTGGGTAATGGATGGGGATATTGGATGCAAAAATATTATTCGATGCAAAAATCGCCAAATTTAACTTTCAACTTAAATTTGCTTTTTCAGATTTATCGCGTGTAAGTTTGGGATCACATCGGAACATTACAGCCATATCTTGGAACGCACAACTGAACTATGGAAAGGTATAACTCGTATATAAGGCTGGGCATTTTCGAATACCTGATGATTTCAGAATCAAATCGAATATTTTTTCAAATCGAATCAAATCTTGAATACTTTGGAGATATATAATTGTATGCGATTTTTTTTTATAGCAATTGGTCCTTTCAACGAATGAATTAATGAAAACGTAGAAGACATCACTCAAACAGCTTGCTGAGCGTTCACACACAATAAGAAACACGTTTTTATCAATAACTCACTACAGAAAATAATCATATGTCAAAATCGCCTTGAAAAAATAATGCTTCAATGAAAAAAAATTACCTCGACCATTGGCGGTAAGAAAAAAAACAAGATGGCGGCGATTCGAAATTTTGCTCTGAACCTATTCGAATAGTTTACTAGTTGATAGTAATAGGTTAATATAATAGTTTACTACCAGCACCATTGCATATGTTTGAGACCACAGCAGTTGATCGACTCAAAAGTCGTCAACCCAGGGATTTCCCTACCCCCATTCCCCCAATTTCAACCCCCCATCCAAATACGTTACCTTATAAGCACAATTAGAAAATATCATATTATACCTTTTCATATTCATAGCAAGTAGCACGAATTTGAGGAAAACTTCGATTGCAAAAAATCTCAATGAATTTGGCTTCATCAGTTCCCCAGTATTTGACACCAGCATCTATGAGTAATTTCGCTTCTGCTTTAGCCAAGTCCCGATCCACGGCGAAGGTTTCGTCTCTATTGGCCTGAAAAGTAGAATTGTTCATTTGGCTCCTATTCAAAAGTCTAATGCATCCCGATTTGTCAATAAAACCAAGTAGTTTTGACAAAAAAATTTATTCTAAGCAGGGCCACCCCAATTTACTCAGAAGCGAGGTTAAAGCGGTAAGAGTGATATTATAAAGCAGGGTCATTCTAGTGTTTCCACAATGGTAGATTCAAAAAGCAAGTAGTTTTAACACACAGACCTGCAGAAGAATTACAAGCAATCTTTTGAAATCCCCACTCGTGTCGCCTTTGATAGCTTTTTCTAGCTCTTTCTCATATTTTGCTTTATAAGCCTCCTTGATATCTTTGATTTGGTTGTTATAACGCGTGGCAAGAATTTCTACCAGAGCCTGAAAAACAAAATACCTCGATTTATCGAATTTCCAATTATTTCAATCAATCAGAATATCACGAAAACGTCGTATGAAGACAATAAATCATCCGCTTATTAACAACTTCAAAAAGATGTGATAACTTAGGATCATTTTCTATCGGTAAACTGTGTCAAATTTATTGGCATTTGTATTATTTTGCGTCAATTCTGACATCTAGGTCAATTTAGGACTAGAGCTAGGGGTTCCGACCACCAAATCGGTCATGAAGGGATTGAAATCCAATTTTGAAACAGATTACCCATAATACTCAGTTGGGATATAGACTGAAATATTATATGTTTGTGCCAGTGGTATATTTAATTTTCCCACGGAGTAAAATGATGAGTAGCAGGACATTCGAGATTCAATAAAACGGAAACATTTGTGTACCGTGTCTTGAAAATAAAGTTGTCACACAGCCTTTTTTTGTTATTGAAAGTACACTGTTATTAATTATGTATCGATATTAGTAAATTAACAATAGCGAGTCAACATCATACACCACCTCTTCATCGGTGCCAACACCGCACATTGCCTTGTGCAAGAATCTGGCATCGCCTTCTGCTGGAGGATAAAACATGGCGAGGACAACATCTTCGAAGTCTCCGCTTAATTCGCTTTTCAAGTTTTCTTTCAGATCCTGCAGTTGATTATATGAAATATGAAACATATGTGCGTAATAACAATGTATATCAATTTAATTGTTCTAATGTATTTATAGGTTTATCATACATTGCCACATGCTGACTTTATTTTAAGAATTCGAAGTACCTCGGAGATCCTAGGAAAAACTTGAAGAAAATTGACCCTACAGCACTTTAGACAATCCCATTATAGACCACTAACAATTTAAGTGAGACTTATCCAGTACAAGATTCCAATTTTCCAAAATGAATCATAAATTTTTCTTAGTTTCCAACAATACACTTATGATAGTCTCAAGTTTAAATTCTTACGTTCGAGAAAAGAGAAAGTCAAAGTGGACGGTGCTATTTGCTTACATATGCCTATAATTCGTAATAGTAGGTCAAATTTAATGGAAATTCGAAGTCTATGTTCAAGTACCCACCCTGCCGTATTTTTGCTTGTACGTCTCCTCAATCTTGAGCCGTTGGCGTCTAGTTCTGTTGGCCACAATAGCGATGATGACTTTTTCCTCGGTGCCTGTAGAATTAGGTAGGCTATTAAATCGATTATCAAGATTAGTTTTAACTTGCCTTTTTGAAATTTTTCGAAAGTATTTCACTTTACACGATAAAAATTGCTTGGTCAAATAGATTACAGATACGCACAGATAAACAGCAGAATTTTGGTTGATATTGGATATACCGGTATAAAAAAAAAACAGAAACAAAATAAAAGTGATTGACTTTCAGCGACTTCAGCCATATTTAGGTACTGATAATATCAAATCGATTGAATTTTTGGTATTCCCGTAGTGTGTGTACCAGATTAGGATTAGGCCATAATTTTATTCCGAATATTTATTCCTTTTATTAGTTCTATTACGAGTTCGGGGACTGCCTGTGTTAGACAAGTGAATATACCCCCTGCCCATAGGTTTCAGTCCCGCTACACAACTTGATGTGAAGTAGGCGAACAAAATTAGTTACCTCCGTATTGGTACACACACTTCTGGAGCGCCGAATTTTCAGTTGCGTAGAAAAGCGATTTTTCTTCATAACAACAATCACCCCAAACAACAAAATCAAATCGTCCATATGTTCACTAAATACCTTACCTAACCCTTTCATCGCTTCACGCAAGGCTTCGGCATCTTGGTCCGGATTGAAATCCGCATAGTCGACCAATGTTGCTGTGAACTCGATTACGAATTGTATTTCATCGGCCATATTAATGATAATTAGTTACACCAGCAGTGAAATATTAAATCTATTTATATTTAAGTGTGAAGTATTAATTCAAAAATGCTATGATAAAAAAATACTAACTTATAGTGAAAATTTTGTATTTTTAATGATTTTGACTAGTCATCAATTCGTTACAACTGTAGTCTTCTTGATAAATATGTATAATTCTTGATAAACAGGTATTTCATTTTCTATTTATTTGTTCTATAATATCTAATTATTATCGCTGATGCTAAATCCGAATGAGAAATTATGGACAGCATGGACAAGTCAGGATCCTTGATGGCCTTTATCTGTATGTCTGTACTGACCCACACAAAAAGATGATCAACCAACCGATGTTAAATTATTTTCTGTTATGACTTTAATGTATATATTATAGTTTTTATTTCGGTTGGTTGTGTTTAGCTACCACTATTGGTTGCTTTCTCGGCACCTTTGTCCACCTGGTGTATTTTCTGCGCTTAGCACACTTATATCCTTTATGTTGTTATTGCAACTTGCAACATATGGTTGTTTTTATGATGTATTTTATACAACTTTCAGCAGCACAATTTGCATTAACGAGGGTCAGCAGAGTGAACCGACTCGTAAATCTCACGGCCAATGCCTGTCCCGACTAATTCTAAACCTAGCAAACGGGTGGTAACTTGCGCGTGTAACAATGAGAAGTATCCTCGCCATAGCTGTAGCTAACTCATACCAACTGCTTACCTATTGCTTTTTCGCTAGCAAAGAGAAACTGAATCTACTTTTTCTAATATAGGATAGAGGATTCGACGTCTACGTGATCTACTAATATTGGTTGCTTTCTCGGCAACTTTGTCCTTTGGTGTATTCTCAGCGCTGAGCACACTTTTATCCTTCCTGTTGTTATTGCACCTTGCAACATATGGTTGTTTTTATGATGTATTTTATACAACTTTCAATATAAGGCTTTTGGTTTTTTAACGCACCAGCTCAATTTTTATTTAATGAGGGTCAGCAGAGTGGACCGACTCGTAAATCTGCCTGTCCCAACTCATTCTAAACCTAGCAAGCGGGTGGTAACCTGCGCGTGTAAGAATGAGAAGTATTCTCGCCATAGCTGTAGCTAACACATACCAACTGCTTACCTATTGCTTTTTCACTAGCAAAGAGAAACTGAATCTACTTTTTCTAATATTGAACTAAGGATTCGACGTCTACGTGATGTACTAAAATTGCTTGATTTCGCGGCACCTTTGTCCTTTGGTGTATTCTCAGCGCTGAGCATACTTTTATCCTTCCTGTTGTTATTGCGCCTTGCAGCATATGGTTGTTTTTATGATGTATTTTATACAACTTTCAATACAAGGCTTTTGGTATTTCAACGCACCAGCACAATTTGCATTAATGAGGATCAGTAGAGTGGAACGACTGGTACATCTCACGGCCAATGCCTGTCCCGACTTATTCTAACCTAGCAAACGGGATGGTGACTTGAGAGTTGCGTAACACCCTGAATTATTATCGCCATAACTGTATAGGCTAACTTCAACTTCATACCAGCTGCTAACCCATTGGTATTACACTAGCAAAGAAAAACTGAATCTACTCGCTTTAATATTATACAGAGGATTCGACGTCTACGTGACCTTATAAACGTCAAGTATCGCACTTGCAAAATAATGAAAGTCGCTTTTGTTCAAGTCATCGCAGCCCAAGCACGTACTGGCAACGTTGTCCATTTGATATCGATATCAAGGAAACTAGTATCGTGCGGAAACTCCAACGCTTTGTCTGCAATGACTCACGTCGTTTAAAGTGGTGAACTTATTTCAACATTTATGCAATGTAATATACCTTTTTTTTTCACTATAAATCTTCGATTGTGGAAATACCTTCGGGTGAACTTCCTACCTCCTCCCCTTCCAAGTGACTAAAGGCAGATCATGGCGTCATCATTTGTGGTACCATGCCACCTTATTTTATTCGGGTCTTGAGCTTCTAACTTTTGTGCCTCTCACCTCTGAAAAAAGGGATGCTTCACCGAGCTGCGAATTTTTGTTTATTGTTTTAGCACTCGCTATTATAAGTTTTTTTTGAGGCTATTTGTTATCTTTAGGTTGTATTTCCGAAATTTAGGTATATATAAATCAAATACCTCAATTGTTTTTATGTCGTCCGAAAAGTTTCGTTTTAGTTGCAATAATTAACAATTAGTCACGAAAATTCCGCGGTATATACTAGGCTAAAAATACCTACTACTACTTTTGAATGACAGGCGGTTAGGAACATCTTGTACGAGCCAACTCACAAAATACTTTCAAGATAAGCATCAAAAAGTTTGCCTCGATGGAGTATAGGAAAAAATTTGCTGGGGTCAAGAGGCGGAGAATCATCTTTTAGCGGCTCGTCCCGCGCACGACCAGGGAGCGCTTTGCTGTAAACTCACTCGCATTTGCCAGACATCATCCACCGATACTTGAGCTATCAAACACAACGAAAAAAAGCGTATTCGTAAGATTGGAAATGAAAGCTTCGGTGAGGTGGGGGAAGATAACAAAATATGGTTTAATCATAGTCCAACTCAACAGTTTTGGTCATTGTGTGCAAATGTTTCATATATATTTACCATTGTGTTTGATATATATTATAGTATTTCCTCATTGTTCCTGAATATATTATCAACACATATTTTATGATGCAAATCGAAAGATAATTGTCTAATCTAGTTCTGTTCTTAATGTTAAATTTGGAGTGGCAGGTTCCGTTTGTTCATAATCCTGCGTAGGACTGAACTGCGGTGCAATTACTTACATTTTATTGTAATTAAATTGCGTGGGCTTTAGTTTATTGGTGAAGAAACAATATATTAACCACACAAACAAAATTGTCTTAAATAGAAGGGATATTCACACAACTGGTAAAATGCTCATTCATTGTGATAACGAATACGTACATAGACTGCGACATGCAATCGACAACTTTATACAAAGTGGTGATAACGAAGACCTTAGATTGGAAGATTTGAACTGAGCTGATTTCTTTGATGGCGAAATTGTGTTACACAGCAACAAAAATGAGAAGTTCGATAGAAAGTCTCCGTTCTACCAAAGGTACCAAAAAATGGTAGACGAACATCGTCTGACACGTGAATACATTGAAAATAAGGTACTCCCGAAGTATATGAACCAAGATGACGCACACCGGAACGTAAGGTATGTGTACCAGGTTAGGGTTGGGCCATAATTTCAGGTACCAATACTACGGGAGTCACTTGGCTGGTCCCCGAATTCTTAATAGGACTAAAATGAGGAAAATTGGAATATAATTATGGCCCAACCCTAATCTGGTACACATACTACGTTCCGGTGTCCGCCATTTTGGTTCACATACTTCGGGAGTACCGAAAATGAAACTTTAAACATAACAAATGAACATTACGATGAATCATTTTGCGAGATTTCAAAATCAGTTTATTATCAGTAAAATACCCGCCACATCGGAGTCAATGCATGGTGATCTGTCCCCACACATGACAGAGTGCATGGAACCAGGTTCAAAACTTTCCGTGGAAGCATGATGACGAGTTACCGGTTCCTGTTATAGCTCAACCAAAAAAGGCTGAACCTTCATTTAATATGTTCCACAAGTTGTCACAAAAAAAAATAACTTGTTTTAAAGTTTAACAAGGTTTACAAAAATGATATTGATGACGCTCGCCATTAGATAAAACTGTCCAATGGTGTTTTATCGGCATTGATGGAATATATTACAGATATTACGAAGCTTTCCAAATAAAAATCGGCGCTCCAGAAGTGCGTGTACCAATATGGAGGTAACTAATTTTGTTCGCCTATTTTACATCAAGTTGTGTAAAGGGACTGAAACCTATGGGCAGGGGGTATATTCACTTGGCTAACACAAACAGTCCCCAAACTCGTAATAGAACTAAAATAATTAATCGGAATGAAATTATGGCCTAACCCTAACCTGGTACACATACTACGGGAGTATCGGAATTCTCGATAAATAACGGGTACTATTATCAGAATCACTTATCACATGATTTCTAAATATGAAGTGAAATCATATGCTTTTTGTAAAATATTACATATCTAAAGTGTTTTTATCGTCACCTATAAGTACAAAATCAATTACTTCCGTTGTGTGTGTACCAGGTTGGGGTTAGGCCATGATTTTATACCGATTTTCACACACTTTTGGAGCGCCGAATGAAATATCCACTAGAAAAGAGCTTACAAAATTGGACCTTATTAGACACGAAATGTATTGTTATGTTGTTCTTGTTTTGAATAGCATAAACATGAATTACTTTAGCAAATAGCATAACACTCTGAACAATATTTTGTAAACCGAATAAAAGTTATTTCCAAACTAACGTGCTTTGAAAAGCATTTCAGATAAACAACTTTGTCAATATGAAAACAGCTTTAATGTTATTATCACAATTTTACCATGCATATTGCACAATTTCGTTCTATTATTGCAGAATACAGTTGGAAATATGAAACCAATTGTGGGCTATACAAGTCGTTATCACAATTTTTGAAAAGTGAAAGTTCTAACGAATTGACGACAGATGTCTGCGGCTTGTTTTCGTGCGATTCTATCGAAATCGATAAACATTCATTATGACTTTGAACGTTCTATTTCATCAAAAGCTGTTAGATGAAAAAAAGCCATTGGTCGCAGACTGTCCGGGGCGAATAGAACGCACAAGCTTGGAATATAAGCATTTGTTTGGCCTCCAGGCTGCGATGTCAATGGACTATCAATCTATTATTTTGCTGACGTCTGTCGGCACAAAAATCAGAAAGTGCGTTAGATATGAAACATGGATGGTAGACTTATCGGTAGGCTATTAAGGCAATCGCTCCAGTAGTACTTAAACCTTCATTTGGCGTCTAACTAGGAGTAAGTGCACCCATAAACCATATCCATGCTTCAAAGCTTACAGCCAATAAAGTTTTGAAATCAGCATAATGAATATTACCCTCTTTGCAGTATTTGTGCTACATTAAAAATCCCCGCCCGCTATTTCTATAAGCAAAACACTCAACCAAGCACTTTGAACGGTCTGGCAGCTTCAAAATAGTTTCTTCCTGCTTTCAGAATTGGTGATTCCGATATCTAAATATGTAATCGATAATGTTTCTACTTGAAATTATATTCAGAAGATAAAATACCAATAAAAAATACTGAAACTTTCTGCGGAGTACTTTTCATACAATACACACGATGGGGGAAACTGACGAAAAACCTGAAGTTGATGTCGTTAAACGTCGTCGCCATATGTCGAGTGTTATTCACGATTCCATTGTTTTTGAGGACGACAATAGTGAGGACTCTGACGGCGAGAATAAGTAAGATTTTGAATATTAATTCTCTCAAATTTATATTGCGTGAATGAAAATCTATTTCTCGGTAGTAAACATTGCCATGCTCTATCTTTTAAACTTCGGCGAAATGAATGTCTTTATTCGGTACTCCCGTGTAGTGTGTGGACCAGGTTAGGGTTAGGCCATAATTTTATTCATATTTTCCTTATTTTAGTTCTATTACAAGTTCGGGGACTGTCCGTGTTAGCCAAGTGAATATACCCCCTGCACATAGGTTTCCGTCCCTTTACACAACTTGATGTAAAATAGGCAAAAAAAATTAGTTACCTCCATATTGGTACACATACTTCTGGAGCGCTAATTTAGAACGTTACGAGGTAAATTTGTTACAAAATCATCGTTACAAAATCATACAAAAAACTTCCCCTCGAGATATTTTGAAACGAATATCTCAGGACAATAGTTTAAAAATAACAAAATATGGCTCAATAATGTGGAAATCATTGCGAAAATAGGCATTGCCGCTAGGGCTGTGCAGCAATGGAAAATTTAACATTTTTGCTAACAAAATTTTAGCGAATGCATCCTTTCTCGAAAGACAATTAAGAACGCTTAGAAAACATGATGCTTTTTGAATTTTTATTTCAAATTCTGACTTCATGTATCGCAATCAAAGGTTTAAAACTCTGACTCCGGGTAATCAGGATTTTGACTCCAACTCCAGAGAAAGCATGCCAAACGCCGACTCAGCCTCCACAGTCCCGATTGACTCGATTTTTCAGTTTTTGACTGGTTTCCACCGTTTTTGGTAGTTTTTGACGTTTTTACTTATCGATTTTGTTACCCATCGGTTTTAATCGGTAAGTATGTTGATAGGTATTTGTCTGTCTGTCTGTCTGTCTGTCTGTTAGATGCACGCGATATCTCACGAAATCGATATTATTGCATGTGCATTCATCATATCTTGGACCAGAAGCCTAATGATTTTGGGCGAATTATGTCGTATAATTAGCGAGTTATTAATTAATTAGTGATGGGACACAAGGTGTCACTATGGAGTAAGAGCGCTGTTTTGGGGGATCCCCTAACTTTCGATCGATAAGTCTTCGGTCTCTGAACAATATTCTCGTTTTCACTGTTTTTGCATTCATAGAATAAAACCTTCTCATTTTATTCATTTACATGCTTCATCGTTTTCCTGTTTAAAAATTTAGGATTTGCAGGTCTTAAGAGGTTCGATCTATCGATATAACCGATAGTTCGATTCGTACAATAAAACCTCCTTATATTATTCATTTGCATGTTTTTAACTATTGTCGTATATAAATTTAGAATCTACAGTTCTGAAGAGGTTCGATCTATCATTGCGCGGTCTTACATTTTGATGACAATTGGAACAGTATCGATTGGTTTAGGAGGATCTCTAACAGTTCTTGGATATTATTATGATACCATTGGATCAACTATACCAGGAGTGGTTTTGTTTTTGTGGGCAATATTCTGTATATGCGCTGGATGTTTGAAATTTCGTCGTTCGAAGAAAATAAAACGTGAAGGAGTAATGGCTAGCGTACAAAGAGATGGGTCGGTTCTGAATTCGATTGTATTACCGAGTTTATCTATGCATCAGAGCAATGGGATCTACGATTCTCAACCTGATATGGCATCTGATAATGCAGTTACAAGATCGGCCGATTCAAATACGAAAGATTTGCCAGAAAGTCCCCCTCCATATGCAGTATAATGTTTATTGACAAATCGATTCAACATGGTTCATTCTGCCAAACTATATTTCATTGCTTTTATTGTATGGTGGGTTTTTATCACTTCAATATTCACCCACGAATTTAATGGTCGTATTCAATAAATAGAAAACCTTAATTGCGGAGCCATTATAAAATGTTTTTATACATCAAGAAATAATTGGTGTCGTCATGTACGTCCAAGGAAAGACGTTATGACGCCATAATAGATCTATTGTCTATGTCATCTGAAGTCATTATAGATTCAATATATACTTGCCGTAACACCTTTTATGATATTATCCACTGGTTTAACATTTGTATAAAATATAAAATAGGATATGTGCACATACCACGTCATGCTACCACAAACGGTGACGCCATAATACCCGTTTCTAAACGTGAGGGTGGGAGGTACTGGCACACGCAGCCTCTTACGCTAGTGATTCCTTGTCTGGTGTCTTATTCGGATAGTCACTGTAAAATGCCGGTATACATTTTGAACATTCAATTAACCACGTAAAAGTAATTCGTTGCATTTTGATTTTTTTGTGCCTTTTTAGTTTATGTTTATAATCAATTATTACTATGTTATGTATTTATGCATTGGTATTAGTAATTCATTTGTGAATATATATATTTATTCAAGCCTTTGCTTGTTAAACAATAAAATAGCCAAAATTATATTATTTTATTTTAATTAAGATAGCTGAAAGCAAAACGGCACCACCATAGACTACTGCCTTTATCAGAACTCGAAGATTTATTTTTTAATATTTTCAGTGAGTATATGATTTCATAATGTAGCTGAACAGAATATTGGGTACTTCCGTAGTATGTGTACCAGGTTGGGACATAATTTGATTATTTTCACTTATTTTGTTTTAATACAAGGTCGGGGAATGCCTGTGTTAGCCAAGTAAATATACCATACCTCCTGTCTATAAGTTTCAGTCCCTTTACACAACTCGATGTAAGGAAGGCGAACAAAATTAGTTACCTCCATATTAGTACACACACTTCTGGAGCGCCGCTATTTTTTATTTTGTTTGCGTGTTGTTTTCCCCAGCTTCGTCAAAAATAAATGATGAATTTTATGTAATATACCTTGTATCACGTACGGAGCTAACGGCAAACAGACACAACTGCTCAGAAATGGGTTTCATTAACTCAAGCCCAATTGAAGTTTACGCCCTGATTTGACCACTTCATATATTTCTTTTTTATAATTCAAAACTTATCAAAATAGTAAAATGCGGGGTTAGAAGGGAATACAGTGAAATTTGGGACTTCCTTAAGTATGCACACCAAGATGGCGCACGACCTGAAAATAATATGGGTGTACCGGTTAGGATTCAGGTTGTGCGACATCTTGGTGCGTATACTTCTGGGGCACCGAAATTTGAATAATACACTTATTTAGGGATAGTCTGAAAACGCTTGTTTCCATTGTAAAAAAAAAGCATTTTTGTCCCAACCAGTCAAGGCTGTAGAATTTTTAAATTCGTTCCCCTGAAGAACTCAGATTTTGATAATAAAAACATTGGCTTATGCAGACATTCTTTAATAGACTATTAAAAAGGCCATGCCATATTTACCTTTTTCCAACTATTAAAAGTCAAAAATGTCCTACTTCTGGGTCCGGATAATTCAAATTGTCGACTCCGACTCCGAAGATTTTGGGGATGACTTTCAAAAGGTCAAACCCAGGTTTTATGTTATGTTTTAATCGTTTATCTACTCTAGACACTTATCGATCTTGATCGGTTAGTATGTTGATATGTATTTGTTACTTATCGATCTTAAGATCCGTAAGTATGTTGATATGTATTCGTCTGTCTGTATGTTTGTCTGTTAAATGAACGCGATATCTCACGAAGGCGAGGTTGAATCTCCTCCAAATTTTGCATGTGTTTTCATCATATCTCGAACCAGAAGCCTATCAATTTTGGATGAATTGAGTCGCATAATTAACAAGTAATTATTTAAATAAATATTTGTTTTTGCTGAAGATCGATAAGTCGTCGGTCTCCGATCGATATCTCGTTAGGATGTTATTCACAATTTTTATTGTTTTGCAAAAGTTTCCTTGTGTATTTTTGTGACATATTACAGCTATGTGCGAGCATGTATTGTGGTCCCGTGGAATTGTAATGATAGTATTTCTATACCTGTTACTTGTATTTCATGCGAGTATATTTTTGTACATATTCTCTTCATATATTGATAACGCACAATATGCAATATATATATGCAAAGTAATAAGAATTCTGTATCAAGTATTGTAGCAAATATTTAACATGACTGCATTCAAAATGGCGATAAGATGGCGCCAATCCCAAACAATCCTAACTTCACCAAGATGTCCGACAATCAGTACTCCCGAAGTATGTGAACCAAGATGGCGGACACTACAACGTAGTTGTGTACCAGGTTAGGGTTTAGCCATAATTTTATTCCATTTTTCCCAATTTCAGTTCGAGTTCGGGGACTAGTCAAGTGACTCCCGTAGTATTTGTACCTGAAATTATGGCCTAAGCTACGTTCCGGTGTCCGCCATCTTGGTTCACATACTTCGGGTGTGCCCGGCAATCCATAATTCTTAATCTTAGGGCGTCGCGATGGCCAAGCTGGTAAATCTTGTTGGACTCCACAGCATTGGCATTGCAGATTAAACATCTCGATGCCAAATTTCATGCCCCCTCCTCTCTCCCCCTCTTACTCAGAGTGTGATAAATTTGGTAGCGAAGGTTCCTGTTCTTCGAACAACAGTAACCCCTTACATATTGTGAGATAACAGGGGCTTTCCTCAGAGCGAAATAGCTGGATAATCGTCAACTGCGAAACCAGAAATATTCCTGTTCTTTCAGATAAGAGTAACTTCTCACATATCGTGATATACAGGGTGCCCATAAAGTTCGTTTAAGATTTTAAGTTTGTTATGAAGTCAATTCTCAATATATCTTAACCAGGTTTGTTGTGATTTTTTAATAATGCTAGAGTACATGATTATTACGCAGTAAGCGCCATCAGACAGTTTTCTTATTTTATTCCTATCAAAACTCATAATTAATAGTTGTCTCTAATTACAGCAATTAATTGACTGATTTGGGTCAAGAAAGCTCTTAGTTTAATGGGAGAAATAACAAAGTGTATTTCTTCACTTTGCGATTTATATTGATAAAAGGCAATTTATGATATTTATCTGTTTAAATTGACATTTTACGTAAGTGTGAAAATATCACAAAACCCCGCGAGCTATGAAAACCAACATTAGTTGTTTTAAAAATAGTAAACAAGAGAGTGAAGTCAAGATACGTGTAGTTGATTGGGTTCGGTAGAAATGCAGTGTGTGGCTTGGCAAGACAGTCTAAACTCGACGATTCAAAAATAGCATTTTTCGTGTTAGAAATGCTGCATTATTTATAACTATATACTGTATATACTCGTTCAAAAGGTACAATTAAATACAAACATCATCAGAATTTTTATCTTTCAACAATATGCGGATTCAATCCATTTTAACCCACAGCGAAATTCTTTTGATCACGTTCTCAACTCTAATATTGCAAACAACAGGTGAGTTTCATTTTAAAACAATAAATTATGTAGATTAGAGGAAATCATTGAGACGTGAAAAAATTACTGTAGCTCAATATACAAAATAATAACGAATACGCGAATATAAAACACCATCTTTGAGCCATATTTTTCTGATATTTTAAACATATTTTGTACAGTTATTTTGAAATACGTGCAGTGGTAGAATGTAGGGGGTTCGCGCGAACCCCTTCTTGGAATTGGGTGATTATTAGCGAACCCGTTATTTACTTAGATTTTATACAAGCGCAGCAAATGGGTAGCGTACAGTGTAGCTGATGACCAGCTTTATATTTGGCGTTTTGAAAGTTATGTATTAGATTTACGTTAAGCGTGTCACGTAAATGCAGCTTACGTAGTTACATATATATATATATATATATACACTTTTTATGAAAAGAAGGAACCTGTTGTTACTGAGTCGATACATAAGAGAACTCGTTTTTTTAATTTCAAATCCCACAGACTACATATCCATCCACATAATTTTCAAAACTTCGTTTTACGTTTTTCATAACTGACGGAATTCGATTGTGACCGCGAGCGGTTTTCAAAAATGACACCAACAGCAACCATGCTTTCAGAGGTTCTGCTTGTTTAGAACTGAGCTTTGAGATCTATCCATATATATCAGGGGTGGCCAACTTGCCTCCGACCGGGATCGACTTAAATCTCCAAGATAGCTCATCGATCGACTGATCGGTAACAAGGTCATTCACAAAAACGAATGACTACTGCAGATGCAGATAACTTCACACACGCATACATTAAATTCCACCGCTGCCAAGAAGCTCGGCTCTTCCATTTAAGAAAGTCGACAGTGATCGACGTGTTGCCAAGGCCTGACATATATGACAGTTATTATTCTTCAAACAGGCTATAGTATTTTCAACATTTTTAGTGTAGCATTCCAGAGAATCGGGGAACCCCTGCGCAATTTTTTAACGTCTGAGCGACCAGGGGCCAAAAATTTAGCCTACCTAGACTGGCGGGCTATGTAAGTGTGACGTAGGAAGTTACATTTCATGAACAATATTTACATTGTATCAAAAGCAAAAAACACTAAGTCTTATTTTAAAACTAAATTTAAGCGCAATCTCAACAAATTCCTTGGGCTATTTGTTTAGTTTGGTTGTGTCAGCATCAAACGGGCCATATTGATTCACCCGACGCGGTTATTTTAGCGTTAAATTGGGTACTCTCATTATATGTGTACCAGGTTAGGATTAGGCCACAATTTTGTTCCGATTTTATTTTATTTTCAGTTTGGGGGACTGTCTGTGTTAGCCAAGTGAATATACCGCCTGCCCATGGGTTTCAGTCCTGTACAAAACTTCAATATATATTATTTGGGTCCGGTCTTTCCAGGAATTATATTTCGGCATCCTTAAACGCGCACTTTCTCGGCCGGCTAACGATTATTAGATAATCAAGATTGTTTATTTTAGTGTCATAGTTATTTTCATATATATTTAAAACTATAAAAGTCATTTTATAAAAAGGAATTTAAAAAGTGGGACTAATGATCTAAAATCAAGAATTAGGTGCGGTTCGAATCAAATACTCGAAAGGTCCGGATTTGGACCGCGGTCCGCCAGTCGAGTAGCCCTGGTCTATACAACTTGATGTAACGTAGACGAACAAAATTAGTTACCTCTATATTGGTACACATACTTCTGGGGCGTCTTAAGTTGAATTGTATCGAACATTTATACTCTTAGGAATTTGGTCACCATGGAGCGATTGGTCGGCGTGCTCTGTATCATGTGGCAAAGGTGAACAATCGAGATTCCGCATCAGTAGTGTCGATAGTTCTGTAATGCCGAAAATTATGCCGAGAGAATGTGGAAAACCGTGCGATGATGGAAAAAGTGAAATACAACAAGGTAAGTCATTTTATCGTCAGTTTACTGTTTATTCCATTACAGTCGCACATTTATATTTTGAAATGCCGTCTACTTTTCTATGCAATATTTGGTGTGACTGTAGAATGTGTACCAGGCAGTGATTTTCCCAAACCCTCCTGTAGGGGGTGAACACCCCCACTCCTAAAATCCCCTTCAGAAAGTGGCTCCTGTGCCGATGAGAATGATCAGTCAAATACATAATACATTTTTATAAGTTACAAATAGTTTAACACTAATAACAAAATATCTACCACCGCCTAAATTTGTAAACACGCCAATAAAAATTTTATAATTTTGCACATCCTCAAACGTGTCGTCGGAAGTGAAGTTTCAGTAAACAGCAAGGTTGGTGATGAGCACAGACAATTTCAAATAACTGGAAATGCAATATTTCTTTGCTGAGCATGGGAGCTTCCCGACATGTTTTATCTGCACAGTTAAAGTTGCAGTGCACAATGAATACAATTTAAACGAGTTGCTAAGCTTTTATTGTGAAAAACCTGATGCGGCCCGGCCGGACTCATTCAAACTCTGCCCCAGCGGCTCCCAAGTAAATTGAGTTTGAGACCCCTGGGTTAGGCCATAAACTCATAAAGTGTAGCAAGTTTAATAACAACGTTAATCCTAGTGTGTATATTATTGAACAATATACATTATATGCCCAAAGTAGTTTATTCCGGGTTAAAAGATAGTTAACTTACGCTAATGATTTGTTTCTGCGAGACTAGCCTCTTGTCATTCTTCTATGCTTTTATGTCGGTGGATCTGTATGCATATGCAAGGATGCTGTAGCATGAGTTAATATAAATATCCTAAGTGATTCAAGAGTCTTGCTGCACACTAACACAAATATATTTCTGTAACGTTTCGCCTGATCAGAGCCAGACTTCATGGTTGAACTATGTATGTCTGAAGAAGTCTGACGTTGGTTGCAAATCTATTTGTGTTAGTGTGCAGCAAGACTCTCGAATCATTTGGAAAAGTTAGTTATAGTTACGTATTTTTACAATTATTCTGATAACTTTAAACATGGTCGAACAATTATCATCTTAGTTATTTGGTCACCTTGGAGCGATTGGTCGTTATGTTCGGTATCATGTGGCAAAGGTGAACAAACGAGAGTTCGCATCTGTCTTGACAATAGTTGTGAAGTGCCTGAAAGGCAGCAGAGAGAATGTGGGAACCCATGCGATGCTGAGAAAAGTGAAATACAACAAGGTAAGTCATTCGTATCATCGACTGTTTATTCCAGTACATTCGCACATTTCCATTTTGAAATGCAGTCTAGATTTCTATATAAGTATAGGCGCATAAGAACTCTGTATACCTTACAAATACCAGTGGCGGCGCGTGGTCATTTTGACAACCGGGGCAAGCTACTGCGGGACCAAGTCACCCCCATCTACGGGGACAGGATGAGCGCTGTAAGTTCTCTCATCATTTTTATGAGTAATAAAAATCATTCCATCGGCTAACACCAATCGGCAAAAGTGACAATTTTTAACGATAAGAAAGTGTCTTTAAAACCGGTCCAAGTCAAGGGATTAATAAATATAGACATAGTTTATTTTGAAACCTCTTCCAAAAGGAAAGGCAATATTTACCCAGATAAATACAATGACATATTAACAGAAACTTCGGGAAAGCAGACAAAACCTAAAATAAGGTTTAAAACGTTACTATGAAAAAAGGAAAGTTAATGCAAAGATAAGGACATGCGTCGCTCACTCATAGATATATATGCTGCTAGACTTCTACTGCTTGATCATATATGCAACACGCCGCGGTTTCTTGGAAGCAAAATGCTCAATAACGCGCTGATTAAAGTAATGCATCCCAGAAATAACGCCTCTGTGAATGGATAAAACAGCCAAGGAATTTAATCTATCTTGCTTCATTGTGTTTCTGAGATACGTTTTAATACGCTTCAGCGTGCTGAATGTTCGCTCTGCGTCGGCGGAAGAAATAGGCTTCGTCAAAATGATGTCCAGAAATTTTGCAGACGCCGCAAAGGTAGTTACTAGAGTGTTATCTATGAGGAACCTATAGAGCGCGCAAGTTGATGTGATGTTCAAAAAAGTTTGATTGGTGTATATACATCGCAATTCATTTTCCAATTTACCCACGTTTATCATGGGGTAAAATTTGGAGACAGTAGCCAACAAATGGATGGGAAATTGACGTGCAAATTTTGAAAAATGTTTGGGGTCATCAAAGAGAACGCGGCTTTTTATCACTGTTTTTGCATTCATAGAATAAAACCTTCTCATTTTATTCATTTACATGCTTCATCGTTTTCCTGTTTAAAAATTTAAGATTTGTAGGTCTCAAGAGGTTCGATCTATCGATATAACCGAAAGTTTGATTCGTATAATAAAACCTCCTTACTTTATTCATATACGTGCTTCAACGTTTGTCGTTTTTAAATTTAGGATATACAGTTCTGAAGAGGTTCGATCCATCAATGTTCGGTCTTACATCTTAATTTGGAGAAATTAGTTAATTCGGCGTTAATAAATAGTTAGTTACGTATTTTTACGGTTATATTAAAAACGTTAATTTGTGTCAAAAATTTATCGTCTTAGGAGCTTGGTCACCGTGGGGCGATTGGTCGGCATGTTCGGTATCATGTGGAAAAGGTGAACAAACGAGAATCCGCGTTAATAGTGTTAATAGTGTCGATAGTTCTACATTGCTGAAAATTATGCCGAGAGAATGCGGAAAACCATGCGATGATGGAAAAGGTGAAATAGAACTAGGTAAGTCATTCGTATAATCGGCTGTTTATTTTAGTACAGTCGCAGATTTACAGTTTGAAATGCAGTCTACATTTCTATACAATTTTTGGTACTCCTGTATAGTATGTGTACCAGGTTAGGGTTTGGCCATAAAGTGTGGCAAGTTTGATAATAACGTAAAACGCGTCTCTCAAACTGTGTGCTGTGAGAGAATCTCAGGTGTGCCTCAGGGCTTTTTGAAATTTTTGAAAATAAGCTATAGGCATGAATGCAACGGGGAGCTTGTGAGACTTGAGTGAGTACTATCCATTTTTATTGGATTGTCGTTGTAGGTTGGGTTGTCAGGTTATATATATTTTCAAAAGAGACGTTCACCTTCCACCATGTCGATTGTTGACTTGCGCGATTAGTTAGGCCTACAGGAAAGCAAGTTTGTACGAGTTTTGGCTATCTGTTTACAAAGTCTATTCAATCATCGGGGAACACGGATTTTCTGCTCTGACTGAAATTAATAAAAGCAAAAACGGGAGCGACGGAACCTCGTTTCAATTGATTCTTAAAACTGGCAAACACATCGCGTTACCATTTGCAGAATAAATTTGCCTAAAGCTAGTTTTATTTTTTACAAGTGTGCCGCTAAAGATTTTTATTTGTTTATTGCGCCGCGAGCGAAACAAGTTTTGAGAACCACTGGCGTACAGCCTAATGCGCATATTTGTAGCAATACACATTGTATGGCGAAATTAGTTAATTCGGCGTTAAAAGATATTTAATTACGTATTTCTGCAGTTATTTTAGTAACGTTAAATTGTGTCGAACATTCATCATTCTAGTAAATCGGTCACCTTGGAGCGATTGGACCGTATGCTCGGTGTCGTGTGGCAAAGGTGAACAAATGAGAGTTCGTATCTGTCTTGACAATAGTTGTGAGGTGCCTGAAAGGCAGCATAGAGAATGTGGAAAACCATGCAATGATAGAAAAAGGGAAATACAACACGGTAAGTCATTCGTATTATCGACTGTTTATTCCAGTACAGTTGCACATATTCATTTTGAAATGCCGTCTACATTTCTATATTAGTATACGGCGCATGTTCACTTAACGACGTAAGTACTTCTTCTTTGGCTTGGCACAGCTATTTTTGCATATCTTATTCCTAACCCACACCTGGCTATGCCATCCAATGCCATGCAAATTTGGTTGTATCACGCATACTAGTGGTACTTACGTCGTGTTGTGAACATGACCCCATTTTTGGTACTCCCTTAGTATGTGTACCAGGTCAGGGATAGACCGTAAAGTGTAGAATGTTTAATCACAACGTAAAGCCTAATGTGTATAATACAATTATGTGGAGAAATTAGTTAATTTGGCGTTAAAGGATAGTTAGTTACGTATCTTTACGGTTATATTAATAACGTTAATTTGTGTCAAAAATTTATCCCCTTAGGCTTAGGAGCTTGGTCACCATGGAGCGATTGGTCGGCGTGTTCGGTATCCTGTGGAAAAGGTGAACAAACGAGAATCCGCGTCAATAGTGTTAATAGTTTTACAATGCTGAAAATTATGCCGAGAGAATGCGGAAAACCATGCGATGATGGAAAAAGTGAAATAGGTAAGTCATTCGTGTTATTGACTGTTTATTCCAGTACAGTCACACATTTTTATTTTAAAATGCCGTCTACATTTCTACTCAATTTTTCCTATCTCTCATTTTTGTCTCCAATCGCTTGACTTTCTTCGAGAGACGAAATGATCATTGAGGTATTTGATACATATTTACATTTTTCAAACGAAGTAGTCAGGTGGAAAAAAGTTTGGCCTCGACATCGTGTTAAGAATTTTTTATTTGACTCCAACTCCCGTACCTGTGTTGCTAAAAGCTTCGACTCCAGCCTTGAACTTTGGAAAAATCAAATTTTGCTAACAAAAACTTTAGCGAAGGGATCCTTTCTCGAAAGACAATTAAGAACGCTTTCTAAACTCGATGCTTTTTGAGTTTTTATTCCAAATTCTGACTTCATGTATCGCAATCAAAGGTTTAAAACTCTGACTCCGGGTAATCAGGATTTTGACTCCTATAAGAGAAAGCCTGCCAAACGCCGACTCAGTCTCCGCAGTCTCGGTTGACACGTTTTTGCAAAGTTTTTGGCGGTTTTTCACCGTTTTTGGTAGTTTTTGACGTTTTTTTTCACTGTTTTTTCATTCATAGAATAAAACCTTCTCATTTTATTTATTTACATGCTTCATCGTTTTCCTGTTTAAAAACTTAGAATTTGCAGGTCTCAAGAGGTTCGATCTATCGATATAACCAAAAGTTTGATTCGTATAATAAAATCTCCCTATTTTATTCATATACGTGCTTTAACGTTTGTCGTTTTTAAATTCAGGATCTACAGTTCTGAAGAGGTTCGATCTATCAATGTTTGGTCTTACATCTTGATGACAATTGGAATATTATTGATATGTATAGGTGGAACTCTAATATTTATTGGATATTATTATGATATCATTGGATCAACTTTACCAGGAGTGGTTTTGTTTTTGTGGGCAATATTCGGTACTCCTGAAGTATGCGCACCAAGATGTTACACGAATATATTACAGACCAAATAAGGAGACAAATCATAGTTTATAGTGTTTTTTAATGAGATGAATGAGCTTGGTGTTCTTCAGCGAGTTTTTTATTATATCTAAATTACCCCGTTTACTGAAAAGCGATTTAGTTGTTTTGATAGCAATAGCAGCACGGCTAAAAACATCTCTTTCACTATATAAGAGGTCGGAAATGAAAGAATCCAGGATTCTACCTTCTCAAAGACCGTGTACTCTTGTCCTATAGCAGGGGTGGGCAACCTTATTCGGCTCGCGTGCCAAAATCGGGTAAATTTAACGATAAAATTCTTTCGCGTGCCGACCAAAATTAAAAACAACTATTTGCTAATTTCAAAGCGAAAATAAACCTTAAACACGTACAGACATCTTCACTATTCAGAAAAATATCAATCCGGCAATTAGATTTGCTTACTTTTCTTATTCTATATCAGTCAGACTTCCGCTGCTGCATTACCGCTGATAGAGATTTTACATTGGGTTTATGTTTTGTAACTTTAAATAAAATACCTGAACTCTTTTCAGGCTACTCCTGTTAGAAGACCTAATTAAGTACATAACTGAGAACACAGATTCACAAGCATATGTAGATGAAAACATGGAGAGTAATGCAGTTGTAAAAATTTCAAGACACGAAATTTTTCGGGAATGTCATCCCAATCACGAAATAGTCCGTTTTCTGCACTTCTCTTCTGCATTTCCTTCCCTAATCGCCTATATTTCTTTCGGAATCAAGTTATAACTGTAAGTTAGCAAGTAATACTAACCAAAATGATCTGTACAACTTCATAAACCAAACAGAAGTGAAGAAAAGGGCAGCACAGTCTGACTATATTTCTATATTAAGTAAGAATGTAGCCAAATGAATGCTGCGCTCTTCCCGACAAAATTTCTAGAGAGTCTACTCATTTGTTGCGTCATAATGTGTTTTTTGTAATCATATGTCATGAAAGTACAAAAAGAGTATATAATAAATAACGGATTGTTAACAAACGATAAGGAGTAAACGTACACCTATTTTCAACAGATAATTGAAGAGTCTTGAAACTTTTTATCTGAACGTGAATGATCTCGTTTGCGAGGCCTCGCTCGCGTGCCGAATAAATGGGCTCGCGTGCCAAGTTTGGCCCGCGTGTCAGGGGTTGCCAACCCCTGTCCTATAGCATTTATCTCCCTAAATTCACCCCATTTCACATTAAAATAATAAAAAAAAAATGAATTTTCAAAAACTTATGATAATGATTTTCGTACATCTCATTGATCCCTACAGCCTGATGACCTTCACCAAAACACATGATATATAACAATCTTTGGTAGAAAATCTTACCCGATTCCTTTTCCTACCATGTCCTCCAGTCCATAGAATCAATCAACCATTTGTTTTGGATTCGTGGACTCGGATGGCCCAGAGATCCGCAAATTTTACGTCGCCCTTGGGACAAAATTTAGGGTTGCTATTCTTTTGCGGATCGCATATATTTTTTGAAAGTTAATAACGGAACATCGTGCGAAAGCTGCGACAATTCGTGAACTCAACTCAGTCGTCTTATTAAAAAGTTATTACAATGACATTTAATATGACACTGTCTTGTTGCCGCATCACGCTTGACAGCTTTACGACGCCAAGATTGGAAGATTTTGTAAATGGGCATCACTAATCTTAGTTTTTTGCTTGTTGGACACGTTTAGTGGACACAACGATCGTTTTGTTATGTTGTTCTTGTTGGACACGTAGTGGACATAGCGATCGTTTCAATATTATGTTGTAGTTGTTCTTGTTCTTATTTGACACGTTTTTGAAAAGTCGCTTTTCTCTTTGATTACTGGACCAATTGCTTTGAAAATTTCAGTGGTTAAAGATAAAAATTTTCTTCAGAAGGCTATCACTTTTTTTTTGCTATGACGTCATCAAAATTATTGCCATTAGGTGGGGTTACGTGTCCATATATTTGAGCATAGCTCTCTTGCAATTTCAATTCACGCTGTCACAAGACAGGAACTTCTAAAGATAGAGAAGTTCTGGTACCGTAACACAGCGCGATGACACTGAACTAACTCGTAGCTGTCAAAAGCTTGAAAATCCATACAAATATGAGAGATAAAAAGATGAAACTTGGCAGGTGGGTAGAGTTGTGTTTCTTTTAACCATATTTGAAGGTTTCGCGTTTCTACATTCAAAGGAGGGGGGATAGGGGGGCGCGCATTTCCGATACGTCGATAATATCTTTGTCAACCAATTTGCGACCACCGTGATTTTGTCTGTTTGATTGCTGTGATGTGATGCTTTGTTTATAATTTGACAAGTTTTGTCCGAAATAACCGTGTTCTTAAAATATATGACGGCCAGAAATGCAATTAGAAGCCCAATGTTTTCACGCTGTCACAAGACAGGAACTTCTAAAGATAGAGAAGTTCTGGTACCGTAACACAGCGCGGTGACACTGAACTAACTCGTAGCTGTCAAAAGCTTGAAAATCCATACAAATATAGGAGATAAAAAGATGAAACTTGGCAGGTGGGTAGAGTTGTGTTTCTTTTAACCATCTTTGAAAGTTTCTTCTCTCCCCCGGGATAAATATGTAAATCCTATCCTAATATGTCGATAATATCTTTGTCAACCAATTTGCGACCACCGTGTATCATTGTTATGGGTATTTCATTTGTAAATATATTTATTCAAGCCTTTGCTTGTTAAACAATAAAGTAGCCAAAATTATATAATTTTATTTTAATTAAGATGAAAGAAATATATATAAGAAATAATAAAAAAAAATTTGAAATATGACGTCAAAATATTTACGTCATTTTCTTTGACATATTGGCCGCTGGTTATTTATACAGTTACAAATTTAACGATTATAATACGTATTGTTTTATTACTAGAGCGATTGTTTATTTTGAATTTCCAAGCACTGGGATACTTTTGGAAAGTCGCTATTTTGGTAGTCCCGTCGTGTGTGTTCCAGGTTAGGGTTAATTGCCATAATTTATTCCGATTTTTCTTATTTTAGTTATATTACTGTCTGTGTTAGCCAAATGAATACCCCCTGCCCATAGGTTTCAGTCCCTTCATACAACTTGATGTAAAATATGCGAACAAATTAGTTACCTCCATATTGGTACACAAATTTCTGGAGCGCCGCTACGCGTATTTTTTGTTTCGTTTGCGTGTTGTTTTCCCAGCTTCGTCAAACATAAATGATGAATATTTATGTAACATAAATTGTATCACGTACGGAGCAAACCGCAAACAGACACGACTTCTCTGAAATGAGGTTCATTATCACAAGCGAAATTGAAGTTTACGCCTTGTCGGTCCTCTTTAAATTTCATAAAACAGTATAATGCGGGTTAACAAGGAATTATAGAAAAAGATGAAAAATAAATACGACATTTCAGGGAGAGTCTAGAAACGCTTGGTTCTATCTATCGTTAAGAAAAAAAGTCTTATTGTCTCCACAAGTCGGGGCTGTAGAAATTTCAACCCTGTACTGCTTATGAAATGAAATATTGATAATAAAAACTCTGGAGTATGCATGCCTTCTTTTAATATATTGTTGAAAAGTCATGCCAATTTAACTGTTTTTAAAAACAAATTGGTACTTTCGTAGTGTGTGTACCAGGCTAGGCCATAATTTTATTCCGATTTTCCTTATTTTAGTTTTATTACGAGTTCGGGGACTGTCTGTATTAGCGAGGTGAATATACCCCCTGCCCATAGGGACCAGCCCCCTTACAGAACTTGATGTAAAATAGACGAACAAAACTAGTTTCCTCCATATTAGTACACACCCTTTTGGAGCGCCAAATTTTCGACTCCGGCAATTTAGAAGGAAGGTTTCAAAAGGTCAAACTCAAGTTTTATATAATGCTTTAATCGTTCATCTTCTATAGTTAAGATATTATTTACAATTTTATTGTTTTTGCGAAAAGTTGCATTGTGTTTTTTTTGTTACATATTTCATGTCACAGCTATATGCGAGCACATATATTATCGTAGTCCCAAGGCTATCTAGAATTTTAGTAGTAGTATTTTATACCTGTTACCTGTATTTTATGCGCGTATATTTTTTTACATCTCTTGCATATATGGGCTATTCCAAGTGACACTACAGGACAAATCCAAGAATTTGGCATGTTGTTAAATTTCAGCTACATGTTCTGTTTCATTGTCCAATCAGTTGCTTTATTGAATATGAAAAAATTGCACAAAAGTTACACCCAAGACTTACTTAGTGGATATAAAAAATATAGTAAAATCTAGCGTGACGCTACAGCCTACAGGACGTCAACTCCACGATGCATTAACTGTACATTGTGTTGTGCTGTAAATTTTTGCGATGGTACAGCAAGAGCCCATAATATTTTCTGGTGCAGTAGCTGAAAGACCCCTCTATGTGTTGCTCAAGTTACTTAATGTAACACTGTAAATCCATGCCAATAATGTGCTTATTGTATGTGACACTACAGGACATTTTTCCACTTCAGAACAGCGGCCTCTATCATTTCTTAAAATTTTGGTAATAAATCGTTGAATGGGTGAAGAAATATCCTACAGCACTGCAAACATTTAAACTTTATTAACTTAAATTCAGTGCGTTATTTCATATGAAATAACCGTATCACACAATAAAACACTTTGTGTCACCAAGCATTATGTACAAAATATGTCAACTATACCAAAATTTCTACATTTTAGGCCATTTTTTAAAAACCATCAAAAACCTGGGTGAAAGTTCAACTTTTTTTGGTGAAAGGAATGCAGTCCAAATAAAATTCCAAGGTCTTTTGATATAAAAAATACAAAAAAATTACGTTCACTACCCTACCCTCTAGGGTTAGTTCGGATACCTATAATTTTCACTATCCGGATAACGGATATATCCGGGTATTCCGTATTTTAAATATACGGTTAACCGGATAGTTACTGCTGATTTTAGAGAACCGATTTCGCAGGATTTTCGCGGTGAATTGACCGAATACCACCACACAGTTCTGTCGTAAATACTCACATATGTATTATTTTTCTTGGATATGAATTATTGTGCATTTTAATATTGTATGTGTCAATAAATAATAATTTAAGCTCAGTAGTCGTACCGATGTACAGCGGAATAATAAAATGAAACATTTTTTGAAAATATTGTGTCCTAATTTTTTTTCCCCCAACTGCTAAGTTATTTTCCCTATTCAAATAATATGTAAAGATTTATATTATTTCTACTTTATTGTAAAGTTTTTTAAAAGTTTCTTTTTGTGTCTAGAGCCTCTTTTCTTTAAATTTTGACTCGTACTAAATTTTAGTGTCGCAGACTCACAATGATCATTTCTGATCATCCGCACCTTCCTATCAATTGCAATGAAATTTAATATTGTCATGTATAGTATTTTGTTTTCTATAATATTTGGTGATTTCTTGCACGACGAAATAAACTTTGTTAATATATACCACAAGAGCATACATATAAATGAAATCATGAACACAAAAAATCGTGCATTTCGAACATTTTATTTCGGTGAGAGAAGTATCCAAAAAAAATATATAGGGGGAACAAATTCCGTGAAGTGTATAGGAAAATATAAGTCATTTGAACAAAAATTTTAATAACAAAGCAAATTGATGATTATGAAAAAACCGAAGTGGTCAGAAATTTCTTCTAATTTGAAAACTTCACTTATTTAACATGTCACTGTAAATATTCTCACGTTTGTACTAATTAGGCCACAACTTTAAATCTATTTCCATTCGAATACCTTTTAAACTAAATTAACAGAGCCAAAACAATGCTGCGCCAGTTTTTGAACAACTTTACTTACCACCCTAAATGAGTAAACGAAAAGCATGACACGATACAGAGTCTGTCACATTGAACTTTTCTGAAATATTATAGACCATTTTGCAAACAAATTTGTTTGTGAAAGTTCCATGAAAACCATAAATGTAATAACAGCCTTTCTTCCTCGTTTTGAAATTTTTGAAAACGTCACTAATAAAGGCGGTCGAATTTCACAGGCTAATTTTGTTATCATCGCCGTTCGTTTTCTTCCGCGTCGCGTGATTATTTGGGGAATTAACATCGACATTATGCCAGTTTTAATTTGAAAAGAAGTTACATCCCGTGAAAAGTTACCCTTGTTGTAAATTCAGTAAATACGATTATTACGAAATTTTGGAGATTCAACAGCGCCTAAAATAGAGTCTTGTTTTATCTATCACTGGCTGGCTCATAAATTAAGAGTCGTGGTATTTTCGTTAGCATTCACTTCCCTATTTTCAGTCAAAAATGTGTGTTTCAGATCTACTCTCTTAACGATAGATAGATACGACGATAGATAACATACTGCGGCCATTTCAGTTCCGGGCGAAATAAAACAATTATCGGCGTTATATACCGACGAAACTGAACCCGACTTTTCTCCCGAAAATGTTGATATATATAACTATTAAAATTAATATCTGCATTTATTGTACTAAATAAATTATACTCATTGGAATTGCAATAATAGCTCAAATTTGATGAATTTTCAAGATCGCAAAAATAGGAAATTGGATTTGTTCGTGCAGCTTACCATTTATTTTCATATCTAGAGTAGAAATGCTTTTATTTTAAGGTAAGTCGGGCTCTTCTATACCGCAAATACGCAATAATCACATTTTTCTGCGTGTTTTGTGATGTAATACTATAGTCAAGTTCACTCCAGCATTACACGGATGACTAAAATATATGCAGAGTGGTGTGGATATAAGTGAATATTATATGCTCTGAGAGATGTCATTGGCCACTCAACAAAAAATATAAAAATCACTAATGCGCATATGCATTATTTATACTGCTCTATTATCCGGTTAACCGTTACAATAATATCCGGTTATCAGATAGCAAAATACCTCTTGGTTAACCGGTTATCCGGTTAACCGCTATCCGGATAATCCAACCCTACTACCCTCCCGAACAATCCTAACTTTACCAAGATGGCCTACAATCCGAGATGGCCAAGCTGATAAATCTTGTTGGACTTCACAGCATTTGCATTGCAGATTGCCCCCCCCCCTCTTACTCAGAGTGTAATAAATTGGGTAACAAAGTTTCCTCTTCTTCAGAACAAGAGTAACCTCTTACACATTGTGAGATAACAGTGGCTGCTTGTATAAGGCTTTGTTCCGAGCGAAATAGCTAAATAATCGTCAATTGCCAAAACAGAAATATTCCTGTTTTTTCAGATAAAAGCAACCTCGTACATATTGTAATATACAGGATGTCCATAAAGTCCCTTTACAATTTCAATTTTGTTATGAAGTCAATTCTCAATATATCTTAACCAGGTTTGTTGTTATTTTTTCTAATAATGCTAGAGTACATGATTATTATACAGTAAGTGCCAGACAGTATTCTCATTTTACTCTTATTAAATTCAAAACTCATAATTAATAGTTGTTTCTAATTACAGCAATTAACCGACTGTTTTGGGTCAAGAAAGCTCTTAGTTTAATGGGAGAAATAACAAAGTATGTTTTTTAAAATTGGGTTTTATGTTAATAAACGGCATTTAATATTATTTATCAGTTCAAATTGACATTTTACGTAAGTGTGAAAATATCGCAAATCCCCGCGAGCTATAAAAATCAACTTTAGTTATAATAAAAATAGTAAACAAGATAGTGAAGTGTAAGATACGTGCAGTTAATCACGTTCGGTAGAAATGCAGTGTGTGGCTTGGACAGTCTAAGGTTACACTCTAAACTAGTGGTTCTCACACTAAACGCCCGTTTTCTAGTAATAAGTTATAAATAGCAGATAGCCAGATAGCAAAGTAAAAGTATGTTTTATTCTAAATCACGTTGAAAATACGTGGATGGAACGAAAATGAATGGAAAGTTTTGAAATGTAAATATCCAGAATAAGGCGAGCAAGATCAAATCTAACAAATATTTTCATTTTCAATTAGCTACACGTCCCCTCAAAATTTGTCTACGCCCTTGTGGGGCGCGCGCACCGTTTGAGAATCAATGCTCTAAGCAGAATAAACTACATTTAATTATACCAGCAATAATGATTGGTGTTAAGTGTTATGTAATGAGTTTATAGCTTAACAGGACAATCTAAATTTAATTACACTGGCATAATTATCATTGTAATGAGTTATTCGAGTAAATAGTATAGCATTTCAGTAAGATATATAAATTAGGTCAGTTTGTTTACTAAGTCCTTTTATTCTAAGGCTTTGAGAAAATAGGGTTTAATCAGAGGATTGAATTCAAATGATCACAGTATTTGAAAGAACGTATCTCAGTCAGGGAAACCGCGCTTTGAAAATGCGACGAAGTTTCTGATAAATAACAAGTAATAAGTCACAAATACCACCGTAATTATGATGAGATAAAATCATCACTAGAAGTTTAATTATTGTATATATATTTAGGGGGTGGTGAATATTTTGAAATTTCAAGGAGGGTGCAGAGAAATTACTATGAGGGGCTACTGTAATTTGGAGGAACCGAATACCTAAAATTATGGCCTAACCCTAACCCAGTACAGATATTACATTCCGATGTCCGCCATCTTGGTTCGGATACTTCGGGAGCCCCGACTTAACTATATTGGCATGGCACATTGAAAATTTCGGGTTCGAATACCACGCCCAGCACCTCGCCCAGGTGTAATAAATTGAGTAGGCAATGCTGAACAGGAAAGATTTCGGGGGGCTCCCGAAGTATGCGAACCAAGATGGCGGACATCGGAATGTAATATCTGTACTGGGTTAGGGTTAGGCCATAATTTTAGGTATAAATACTACGGGAGGCTCTTGGCTAGTCTTCGAACTGATAATAGGACTAAAATAACGAAAATTGGAAAAAAATTATTGCCTAATCCTAACCTGTTACCTGTGTTACGTTCCGATGTCCGCCATCTTGGTTCGCATACTTCGGGAGCCCCGTTAAGTCTGATTCCATCGCACCCTGGAAGATTCATAAATAGCGTTTCAAGTCTTAGAGATAGTGCCTTAATTCTAACTATATAGCCTACAGAGTTCTGTTTACAATCGTGCAAAAGGTACAAATAAATACAAACATCAGCAGATTTCTCACGTGTAAATAGCTTTCAACAATATGCGGATTCAATCCATTTTAACTTGCAGTGAAATCCTTTTGTTCACATTCTCAACTCTAATATTGCAAACAACAGGTGAGTTTCGTTTTAAAACAATAAATTATGTAGATTGGAGGAAATCATTGAGACGTGAAAGAAGTACTGTAGCTCAATATGCAAAATAATAACAAATACGCAAATATAAAACACCATCTTTGACCCATACTTTTCTGATATGTTAAACATATTTTGTACAATCATTTTGAAATACGTGCAGTGGTGGGATGTAGGGGGTTCGCGCGAACCCCTTCTTAGAATGGGGTGATCATTAGCGAACCTGTTATTGACTTAGACTTTATACAAGTGCAGAAAATGAGTAGCGTGCAGTGTAGCTGACGACCAGCTTTATATTCGGAGTTTTGGAAGTTATGTATTAGATTTACGTTAAGCGTGTCACGTAAATGCAGCTTACGTAGTTACATATATATATGTATACATTTTATAAAATGAAGGAACTTGTTGTTACTGAGTCGATACATTCAGTCCCTTTACAGTTTACACAACTTGATGTAAAGTAGACGAAACAAAATTAGTCACCTCCATATTGGTACACATACTTCTGGAGCGCCCTAAATTGTATCGAAAATTTATCCTCTTAGGAGTTTGGTCACCATGGAGTGATTGGTCGGCGTGCTCTGTATCATGTGGCAAAGGTGAACAAATGAGAGTTCGCATCTGTCTTGACAATAGTTGTGAAGTGCCTGAACGGCAGCTGAGAGAATGTGGAAAACCATGCGATGATGGAAAAAGTGACATACAACAAGGTAAGTCATTGGTAATATCCAGGGGTGGCTTTCGACTGCGATAGACTAAAATTTTCAAAATAGCACGCGATCGACTAATCGGGTCATACACAAAACCGAAGGAGTACTGAATATGCAGATAACTGCAAACACGCATAGCCTACATAAAATATCACCGCTGCCAAGACAGCAAGAAGCTCGGCTCTTTCATTAAGAAAGCCTGACCAGGCCTGATTAATAAAGGGTGTCGCCAAAATGTCGTGTCCCACGTGTCCGACTTATATTCTAGTCTTAATTAATTTCTAGTCCTGAAATTATTTCATAGTCGTAAAAGTCAATTGGGAACCGTGGAGCGATTGGTCAGTTTGTTCCGTTTCGTGTGGCAAAGGAAAACAAATGAGAATCCGAATTTGCACCGATAACACGTGTCAGCAACCAGAGCGACAAGAACAGGAGTGCGGAAAACCCTGTCCACAAGAAAAGGACAAGGCCCAGCGAACAAGTAAGATTCCCAATTAACCCCAGTTATCTCTTTCTCTCTCACATGCACAATTTGACAAAATACAACATAAATTCCGCCTGATTAAATATAAATGAAAAATTCTGAAACGGGAGAACCGTAATTTGACTCGCTAACTCTAGTTCGCCAACCTGAATTTGATACACACTGACCGTATTTCTACAGCGCTAATTTGACATTCGTAATGTGACTTTTATGCTGCCATCACTCTAGAAAAAAAAGAGCAAAACGAGGCACAGTACTGCATTCAGAGGACCCTAGTGCCTTAAAAGCAAGTTCTCAGAGCTCGAAATGCGTTCTTTTAGTTTTTCCTCCGCAACTAACGGATCAATCCATGTCAAATCTCTATGAATGTTACGAACACGTGACACACACGTCATAGTAGTTCGCCAGTAGCTGAGTAACTAATCCCATACCCGATATAGGATAGGATGGGATAGGATTTACATATTTATCACGGGGGCAGGGAAAGCCGATAAGACGGCTTAATCATATGGCGAACCACGGCCTCTCGCTTATGAATGGAAACTTAAGGAACCTCTGGACTGTACAGGCGAAACCCCGGTTAAAAACCACTGGCCTATACTGATAAGGGCATTGGTTTATCCACTCTATCGAAATCCATTCACACGCTCCAACGGAGAATATATATGACGAAATTAGATAAATTTGGTGTCAAAAGATAGTTACGTTTTACCGCGGTTATTTTAGCGTTAAATTGGGTACTCCCATAGTAAGAAAGCAAGAAGCTCGGCTTTTTCATTAAAAAGGCAATTATCTGAGGTAAGTTATCAAATTCACTCAACATCTGATTAATCGAGGGTGTCTCCAAAATGTCGGGTCCCACGTGTCCGACTTAATTTCTAATTTTAAATAATTTCTAGTCCTGAAATATTTTCATAGCCGTGAAAGTCAATTGGGGGCCGTGGAGCGATTGGTCAGTTTGTTCCGTTTCGTGTGGCAAAGGAAAACAAATGAGAGTCCGAATTTGCACCGATAACACGTGTCAGCAACCAGAGCGACAAGAACAGGAGTGCGGAAAACCCTGTCCACAAGAAAAGGACAAGGGCCAGCGAACAAGTAAGATTCCCAATTAACCCCAGTTATCTCTTTCTCTTTCACATGCACAATTTGACGGAATACAACATAAATTCCGCCTGATTAAATATAATTAAAAATTCTGAAACGGGAGAACCGTAATTTGTCTCACTAACTCTAGTTCGCCAACCTGAATTTGATACACACTGACCGTATTTCTACAGCGCTAATTTGACATTCGTAATGTGACTTTAATGCTGCCACCACTCGAGGTACAGTACTGCATTCAGAGAACCCTGGTGCCTTAAAAGCAAGTTCTCAGAGTTCGAAAAACGTTCTTTTAGTGTTTCCTCCGCAACTAACGGATCAATCCATGTCAAATCTCTATGAATGTTACGAACACGTGACACACACGTCATAGTAGTTCGCCAGTAGCTGAGTAACTAATCCCATACCCGATATAGGATAGGATGGGAGAGGATTTACATATTTATCACGGGGGCGAGGAAAGCCGATAAGACGGCTTAATCATGTGGCGAACCACGGCCTCTCGCTTATGAATGGAAACTTAAGGAACCTCTGGACTGTACGGGCGAAACCCGGGTTAAAAAACACGGGCCTATACTGATAAGGGCATTGGTATGTCGAAATCCATTTACACGCTCCAACGGAGAATATATATGACGAAATTAGATAAATTTGGTGTCAAAAGATATTTACGTTTTACCGCGGTTATTTTAGCGTTAAATTGGGTACTCCCATAGTAAGACAGCAAGAAGCTCGGCTCTTTCATTGAAAGGGCAATTTTTTGAGGTAAGTTATTAAATTCACTCAACATCTGATTAATTGAGGGTGTCTCCAATATGTCGTGTCCCACGTGTCCGACTTAATTTCTAATTTTAAATAATTTCTAGTCCTGAAATATTTTCATAGCCGTAAAAGTCAATTGGGGGCCGTGGAGCGATTGGTCAGTTTGTTCCGTTTCGTGTGGCAAAGGAAAACAAATGAGAGTCCGAATTTGCACCGATAACACGTGTCAGCAACCAGAGCGACAAGAGCAGGAGTGCGGAAAACCCTGTCCACAAGAAAAGGACAAGGGCCAGCGAACAAGTAAGATTCCCAATTAACCCCAGTTATCTCTTTCTCTCTCACTTGCACAATTTGACAAAATACAACATAAATTCCGCCTGATTAAATATAATTGAAAATTCTGAAATGGGAGAACCGTAATTTGCCTCACTAACTCTAGTTCGCCAACCTGAATTTGATACACACTGACCGTATTTCTACAGCGCTAATTTGTCATACTAGTTCGCCAGTAGCTGAGTAACTAATCTCATACCCGATATAGGATAGGATGGGGTAGGATTTACTTATTTATCACGGGGGCGAGGAAAGCCGATAAGACGGCTTAATCATATGGCGAACCACGGCCTCTTGTCTGGTTACCAGTCCAGGTCGGGTATGGGATTAGTCAGCCAGTTATTTGTTTTCGGAAGCAAGAAGCTTGGTGGTAGAGGAAGCCGTAACCGACAAGAAGTTAAGTGAACTCCCCTACGGCGGCAAGGAGTCCAGCAATCATCTCGCACATGATCATCCCTGCATGGGATTCGAATCTGCGAATCCACGAACGGTAATCAGAGATGCGGTGGCCAGCGTATTCCTAGCGCTTAGCACGATGCGCCACACCGCCGAGCCGTATAGACTACCGGTAGTAACCTGACGAAAGGCCTTGGTAGCCTACGCCTAACGTCTAACATATGGGTAAGCCGTTTTATAGGGTTTCCTCTACCCGAATTAATATTAAAATCGGTTCTAGGAAAATTTGCGTAAGAAATCTCGCCGCAGGAAATTTCATTGCATAGTAAGGGCCGCCACGTGAAAATCGCTTCAAGAGCATTTTGCTGTAAAACAAGTATTTGTGATAAAAACAGTTGGGTTTTTGAAGTACCTTTTTATTTGAGAAAAATTCGATATTTAAAGCTGGTGCATTCAGCGGACCGTGCTGCCCTAAAAGCAAGTTCTCAAAGCTCGTTCTTTTATAATATATAAGGCCCTATAATATAAATATTACAAACGAGTGACATCACAACCCTAACCCTAAAAACCTAACTGTTTTTATCACAAATAGTTGTTTTAAAGCAAAATGCCCTTGCGGCGATTTTTCATGCCGCGAATTTCCATATGCGGTGAACTTTCCGGACGCGATGAAAATCATTTCCTGTCCTCGCCAGTTTCCACTGCTACGGTACCGCGCAGCCTTGGGCTTTGCAATTTCGATTTAGTGGTTTTGAATGACTGATAACTGATTTTAGTCGTAGGCCCTTGTTACTCTGTGACTGTGATTAGTCATACCAGCATACCGCTACTCCTAGTACTTTCATTTTCATTTATATATATGAGCATTTCTTTTTTATCTTACAGTAACGAAAAAACCTTGGTTGCCATGGAGCGACTGGTCAGCCTGTACGGTATCCTGTGGAAGAGGACAACAAATGAGAATACGACTTTGTCTCAATAATAAATGCCAAGAACCAGAAAGAGAACAACGAGAATGTGGAAAACCATGCAAGGAGATTGGAAATGATGAGCAAGGTTGGACAATGAACTTTTGTAGCCTTAGTATAAATGAGTTTCTCACTTCAGCACTTACACCAGTTTATTGAAGTCCTGTATGGATTTTATGCTCTATTGCTATTTTCCGTAAATCTTTTCGGCAAACTCGTTGCTCTCAGACTGTCCCGTTATTGATGTGTGGCATATATGTTGAGCATTAATTACTCTATTGTTCTGAAAATTATCATTCAGAATCTCATACTCACAGGTTCCACATGGCAACCTTGGAGTCCATGGAATTTGTGTTCTACAGTATGTGGTTCGGGCATGCAGATGAGAGTTAGACAATGTTCAAGCCCAAAGGATAGACAGCCACTTGAAAATAAAGAATGTGGCAACGATGCAGTTGAAGTAAAATCCTGTAATGATCGCCATTGTGTTGTCGGTGGGTTTGCGTCAGAACCAGCGAAATGGCCTTGGCAAGTTCTTATCATCACTAACCTTGATGGTCAGTGGCAACAATGTGGTGGGACTTTAATATCAAGCTCTTGGATACTCTCGGCAGCACATTGCTTTTTGGATCCCTTTGGGTGAGTTTTATTCAAAACGAAGTGGGAACTTTTTGCATTCCAGAAGTGTGTGTATCAATATGAAAGTAGCTAAATTTGTTCGCCACCTTTACATCAAGTTGTGTAAAGGGACTGAAACCTATGGGCAGGAGGTATATATATTTACTTGGCTAACACAGACAGTCCCCGAACTAGTAATAGAACTAAAATAATGGAAATCTGAATAAAATTATGGCCCAACCCTAACCTGGTACACACACTACGGGAGTACCAATCTTTTTGCTGAATAATGAAAACATTTATTATGCCTTACATAATTATCATGTCCGAAAAGTGCGATAGTCGAGCGCGATTAAACGGTTAATAGTTACCGATATTATAACTGTTTTCTTACAATAATGTAGACCAGAGCGCCTTCGGAGCACCTTACATTTTCGTGAAACATGCGCACCCGCACAGGTAATACTACGTCTTCAAACGCACCGCCGATCACGCGCCACGGTTTTGCACAACTAATTACAATTTGATATGGTTTTCTCATTGTCAAAATCTTTCAATAGTGTTATTATTGGCACTTGCGAGAGAAGTGAAAGAGGCAAACTGTATTTCATTACAACAATTAATCATTATCGCTAAAACATAAATCTTTCACCAATGGACGTATCTTTTCACGTTATGGATTTCGTGCAAGGCCCAGCTTAATTTGCGGGCAAATATCAAAGCAATTACTATGTCAAAACGCTTATTCGACTTTTCAGACTACAGAAACTATCTGAAAAAATTACACCCCACTTTCGAATTTTTTTAAAAACTGAAAAAGTCGCCAATAACGCGTTCAATTGCCTTTTGCTAAAATCGCCGATTGTTTTCATCATTGTGACCTGTTACGTTGGCGTTTATTCTCATTAAATCACAAATTTTCCACAAATTTGTGACACGATGACTATGCTGATTATTTTTTTTGTACTAGCACGGAATTATTAACCCGGCAAGAATTCTTAGAAGTTCATCGGCGGTGAGATTCTAAGGAAAAATGAAGGAGTAAAATCCGAGATCTATATTTTTTGATTGAAAAGCGGCAATATAAAATACTAAAAATAAAACCGTAATTAATATACGTTTTGTTGAGGCACGCGACAGTCTAAAAACGCTTTTCTAGGCATCGAAAATCGCGCAAAGTTTCGTGTTCCTACGGCACACATTATAGTTGGTTGGCCTTCAAATACATTTTATTACTAAAATCGAAACACGGTTAATTGTGGGCGGGATTTGCCTTTTTATCCATTACTTTTAAATTGACGTCGAAAATTTTCGTGTTGACTTTAAACAAGGTTGAGTACACGACTTTTTCCCGGTTTGTGATGATATATAAGATAATTAAAGTATATTCGATTAATTTTTATTGTACTGAAATAAATTTTATTCCGTGAGAATTGACAGAAAATATACATATTTTTCGAAAGGTTTTATTTTTGAAAATAATCCGAGTGGCAACATTGCGATTGAGCGGAGTCAGTGTTACAAGTACATCTCAAATTTATCGAATTCGCAAAATAGCAAAAATACGGATTAAAACAATATATAAACGGGCAGTTTACCACACATTTTTATGTCCGCGGATTGCCGTAGTGTTTTAGAGTGGCTCTTGTTTTGTCGACGCAACCGCAATTTAAATTGAAGACAATTAAATTAATAAATCAAGACATTTTAAATATGCCCGTATCGGTCTTTGATTGATTACTTTGAACAAGTGAAAAATCATTTTTCGTTGAAAAGTCGGCTCTTTTAACAAGTGGCGTAATCGCACTGTTCGGCGGGGATTTCGAGGCGGTGAATTTGTATTTTTGATTTACTTGTATACTTTATATTTATTTTCATTGTATGAAGTAAAATTGTACTATACGGGATTTCATATCAGATATCGAGATTTTTGTAACGGCGATAACGATATCAGCTTATTTCATATGCTTATGTCCACAAATTGTTCACGAATATTTTTATTTTGACGTCGTAAGAAGTCGCAACCGCGAGTTACGTTGCACACAATTAAATTAATAAATAAGGACATTTTAGAATCTCGTAGCTGACATGGATTGAATATTTTACGCGACAGAAAAATCATTACACGCTTAAAAAGGCGACTCTTTTAACGAGCGCGTAATCGCGGTGACTGTTACAGACGGCTATGGGAATTTCCGACTTTGACCCCCCCCCCTTTTTTTTTCCAGTAAATCCTGGCTGCGCGCCTGAACTCGTGCCTGTTTATTTCCGTATTAAATTATGAATAAAAACCCTGCAAAGTCATTGCGTGAATCCTGAATGTTATTTCGAGTTCAAATGATGATTTGATAAATCGGCAATAATGGAAATTCTACTAGTCAAATGATAATTCCTTGGTAAAATTTGGGAAAAAATTTGCACAATAGCTTGTTACCTTGTTTTGCATTTCTAATTTTACGAAACGGCGTTAGTGCGCTTTATGCAGAACTAGGAATTGATACAAATAATCCAATATGACTCCTCAAATTTGTCGTTCTGTTTGTTAACAAGATCCGTGCGCTTACGTTCAAGAAATCGGTTCAGTGACGCGCAAGTTCCGTGTCCAAGCAAAGCAGCCCAGGTATTCGATATATGAATAGCAAAATGACATTCTAATAATTAGAGAATGACATCGACAGGTTATTGTTACGTGACAATACACGGCACGGTGTTTTTCGGTAGGCGATCCAAGTTCGCCCCCCCCAAAATTATGGAAAGTGTCCGCCCCTGCTTGTAGTATGATTCAAATATTGTACTTTGTTTCTTGTGCCACGGTTCCCAACTTCGATCATTTGTCTTCGCTCTAATATATTTAGCATAACAGTGTCTATTGGACTGAGTTGACACACGAAATAAATCGATGTGTCTGAAATTACCTAAACTACAAAATCATTATGAAATAATATATAAGTATACAATTTTTAGAATCGTGATAACATTTCAGGTATATAAACAGTTTCAAACTGCAACCACCATCCGCCCTATATCAGTTTTTTTCTGAATATAAGAACTCTTAGTATAGAGAATCAAGTTTAGGTTGGCGTTTTTTTGTACGACTCTTAATCACGTGTTTCGCCCTGCAGTCAGGCACTGATATTATGTAAAAAGCTACAATATTTTTGAAGAAGTGAAATCTTTACTTAACACCTAGTCGAGGTGGGGGAATGGTAATTGAACCTGAGGTATGTAATATACGACACCCAGTCACCCACATAGATAAACCTAACACTTTAGTCATAGGTTCCCAATCGGGGGCTTGTGGCCCTTCAAAGGGGGCACGGGGGGCCACAATGCTAGGTGAGAATTGATTTCACATTTCTCTTTACAAGAAAACTCCATGTTCTTCCCACTTTCATTGCTTAACAAGGTTGTTTCACATGGTGTTTTCATTTAGTTGAGTATGGATTGTTTGATCATAATGGGATTTGGAATCTAGTAATCATGATAACACTCTAAATTCCACTGGAATGATACATAGGAGAGCCATGAGTGCTTAAATCCTCCGAAAGGGGTCCACGAGCCATGAAAAGTTGGGATCCACTGTGATTGGTCATCGCGTCGACCAGGTTTCTCATTACCTGAATTGGTTCTGGAACAAGTTCTTTTTTTTTCGTTTCTTCTCACGTGTGAGATCGTAAATTTGACTTTGTAGCTTCCAGGCTATTCTGTGAAAGCGAATTATTTAAACAATACTTTTACCAGAAATGAATGGAAGATTGAAAGCATCATGTTGGGAACAACAAGCAGGGCGGGGATCGGACGAGGAGTCGTCAAGTATTCAGAGGCAGATATTGTCCATACACACGAAAGTGAGATTTGAGAGTGGATTTGTGGTGTTGATAATTTCTATCCCTTTTCTGATATTTATCGAACGTTTTAATTTACCTTGATTGCGTAACTTGAGATCCGTAACTTAAGAACGTAATTTATAATTATTATGTATGGAACAGTATAATAATTATGGAGATATTCAATATTTTATAACTCAAAAGGTATGGCTTTGATAATCTATCCTAAACAAGTCTGGCCGGCAAAAAAACTTCAACTTGTTCCGAAGTGCAAAAAATGTTGTCGATCCTCAAAACAGTTCAATCAACGAGTGTTTTTAAATGTCCGCCTGCAAAAACATTCAGTTTTGAGCCAGTCTACAGCGTCAAAGATTAGAAAATATATCTTATCCACAATGTTTCTTTCAATAAAAAACATTTTTGTTTCAGACTTCGACAACAGAATATATGGTAACGACATATCCTTAGTCAAACTCCCTTCTCCCGTGGTCCTGAAACGATATATCAAACCAGCAAAACTTCCCAAGGCCAATGTAGCAGTTACGGAAGGAACGTCGTGTGTTGTTACTGGCTGGGGTGCAACAAACTCAACAGGGAGTAAAGGTAAATATTCTCTAGGTGGGAAAGCATCATTCAATAGAAAAGATCACTAGGAATTCAGTCATTAATGAAGTTGCAAGTAATAGCCGACGAGTAGGGCTGGACATTTCGAATCGAATAGTAAATTATTCGAAACAATCCAGATGAAAATGTCGAATCGCGCCATCTTTTTTCTGTCAGTAAAAGGTCGAGGTTAATCCTTCAATTTTTTTTTGTGAAGTGATCTCGTGTCGGAACGTTTTGAACGCTGTTACCCTTTCAATTCTGTCATAGCTCTCGGCGGCCAGTTCATTACATCCCCAGAATTGCACCCCTTTTCTTTTTACCTACCGGTATATATTAATAAAAAGGAAAATTGATTATTTTATACTTACAGAATCAATACCAGATAAGTTGCAAGAAGTGGACGTGAATATATTCACAGATGAAGATTGCAGAAAGATGCATCACACTGCTGGAGTGGATGGTTCATACACGAAAAGTCATTTTTGTGCTGGGTAACTGCTTGCACTTACTGTTGAGACAGCTTAATTACTAATGAAGACCTACATCACAAAATATATTGAATCATTGAACGTACTATAATTGAGTGTTAAATTAACTTCAATATGCCATACTGTGATATAGACGAAATACTATAATAAAATTGTATTGTAACACTGATAAATATAGGGTGTCCACAAAGTCCTAAAATTGTTTGAAATTGCAAAAGGAATTTATTGATACCATAAATTGTTTTCGCCCTCACAGATTTATTAATTGAAGTGAAAATACTTAAACAATTACTGATTAAAAAATGACAAACCTGGTTAGGATTTTTTAAAACCTGACTTCGTAACAAAATTGAAATTGTAAAGGGCCTTTATAGACATGGGCAAACTATAAGCTGCCACAACCAAATTCTGATGTTATTAAGCTATGAAATAACTCAAGGAATTTGTTGATTTTGCAATTAAATTTAGTTTTGTAATGATGCTCATTGGTTTTTACTTACGCTTTTGTAACGCTATGAATATATTTTTCGTAAAATGGTACTTTTTACGTCACACGTACATGGCCCACTAGTCTGAGGTGGGCGAAATTTGTGGCCCCCAGTCCTAAAACCGTGCCCATTGCTGGTCTATATGGACACACTGTATAAACGTACCGATTCATCTTACACAGCCATCTTGAAGGAAAGAAAGATACATGCGGGGGTGACAGCGGCGGACCACTCGTGTGCAAGGAAAACAGGGAATACATTGTGCATGGAATAACAAGCAGTGGACCAGCACATTGTGGCAAAGCAAATAAACCGGGTATTTACACCAGAGTCAGCGATTTTGTCACATGGATTGGAAGAACAATAGAAGGTAACTATAAAAGTGGTTTTCGACTGACAAAAAAATGCTCCTTATTTAAAATGTTGGTACTCCCTAGGTATGTGAACCAAGATGGCAGACACCGGAATGTAGTATGTGAACCAGGTTAGGGCTAGGCAATAATTTCAGTTACAAAAGCTATGGGAGTCACTTGGCTAGTCCGCGAGCTTGTAATAGAACTAAAATAAGAAAAATTGGATGATGCCTAACCCTACCCTGTTACACATACTGCGTTCTGGTGTCCGCCATCTTGGTTCACATACTTCGGGAGTACCAAAAAGTCGGACTTTGCTGATATTTAATCGCGAGTCGCCACACGGTGCGGTATTTGATAATTTTGATGACATCATCACATAAAACTTCACAAGGCTCAAAAGAAACTTGTGAAATTAGAAGCAACAGTCTACTGGCGACTAATATGAAATTAATCGAAGTATTAGTTTGAGATAAAAAAAATATCCACCTGGTTGAAAAAAGCGTTGGGAGTTGTAAGTATATGTAGTCATTATGATAAGATCTGATAAACACGTACAAGTTTTAAATCGTAGCTATAACACTATTGAAAACAGTGGAGGTCAAAATACACTTCCTTGGTGCACCGCTCAAAATTTTAGCATGTCTATGGTGTTTAATACTGAAAGGTTTATTTTTTCTGTAATTATTTTATCAGGATTTCGTTATCATTGGTCCAAATGGAAAAGAAATAAATGCAGTGTGACATGTGGTAGAGGACAAAGAACAGAGACAAGAACTTGTCTAGACAAAGATGAGAAACCTGCAACGGAATGTGAAGGAATTTCCACACGAAATATTCCGTGTCGAAACGCACCTTGTATTGGTATGAAACCTGATATTTAAATCACAATGTTTTGAAAGTTTCCAAGATTATTTCCCTATTTGTTATAACTTTTCTATATAAGTATGACACGCCGTACGTGAATGCTACTTAAATATACCAACAGACTGGAAACCAATTAGGCATAGCAATTTGATATAATGACGTTAAACTTTGACCGACTTGGTGTCTGTGATAGCTTAATAAACAAGGGAAATATTTTTAACTTCAAGTATTTTATAATTTATAAAGGTACCTTCTCCAGTAACACTGGGCGCAAGTAGAAGGGTAAAAGCAGTATTTATAAACATAAATATAAATTGATCTAAGTAAAGAAATAAATTGGAACATTTTATGAAAATATTTACATAAAAATGATGTGGCTTATCTAACTAGGCCAACCCCCCCAACGAAATATAATTAATGTTAGTGGCTCGTGATATACAGTCAAATGTATTAAATGATATAAATGATGAACAGCAGTCAAAAATTTTGCCCACCTAGACTGGCCGGCCATTTTACATTTTATGAACAATATTCACAGTGTTACAAATGCAAAAGTAGAAAACTATAATCCTCATGCCAAAACTGAATTTAGTCACAAAATTTCTTGAGCTATTTTTTAGCTAAAACATCAAAATTTGGTTTTAGTTTAGTTGTGGCAGCATCAGGTGGGCCGGATTGAATTACCAAGCGGGGTGGATTTGGTCCGCGGGCCTTGGTTTGCCCATGTCAGGTTAAGTGACTATATTTCATTTACCGCTTACAGAATATCATTGGACACCTTGGAAAACAACTTGTAGTGTAACATGTAATGAAGGAGTCGCAACTAGCACTCGATATTGTGCTGATGCAAACGACGCACCGACGTTTCCCAATAACTGTCCGGGCCAAGAAAAGAAGTATGAACCATGTGTAATGCCAAAGTGCATTGGTAAGTAAGGTTATATTAATTTATTTGATATTTAAAATGCAAAATAATGTTTTGTAAATCATTCCAGTCAGATCGTGACTTTGCTTTGAAATTTTACATTCATGGGAACATTTTTTATGACATTGGACTTTCTTGTCTATATATTCGAATTTTAGTTTTCGTTATTATCTGTATTTATCTATATTTTATTAACTTTTTTAACTTAACAATTTTTACTCATTTATGTTGTCTTGCAACTTCAATCAATTCTACATTATCCTATCTTATTCAAATATGCTTTATATCTTGATAACAGAATATCATTGGACTCCTTGGGTCTCAACTTGCAGCGTAACATGCGGTGAAGGAACCGAAACGAGCACTCGGAAATGTGTGGACGACAAAAACAATCCATCGAAACTTGACAATTGCGTTGGTAAATCCAAGAAAATTGGAAAATGTGTCAAATCGAACTGCATTGGTAACTATTGTAATCAGCTTTCACACCTTATATACTCAACTTAATTCCGCCCTTACTGAAATGATAATTGTGAAACTGCGAAAAAAAATAATATTTTGAGAATATGTTGCATCGAACATAATGTTTATATCGACTGAAGTCATGACCGTAGAGTCGGAGTTTTACGTGTTGTAGCTGAAGTTGGAATGAAACAAACAAATCAGATTTTCAGTAGTTGGAAATGAAAAAAGTTTTAATTACAGGGTACATCCTAGCTTTACACGATCCTATATTTTACCCACAATTTCGAGGTTTTATTTTAATTAATGGGAACATTTTTTATGACATTAGACTTTCTAGTCTATTTATTTGAGCTTTGCTTTTCGTTATTTATCTATATTTTATTTGTTAGGACGTCATCAATAATCTGCAACTTTTCCTTCAGTAATGTCCGAAGTTTTGTTGTCTTGCAATCCTGTTTTGTGGCAATCCCACATTATCCTACCTATCCAAATTTGCTTTATATCTAATAACAGAATATAATTGGACACCTTGGGTCTCAACTTGCAGCGTAACATGTGGTGAAGGAACTGAAAGGAGCACTCGGAAATGTGTGGACGATAAAAACAATCCATCGAAACCGGACAACTGCGTTGGTAAATCCAGGAAAATTGGAAAATGTGTCAAACCGAACTGCATTGGTAACTATTGTAATCATGTTTTCCACTTTTATACTTAACTTAATTGCGCCCATACTGAAATGATGATTATGAAACTGCAAAAAAGCATTTGGATAATTTGTTGCATTGAACATAATGTTTATATCGACTGATATCATGACCGTGGAGTCGGAGTTTGATGTGTTTAACCGGAGCCTAAATCGTGTTTGTAAACTTCTCGAGTCGGGAATTTGAATAAAAAACCTGAATTGCCCGGATTCTGGAATATCAAACTAAATATTGTGTTCTGATCATTCTTAATAGTATATCAAAGTCGGCTTGCATACGGCAAAATTTTTTCATCAAAATTTAATTTTTCCAAAGTTTGTAGCTCAAGTTGCAATCAAACAAACAAATCAGATTTTCATTAATTGTAAATGAAAAAAGTATTAATTACAGGGTACATACGAGCTTTACACGATCCCATGTTTTACCCTCAATTCGAGGATTTATTTTAATTAATGGGAACATTTTTTATGACATTATACTTTCTTGTCTATATATTCGAGCTTTACCGTTCGTTGTTTATCTATATTTTATTTGTTAGCATGCCATCAATAATCTGCAACCTCTACTTCAGTAATGTCCGAAGTTTTGTTGTCTTGCAACCTTATTTTGTGGCAATCCTATATTATCCTACTTATCCTAATTTGCTTCATATCTTAATAACAGAATATAATTGGACACCTTGGGTCTCAACTTGCAGCGTAACATGTGGTGAAGGACTTGAAACAAGCACTCGAAAATGTGTGGACGATAAAAACAATCCATCGAAACCGGACAACTGCGTTGGTAAATCCAGGAAAACTGGGAAATGTGTCGAACCAGAGTGTAAACCAGGTAAGCTTCATAAATAGTCTTTATTTGTTACTCGCGTTGTGTGGGTACCAGGTTAGGATATAATTTTATTCCGATTTTTTTCATTTTAGTTCTATTACGATTTGGGTATGTGTTAGTCAAGTGAATACACCCTGCCCATAGGTTTCAGTCCCTTTACACAACTTGATGTAAAGTACGCGAACAAAATCAGTTACCTCCATATTGGTGCACACATTTCTGGAGCGCCTTTTATTTGTAACCCCCAACCTATTATTTCTATAAATTTTGGTGATTGGCGTTTATTTTTGAAATATCATTCGAAAAAACAATAAAATTAGTCTTCAAACGAGACGATATCAAGACAAGTATCATGCTCAGTTTTTCATTCTTATTTTATGTCAACATTTACTAACTGGGGACGAATTCCACCCCAGAAATGAGGAAATTTTACTTGGTATTTATGTGCCGCATCACAAATTTTTTTTTACTTGTTTATTATTATTGTAATGCATTTATTATAAACTGTTCGAAATGTAAAAACGTGAGTTGCACGTATCGAAATGGGCGCTCCAGAAGTGTGTGTACCAATATGGAGATAACTGATTTTGTTTGCCTACTTTACATCAAGTTGTGTAAAGGGACTGAAACCTATGGACAGGGTCTATATTCACTTGACTAACACAGTCCTAAAATCGTAATAGAACTTGAAGGGAAAATCTGAATAAAATTATGGCCTAACCCTAACCCCTTACACACACTATGGGTGTACCAAATTTTATGTGTAGAGGAAATTAGGAAAATAGCTCAAGGAAGGAATGTGGCAAAAAAGGTTGGAAATCACTGCTTTATGTGTTATTTATTCATTTATGAAGTCGCGATTTCTACTAAGCCGACGTTAAAATACTTGACAGGAAAGATATTCAAACCTCCATTTTGTTTTATATTCAAGTAATAGAGTACTGTCAGACTAGACTAGTATTAAATATTATTTACGGCTCGACGTGTGACTGACGCAGATAAATTTAAATAATAAATAAATACCGGTAATGACAACTAAAAAAAGAAATCTATTGATATACCTAGGTCCTAGATTTTGAATAATATTTCACTTTCATTTTGTACTTCATTTCGTTTACTTTGTTTCTCAAATAACTCGTCATATAAGAAAAATTTTCAAGATTATTGAAATATAAAACCGCGTCGATTATTTAAACTAGGCACTTTCGTAGTATTCGTAAATTCCAAAGCAACCTAAGAGGCGTTCAGAAGTAAATGCAATCTTGAAAAACAAGAGGCTCAGAGGATAGTGTTCTAGCACCTCTTGTGTGGATGTTTTGGAGGGGGAAGGAACTATAGAAACACAGTCTGTGTGATAGCATAGTCCAGTGGTTCTTAAACTTTTATGACCCGTGACCGCCTTTCAAAGACTATAGTGGAGGTCATCGCTCGCAGCCCCTAGAGAACAGATCCGTGATAATGATATTTTCTACTATTCAAATTCAAAATTTATTGAGCAAGGATTGGAAACTACGAGACGAAATGCATATTGATTCGGCTGAGCTAAATTGTTAATTAGCGGAGTTTAGACATGTAGTTTAAATACGAAGGGGCAAGAGATGAATTCGCCGAAAATTTCAATAGCTGCTGACTGAGAGTTATAAGTAATATAAAAATGAATGTTAATTCGGCACACAAAATAATTTTACCAATTTTTGCTCACTATTCACTATTATTTTCAGTTTATCATTGGAGTACTTGGTCATCAATATGTTCTGTAACATGCGGGACAGCGAGAGGCGTAAAAATTCGATCTTGTTTGAACAATAATAATAAGAATGTGGCCACTAGGAGATGTCCTGGAGATAGAGTCATATATATCGACTGTACAGAGCCGCCTTGTCCGATGAGTAAGTGAATTTTTTGTGTCTTGAGATTCTGACTTCTTATTCTTTGCATTGTATTGAATCTTTCACCTTCAGACCTCGCATATTACAGGGCTATGAGGCCAGGTACAATTTAAAATTGACTTGGACTTCCAACTCTGGAGTGAAATTATTTTGGCTCAGACTCCGGATAAATAAAATTTCGACTCGACTTCCACTCTGACTTCGGGTTGTAAAAATCGTGACTCCGACTCTAGATCCGAACTCCGACAAATCAATTTTGATAAAAAAATTAGTATTTTTTAGGACTTCTTCACTATAATGTAAAGAAGACGTAGTAAAGCTTTTTGAGTTTTTTGTAGACAATTTTGAGTGAATAATTGATCATTGATATGACTGTAGCAATGTTAAAATATATCGATTATAATAATTATTTGTGGAAATGTTTGGAATTGCCTCATATTGCCCCTTTTCCATCTATTTTTTAGAATACCATTGGGGAGAATGGTCCAATGTCACTGAATGTAGCGCCTCATGTGGAACTGGAGAAATCGAAATGAAGAGAAAATGTCTTGATTCTGACAACGTCGAAGTTCTTGATTCAAGTAAATGTAATCCTGGGAAAGATGTTAAACTTCGCACTTGCAATCTAAAACCATGTCCAGGTGAAATAATTTATAGTCAAAATTTAATAACAGCCAGTCAAGTATCCTCAGCTTCAATTTGATGAAGAATTTTTGTGAAAAAAATCCGATATTATGGAGCATAAATATGATATCCGGTCGCTGTAAAATGTTAAATTGAAAAAAATAAATGCCTATACCTATTAAGAAATCTTGAAATACGCGTCGTTTTCGGGAGAGCCGTTATAGATTAGGCACGGTTGGTACGATTACCGTACGTACATGCGATTACCCACCCAGAATATTAATTATCCACCCAGAAAATTAACTATCAATCGACTTGTATTCGTTATTTTAAGTTCGAGCCAGTTTTAACGTGTTGCTTAAAATTGAGCCAGCCAAGAACGTTTGATGCAACATAACTTTACTTTACAACATGTAGTTTACAAATGGAGTCAATGGAAGACAAGTTGTAGCGTCACGTGTGGAACTGGTGTTTTAACTAAGGCAAGAAATTGTGTCGATCAAAATGGAAACACTGCTCAGCATGTTTTATTTTGTGGACCTGAAAAATCTGTCGAAAAAGATACCTGTGTTTTGAAGCCTTGCCCCGTGAAAACAAGTAAGTAGTGATCTATGCTTGGTGTTTGGAAAGCTATATAAAACTCGTTAGTCCAGTAGTGTGTGTACCAGGTTATGGTTAGGCCATAATTTCATCCCGATTTTCCTTATTTTAGTTTTATTACGAGTTTGGGGACTGTCTGTGTTAGCCAAGTGAATATACCCCCTGCTCGTAGGTTTCAGTCCCTTTATACAACTTGATGTAAAGTAGGCGAACAAAATTAGTTACCTCCATATTGGTACACATACTTCTGGAGCGCCCAAAACTATATGGGTGTCTTACACAAGTGACGTTTACTCAGTTGTGTGACGTTTATTTATATGATCTTGTCATTCATTTTTCCATGTCAAAAAACTGACCTAATATTATATCATTTCGATTATCGTTGCTCAGTCGATTATGGGTACTCCCGAAGTATGTGAACCAAGATGGCTGATACCGGAACGTACTATGTGTAACAGATTAGGGTTAGGTCATAATTTTATTCCAATTTTTCTTATTTTAGTTCTATTACGACTTCGGGGACTAGCCAAGTGACTCCCGTAGTATTCGTATCTGAAATTATGGCCTAACCCTCACCTGGTACACATACCACGTTCTGGTGTCCGCCATCTTCACAATTTTGAGGCGATTTTTGACTTGATCGCCCTGACTTGTCATTTATTTTTCTATGTTAAATAACTGACATAATATTATATCATTTCAATGATGTGTATTTAATTAATCATGCGATTCACATACCATGTCTCTGGTTGGCTATCAGGGTGGTTTGTGGCCGTGGTCGCGTAGAGAGGGTCAATACTATAAAAATAAGAGCCACAGTATAAGATGTTATTCTTACAGTTTTTTTGTTCTTATTTCAAGGTTTTTCATGGGGTTCTTGGTCTACATGGTGTTCAGTAACCTGTGGTAATGGCGGAATGCGGTTAAAGACAAGGAAATGTTATGACGATTCTGGGCAAGTTGTTTCTGATTATGGGAAGTGCAAACGAGGCAAACGCGTAGAGGTTGGAAATTGCCCTTATTTACCATGTACAATAAAGGCAGATGGTGAGTTGTATATTTTCGATTATTTTTTACAAATCCAAATGCTGCTACATGATGATGGACATTTGAGCTTTATTGAATGTTCTAGCAAGGACAGTCCGTCAGAACAAAGTCACACTAGATCGCGCTAGCCAATTACAGTACAGTATAGCTTGGTATACAATATTAATTAAACAAATACTACAACCTGAAACCGTGCTCTTAGGATTTACATATTTATCCCGGGAGAGGAAAATTGATAAGACAGTGTATTCATATGACGAACAACGGCATCTTGTCTGGCGGCGTCACCTTCCGACGGCGAGGAGTCCAGCAATCCTATCACACATTATGATTCGAACTGTTGGCTTAATCTATTATCTTGCTGATTGCTCCATTAGTGGAAAAATAGCCTCTCTCGTTTTTGTGTGCGAAGCCTTTTTCACGCGGTAAGGAATGAACAAGAGAAAAAAGAGCCTCTCTGGTTTTTATGTGCGAAGCTTTTTTCACGTCGCAAATTACTTCTCTTGTTTCAGAAGAATCCTCAACACCGTATAACTGGGGTCAATGGGGGTCATGGTCGCCTTGTCGTCGTCGTATAGGCTCTGGTAATATTTGCAGCGGATTTAAAGCATCTACTCGAGACTGTTTGATCGGATCAGAGGTGAAGATACTTTTTGGCGAAAATATCATCGTGGAAGATTAGCGTTTGCTTTGAAATCATGAATTTTTTCTTCGTGGTAGACTGGTAGCCCAATAGACCTCAACTGTTCTAAAAAGTTTTGATTCCAAGACTAGCAATCTCACCCAGTTGCCTGAATTTGTAACTTAAACTTTGTAGATAAGATCCTTCCAAATCATGAATTAACATCTTATAAAAGCTTGTATTAGAATATTTCCATACTCATTGGAAACATTCCGGCCTTTTTTTTCTCAAAATTTGTTTTAATTCTATTATTAAAGGACGTCAACCCTAGAAGATGCAGTGATGAATATCCTGGTGAAGATTATTATCGCGAGTCAGTGTGTGGAATGAAAACAAGCAATTGCCCTTGAAAAAATCACTGTTCTAGAATATGTTCGTTTCACTGCCATACTTATTGATATAACCTGGATATTACTCTGATATTGTACTTAGCAAATCTAACCCTCTGTGAGTAAAAAGTGTTTGAACATTGTGTGGATGACTTTACCCAGTGGTTCCACTATCCAGATGGATACAGAATTTCTTCTTTTGGCTGTTTCGATTGATATATATTAGGAATTAAGCCATCGGGGTACATTTGTCGGTGCTCCAGAGGTATGTGTACCAATATGGAGGTATCTAATTTTGTTCGCCTACTTTACATCAATTTGCATGAAGGCACTGAAACCTATGGGCAGGGGCTATATTCACTTGGCTAACACAAACAGTCCCCGAACTCGTAATGGAACTAAAATGAGGAGAATCTAAATAAAATTATGGCCTAACCATTGATTCTGTGTCTGCTACGTTCATTATCTATTCCTATACCCAAACTTGGTAAACTGTCGTAGTTCGCCATGTAATAAATCGATTTTTCCGCTGCCCGTGAGAACATATTTGAAATTCTACGTAAATTTGCATCATGTGAACAATACAAAACTAAAGATTTTTTAATAAATACACGATGTAACAAAATAAGCAGGCTATAGGCTACCGGTACCAACCAGGCAAAATTCCGATCGTTCAAAAAACGCAGTACCTCGAGACGTATCAGTGGATTCTTGTCGGCTGCGAAGGTCATAACACATACCAAATCGATGCAAAACTAAGTATGTTCTAGCTGTTCGGGCAAGTATAAAGTCATATGCATAGATAAATTGGACTCCACACCATTTAAAATTGGCACTTCTCTGCGGGCGCATGTTGCACACCCCTGGGCTATATCATACGGGCAAAATTCCGATCGTTCAGAAAACACAGTACCAGTATCGTATGTTATTATTTTGAATTCCAAACTTTGCATTTACAATCCGTATACATGCACCTAGAGCGCTAGCAAGTTCGGTATCGTCCACCCCGTCTATTATTCTTGTTTTTGCATAAACCAAAATGTCAGGTTCTTCTAAGTTCTGTCGACGCTTTTCACTGTGACTGACAGTTTGTCCCAGTGGACCGAAAAAGTCTTTTGTTTTTTGCATCCACTCGGTGTCTTTCAAAGTATAAGCGAAGTCTTGTCTAAATACGAACATGGTATAAATGTCGCTTCCAGCTTTGCCGCTGTTTGTCATTCCAAACTCATGCGCCAAGTTATCATAAGCAAACAGAATTTGTCTAGAATGGAAAAAAGAAAAAATGAATAAAAATTATTATAATTTGATATGTGTTGTAAAATTGAAGGCTTCAAATAAAATTACAAGTGGCGACTGAGTAGCGTATAAGTGCAAGATGTCAAATATAATTTGATACTTTAAGTGAGAAATAGATATATATGTGTGCCAATCAAAACAAATTTCTAAATCTCTACGGCATCTATAACTTCTTACGTGGCGTCGTACTTGCACAGAGAATGCTTGTGAACCTGGTACACTGTTTCGCAACTGATCGTAAACTGTGCTGGGTGTCGGTTTGCAAGCAAGAAAGTACTAGACCAATTTTGACCTCGAGATTTGCTTATGGGTAAATGAACGAAACAAAGGTTGATTTGCTACAAATCATGGCAGTCTTGTATAAATATAATTCTGTCGTACATTTTCGACACGGAATGTTAGTGGTAAATCAAGAGTAGTATTTAATCTACTACTAAATGCCTATATTTTGAAAATGGGAAAAACTAATTAGATGAAACTTACTTGTTTACGGCTCTTGCGTGATGAATGGCGACAATGGATTTCAATGGCGGTATTACTTTGACAGCATTGTTTATTCTTGTGACTAAATATTCAAATGCTTGTTCGATCAACATGCAAAATAATCTGACGTCATCACTTTTCAACTTGTGGTCTAGAATCGCCTGGAATAAAATGTTTAATTTTTTGTTTTATTTTCTATTATTCAAAAATTGGTAATCATGGGATATACACATGTATCCAGCATGATATCCGCCTCTAAAAGTTATGCATATGCGGATGAGTGGGCGCTCCACAAGTATGTGTACCAATATCGAGGTAACTGATCTTGTTTGCCTAGTTTACATGAGGTTGTGTGAAGGGAGTGAAATCTATGGACAGGGGGCACTCGGCTGACACAGACAGTCCCGAACTCGTAATGGAACTAAAATAAGGAAAATCGGAATAAAATTATGACCTAACCCTAATCTGGTATACACAATACGGGAGTACCGATGAGTTAGCATAAGCAGATGGTTTGTTATTCTTTGTTTTACACATAAGCAATGCTGAAATATGTGGTCATGAAGGTCAAAGATCATTTAAATGTATTGTAAGATGTCATATATAGTGTTCCCACGGAGAAAAATAAAAAGAAAATATTTGGATGAAATAACGGGCCGACAGACAAACACCTATTAATATACTTACCGATCTTAAGATCGATAAGTAACAAAACGCGGAGTGTACCACGTATTTAACAAGTTATATTATAATTTAAAAACTTCATATTTTGTGAAGATTAAAATTTACTCGATTTCAACAAAATAACTCTTGCCTGTAGGATCCCCTTCCTGTCCATTTTCCCAGAGTAATTCGATGCTTTGTTTCGATATCTTTCCGATACATTTTCTGCCAACTTCTGTAATTTTGCAAAATCTTCTCTTACTGTTTCAACGTGAGCCACAATCTTTGCAAATCTGAACCCAGAATAGCTTTACTAATGACTGATTGCTACGGAGAAAATTGCCAACGTGTAGCCATTGAGAATAGACTAAGACCAAGAGTTCTAAGTTGAAAAACATTTAAATTAATAATGGAATCAAAACACGACTTTCAAGTGAATGTTATGTTTGTTTTCAATAGCGCAGTTAGCCTTCGGTTATTCAAAATCGTTTTGATCAATGAGTCGAGAGTGCAACTGTGTCCTTTATTATAACATAGGCACGAACCCTTCACCAATGTAGAACGCGGATAAAGATACCTTTTGTGCAGCCTTGCTGAGTCGATACACAAAGTATTAGTGAACATAATCAAAAATATAGTTCTTAGACTGCCGACTCCGGATTAAAATTATTTTGGCTTCAAATCTGGATAAATAAAAACTTTGACTCCGACTTATATTATGACACTTATATTTACGTCTAGTGTGAAAACTTCAGTTTATACGATTTTGAGTAAATGCATCACTATTTTTGGTACTCCCGCAATATATGTACTAGGTTAGGGTTAGGCCAAAATGTTATTCCAATTTTCCTTATTTTAGTTTTATTACGAGTTCCAGGACTTTCTGTGTTAGCCAAGTGAATATACCCTCTGCCCATAAGTTTCAGTCCCTTTACACAACTTGATGTAAAGTATCCATATTGGTTCACACACTTTCGGAGCGCCCTTTATCGCAGTACGAATCGTAACCAATTTCTGCTAATTTATGTAACTGTAACCTTGTATTCATTTCGGTCTCACAAATCTTCAATGTTTTCACAAATTCATCATTCAAAGGACTGTCGAGCATCCCTCTAGTACAAACGATGGGATTTTCTGAACAACTGTTCTGGCTTTCCGATTTTGTTGTTGACATCTTTGATGATAAAATAACTTCTACAACTGTTATTACAGGTTACTAGACGCTAATACATGATTTGATCCATTATCAATTCAGAAATGATTATTGGAGGTAATGTACAGATTCGATATAATGCCTTATTTGTTGTGTTATGTATTATAATTATGAGGTCACAGTATTATATATTGTAAAAAATTTATTTGAAATTGAGGCAAAACTTGACCAACGAAATACGACATAAGTTTAATTCAGAACTCCTACTTTATTAGTAAAGCATGATGATTGCCACCCATATATATTCGAGGAATTTATAAGTATGGGTACAAACAACAACTGCAAAACGAAACTTGAATTTGATAGGGTTTATTCCAGGCCAAACCACTTACACTTCAAGCCCTCAACCCATGCTAGTAGTACATCACTCTGCGAACGAAAATAAAAATGGAAGAGTGTGTTCCAGTATATGAAATGTACCTAACGAAATAGACAGTTTGTTTATTGCTCTTTTTATGCTAAAAAAGTCCAAAGTGCCGAAATAAATGTGATAAAAGTCAATGTCATAAACTTGACTTGACTAATAAAAACCTGTATTACATTAACACATTCAAATCATTGGCCCAAAAATATCATACACGTCGTTACGTGCTCAAATGACGTTCGTTGCCTAACTTCTTGTTTACTCGTTATACAGCCTTAATGACGTGCGTTTTGTGAGACAAAAGTTTTATGTCCCGTTAAAATATGCCTAAAGATTACGGTAGTGTGGTATAATTTTATATTTTGTAATTGCAACGACAACCTGATGGGATTCAGCCTAAAATCATGTATTATACCACAAATCATGTTGGTACAAGTCTAGACACGTGAAGATATGAAATAGTAAGTGCATTTTGCCCTATACCAAACGCCCAATGTACCCAACGTGACGTCCAGTTTGTTTTTACGGCTGTACAGAAAAATGTTACTGCTACTGAACGAATTAAGAATCTTGTTTCTTGCTTAAGGGATTGTAATAGTGAAATGATTTATCATTAGTCAAGGTAGGATTGGTCTTGGGAGGCCTCGACATTCAATTTTGAACTGATATTCGTTTATACGTGGCTTTTTATTTTTTTGCTTGGTCAAGAATTATACAATTTAAAATTTGGTTTATGAAATCATAATGGATTAACATAGCATTTTAAGAGCCTATCATGACGTCATAACCGATTGCATGGGCGATTGATGTCAAAAAGGGCTCCACAAATGAAATAGCCTACAAGTACTATTTTTAGTACTTAGTGATATTTAAATCCTGGACACCAGACATATACATCATCATTATTGAACACGTAGTGGACATAGTGATCGTTTTGTTGTTATTGGACACGTAGTGGACATAACAATCGTTTTACATTTTATGCAGGCACTCCTCTTGTTCTTTGACACGTTTTGAAGAAATCGCTTTCGTCTTTGAATACTGAACCAATTGCTTTGAAATTTTCAGTGGTTAAAGATAGAATTTTTCTCCAAAAGACTATTACTTTTTTTCGCTATGACGTCATCAAAATTATGTGGCTTTACGTGTATTCTACGTGTAGTTTCGTGTATTTTGTACAGTATATTGCACCAACCAATAATTTGTGCTTTGATTGATCTTGTTATACATGTACTGAAATAAAACGTAAATTTGACGACAGAAGTTCTGGAACGCGGTTCATGTCGTTCATTTCGTGCGATTGTATCTAGGTAACCTATCTTTATGGTGTGGAACATGAGAGGTTATGGAGAATTCTAGAATTACGGCTTCCTCCACCACCAAGTCCATGCTTCCGAAAACAAACAATACAGTAAAAACTAATCCCATACCCTTGGAATGGTAACCGGACGAGAGGCCGTGGTTCGCCATATGGATAAGCCGTCTTATCGGTTTTCCTCTCCCCCGTGATAAATATGTAAATCCTATCCTATCCTATCCTAATTACCATGTTTGCTATACGGTGAAATAGAAAGAGTGAAGCTTTATAATGAGACGGGGCGAAACTTAGTTTTTGTGCATGTGACGAAGGCGTAATGCATTTAGTTTACACGTTATCGTTGCTGACTACGTGGGGGAGTGGCCATAAAAGAAGATATTTTATTGCAAAAACAGACGCAAAAACTATACGAGTTCGCAGAGGACAATTAGAAATTGTTAATGTTGGGAGAGGACGGTTCAGAAATATTAATGCAGACATATTACTCTCCTCATTTTCATACTTGACACTTACAGATGACTAGGGATTTGTTCGAAAATAATTGCTTTAAAACAATTTTTTTGCCCATTTTGATCAAAATGGCTGTACTATTTGATTTTTTTGTATTAAATAGGTTGAAAAAAGTGGATGTAAAAACTTGCCAAGCGCTTCTTATTTTCAATAAATCTTTTAAAACGCCACAAATATCGATAGAGGCTCACACTCACCTCTCGAGCTGTAGTTCAGTGAATAGCGCATATTCATAGTGCGTGATTGCCACCAGGTAAACTCATGTTGATAACAAATGAAGCACAACCGGTTCGTTTTGTTTTGCTAACCGGTTCGTTCCGCTAACACCGGTTCGTTTTGCTAACACCGGTTGTGCTTCATTTATTATCAACAGGTATATTCATGTCGAAGATAAGTGAAACACAACCGATGTATAGCAAAACGATTTAATTTGCCGATGCTTCGAATTTCTATCCAGAAAAACTTCATCAGGGCATAAAAAATTAACAGGGCGTGAAAAAATTGAAAAAGGGACAATATAATTATAGATCCGAGTGAATTAGCGCAAGTTCAAACAAATACGCGACTATCTAAACAATGATTTATACACACTTTCTTTATCTTTCATTGAATTTTTCTCTTTGTTAATGTGATATGACTCGAGAAATAGTCTGTCCCTGTTGTGAATTTCATTTTCTAATATCCTGCTGTTTTCCCAATTAATGCTGTGAACTGTTTTGTAGAAAGGGCATAGCGCATGATTGCCACCAGGTATATTCATGTCAAAGATAAATAAAGCACAACCGGTGTATAGCAAAACGATATAATTTGCCGACGTTTCGAATTTCTATTCAGAAAAACTTCATCAGGGCATGATATGAAGAGTACACTATCATATATATGGTTGAAATATAAATGAATGCGGTGTCTCCCTAAACCATTTCCGATGTTTAAGTACTTCCGACAAAGTCTAATGTACTTCAGAGCCATGCGACTCCTTAATGTGCTTGAATAGCGCATGATTGCCACCAGGTATATTCATGTCAAAGATAAATAAAGCACAACCGGTGTATAGCAAAACGATATAATTTGCCGACGTTTCGAATTTCTATTCAGAAAAACTTCATCAGGGCATGATATGAAGAGTACACTATCATATATATATGATATATATATGATATATAGGGCATGATATGAAGAGTACACTATCATATATATATGATATATATATGATATATAGGGCATGATATGAAGAGTACACTATCATACATCTATGATATAATATATATATATCATATATATATGATAGTGTACTCTTCATATCATGCCCTGATGAAGTTTTTCTGAATAGAAATTCGAAACGTCGGCAAATTATATCGTTTTGCTATACACCGGTTGTGCTTTATTTATCTTTGACGTAGAAAGGGCATGTTTCGAGATGGCCGATTTTTCGAATTTCTTTTTTTTTATATCACGATGATGTTCTTTTCTCCGAGTTTCGAGACTTTATATCAGATTAGTTGTGGCGTCTTTGCATCAGAGGACTCTTACAATTAGCATCGGCTAGGTTAGGGTGTCTCATCGTTTATATCAGTAGATAGCCGCCGATGTAAGCATATTCTTCATTATCGCAACCCATTCGGTTTGCCGAAGGCTGCTTTTGATCTCTTTGCTTTCCGATCTCATTCCGATTAAAATCTTATGACTTTGGTGGAGATAAATGTACGCAATAGAAGAAAAGGCCAAATATGAATTTTTACTTCAATTTTTGAAATTCTAACTCCGGCTGCGTGTGCTGCGTTGCTGCCAGAATGCAATGTTTTAGCGTAGTTTCGCGGCGATTAAAGAGGTATTTCAATAAAAAATACAGAAAAAAATGATTTAACACAAGCCCTTGTTTTAAAACACGATATTTTTTAGAATTGACAAAAAAGCAAAAAAGGCTACATATGACCAAGCTGATAACGATCTTATTTTAGACTGGTAATCAAAATCCTATAAATATTGGAGTCTGTTTATGAAGTCGATGGGCTTTTTAATCGTTATGGTGGGATCATGGGGTTTCGCAAAAGTTTGCACGAATTCGTTCTAAAAATATCGTGATGATCCGCCACCCATTATTGTTATAGACGTCAGACGAGCGAAGCAAATGAGTTACGACCACCGCAGTAATGGATTAGATTTTTGTGAAGCGTGTCATGTAATAGAATCTCATGTGGTGAAATAGAGCCTGACCTGTGCAAAATTTTGAATCCCACCATTGGGGATGTGGTACCGATTAAAGATCCAGTACTGTACTAAACACAGAAAGCTTGGCCAAACTACCAAAGAGTGAATAACTTTATTGAGGTATAAATATTAGAAAACTATTTGGCTAGTTTAATCTCCTCCGAGATATAACTGTGCGTTCGTTCCATTTTTTGTCTTTATTGTTTTTGAAGTATAATTCAGTTCTGTGTGATGGTATTGAGAATATATATATATATATTATTTTACTTGATCAAATAATTCTTTAATGAAATTTAAAAATAAATGTATCCGTGTATCTGGAATAAATTATGAAATACATTATGAAGAAATACATTTGAATCCCTAATATCAATATATGTGACGAAACTATAGGTATGGGATTCATGCGTCCTGGTTTTATCATTCCTGGAAGTGCCGTGATAAAAATTCTTAAATCGTAAATTCCGAAGCAAAAGACATATATATCATTATTTTGCACACTAATAAGGTTATCCTGCATTCTATTTACTATCTACTTTTCTGGTATTTGCCCCCGCTGTTATTTTGGTTTATTCGCTACGATGTCGAAACACTAGGGGGTGTGGCGGGCAGGGCAAAAGTTTTATGTATTTTGTACAATAGCCTATATCGCAACATCCAATTCTTTTGTACTTTGATTCAGCTTGTTATACATTTACTATAAAATGAAACATAAATTTACGACTGAATGTTGTGGAACATGGTTCCGGACTTCTGGTATAGTTTGTTCGATGAAATACAAAAAAGTGAGGCTTTATAATAAAAGGGAAGGCGAAACTTACGTTTCTTTTTTATTCATGCAGCGGAGGCGAAATGCTCCTCATTCATATTTGTTGAACCGATTTTTTAAAAATGAGTCTCATCATAAGTCCTGATAACCTGCGATACACTCAAGATTCAATAAGCTGCGTCTTCAAAAATGGCAGAGGCATCGAAAGAGCGATTATTGACGTTGCCAAAGGAGTATCGTCAGTGCATGATTTTCCTTTAATGGAGGTTTACAGTTTTGCTGGAAAATTTTGGTGTCGGAACAACAGGAGACTGTACGTTATGAAAGTAAGTAAATTCGTGAGTTGTCCTGTATTACGCGTGGTGTGGGGTCATCATTTATGCATCTTAAATAAATTATGATCCACCACACTTTGCCATCTTCGTAGGAAAGTATATATATAAGTTCGGAAATATCTTTCTCTATTTCTAATTTATGTTGCAGATTTATTTTATTGAATCGCTCGTGCTACTGTTTATTAAACAAAGACGATAAAAACGCTGTTATATGGATTAGTCATCAACAACTAGCCTAAATCATTTGACATTACTTTTATAATCTTTTTGTCTGAGCAATCTTTTTGTAATTCCCTAGCTTCAACGCCAGCATTGTTAGTTCTCATAGATTTATTCAAAAAACAGAAAAAATATTATGAACTTTTGAATTTCATTTTCGTTCCACAGGAGCTACAAAGGCGGGGGCATTTAAAAGAAATCATTGTTGACTACGTAGGAGAAAAGTCACATAATAGAAGATATTTTAGTACAATAACAGCCGGAAAAAGTATAAGAGTTCGCAGAGGACAGTCAAGAATTGCTTATTTGCAATTCGCATTTCCAAATTTAACGATTACTGATGACGAAGATACTGAGGAATATGATGACGAAGATACTGACGAATATGATGACGAAGATATGACGAATATGATGACGAAGATACTGACGAATATGATGACGAAGATACTGACGAATATGATGACGAAGATACTGACGAATATGATGACGAAGATACTGACGAATATGATGACGAAGATACTGACGAATATGATGACGAAGATACTGACGAATATGATGACGAAGATACTGATGAATATGATGACGTAGGTACTGACGAATATGATGACGTAGGTACTGAAGAATATGATGACGTAGGTACTGAAGAATATGATGACGAAGATACTGACGAAGATACTGACGGCTATGATGACGAAGATACTGACGAATATGATGACGAAGATACTGACGAAGATACTGACGAAGATACTGACGAATATGATGACGAATATGATGGCGAAGATTCTGACGAAGATGATGCCGATTACACATGGCGGCGAATATATTGACTAAGATGTTACGACGATACTGACGAAAATATGACGATATGATGACAACAAACATAATGACTGAGATGTTACGAAGATACTGACGAAATTATGACGACCCACTAGGTGCAAACATCAAGGATGACAAATTGCCTATGTTTGTTACATTACTTTAGATTACCCGCAGAGAAAACAATTTCTATTTCATTAGCAGCATTTATATGCCAGCCACAGTGCAAAATTATTACAACATTATGAAGTATATGCTGAATTTATATATCTTACGATTAGCAAATTAAGTGTATTGGTTTTATTATGGAGTATATTTGTTTATGGTGTAACATTGACATAATTACCGCTATGTAAATCATAGATTGAACTTTTTAGCCATTAGTCCCAACCTTTAATATCCCGTGGCCCCCTTCCGGAGGTTTTTAGCACTCATTGCCCCCTATTTCTTATTCGAACTGCTTTGTGGCCCTCATGTAGGGCCGTGGGCCCCCGGTCGGGCACCATTGTTTTTAAATATGATTCAGTTCCATGTGATGATATTGAGAATGTTTCTATTTTATTCTACTTTATCAAATTTATTTTCAATCAAATTTAAAATAAAGGCATCCGTGATTTCAAAGCAAAGTCGATTCCGAGACAAAAGTTTCATGTATTTTGTACAGTATATTCAATGAACAATCCAATCCTTTTGAGCTGTTATACAGAGCTGAGTTACTAAAATAAATATAAATTTGTCGAAAGAAGGTTCTGGAGCACTGTTCTAACAGTTCGAGCATGGGTTGTTCATGGGGAATTACCAAGTTATCGGAAAGAAGGAAAAGAATCTTTATAATCAATCTGGGTGTTAATAAACTTAGGTGTTATTTTGTTCGTGTGACGGAGGCCAAACGTTCCAGTTTATACAAATTTATATTTGTTGAACTGATTTTCCAAAACTGAAATTTAGTCATGATATTCTGCGATACACTCAAGATTCGATAGGTTCACACTTTGCAGATGGCGGAAGCATCAAAAAAGCCATTGGCGATGTTATTGACGGGACATTATCAGTTGGTGATTTACCTCGAATGGATGTTTACTCTTTTGATGGTAAATTTTGGCGCCAAAACAACAGGAGACTGTACGTTATGAAAGTAAGTGAATTTGTATGTTTTGCTGCATTGTATGTGGTATTGAGGCTTAGCATGGCAAGCATATTCCTAACGCTTAGCACGACGCGTCATGCCACCCACCTCTTCATCCCGTGGGTCATTGTATTGCAGTTGAAAGCTTCACAAAGAAATATATCTCTATTTCTAGTAGACTTCCAGTTGCCAGATATGTTTTATTTTCATCAACAACTCTAATTTTTTTATAAATTCGTTTCATAGGAGCTGCAAATGCTAGGACATTTTGAAAAATCGTTGTATACTACTTGGGAGAAATGCCGCACGAAAAAGAATATTTTACAACAAAAACAAATGGGAAAAGTATACGAGTTCGCGGAGGACGGTCAGGAATGGCAAGTTTCGACTTCGGAGATATCTCTGACTATTCAGCATACGGTTCGGACGACTCGGATTCTGATTGAAGACTTTGTCTTGAGTTCGTTTATGGGAGTATGACTTAATATTGCATCAAGTTACATACTCCGATAAGCTCAAGCGAAAAGCGTGTCAAACGGTCATCGCGTGTATAATTTTATTTCGGTAGATATTGTAGAAAACTACTTATATTTCTTATTTTTCTCTCAAATAAAAGTGTGTTCCATTTTCTCATTTAATCTTAACTTTGTATGTGATTTTTCACTCGTCAAAAATATATGGTTGACTAGGAAGATTGGTTCAATATATTCATAAATCGGGGCTCCCGAAGTATGCGAACCAAGATGGCGGACATCGGAATGTAATATGTGTACTAGGTTAGGGTTAGGCCATAATTCTAGGTATAAATACTACGAGAGGCTCTTGGCTAGTCTTCGAACTGATAATAGGACTAAAATAAGGAAAATTGGAAAAAAATTATCCCCTAACCCTAACCTGTTACCCATGTTACGTTCCGATGTCCGCCATCTTGGTTCGCATACTTCGGGAGCACCCATAAATCTATTAGTAAGGTAAATTACGTAGGAATGATAAATAAGGGCCACATTCAGGAAATTTTTTTTGCAAACGGCCGCCTTCAAAAAAGTACTAAATTTTTTCACAAATTTATCTGCTATGGCAGTGTCGAATTTGATTGAGGCTGACATTGTTGAATTGAAGCTGAAAAAAACATCGATATTATTTTTATAAATTCATAGTTTAGATATTTTATTTAAATCTGAAAATAAGAGTTTGCCCATCACCAGTATAAAGTAAATAATTGCCTATAGTTGTTTTCCTTTATTATATTATTCTTAGAGTACCTACCGTAAGAAAACAGCTTCTATATCAATAGAAGCATTAGCATCATTTATATGCTAGCAACTGTCATTTAAATGGGCATAATTTTAAAGAATGAATATTATATGTATTTATATATCGTGTATTTATATACGATACTATTAAATTGTAGCGACAACAACAATCTTTGACCTCTAAAAATTTCAGTTATGGAGCTTTTTGTTTTGGCGACAACAACAGCAGCCGCAACAAAGATTTATTATGTGCCGTATTGTTTAGCAAAACTGAAAGCAGACAAACAAAGCGCGGAGTGTACGCACGTATGTAACATAATACATCAGAAATTGAAAACACCAAAATTCACTTTGTTACAACAAATTAACTCCGAAATCATGTACTCGTCGTGCGCCATATTTATTTACAAAGCTGAAAACAAAACGCGGAGTGTACCCACGATATGTCACATTACCAATCAGCGTTTAAAACGTCATATTGTGTTGAGTGTGATCAAAAAATTCTATCTGTTTCAACAAATTAACTCCCAGATCATGCGCCATATTGCTACTGAACTGAGATCAGACAAACAAAACGCTGAGGGCTCACATATGTAACAAATTACTAATCAGAATTTGAAAACGTCATATTTATGTGAAGATCAAAATATACTCGTTTTCAACATTATAACTCCTGCCTGTAGGATACCCCTTCTGTCCATTTCCCCAGAGTAGTTCGATGCTTCCGATATCTTTCCGAAACATTCTCTTTTTTTTTTCTGTAATTTTGTAAAATCTTTTCTCACTGTTTCAACGTGAGCCACAATTTTTGCAAATCTGCTCTCAGAATAGGTTGTTTCTTAATGACCGAGGGTTATGGAAAAAATTGCTATCCAACTTCTAACCATTGAGATTGGCTAAGAGCAGTGGCGTATCAAGATAAAATTGCGCCCATGATAAAGTTGGAGCTCCGAAAGTATGTGCACCAAGATGGCGCACAACCTGAACATGGTATGTATACCAGGATGCAGGTTGGTGCACATACCTCGGGAACACCGCAAAGTTTAATAATGCGCCTCTTTAAATGACAATTTTTACGACTGTTTTTGAAGTGATATTACTCGTGCATTATTATTTGAGTATAAAACCAGTTTCAGTAATTCCCAATTTGAAATTATTTTATTGAAACATTTCACGATTAGAACTTTTGTACTAGCTGCCATACCCTAGGAGGCCTAGATACGCCACTGATTAGAAGTTTCAAGTTGGAAAAAACTTGAACTTATTATGAAACCAAACCCGTTTGGCGCCTACTTCAGACTGCAGGAAACGAAATTTCTTTTACTTCCATATTTGTACTTTTAGATTCGGTTATCGAATTTGAATCCGACTTTCAAGTCAATGTTAGATTTGTTTTCAGTGACGCAGTTAGCGCTCGCCTATTCAAAATCAATAGATCATGTTTAAATTTAGGTCTTAATTAAATTTAGGTCTAGTGAGAAAACGTCAGTTCATCACTTTTGGGGTACTCCCGTAGTGTGTGTACCAGGTTAGGGTTAGGCCATAATTTGATTCCGTTTTTCCTTATTTCAATTACATTATGAATTTTGGGAATGTCTGTGTTAGCCAAGTAAATATACCCTCTGCCCATAGGTTCCAGTCCCTTTACACAACTTGATGTAAAATAGGCGAACAAAATTAGTTACCTCCTTATTGTTATACACACTTCTGGAGCGTACTTTTTCGTATTGCGAATCGTAACCAATTTTGGCTAATTTTGTAACAATAACCTTGTATTCATTCCGGCCTCACAAGTCTTCAATACTTTCACAAATTCATCATTCAAAGGACTGTCAACCATTCCATTTGTAAACACGATGGGCTTCATGGAACATTTGTTCTGGCTTTCTGATTTTGTTGTTGACGTCTTCGAATTGATAAAATAATTTTTCCAAATGATTATTATCGGCTACCGGACGCTAATATACTACATGAATTGATCTATTATCAATTCAGAAATGATTATTAAAAGAAAATGTGCAAATTCGATATAATGCCTAATTTGTGTGTTATGTATCATAATTATGAGGTCACAGTAAAAAAATTATTTTTAAAATAGAGTCAAAGCTTGACCTATCAAGAATATTTCAGAAGACCCTGTGGAAATACAAATCGAACATTGCAGTTTAATTCGGAACTTCTGCTGCTCCGATAAAGGCTTGCTACATTTCAAATCATGTATCAGTAAAAGCACGGATAACGACAGCAAAGCGAAACTTGAATCTGATAGGGATGACGGACAAAATAAGACCTAATTTGAATTTAAAAAATGATTTTAACTAAACTCTACCCTTAAAATAAATTTAAAATGTGTGAGAAAGGAAAGGTTTAATAACCTGAGGTAAAGTGGAGATCACACCACTATTCAAGATTGTGTGATATCACAAGTATGATATTTGTAACTTGATTTTTTTTCAAGAAATACAAATAAAAACAATGGATGTCGGTTTTTATATAATATTTATTAAAAAATCTCGTGCTTTTATACAATGTAATTTTTTTCCAAAAAAAAAATAGTGTTATTCTTCAAAAGAAAATAAATCTAAATCCTGTCTAAATTTCAGGGAAACACGGTAAGAAGTGCTGTACAGTGTACAAAACTGCTATGCGTAAAAAAAGTTACATGGTCATTCTTTGTGTAGCAAATTTTTTTTTTTTGAGAAGATCGTAAAAGGAAACTTTCACAGATTAGAATTTAAATTCAATTTAATTTTTTATTTTTTTTTGAAGATTTACGTATTCGAGTCGCCACCGATCCTAATAACCATATAATTAATCAAAGCTTTCTACATCTTTTCACGACCCACTAAGATTCCTTTTGCGACCCACCAGTGGGTCGCGACCCATAGTTTGGGAACCGCTGTCCTAGGCTAAATGTATCAGACACGTCATTCTGTGCTAAAATGACGTTACATAACGTTTTATTTACTCGTTGAACAGACGTTGATTGAGGTGCGTTTGCGAGACAAAAGCGTCCCGTTAAAATATGAATAAACATTACGGTAGTGTAATATAATCGTAACAGCATATATTTTGAAACGGCAACAGAATTTGACCTAAATTGGATTGGGTTTAGCCTAAAACCATGTATACCTCAAATCAGGTTTAGTACAAGTCTGATTCTAGGCCATTGGTTCTGCATTGATCCACTTCTGGGCCACAGAAAGTTCCCATGTCGGCCACACACTATTAAAAATAGCTAAAGTATTTGATAATTTCAGTTTCATTTGTGACACTATAGTGAAATTTTGATGAATGATGATGACGTTTTTTGCCAATAAGTCGTAATATTCGCTTTAAGGGATTGTACCAGTGACGGATTTATCATTAGGCAAGGTAGGATGGTCTTGGGAGGCCTCGACATTCAATTTTGAACTGATGTTCGTTTATACGTGGCTTTTCAATTTTGAGAGCTAGTTCAAGAATTATACAATTTAAAATTTGGTTTATGACATCATAATGTAATAACATAACATAATCGATTCCGTGCGCTTGTGACGCCATTGTCAAAAAGTGCTCCACAAATGAAATAGCTTACAAGCCCTACAGCCTTTTATTGTCTGAATCCGACACTGGATAGATAAAATGCAGTAACTTCAGGAGCGAAAAATTATTGGGATATGAAAAAGAAATATTCATAAATCATAATCCGTGTTCTATTTTTGATTGTGTTCTATTTTTAGTACATCGTCATGTTTAAATCCTGGACCTTAATTAAAGCATCAGACACATACATCATCATTCTGGGCTAATGAAGTTATCTCACTTTATATTTAATCTGCACTTCTGTCTTATTTGCCCTTGCTGTTCATTTTATTTATTCGCTACGATAACGTAACCTGAGTGTGTGGCGGGCAAAGTCAAGGGGCTTTTTCGAGACAAAAGTTTTATGTATTTCGTACAGTATATTTCACCATCCAATCCTTTGTACTTTAACGTAGCTCGTTATACATTTACTAAAATGAAACATAAATTTTACGATAGAAGGCTCTGGAACGCGGTTCTGGTAGTTCATTGCGTGCGAATGAAGCTTGGTAACCCATTTTATGATGTAGAACACGGGGAGGTTATGGGGAATTACCATGTTTCCTGTAAGGGGAAATAGGAAGAGTGAAGCTTTATAATGAGACGGAGGGCGCAACTTAGGTATTGTGAGGGTACCGAAAGCGTAATGCATTTGATTTATACAAATTTCTCATATTTGTTAAATCGATTTTTAAATGATGAAAAGGGTTAAGGCTACCACTCCAGATAAACTGCGATACACGCAAGATTCAATAAGTTCAAACTTCAAAAATGGCGGAAGTATCGACGAAGCCATTAATGACGTTGTTGCCGGGGTATTATCAGTTGATGTTTTTCCGCGAATGGAAGTTTACCGATTCGATGATAAATTTTGGTGCCGAAACAATAGGAGACTGTACGTTATGAAAGTAAGTGAATTTGTAAGTTGTGCTTTATTGTGTGTAATGTTGTCGTTCATGTATATATTATTAGACAGGGTGGTCGCTAGAAAAATGGAAAATTTGTCAAAAAGCTATTTATTTTTACAAAAAAATAACATTTACAAAGCTGTTCCTGCTTTCTTCCATGATGTGGGTGTCAGAATATTAATAAATTAAACAGAACATAAAGGGTATCAAACTATAGCAATCTAGAATCTGGAAGAAAGAGAAACGTATCAAAAAAGAAATGAGTCAGCACGCATTTTATTCGTGATCTCATCTGACCTTCAAATTTTCTGCTTTTCTAGCGACCACGTTGTATTATATTACAAAGCATCCGGAAAGCAAAGGAATCCGGACATGTTAACATCTTCGTATTTTTCTAGTACCAGTGAATTCAATAAACAACGAAACAAGCAATTCTGTAAATCTGGCAACTGGATTCAAAAATACTGTGAGCCTGTAACCAGGCTAAATCATCACTAACTATTTTTATATAAGTCCTTGATATTACTCTCAAAATCTATTTGTATTCCTTTCGTGTCATAGGAGCTGCAAAGGCGGGGGCATTTAGACAAAATCGTTGTTCACTACGTCGGAGAAAAGCCACATAATAGAAGATATTTTACGACAAAAACAGCCGGCGAAAGTATACGAGTTCGCAGAGGACGGTCAGGAATTGTTAATGTTCGAAGCGGAAGGTTCAGAACTCTCAAAGCAGACACATTACTCTCTTCATTTGCATTCTTGACTCTTACAAATGACGAAGCTGATGACGATATTATTTTAGACTGGTGATGCGAATCCTATAAAATTTCAAGACTTTTTATGAAGTCGATGGGCTTTTTAATTGTTATGATGGGAATCGGGGGGTTCGCAAATGTTTGCACGAACTCGTTTTTGAAATATCGTGATGATCAGCGAACCCGTTCTTGTTTTAGCCGCTAGGCGACCGCAGCAAATGAGTTACGTTCACCGTAGAAATGCATCAGAATTTTGTAAAGCGTGCCATGTGATGGAAGATTACCTGTTAAAATACAACAAGTACTTGTCGTGAGTGAGTTCGACACGGAAAAGAAGTTGTTCTTAATTTTTAAATCCCACATCGGATTATATGGTACCAATTACAACATTATAATTCATATATATTGTATATTTTTTATACGATGTTAAATTGAATTCACCTTATTTGTGGAATGAGTTGGTTTTATTGCAGGGGAGATTTGTTTATGACGTAACATTAACATCGCTAATTCATAGAACCTTGCACAAGGGAATTGAATTATGAAATACATTTAAATCCCTAATACCAATAAAAGTGACGAAACTAGTTATGGGATTCAGTGTCCTGGAAATATCATGATCAAAATATTCTTAAGTCCCAGACTTCGAAGCATCAGACATGTATATCGTCTTTTTATACACCAATAACCTTATCCTGCAGTTTATTTACTCATTACTTCTACTATTTATTTGCCCTCTCTTTTCATTTTGTTTATTCGCTACGATATCGAAACATGAGGGGGTGTGACGGACCAGGACAAGGGGCGTTTTCGAGACAAAAGTGTCATGTATCTGTACAGTATATTATATTGAATGCGCCATCCAATCCTTTTGTACATTGATTTAGCTGCTATACATTCACTAAAACAAAACATAAATTTGACGACAGAAGGTTCTGGAACACTGCTCTGACAGATCATCAAATAGGCTATTTGGCTTTATTATGCCGAACACGGGGTGGTCATGAGGAATTACCAAGTTCTTGGAAAGGCAGTATAGAAGCTTTATAATCAAGCTGAGTGTTAAACGTAGGTGTTATTTTGTTTTTTGCCATGGAAGCGAAATGCTCTCCGTTTATGTTACTTTATATTTGTTGAACCGATTTTTCGAAAATGAGACTTATAGCTTGCGATGCACTCAAGATTCAATAAGCTCAAACTTCAAAAATGGCGGGAGCATCGAGAAAGCCATTATAGGGAATATCGTCAGTTGTATCTTTTCCTCGAATAAAGGTTTACAACTTTGATGATAAATTTTGGTGTCGAAACAAAAGGAGACTGTACGTTATGGAAGTAAGTAAATTTGTAAGCTATGCTGTATTGTGTGTATTAATAAGGCTAATTTACCATGGTTAGGGTAGAAGTTTCGTATTCATCCCAGGGGAGAGGAAAGTCAGTAAGAATGCATGGTTAGGGTAAGAGTTTCGTATCTATCCAGAAGGAGTGGAAAATCGATGAGAGAGCTCAATCATATGGCGAACCATGGCCACAAGTATGGGATTAGTTAGCCAGTTATTATTTATTCCAGATGAATGGACTTGATAGTGGACGAAGCCGTAACCGATCGACTCTACGATGGCGAGGAGTCTTTCCAATCCTCTCGCACTTAATTATTCTCGCAAGCGTAGTCTAATATAAATACCTTTTCATCGCCATATTATGAGCTTTGAAAATTTATTTTTGTTTTAAAGGGGTGGCCAACATTCATTGACTTAGACATATTGGACTCTTTATTAGAAGATTTATCCATTACTGCTGACCAATATGAAGATGAATACGATGAGCTATATGAAGAACTATACGATGAGCTATATGAAGACCAATACGATGACCAATATGATTACCTATACAAGGACCTATATGATGACCAATACGATGACCAATATATATGAAGACCTATACGATGATCAATATGAAGACCAATATGATGACCAATATGACGAGGAATATGACGAGCAATATGATGACCAATATGAAGATCAATATGATGACCAATATGAAGATCAATATGATGACCAATATGATGACCTATATAATGACCATTATGATGACCTATATAATGACCATTATGATAGACAATATGACAAAGATTATATTGACCAATGCGATGACCAATATGAAGACCAATACGATCGCCAACATCGTGTCAAATATCATGACCTAAATGATGACGAAGATTATTGCCAATATGATTATCAAAATCATGACCAATATTATGACGAATATGATGACGAAGAATATTACCAATACGATTATCAAAATCGTGACCAATATTATGACGAAGATTATTACCAATACGATTATCAAAATCATGACCAATATTATGACGAATATGATGACGAAGATTATCACCAATATGATTACATAAATCAAGATCAATATAATGACGAATATGATGACGAAGATTATTATCAATATGATTACAAAAATCAAGACCAATGTGATGACGAATATGATGACGAAGATTATTACCAATATGATTACAAAAATCAAGACCAATATTATAACGAATTTGATTACGAATATTACGAATAACGTAGATGATACCGATTCGATAGAGTGGGGCCGGAAATTTCTATTGGGTCAACTCCATTGAACATATTTTATTACCTATTAAAAAAATAAGCTTGACTATGACGAGGTTTATCAAACATTTTCATAAATCTGTCAGTGAGGTCAACAGATCCTCAAAGTGCAAACATCTATGATGACCAATGGTCTATATTTGTTTGCATTTGTTGCATTCCTTTTAAATTAGATATTGTTGGGGAAATAATTTCTATGTTATATTTGTAAACGTATTAGTAGCATTTATATGTTATAGCCATAGTTGCGTCGAAGTGCATAATTATCACAACATTATAAAGTATATCCTGATTTTACATATTGTATATATTATATAGTTTTATACGATGCTATTAATTCGAGTTCACTTTATTTGTAGAGTGTATTGCTTTTATTGTAGAGTATATTTATTTATGACGTAACATTAACATAATTACTTATCTGTAAATTATAGATTGAACTTCTGAGGCAGTGCTACGCAACCTTTTATATCCTATGGCCCCCTTCTAAAGGCTTTCAGCACTCATGACCCCCCTATTTCTCAATCCAGTGGTATTTATAGTGTTACTTTGATTCGTAGATTCCAAATCCCAATATGTTCAAACAATTCACGCTCAACAAAGGAAAAACAGCCTATGAAATTTTTTTATCCAGCATGAAAGTAAAATCCGTTTTGTGTCTAGCATGGTGCTCCAACCCAACTGCTCTGTGGCCCCTATTGGAGGGCCGCGGGGCCCCGGTTGTTAACCACTGTTTTGTTCCAAGGTATGTGTTGTGTTCCTAATCCCCTTATGTTCGCAAGAAATACACAGGTATACACGTTGTAGCGACTTCCTTTATTGACCTCCTCAAACCATCGACTCGCCGGAAACTACGGCCAAAGACAAAACGTGTTAAGTAAATCGCATGAGTAGTCATGAAAACTGACAAATATCACTCAAGACTACAAAAACGAGGCAATGTTTGCAACCATACTTGAATATCTGCTTGAGCGACAGAAGTGTCTGAGCGGCTGAGTGCAGAAATTGCATTTGTTACGTGTTGCGTCATTATTGACTTATTGCTGATTGGTTATAGTTACGGAAATAAACGAGAAAACTGATGCTTATCTGTATGTACGCGTACCCCAGGTTGAGAACCACTGGTGTAGACTGTGGAGTTTAAGAACCTTATCAATATCAAATAATAAAATCTCGCCCACTTGGGCGGGAAGACATGTGACTAAGGTTTGAAAAGTGTAGATTTTTACGATTTTTCAGCTATGCCAATATATGGGAAATAGGTTATTTTCAGCAATGGATTACGCATAATTTTAAAATTTTGTACCCAACGACTCAAATTGTTTTGTGTAGAGTTTATAAACTTTATCAATATCAAATAATAAAATCTCGCCCACTTGGGCGGGAAGATATGTGACTGAAGTTTGAAAAATGTATATTTCTACGATTTTTCAGCTATGCCGTTGTATGCAAAATATATTTTTATAATTTTTTGTCGATTTGGGATATCTCTTGAAAATTAGCAGACACAATTGCACATCCCATCTCAACTGTCGACTATAGTAGAATCTATAGTCAACAGAATAGTAGAATTTTTTGATGTTGATTTTTGAAATTTCCATCTCACTGTATCTTTATAATATAGCCTACCACATGAAACAAAATATACTGACATCTGGCTCTGCGACGGCGAAAAATCTAAACGACAAAGTTATTTTAGATTTCGATTAAACTTTTAGTTGCTGCATGGAATAAAATAAATTTGAGTTTCTATAAAATTCATATAAAACTTGTCATGTCAAATTGTCATGTATATTACAAGTATACCAATGAAATCGTCATATATTGCAAATTGCAGAAATAGGAACACATGTACAGTTGTAGGACCTAAGCCTGTAATTGAATGGTTTCATAGCACTATTAATGTCGTATGATTATGGATGCGTTGTCCTCACGTTATTGTAGCACTGACCCAATCATTTTGACATTGCCAACGGTTACTGAGGATAAATTCCTTTGACGACGTATTCCTTATTCTGTATTCCTTTAAATTCATATTCCTAAGTTACCGTTAAATGTACTTGAATTTACTACTTATCTGTATGTATTTAGTTTATATATAAAATTCGAGAGATATTCGACCGTGTTGAATTCAGGACTCGCCCATGTTTTATACCACTACCCCTCACTGAGTGAGTTTTAACGCGCCACTGCACAGCATGTGAGTCACTTCACATTGGTGGAAACTCCGGCCAAGGACATAACGTGTTAGGTAAATCGCATGAATGGTCATGCGATTTATGACGTAATAAATACACAACAGTATGATTCAGTTCCGTGTAATAATAATGAGACAAAAGTTTCATGTATTTTGTACAGCCTATATTGCACCATCCAATCCATTAGTATTTTGATTGAGCTTAATATACATTTACTAGGCTAAAACATATATTTCTTTGACGACAGAAGGTTCTGGAACATAATCCTGGCGGTTCATTTCGTGCGAATGGAGCTAGGTAACCTATTTTTATGGTGTAGAACACGGGGAGATTATGGGGAAGTACCATGTTTTCTATAAGGGGAAATAGAAAGAGTGAGGCTTTATATTAAAGCGGAGGGTGAAACTTGATTATTATTGTTCATGTGACGAAGGCGAAATGCTCTCTATTTATATAACTTTATATTTGTTACACCGATTCTTCAAAAATGAGAGTTAGCATAAGTCCTGATAGCTTGCGATACACTCAAGATTCAATAAGTTCCAACTTCAAAAATGGCAAAAGCTTGGAGAAAGCCATTAACGACGTTGCCAAAAGAGTATCGTCAGTTGAATCTTTTCCTGTAATGGAGGTTTACAGTTTGGGTGGAAAATTTTGGTGCCGAAACAACAGAAGACTGTACGTTATGAAAGTGAGTGAATTTGTAAGTTGTGCTGTTGCAGAGCAGTTGAAATCCGGACATGAGAACATTTTCGTATTTATCTAGTAACAGTGAATTCGAAAACGACTAAACAAGCAATTCTGTTAATATGGCAACTGGCTCCACAAATGCTGTAAGACTGAAAATAATCACCGAATATTCCTTATATAGGTCCTTAATAATAATACTCTTAACATCTATTTATTCCTATTTTCGTGTCATAGGAGCTGCAAATGCGGGGACATTTAGAAGAAATCGTTGTTGACTACGTGGGGGAAAGGCCACATAATAGAAGATATTTTACGACAAAAACAATCGGGAAAAGTATACGAGTTCGGAGAGGACGGTTCAGAACTATTAATGCAGACACATTATTCTCCTCATTTGCATACTTGACACTTACAGATGACGATTTTATTTTAGACTGATAATCCAAATGCTATGAAATTTCAAGACCTTTTATGATGTCGATGGGTTTTTTAATTGTTATGATGGGAATCGGGGCGTTCGCAAATGTTTGGACGAACTCGTTTTTGAAATATCGTGATGATCAGCGAACACGTTCTTGTTTTCGCCGTTAGGCGACCGCGAAAATTGAGTAGTAGTAACCGTAGTAATGTATTAGAATTTTGTGAATCGTGCCATGTGATGGCAGATTATCTGTCAAAATACAAGTACTTGTCGTGAGTGAGTTCGACATGAAAAAGAAGTCGTTCTTAAATTTCAAATCCCACATATATGGTACCAATTACAACATTATACTGTAATTTATATATATTGTATATTTTTATACGATGCTATTAAATTGAATTCACCTTATTTGTGGAATGAGTTGATTTTATTGCAGGGGACATTTGTTTATGACGTAACATTGAACATTGATATCTCATAGATTGAGATTTTGAAGGATAATTCAGTTCTGTGTGATAATATTGAGTATGTTTATATTTTAATTTACTTCTTCAAATATTTCTTCAATCAATTTTTAAAATAAAGGTATCCGTACTTCCGAAGCAAAGCGTCGAAAAGTCGATTTCATATAGATTAAACGCTAGATACAAGAATGTTCATAGAGTCTCTTTACAATTATAAAAAAATATTACATCATCATCAAAATGGCCCGATTATTAGATTGTACATAATTCCACACCAAATATTCATTTTTGGACTATCTCGCTGAAGTTCTCTACTCGCATGAGGGTTTCCGATCCCCAAATTGTTAGAGTGTGTGTGTGTAACTTCCCAAGACACGAAAAGTTGTCTCATCACTGAAACAGACTTGCGCGAGCTTCATCCTCAGAAATTCGTTGCAGTTCACTGCAAATTCTTTTTGTCATGGCGCGTCGTTTGGCTGAAGTGCATGTAACATTTGTATTTTGTGAGCATACAATCTTAAAGTATTGTGTGGGTCTGTGGGACTTTCGTGCACTGTTGAACGTGGTAGTTCCAATAATCTGACAGTCGTGCGGATGGAATTCATGGGGAAACGTTGGAGGCTTGCCTTACACGCTAAATGTTTTCCTCGGATGTTCTTGGTCGCTCAACCCTCCTTGTATCGAACACCGTCCCTGTCTCCACGAATTTCTAGTGCCATAAACGAATTGAGGGACGTAATGGTGGGTCTCTTCCCTTCTTACTTCTGTAGTTTCGCTGGGTCTGAACATATGATTTTGTCTTAAATCTCAATGAACCAGGATACACATTGCACTTGATCTTGGGGAGTAGTTATTTCATGGGGATTCAGTCATATAATTTGATCATATAATATACGAAATTTTATTTAATTTTTTTTTATCTCAAACAATAAATATTAGTGTCACTAAAAAATTCATGAAATACCGATTAACATAAAACAACCCTCATTGAGATATATCATCAATTCACTTTGTAATAAATTTTGTTAGATTGTAAAGAGACTTTATGGTCACCCCATATATTGCAACGTTGCACATTCGAATTGAATTATAAAATACATTATAATGAAACACAATTAAATCCCTATAATACCAGTAGATTGACAAAACTAGGGGTTTGGTTCAGCATCCTGGAAGGAAATGTCGTGATAAAAATTCTTAAATCTTAGACTTCGAAGCATCAGACAAATAAATACCGTCATTTTGTATACTAATAATCTTATCCTACATTTTATTTACTCTGCACTTCTCTTTTGTTTGCCTTGCTGTTCATTTTGTTTATTCGCTACGATATCAAAGCCTGAGGTCGACAGGTGTTTCGAGACAAAAGTTTCATGTATTGCGTACAGTATATTGCATCATTTGACCCGTTAGTACTTCGATTCAGCTTGTTATACATTTACTAGAATAAAACATAAATTTGATGATAGAAAGTTCTGGAACATGCTTCTGGTAGTTTGTTTTGTGTGATTGACGCTAGGCAACACATCGGTAGTAGGACATAATGGGGGAATTGCCAACGAAAAGAAATTAAGCTCCATATTCAAGCGGAGGGTGAAACTAAGGCTCCATTTTGTTCATGCGACCGAGGCGAAATGCTCTCCGTTATATGTAACTTTATATTTGTTGAACCGATTATTCAAAAATGAGCCTTAGCATAAGTCCTGATAACTTGCGATACACTCAAGATTCAATAAGCTCAAACTTCAAAAATGGCGGGAGCATCGAGAAAGCCATTAATAACGTTGCCAAAGGAGTATTGTCAGTTGAATCTTTTCCTCGAATGAAGGTTTACCATTTTGCTGGACAATTTTGGTGCCGAAGCAACAGGAGACTGTACGTTATGAAAGTAGGTAAATTTATAAGTTGTTCTGTGTTGTGTATGGTAATAAGGAATAAGGCTTACTTACCATGGTTAGGATAGGAGTTTCGTATTTATCCCGGGGAAAGGAAAGCCGATAAGATAGCGGTAATAAGGCATGGTTAGTGTAGAAGTTTTGTATTTATCCCGAGGGAGAGGGGGGGGGGCGTCTTATTGGGCAGGTAAACTTATCGTATTTTTTTGTGATCCGCTTATTTTATTTTCAAACATGATTTATGTTAACCTTATATATATTTGGTTTGATATATTTTATTATATACTCGATGTCGCCAAAGGATTTGCCAATCATGATATTTAATTGACTTGGACTGGTAGCTGTTATTTTTTATATTCTGTTTGAAAATTCCCTTGTAATTATAAATGAAGCATTCGATATTTAGCCAGCCCGTTATCGGTACTTTAAAGAGAAAACACTGCCACCGATGTAAAGCGATTCATGACCCTTTTGTTTTGCCGATTCGACGGAAAACGACACAGATGGGAAACACACAGCTGTTAACAAACCCATGGACGTGCAGTGTAGTACATATCACACCCTATTCAAAAGTTATTTCAACGTTCGGATTAATAGGTTGTTCAAAGTGATTGCCACTTTTTAACTTAAAATTGTTACCTCGTTGTTAAGAATAAATGATTCTGTGAGTATGATTCTACCAAACAAACATGATCTGGTCTAACCATAGAAAATTATTAGCGCATATTAGTGTTTAACTGGCCAACAGAAGCAATTTCCCTGTCCCGTTTTATTGGAGGGCTATATGGAAAAACCCTCTTTTTTAGTGCTAAAAATAGTCATCGTCTTATTTGCCTGGTAGACTTATTAGCCGGGAAATACTAATTATTCTCTTGAGCGTAGTCTGATGTAAATAGCTCTTCATCCCCACATTATGAACTTTGAAAACTTATTTTCGTTCAAAGGAGCTGCAACTGCGGGGGCATTTAAAAGAAATCGTTGTTAAATACGTGGGGGAAAAGCTACATTATAGAAGATATTTTACGACAAAAACAGCCGGAAAAAGTATCAGAGTTCGAAAACGGCCAAGAATCGCTAATTCAGACCTATTGGACTCATCATTTGCAAATTTAACTCTTACTGCTGACCAATATGATGACCCATACAATGACCAATATGATGAGCCATATGATGACTCATACAATGACCAATATGATGATCCATACGATGACCCATATGATGATCCATACAATGACCAATATGATGACCCATATGATGATCCATACAATGACCAATATGATGACCCATACGATGACCCATATGATGACCCATACGATGACCCATATGATGATACATGCAATGACCAATATGATGACCCATACAAGGACCAATATGATGATGCATACAATGACCAATATGATGACCCATATGATGACCCATACAATGACCAATATGATGACCCATACGATGACCAATATGATGACCCATACGATGACCAACATAATAACCAATATGATGACCCATACGATGACCAACATAATAATCAATATGATGACCCATACGATGACCAATATGATGACCCATACGATGACCAACATAATAACCAATATGATGACCCATACGATGACCAGCATAATAACCAATATGATGACCCGAACGAGGACCAACATAATAACCAATATGATGACCCATACGATGACCAACATAATAATCAATATGATGACCCATACGATGACCAGCATAATAACCAATATGATGACCCAAACGATGACCAACATAATAACCAATATGATGACCCATACGATGACCAACATAATAATCAATACGATGACCCATACGATGACCAGCATAATAACCAATATGATGACCCAAACGTTGACCAACATAATAACCAATATGATGACCCATACGATGACCAACATAATAATCAATATGATGACCCATACGATGACCAGCATAATACCCAATATGATGACCCAAACGAGGACCAACATAATAACCAATATGATGACCCATACGATGACCAACATAATAATCAATATGATGACCCATATGATGACCAATATAATGACCCATACGATGACCAATATGATGACCCATATGATGATCCATACAATGACCAATAATATGACCCCTACGATGACCAATAAAATAACCAATATTGTGACCCATACAATGACCAATACGATCACCAATACACTTGCCAATATCGTGGAAAATATGATGACAAAGATTATGACCGATATAATTACCAAAATCCTGACCAATATTATGACGTAGATGATGACGATATCGTCGACTGGGGCCTGAAATTTTTATTGAGTCAATTCCATTGAACATATTTTATTGAATTGAAAAAATAAGCTTGACTATGACGAGGTTTATTTAACATTTTTCATAAATCTGTCAGTGAGGTCAATCAATCCTCAAAGTGCAAACAAATATGATGACAAATAGCCTATATTTGTTTGCCTTTGTTACATTACTTTTGGATTACCGGCAAACGAGAAAACAATTTCTATATTCATTAGCAGCGTTTATATGCCAGCCACGGTGCATATGTATTACAACATTATAAAGTATATGCTGCTTTTATATATTGTATATTTTTTAACAATGCTATTAAGTTCATCTTATTTGTAGAGTGTATTGCTTTTATTGTAGAGTATATTTATTTATGACGTAACATTGACATAATTACCTATCTGTAAATTATAGATTGAACTTTTGAGGCAGTTACACGCAACCTTTTATACCCTGTGGCCCAATTCTGGAGGCTTTCAGCACTCATGCCCCCCTATTTCTCATTCCAGTGGTGTGTATAGTGTTACTTTGATTGGTCGATTCCAAATCCGATTACTGTATGTGCAAACAATTCATTCTCAACAAAGGTAAAATACCCAGAGAAGTAACTTTATCAAGCAATGAAAGTAAAAATTAGTTTTGCGCCTACCATGGTGGCCCCTATCAAGCTACTTTGTGGTCCATTGGAGGGCCACTGGTCCCTGGTTGAGAACCACTATTTTAAGGCATGATTCAATTCCGTGTGATAATATTGAGTATGCTTATATTTTGTTCTACTTCATTAAATATTTCTATGAAAAGCAATTCAAACTCTACTCGCAGTTATTTATGAATCTTGGGCTACAGTCCTACAGCTCAAGTCAGTCAGTTCACAAACAAATACCGAAATGCCTTAGGAGTGAACTATGAGGGTATATTCAGTTTGTCACTCTGAGAACATCCAGTCATGCGTATTATCCCTTATTGCCTGTATGTAGGATTACCATATTTTTGTGACTTCAAATCGGGACGCCTCAAAAGACAACGACCCCTTAGCTGTGATTTTGTAACTTCACATTTTCCGATTTTACTACATAGGCCTACATTCCTACATTTAAAGCTGTCTCGGCTGTCTTTATTGACCATATTGTTATCGAAATTACATGCGCATATTTTCTGTCCAAATATCGGGTTCAGGTCGAAAAATAAGAAGTAATTGACGTTAACGATACCGGTACAAATAATTCGAATTTAGACTAATTAGTATTGGTTTTACATGCGATACGTCTGCCATCAATGGGAATCAGCGGGAAACGAACGCATTCACCTTCAGTGAGTAGGCTAGCGCTGCGCTACACAGAAACAACAGTAACGAGAACATGTTTGTGTATTATGCTGGAAAAGCGGGACTTTTGGCTGACTTATCGGGACGGCGGGACAAAACGCTGAAAATCGGGACTGTCCCGCCTAAAGCGGGACGTATGTTAAGCCTACCTATATGTTAATATCGCATAGACCAGGGGTCGGCAACCTTTTTGTGGGTCGCGAGCCAAAGATAAAAGTTGCAAGTCATTGGCGGGAGCACATTTTTTAGAAAGTTGAAAACCGAACAAATAATATTTTTCATAATAAAAATTAGGCAATGATACATCTCTCGAATAGAATATAGATTTATTTCCTCATTGTATTGCATCTCAAAACTATCCATTTGAATATTTTCGGCGACATTGAACCCTTTGCATTTAGCATCACCTTTTCTGGGTTATCTTGCCATTGTCGAATTTTATACTTGTTAGATTATAATATAATTCAATCTACACGTGTATCACAATAAGGTCTGTTACATGAAGAATATAATTGTCAAAACAGCTGTTTTGTTACCACTATTCAATGAAGCGTAGCGGGTCGGATTATATTACTCCGCGGGCCGTAGGTTGCCGACCCTTGGCACAGATCATGATTTGTATGTATAATTCAACAATCCTTAATATTCATATATTATTTCATTCGCTCATTGTAGACATTCACTCGACATTTATATTCAGACGTCCGTTAAAGTCAACTAATTACAACCAAGACCATCCATGTATTCAAATGGTTATGCGTGGTGACGGGTTTCAGTGCGTTTGCGCAAACCCGTTCTTGGAATGCCATGATAATCAGGGAACCCGCCTTTTACGTTCTTGTTTTGTATGATATTTATGTAAAGCTGTCATGTTAATGTTTTTTACGCAGTGACGACATACATTCTCTGAAATGAAAAACCTGTTTTATTGAGTTCGATACAAAAGCGAGCTAGTTTACAATTTTGAATTCCAGCTCTAAGTATGTCCAACATAACTGGGGTACTCAAACTTTTGATCCTACGAAGCCCGTGAAGACACTGACTACTATTTACGGAGACCCACAGTTAATTTATAATAAATATTTATCTATTGAAACTTATAGATAAGTTAATATTTGAATTACCGCCTCGTTGCCATATTTCGACGCTACTGTTTTCAAATTTTATAAACTAATGCCGTTATTGCTTCGTTGGACAGTTACAAAATTAGCCAAATGAGTATTCAAACATGTAAATAAATAACTCGCGGAGCATCTAGGTTTCTCTCAAGAAGCCCTTGGGCTCCGTATGGAGAACTTCAAGAACTTATGCTTTAACAGACCCCCAGTACACTGCTACATAAGCGTGAGACTGAATGAAATTGTAAAAAAAAAGACAGTTCATAATTTTGTTTTCAGTTTATTTCACTTTTCTAAAAACACCTTGAACTTGGGAAATAAAAACCACTGCAAAGTGAAATAATTCTTGTTTTTACGGAATTCCCAGCGAATAATATTTTCTAATCCACTCCGTGAATAATCAAAAATTTTAAGTTTGTTCTGACGGCATTTAAAAATTGAAAATACCATAAAATCCCCGCGAGCTATGCAGCGGTTGATTAACAATGATAATATCCAAAGTTGTAAATAAACAAATCAAGTTTAAGCTAGAATACTAGAAACTAAACGTGTTGTTTATTGTGGCAGTTTAGTCAGATTATTTGACTAGTTGTGAAAATTTGAAGACGGCGCAGTAGATTACATTTGTAATAGTTGTAATTGTTATAAATTTACCTTAGTCAGGTGTACACTATAATGTCCTAAGAGGTTCACATTTTAATTGGTATTCTGCAGATTTCCGCTATCAGGGTGGTCGCTAGAAAAGCAGAAAATTTGAAGGTCAGATGAGATCACGAATAAAATGCAGACTTTTACTCATTTCGATTTGTTTTTTTTCAGGTTCTAGGTTTTTTCAGGGCGATACCTTTTAGGTTTTAATTTTATTCCTGTAATATTCTATGTAGTATAACATTTGTCCTAAAAAACGTTGTAAATATTCTTTTTTGTAAAAATAAATACCTGTTTGACAAATTTTCTGCCTTTCTAGCGACCACCTTGCAGTTATTAGTACATATTTGTATAAAGATCGTAAGACAGATAGTGTATTCTAATAAGTACGACCATCATCATAATTTTTATATGCGAATACGTTTTCAACAATATGCGGATTCTTTTCATTTCAGCACATTCTGTGATCGCGTTAACCGTTTTTTCAATTTCAATAATAGTGCTCACAGAAGGTACGTTCGTGATAAAATATTTTGAATAGTCGTTCAAATTTCCACATAAATTGTTGAAATTAAAATATTTCATTTTTGTGGATTTTTTGTTTATTCCTAACTATTCTCTATTCCCAAACTTTTTTTGTTAAATTTCCCCTTCACCTATTTTGAAATCTTTATCCCTCTCTCACTAAGCATGGAAACAACTTTTTTGGTTCAATCTTCAATAGGTTCAGCCAAAGCGTATATATAATATAAGCGAGGCAACGCTCAGACAATGGACGCCATCTTGCGCCTATTGTTCTCGGCAATTTAACACGGCGCCTTATGAAAAGTTCCAACACAATTATTGGAACATACCTATTATTTTCACTAATATTTTAGGTAGAAAAATTTGGAAAGTCGCGTTTTGAAGCTTAGCCGTACATGCTTATATTGTTTCATGTTGGCCAAATTACATTTATAGTACATTAAATGGTCTTTGAAGACAAGTATACCGGTTCCGAGTTGCTTCCGAAGTAAATTGCCCATTCTAATTGGCGTATCACTCAAAAATCTTTGAAAAAATGACCAAAAATGGTTCTACGCTGTGTTTGTGGTCAAATTTAACGCATTAGATAGATTTTTATTCCTAATTGCGTTATATATTTAGATAGCATATATCTTAAAACTTGAAAACCACCCTTCGGTTTCAGTCTAGTCCTTATAACAGCGGACTTATTCGATTCGGTACAACAACACGACGAAAATTTGCCATAAGACTCCATTGTTTCGCGTTTCCCAAATATGGCACAAGATGGCGTCCATGAACTTGTTTAACATTAGGCAAGTTAGTTGCCGGCCGTTGGGTTCAGCCAGTGTTATACGCAAGACGCAATCTTGCTTTTATACAGTTTAAATAGTTCATATTAAAAATCATAGTTATAATAACGAACTAAAGAATATTAGTAATGCTGCGAAATTCATCCTCAAGAAAGACTTCCCGGTTGTTAAACGTTGGGCCCAAACGACTATTCTTGTTCTTTCGGGATCGTGTTCTGATTATTGCTACCAAATTTTAACTTTCACAAGCACACATTTAATAAGGAAATATTCGATAAATTGTATATTATAAAATATTGGAGACACAAATAGCATTACAGTATTATGAATACTGAAAGTGACACTATAAATGCAACAAGAACGTAGGATGGTATAGAAAACTTTTTTATTCTTTTCTTTTTAGGTGGTCGTATCAAAAATGCCACAAAATACACTCTCAGACCAATTGTTAAAAGGATTCCACGTGAGTCGACACGAAATTCTTTTCCATAATTGATTTGAAAAGTTGATAACACATGCTTCGTATTTCACCATGAAAAGCATTCCACATAATAATACCTTATATTTGAATGAATTTTGAGTCTTAGTGTAAGCCTGGCGATGCACACGGGATGATGATGCTCATCTAGCTTTCTATTTACGAGAAAACACTGCTTTGCTTGGCAAAGTAGTTATTGATTACCTTTGGAAGACAACAATTATGAAATTGATGTATTAATTTGCAAACTTTCTAGTTGATAAATATCAGTATACTTAAGGAGGCCAGTTTTGTATTACATCATATTTCTGATAATATGAGCACCCTAATCTGTACGGCTTTTATAGGATTCAGTATTGACTCGGAGACATATCCCCAGGCAATGACTGCATATTGGATATAGGTTCGAAAGAGTAAACGAGATAGCGATCGGAGACCGCCGACTTATCGATCTGCGATTTCGATTCCTCCGCTCTGACTCAATAGCGACACCGCATGTCCCATCACTAATTAAATAATAACTCGCTAATTATACGACATAATTCATCCAAAATCAATAGGCTTCTGGTTCGAGATATGATGAATGCACATGCAGATTCAATCTCGCTTTCGTGAGATATCGCGTAACATACGAAAGTGTCTAACAGACAAACAAACAAACAAACAGACAAATACCTATCAACATACTTATCGATCGAGATCGATAAATAATAAATATTATAGTTAAAATAAAGAACTCAAGAATATTAGTAAAGCTGCAAAATTCATCAAATACGAAATTCATCCTCAATAACGTCAGAATTCCTTCCCGGTTATTAAACGTGGGGCCCAATAGACTATTCTTGTATTTTCGGGATCGTGTTCTGATTATTGCTACCAAATTTTAACTTTCACAAGCACACATTTAATAAGGAAATATTCGAAATATTGTAAATTATAAAATATTGAAGACACAAATAGCATTACAGTATTATGAATGCTAAAAGTGACACTATAAATGCGAAAAAAGCGTGGGATGGTATATAAACCTTTTTTATTCCTTTTTTTAGGTGGTCGTATCAGAAATGTCACAAAATACACTTTCAGACCAATTGTTACAAGAATTCCACGTGAGTCGACACGAAATTTTTTTTTCATTATTGATTTGAAAAGTTGATAACACACCATATTTCATCACAGAAAACATTCCACATTGTATTTGACACCCTTGTATTTGAATGAATTTTAAGTCGTCGTGTAAGTCTGGCGATGCTCACAGAATGATGATGTTGATCTAGCATTTTATTTGCAAACACTACTTTGTTGGCAAAATAGGTATTGATTACCTTTGGGAGGCAACTATTATAAAATTGATGTATCCCTTTGCAAACTTTCTAGTTGATAAATATCAGTATACTGAAGGAGGCCAGTTTTGTAGTACATCATATTCCTGATAATATGAGCAGTAGGCCCATAGAGCCCTATTACGTACGGCTTTTATAGGATTCAGTATTGACTCGGAGACATATTCCCAGACAATGACTGCATATGGGATATAGGTTCGAAAGAGTGAACGAGATAGCGATGGGAGACCGCCGACTTATCGATCTGCGTTTCCGATTCCTTCGCTCTGACTCAATAGCGACACCGCATGTCCCATCACTAATTAATTAATACCTCGCTAATTATACGACATAATTCATCCAAAATCAATAGGCTTCTGGTTCGAGATATGATGAATGCACATGCAGATTCAATCTCGCTTTCGTGAGATATCGCGTAACATACGAGTGTCTAACAGACAAACAAACAAACTGACAAATACCTATCAACATACTTATCGATTGAGATCGATGAGTAATAAGTATTATAGTTATAATAACAAACTCAAGAATATTAGTAAAGCTACGAAATTCATCCTCAAGAACGGCAGAATTCCTTACCGGTTATTAAACGTGGAGCCCAATAGACTATTCTTGTATTTTCGGGATCGTGTTCTGATTATTGCTACCAAATTTTAACTCTCACACGCACACATTTAATAAGGAAATACTCGATGAATTGTAAATTATAAAATATTGAAGACACGAATAGCATTACAGTATTATGAATACCAAAAGTGACACTATAAATGTAACAAGAGCGTAGGATGGTATATAAACCTTTTTTATTCTTTTTTTTTAGGCGGTCGTATCAAAAATGCCACAAAAAACACTTCCAGACCAATTGTTACAAGGATTCCACGTGAGTCAACACGAAATTCTTTTTCATAATTGATTTAAAAAGTTGATAACACATGCTTCGTATATTACCATGGTAAGCGTTCCACACTATATTACTCTTATTTTTGAATGAATTTCGAGTCTTTGCGTGAGCCTGGCGATGCACACGGAATGATGATGCTGATCTAGCCTTTCAATTGCGAACACTGCTTTGTTTGGCAAAGTATTTATTGATTACCTTTAGAAGGCAACAATTATGAATCTGATGCATCAATTTACAAATTTTCTGGCTGATAAATATCAGTATACTTAAGAAGGCCAGTTTTGTAGAACATCATCTTCCTGATAATATGAGCAGTAGGCCCATAGAGCCCTATTCTGTACAGATTTTATAGGATTTAGTTTTGACTTGGAGGCAGATCCACGAACAATGACTGCATATACGATATATGTTTAAAAGAGTAAACGAGAATATCGGTTGGAAACCGAAGACTTATCGATCGATAGTTAGGGGATCCCCCAAAACAGAAACTGCTGTTTCGATTCATCCGCTCTTGTAACTTGCGGACTGCGCATCGCACACACACACTCGGCGGGTCTCAAAATTCTCTCGCTTTACAAAAATCTAGATCACTATATCAATAATTGATTGATAACTCGCTAAATATACGACATAATTCGCCCAAAATCAATAGGCTCCTGGTCCGAGATAAGATGAATGCACATGCAAAATCTGGAGCAGATTCAATCGCTTTCGTGAGATATCGCGTGCATCTAACAGACAAACATACAGACATACAGACAAATACCTATCAACACACTTGCCGATTAAAATCGATAAGTAATAATAAACTATCTTCAGTGTATTTCTGTCCGTGTAATGTTGAAGTTTGCTCAACTGTTTAATTTTAAAGTTATGCCCTAGTCTAGTATTTCTAGTAGGTAGGAAAGAAAGTAGATAGAACGGCTCCATCACATAGTCATAGGGAACCAAGACTTCGTACCGGTTACCAGGCTATGTGCGGTATGGGAATAGTCAAATTCATAACCAACAAGCGGTTACGTGAACCACCTTACGACGGCGAAGAGTCCAGCAATTTTTTCGTATATAATTTTCCCCACGGGGTTTGAACATACCAATCCGCGCAGGCAATCAGTGGTGCAATAGTAAACGTATTCCAAACGCCGCGGTTGAACAATAAACCAACTGTAAATACTTTTTCCCTGATTAGTTTATCCAATCTTTTCCGCAACATAATAACTTCAGTTAATGGAATGGAAAATTTAATTTACCTCTTCAATATTAGAGCCGTGCCAACTTGCTGGTACTGAGTCTTGACTCAAGACTCGAATGATCCGTGCCTTGGAGTTTAAGGACTTGTACCAAATGCTGGAGAACCGTAACACTGACATGCATATCAAAACGTTATAAAAAGTTTAAATGACTATTAACGTTATTTCTTTTGCTAGAATATATTTATATCTCTCAAACAAGCACACATCTTGTTTGATCACACATTATTAAAAATGTGCTAATGGCGGGTTTCATTATTTGTTATAACCCAAAGTTATGATTGAAAAACTTCTACATGCAGATTTGACATGGACATCTTGGACTTCGTGTACTTGGAGATATGGTTCAAGCAGTCGAACAAGGAAATGCCGAGACAGAAAAAATGGGTCGATAGTACAAAGTAGATTATGTGGGCGTAGTAGCAAAATGTTCTGTCCGACCGAGGGATTGATTACTAGTGGGTCACCGTCAGAACCGGGAAAATGGCCTTGGCAAGCTCTTATCATAACAGAACTTGATGGTAAATGGCAGCAATGTGGAGGTAGCTTGATAACACCCTCATGGGTGCTCACTGCGGCGCATTGCTTTTTAGATCCTGTTGGGTGAGTATTTTTCATTTCCGAATACTTATTTCTCATATCTCTGCTATCTCATACTTTTTCCATTCTATTTGTATGACTTCACGTATTTAACGGGGATTTGACGGGGGTCAGAAAGTTCACGCAAACCCGTTTCCCGGATGTCGTGGTGGTATGTTGTTTATTTTGATTTGGACGTTTGATGGAAGCTTCCAACTAGCGTTATATTTGGCGTTCGAAAGTTCTTGGGTTTATGTAAAGCATGTCGTGTTAATGCAGCTCACGTAGTGACATATATATATATATACAGTTTCTAAAATGAAGAAATCTGTTGTCAGTGAGGATGCTACAAAAGAGAACCCGTTCTTAAAATTTTGAATCCCACCACAGCCTGTAATATTATATAGACTCTATATAATATTACAGACTGTGGTGAGATTTAAAATTCTATATCATAGACGTAAGTAACGCATAATGAGTGACGAATAAAAACGTCCGGAATAGACAAAGGAAAGAATTTATTAAAAAAGAGGTTAGGAACCAATGAGCTAGCTCATAAACTTCACAAGAGTATAAACTTGTGCGGGTGGTATTTTGTATCAATTGATCAGCAACTGAAATGTGACGAAGTCCATTTGCCACTAACTACCAAGGATTCCCCGAGTTTGTGTATTTTACTGTTGGACTGCGAAAATAAATGCTCAATTAATTTTGTGGTGTAATTAATTAACATTACTTTTACTAGAAACAATTGGAAGATTCAAAGAATTACGTTGGGAACAATAAACAGAAACGGGATTGGTAAAGGAGCTGTTAATTATACAAAAGCATCCATTGTTCACGTGCACGAAGGTAATATTTATTTTATATTTGAATTTGAAAGAATTACGAAGTTGGTCTATGGATCAATTTGTTACTATGTTGTTGAAAAACAGGCTTTTCTCACTACTGGACAAATTGCTTTTGAATTTTTAGTGGTTAAAGATTGTTGTTGTCGCTAGAAAGCTATTATTTTATTTACCGTATATTTCTGTGGGCTTTATGCAGGGCTGCCATAGTCTTAGAAAATTTTTAGGTTCTTATTTCTAAGAAACGTCCTTATTTTGACATGTGTTCTTATTTTATGGGGAGAGGTTCTAATACCAGGCACTCAGATTGATCAATTCGAATGTTTGATTTGCTAGAAATGTCATTTTACAACCGCATTGATTGCTACGCGCATTCATTACGTAATAACAGCAATATAATTGACACAAAACAATATCCTATCGGCTAAAATCAGTTCGTGTTAAAAGTGCGACGGAACAGACTGTTTCTAAAAATAAAGAACTGCTGGAGTAAAACCTTTCTAGTGCAAAGTATGATTAGACACGGGTCGCACTGGCATGAATACATTTTGTTTATTACATTTCGTTCTTTGGTATTCTAATATTATGTTTCCCTGACGTCCTCATTTTTGGATTCATAACGATGGCAGCCCTGGGTATATGGGATTGGTTTTAACATATGAAGTTTTGTGTGATGACGTCATCAAACTATGCACCGTGCCGTTATGGTGCTCAGCAAAGTCGGATGTCTTTTAATAAGATCTCGGTACTGTTATAGATTTAATACTACTTCATTTGATTTTCGTGTCCATGAATTTGAGCATTGCTCTTTTGTTTTCAAACATTATTTTCAATTTTGAAATTAACATTTGGTTAGGCTTTTAAAATAACTCATGACCCGCGTTTACAATACATCTTTGTTTATGGAAATCGTAATTTGAGCGCTTCACAGAAGATCCATATTTTGATACCACATGCAGCATAAAAGTATATGTCGCTTTCAACAATTATATATTATGCTGGTGAATTTTGCCAATACGAATACCATTGCTTTCATACGCCATCTTAGCATCGTTATTTCAAAAAGCATTTTTTGTTCCAGATTTCGACAAGATAAAATATCTGAACGACATATCACTAATCAAACTCCCAACACCGATAAATACAGGATTGCATAGTCATATCGAACCCATATTTCCCCCTATAGGCTCTAAAACAATGTTGGCAGGAAAGTCATGTGTAGTTACGGGATGGGGGGCAACAGCAAAGAACGGAAGTAAAGGTAATTATAGTCTATTCAAGTTTTATAAAAACAAATCTACACCAGAGATACCTTACTGGCTAAACGTATTCCGCGAACCACACAGAGTGCAAAACCAATCCTTTGTTCACTCCATTTCATAAACCAACAGTGTATGCGATTTTCACTAAGAGTATCGCCATACCGATAAGCAGTTTAACACTCACGGCATCGTTGTCCTGCAGCGTTTACATAAAACGATTAAGTCACCGATATTTCAGTATACGCATCGGCCTCATGGTTCCGAGCAATGCTTAGGAAAATTTACTTTATTTGACGTCTGTGGCCATTTTATTAATAATTGTAATAATTGTTTAAAAGAAAATATTTTACTGCACGCCAGATATTCTTATAAGGCACAGAATCTGACGGCTTGCAAGGGTGTTGATTGACAGGCCTAATTATATGACGTCATAGTTCAAATGGTTTTGTGTAGAAAGTCCCAGAATATATTGCACTTCCTGTTTTCAGCACAAGTTTGGTACGTTAGTGTTGTCTCTGTGTCTCTTCCAGGATTGACTTTATTAAGATTATTTTAGTGCCTAATTTGTGACTTTGAAAGAAATATAAGGTTAGTACATGTACTGGTATTGAGTTTAGTCGTATGTAGTTTGGATGGAAATCTAATTGTGATGTTTCTATTTAAAAAGTTTCTTTTACTGTATTCCTGTAGTAAATCTAGCAAAGAAGCACTAAATTCAATACCAGTTAGCGCAGTTTCAAATGTATGATTATCACTTTAATTGGAAGACAATACATATCGTTATGTTTTCATCAATTTCCTGGAATCGTCCTGTGTATGACTGTTATTTCTTGAGTTCTGGATTTCTTCCTGTTATTAGAAGTTTGGAAACACGAGTACTAAGTGCATTGAATTGGGACACAGTATCATATCAGACTAATGTCATTCCGGGGAAGGGAAAATAGACGAGGGAGTTGCACGCCTGCAGCAGCAGGGGGTTCTGAAAATTAGGTGCTCCCGAATAATGTGTACCAAGATGGCGCACAACGACCCGCACCCCTCTCCCCCCTGACCTCAGGCATAATTCCCCGCGGACTTTTTAATAAACTCGCGGTAAAGGCTTCGTCGTATCGGTGCTAATGCATGCCCTTCATGTCCATATATTCAACTATATGTCTCTTATAATTGACGACAATGATTTACGATGAAACGCCATAGCACATACAGAATTGGAGATATCAAATTCAACATACTATACTCCATGTCTCAAGCTCGAATCTTTTTCTAAAATTTATCCCCTTACTATATCAATAATACGTTAATATTCAATATTGAAATACAACATTAAATGTTACTGAGTATAAACGTTTGTGCCTTTTCAGAATCAATTCCAGATGTGTTGCAAGAAGTAGACGTGAACATATTTTCAGATGAAGCTTGTAGAAAAATGCATCATACTCCTGGACCAGATGGTTCATACACTAAAAGTCATTTTTGTGCGGGGTAAATACTGACTACTATCAACTAGTTTACGCACTGCCTAATTAATATTGATTCATTTAGAAAACTTCCTAGTCTTTATACAACGCGGGTTGAGACAGTACTCTGGTTATCTGAAAAATAGCTACCCAACTTTCAACTGAAATTGGAAAGAGTATCAACTTGTTCTTCGCAGTAATAAAGTACGGAATGCGGCTCTTGATCTCTGACCGGTTGGGCCACCCCTGCCTTAGCCCAATTTTTAAAACGTTAAAAAGGTAATTTCCGTGAGACCTGAAACCAAATTTGAACGGCAGCGTCGATTAACCTATATATTCTATCACAATTTCTCTAGAGAAATAAAATAATTGTTAATTTGACTAATACTTCTTCGTGAATATGATTATGTCAGATTATGCCTTGGGCAGCGACCTACCCACCCGCTACAAGTTTTCAAAGCAAGGACAAGCCAAACACAAAATCAGTGAAGTATGAAACAAAACGGTGAAATTAACATGCAGTGCTGCCAGAAATTAACAAAATTCAATAATATAATTGGACACGTAGTGGACATAACAATCGTTTTGTTGTTATGTTGTACTTGTTGTTTTTTGACACGTTTTGAAGAAATCGCTTTTCTCTTTGATTACTGGACCAATTGCTTTGAAATTTTCAGTGGTTGAAAATGGAATTTTTCTCCAGAAGGTTATCACTTTTATTTGGCTTCATCAAAATTATGCGGCGCTACGTTTCCATATATTTGAGCATATCTTTTTTGTTTAAAAAATAATCACATAAACGTAGCAAAACTTTAGTTGACCGGCTCTTGTTCATTCAATCAAATTGCCACTGTTACATTTTTTGTTCTAAAATAGACGGTCAACGCATAATTATTACCATCTCTAATATTAGTTTGTACTTCGTCTCACACAGCCATCTTGAAGGGAAGAAAGATACATGCGGTGGTGACAGCGGCGGACCACTCATGTGCGAGGAAAACGGGGAATACATTGTACATGGAATAACAAGCAGTGGACCAGCTGAGTGCGGAAAGAAAAATAAACCGGGTATTTACACAAGAGTCAGCGATTTTATCACGTGGATCGGAAGAACTATATATGGTGAATATATTTATGTTTATCTTTGAAATATTTTATATAAAGCGGATGTAACCATCATCTGTGCGATGACGTCATCAAAATTAAAAATTGCGCACCTTGCGGCGGTAGTCTACTGCTGAAGATTACATACCCGTACTACTTCGTTTTAGCTTTTGTGTCCATATATTTGAGCATTTCTATCGAGTTTTGTTTGTTTTGTATTTGTTTATTCAGGATTTCGCTATCATTGGTCCAACTGGAAAAGAAATAAATGCAGTGTGACATGTGGTAGAGGACAAAGAACAGTGACAAGAACTTGTCTAGACAAAGATGACAGACCTGCAACGGAATGTGAAGGAATTTCCATACGACATTTTCGCTGCCGAATCCCGCCTTGCGTCGGTTTGTTACCGCATATATGAATTACTTGATTTGAAAAAGATTTAATTTGATTCAAGTCCAAATTATTTAATGGCACGTATCCGAATAGACATTTTTTGTCAATATATGATACGACTACTATATGATCAGAAGGCACTCTGTCTGAAGAGACTTCCCATTACACGCTGTACACACAGATTAATGCCAGGGGAATTTGACTGTTTTGCTTTTGCCAATGTGTGACATCATTATCGTTTAGTGACGATATTTTGCTTATTGCTTACAGAATACCATTGGTACCCCTTGGAGTAGAGTACCACATTTTAACCCAGCGGTTTTAAATTTTTCTGGTGGAAAATAAGCATTATATAAAACATTTCCATTTTTCTGTATACTGTACATTCGATGTAAATTCCCGTTGATAACAGAGTATCATTGGACACCTTGGAAAACAACTTGTAGTGTCACATGCAATGAAGGAATTGCAACTAGCACTCGATATTGTGCTGATGCAAACAATGCACCGACGTTTCCGAATAACTGCCCTGGCCGAGAAAAGAAGATTAAATCATGCGTAATGCCAAAGTGCATTGGTAATTATGTAAATTTTATTTCTAAATTCAATAGTTTGAATACAGAAATGATTGACTCGTCGAGTTCGATACAGTTTTACCACATCCTAACCCCGTTGGTTTTCAATTTTTTTGGTGGAAAAAAAGAAATGTATAGATATATTTCCATTTTCTCTGTATACTGTACATTCGATGTAAATTTTCATTGATAACAGAGTATCATTGGACACCTTGGATAACAACTTGTAGTGTCACATGCAATGAAGGAATCGCAACTAGCACTCGATATTGTGCTGATGCAAACAATGCTCCGACGTTTCCAAATAACTGCCCGGGCCGAGAAAAGAAGACTAAACCATGCATAAAGCCGAAGTGCATTGGTAATTATGTAAATTTTAGTTCTAAATTCAATATTTTGAAAACAGAAAATGATTGACTCGTCGAGTTCGATACAGTTTTACCACATCCTAACCCCGTTGGTTTTCAATTTTTTTGGTGGAAAAAAAGGAATGTATAGAAATAATCCCATTTTCTCTGTATACTGTACATTCGATGTAAATTTCCGTTGATAACAGAGTATCATTGGACACATTGGAAAACAACTTGTAGTGTAACATGCAATAAAGGAATCGCAACTATCGCTCGATATTGTGCCGATGCAAACAATGCACCGACGTTTCCGAATAACTGCCCAGGCCGAGAAAAGAAGATAAAACCATGCGTAATGCCGAAGTGCATTGGTAATTATGTTAATTTTATTTCTAAATTCAATATTTTGAATCCAGAAAATGATTGTTTCGTCTAGTTTGATACTTTTGTACCACATCCTAACCCCATTGATTTTCAATTTTTTTTTGGTTGAAAATAAGCATTGTATAAAATTATTTCCATTTTCTCTGTATACTGTACATTCGATGTTGATGTTCCGTTGATAATAGAATATCATTGGACTACTTGGGTCTCAACATGCAACGTAGCATGCGGTGAAGGAACTGAAACAAGCTCTCGAGACTGTATGGACGACAAAAACAGTCAATCGAAAGCGGAGAACTGTGTTGGTGAATCCAGGAAAATTAGAAAATGTGTCAAGCCCGACTGTATTGGTAACTTTTATTAACAGTTTCAAACTCAAAATTGAATGCCCTGAGATTACCATTAACATATAGCGACAATCACAAATCAGGCAACCCGGCAATCATGCAAATTAAAAAAGTTGTGGTAGTTTTCATCACTATACAAAATTAATACAAGGAAAATAAAACCGTAGTTGTCTTATATTCCCATTTCAATGTGTAAATTTTTTTCGTACCCTCAGTTTATATTTTCAGTTCATCAAGCAATGAAAAATCTAACTGATATATACTCTTATAAACAATTTTTATCGCAGAAATTGTGCTCACTTTAATATACTTGGTTTCACCGAGCTGTTGTTTTGGCTGTGTATCGAATCTCACAACAACATACATGCTATGATAAAATGATAAATATAAATCTTACTGTTGTTTCTTGCTAATATTCTATTTGTGATGCATCCGATTTAAGTTTCTTATCTTCTGATATCACATATATAATATTAACAGAATATCATTGGACACCCTGGGTCTCAACTTGCAGCGTAACATGTGGTGAAGGAACTGAATCGAGCACTCGGAACTGTGTGGACGATAAAGGCGATCAATCGAAACCGGACAACTGCCCTGGAGAAGACAAACTAATTGGAAAATGTGTCAAATCATACTGCATTGGTATATTGAACAGATTTATTTTTGAGCCCTGGGCATCAAATCGGATCGCAAACCAACATATAAATCTATTACCTCATTGGCGCATTTCGTTCCCTATATATAAAGGTATAACTTCGCCATGTGGTCAAACAGGCTTGTCGCGTAATATCGTACCATATTATACAATTTCATATTAATCGGAATTTTTTTTTATAAAAACCAGTGTTTAGTGAAAGTCCCTAAACTTGAGGTCTGAGTGAGCCAAGTAGAGTCCGGGGTCAATTCAAACACCAAGTTGAGTCTCATTGGCGGTTGTTGATCACGAATCCCACTCAATAGATGACTTGAGTAACTTCGAGTCTTTGTAATTGGTTACTCGAGTTGAGTTAATTACTCGAGCCTCCCTAACACTGATAAAAACGCACGAGGGAATAAAAAGATGCTAAATTTATGCCTCATGAAATTTTTTTTCTCCGTGTTACCGCAAATAAAAATATTTTCCAGAATACCATTGGGGGGAATGGTTCAACGCTTCTGAATGTAGCGCCTCATGTGGAACTGGAGAAATCGAAATAAAAAGAAAATGTCTTGATTCTGACAACGTCGAAGTTCTGGATTCAAGTAAATGTAATCCTGGGAAAGATGTTAAACTTCGCACTTGCAATCTAAAATCATGTCCAGGTGAAATAATTTTCAATAATCATAGTTGGCAGCAAAATTACTCGGTAGATGTTGTAACTGAATTTGCTAAAAGCATCTGTACAGAATAGTAGTTATTTTAAGGTATTTGTTCGCGACAACTGTAGTAGATTTGCGTTTGTGGTGGATTCGTGAGTAACTTATAACGAGTAACAGAGTTTGTCCAAAATATTGCGTGCATATTATCCGGTGTCTCCAAAATGTCGTGTCCCACTTGTCCAACGTGTCCCACTGGTACAAGTGGGACACGTGTACCCACCTAAGAGCAGTATCGATTAGCACTGATCCTATATATGGCCACTTATGTCGCGCGCAAGTACCAACGAGACCTTAGCTGAAGACCGAGTTTCGGGATATCGGTCCATGTAAGACTCGGCGATGAGCTTTCGCGATACTTTTTCTACCTTTGAGTAAATTTGAAATGGATGAGAGTAGTAGTTTTGGAAAAACTTCTTGTAAGTACTAAGTTGGTGTCGTGTTTTCCAAGATCAGATGCTCAAGAAGTGTATTTGAGTCGTGGGTCAATTCATTATCTCACTTGCAACTGTAGTCATGCAACTGTAGCTGTGTGAGGACGCTTATACACTGGTGTTTCAAGAAATTAAAAATATTTTATCAGAATATAAGAAAGATTATTAGATATTTGCTCATCGAAAAAGAACTCGTTTAACCCCCTTATACATATTTCAGAAGAATCCTCAACATCGTACCACTGGGGTCAATGGGGGTCGTGGTCGACTTGTCGTTCTCGTGTAGGACATGGAAATATTTGCAACGGATTTAAATCCTCCAATCGAGACTGTTTAATAGGATCAGAGGTGAAAGATAGTTATGATACCTGTAGTAAACTGGGATCGAGTTCCATCTTTATGCCGGAGACACGGTGTTCCACATGTTGTGTCCTCTTATTACACGCGTGTCCCAGTGTAGCACATTTGCCTCATTTCTTCACTCTTGTCCCACTTCTGTTTTTCTGAGATAGGGTAGATATTATAATCTTTCAGAAAATGGTTGATGTAGCAAGCATATATATGAACTATTATTTACACATACTATGTTCTGGATTAGAATAGATATAAATTTTTAGGTGAATAGTTAGTTAAGTGTATGAAATGACATTCAAGCTATGTTCTGGGTTAGGTTACATAAAATACTTTGATTAGAGTAAGCATATGAAGTTGGGAGATACAAGCAACTGGGACTGTGTATATTTAGGGGATTTTAAAACGACATATCTCGACAATACGACTTCCTTCCAATTTGATTTCCATTATTTAACGAAACAACTTGTATTACTTAAAATCTGGTATTTGCATTTATATAGGACGTCAACACTAGAAGATGCAGAGATGAATATTATGGTGAAGATCATTATCGCGAGTCATCGTGTAGAATGAAAACAAGCTATTGCCCCTAAAAACACTGTTTTATAGTATAATTGCTGTTTTACTATTTGTTTGTTTTTCACGTGAGCAGTCGTTGAAATTTACTTTTTTAACAAATAGTTTGAAGGACTTATCAATTACTAAAAATAGCAAGACGGAACACAGCTCAAGCAAACGGTATATTCAAGTGTAGCTAAGAAAGATGCTTCCCATTTGCTTCCGATTCCTAACTCTAACTCGTAACTGGAAATAAATTGATTTCAACTCCGAGATATTCAACATTTCGACATAAAAATTTAGTCACTCAATAGATTTATGTTTTGTAGTTTTCGTTACAAAAAATCGACACTGGCTTCACACTTGACCGTTCAAAAAAGTTCAAAATTTCGATTCCGGCTCCAGACTGGAAATTCGAAAAATAGGGGCTCAAATATATATATAGACACAAAGACCAAAACGAAGGTATATCAAATTTTTTCCAGTACCGATAGTCTTCCTTATCAATGAGCTTCCGACTTTGCTGACCTCTAGAAAGTCTAGATCGCTGAAATGCGATCGCGGAATCGCCACACGCTGCGCAATTTTTATTTCGATGACGCCATGACACAAAACTTCAAAGTGAAAAACGAATGCTATACAACCTACAGCATTTTTGAAATAAATATTAGTAATAGCGTTCCAGAGACAAGAACAATCTTCAACCACTGACAATTTCAAAGCAATTGTCCCAGTAGTCGAAGAAAGAGAAACGCGATTTTTTACAATGACTAGAAAAAGAATAAAATAACAAAAAAATAAGAACAAGTTAACAAAACTATCCCTGTGTCTATTTCGTGTCTAAAAACACTCCGCTCTGAATCCAATAGTGAAGAACGATTCCGCATTCCCATTTTGGTTATTTGTTATCATTATCAACTGCCTATTACAATTTCTGTTAATCAGAAGTTTAACAATCTCATCATAGAGTTGCAACTTGAGGGAGTACATAATAGCTATTGTAAATTGCGATGTGTTTAACCACTTTCTGTTGATAGTGAATGTTATTTGTCTGAGACCCTAGTTGTTTTTTTTATATCGGAAAGACTGATAACTCATTATTGCCGTTATTAACGAGAATCAGAAAATGTGTGTTTTTTCATTTAGTTTTTTGCTAGTTCGATTTCGATTCCAGTGATGATATTTGAAATTTGAAAAAAAACGGGCTTTTTTTATCGATCACACTAACAACAAGTTCTCAATTTTGAGAAATGTTTCTATGTCGCTACATTAACATGACACGCTTTACACAAATCTAATACGTAACTTTCAAACACCGAATATAATGTCAGCTGCAGTGCATGTTACCCATTTACTGTAGTCTTCTACCCTTTGAAGAACAAGAACGTATTTTCTAATTATCACGCTATTCCAGGACGATGAATTCCACCACTAGCTTCGTTACTTATGCTGATATTAGGGATTTAATTGTTTTTCATTATAATGTAATTCATAGTTCAATGGGCGTTTCCACGACCCTTGACCCCAGAAATTCTTCCTATACCTTACTATTGCAAAATAGGTATTTTGCGGGAGTTTTAGAGAATTGGCACTTACAACTGATTTCCATGATCAAAACCACCATTTTCATCAAATTATATAACCACGTACTTCTGACAGCTGATTTAAACAAAGTTTATCGCAACTTTCAGGAACTAATTTTTGATTACTGCAACTACACTACAGTTCATCGAAAGACATAATGAGGATTACCTTACCTCATTTACAACAAATTTTTGGAAACACACATGAAATCTGACAAAAACCCACAAAAACCACGAAAACGAGGAAATGTTTACCGCAATGCTTGGATATTTGTCTGAGCGAACGAAGTGTCTGGACTGCAGAAATTGTCATCGTTTGCTTTTTGCTGATTGTTACAAAAATAAACAAGGAAATTTATGCTCGAGGAAACATCCATTCGATTGTGCAACGTAAACGTTACAATATATCATTGATTAAACTATAATCTGTTCGAAATCGACTTTACAACGCTTCACCTCGGAATCACGGGCCCCCTTGTTAAATTGATTTCATAGAAATATTTCGAGAAGTAGAATAAACTATAAGCATACTCAATATTCTACTATTTTATCACACAAAACCTACTCATACCTTGAAATATTATTAAAATAATTACAGATAGGTAAGTATGTCAATGTTACGTCATAAACAAATTTACTACAAGAAAACCGATACAATCTACAAATAAATAGAACTCGAATTCAATAGCATAGTGTAAAGACATAAAATCAGCGTATATTGTTGTAATAATTATTTATGCACTTTGACGTAACTGTGGCTGGCATATAAATGCTTCTAATACGCTTATAAATATATTAATATAGAAATAATTTTCTCGACTGCAGGTAATCTGAAATAATATAACAAAGGCAAACAAATATAGGCAATTTGTCATCGTTGATGTTTGCACCTAGGGGATCGGTTCATCTTAATGACAAATTTGAAAAAAATAACTTAAACCTCGTCATAGTCAAGTTTTTTTTATTTACATTGGGAAATGAAATACGGTCAAGTGAATGGTCTGACTCCATAGGAGATTTCAGATGACCAGTCCAACAAATCGTTATCATATACGCCAGGCCTGCCCAACCTTTTTGGTCTCGCGGGACACTTTCACATGACGAAATTCGTTGCGGGCCGCAAACGTTTATACTGAACATTAATACCAGCTAATTCCAAATTTCGGTGTAGGTAATTTACATAATACATAAAAGGCAAGTTCATTAACATGAAATCAATCAAGTTGATAATTGCTTCCTGGTTACTGGTTAGGGTTGGCAAAATATTCGAATATGAAGTCGAATATTAGAATAGCAGTTTACTATTCGAATATCTGGTAACGCGGGGCGTGGACATGACACTCGCGGGCCCCCGAATCAAACAATCAATCATTACACAAGTTGTATACCACAACACAATTGCGTTTTTTTGACGACCACACGAGAACAAATACATCGCGTCAAAATTGAGTGTTATATTTGGTTAGTAGTGTTTTCATCCGTTTACTTTGAGTAGCTATGATATTATCTCAAGGTTTAAGTCGCGGGAATATCAAGTTTATATGGGTCGTTTCGAACATTTAAAACTCCAATACAAGGATTTAATAAGTACTAATATTTAGCAATGCCATTAGATCAATTTTATCAGAATTATTGACGGATACGCAGTTACGACATTTTCTAAATCTTATTTAACACAAACATAACATAAACAAAAATAAATATAAAATTAAAAATGAAAGAACAACGAGTCCCGGGATCAAAGATCAACCAAAGATATTGTTGACTTTTTTTGGCACGTTGGCGATCGGAGTCGACACGAAAGAAAGCAATCAGAAAGAAATTAATTTGCAAATTTAGGCTCCAAATTCATTCCTATAATTGCGCTCAGCGTTTGTCCCCAATGATCGCACAATATCCAAAAATAAATTCCAGAAATAAAAAAAAACCGACGTCGATGTCCACCAGGGTGCAAGACTTGACACATACGTAATAATAAGAACCGGCAATTGAATGTGGATAGATGGCAGGAATAATCACCAAATATACTTAAGCCTAAATATATAACATAGTGAAAATTTTTCTTACAAACTTTATAGGACGGGCCGCAAAAAACAGTTTGGCGGGCCGCGGGTTGGGCAGCCTTGATATACGTCATAATATTCGTCATATTCTTCTTGGTTATATTCGTCATGATATTGATCATGATTTTAATAATCATAATGGCCATATTCTTCATCATATTGGGCACGATATTGGAAGGGATATTGGTAATCATATTGGTCATAATCTTCATAATATTGGTCATGATATTGGCAGGGATATTGGTAATCATATAGGTCAGGGGTGTGCAACCTTTTTTACAGGCGGGCCAAATACAAGTAACTTGGTGAAGCCGCGGGCCGCACCTAGAAATTCTACCTACGAAAGTCTCTGAATACGAAAAATTTGTAGTTTTAATTCGTTAACTCCCTGTTCTTTCTTCTTACCATGTGCACCTTAAATAAGAGGTTTCCGTAATTGGAACGAAATTAATTTGTTCCAATCCCCATTCCGTAAGTACGGACGCTCTTTATCTGAAAAGGCATTAAACCGTTCTAAGTCCACAAAACACGGAGATAATATTTGGCTTGGATAAGCAAAGACTGCGGAAAGTGTGAGGACGGCGGTCGAGGGAGGTGAGCGGAGGCGTTAATAGTTGAGAAAGAACGTAATGTACGAAAATGAGCACACGCAAATGGAATTCAAAATTAGAATTTACTCTTTTCGCAGTTTTATTTTAATTTTTTATTCAGTTTAAACTGTTACGCCATCGTTACGTATCATTGTCTGCTCAACTGAAACTGAGTGAGACCTTTTGCACGTACTCGCAGGAAACGAACGGGCCAAATGTGATGATAGATATTTGATTGGCGTGTGGTCGGGCTTGTACCACGGGCTTTTATTTAAATATATATTGCTTACGACACCATTCGTTGATTCAGTAAAACGTAAATGTAATTACGCGATCATCGTCGTTATTAAATGAGTGAACCTGATTACCAAATTCTGATTCCAAATTGCAAGAAATGATTATATATGCCCTATATTTTGCCCTTATTGCCGAGGCTGCACGAACTATCTCGACAAAATTGAAATATAGGATAAAAATTATAAAAATATTTTCAATCAAAAACATCCTAGACGTGTAATAAGCACTTCAAGTCACATCCTTAAAATCGGCACTTCTTCGCGGGCCGCACAATTTTTATTGGCGGGCCGCATTTGGCCCGCGGGCCGCAGTTTGCACACCCCTGATATAGGTTATCGATTTGGTCTTCATACTGGTCATCATATTGGCCTTCATATTGGTCATCGTATTGGTATTCATATTGGTCATCGTATTGGTCGTCATATTGGTCATCGTATTGGTCTTCGTTTGGATCATTATAATGTTCATCATATTGGTAATTATATTGGTTCGCAGTAATGGTTAAATCTGCAAATAAGGAGTTCAAATCAGCAATTCCAGACTGTCCGCGAACTCGTATACTTTTTCCGTCTGTTTTCGTCGTAAAATATCTTCTATGATGTAGCTTTTCCCCCACGTAGTCAACAACGATTTCTCCTAAATGCCCCCGCAGTTGCAGTTCCTTTAGAACGAAACTAAATTGTCAAAGTTCATAATTTGAGGGGCCGGAGGAAGCCATTTAGTTTAGTCTACGCTCGTGAGAATAATTAAGTGCGAGAGAATTGGACGGACTCCTCGCCATCGTAAAGCGGATCGGTTACGGTTTCGTCCACTATCAAGTCCATGCATCTGAAATAAATAATAACTGACTAACTAATCCCATACCTTTGGCCGTGGTTCGCCATACAATTGAGCTTTCCTCTCCTTCGGAATAAATACGAAACTCATACCCTAGCCACGGTAAGTAAGCCTTATTAACACACACAATACAGCACAGCTTACAAATTCACCTACTTTCATAACGTACAGTCTCCTGTCACCAAAGTCTACCAGCCAAACTGTAAACCTTCATTCTAGGAAAAGATTTAACTGACGATACTCCTCTGGCAACGTCATTAATGGCTTTCTCGATGCTCCCGCCATTTTTGAAGTTTGAGCTTATTGAGTTTTGAGTGTATCGCAGGTTATCAGGACTTATTCTAAGTCTCATTTTTTAAAAATCGGTTCGACAAATATAATGTTACATAAACGGCGAGCATTTCGCCTCCATCGCATAGACAAAACCCTTCGCTTGATTATGAAGCTTAATTTATTTTCGTTGGCAACTCCCCCATTATGTTCTACTACCGATGTATTACCTAGCTTCATTCGCACGAAATGGACCGTAAGAACCATTTTTTAGAACATTCTGTCATCAAATGTATGATTTATTTTAGTAAATGTCTAACACGCTCAAAATACAAAGAATTGAATGGTGCAATTTAAATACTGTACGAAATACACGAAACTTTTTTCTCGAAAACACCCCTCGACCTTGCCCACCACACCCCCTCCGGTATCCTTATCGTAGCGAATGAACGACGAAGACAAATAAAAGAGAAGTGTAGTGTAAATAAAAAGTAAAATAAGGTTATCAGTATACATAATGGCGATATAAATTATACGTCTGTGGCTTCGAGGTCTAGGATTTATTTTTTTTTAAACATTTTCAGGACAGTGATTCCCATAATTAGTTTCGTCACGTATACTGGTATTAGAATTTAGTTGTATTTCATTATAATATATTTCGTAATTCAATTCGAATGTGCAACGTTATAATATATCTAGCGTTAAATTTGTACGAAATCGACTATTCGACGCTTTGCCTTTGAATCACGGACACCTTGTTAAACTGATTTTATAGAAATATCTCAAGAAGTAGAATAAAAGAAGCATGCTCAATATTATCTCACGGAACTGAATCATACCTCAAAATCCCAATCTATGAATTCCAGATGGCAATGTTACGCCATACACAAATGTACTCTACAAAAAAAAAATACATTCCACAAAATAGGCGAACTCAGTTTAATAGTATCGTATAAAAATATACAATATATATATAGATATATATATATATATACACTAAAATAAGCATATAAATTACCGGAACCATATAACTGGTTGTGGGATTCAAAATTTAATAACAGGATCTCCTTTGTGTCGAATTCACTCACAACAGGTATTTGTATTCTACCATGTAAGCTGTCATGAAATGGCACGCTTCACAAATATGAATACATTACTGCAGTGGACGTAACTCATTTGCTGTTGTCGTCTAACGGCTATAATGATAATTGGTTCGCTAATCACAACGATATTCAAGTACGAAAGTTCATGCAAACATTTGCGACATTCCTGATTCCCACCATAACAATACAAAATCCTGCAGAAACAGAATCTAATTTTTATAGGATTTGGATTACCAGTCTAAAATATATCGTCATCAGCTTCGTCATCTGTAAGTGAGAATGCAAATGAGGAGAGCAATATGTCTGCATTAATAGTTCTGAACCCTCCTCTCCGAACATTATTAATTCCTGACCGTCCTCTGCGAACTCGTATACTTTTTCCGTCTGTTTTTGTCGTAAAATATCTTCTATTATGTGGCCTTTCCCACACGTAGTCAAAAACGATTTTGTCTAAATGCCCCCGCCTTTGCAGCTCCTATGCAACGAAAATAAAAACAATTATATTGTAAGTAAGTAATATCAAGGACTTATATAAAAATATTTAGTGATGATTTAGCCTGGTTGCAGACTCACAGCATTTTTGAAACCAGTTGCCAGATTTACAGAATTTTCGCTCGTTTCGTTGTTTATTGAATCCACAACTGAAAAGTCAGCAATAAGTTAACAATCACGTAACCATTGGAATTTATGCCTGCCGCTCAGACAGATATTCAAATTTCAAGCACAGTGCTTCTTTTTGATAGTTTGGCGTGTAAATTTTCAGTTTTTAGTTCTGTTTCCAAGAAATAGTTCAAATCAAATAACCTAATTGTAATTGTGTCTTCTGAAGACCTTTAGTTTACCGTAGTTACAATAACCAAAAATTGATACTGCAAACGCTGCGATAGAATACCCTAAAATTAGCTATCAGTAGCTATAAGCGGCACGTTGTTCATTGTTTTGAAAAAAAAATGATAGGTTTAGACATGGGAGCCAGTTTGTAAGCGCCAACTCTCCAAAACACTCTCAAAATCAACGTTGAAAAGTTTGCAATGATGAAGTATAGGGAGGATCTTTCAGAGGTCAAGGATTGGGGAAACTTCCATATAATACAGTATAACAATACATAAACGATAACATCACACACAATAAAGCACAACTTACAAATTTACTTACTTTCATAACGTACAGTCTCCTGTTGTTTCGACACCACAAGCTACCAGCAAAACTGTAAACTTCCATTCGAGGAAAATCAAGAACTGATAATACCCCGGCAACAACATTATTGATGGCTTCTTCGATACTTCCGCCATTTTTGAAATTGGAACTTATTGAATCTTGCGTGTATCGCAGTTTATCTGGAGTTGTTTTACCACTAACCTTTTTCATTATTGAAAAATCGATTTAACAAATATAATAAATTTGTATAAACTAAATGCATTACGCCTATGTGACCAGTACAATACCTAAGTTTCGTCTTCCGTCTCATTATAAAGATTCACTCTTTCTATTTCCCCTTATAGGAAACATGGTAATTCCCCATAATCTACCCGTGTTCTTCACCCTTAAAATGGGTTACCTATCTTCAATCGCACGAAACGAACCACCAGAACCATGTTTCAAAACTTTCTGTCGTCAAATTTATGTTTTATTTTAGTAAATGTATAACAAGATCAATCAAAGTACAATGTTGCAATATAGGCCACTGTACATAATACATAAAACTTTCGTCTCGAAAACGCACTCCCCCAACCTCCAATCCCCGTTCAGACTGTGTATCGAACAAACCAAAATAACAGAGATGGTAAATATAAGAGAGTGCAGAATAAATACAAAGTGGGATGACGTCACTGAAGCCCAGAACGACGATGTATATGTTTGATGCTTTTAGGCCAATGATTTAAATGTATAAATGTAATACGGGTTTTTATTGGTCAAGTCAAATATATGACATAGACTTTTTCACATTCATGACCCGTCATTTATAAAGAGAGCAACACTGGCCATTACGTTGAGAACATTTATAGACTGTAAAACACGCCACTCTTCCATTTTTTTGTTTGCAGAGTGATGGGTAATCAGTAGTTTATTTTATCCACCATACATGAAATACCATACACTAATCAATACAGTATGTAAAAAGAGGCGAAACTGGTAAGCCGAGGTGAAAAGGAGTCGCGAGAAATCAGGACCGGTTATCGAGCAGCGACACCCGTGAAAAAAACCTAACAGTAATTGATAATAGCATTAAAAAAGTAGAAAAACCAGCAAAAGAATATAAGAAGAAATTACAATCGGGGCGACTTGATTTTCCAGGAGGCGTCCGATACACAGAAACAAATAACGACTCCTAGCACCGATGTTCAAGTTACCATGGAAACAGCAGCAAGAGTGCAAGGCGACGACAAAGTATTACTCATTGCCGTTACTGCGTTGCTCATAATGGATCGTGACGCCGGTGGTTGCCGGTGGCCGGTGGGCTACTAACAGGAGTTGAAGGCTTGAATTGTGTAAATGGTTTAGCTTTGAATAAACCCTATCAGATTCAAGTTTCACTTTGCAGTCGTTATATGTGCCCTTACTTATGAATGATTTGAAATATATCACCGTAGCACGCCCTTAACGGAACAGTAAAAGTTCTGATTTAACCTTAAAAACAAAGTATGGTAATTTGAATTAAATAAAAATTCTTTACCGTAATAAAACCTTTATTTTATGAAACAATTTTACGAAGGCTCGTGAGCTACGTTTCATGATTTTTCTTGCCTTTTCTTACTCAAAACGTCTCGCTGATATATCGAATAAACATTCTTGTTAATATCTTATGACTTTGGTGTAGGTACTAACTTGGCGATAAAGTTACGCGATCAAAGTTAGGGGAATGCGGAAATGTTCTTCGATATTGAATTCGGAGCGGAGTGTTTTTGGACACGAAATGGACGTATGGATCGTTTTGTTAGATTGATGTTGGTATAGTATTTTTTTTGTGGTACTCCCGAAGTATATAAAAACAAGATGGCGGACACCGGAACGTAGTATGTGTACCAGGTTAAGGTTAGGTCAAAAATTTATTCCCAATTTTTGTTATTTCAGTTCTATTACGAGTTCGGGGACTAGTCAAGTGACTCCCGTAGTATTCGTACCTGAAATTATGGCCTAACCCTAACTTGGTACATATACTACGTTCCGGTGTCCGTCATCTTGGGCTCACATACTTAGGGAGTACCCTTTTTCTTGTCCTTATGAAAAATCTCTTTTATCTTTCTTAACTACTGGACCAATTGCTTTGCAATTGTCAGCAGTTTAAGATTGGTATTGTTTCTAGAAGCAGTCGGCTCTATGGCATTCGTTTTTCACTTTGAAGTTTTGTGTTATGACGTTATCGAAATAAAAATTGTGCACAGTGTGGCGATTCCCCGGTCGCATTTCAGCAGAGTTTTTTGGTAAGGAAGACTATCGGTACTGTAGAAGATTTAGTATAACTTCGTTTTGGTCTTTGTGTCTATATATTTGAGCATTACTCTCTTCCATCCAAATTCCCAGTCTGGAGCCGGAATCGAAATTTTGTCGATTTTTTTTTCAACAAAAACTAACAAACATAAATCTCTTGAGCGACTAAAATTTCATGATGAAATGTTAAATATATCAGAGTTGAAATCAATTTATTTTCAGCTGCGAGTTAGAGTTAAGAATCGGAAGCAAATGGGAAGTATCTACTTTTTAAGCTACACCTATATACACGTTGCTTGGACTGTGTTCCGTCCTGCTATTTTTAGTAATTGATGAGTTCATTTATCTATTAACAAAAAGTAGAACAGCAATTATATTAAAAAATAGTGTTTTCTGTGGGCATTTGCTTGTTTGTCAGATGTACACAGAATTAAAATGGTTTGAAAGTCATATTGGCGGACCGTTTAGTCTAGCATCAAAACATCTGGAAGCAGATGAATATACTCCAATGCTTTAATTTAAGCCATAATATATATCAACACAAACAGCCAAAAGTAGAAAACTCTAATGTCACTATGTCGATAGTGGAACCACTCGGTAAAGTCATCACGCAAAGTTCAAACACTTTTTACTCACAGAGGGTTAGATTTGCTAAGTACAATATATATCAGAGTAATATCCGTGTAATATCAGTAAGTATGACCGTGAAACGAACATATTCTAGAACTGTAATATTTTCAAGGACAATTGCTGGTTTCCATCATACACGAGGACTCGCGATAAAAATCTTCACCGGGATATTCACCACTGCATCTTCGAGGGTTGACGTCCTATTTAAATACAAATACCAGATTTTAAGTAATACAAATTGTCTCGTTAAATGACAGCATTAATGTCATCAAATTGGAAAGAAGTCGTATTTAGAGTTATGTCTCTCGGAGAATCCTAAAAATACAGTGTCCCGAATGCATGTATCTCACTTCATATGCTTGCTCTGATCAAAGTATTTTATGTATCTCAACCCAGAACATAGCATGAATGTCACCTCATATGCTCAACTAAACTATTTGACTAAAGTTTTATATCTTTTCTTATCCAGAACATAGTATGTTAATAGTTCACATATATGCTTACTTCAACCATTTGCTTAAAGTAATATATCTACCCCAGAACAACAACAGGAGTGGGACAAGTGTGCAGAAATGGTGCAAAAGTGCTACAATGGCACACGCGTGTGTGTAATAAGAGAACACAACATTTGAGATACCCAGCCTCCTGCATAATAGATGGATATAAGTATCCCAGATAAATGAAATATTTGATTTTAGAGCCACACCAACCCAATCCCATTTTAATACAGGTTTCATAACTATATTTGTGGCGCTCCAGAAGTTTGTATGCATACCAATATAGAGGTAACTAATTTTGTCCACCTACCGGTACTTTACATTAAGTAGTTTAAGGGTACTAAAACCTATGGGCTTATATTCACTTGGCTAACACACACAGTCTCCGAACTCGTAATAGATCTAAAATAAGGAAAATCAGAATAAAATTATGGCCTAACCCTATCCTGGTACACACACTACGGTAGTACGCTATATTTACCTTTGATCCCATCAAACAGTCCCGAGTGGACGATTTAAATCCGTTGCAAATAGTTACACCTCCCATACGAAAACGACAGGTCGACCATGACCCCCATTTACCCCAGTGGTACGATGTTGAGGATTCTTCTGAAATATGAGGAATACTGGGTTGAATAACTTCATTTTGGTACTGTTTTCTCTGAGCAAATATCTAAATATCTTTCTTCTTTTCTGGGGAATACATTTTTGATTTTTAATTTATTGAAACATCAGTGAATTAGCGTCATTGCACAGCTAATGTTGCATGACTAAGAAAAATAATGGATTACCCAACGACTCAAATAAACTTCATGAGTATACTTACTTGATATTAATGGACATGGTGAAGTACAAACATCTTTCTCAGTGGATTTTCCATGGCCACAGGATAACACATCTTCAGCGGGGTTTCCATCTTGATCAGTACAATTTCTTGATTTAGTTAAAACACCAGTTCCACATGTGACGCTGCAACTCGTCTTCCATTCACTCCATTTGTAAACTACGTGTTGTAAGGTAAAGCTTGTTTTAGAAAAACTAGGCTGACTCAATTTCTCGTCCTAACAACGAATAGATTCGAGTCGGCACCGAATTTTTCAAATCTCCCCAGTCGACTCAAAAGTTGAAATACCATAATTCATCGAATATGTAAAAAATACTTTAATTATTTCCATGTCCGGGGGTAAATGAAGATTATATGCACGCAAAAACGTTTATTACTTGTGATGCATATTTTAGACAAACTTCGTTACTCGTTAACAAATACTCACAAGACCACCAATAACCCAAATATACTGCACTTGTTGCGAACCAATACCTTAAAATAACTACTATTATGTACAGATGCTTCTAGCAAATTCAGTTACAACCTTCTTCCAAGTAATTTTGCTGCCAATCGGGATTATTGAGAATGAACTCACCTGGACAGGGTTTTAGATTGCAAGTGCGAAGTTTAACATATTTCCCGGGATTACATTTACTTGTATCAAGAACTTCCACGTTGTCAGAATCAACTAATTTTCTTTTCATTTCGATTTCTCCAGTTCCACATGAGGCGCTACATTCAGAAACATTGAACCATTCTCCCCAATGGTATTCTGGAAAATATTTTTTATTTGCGGTAACACGAAGAAAAGAATTTTCAGAGGCATAAAATTTTGAATCTTTTATTCACAAATCTTTATTAATTTTTATCAGTGTTACTGATAAATTACTTAAGTCATCTATTCATTCTATTGAGTGGGATTCGTGATTAACTAACCGCCAGTGAGACTCAACTTGGTGTTTGAATTGACCCCGGACTCTACTTGACTCACTCACGACCTTAGGTTTAAGGACTTTCACTAAACACTGGTTTTCATAAAAATATCCAATTAATATGAAATTAGGTGATAAGGTACGATATTACTACGATGATATATATGCAGGAAGAGCCGACAAGCCAGTTTCATCACGTGGCGAAGTTCGGCCTTTCGCTCGCTACCTTTATATGTGGCACGGAAAGAGCTAACGTGGGATATGGTGGTTTGCGATCCGATTTGATGCCAAGAGCTCAAAAATAAATCTGTTCAATATACCGATGCAGTCTGGTTTGACACATTTTCCAATTTTCTTGTCTTCTCCAGGGCAGTCGTCAGGTTTCGATGGATCGCCTTTGTCGTCCACACATTTCCGAGTGCTCGTTTCAGTTCCTTCACCACATGTTACGCTGCAAGTTGAGACCCAAGGTGTCCAATCATATTCTGTTATTAAGATAAAGAGCAAATTTGGATAAGTAGGATAATATAGGATTGCCACAAAATAAGGTTGCAAGACAACAAAACTTCGGACATTACTGAAGGAAAAGACTATTGATGACGTGCTAACAAATAAAATATAGATCAATAACGAAAAGTAAAGCTCGAATATATAGACAAGAAAGGGTAATGTCTTAAAAAATATTCCGATTAATTAAAATAAAACCTCGAAATTGTGGGTAAAATATAGGATCGTGTAAAGCTAGTATGTACCCTGTAATTAATACTTTTTTCATTTACAACTACTGAAAATCTGATTTGTTTGTTTGATTCCAACTTCAGCTACAAACTTTGAAAAAAACTTTGGCGTATGCAAGCCGACTTTGGTATACTGTTAAGAATGATCAGAACACAATTTTCAGTTCGATATTCCAGAATCCGGGCAATTCAAATTTTTGATTCAAATTCCCAACTCGAGAAGTTTACAAATACGATTTAGGCTCCGGTGAAACACGCTAAACTCCGCACAGATGATTTCAGTCGATATAAACATCATGTTCAATGCAACGTAGTAATTAAATGCTTGTTTGCAGTTTTATAATCATCATTACAGTATAGGCGGAATTAAGTAAAGTATATGGGTGGAAAAAATGATTACAATAGTTACCAATGCAGTTCGGTTTGACACATTTTCCAATTTTCTTGGATTTACCAACGCAGTTGTCAGGTTTCGACGGATTGTTTTTATCGTCCACACAGGTACGAGTGCCCGCTTCAGTTCCTTTTCCACATGTTACGCTGCAAGTTGAGACCCAAGGTGTCCAATGATATTCTGTTAGAAACGAAAATGTATATGAAAAATAAGATTGATGACTAAAATCAGATACAGTGCAAAATGAATTAGAATCTGTCAGACCTCTCTATTGTGTGCAGTTTTTGCGTTAAATTTAAGTGTTCCAAAAGTACTTCCATATTGTAGTGAAACGGAATTAAATTTATTTGAAGACAGTAACGTTATTATTGGCCCTATTCTAATTTTGTATATTGATAAAATGATTACATCGGCGTTAAGACCAACAACTTCTCTTTAATTTTTAATTGGCTCTATAGCAGCCGAATAGCTCGCTTAAGAAGAGGGTATTGAAATGGCGATTTATATATTTATTTGATTGCTATTCTTATTCAAAAATGAATTCCGTCTACCAAAATTACCAATGCAGTTCGCTTCGACACATTTTCCAATTTTCTTGGATTTACCAACGCAGTTGTCAGGTTTCGACGGATTGTTTTTATCGTCCACACAGGTACGAGTGCCCGCTTCAGTTCCTTTTCCACATGTTACGCTGCAAGTTGAGACCCAAGGTGTCCAATGATATTCTGTTAGAAACGAAAATGTATATGAAAAATAAGATTGATGACTAAAATCAGATACAGTGCAAAATGAATTAGAATCTGTCAGACCTCTCTACTGTGTGCAGTTTTTGCGTTAAAATTAAGTGTTCCAAAAGTACTTTCATATTGTAGTGAAACGGAATTAAATTTATTTGAAGACAGTAACGTTATTATTGGCCCTATTCTAATTTTGTATATTGATAAAATGATTACATCGGTGTTAAGACCAACAACTTCTCTTTAATTTTTACTTGGCTCTATAGCAGCCGAATAGCTCGCTTAAGAAGAGGGTATTGAAATGGCGATTTATATATTTATTTGATTGCTATTCTTATTCAAAAATGAATTCCGTCTACCAAAATTACCAATGCAGTTCGCTTCGACACATTTTCCAATTTTTTTGTATTCACCAACACAGTTGTCGGCCTTAGATGGCTTGTTTTTGTCGTCCACACAGTTCCGAGTGCTTGTTTCGGTTCCTTCACCACATGTTACGCTGCAAGTTGAGACCCAAGGTGTCCAATGATATTCTGTTATCAACGGAAATGTATATGGAAAATAAGATTGATGACTAAAATCAGATAGTGCAAAATGAATGAAAATCTGTTAGACCTTTCCATTGTGTGCAGTTTTTTGCGTTTAAATAAAGTGTGCAAAAATTATTTTCACATCGTAGTAAAACAGAATTAACTTTATTTAAAGACAGTAACGTTATTGTTCACAAGTTACCAATACAGTCGGGTTTGATACATTTTCTAGTTTTCCTGGATTCACCAACACAGTTCTCCGGTTTCGATGGATTGTTATTGTCGTCCACACATTTCCGAGTGGTCGTTTCAGTTCCCTCACCGCATGTTACGTTGCAGGTTGAGACCCAAGGAGTCCAATTATATTCTGTTATCAACGGAAATGTAGGTTCATCGAATGTACAGTATACAGCGAAAATTGAAATATTTTTTACAATGTTTATTTACTACCAAAAAAAAATTGAAAACCGCTAGTTTAAAATGTGGTACAACTGTATCAAACTAGAATAGACAATCATTTTCTATATTGAAAATATTAAATTTAGAAATAAAATTTACATAATTACCAATGCACTTTGGCATTACACATGGTTCATACTTCTTTTCTTGACCCGGGCAGTTCTTGGGAAACGTCGGTGCATTGTTTGCATCAGCACAATATCGAGTGCTAGTTGCAACTCCTTCATTACATGTTACACTGCAAGTTGTTTTCCAGGGAGACCAATGGTATTCTGTTAGCAATGAATAACAATCTCTGTGATAAAAATTATTTACTACTATAAAGTTTTTTGGACTTTTTCTTGCGTGATTTATTGTAATATATGAACTGAGGGAAATATATCGAAATATATTTTCACATTGAATGCGTTTTTTTTTTCATTATTTTAATTTTGTGTGTTGATAAACAGATTACATCAGTGCTAAATCACCACCTTTCTAATTTAGTTTTATTTGTCTACATGATATCTCAATATCCCTTTCGGGTGGACAATTCAAATGGCGTTTGTCAAAACACAATATGTTAATGTCGATTCTTAGAGCAGTCAACTTTGCATAATGAGTTATGACCTCTAATATTCAAAAATTAAAACTGTTTATGAAAATTACCAATACAGTCTGGTTTGACACATTTTTTAATTTCCTTTTCTTCGCCAGTGCTGTTTTCCGGTTCCAATGGATTGTTATAAACGTCCTCACAGTTTTGAGTGCTCGTTTCAGTTACTTCGCCACATACTGTGCTGCAGATTGGGGACGAAGGAACCCAACGAGATTCTGTAATCAACGGAAATGTACATCGAATGTAGAGTATAAATAAGAATATGGAAATAATTTTACACAATGCTTCTTTTCCACCAAGAATATTGCAACCCACTGGGGTTAGAATGTGTTACAATGGTATCAAATTAGACGAGACATTCATTTCCTATATTTAGAATATTGAATTTAGAAATAAAATTAACATAATTACCTCCGTGATGTTCTGGGCCGGGGCAGTTATTCGGAAACGTGGGTGCATCGTTTGCTCCAGCACAATATCGAGTGATAGTTTCAAAGAATTCACATGTTACATTAACATAACATGTTAGTCTACAAGTTGTTTTCCAAGGTGTCCAATGATATTCTGGTATTAACGGAAATTAAGATCGAATGTACAGTATACAGAATAAATGGAATTTTTTTTATATAATGCTTATTTTCCACCAAAAAAAGTAAAACCACTGGGTTAAAATGTGGTACACTACAAGTTGTATTCCAAGGAGACCAATGGTATTCTGTAAGCAATAAGTAATATCGTCACTAAACGATGATAATGTCACAAATATGGCAAAAACAAAACAGCCAAATACCACTGGCATTAATCTGTGTGTACAGCATGTAATGGGAAGTCTCGTCAAACAGGTTGCCTTCTGAGTTCTGATATCTAGTCGTATCAGATATTGACAAAGTTCTGCGGAATTATTACACTTTAGTTTAATTTGTGTCCTACAAAACCATATATGTGCAGAATTCTCCTGATAATAGTATCACTGTCAACAAATTTCATGTTTAAAATGAAAAATATGAAAGCGAAACAAAACGGAGCTAGCATTTATATGTCTTTATTATATAAAATTATGATACTTTCTTGTTTTAAGTATGTATGGCTCACATAGCATTTTTACAGGACAGTGTCTATTCGAATGCGTGGCATTAAATAATTTATGCTTGAATCAAATCAAGTAATTTATATATCCGTTAACATACCAACGCAAGGTGAGTTTTCACACGGAATATATCGTATGGAAATTCCCTCCCGTTTTGTTGGAGGTCCGTCATCTTTGCCTAGACAAGTTCTAGTCACTGTTCTTTGTCCTCTACCACATGTCACACTGCATTTATTTCTTTTCCATTTGGAACATTCAAAACGTAATCCTGAATAAACAAACACAAGAATAAACAAAACACGACAGTGATGCCCCCCCATTTTTTGATGCTAAATTTCTTCTACAAAAAAGCAACAGCGACGTTTTACTGTCGCGCATCGTGGTTTTGCGGTCGAAACGATATTATTCTGTGCGTTATCAAGGTAGCGCAATTAACACCGCCAGACTGTTTCGTCTTTACGATATGTTATCTTTTTTAGTTGGCCCTGATAATGATAAATAAGAATGTGTAATTGTTGATTGCAATTCGGTAAGGCGTATATTCCTTTCTCTCCATGAAACGAATTCAACCGCCGTTGTGAGCGCTCATAAGGAGAGAAGGGTTATATAAGATTATTACCGGGTTTTCTCTTCCCGACTCAATCACTTTTATAAATACAAATCACAGCGCATTCAAAAACAAAATAGAATTTATTAACATTAATTTACAACGAGTTTCGAGTAAGAATTTACATACGGCTATCGCTAGCAGGCAGAAACGATAAATATGATTACTCTTGAGGTATGTTTTTTTTTTAGTTTCCTTTCTGCGCCCATCATATTTTTCAATTTCTAATTTTGCATAAATCGCGTCAACACCGTTTTTGTAAATTTAGAAACGTCAAACCAGATAAGTAAGACAGGTGAATAGTGTATTCTATGGAAATTTTTTCGGTATTGGGGAGACAAATTATTTTGAGGGACGCGTTTTACATGTAAATGCCCGAATCCGTTTCAAGTCCACACAAGCTCGGACATAATATTTGTACGAATTATAATACTGGTTTTAAAACCCGTAACAAATACATGTTTGAAATAGATAACTGTATAATGAATAGAAAGGTACACATGGAAGAAAGGAAGAAAAGAGAAATAACGAAAAAAACTTACGAACGGTATGTTTGATTACCTTTGTTACCATCGTCATCATCAAATGAATAAACCGGATTCCCAAATTTCCATCCACCAATGATGGAGAATTAAGACCGTAAAACGAGTTTTTTTATTCGATTCAGCGCTGATTTAAATATTTCATGTCGGCTGTTATGATTTTATTTTCGCTTACAAATTAATACCTAAATAACATCTAAGAGATTTTATAGGCTGAAAATTGCAAGAAATATAAAAAATCCCGGTATGTTCAGTCACTAACGATACTGAAGATAAAAGCAATGACTTAAGTCACAATTTGCTTTTGGATTTATTGCCGAGAACGCACAAACTATCTGGACTAAATTGAAATTTTATGATAATAATTGTAAAATGTTTTCAATCAAAAACATCCTCGACGTCTTATTAAGCACTTCAAGCGGGCGCTTATTGAAATCCTTTCATGTCGGCTGTACGTTAGCCTAAGCAATATTTTTACGTAAATAATTTTTGCAAGTTGGATATTTCGTATCTTCTAGAGCATTTCGTAGGTAGAAATGGAACTGTATCGCATCCCCGTTCAGTAATGATAATATTGTTCGCTTAAAATTGAAACTGTAATTTACAAACTGTGATACAAATCCTACACAGAAGATAAAAATCGGAATAAAATTAATTTGTGTTGTGAATGCACTCCCTATTAGTTGTCTTTAACATCTTCGCCGATGTGAACTTACAATTCTGCCTGAAATATAAAAACCAAACTACGATATCCACCGTTGCGTGAGAATTAATATTTACTAGTGAATAAAAAAGTTCTTTAACTTTAGTATAGTTCACCAACATTAATTGGTATGTTAGCCGCTGAAACGACAGCCGTGACAAAAAATTTACTGCAGCCTTCGGTTCCGACAAAATTATGAAATAAAAACGCCGCACTGTCACCGAGTTTTCAGCCTTCATAGTAAATTCCGAACAAGAATATTTATTGTAACGGCGATCTTTCGGCGGTCGACATCCCAATTAATGTTATTAAAATTTCACATTTCGTGCATTTGATCGGCGCTACATGCGAGCATGTTTTGTACATATAAACGCTACTAACATCAGCGAGGTATAGTTCTCTCTGAAATTATTTTTCTGCGTCAGGCAAAGAGAGGCGGTCTACACGCAACTGTAGAATTTCGTTATAATCGACGCATACTTTTTAGTTTATTAAACGCATTACGTCGTCGTGAATTGCACTTTTGGTGCATTGTTTTAATTTCACCGTAACCCTGTTGGAAAAATCCTGGCTGCGCTCCTATAAGTACGGGTATGCATTATGTCACAGTAGACTACCGCCACAAGGTTCGCAATTTATAATTTTGATGTCTCCATCGCTCACAACTCGCATGGTGCTAGGTTCAAAGGTGTTCCCTTAAGAAAGAAATTTCAGTACCTCTCATTTTTCTTGTCAACAACGAACATTTATATTTTTTGTGCGAGGTTTTTCATGCAAAACAGTTTTATGGACTTTGATTTGATTACGTTCTGGATGGTATAGCCGCAGTCAAGTCATGTAGAAACAGATGAAGTTTCAAATCTTACAATTTCATCTACTATATAAAAAAGATAATGCGAAACGTCCATCCAAAATATATTTACCTCTTATCGTTCTTCCGATCCACGTGATAAAATCGCTGACTCTTGTGTAAATACCCGGTTTATTTTTCTTCCCACACTCAGCTGGTCCACTGCTTGTTATTCCATGTACAATGTATTCTCCGTTTTTCTCACACATGAGTGGTCCGCCGCTGTCACCATAGCATGTATCTTTCTTCCCTTCAAGATGGCTGTGTAAGACGAAGTACAAACTAATATTAGAGAAAGTAATAATTATGCGTTGACCGTCTATTTTAGACCAAAAAACGTAACAGTGGCAATTTGTTTGGTTGAACAAGTGCCGGTCAACTAAAGTTTTTCCACGTTCATGTGATTATTGTTAAAATTATAATATTCCATTTTGTTAATTTCTGGCAACTCCGCATGTTAATTTCATGCTTCACTGATTCTTTGTCTGTCTTGTCCTTGCTTTAATAAAAGCTTGTGGCGGTTGGCTAGGTTGCTGCCCAAGGTAGTATATGTCTGACATAATCATGTTTACGAAGAGGTATTAGTCAAATTAACAATTATCTTTTTGCCTAGATAAATTGTGATATAATATCTAGGTTACTCGATTTGACGCTGCCGTTCAAATTTAGTTTTAGGTCCCGCGCACATTACCCTCTTAACGTTGTTATAAATTGGGCTATGACAAACCGTACAAATGAGTATAGGGGGAACGAAAGTGTGATCATATTAATATTGAGCTTAGATGAAAAACGACTGACCGTTATCATTAAATTTAGTTTTAGTCGGTTTAATTAAGCTGTTCCAAAAGAGGCGGGTAGTCAACCTACTGCAGTACTGATACCGACTATGTGTTATACAGATGTTATTTGATCAGAACATACTAAGCATGAAATCGATAAGCAATACTTTAGAGTTTAGATAAGTTGACATCTCTGTTTTTTGCGTCAGTGACCGATCGTAAGTTGATACTCTTTCCAATTTCAGTTGGGTATCTATTTTTCAGATAACCAGAGTACTGTCTCAACCCGCGCTGTATAAAGCCTAGAAAGTCTGTTAAAAGAATCATTATCAATTAGGTAGTGCTTAAACTAGTTGCTAGTAGTCTGTATTTACCCCGCACAAAAATGACTTTCAGTGTATGAACCATCCAGTCCGGGAGTATGATGCATTTTTTTACAGGCTTCATCTGTAAATATATTCACGTCTACTTCTTGCAACACATCTGGAATTGATTCTGAAAAGACACAAACGTTTATACTGAGTAACATTTAATGTTGTATCTTCATATGGAAGAATAACTTACAGTATTATTGAAACTCAGTAAAGAGATAATATTTTAGAAAAATGATCGAGCTTGAGACATGAAGTATAGTATGTTTAATTTATTATCTCCAATTCTGTATGTTCTATGGCGTTCCATCGGAAATTATTGTCGTAAGTATAAGAGACATATAGTTGAATAGATGGACATGAAGGGCATGCATTAGCACCGATACGACGAAGCTTTTACTGTGAGTTTATTAAAAAATCGGCGGAAAATTATGCCTGAGGTGACCAAGCGTGACGGAATGATAATGCGTTCTCAGAGCGGAAATACCCATTGGACAAGGTAGTCTGAAGCTCGGGGACCTCGACATTCAATTTTCACAAGTATTGCTAATTTTTAGGACGTTTTTGAGTTGTATAAAATCCTGTTCCCAGAATAAACCCGATTCGAAATTTTATAAACCGATATTTGTATAATTTCTTAATCAGGCAATTATTTTGGTTACATATCGCACCATGGGACTCCGCGGAAACTTGAAAAAAATCATTCTACAAATCTTTTCAATATTCAAGTACTTGAAATGTTCGATCGATTGGTCCTTTAGTTGCATGGAAAGCGGTTTTTGCCACAAATAAAACGAGAATATCAGTTGGAAACCGAAGACTTATCGATTGACAGTTAGGAGATCCCCCAAAACAGAAACTGCAGTTTCGATTCATCCGCTCTTGTAACTTGCGCACTGCGCATCGCACACACACACTCGGCGGGTCTCAAAATTCTCTCGCTTTACAAAGATCTAGATCACTATATCAATAATTGATTGATAACTCGCTAATTATACGACATAATTCGCCCAAAATCAATAGGCTTCTGGTCCGAGATAAGATGAATGCATATGCAAAATCTGGAGCAGATTCAATCTCGCTTTCGTGAGATATCGCGTGCATCTAACAGACATACAGACAAATACCTATCAACATACTTATGAGTAATGACTGAAACGACACTTCATGTCAAGAAAGCAGTCATCTGTGTCTTCTAAGGATATCTGGCGTGTACCAGTTACATTATTTATCAATAAAATGGCCGCAGACGTCGGTGATTTGATCGTATTATGTAAACGCTGCAGGACAAGGATGCCAGTACTGTTAAACTGCTTATCGATGTGGCAATACTCTTTGTTTATGAGTGAAATAATGGAATGGTTTTGCACTCTGTGTGATTCGCGGGCAACGTTTAGCCAGTAAGGTATCTCTGGTGTAGATTTTTGTATAAAACCTAAATAGACTATAATTACCTATACTCCCATTCTTTGCTGTTGCTCCCCAGCCCGTAACTACACATGACTTTCCTGCCAACATTGTTTTATTGCTTTTAGGAAGAAATATGGGTTCGATATGGTGCCTCCAGCCTGTATTTACCGGTGTTGGGAGTTTCATTAGTGATATGTCGTTCAGATATTCCATTTTGTCGAAATCTGGAACAGAAAATGCTTTTTGAAATAACGATGCTAAGATGGCGCATGAAAGCAAATACCGAACTAATCTAATTATTCCATAGCCGTTATGCGCATTACGTACATTGCCGAGTCATTTGGTGTTGGGGTTTTCAGCAAATGTTACTCGTATTGGCAAAATTTACCAGCAAAAAAATTTAATTGTTAAAAGCGTCATATACTTTTATGATGCCCGTGGTATCAAAATATGGATCTTCTGTGAAGCGCTCAAATTACGATTTGCATAAACAAAGATGTATTGTGAACGCAGGTCATGAGTTATTTTAAAAGTCTGACTAAATGTTAATTTCAAAATTGAAAATAATGTTTGAAAACAAGAGAGCAATGCTCAAATTCGTGGGCACGAAGACCAAATGAAGTAGTATTAAATCTATAACGGTACCGAGATCTCATCAAAGGACTTCCGACTTCGCTGAGCATCATATCGCTGAAATGCGATCGCGAACCATCGCACGTTGCATTGTTTTATGGCGTCATCGCACAAAACTTCATGGGGAAAAACGAATCGCATATAACTCACAGAAATATATATAAAATAATAGCCTTCTAGCGACAACAACAATCTTTAACCATCAAAAATTCTAAAGCAATTTGTCCAGTAGTTTAAGAGAAAAGCCTGTTTTTCAACAACATAGTACCAAAATGATCCATTGGCCAACTTCGTAATTCTTTCAAATTCAATTTTAAAATAAATATTACCTTCGTGCACGTGAACAATGGATGCCCTTGTAAAACTAACACCCCTGTTATCAATCCTGATTCTGTTTATTGTTCCCAACGTAATTCTTTGAATATTCCAATTGTTTCTAATAAAAGTAATGTTAATTAATCACACAACCAAATTAATTGAGCATTCGTTCGTAGTCCAATAGTAAAATACCCAACCCGGGGAATCCTTATGAGTTAAACAGAGTATATTGGTAGTGAGTGGCAAATGGACTTCATCGTTTGAAAGCATTTCAGTTGCTGATAAATTGATACAAAATACCACCCGCACAAGTTTACACTCGTGTGAAGTTTATGAGCTTTCGAAACCCCAAAATAAAGCTAGTTGCCAGATTCCGCTAAACGTCTAAATCATAATAAACAATATACCGCCACGACATCCAGGGAACGGGTTTGCGTGAACTCTATGACACCCCGAAGTAGTACTCACCCGACACGATCTAAAAAGCAATGCGCCGCAGTGAGCACCCATGAGGGTGTTATCAAGGTACCTCCACATTGCCGCCATTTTCCATTATATTCAGTCATGATGAGAACTTGCCAAGGCCACCTTCCCGGTTCTGACGGTGACCCACTAGTAATCCCATCCTCGGTCCAACAGAACATTTCGCTCCTACGCCCACATAATCTACTTTGTACTATCGACCCATTTTTTTTGTCTCGGCATTTTCTTGTTCGATAGTATGCACTAAATCTTCGATGCGTACACGAACTCCAAGGTGTCCATGTCAAATCTGCATGTAGAAGTTACTCAATTATAACTTTGGGTTATAACAAATAATGAAGCCCACCAGTAGCACATTTTTGTGTAATTAAACAAGATTTGTGCTAGTTTGGGTTACATAAATATATTCTGGCAAAATAAATAACATTAATAGTCATTTCGAATTTTTATAACGTTTTGATATGCATTTCAGTTTCACGGTCCTCCAGCATTTGGTACAAGTCCTTAAACTCCGAGGCACAGATCATCTTAGTCAAGAATCCCAGCAAGTTGGCACGGCTCTAATGTTGAAGAGGTAAACCAAACATTACATTTCACCAACTGAAGTTATTATGTTGCGGAAAAGATTGGAGAAACTAATCAGAGAAAAAGTGTTTACAGTTAGTCTATTGTTCAACCGCGGCGTTTGGAATACGCTTACCATTGCACCTCTGATTGCCTGCGCGGATTGGTAGGTTAGGGGGAAATTATGTACGAAGAGATTGCTGGACTCTCTCTCCTCCAGCATTTAGTACAAGTCCTTAAACTCCGAGGCACAGATAATCTTAGTCAAGAGTCCCAGCAAGTTGGCACGGCTCTAATGTTGAAGAGGTAAACCAAATATTACATTTCACCAACTGAAGTTATTATGTTGCGGAAAAGATTGGAGAAACTAATCAGAGAAAAAGTGTTTACAGTTAGACTATTGTTCAACCGCGGCGTTTGGAATACGCTTACCATTGCACCTCTGATTGCCTGCGCGGATTGGTAGGTTAGGGGGAAATTATGTACGAAGAGATTGCTGGACTCTCTCTCCTCCAGCATTTAGTACAAGTCCTTAAACTCCGAGGCATAGATAATCTTAGTCAAGAGTCCCAGCAAGTTGGCACGGCTCTAATGTTGAAGAGGTAAACCAAATATTACATTTCACCAACTGAAGTTATTATGTTGCGGAAAAGATTGGAGAAACTAATCAGAGAAAAAGTGTTTACAGTTAGTCTACTGTTCAACCGCGGCGTTTGGAATACGCTTACCATGGCACATCTGATTGCCTGCGCGGATTGGTAGGTTAGGGGGAAATTATGTACGAAAAGATTGCTGGACTCTCCGCCGTCGTAAGGTGGTTCACGTAACCGCTTGTCGGTTTGACTTTAATCATTCCCATACCGAAAATAGACTGATAAACCGGACACGAAGCCTTGGTATCCTATGTGATGAAGCCGTTCTATCGACTTCCTTTCCTACCTACTAAAATACTAGACTAGGCTATAACTTTGAAATTAAACAATTGAGCAAACTTTAACATTACACAGACAGAAATACACTGAAAACAGTCCCTTATTTACTCTTTCAAACATATATCCAATATGCAGTCATTGTTCGGGGATCTGTCTCCAAGTCAAAACTAAATCCTATAAAAGCTGTACAGAATAGGGCTCTATGGGCTAATATCAACATGTATATGATGTACTACAAAACTAGTTTCCTTAGGTATACTGATATTTATCAACTAGAAAATATTTAAATTGATGCATCAGTTTATAATTGTTGCCCTCCAATAGTAATCGATACATATTTGCCGAGCAAAGCAGTGTTCGCAAATAAAATGCTAGATCAACATCATCATTCCGTGCGCATCGCCAGACTTACACTAAGACTCAAAATTCATTCAAATATAAGGTGTTATTATGTGGAATGCTTTCCATGGTAAAATACGAAGCATGTTGTTAGGAACTTTTCAAATCAATTATGAAAAAGAATTTCGTGCCGACTTACATGGAGTGTTTGTAACAATTGGTCTGGAAATGTTTTTTGTGGCTTTTTTGATACTACCACCTAAAATAGAATAAAAAGAGATTATTGTTTCATCCTACGCTCTCGACGCATTTACAGTATAGTATCACTTTCCGTTCTCATAATACTGTATATATTGCTATTTGTGTCTTTAATTTTTTATAATCTACATCTTATCAAATAATTTCTTATTAAATGTGTGCTTGTGGAAGGTAAAACTTAGTTGCAGTTATCCGAACACAATCCCGAAAAGACAAGGATAGTCTATTGGGCCCCACGTTCCCCAGCTAGGAAGGGATTTTGTCGTTCTTAAGGATGAATTTTGTTTTTTGATGAATTCCGTAGCTTTACTTATATTCTTCATAACTATAATACTTGTTATGAACTATTTGATTAAATGGAGAGTTCGAATCGCGTATAACGCAAAATCCATAAAAAATTGCACAAAAAAGTAGTTTCCATGCTTAGTCAGGGAGGAATAAAGAAATTCAAAATAGCCAAAGGGGGAGTTTAATGAAAAAGGTTGGGGACCACTAGAATAATTCGAAAATCAAACGTACCAAAAAACAACAACAATGAAATATTTCAATCTCAACAATTCATGTGGAAATTTGAACGAAATATTTTACCATGAACGTACCTGTTGTGAGCAATGTTAAAGTTGAAAAAACGGTTAATGCGACCACCGAATGAGCTGAAATGAGAAGAATCCGCATATTGTTGAAAACGTATTCACATATAAAAATTATGATGATGGTCGTACTTATTAGAATACCTTATTACAACGTCTTACAATCTTTAAACAAATATATAATCTTATACACTAGGTGGTCGCTAGAAAAGCAGATAATCTGTCAAACAGCTATTTATTTGTACAAAAAATAACTTTTACAAAGATGTTTATGGCAAATGTTATACTACACAGAATATAACAGAAATCAAATTAAAACTTAAAAGATATCAACCTAAAACAACCTAGAACATAAAAGAAAAAAAAACGAATCGAAATGAGTAAAAGTCTGCATTTTATTCGTGATCTCATCCGACCTTCAAATTTTCTGTTTTTCTAGCGACCACCCTGATAGCGGAAATCTACACAATACCAATTACAAATGTGAACCTTTCAGGACATTATAGTGTACACCTTACTAGTTTTCAACTATTACAAAATGTAATCTACTGCGCCGTCTTCAAATTTTCACAAATAGTGAAATAATCTGATTGTGCCTTAAACTGCCAGCTAAACCACAAGTTTAGTTTCTAGTGTTCGTTTCTTAGACTTGATTTTTTTATTTACAACTTTGTGTATTATCATATAAATAATCAACCACTGCATAGCTCGCGGGGATTTTACGGTATTTCCAATTTTTAAGTGCCGTTATAATAAACTTAAAATTTTTGAATATTCATGGAGATAGATTAGAAAATATTAATCACTGGGTATTTCGTAAAAAAAGAATTATTTCACCTTGCGGTGGTTTTCATTTCCCAAGTTCAAGATGTTCTTTGTAAAGTGAAATGAACTGAAAGAACGGAAAATAATATCTTGAACTGTCTTCTTTTTCATTTCATGTAGTTCCCCGCCATCAGAGAACGTGATTGTCTGTTATAGGACTGTTACGTAGAGCCGTTCTGATGTTTGGGTCGCTTGTTGGGCGACTTCGCCTGAGCACCAGATGTCCTCTATTTTTTGATATTTGACGACGTCATCGCACACAACAAACGAATCTCATTAAGCACACGGACATTTTTTAAATAGGTGAAAGAGATTGCCTTCTATCGACAACAACAATCTTTAACCACTGAAAATTTCAAAGCATTTGGTCCAATAATCGAAGAGCAATTTTTCACAAGAACAATATCAGAAGACGAATACTAAGAAGAATACTAACAACATGATAAAAACAAATCGACCCATTTCGTGTCCGACAACGTTGGAATCAATGAATGCCCAGTTGACGCAAGATATACGAGAGATTGGGTAAAAAATACAGACGTTGTGACGAAAAATATATGTGGTATGGACCGTATAGCTCATAAGTTTGTTGACATTTCTGCTCTTGGATCAATAGCGTAACCAAAACTAATCCGATTTAAAAATACACAACAGCATGAAAATAGTAAAATATTTGGCCTACACAGAAAGCTGTTATCTGATCATTAAAATGGGAGCCAGGTTTGCTACAAATTTGGCGGGCTAGACTGATCAACTGCCACGTGATGGCGCAATATGCGTGTAGTGTTTATTTATATTGCATAAATGAAGCAAGCACGCAAATTATACAAGTTAACTGAAAAGTCTATTAGAGTCGATTCTGCGAGAGACATGTTAGCGTGGCCAGCTTCACTATCCCAATGTCCTTCCAGAATGTCCGCAATGCAACGCAACGTGCTTCACAATGACGTCATAGCTCTCGATCAGCATATAGCGGTAATTCACCAACACAACAATGCGCACCAATTGCAAAATTTGAGGTGAAATATCGAGCTCAACAGAACTCGAAGAAAATTCGAAAATTAAAAGCAACAGGTGATTCTGGTGATTTATTACTTCTATAAATACTGGAATCTATTGACATATACTGCGCGGAGAAACGCGCAGAAACAATTTTTAATAAATGAAAAACAAACAAGAAGTAAAACAACAATTATATTATACTTTATAACAGTGTTTTTTTTCAAGGGCAATTGCTTGTTTTCATTCTACACGATGACTCGCGATAATAGTCTTCACCAGGATATTCATCACTGCATCTTCGAGGGTTGACGTCCTTTATAAATGAAAATACCAGATTTTAAGTAATTCGAGTTGTCTCGTTATATGATGACAATAATGTCATCAGATTGGAAAAAATTCGGATATGGATGTATGCTTCTCGGTGTATTTTAAAAATACGAGGTCCCAAATTGCATGTATCTCACTTCATACGCTTAACTAAACTATTTTCCTAGAGCCTCATATATGTTCTAACCCAGAACATAGTATGAATAAAAGTTCATATATATGCTTAATTTCACCCGTCTCTAAAGTAATATATATACCCCGGAAGAACAACAGGAGTGGGACAAGTGTGAAAAAATGGGGCAAATATGCTACAATAAGACACGCGGTGTAATAAGAGACAACAACACTTGAGACACCGTGTTTCCGGCATAAAGATGGAACCCACTTCCAGTTTATTGCAAGGTCAATAATTATCTTTACCTCTGATCCTATTAAACAGTCCCGAGTGGATGATTTAAATCCGTTGCAAACATTTCCACCTCTCATACGAAGACGACAGGTCGACCACGACCTCCATTGACCCCAGTGGTACGATGTTGAGGATTCTTCTGAAATATGACAACAATATTGGGTTGATTAATTTCATTTTGGTACTGTTTTCTCTGAGCAAATATCTAAATATCATTCGATATTCGGGCGATGAAGATTATAGGCACGCAAATACGTTTATAACTTGTGATGCTTATTTTGGACAAACTTCGTTACTCGTTAACAATTACTCACAAGACCACCAATAACCCAAATATACTGCACTTGTTGCGAACCAATACCTTAAAATAACTACTATTATGTACAGATGCTTCTAGCAAATTCAGATACAACCTTCTTCCAAGTAATTTTGCTGTCAATCGTGATTATTGAAAATGAACTCACCTGGACATGGTTTTAGATTGCAAGTGCGAAGTTCAACATCTTTCCCGGGATTACATTTACTTGTATCAAGAACTTCGACGTTGTCAGAATCAAGACATTTTCTTTTCATTTCGATTTCTCCAGTTCCACATGAGGCGCTACATTCAGTGGCCTTGAACCATTCTCCCCAATGGTATTCTAAAAAATATTTTCATTTGCGGTAACACGAATAGGGCATTTTCTAGCAAAACGAGTTATGTCTAAATTGCATTGTAAAAATATGGCTTCAATAAAGGAAATTGTAGTGGGTATCTCGACCTTTAGCGGTCAGAGAAAAAAAAAAGATGGCCGCGATTCGGAATTTTCGAACCGATATGAACCGATTCGAATAATTGACTAATCAATTTGAAATGTCCAGCCCTGAACACGAATAAAAAAATTTTGAGTAGTATAAATTTAGAATCTTTCTATTCACTCATCAGTTGTTATTAGTGCTGGTGAATCTCGAGTAATTAACTCAACTCGAGTAACCCAAGTCATCTATTGATTGGGATTCGTGATTAATTAACAAACCACCAGTTCAATATTTTCTTTTTAAATGGGATTTAGCGGCATTTACAGTGAGACATACACTCTTACGTCTTTTTCACCATCATTTTGCTCTATTCTTAAACCATTTACTAAAAAAAACGTCGTTTTCTGGCTTACTATCAATATTCCTTTCTTCAGTTGAACCAACCGAGATAGATGAAAATTCGGGCTTATATAGATGAAATAACTTCGACAGCAAAGTAAGTCTGTGGGGAGATTTTTTAAGATATTGTTAGATATCCGTGGCTGCTTTTACCTAGCCTTGTTCGGAGCAAAAGACACGATTTAGCGTTGTATTATACGCCAATATAGATTTATATGATGGTTTGCGATCCGATTTGATTCCCAGAACTATAAAATAAATCTCTGTATACCAATGCATTCTGGTTTAACACATGTTTCAATTTTCTTTTTTTCGCCAGTGGAGTTGTCCGGTTTCGATGGATTGTCTTTATCGTCCACACAGTTTTGAGTGCTCGTTTCAGTTTCTTCTCCACATATTGCGCTGCAGGTTGGGACCCAATCAGTCCAGTGAAATCCTGTTATTAATAGAAATACACATCGAAAGTAGAGTAAAAAAGAGAATATGGAAATAGTTTTATACAATAATTATTTTCCATCAAAAAGATTGCAAACCATTGGGTTATAATGTGGTGCAATTGTATCAAACTAGACGAGCCAATCATTTTCTATATTTAAAATATTGAATTTAGAAATGAAATATACATAGTTACCAATGCGCCTTAGCAATACACACGGTTCAATCTTCTTATCTTGGCCAGGACAGTTATTGGGAAACGTCGGTGCGTCGTTTGCATCAGCACAATATCGAGTGCTAGTTGCGATTCCTTTATTACATGTTACACTGCAAGTTGTTTTCCAAGGAGACCAATGGTATTCTGTTATCAATAAGAAAGCATTGATGATAATAATAGACGATCAAGCCTTTTCCGATTCGTGTGTACAGCATAGAACAGGAAGGGCTTTTGCCAAGCTGCTTGCTGTCATCTAGCTGTACCACTTGGTATGAAAACTTACTTATGAAACTTATGAAAACTTATGCGTTTAATTAAAGCTAAAGTATCAAATTTTCAAATCTTTGAAATAAAATGTGGAAAAAAATGAAGAAAACGAAGCTAGTATTATTATCATTATTATATAAAAATAAACAATAACACGTTTTAAGTATTTAATACTTTTTAATGTTGGCGAGCTTACGTATCATTTTTACATGGTAATGTCTATTCGGATACGTAGCATTAAATAATTTAAGCTTAAAAATTATTAACATACTAATGCAAGGAGGGTTTCGACACGGAATATTTCGTCTGGAAATTCCGTCACATTCTGTTGCAAGTTTGTCATCTTTGTCAAGACAAGTTCTTGTCTCTGTTCTTTGTCCTCTACCACATGTCACACTGCATTTATTTCTTTTCCACTTGAACCAATGATAACGAAATCCTGAAGAAAAAGATACAAAAATAAACAAAACAAGAAAATAAGGCTCGAATTTATGAACACGAAAGCCAAAACGAAGTGGTACGGATATGCAATCTGTCACAGTAGCCTACCGCAACAAGATGCGCCATTTTTTATTTTGATGACGTCATCGCACAAAAAAAGGCTTCCGTAGAGTCCACAAAATTAAAAAAAAAAATAAAAGTAATAGCCTTCTAGCGAAATGCAATCTTTAGCCACTGAAAATTTGAAAGCAGTTGGTCCAGTAGTCAATGAGAAAAGCGGTTTTAAAAAATACTAAAAACGCTTTTATAGACTTTGAATCAATGAAGAAGTCAGCTAAAACAGATAATGGTTACATACGCCTTATAAAAAGATAATTAAAAGATAAACATAGATATATTTACCATTCATCGTTTTTTCGATCCACGTGATAAAATCGCTGACCCTTGTGTAAATACCCGGTTTATTTTTCTTTCCACACTCTGCTGGGCCACTGCTTGTTATTCCGTGTACAATGTACTTGCTATTTTCTTCGCACAGGAGTGGTCCGCCGCTGTCACCACCGCATGTATCTTTCTTCCCTTCAAGGTGGCTGTGTAAGACAAAATACAAACTTATATTAGAAAGGGTGATATTTAAACGCTGACCCTATAGCCTTATGTATATTGGACTAAAGGCGTAACAGTGGCAATCCGATCGCTTGAACGAGTGCCGGTCGAGTACCGTTTTATAACGTTTATGTGATTAATGTTGCTATTGTTACATTCCATTTTGTTAAATCTTTGTTGTCTAATATTTGTCATCGCAAATGGAATACCGAATATATACAAAGTGAAGATACAAACCATTTTAAGATGTTTCACCCAGAACTACTCATACTTCAATATTAAATTTTACATCGGAAGTACGACATAATGCTGTTTCGTTTACAAACAAACCAACAAAACATTGTCGATTAAATAGCCATTTACAAAAATATAGATGTCATGAAGACGAACTATGCTCTTTTTGTCATATAAAAGAACTGTTGCCCATTTAATTCTTTTCTGCAGACGTTTCAATAATCGACGATTTACTAAGCTTATGTGCTAGAATTTTATTTTATGAGCTAAAATTTGTCAAAACTACTTGTAGACCTATATAATAGAAACAAAGGATCTCTTTCAAATAATTTTCCACCAGATAAATAGCCAATCACGACCTGGTGCAAGAAACTTTGGTTAATGTCATTGATCACACACACACACACACAAACATTTTGTTAATTTCGGGCGACACTGCCTGCTGCTTAAGATGGTGGATCTCGTGTAATCGTTGAGCGTTTGTGTTTATAGAGCGGTATTAGTCACTGTAACAATTATTTTTCCGACATAGATGAATTTTAATAAAATTTACTAAATTAGTCACTCTAGTCAAGGTGCTATTATTGTAGATTAATATTCAGGTCACATGTACGTAATCTCTGTGACTGTGAGGTTGTAATAAATTGGGCTATGACAATATTCAGTAAGTTTATTAGTTCTAGGGGTTTTAAGCGGCTAAAAAAAGACTTACTCACTGGTACCGGGTTTTGGTTACACCGATATATAGCGTTATTTGATTCGTACATGCTCATGAAATCTATATGTAGTTCGTTAGATGAAACAAATATATGTGCCTTGGTGTTTCCCATTGTTAAGATATTATTTCTGGCCCCGTGCCAACCTCGTGCCAATTTTTAAATTTATGTTTTATCGCATCAGTGACCAATCGTTTTATACTTCTCCCAGGTTCAGTTGAAAGCTGGGACTAACTCGTGTCCTATAAAACCTGTGTCCTGAAAGTCCATTGAATAAATCATTAGGTTGCCATTAGTCTGCATTTACCCCGCACAAAAATGACTTTTGGTAAATGAACCATCCAGTCCCGGAGTATGATGCATTTTTCTACAATCTTCATCTGTAAATATATTTACATCTACTTCTTGCAACTCATCTGGAATTGATTCTGAAAGGACAATATAGGACGGAAAGTATTTATAAAAAAAGAGTTGAGATTTGAATTATACTTAATTCGATATATGCATTCCTGTAGGTTCAGTGTCGCTTCAGTGATTATTATTGTCAGTCACTACAGTGCAATGCTGCCTATGCAGAGCACGATTTTGAAAAGATCGGTGGAGATCGTGGCGGAATAAACCGTTCCCACATTGAAGAGTTATTCTATGGCCTAAATAAAAATCGACAAACAAACCGATTCCACCAAAGTTCATTATACTACAATAGTTGGCGCTCCAGAAGTGTGTGTATCAATATGGAGGTAACTAATTTTGTTCGCCTACTTTACATCAAGTTGTCTAAAGGGCCTGAAACATATGATCAGGAGGTATATTAACTTGGCTAACACAGACGGTACCCGAACTCGTAATAAAATTGGAATAAAATAAAAATCGGAATGAAATTATGGCCTGGCTCACACAATACGGGAGTACCGAATATAGTAGTATTCTATGAATCTCAAGTATATATTCGTTTGCGAGTCACAAGTCTGTATGATGGTGATGTATTGAGCATTTGTATCTATAATTTTCTAATAAGCAATTACCTTTAGTCGTGGGTGCCCTATGAAATATATTTGAGTTTTACTAATTACTTTTTATTTATATAGATTTGCGTACTCTTTTCTAAGCATTCTGCGGTTGCACTCAACTTTGTTTTATCATAATATAGAATATTTACTTCATAATATGGAAAAAATAAATAACCTCTGTTTCAATTCGAGGCTGCAGCTCCCCAGCCCGTAACTACACATGACGTTCCTGCTAACACTGTTTCATTGTGCACAGGAAGAGTTGCAGGTTGGATATGCCCGTTAGTGTTTGCATTTGCCGGTGTTGATAGTTTGATTAGTGATATGTCATTGAGATAAACTCGGTTGTGAAAATCTGGAACAGAAAGGATGCGATGATAGCAAGTACCGAACTAATGTATTTTCCAGTGCTGTTTTGAGTCACTTGGTATTAGGTTTTCAGCATATGTTTATGTCGTGTCCGGAGAATTCGCCGCAGCATATTTCGCTGTAGGAAAACTCGCCGCATAAGCATTTTGCTGTAAAACAAGTATTTGCGATAAAAACAGTTAGGTTTATAGGTTTAGGGTATACTGTATGTTCTTAAATAACGAATCTCTCCTAAATAAAAGGTACTTCCAAAACCTAACTGTTTTTACCAAAAACACTTGTTTTACAGCAAAACGCTCTTGCGGCGATATTTCCTTTGCGGCGAGATTTCCTACGGCGAATTTTCTTAGAATCTGTTCATGCATATTGAAGAAATTCACTATCAAAATATGCAAAATAAGTATTTTAATTGTTGAAAGCGCCATATATTTTTATACTACACACAGTATCAAAATATTGATCTCCTATGAATGAGCCGTTCAAATTACGAATTCCGTAAACAAAGATGAATTGTACAGGCGGTTCAAGGAATTATTTTAAAAGCCTGATTAGGTTTTAATTTCAAAATGAAGAATACTTTTTAAACACAAAAGAGCAATGCATGGGTACGAAAGCCAAAATGATGTTTCAAATCCATCACGGTATCGAGATCTTTTCAAAAGATTTCCGACTTCGCAGAGCGCCATCTCACTGAAATGCGATCGCAAAATGCCACACGGTGCATAGTTTGATGGCGTCATCACACAAAACTCAATAGACAGAGTAGACACGCGCACATTGAAAAATCGATCTCGTAGAGCCCACAAAAATGTATATATATAAATTAATAGCCTTCTAGCGACAACAACAATTATTAACCACTGAAATTTGAAGCAATTTGTCCAGTAGTAAAAATAAAAAGCAACAACAACAAGAAAAATACTAACCACAGCATAATAACTAAAGGATTAATAGGTCCGATTTGTATCCAACATAACCATAACCCTAATTTCAGATTTAATCTTAAAATAAATATTACCTTCGTGCACGTGAACAATTGATGCATTTGTAAAATTAACCGCCCGATAATCAATTCCGTTTCTCTTTATTGTTCCCAACGTAATTCTTTGAATATTCCAATTGTTTCTAGTAAAAGTAATTTGTATTAGTCACACAAGAAAATTAATTGAGCAATCATGTTTGTATTCCCACGGTAAAATACACAAACTCTGGAATCTTTGCGAAATGGACGGACTTTATTTATATTGAGTAGCAAATAGAACTCACCGTTTAAAAGCGGTTCAGTTGCTGATAAATTTAGACAGATTACAACTTCGCACGAGTTTATACTCGTATGAATTTTGTAAGCTAGCTTGGTGGTTCCCAAGCTTTTTAGACGAATTCATCCCAGTGTTTCATTTGAACCCGTTCATTTTCACCTCACTCTGCGTTTGGATAATGTATTATGTGTTCATAAACACGAATTGCAATATTAAAAAAAAAAACATGAGAAATATTAGTCAAACTACATCGAATATGAATCAATATGAATTGCAGAAAATATTAGATCAGGCTCGACTAGTTGACGTTTTGAACTGAATTAAATCCACTTTCATACAATGAATGCTGTTATGGTTTTCAGCACACTCTTTTACGTTTCATGGACCAAATATTTCATGCGCCACGATATGTTACTTACGTGTTAGGCAGTGGGGAAATTCAAACAACGAGTTCGCTTTCATACAAAACTAAATTACCAACAGGTGCCCTTATTCAGAAACTGTATGCATGCCACTACGTAAGCTACATTAACATGACACGCTTTACACAAACCTTAATTAACCTAATTAAAAATATTTGTTAGATTTGATATTGCCTGCCTTATTTTGAAAATTTACATTTCTTTATTTTGGATATTTACGTTTCATCTACGTATTCCTTGAAGTGTTGTGTGAATGAAACATACTTTCGCCTTACTGTATATTATTTGTAGCTTATTGTTAGATAGTTTTTTTTTTTGAGGTGGAGCACAAGACTTGACAAATTGCAAAAATGGGGCGCGGCTTTAATAGTTTGAAAACCCTCGGTCTAAAACAAAATAAGGATGGGTCCGCTGATTACCGCGACATCCGTGGAACAGGTTCGCAAACCCTCTAAAACTCAATCCATCGATTACAGGTATTCCTACCCATATATATGCAGTCAATTAACTTATTTGAAATCTTACTAAAAGAAGAGAAAAATCGCAGACAATGCAAACAAAAGAGATATGTATGACTGGAAACCTGCTTTTTATATAATTTTGTTTGAAAAGAAACATCTTGCAAAAGGAACCCACGTCGGCTACATAAACTAGGTTTGATTTTTTGGTAGGCTACTCCCGACGTATGTGAACCAAGATGGCGGACACTGGAACGTAGTATGTGTACCAGGTTAGAGGTAGGCCATAATTTTATTCCAATTTTTCATATTTTAGTTCTATTACGAGTTCAGAAACTAGCCAAGTGACTCCCGTAGTGTTTGTGCCTGAATTTATGGCCTAAAGCTAATCTGGTACACATCCGGTGTCAGCCATCTTGCGACACATACTTCGGGAGTATCGACTCTTTTCCGTTCCCTGATGCGTTATAAACCCCTATTTTTGAAAAAGAAAACTCAAATATTGGAATATTCATGACTCCAAACCAACCAACATGAACACACACACTTTTAATTTTTTTTATACGAAATCAAACATACGAAAGCATACAGTTATATATTCATTAGCTAGGAAACAGACCAGACAGACAAAAGAATTCGAAAGTAGGCTATTCGATTATATTATATATAAAACATACTCACCCAAATGGATCTAAAAAGCAATGCGCCGCACTGAGCACCCAAGAATCTGTTATCAATGTCCCTCCACATTGTTGCCATTTACCATCGAGTTCAGTTATGATAAGAACTTGCCACGGCCATTTTTCGGGTTTTGACGAGAACCCTCCGACAACCCATGTGCCCCACTGAAAAACTGCAAATTCAAGTTACGAATTAATCAGAAAAGCATTTTTTAACCTTGAACGAAAAGTCCACCCGTTTGGGAGACGTATTCATTTAAAAAACGGCAATATTAGCCTTTATTCATTTTTATCATGACACTATATAGACAAATATTAGTAGGAATAAACATACAGCCCACACTGTGACAAAAACTGAGATAGATGTCTAGCTAGAAGACTAATTTCAACGATTTATATATGAATATATATAGAAAACTGAACGATTCTTTGAAACTTCTGTTTTACCCCAATGAAAATAGTTTATTTTATTATACCGTCTAAAACTAGCAATCGTTGATAACTAACCCAGTTGATTTTCCCCATCGCATGATTGACCGCATTCTCTATGCTGCGTTTCAGGTACCTCACAGCTGCTGTTGAGACAGACGCGAACTCTTATTTGTTCATCTTTTTGGCAAGATTTCGGACATACCGACCAATCGATCCAAGGTGACCAAATACCTAGAATAGTAAAAGTTTCACCGATTTTATCGTTTAACAACAATACAAGGACGATTTATTTCACCGCGAATTCTTGTTACTATCACGAAGATATGTTTCGATATTTCGATCTATATTCGGTACTCCTGTAGTGTGCGAACCAAGATGGCGGCCACCGGAACGTAGTATGTGTATCAGGCTAGGTTTAGGCCATAATTTCAGGTACAAATTCTAGGGAGGACACTCGGAGAGTCTCCGAACACGTAATAGAACTAAAATAAGGAAAATTGGAATAAAATTATGGCCTAACCTTAACCTAATGTTCCGCTGTCAGCCATCTTGGTTCGCATGGCCTACTACAGGAATACCATTACATTTAATATTTTGGGTTCGTATCACCTGCCCTATCCTCGAGTTTGGATATGCAGGGCCGAAAACGGAAAGATTTCATCCGCAATATAGTCACTCCTTACCCAATAGGGGCTGGAGAACGCTGTTTGGAGAGAAAGGAGCATAAAATGTGTAAAGATATTGTTATTTCTGATGCCTCTTTAATTGGGATTATTCAAAAAAAAAACGTAATCCCGCTTGAATATATCACACAATTTGAACATTGTTCACATCTTTTGTTATAGTATACGTACTCATAACGCGTATACGCATTGGAACACGCAACGCGTAATATCACAGTCCTGGTGCACAAAACTACGCCAGTTATAAGCACCATTAAAATAATAATAATAAAACTATTTGTGTTAGCTTGTGTATTTCTTTTGCGCAATCAAACATACCTGTTGTGTGTAATAGTAAAGTTGAAAACACGGTTAGCACGATCAAGGAATCAGTTGAAATGAGAAGAATCCGCATATTGTTGAAGAAGTATTTACATATAAAAATTATGATGGTGATTGTACTTATCAGAATACCTTATCTGCCTTACGATCTTTAAACAAATATATAATCTTAACTGAAGTAGAAAAGTACGAAAACATACCAGAGTGAATTTTTTTAAAGCAATATAGAACTTGCGCGTATACAGCTATTTTAATGATATTCCCGAAGTATGTGAACCAAGATGGTGGACACCGGAACGTAAGATGTGTACCAGGTTAGGGTTAGGCCATAATTTTATTCCAATTTTCCCTATTTTAGTTCCATTACGAGTTCGGGGACCTGCCAAGTGACTTCCGTAATATTTGTACCTGAAATTATGACCTTACCCCAACCTGGTACACATACTACGTTCCGGTGTCTGCCATCGTGGTTCACATACTACGGGAGTACCAAACAAAATATTAATATGCTTGAGTGATTGTTCGTTGATGGTAATAGATTATTGCAAGTTACTATATGTATTGATAAAAATCAATTCAATCATTCGAGTGATTTATTTCACAAAAAAAACATGTCGCTAACAAATGATGGATATATATAATGTTTTTGTACAAAGTCAGGAGTCCCAGAGCTTTGCTATATTGATTATATTTCTAAGCCCTTGGGAATAAAACTTATAAATTTGCCTGATGCTAAACTTGAGGATATTTTCCTCAGTTAGTTTTCCAAACCAATACAACAATGATATAATGCTCTCCGTGTAAAATATCACATTGATTTTCAATAAAAAACACTCGTGACGTCTGGTCCCGACAGCTTTACAGTGTATTGTGTACTCAAGCATCACCACATGACAATAGGTATATGGAGGGCGTTGTTTGTCGAAATACCTATGCTTACCGAATTCACTTTCACGCCTTTATCACACCTCCCAATCACAATAATATTTAAAGTCACCATACACATTAGGTTACTGGATATTGTACTGTATAAAATCCATCCTCAAAAGCCAGTTTCTCGAGGCTGTCCGTTCGCGTCGGGCTACACCTTACTAACGAATGTACCTTCGATAATCACATGCGACTATGTACGAAATACATGAATACAAGCTGCGACCAACATATGAACTCAACTTACTTACTACTTACTTACTACTTACTCACTACTTATATGCCAATCAAGACTATGTACGAATGGATTGAACTATATATGATCAAATGATAAACGAAAAATGTATGAAAAATGAAGAAAGCTAACTCTAAGAAAGATTGCGTAACCCAACGCCAGTACGCCTGACGCGACCTTCAGTCAGCCTCTCTTTTGACTGCATTGCAAACTATATTATATATAGGAGATTTCTTTCATATGATGCATATTTTAATCGGTAATCCCGTAGTATGTGAACTAAGATGGCGGACACCGGAACGTATTATGTGTACCAGGTTAGGCTGTAATTTTATTCCAATTTTCCTTATTTTAGCTCCATTACGAGTTCGGGGACTAGCCAAGTGACTCCTGTAGTATTTGTACCAAAAATTATGGCCTAACCCTAACCTGATACACATACTACGTTCCGGTGTCCGTCATCTTGGTTCACATACTTTAGGGGGACCCTTGATTGTATTGCAAACTATAGGAAATTTCTTTCATATGATGTATATTTCAATCATTCTAAAAAACAATTCATCTTTTATCTAAAATTTTACTCTGATATCAGAATATCGCATTCGTCCCACGATACCCAGGTCAAAGACAAAAAATTAAACCAAAGTAGACAAACAAAACTTTGAAAGGAATTTCTAGCACGAAGGAAGTGAACAATTGGGTTATTAAAGGAAAAATTAAATCACCTACTGTCAAATTGCATGTGGCACTCATTTGGATGGAATTAGTTCAGTTTCACTAGTTAAATTTCATTAGTTCAGTAAATCGCGGCGGCGGTGTGGCTCATCGTGCTAAGCGTTAGGAATACGCTCGCCACCGCACCTCTGATTATTCTGCGTGGGTTCGCAGGTTCGAATCCCATGCGGGGATAGTTATGTGTGAGAGGATAGCTGGACTCCTCGCCGTCGTAGGGTGGTTCACGTAACCGTTGGTCGGTTACAGCTATACCTCCACCATCAAGTCCATGCTTCCGAAAACCAATAACTAACTAATACCATACCCGACATGAAATGGTAACCGGCCGAGAGTCCGTTGTTCGCAATAATGATAGGCCGTATTATCGGCTTTCCTCCCCCTGGATAAATATGTAAATTCTATTGAAGTACACCCAGTTGGAGTAACTGACTGGCTGGCTATACCTGTGACACACTGGAATTAGTAATGGCCCTGGTTTCGCCATCTGAAGTAACATTCGTACCGGTTCCCCCGTACCGGCGGAACAAGGGGGATTTTACATGAATATGGCTGGGCATTTCGAATCGAATAGTCAAATCGAATAGTAAATTATTCGAATCGGTTCAGAGCAAAATATTCGATTCGATTCCGAAATCATCAGGTATTCAAAAATGCCCAGCCCTAATGGCGAATAAATAAACAAACGTATTAACTACAGGTGGTTGCCAGAAAAGCAGAATATTTGTCAAACAGCTATTCAGTTAACAAAGAATAACTAAGTTTTAAAGGCATATGTTATATTACACGGAATATTAAAGAAATCAAATAGAACCTAAAAGGTATCACCCTAAAACAACCTAGAACTTAAAAGAAATAAAAATGTATTGAAAAAGAATTGAGTAAGCACGCATTTTATTCGTGCTCTCGTTTGCCCTTCAAATTTTCTGCTTTTCCTGCGACCACCCTGATAGCGGAAATCTACAGGATACCAATTAAAAATTTGAACCTTCCAGGACATTGTACCGTACTTCAGTAAGTTTATAATTAATTACAGCTATTACAAAGTTAACTACTGCGCCGTCTTCAAATTTTCACAATCTAGTTAAATAATCAGATTTTCCCCAAATACCACCATGAACGACATGTTTTATTTGTTTACAACAAGTTTTGTGTTCGTTACTTAAACATGATTTGTTTATTTACAAATTTGGATATTATCATTTTTAATCAGCCAGTAGCCTATATAGCTCGCGGGGATTTTATGTTATTTTCAAATCTCTGTTGCGATACTTCGGACTTCGTCTTAGTTAGATGATTTTTATTTATTATAGTTTTAAGTGCTGTCAAAATGAACATGTTTTTTTATATTCCGTAAAGAAATTATTAAGTCTGCATCGACTATAAAACATCTACCCTTCAATACAATTGATTATTCTTATATATTCATTTTAAAATTTTTGATTATTCATCGGATGAATTAGGAAATATTATTATCACGAAATTCCGTAAAACAAGAAATATTTCACCTTGCGGTGGTTTTTATTGGCCAATGTCAACATGTTCTAATAAAGTGAATTGTCTATTCGAACTGAAAAGAATATATTGAACGGTCTTTATCTCAATCTATGCATGAGAGAAACTCTGGGGCTCCGCGAGTTATTTGTTTACATGTTAAAATACTCACTTGACTAATTTTGTAACTGTCCAACGAAGCAATAAAGGCAAAATTTGACAACGTTAGCATCGAAATATGGCAACAAGGCAATTCAAATATTGAATTATCAATAAAATTGAATAGATAAATATCTTTTTATAAATTAATTGCGGGGCTTTGTAAATAGTATAGTCGACCTCTTCACGGGTAAGACCACTCATAAGACCAAAAGTCTGAGAACCCCAGTGTTACAGGTATATTGGACATACTTAAAGCTCGCTGCTTTATCGAACTCACTAAAACAGGTTTCTCATTTCAGAAAATGTACGCTGTCACTGCGTAAGATACATTAACAAGACGCTTCATATGCATCATATACAAAACAAGAACGTAAAAGGCGGGTTCGCTCAATATCATGGCATTCCAAGAACGGGCTGGCGCAAACGACCTGAATCCCGCCACTACTCGTAACAATTTGAATATATATAGGATGATTCTATATATATAGAATGAGCGAATGAAATAATATATGAAAGTTATAGATTAGTGAGTTATTCATACGAATCATGATCTATGTGATATTATCATGTAGGCAATGATGGATTATGCGCATGGCTGGATGTTCTCAGAGTGACAAACTGAACATAACCAGGGCCATCTCCAACAGTCCTTCATAGCGCAAAGTTTAAACTTTGAAAAATACCCCAGGCATAATGGATCCAAGTCGCTGTATTAGTAATCAAGCTATCAGAGGGCCTGAAAGCAGTGGTGGGATTCAACCGGTTCGCACCGGTTCTATAGAACTCATGAAATTATATGAGATCAGCGAACCGGTTAGCATTAGTGGTTAATCTCAATGACTTTTTGTAACAGAACCGGCTAAAAAATATGACTTTTGTGGTGGAACCGGTTGACAAAAAAAATTGAATCCCACCACTGTCTGGAAGCCCTCGATAATGCCACCATCGACGAGCTGGTCAAATACTTGCCAGAATAATGAACCGTAAAAATATCGACGTTTAGTTCACTTAGGTATTCCGATATGTGTTCGTGGACTGACTGAATTAAGCTGCAGCTGTAGGGCTGGTCATTCTAATCGAATACTTCATTATTCAAACACTTTTTTCAGTCGCATTGCGTTGTTTTTAGCTCCTGATATTGCAATATTAATAGTAAAATGTATTCCGCCAATTGAAGCACAAGATTCATAAATAACCCGCGAGCAGAGTTTAAATTAACTTATTGTCTGTATTTGTTTTGCCGTTAAAAAAGGTCATTTTAGTTCTCTAGCAAGTTACCAAGTTACTTTCCACGGCTATTTAGATCAACAATTGTATCTTTTAATCTTTGTATTTGGGGTTCATTTTGTAGTAGTTTTCATTTAGTTCATTCTCAGCAGCAGTTTACTGCCTTATTATCTTATTTATAGTGAATCTAGTCCCGCTAGACGTTTTCGATGTCATAACCAATATTTGTCAAGAAAATATGCAGATATGAATATGTTTTTTTTATATTTACTTCAAAACGCAATGCCATCATTGTAGAACTCCGATTTCGTGGTTATTCTCGAAATAATGGTGATACATCAGCATGATGGGAATAAAACAC